AGTTTTGTTAGTTGTCATGAAAGATTTGGGTCGTTATCGGAGACGGGCCCCGCGGGGGCGGAGAATGGGTTCATATTATCGCCTGTTGGACTCGGAAGCTTAACCAGAACTTAGCTACTTATTCGAAGAGTTGTGACGCGAGGCTTTGGATGCTATTGTTAAAGTGCCGAGGCTTAACATCTTTCTTCTATCATCGGGACGTTTATTGATCCAACGGAGCACCAATAATTGTTCATACTCCTTCTTCAGCATATTTGTACAAAATTGACCTTCAACGTCCACTTTGGACAACATCATCAACAACACAAACCACTCAGACATCTCACATCAACATGGCACAACAATCAGAAGAACCCAACACCTTTGATGTTATCATCATCGGTGCTGGTATCTCCGGCATCAACGCTGCCTACCGTCTCCAAACAGAAGGTCCTTCCGACTTGACCTACGCCATCCTCGAAGGCCGCGACTCCATCGGCGGCACATGGGATCTCTTCAAGTATCCCGGCATTCGATCCGACTCTGATATCTTCACCTTCGGCTTCCCATGGAGTCCCTGGAAGCATGATCAGTCGCTTGCACCAGGTGACAAGATTAAGGACTACATGATCGAGTCGGCGCGATCAACTGGTATTGACCACCATATATGCTACAAGCACTCTGTTACAGAAGCCAACTGGTCTTCCAAGGAGAGGCGATGGCAGCTTCAGGTTACGCGACCTGGTGACGAGAAGCCAGTGACATTCCGGAGTCGATTTCTGCTTCTCGGTACCGGCTACTATGATTATCAGACTCCCCTACAGACTGTGATTCCTGGAATTGAGAAATTCCGAGGCAAGGTTATCCACCCGCAATTCTGGCCCGAGGACTACGACTACACCAACAAAGAAGTCGTCATCATTGGCAGTGGAGCTACAGCCGTCACAATCCTTCCATCCATGTCCGACAAAGCCAAGCGTGTCACAATGCTTCAGAGAAGTCCAGGCTACATCTTCCCTCTCCCATCAAGCAGCTTCTTCACACGTCTTCTCTTCACCCTTCTTCCCGCTAGTATCGCACTATTCCTCAACAGACTCCTCTGGCTGTTCCGAAGCTATCTTACCAACGTCTTCTGCAAGTCTTGTCCCGGTCTAGCAAAGAAGCTCATCAAGCATGTCACCATCAAGAATCTTCCTCCCGATGTCAGCTGGGACCCTCACTTTAAGCCTCGATATAATCCCTGGGAGCAGCGATTCTGCGCCAGTCAAGATGGAGATTTCTTCGCGGCAATTCGTTCGGGTAAGGCAAACGTCGTGACAGACAAGATCAAGACTATTACCGAGAAGAGCATTGAGCTTGAGTCTGGAGCGTCATTACATCCCGATCTTATCGTCACGGCGACTGGTCTCAAGGTTCGTTTCGGTGGAGGTATCAATTTCAGCATCGACGACGTACCATTCAACGTCGCGGACAAGTTCGCCTGGAAGACCGTGATGCTCCAGGATGTGCCAAACTTGCTTTTCATGTTCGGATATGAGAATGCATCGTGGACACTTGGTGCTGATGTTAGCGCGAGACTGTTTGTTCGTATTCTCAACAAGATGACACAGAGCAAGACCAGCGTCGTGGTCCCTCGACTGTCGTCATCGAGTGGTATGCCAGTGAAGCCAATGATGAGCTTGTCTTCGACTTATCTCAAGACTGCCAGCTCTGTGTTCCCCAAGGGCGGTACGGGTTTGTGGAGCCCCAAGTCGAATTACTTTGCGGATATGGCTGGAGCGAGATGGGGAGATATTTCTACGGGTCTGGAGTACAAGTGATGATAGTCTTATCTATGAAAAATAGCCTTTCGTTTCTCCTTAGTAAATACCAACTTATTTCCGTCGCTTTGCAGAAGAACCACCGTGATTAACTCATGCCACGGTAGTAACAGATCTAATGTTGCCCTTCCACGCCTGTAAGCCATCGGAAGGGGTCTTGGCCAGTCGTCTTACACGGTTCATGCTTATGGTTTTATCGTGGAGCCATTATGAAATGAAACAAGCCTGAGTAAGCGGGAAGTTAGCCAATGTCACCTGAAAGCGGAGACATGAGAGTATGTAAGCATGTCAACATCAGACCATATACAGTTCCATTGAGCTCTTCAACTGCAGTTATATAGATTTATTGTAGCTTATTTCTGTATTTTGGTCACTCATATTTATCTAATCATAAATTATGTTAATTTTAACCAATCCTATGATCAATCTCGTCTAAAGCCTTCAAAGAGACCTTCAACGTTCTTGAGTGCAAAGACTCTATATCAGCAAGGCAGTAACATCAACATTACCTAGCTTCGCTTCAAATATGATGGGCAGTGAGAAAGATCATAAATGATAGAAACATTAGGTGTGAACCGAATGCATCCCACGTTGTGCGTATACAAAGATCCAGCTCTTGGCTTACATTCATAGGAGCGCCTAGAGTTCAGCAAGCATGCCATCACGTGGATGTCACATTTTAAGTGTTTTCGATGATTAGCCGGACGAGCAGATCCAATTCTGCCAAATCGGTTCGTAAATGGTCTCCTCCGCATCCTTCGTTGGAGTTGGATGCAACCTAACCCCATCTCTGGGCAGGCTCGGCAAGAGACAAGGCAATTGATTGACGACTTTTCGAAAGGGTAATCCAGTTGATGGACCTGTACTGGTCAGCTTTACGATGATCCATTGCGAGAGCTAACCAAATAAGCTCAACTTCCCTGATTCTCTTGTGTTCGCCTAGGCGGGTGCAGATCTCGGAGACAGCCGTGATCAACATATCTACTCTACAGTCTATGGTAGCCTGTTCGATAGCGATATTCATGCTCGAGAACTTGACTGGTTTACGTCAAGTATAGGCAAAACGAATGATTCGGAATATTGGGTGTTGTTGCCATGCTCGCTAATCGGATCATGCTATACTTCTGCCAATATCATCGTAATCAGCAAAGCTTCAAACAATACAGGCAAACGTTCGCTAATCGGCTAAATTCACAATGTAATTCCCGCAGACCTCCGAACAACAATTTCAATGTTACAGCCGCCATCTTGGCATTTACTCCCAGAAAGGGACGTAATATCAGCACGCATTAAGAAACCCTCCTCAATTCGTAGTAGGTCTCGATCTGAAAACAATATTATCCGCTGCACAATTAAACACGACCCATATTTGCGGGGGACACCGTTGCAACTATCTGTTTAGGGTGTTGACGACAAACTTGGCGATGCTCCGATATTTCCTCAATGGGTCTCATTCGGAGCTTGCTTCTCCGCACATAAGGCTCTATAACCCCAGATATGCCCATTTACCGGCAAAACACGATGGAATTGATCGGATTGGTTAGAATTCGTGATTCTGTACAGCTGGGGGCGAATATGTCGTGTAGCATGTTATATCAAAGCTGTATATAAGGCCGGGAGGTAACTCCTTGACGTTGCGTTGGATATCTTCAGACAGTAACTTCAGCTTCGACGTATCAGCTCACTTGGATCAGTCAAAATGCATACTCTTTCGATCCTTCTCGCTCTCGCCCCCGTGTCCGCCCTTGCCCAGGCTCCCATCTGGGGACAGTGTATGTTACAGCAGGCCCAGAAAACTCGATACTGGATAGCTAACACTTCCCGTAGGCGGTGGCAACGGCTGGTCTGGTGCTACAACCTGTGCTAGTGGTCTGAAGTGTGAGAAGATCAACGACTGGTACTCTCAGTGTGTTCCTGGATCTGGAGGACCTGATCCCGAGCCTTCTTCAACTCAGGGCGGTGGCACTCCTCAGCCTACTGGTGGTAACAACGCTGGCACTGGTCTCGATGCCAAGTTCAAGGCCAAGGGCAAGCAGTACTTTGGTTCTGAGATCGACCACTACCACCTTAACAACAACCCTCTCATCAACATTGTCATGGCCCAGTTTGGTCAAGTGACTTGCGAGAACAGCATGAAGTGGGATGCTATTGAGCGTAAGCTTTCCTATCTGGACAATGACATAGTTATAATCTAACATGCAATAGCCTCGCGCAACTCCTTCTCTTTCGGAAACGCTGACCAGGTCGTCAACTTCGCCACACAGAACGGCAAGCTCATCCGTGGCCACACCCTCCTCTGGCACTCCCAGCTGCCTCAGTGGGTTCAGAACATCAACGATCGCTCAACCCTCACCGCGGTCATTGAGAACCACGTCAAGACCATGGTTACCCGCTACAAGGGCAAGATCCTCCAGTGGGACGTCGTCAACGAGATCTTCGCTGAGGATGGTAACCTCCGTGACAGTGTCTTTAGCCGAGTTCTCGGTGAGGACTTTGTCGGTATTGCATTCCGCGCTGCCCGCGCCGCCGATCCCGCTGCCAAGCTCTACATCAACGACTACAACCTCGACAAGTCTGACTATGCTAAGCTCACCCGCGGAATGGTCGCTCACGTTAACAAGTGGATTGCTGCCGGTATTCCCATTGACGGTATTGGTTCTCAGGGCCATCTTGCTGCTCCTAGTGGCTGGAACCCTGCTTCCGGGGTTCCCGCTGCTCTCCGAGCTCTTGCTGCCTCAGATGCCAAGGAGATTGCCATCACTGAGCTCGATATTGCCGGTGCCAGTGCCAACGATTATCTTACTGTCATGAACGCCTGCCTCGCCGTCCCCAAGTGTGTTGGTATCACTGTCTGGGGTGTTTCTGATAAGGACTCTTGGCGACCTGGTGACAACCCTCTCCTCTTCGACAGCAACTACCAGCCTAAGGCTGCTTTCAATGCCTTAGTCAACGCTCTGTAAGCTGTTGTTGATACATATCGCTGAATCATACTGCGAAACGTCGTAGTTGGATGGAGCGTTGGTGGTAGAATGATGCTCAAGGAAATGGTTCAATTGTATATATCTATTTCTCACGTACATATTTAGCGGAATGGAAGTCACGGGCTACGTCCTCACTATCTGAATGCTCTATCCAAGTTTCTCACCCGTCGATGCTTCTCCTTGTTTTGATACCATGATCAATAAACATCAAGATCTCACCTCAACCTCGAGCCGCCGCGTTGCAAAAACCAGCTACGTTATAGCCCCAGACCTCTTCTCTCGAGATATTGGTACCGAGAGCTGGTGGAGGTGAGATATGGTTGTGACCCTTCATAATCTGAACTTCAAGCTCGACTCCCGAGCTTCCCTTACCTGATCGCCAAAGCTCAATGAACTCCTTGTTACAGCCCAATATCTCATCTTCGGGGTCAAGGGATCCATACAGCAGAAGGAACTGGACCCCAGGTGCAACATCCGAAATATTCTTATCTTTGTTACAGGCCTGAAGAAGTCCGAGGGGACAGTCCTGCTCCATCGTCTCTCCGTAGTAGGTTTCAAGAACAGGAGCCCGGTAAGGGCGGGGGTTGCGGAATGACGTCGGCATTGAGCAAAAGACAGCAGCCGTGAGTCTCAGGGTGCAGGTCTCGTTGTCACCTGCGATCTTGCTTCGGATCCCAGCAAAAGAGGGGTGAAGCAAGAATGTGCAGAGATGAACGGCACCAGCTGAGTTACCCATCATGAACAAGGGTCTTGACTGTGAACCTCCAATTTTGTCATTGTTGTCCATGAGCCACTTCACAACCATCTCAATATCTTGCCCGCCAGAGGGAAATCTCGCCTCTGGGACAAGGCGATAATCCGGAATGACAGTGACGAATCCGCATTTTTCAGCAAAGAAGTGTCCAAGATTTTGGTAGAGCAGATGATCTTCAGAGGCTCTGTCTCCTCGAGTAAAGCCGCCTCCATATGTATAGATGAAGACAGGACACCCAGCCCCTGTCGGGCTGTTGGCAGGATAATAGATATCAAGGTTGTTGCGCGGGTTTGGACCATAGGAAAAGGTCTTTCTCAAAGTTGATTTAATGGCAGTTGAGTTCTTGTTAAGAAGCGGAAGGTAAATCTTCAAGGTTGGCTCAATGCTTTCGGCAATTGAGCTGGGAACTGATGAGAGCTGGTCCATTTCGGAAGACGGTTGAGTAACTTGTAATGTTATCGGAAGAAACTGTGACTGATGTGTTTGTATTTGACTATGCGTCTCAATTTTCGCGATCGGATTCTCGTCTTCATATATACAAACTTCAGATATACCATGATGCCTTTACCCGACATCCGACGATGAGTCAGCGGTAATCATGAGTACTAAACGCCGACCGTTGAGCCTTGAAACAGTGACTATTGCCAAATCCGGTTCCCGAGACTGACTACCGTGGACGGAAGAGGCGTTGTTGGTCCACATTTACGGGCTAGCAGTCCCGGAGCACGGTCCTGATATAGCATTCTTGGCCAACTATTGGTTTCACTCGGCTCGCACAAAATAGAAAGACCGATATGAAAACCGAGACCGAGCAAGACGGTCTCGAAACCTCCGTTTATTGGCGATGTTGTTGGACGTGTTTGTCGGCGAGCTCATCGATCATAGGACTATAAATGCCAGTTTTGTCGTATTTCGCTCTTCCAGCAAGCACCGAGACCGATGATGAAAGTTAATCTCAGCATCGACATCCAGGGGGACCCTGGATCCGACAACTCTAACCGTTGCAATGCATTGTCATGCGTCTCGTATGCTTGGTTTCCCCAGATTCGGTGGAAGGGCTGGGGAGAGGTATACGATAAAGAGTCGACGTTCTAGCACGATGCTGAGCGAACGGAACGAACCACTTTCAACAATCTAAAAGCACCAAAAACTTTGATCTTTCCTATTTCACTTCATATCAAAGCATAGTCATGGAGCGCATTGTACTCCCACCTTCAGCAGCTGGAAAATCATCTGCTACCAAAGATCCTTATATCTTCGAGTCATTCGCTGGAGACAAGGTCTACGTCTCAGGCACTCCTTCAGTTGCTCGTTTCCTTCTGACCGGGAAAGAAACGGATGGGAAGTTCACCATCCTGACAAGCGGCGGTCAAGCCTTCCCCTCCCCTGTGCCAACTCACTATCATAAACATACCCACCATGGCTTTCTCTGCATCAAGGGCCAGTTGAAGGTCTGGCTCAATGACCAGTGCAAGATCCTCAGTCCTGGAGACTACGCCAGTGTTGCTCCAGTAAGTCAAGTCCACAATTCTTTATACTTATACTGATGATTTTCAGGGCGCTATCCATGCATACCAGTTTATCGGTGATCATACTGAGATCTTCGGTATAATCACTCCCGCTGGATTTGAGCATATGTTTCGAGGACTGGGCGAGCCATACACTGGTCCAATGTGGCCGGATGCCGACATTGAGAGGGTTGCTGAAAAGCTCAACTCTGGCGTCGCAAACGTTATGACCGAGTTTGACGTGATTCCTGTGCCGAGCCATAAGCTCGTTGAGCCGCAACCTTGGAGCGGTTCAGAAAATCAGCTACCTGGATCTCAGAAGCCGTACTTCCTGCGCAATCGCACAGGACCTAGTGCTGTTCTCGGCGGAACGGTCGTTCGTCCATACGTCACAGGAGCCGAGTCCGGAAACAGATACAGCCTGGCTACTCTCGAGGGCTCTAATCAGTTCAAGACTCAGGTTCTGTCTGGTGGAATTCGGTTCCCAGACGTTGACCACTGCTTCTATGTGTCGGATGGATATCTCGAAGTCACTGTAAATGACACTGACTCTTCGCGTGTCGGTCCAGATGAAGTGGCTTGGTTGCCTTCTGGGACTCACTTCAATATCAAGCCTGTCAGCTCCTTCTTTAAATTCTTCGTGTATTCGCAGCCTGGTGGGCTTGGTGATTTGCTTTATACTGCTGGGAAGGACAAGCCGCATACTGGTTTGAACTGCATGATTCCTGATTCACCAAGCCCTTTTGACAGGAGGAAGCTCTCTCATTATAAGTCTGAGTTCAAGTTTGACTTAATATAAATAGCTACAGAATGTACTGATTCTTTCAAGGCGCTTCGACTTGAAGAGGGCTTATAGTCTCATAGTATGTGCAAGAAGGCTCAAAGGAGAGGATGTAAAATAGTGAGTTGAAGGGCTTGCTAAGTAGATGCTAAGATATCCTAAACTTAACTAAGTATTTTACCAAGATATCATAAACTTTGTTAAAATAATTATGCCGTTTCCTAAGTTTATCCTAAAATATCACAAGTCTATGTAAACATTTATCTTGTTTCTGCTATATGTGTTAGCTGCCTGCAGTTTCACTGTATGGCCAGTAAGTGCCTCCATAGCTAAGTATGTAAATACTATTACGTAGAGACGGGGTCCTTTATTTTCCGAAACACCCTAGAGTATGTCAGCTTCGTCCTGAAAACCGAGTTTACAGGACATCTTTGGGTAATAGTGTAACTCCTCATTGGCATATCTATCGATAAGTATACACTCACAGTCAACTGTAATGTCTTTTTAATATAATAAGATGATAATCCAGGCTCTAGTAACCAAAGATCTATAAAGCAAGAGCAATTTGGAGACGGCAGAATACTGTGAAGGAAAGTCATACCCCAATCCAACTACTATGACTGACTTTACGTGTCACGAACAGTAAGCCTTACTCAAGAGAACGACAAGTTGACTAGACTGTGCACTTCAGAGAAACATTTTCAACTTCCAAAACAATTGACGCAACCTTGGGCATGCGCAAAACCCTCCCAACAAATGATGTGAAGCAGGTGAAACCGCGGAGCGTATGGCAATCGAGTGCAGGGTAAGCCATTCTCAATGTGGCCAACACTCGCAAGCCTCACGACAGCCTCAACGATAAGATAACGGAAACCGACCGAGAACGGTTGATCAAAGATACGCAAATTATCACCGATAAAGAAGTCAGAAGTGGTCGATGTCGGTCAGAACTTTAACGAAGCGATAGTTTGCTTGACTCGTGGATCAGACTCTCGATTCCAAATCTTGTCTGTGCGATGTGCATGCTGTAGCTCAACTGTCAAGAAGCAGCCACATTCACGCCAGTTAGGAACTCACTTTACCAATCCGCGCACCCGACCTGCGATCCCCTCAGCTAAACTCGATCGAGATTCACAATTTCCCAGCTTGATCCTCCAATTTGTCCCAAATAGCGCATCTTCCAACCCCGCAATTCGGTAAAGCTTGCGTGTGACGTCTTTTTCCCTCCCGTCTAACTCTGGGGCCTCCTCGTGCGGGGTGCATTAGCCCCAGATGCCATGGCTTGCGAGCATCGCATTGCCGAAGGACAAGATGGATGGCACAGTCTAAGAATGTCATAGCGCTCTTTTGCTCGTTTCCTAATTCAGGACCACCTTCCGACGTGTCCCAAATTGATCATCGCAGCTCTAGTTTAGTTCCACTCGATGCCGAGGAAGTCCATCTTCACATTGCTGATGTCAACGAGGCCGTGATTCGTTTCATGTTTGCTTGTTTCATCGCAAGACAGATAACTAGACGAATTCTTGAAAACTGAAGTTTTTGGAAGATCATCACATCGTAAGTTCTTCATGAACGAGTTCTTTACTTGCTTTCGAAATCACTCATTCTCGTCAGTCAGTACACTCGATATCACAATGTCTTCTTCACCTGAGCCTGGCACTAGGGGAAACCTTACTCTTGAGCAAAAGAAGAGTCTCCAAGAGGCTTGGGTTCATATTCTCCGATTATGCGGAAATGAGAATATTGCCCACGATGCCCCAGACAACACGGACGAATACCTCCAACACCTCAAAAACAAGTCTTCCGATCATTTCTCACGGAATCTCTGGGAGACGATCATGGCTGATCATCCCGATACCGCGCTTCTCCGATTTCTTCGTGCGCGCGACTGGGATGTTAACAAGGCTGTTGACATGTTTGTCTCTGCTCTCAACTGGCGCGATGAGCGGCAAATTCAGAAGTCCATTGTCGGAGGCGGCGAAGCAATTGGTCTGAAGAAGTCGCTCACTGCTGATGAAGAGTCATTCATGGCGCAGTATCGCTCTGGCAAGAGCTACGTCAGAGGAACCGACAAGGACAACTATCCCATCTATGTCATCAGAGTCCGACTTCACGATCCTCACAAACAATCTGCAGAGGCCATGGAAGAATATGTCTTGCACAACATCGAGACACTGAGGATGATGGCAAGAGAGCCACAAGATAAGGTCTGCTTGATCTTTGATCTCACAAGCTTTGGACTTCGCAACATGGACTTTCATGTTGTGAAATTCCTCGTCGATATTCTTGAGAAGCGATACCCCGAAACCCTTGGGGTAGTGCTTGTCCACAATGCGCCATTCGTATTTTGGGGTAAACTTGACACTCTGTCACCTCTAACTCTATTTACATGCTAATCCTTTCCAGGTGTTTGGACCGTCATCAAGCACTGGCTTGACCCTGTCGTCGCATCAAAGGTCCACTTCACCAGCGGTACCAAGGGCCTTCTCAAGTTCATCTCCAAAGAGAACTTGCAGAAGTCATATGGTGGTGATGATCCTTGGGAGTACAAATATGTAGAGCCTGTTCCCTCTGAGAACGAGAGGATGCAGTCTGAGGAGAAGAAGACAAAGATACAGATTGAGCGACAGGAATTGATCGACTCGTTCAATCGGTTGACTGTTGATTGGATTGGCACAAATCCTGATACAGATGCTGGAAAGGAAACGCACGAGAGGCGAGATGAATTGGTTCAATTGCTACAGATGAACTATTGGAAGTTGGATCCGTATGTTAGATCTGGTACTTACTACCACCGAGCTGGAGTGGTCAATAGGGTTGGCGGTGTCGATTTCAAGGCAGCGCGATAATTAGTTTAGAGTGTTGTTCGTATTCAATTCCGTAGTAAGCTTGTTTTTTTCCGCACTGAACTTCAATTCAATTCTTGCCAAGATGTTTCCTCATCTAAACCTGTCAGTGCAATACCTTACTTGAAACGTTACGGCCCGACACTATCGACTGAACCCTCATCCCCACTGTCCGTGTCCATGCCGTAAAAATCCAAGAAATCATATCGCACTCTACCACCAAAGCCGTCCTCAGTTTTATTGTAACCAATCGGCCCCAGTACGCTCACGTCCTAGTGGTGCTGTTTAGCGTCTTCACTGTCTCAGTGCGCTTTGACCCGTGGCGCTCATCACCAACGGACCCAGCTGCGCTGTCTCCATCACCCCCATGGTGAACCTTAGAAGCTAGACTAGGAACCTTGTCCACGAGACTGTGCAAAAGGGCTGATAATGATGCAAAGCCTCGTGCCCAAAGTGCAATAGTTTGCGAGATGCAGGGGTGCTCACCACCTCTTTTCAAGAACAGCAGGGATCGTCACTGCTACCCCTCCAGCACCAATTTCCCTGCCGCGGTAACATCCATGGTTTCTGGGGTACAGCTGTGGAGAGCCTGCAACGTTCCCGAAAAGCAAATCCGTGTGTGATGACTGGCTGAGATAAAGAGCCTCCTTTAAACGAACCCTTGGCAGCCTGGTTATCTCTTCTCCCCCCTTCTCCCACTACAAGTCAAGCTGTGATAGTGAGACAGTTCAGTCAGTTTCCTTATCTCACCTTCTCTTTCAATTATCAAACTATGAGGTTCTCAACGGTGCTTCTGTCGGCTCTTGCGCCATTTAGTCTTGCGGCCCCTGAGCCAAAGACTGTTTCGGCACCGGAGCTCTCGGGCCAATTGGTCGAGCTTTTGGAGAAGCATAACCTCGCGCTTGTACCGCGATCAGAACTCACAGACGCATTAAAGGAATTGAATACACTTCTCAAGAGTGACAGATTTCCCCGCGCACCTGTTCTGATACGGCGACAAAATACTACTTCTGGTTCTGGCTCAAAATCTGGCGGCTCTAGCTCAGGGTCTGGATCAGATGATGACTCAGATTCAGATAGCGGCGGTTCAAGTCGCGTTGTCTCAATTCCTGGGTTGGATGGTCTTGGTGACCTTGGAGATGGCCTCAAGGGATTGACAGACGCCCTCGGCGAGTTGGGAGATCTCCTCAAAGCCCTCAAGGGTCTCCTATCAGCTGAGTTCCTCGATGCATTCCATGATGCCATGGTCTATCTCGCAGCAACATTGAAGCCACCCGCTCCCAACCAAATCAGAAGTCTCCTTGATAAAGCAGGGCCTTTGCTGGATCTCGTTGGCGAACTCAACCTCAAGGATCTTGTCGACCAGATCAAGGATGTCGATATCGCCGGTATCGTCTCCAAGGTTCTCAAGCTTCTCACCGACGACAACCTCAAGAACATCAACGGTCTTCTCACCAATGGCGCAGGTCTCTTGACACCAGATTTCGTCAAGCAGACCAAGGGCCTCATTGGAGATGTCTCGCCTCTTCTGGACGAGCTTTCTCCTCTTCTCAAGAAGCTCACCGGCCTTGACCTCGAGGGTATCCTATCAGCTCTGGACCCACTTCTCAAGAAGGAGTCTATCCAGGGCATTGTCACCCTACTCAAGAACGCCGGTGATCTTCTCACCGCCAAGACCGTCGACGAGATCCAGGGTCTTCTCGGTGAAGTCTCCCCCATCATCAAGGACATCGCCCCACTTCTCGAGCAGCTCACCAAGCTCAACCTTGAAGAAGTCCTCAAAGCGCTGCAGCCGCTCCTCAAGGACGATTCTATCAAGGGTATCTTGAGCTTGTTGAAGAATGCCGAGACTCTCTTGACACCCAAGTTTGTGGATCAGACGCAAGACCTCATTGGTGCCGCGTCGCCATTGATCGACAAGCTGAACGATGTCGATCTCAAGGGTGTTCTTGATGCCTTGAGCCCCATTCTCAAGAAGGAGGCTATCCAAGGACTTGTCGGACTGCTCAACAACGCAGAGGACCTGTTGACCAAGGATACCGTCAAGAACATCAAGACCCTTCTCACCGAGGCATCTCCTTTGATTGAGAAGCTCTCCGACATTGATCTCAAGGGAGTTCTGGACGCGCTGAGCCCCATCCTGAAGAAGGAGGCTATTCAGGGTCTTGTCGGCCTCCTGAATAACGCCGAGGACCTTTTGTCTAAGGAGACTGTCAAGAGTATCAAGACTCTGCTGTCACAAGCATCACCATTGATCGACAAGCTCTCGGATATCGATCTGAAGGGTGTCCTTGATGCCCTCAGCCCGATCCTGAAGAAGGAAGCCATTCAAGGCTTAGTTGGACTGTTGAACAATGCCGAAGATCTGTTGTCGAAGGAGACTGTGAAGAGCATCAAGACATTACTGTCTCAGGCATCACCTCTGATTGACAAGCTTGCCGACATCGACCTGAAGGGTCTTCTTGATGCCCTCAGCCCCATCTTGAAGAAGGAGGCCATCCAGAACCTTGTTGGGCTGCTCAATAACGCCGAGGATCTACTTTCCAAGGAGACAGTCAAGAGCATCAAGACCTTGTTATCTAGCGCTTCGCCTCTCATCGATAAGCTGTCTGATCTCGACTTGAAGGGCATTCTCGATGCACTTGGCCCTATTCTCAAGAAGGACGCCATCCAGGGTCTCGTTGGTCTTTTGAACAACGCTGAAGACTTGCTTGATAAGGAGACTGTGAAGAACATTAAGTCCCTCCTTACCAGCGCTGGTCCTCTCATCAACAGTCTGAAGAAGATCGACCTTGCAGGCGTTCTAGACGCTTTGGCACCTATCCTTACCAAGGACTCTATCAAGGGTATCGTTGGGTTGTTGGGCAACGCCGAGAGTCTTTTGACCAAGGACTTTGTGTCGGACACCAAGAAGCTCATCTCCAACGCCAGCCCGCTCTTGACTAGCCTCGGCAAGATTGATCTCAAGGGTCTTCTTGACGCGCTTGCACCACTACTCACTAAGGATTCGATCAAGGGTATTGTCGGTCTTTTGGGCAACGCTGAGAACCTGCTCACCAAGGACTTCGTCTCTCAAACCAAGTCTCTGATCTCCAAGGCTTCGCCTCTCCTTGACAGCCTGGATGATGCTGATCTCAAGGGTCTGCTTGATCAAGTCGGTCCTCTTCTCAAGGAGGTCGGCAAGCTCAAGCTTCAGGATATTCTCAGTGCCGTGGCACCTCTCCTTACCAAGGATTCCATCAATGGCATCGTTGGACTCCTCGACAACGCCGAGAACCTCCTTACCAAACAATTTGTCTCTCAGACCAAGTCGCTGATCGGAAAGGCCTCTCCTCTTCTTGACAGTCTCGACAAGGCGGATCTTGCAGGCTTACTCGACCAGGTCGGCCCTCTGCTCAAGGAAGTCGGCAAGCTTAAGCTTCAGGATATCTTGAGCGCCGTTCAGCCGCTGCTTACGAAGGACTCCATTAAGGGTATCGTTGGTCTGCTTGATAACGCCGAGAACCTTCTTACCAAGGATTTCGTTTCCCAGACCAAGTCTCTCATTTCCAAGGCTGGGCCACTCATCACTAGCGTGTCTAAGCTCAACCTTGAGGACTTGCTCGACCAAGTTGAACCACTGCTGAAGATGCTCGGCAAGCTTGATCTCGAGGGTATTCTCAGCGCTCTCGCGCCTCTTCTCACCAAGGACTCAATCAAGGGCATCGTGCGCCTAGTTGATAACGCTGAGGAGCTGTTGACATCGAAATTTGTCAACGAGACTCAGACGCTTATTTCTGGCGCTGTTCCCCTGATCTCCTCACTGGAAGACGCCGATCTGCCCGAATTGCTGGACCAGGTAGGTCCTCTGCTGAAAGAGATTGGCAAGATCGATCTTGTCAAACTCGTCAAGAAGCTCTCACCTCTTCTCGATGAGATCAGCGATTTGGACATTAAGGGTCTCTTCGACGCACTTGCACCGCTACTCTCACCAAAGGGTGTCAAGGGCATCATGGATCTCCTTGGCAACGCTGAGGACCTTCTTACTCCTAAGTTTGTCAACCAGACCCAAACACTTATTGGTGAAGCTGTACCCCTTGTGGAAGCGCTTGGTGACATCGATCTCAAGAAGCTCATCAAACAGCTACAGCCTCTTCTTGAAGCTCTCGGCGAGATCGACTTGGGAGATCTCATCAAGAAGGTCAAGCCACTTCTCAATGCTCTCATGAAGATTGATCTCGTCAAGCTAGTTAACAAGCTTCTACCCCTACTCGATACTCTGGATGACATTGACCTTGACGGCTTGCTCAAGGCTATCGAGCCTCTGCTTACGCCCAAGAGTATCAAGGGTATTGTCGGTCTCGTTGACAACGCAGAGGACCTTCTGACTGCCAAGTTCGTCAACCAGACACAAACCCTTATTTCGGGCGCAGTACCATTGATTGAGGTCTTGAACAAGATCGACCTTGAGGAGCTCTTTGAGATCATTGAACCTTTGCTCAAGGAGCTGGACGGTCTTGATCTCACTGGTCTTGTCGACGCTGCCAAACCTCTGCTCAATGCCCTCAAGAAGATTGACGTCAAGGGCATTGTAGATGCAGTGGTGCCATTCCTTAACCCCAAGACTATCAAGGGTCTTTTCGGCTTGGTTGGAAATGCTGAGGATCTACTTAACAAGAACTTCGTGAACCAAGTATCGGAACTCATTGGAGACGCGACACCGGTAAGTTAAACCTCACGATTCTACTATGGAGATGTACTAACTTCTGCTTCTAGCTTGTTGCGACTGTAGCAGACTTGGTACATGCGGTGCTCAAGGAGCTAATGGGACGGTCTTAATGTGATGACTGGGTTATGAACGTGGTTACGTGATGGGATGTTTTAATCATGTATTTAATGAGTTTGGATATTACGTATACGATACCCTATGAATGCACCTTCATGGTGCTGTAATGAAACTGTCTTTATCTGTATCTAAGTCCATCATTGACCGTGTATGCTTGCAAGATCTTACTATAGTCGTCCTGGCATAAGACAGGCGGATGATTTGCACATGGCAGAGTAGTACCCGTCGGCATACGCCACATTGCAACATTAAAGCGTCTTCCCTCTTTAGATCTCTTGCCTTGGACGATTCGCGATACCAGCGAGATTGAGCGAAAATACCACGCGGCTTTCCGATAAGTTCGTGACATGCATTCGCATACATTTCTGTTCTTGGCAAGCCTCTATCAGCGCAACAAGGTGCCATTTTGTCTCGGTATGTCTCGGTGAGACTCCGCTTCTTGCTTTTGTCGCGGTAGACAAGGCTACAGAATAACATGGGGGCGTGGTATGTCTGGAACCTGACTAGACGTGGGAGCCTGGCTCGTCGGTAACTTACTCGCAACCCTGTCCAAAACCGTTTCTTTCAGGCCTTCAATTCAAGCCCCCCGAGCTAAGTTCCCCAGAATCTTGACACATGCAAAGCATCTTTCTCGGCTTTCGGCTGAAGATCAAAGCTATGGGAACTATCGCAAACTAGACTAATTGGGGTCTTGACAAACCTGTTCAATGCACACACTTTACTCTGCAGAGCAAATGAGGGGAAATGATCATGTGCCGGATCTTATGCCCATCACTTATCAGATTCGAGTCTGGCTCGTATTTACACCCTGGCACCCCTGGTCCTTTAGTGCTATACCCCGCTTGCTGATCAGAATTTCCAGGACGGCACCAGCTGGGATGGGCCTGGTTAGTGCATTCGATAGTTTGGCGTACCCTGGTATAACTTTAGAGGCTCGTCTTTCGCGCTTGGATGACCAAATTCAGGGCAGGTCTTGGCCTAAGACCCTCGCTGTTCTGCCTTAAGTCTGAGCCTTCTGTGGAGCATCTCATTCCTTCTCTGAGGTATTGGCGATTATTGCAATTGTTTGCTGTCAATTGTGTTGTCAGTCAATTACAATGGCTTCTGAGAGAGAACCTACAGCGGCGGGCGCTGATACTGCTGCGCCTGCAGAGACGACAAATGCTGCTGGCGAACAGAACGCTCCAGCTGCCGATGCTGCGAGCAACGACGCCTCTTCCGACGACCATGTTCGCGATGAGAAAGTCGCTCCAGGTCCAACCAAATGGCAAAAAGTGAAGAGTCATTTCTGGCGATTCAAATGGTGGTATCTATTGGCCATCGCCATCCTTCTCGCGATTTTACTGCCACTACTGTAAGTCTCGTCCCATCAGTTGAGTACCTCTTCTGACAATGCATCAGCTTCACTGTCATCATTCCTGCAATCGTCCAAGACATCCTCAACGACCAGAAGCTCCCCATCTATGGTGGCGCTTTACAGGTCATATCTCCAACCGAAGTGAACATGAGTATCGAGACACAGTTAAAAACACCAATCGCTGCGACTCTCAAGCCCGTGGATCTCTTCCTCTACAGCAAGGAGACGAAGCCAATGTCATCATTCTTTAAACTTCAATTTCCGGAAACACACATTCACAGTCACACCAATATCACCATCACCAATCAGACGCTCCTGGTAACAAATGAGACTGAGCTGACGAAGTGGTTCAATGTCTTTTTCGACAAACCCGACGCCGAACTGTCGTTGGAGGGAAAGCCTGAGATTAAGCTTGGTTCTTTGAAGTATCACCGTAGTCTGAAAAAGACTGTTGACATTGCTTCACTCAACTACCTTGACGGCTTTGCGCTCAAGAGCCTAGACTTTGATCTGAATGCCAATCGGACATCAAAGAACAACATGAAGGGAATGCTAAACATCCCCAACTCTGGAGTCCTTCGACTTGGACTAGGCAACCTGACATTCAACGTCATGTCCGGAGACATACGTCTAGGCCTAATCAACCTATGGGATCTACAGCTGTGGCCAGGGAACAACTCCGTACCGTTTGACGGCAATTTCTACTTCGATCAGCTGGTTCCCAACCTCTCCGAGATCCTCGATATGCAGAAAGGACCTCTTGGCAACGGCTACCTGGAGTTCAACGCAACAGGAAACACCACCATTGCTGGTGGTGAGCACATCAAGTACATAGAAGGAGTGTTGAACTACAAGCATATCAGGTTCACCTTCCCGGTGATCACACTGCTGGGTGATGTCCTTGGTGGCTTGTTGGACGCCAACCAAGGCTCTCTTCTGGATATATTTGGTACTTCGATTGGAAATTCGACGTTGCTTGAACACGTACTGGGACACTGGGATAACAATGGCCAAGGAGCGTCATCTAATAATACTGCAAGGAGTTTGATGGAGAGGAGTAAGACCAGAGCACCCAAGGCCTGGATGTGGAGTCTTCTCAAATTGGGATTAACGAGAAAGAGCTTATGAACATGATAATGGAGTCTTGGTTTTTAATGTCACCTGATGTCTCTTATTGAATGACTTCTTGTTCAGACCATGATTATCGCATAGAGACCACGAGATTGTAGACATTGAATCCGAGTGTAGTACTTGTGCATAGCTTCTCAGCCAAGCAGCTGATAATCGCAGGCTCCCATAATGCCGCAGCGTTCAAGCAGAACGATCTCTGTTTGCATTCAGCTTCCATGCTTCTTGTTCCCTTTTTATTCTTTTTATTGTCCAAAAGCTTGATTGTATCACCATCAAGCTTTCGCTGGCACATCCTTCGTTGTAACAACCTTTTTCACGAAAACCGCAAGTTCATCAAGGTATCGCACATTCGCTGCCTCGAGTTGTTTCGATACCCATGAGAGCTTCATTGCATATGCTGCAAGGCCACCCATAGACTCCTAATTCTTAACTTTATATGCATCTGGTCTCCCTGGAGTGATAATTTGGACTCGCTCAATGGTTGTAGCCCACCAGGGTAGATACTTGCTCTTCCACGCCAGCTTACATTGTCCCTCTCCGTAGCTCAATTCCCATATCTGTATATTCGTCAGTTGGCGCTCATAATTGATCTTCATACACACGAATACTACCTCAATTGGGATTTTCATGATGTCGCCGCCGCTGTCGGTCAGAGTTTCCAGAATCCCATTGGCTCCTAGCTCTATCGCATCTAAAGCCTCATTGTCGGTGAATGTGAGTCTGGGAGTCCAAGTGTTCCACTCGCTGTATCTACTGAAACCAACGATGGCATTAAAAACTTCTTTTGCGGGCGAATCAATCACGATAGTGCTTCCGGCGGTGAAGATAACACGACCTGTACCCAGGGATGGGGTTGCTGTCGGGGTTGTCCACCCAACTGCATGTGGTGTTTCCATACTCAGAACAAACGTTGTAGAGTCAGCAAAACAGAGGATCAATTAACATGATAAGAGAAGAATGTAAGAAATTAGAAACAGATTCGTGCCGCTCTCTGTATCGCAGTTCGATGTCTCACACGTGACGTCAGAAACTCCAATATTATCTTAAGACTAACCGAGTCAAGGCATTCAGATGGTTAGCCCGGTTTAAACATTCCTCAGTAGCCTTGTTTCCTTTTCGCAAGATGAGAGAGATCTAAATCTTTTGATTATACGAAAGTGCTTTACGGTCATGATAATCGTGACACGAAAAGTAGAACATGTGAAGGCTTCAAGCTAGCATAGTACGAAAGATCATTCATTTGTTCTTAGGTTCTCCGTCAAGTGACTTCTCAATGCTGTTCGAAGCTTGGGCAATCTTCTGTAGGTACCATGGATTTCTTCTATATCAATACAACACTATTGAACTCCGGCTCGAGGATTGAAGATCTGTCTCGAACCTATAGCTGTGCCGAGGAAGCCCTCCAACCTCTCAGTGATGCGCCGTAGGAAGTCATGAGCGCTGTGTATAACCCCTGAAGAGCATACCCCATCACGGAGATATTGCTCACGGACTTACTGATCCTTGGGGTTAGGGTTTGACGGCGGAGTCCTCTTGAGAGTGATGACGACCTTATCGTCAGATTGACCAGCATCTGAAGCATTCCACCCAATGGCATAAACACCCTCGATCTCTGACGGCGTGGCATACCAAAGTGAGGCCATCTGTCCGTTTTCTTCGACCATGACAAAAGTTCCATAGAACATCAGATCCGATACGTAATTGTCGGCATCGGCCGTACTGTTGATCAGTTTGACGCTATGAGAGGACGAGGATGGCCCAGGGACGGCAAAGGTGTAGTTGGACCAGGTCGGATCACGTCCTTTGGCAAAGCCGGTCGTGTTTGGAGAGGCATGCCATGCATCATCTCCCTCGGTAACTGAGTCGTGTCAATGAAAGTCAAGTTGGAAAGTAGCGTTACTTACACTGAACCGGAGCGGCCTCGGAGTCGTCGACTTGGCTGAAGTTGCCAACAAAGACTTCATCTGGGGGTTTTCATTAGCATGTTCATGGAACAATGGGCAAACAACATACCGCCGGAGGAAAAGATCGGAAGACCACCAACTCCAGGTCCATAAGCATAAAGAGAAAAGGGACCAGTGTTGCTAGCTGCAGTAGCAGCAGTCGCCAAGATCGACGCTGCGAAAGTGGTGAGTCCAAGTTTGTGCATCTTTCTGAGTACTGTATCGCCGATATGGTGGAGAAAGATGGGGCAACTAGCCAGATTATAAGAACAAAGATGCCTTATCTAAAGACTTATAAGATGTCGTGGCTCTAACCCACATGACGAGCCCCATTGAGTACGTAGTCTATATAAAGGATTGATTATAGATATTTCAAGGTCTTAATGCCGACGAAACGCTGACGCGGATACGGGACGAGCCACAACCCTTGCCATCCCTACCTACTCCCAACGGACCAACCCGCGCCGATGCAACGATAATTTTGTCCTTCAGCCAATCCTATTTATTCTTCGGCATTTCTCATCTACTCGGAAGACTCCTCTGCTTATAAAGTTCTATTTAAGTCTATGCGGATATTACGGAATGTGGGTAGCCGGGGGGCTGTAATCTTCCGTGATCGTCCCGGCACTTGTGAAACGCCCAGTGGCTTCATTCCCCAGAGTGACGACGACTCGTTTCAATACTAGGAGTTCGTTATACGAGATATTAGTTCACAAAATGATAGGTCTCTTTTACGATGGGCTTGTGAGCTTCCTAAACGGACAACTCGAGGTTTGGATTGAAGTATTTAAGAACAGCCTGTAGGAGAATAGCAAAAGCCAAAAACAAATCAAACCATTCGAAATTCATTGATATCTTCTTTATCATCACCATTCTGTGTCTCTGAAGTCCTTGGTTGAGATTCAGCTAGTGTCGGTAGAAATGAAGCTCTTGCAATTTCTCCCGGCTGGCATTCTCTGCCTCAGCCAAGTTTACGCTCGAAGCCCTCTTCACCAGCTGAACCGCCGCTCTTGTAGCGGAAACACTGCTTCTACTCGCTCAGAGTGGTGCGACTACTCCATTGACACGGACTACAGCACTGAAGCTGTAGATACCGGCGTTACTCGTGAGTACTGGCTAGAGCTGACAGATGTTACTGTTGCTCCTGATGGCTACTCTCGTTCGGCCATGGCTGTCAATGGTAGCATTCCCGGACCTACGCTTTTTGCTGACTGGGGTGACACTGTTGTCATTCACGTTACCAATTCTCTCAGTACGTCTCTGAATGGTACAAGCATGCACTGGCATGGTATTCGTCAGAACTACACAAACCAGTATGACGGCGTCTCTTCCATCACCCAGTGTCCTCTTGCAGTTGGGGAGTCGGTGACTTATACCTGGAAGGCTACCCAGTATGGCTCGACTTGGTACCACTCCCATTGGGCTCTGCAGGCGTGGCAAGGCATCTTCGGCGGTATCATCATCAACGGACCCGCCACGGCAGACTACGATGAGGATCTTGGCATGGTGTTTCTCAATGATTGGGACCATCAGACCGTTGATGAGCTGTATAGTTCAGCTGAGACCAGTGGACCTCCAACTTTGGACAACGGACTCATCAACGGCACAAACGTCTTTGGGGACGATGATAGCTCGTCTCAGACTGGCACTCGGTTCAATGTCTCTTTTGAGTCTGGCACGTCCTACCGTATGAGACTTGTCAATGCAGCAGTTGACACTCACTGGAAGTTCTCGATTGACAATCATACCTTGACTGTGATCGCAGCAGACCTTGTCCCCATCGAGCCATTTCAAACCACGGTTCTGGACTTGGGCATGGGTAAGTCTGTTCTTAATTCATCCTCTTGGAATTCACTAACCTCCATAGGCCAACGCTACGATATTGTAGTCACCGCAGATCAAGCTGATGTCGCCGATAATTTCTGGATGCGCGCCATCCCACAAGCCGCCTGCTCCGATAACGACTCCACCGACAACATTAAAGGCATTGTCTACTATGGAGACAGCCCCAGTACGCCGTCCACTACTGCCTACGACTACACGGACGGTTGCGATGACGAGACGGATAACATTGTACCATACATATCCAAGACAGTTGAAGATGCCAACTGGAATGATCTTGAGACTGCGACAGTCGGCAGGAACACAGCTGGTCTGTTCAAATGGATGCTCAACAGCACGAGTATGCTGGTAGACTGGGCGAACCCTACACTGGCTCAAGTCCTCAATGATACAACGGACTTTGAGACTGATGATGCAGTGATTGAACTCAGTGAGGCAAGCCAATGGGTTTACTTCGTGATTGAGACGACTCTAGCTGTCCCTCATCCCATTCATCTTCACGGACATGACTTCTTCATCTTGGCTCAAGGAACGGGTACTTACTCGTCTTCCATCACCCTGAACACAGATAACCCTCCTCGACGAGACACGGCTATGCTACCAGCTAACGGATATCTGGTCATGGCTTGGGAGACTGACAATCCGGGCGTTTGGTTATGCCACTGTCATATTGGTAAGTCAAGGAGGCACTGGATTTGGAGCATTACTGACATCGTGAAACTGTAGGTTGGCATACATCTGAGGGATTTGCGTTGCAGTTCCTCGAGCGTGCAAGTGAGATTGCCAACATCTCTACATCGAGCTATGTTTCGGATGTTTGCGACGGTTGGAGTACTTTCCAGAGTGAGTCATCGATTGAGCAGGAGGATTCTGGCGTTTAATACTATAATCATCTTCATTGTATGGAACCGTTCCTTGTTGACTGAAACTGGGAGGCATATTACTTGTTGTTCTGTGGTTATATGTACTTTTATTACTGGTGGACGTCGCCAACCATGGCCACTATAGCAAACGATCTATTCCAGCCTCATCAACCTTCAGCACCGTCCAATCCTCCATTCGCTTAGCCCCAAGCTTCCCGTAGAATCTCAGCGCCCTCGCGTTATCCTTTAGGCAGAGCCATTCCATCTTTACGCAACCCGCTTCCTTAGCCGCTGATGTCATAGCTTCGACCAGCTTCAGCGCGTAGCCGTGAGGTCGGTATTCTGGGACGACATAAATCTCCTCCATGCAAACTCCAGGAGCGGCTCCCCATGTTGTATAGTTGAAGAAATAGATCAATAGTCCAGCGGGCTTCCCATCTGGCGAGAAGGCCACAATGGGATGTCCGATACGGTACTCGGGAGAGTCCTTGATGTCTGACAAGTGGAGTGTCTTCGCGAGGCGCTCTTCCGTTGCAGTGACGACGGTTCCATGGGCTTGCTCCTCTGCGCCAGCACGGGTTAAGCTTAAGATAGTAGGGATATCTACAATGAGATTTAGTAAAAGGATTAAAGGTTGTCTTTTCACGAGATACCTGCAGAGGACGCTGGGCGGATTTCGGGTGAGGGGGCCATATTGAACAACGAATCTTCAATGTTGGCAGAGATACTCAGTGTCATTGGTATTACGAGAAGATCTGGAATCGTAAAACCGTTGAAACTTTTTAGGACTCCGTCTTCTTTATACTAATCTTCTCATGACAGTAGCTCCACGCCCTATCCATGACAGGTGGAGTTTACGGTGCTTTGCCTGCGGGGCTAAATGACTCAGCTTGACAAGCGGATGACTTTTCAGATCCTCTTTATGACTGAAGGATCCGAGCATCACACAGATTGTCCACTTAATACAGTATTCTGTGGCTAGCGTTCTCAACGATGTCCACGGCGACAGAATTACTAATTGATAGAAACAAGCCCGACATCGGTATTATGTACAAGACGCACTGACAAGGCATTATAAGACAATGACAACCCTGAAAAATGCTGCCCTTTGGATCGAAGAGAATTGAACCGCGACTAACCATGAATCCGAATTAGAAGGCCAGTAACATTAAACCATGGAAACAAATTGAATCTGTATTTTCATGCAAAGAGCAAGTTCAGTGTGACTTTCTTTATTCTGGCTGCCGCCAGCCTGTCACCAAAAACATTAAACTAGATTCCGGAGGCTGAACGACTTTATCAAGGTTGATATATTAACAGGCTTGACATGGTTTGGGTAAACCTTATCAGTATGAGCAACATAGATAAAGGCAACCCATCAAACATAACACCTTATTCCATGTATACTCTCAAGCACCATAATCACTAGCCTGGTTCTTGTGACGAGACATCGCGAGTTCCTAGCTACAGGAACTAACTTAGGCGACAGACCTGATAAAGTTACCTTGGCAGGTCGCATTTCTATCCCTCTTAATTGTCTATTTTGGCTTTTGTGTGAGTCGTTAGAATACTTTGTAGTCAAAAGCTTAAAACTTCCTTAGCCAGTGATGTCATTCTGTTTGTCTCAAGCAGTTTGCCGTCTGGGTCTCGACCATTCGTCTGCTCAGTTACAACCTTCGGTTTACCGGGTACTTGACTTTTGTAAACCCGTGTTATGCCCAATGCAACCAATCAATATCAAGACTTTGTATGAAAAACCTTTGATATCATTTTACGACATTCCAGGACCATAAAAGCTGTTAGATCCTTTTTCCTTAGCCGATATCCAAGCTATTTCTTTGGTCTTCACTATAGAAATCACTCATTTTTCTTTCGCTCCTCGCGTTGCTCAAACGGAGCGGGAGGCCAGCGCCCTTGCACAAACGTATGTTAACATCTAATCGATGTAAAGGTCACTACTTGCTAACCTAGCTCAGTTGGTAAAAATGAACTCGGCGACTCCCCTGTTGTCCACCAATCGATGGTCAACGTCTTACACCAAGTTTCCTCCTCTGGTTCTCAGAAATGACAGGAGGCGCAGAGGCACGAAGACAAGCTTGCGAACCAAGATACAAATTCCCCTGCTGTGCTACGCGCGTTTGATGGTGACGATGGCATACTTCTCTATCTTCCCATACGTAGCCCAGATGGTACAGTACAATGGCAGTCCACGCGAGACTGATATCGGCTTACACGCAGGTTTCTTTGAATCACTCTTCTTGGGGGGACAAGCCTTGACATCGATATTCTGGGGCACCTTGGCAGATAGGTTTGGTGCCAAGACCATGCTTATATGCATCCTTCTTGGCACGACTATCGGTTCGTTGCTCTTCGGATTTACTTCGTCGCTCTGGCAGATGGCGCTTTGTCGATGCTTCATGGGAATTGTATCAGGCGGCGACGTCGTCATCAGCGCCATAATCGGAAAACGATGTCAGACGGGAACAGAGGCTACTCGCGGATTCAGCTTGTCTTCCTTTGCTGGAAATATTGGAATGGCCTTTGGACTTCTGATTGATCACGCTCTTATCAACCATGTGAGCCAATACTCGACCATCCTCAAAACTGTCAGTTTGTTTGAGCAACATCCGTTTTGTCTTCCTGGAATCGCGATGTGTGTCATGAGTGCAACTTGCGCCATTGTAGTTACACTCTTCGTGGAGGATGTCGAAGAAAAGGCCAACGGAGTCGCGAACGACCCTTCCTCTACGAGCTCTCTGCTACCAGCCTGGACATTCCTCCGTGAGCTGGTCAGGTCCCGTGGTGTCAGTAACACACTTTCGTCGTTTGTTCATATCAGCTTGTTTGGATCTGCCTTCACGGCTGTGGCAGCTCTCGCGCTCTACACAGATATTAGACAAGGCGGCCTGGAATTCCCGGGTCACGAAATCACGCTGTACATGGTCTTTCAGGGCGCTGCCGCGGCGTGCTGGCTGTTCTTGATATACCCAGCGTTGTACCGACTTTTTGGTACACAGAACATTATCTCATCAGGCCCAGTTCCTTTTCCTTTCTTCCTTTTGAGTTTCATCATCATGAACGCATTTCTTTGCCCTAGTAGCGAAGCTGGTTTCTTCATCTTTCGGGTCGTCTTGGGCGTGATGACATTCATGGGGCCTGGCATCTATATGATAGTTACGGCAGTCCACGTTGGCTTGCAAGAAGTATCGCCCAGTCCTCGAAAGCTTTGCTTGCTCAATGGAGTCGCAGAAGCGGCTTCGTGTCTTGTACGAGTGATAGTCTTAGCGATAGGCATTGTGATTCATACCTTTTGTAATTATCAGAGTATGCCGGGAGGGTACCTCAACTGGGTTATCTCATTACTGATTGGGTTGTCTTTGGCTGTATTGATATGTCCTCCTCGGATGCGACTCATCCGAGGTTAAAGGAAGCGCGAATCACAGGAGTTCGCAGCTACGTAACATCTATCTTTAATTAATCAACATTTTCCTTTTTCCAGCTAGTTTTAGATTACAGAAACAGCGTTCATCATCCGCATGGCATGGGTGGCGGCATCTGACTTCCGTGATCTTTGGTCGTAACAGAACTGCTAGTGAATTGGGACGACTGACCATAATATACGTCTTCAACAAGGCCTTCTTGGTCAATATACGTTCATTTTGTAATTTAAATAAGCTTTAGTTCTCAAGGAGGTAACTTCCGTAACTTCCAAACAACATGCCAGGTGTCAATATTCTGTAACTCTCATGCCAGCGTTGCATTATCGTTGATCCTTCTGAACCTGACTACGCATCTCAATCCTCTCGGCACCGCGTCATGAGTGCTACACTGCCTCATGGACGCAGCATCGGTCTCCAATGTTGCTAGGCTCTCATGCTCAAGATACAAACTCCCTATAAGCATCTTGAGCTCCATAGTAGCCAAAGCCTTTCCCAAACAGATTCTGCCACCATATCCAAAAGGAATCAACTGTGCATCAAGAGTCTTGCGCTTCTCCTCACTTCCATCAAGCCATCTTTCTGGAAGAAAGCTACATGGCTCGGGGTAGACGTCTTCATCATAGTGCAATGCCAGAACTGAAGACGTGACAATGGTATTCTCTGTGACAGAGACTCCTACCAGTGTGCGGCCTCCTAAAGGCACTACCCTCTCATTCGTCCCACTTGAAGATGGATGCACTCGGTACACCTCACGGAGACACGCTTCAAGCGACGGAGCCCGAGTATCGACGGCTGTGATGGACAGAGATCCATCATCTTGCTTCGGCAAGGCAGATAGGTCTTGACGTATCTTTTGCTGCCATTTCAAAACCTCAGTGAGTTTCCAAATGAGATATGTCGCCGTCACTACAATAGTAGCTTCGACAGCGTCGATATTGTCGAGGACCTCTGCCGCCATGTAAGGCACATCGATAGACCCATCGTTTGCATCGTCCTCTTTGAGTTCACAAAGATGACGTACCAAAGAGTGGGGTTCATTTAACTGGGGATCTTTGAGAGTAGCAAGGAACTTCTTCTCACACCAAGTTGGGAATTCATCATCAGCTGCTAGATATTCGAACCGAGAGCTAACCCTCTGCAATAGATAAGGAGCATAGTTGTACAGCCAAGGGCACCTGTAACGAAAGGGGCCGGTCAACTGTTGATACTTTAACCCCTCAAGGATCCCACGTTCGGTGCATGTCTGGTCCACCGAATGAGTTGCGTGATTGGGTCCGAAAACCAAGAAGGTTATGTTGTCCAATGCGTACCATGACGTAAGGCTGAAAGAATCAACATCTTGGCCGTCCCGTACCTGGTCCAGCACAGCTAGAGAGCGAGACTTGACATGCTCCTCAATCTCGGGAAGCTTGTATATAGCTTTTGCTTGATAGAACGACGATATATACTTGCGATTCATTCGATGTTCCCCATAGGGCATAGTAGCAAATATAGAACGCTTGCCGTACCCCATGAAGTGGTCAAAGTATTCGCTCTTGGCCCAACGATCCTTTGTTCCATAGATCTGTTTGGTGGCTTCCAGATCAGCCACTGAGACCTCGTCCGGTGCAATTTTGACCACAGGCCCGTACTTCTTGTGCAAGGCGAGAATAATGTCGTTTCGACGGCATATGATTTCATATATACTCAGTGGAATGTTGGAAATCTTGCAATACCATGGACCTGGGACATGACGAAGGCTGCCGCTATAGAGAGGATACACGAGCTATATATATATATCAGAACGGTGAAGGCAACGGCGAGGGTGATGCACAGCGCCTGAACGGTGACGCGATAGAATGGGGTATGTTGGAGTGAGAAGGGCATTGTATATCCCGTTTCCTGATGGCGGTGGATGAAAAAGAAGGACAATGGTCTCAAGCTGCAATAATCACTTGCTCAAGGACTATTTAACTCGGTTTAGCATTCACTCATAACCTTTTACTGTCTATTTATCCCATATCTCTGATATTCATAGACCATTTTCTCGGAGTATTAAAATGATGCATGATGTCGCACTGCACCACGGTATGACCCTGATTGTTGCACGAACAATTTTGCATAACATGAACAAACATCCAACGTATTACTCGGCATCTCTTCCCCTCAATTGTGATACATTGCACAGGCATCTTAGTATTCTTGTTAGTCACTTGTAAGACCTACAACGATAATCCAGGCTAGTTCTCGTAGTGTTCGGGTTCCGTCCTCATGTCCGTACAGCGAATTCAACTGGGGAGCCGTTTCAGGGAGATCAAAGTCTCTTATCCCAACATGCTCCGTAGAGTCTCATTACTCAAAGAACAGAATGACCGTAGCAATTTTGCTACATCAAAAGAAGGTCATCGTTATCTAGGCATGAATGCGCACAGCTGGAGGTGGATGGCATGCGTTTAGGGACGAACGCCTGATGTAATCTTTACAATACCTTTATGCTTTAGGCCAAGCACCTAAACTAAGATCTGTGCAACGTAAACGGTCGTGTTGTCTCATCATCGAGGGAAGATTGCTCTTCAATTGGTGCAAATGTCACCAAGGTCGAACTGAGGCTAGTGACACCAATGAGGTACAGATTTGTGATGTTATTACCTATCCCTTGTCCCCCACGCTTTCGTCTCGCTCTCCTATGCGCTATCAAGAGTCTAGGCAGACTAGCATGCAAGTAGACCTCCGTCTATTACGGCCATTTCATTCTTTCTTGAGTTATACCAATTGATCATGTTAGGTGAGTGCCATCCTACGGCGTTTGATGCAATGTCGCCTTCGTGAAGTACGCTGAGAACTTTTCGTTTGCAGTTGGCACATTCTAGCGAAATGGGACCGAGTATATCTTATGACTCACATTTCCAATCAGCTATACTTTAGCTAAAACCCATTATCTTACTGCTACCTCCCATTGACAGTCCACGAAGAATTCCATGTCTTTGCCATTCTTTATGCACCATTGGCGCTGTGAGCTCCGTTGCTGCCATTGCGTATCTCAAGAATATGTTCATCAGAATCGTCACTCGGCCTGCGAACTCCCCTCAATGTCACCTTCGTCTCTTCCCACTGCTCGAATCGTCTATAAGCGATTGGAGCCTCCTCCAAGCTATACTCGTTTGAGAAAATGAAACCAGGCCTTGCCCGTCCACTTTTGACAAGCTCTACTAGAGCCTTGATGTTCCCTTTGATGTCCACAAGCCCACCTTGGATACGAATTCCCTTGATCCAGGCCTCAGCTACCGGAAACTTGATCTCGGCCTTCAAGTCAGGCTTATGAACTATTCCTTTGCCGCCAAATTCGCTAACCAATGCGGTGATGTGCACTCCAATGATGCCAACACCGCCACCAGAGGTAGTGATCTTGACGGCTTCACGAAGGATATAGTCCTGCTGGGGCTTGAGATCATCATTGAGGCAGACTTCACCCACGGCGTCAATAGCTCGAGTAACTCCCTGAGGGCGTAAAGCAAGGATCTGATCAGATGCCTTGCCTCCACGGGTAAAGTTGATGGGCTGCGCACCAATGGAAGCGGCTTTGGCGAGACGCGAGGCAACATGGTCAATCACATAGACATGAGAGGCCCCGCGAATTATGGCACTGTATGCAGTCATAAGTCCAATAGCTCCAGCACCGAAGACAGCGACAGTATCGCCAGCTTCAAAGCCAGAGAAGTTGAGAGCGGTCCAGCCAGTGGGGAAGGCATCTGTGAGAGGCAGCCATTCCTTATCGTCAAGCTTATCGGGGAGCTTTGCCATTGATGAATCAGCCCATGGAATACGAGCATACTCAGCTATCCACAAATGTCAGATGCATGAATACAAAGGTAAACAAAGGAAGAGATCTCACTTTGTAGCCCAGTATCGCCATGGAACATTCCACCAAGGCCAAGGCCAATAATAGGCTGATCCGTCACGAGCATTGAAGGCTTGGGTAGTAGGTTTCCATCCTCGGCGAAGGCCAGAATGAGAACTCGATCGCCGGGTTTGAAGAAGTCCACGGCTGGGCCGACTTCTTCGACAATGCCAACGGCCTCATGACCGACGCCAAATTTTTCTTCGGTGCCGAAAAGACCATGGTATATATGAAGATCAGAACCACAGATAGCGGAAGTGGTGATACGCACGACTGCATCTTCTGGTTCGATGAGCTTAGGGCGTGGGATGATGTTGACAGACATGTCACGGACGTTGCCCTCCCACTGGACAGCACGCATGAAGCCCGTCTTCGAAGAACTATCCATATTGAAAAATAGTGATTTAAAACGCCACGGAAATGAACTATGCAAGGAATCTTTGCTTAAAGCTTGCTCTCCTGCTATTCAGTGGGTAGACGTAGCAATTTATACCAACAAATTCTAGCCAACATCAATTCGGGTCGTTTGCTGAAAACAGAAAATGACGTGATATGGAAGAATTTTATAAGTCACAAGATGTTAAGCTTAGATGAGATATGTAAGAAATGTTACCCTTGGGAATGCTTTAGGATAATGCATAGTAAGCAGAATGAACTTGTGATGGGAACCGTCAGCGCCCAGCCTCACCATGTAAGATTGGTCTGGGCAATACGAGGCTACGTTCCTGAGCGTGACCAATGGCAAGGAACAATATGAGACTAGCATTTCTTTATTGCCTGTTTATAGATATTACAGGTCTATGATGACCGGTTTGGAGATATGATTGGGTTGAGGAAAGATGCGGTCCTTACTCTGACGCATGATACGCTGCCAACTAACATTCCCATGTCATAAGCAAGGCTTTAGAATATTTTGTTATTAAGACCCTAAATATTGCTTTAAAAAGACCTATCGTCGCCAAATCTTGATAGGCAGCTTTCCCATGATCAGGTTGAAAGCCTCAAACCTCTCAACCTTAAAATCCTTAGTCGGCATAGCAAAGTCATAACGATGCACCAAAGTAGCCAATACAATCTGCTGCTCCAAATACGAGATGTTTCGTCCGATACACCCTCTCGCGCCCGCTGAAAATGGGATGAAGAATGGTTCCATTCTCTTACGTTCTTCCAGATTAAGCCACCGTTCTGGCTTGAAGACATATGGCTCAGGATAAATATCCTCGTTGTGATGAGCACTCCAGATAGTCATTGACACCGACGTATCGCCTGGGATCCATGTGTCCATGATTTTTGCGCCTTCAGGTGGTGTACGTCGTGGAAGACCTGAGCTGACGGGAGGAATGAGGCGAAGGCCTTCATCAAGACAGGCTTTGAGATATGGGAGGTCTTTGACTTTGTCGAATGGCGCGATGATATCGTCTTCATCCATAACAGCAGCAACTTCCTCCCTCAACTTCTGCATCTGCTTGGGATGGCTGATCAAAAGTTGAAGAATATGCGTCAGGGCAATAGCTGTAGTCTCGGCTCCGCCATCAATGATAGCAGAGGTTTCAGCAACAATCTCTCCCCACTCAAGTTCATTAGGAACGCCGTTCTTATTAACCATAAGACATGAGAAGAAGTCATCGAGTTTCTCCCCAGCTTCATATCTCCTCAATCTTTCTTTAGCTTGGTGGTAGCAAATGTCGCCCCATGGTGCACTGGTGGCCCAGTAGCTCTTCCACTTGTTGGGGACAACTTTCGAGATACGGGCTAGCCATGGGTAGAGTTCATACTCCCAGACGAATACTGACTTGACCATGGCTGCGGCGTTCTGGGCTTGGCGGTATCGTGCGGGATAGAGTGTTCCGTCGGGCTTTTCAGCAATGACTTCATCGGTACCGGTCTCGAGAAGAGTCATCTTTGATGAGAGAGCGATGTAGTTGATTGCTTCGATGGTCCAAAGATTGATCCAGTGATTGAAGTCAATTGTGAGATCTTCAGGGTCGGGATTAGTGTTTGGCTTGAGAGGTCCCGTGCATCGTTGATCAAAAGCATCGAGCAGACGTTGAGTGGTATACTGCACTTTGAACTCCCATTTCTCAAGGTTCCTTGTCGCAAAGGCAGCAGATAAAAGCCTTCGCTTTCTACTATGATCGCCCTTGTCAACAACATCGAACAAGTTGCGATGCGTTCCGGCCAGGACTGTCTCCTTATGATCTTTCGTGCACTTTGTCTGATGACCGTAAATGTCTCGGACGGCCTGTGGATGGCTGAATGACAATGCGTTGGGTCCGATTCTGAGAATGTGCTGGCCACGGCGATCATGCTCAGCAGCGAGTGTCTCGGATCGAGTGCCCGTGTGACTGAGATAGCAGTGACGCAGATCCGTCAATGGTGAAAGCCATGAGAAGTTTGCGTACTTTCTGAGTCCCTTAGGATCGAGGAAGTACAGGATGACGGGGTAGATGAAAAGACGAATCAATAGGGCTGCAAGGCCGGCCCCAAGGAGAATAAAGCCAATCATGATTGCGATAGCATTCACGATGAAGATGAGTTGATCGATCTCGAATTCATGAGGAGTCGGATCTTATATCTCGAGCTTTCAACACAGAGGGTCAAATAGTACGGCGACAACACCGATGCATAACTAAGATGTGCACCAATGAACTGTCACTTCGTTCTCCATGTTCAGCAGAATTTGATATCTATTGTTAGATAAAATGCCCGCGGGATTCACATTTCGGCGAAACACTTCCTAATTGAGGCGGCAGCTTGAGGAGTAAATTTCCGTTCTTGGTAATGGTGAAAACAGTGGGATCGCGGGGTTGCGGGGAAGATGTGCCCTGGCATGACATCAATCGTGGGCCAGGAACAGTAATTGATTCCGCGGACAACAAAGCATGATCTCAGTGGTCAAAGAAGCGAGTACCAACTCTCAATTATGCGTGCTTATCATCCTATGCAGTATGGAAAGTTCTACTCATCCCTCGTCTGTACCTCAAATAACTGCGGCAGCAAACCCGACAGCATGTCATCTAAGCTCTGCCACTTGATTCCCAATGCCTTCTCAGTTTCACTTGCATCAACACCAAAATGTGTAGAAGCCTCCCTTGACCCCGGTGTACCTTTGGGGACCTTATTCTTATTCTTCCCGGCAACCTCTCTTGCAACATCAGCGATCTCCTGATTACAGTACACTCCCGCCGCAAGAAGATATCTTTCACCACTAGCTTCAGGAACCTGAATAGCTCTGAGATGTGCGAGGGCAACGTCCTTCACGCTAACCCAGACTGGGCCCTTAGTAGCGGGTATCTCACCGTCTTCTCCAGCTGAAACGATGCCATAAACGATTTGGTTGGAAGTGTTGAGATGTTCTGATGACTTGGGCACAGCGCCCTGTAGAAACGGTCCAAACACCATAGCCGGGTTCAAGCTTACAAGATCAAAATGTGCAGATTGGTTCTCTTCCATCCATTTCCACGCCACCTTTTCAGCAACAGTCTTGCTGGCGCGGTATGCAACTGCTGCAGCTGGTGCATTCACGCCATCCTCGTACGTCAGTGGAGACCAATCTTTCGCCGTGTAAATCTTTCCCGGTTGCAGTCCTTTTGAGGCATCGTAAATGCCTGCGAAGGAGTTTGTATGCACAATGCGTTTGACGTCGCCCAGCTGATTCGCTGCGTTGAGGATGGCAGTTGATCCCTTGACAGCAGGGATCATAAGGTCTTTCTCCAGATCTGTTGTGTCATAGTGAAAGGGAGCAGCGAGATGTAGGATGGCATCGGGTCGAATGGAGCCAAAGGCTGAGATGTATGAGTCCACAGAAGTAATGTCTTCGACGACTCTGACCGACAGATTGGGATCTCGGCCATGTAAATCGAGGACTTGCTCAACTTTAGTCTGAGACCTGACGGTGCCCAAGACCTTGTATCCTTCACACAGTAGGAGAGCAATACAGTGTTGGGCTATGAAGCCATTGGCTCCAGTGACGGCGATAAGAGATGGGGGCAGAATGGGCTTGGGGTATGCTGAAGGCATTTTGGCAGTCTCAACTCCAGTGAATGGTTGGAGGTAAGGCTGAAATTCAGATTCAAGTTACGATTGGAAACGTTTAAAGACTATCAAGGCCGTCATAATGGAACATACAGAGGTCTATTCTACTGACAGCTTTCCTGGGATGTCTATTAGCTGTGCTTCTTTTGGTCTAGCGCCTTCATGGCCGTCGCAATGATACCTGACTTGCGACGGCTGCAGCGCCGGAGCGCGTCTACCAAATCAACGACGGTCCCGCCGATAGCGCGCCGCTCTCGTGACAGTCGGGTAGCGGCGCCGATTTTGTCCGAGAGCCGATTGATACTTCTCGCGTTGGAATGACGTCACAGGCTGATTTTCTAGCATCTATGATACTACAGCTTCAACCCGTGGAAGGGAAACAGGCGAACATAGCATTCTTCAAGGTGCGCTAAGCTCTTCAAGTACTTCCGGTTTTCATCTTCTAACCCAACGCTGGCGTGGTCAGTTGACGGTTTGCGAAGGATCTCATCCAGTCTTATCTTATGGTTATCGCCAACCTGATAGCGCCCGATAACAGCTATCGGCCAGAGGTCAATTGTACTACGTGATGGTTGAACGTAGCATACCCTGTACACAGTCCAAAATCACAGAATTAAACATGCAAAAAACAGAAACAAAGACAGTTTTATCTCATCTTTTGAGTATTAGAAGATCATACAGAATAAGAGTTGCTAGTTTAGGAGATTAAACTCCAGGAGCTGGGTTCTGGCACTCGTTGTGCAGAACTGTGTTGATTTAACAAGATTGGGTCCACAGCTCATCTCACGTATGTTACCTTGAAGTCAATGTTTTATAATTCATGCCTTTATTGACGATGACTAAACTCCGACAATCGCCCTCTTCTTTAAGACGGCCGAGTTTTCATTTAATCCGGCCCAATTATGTGCATCCAAGCAGGCCTGTCGACTCAACAACACAGCAACCTTGGTCCTCTCCCTCAATTCCGCCTCATACTCATCAATAGCTTCTTTCAATCCTTTTCCCTTATGATAAGCTCCTTCCAAAGCCTTTGTTAACCGATAAGCATCGAGAATACCATGATTTGCCGCTTCGCCACGATACATAGTCATTGCATGTGCAGCATCGCCCGCGAGAGTGATCCTGCCATTGCGATTATCCCAAGGTGGACATGGCCAGTCCTGTAAGACAATCTCAATGACTTCAGACCCTTCCGGAATCCTTTGCACTGTATCGCGCAGCACGGGATTGAATTCTGTCGCTCGTTGCTTCATATATGCCAATCGCTCCGCGTCAGTGGCTTTAACTTCGTCGTCTGGTGTCTTCATGGGCCACGATATCATCACTTGAACGCGATAGTGCTCATTAGCTGTTCCCGCAGAGCCGTTGACGAGTGGCGTTTCTAGCATACTGAACCAGAAGAACGTCCCTGTTTCAGGATGACAGCCTTGAAATAGAAGAGGATCGATGTCTTTGAGCGGCTTCACCTGCTCCGGCGTGAGATCCAGAGCAGCACCAGTAAATCGTACCGGTAATCGAATATTCCGATATGACTCTGGGGCTAAGAACTTTCTTGTTCTTGAGTTGCTGCCCTCAACACCGACGATGAGAGAACCTTCAGCTCGGGATCCGTCTTCGAACGTAGCGACAACGCCATCGTTGCGCTCTTCAATTGAAGCAAGTCGCTTATTCCAATTGACCTGGTCAGACACGCTCTTAAGCAAGACCTTGCGTAGCTTCTCTCTATTAACACGTCGCCGATCGCCAGGCGGGATGAGGAACTTTGGCTCGAGGGTTTCGAGGTTGATGAACACGAATTTTCCGAGCCCTTGGCGGTCGGCTTCTGGGTCGACTTGCACCGATTCGACGTCCTTGAACGCTTCTTCTGATAAGAGTTCTCTCAGGAATGGGAGCACCCAATGGAGTGTTATGGCCCAGCCTTGGCCGCGGGAGCTGATGTGGCTGTCACGTTCGTAAATCTGGAATGGAATTCCAAGCTTCACGATCGATGTCAGTGAATCAATTGGTGAAATGGTGGGAGAGATGGATTACCTTCTTGAGGCCATGGGCGAGGACAAGACCAACGACTCCAGCGCCGATTATGAGAACTGGCTTACGGTCTTTGGACATGGTGATCTTGGCGTGAGTTTCAGACAAGAAATGGTCAATGGTTTGGGTTTGGATAGTTCCGATCCTCTGAACGAGGGGAAACGTTGCGGTTTATTCTTTCACAATATTAATGCGCGCTCTCGAGTCGCTTTGCTGTTGAACTGACTCCGACGGCATCACACGTCATGAAGCTCTTATCGGGGCTTATCTGGGTTACAGTGAAGGGTCCCAGCAGCGCGGTTCAGTTCGTCCCAGTGTAAGGTGGTGAGGGGGTCCGTCGGAACTCGCCCTTATGTAACCGTCGGAAAACCATCAACAATTGCGCGCGACACTAACTTGAATTGACATTGCAAGATAGCGGGGACCGCGGAAATTAATGATCTTTGCGGCAAGGTAATTGACGTTGAGATATGCGCCGGAATTGGGAGCGATTGAGTTGAGAATAGATTCATTCAAGAGTCAATTGATCTCGCATTCGATTCATCTCACCATCAACCCTATTCACTCCAAGTATCAGTGATTACCCTCCACAGCAATCACAATGACACAAGACACCAAACATGAGGCTCTCCAGCCCGTTCATCCCTCAATGAAGGGTAAACTCGACCCTGTCTTCGAGAAGCTCTACAACGACAACGTCGCCAACACTCCCCTCAAACCAATTGATCTCGGCATCCTCCGATCGAAATACTCAGTTCTCTACTCGTACGGCACTGGCCCTGCACCAGATGTCGCGCGCCAATATGATACCCAAATCGTCACGCATGAGGGCATCACTTTAGATGTTCGAGTGTATGAGCCAGATACTGCTGGTCCATGGCCAGTGCACATTGACTACCATGGTGGCGGTTGGGGTCTGGGCGATCTTGATACGGAGAGTCATATTTGCAAGCATATCTGCAATGTCGCTGGCGTCGCTGTCATTGACGTTGCATATCGCCTTGTACCCGAGAATGCCTTCCCCTGTGGTGTTACCGATAGTTTCGCTGCTCTCAAGTACATCTACGAAAAGGGCGCTGAGCGATTCAGCATTGACCCAGAGAGAATCTCCGTTGGTGGAGTCTCAGCCGGTGGATTCATCAGTCTTGCTTTGGCGCACATGGCGCGCGATGCCGGCATTCCTCTCAAGCTTGTCGCTGTTGGAACACCAGTAATTGACGATTTGAGTCAGTATTCATCAGCATTAGATTCACCATTCAAGTCAATGCAAGAAAATGAACATGCTCCTACACTCAATTGGGGCCGACTAGCTTGGTTTGACAAGCTCAAATGGAGCTCCCTTGGTTCAACCCCCGAAGAGATCGCCAAGAAGCGTGCGCAAATACCCGCGATTTATGGCAACCTCTTCAAGGCTGATAACTTTAACAACCTCGCAAACACCGTCATTTACACAGCGGGTGCCGATCCATTGAGAGATGAGGGTGAAGCTTACGGTATGAAGTTGATTGAGCATGGGAATGAGGTGACGATGAAGAGGTTTCCTGGCGTACCGCATCCGTTTATGCATATGGATAAGGATCTTTGGCAGGCGAAGGAGTTTATTCTGCAGACTGCTGGTGCTATTCGGACCGCTTTACATGGGCTGTAGCTTTAGATAGTCTTATGGAATCGTTTCTAAATGGTTGAAAGACATTATAAATATTGACTTCGTGATTCTGTAAAGCAATAAAAGAAGGAAGGGTACCGTATTGACGACCCTGTGATGCTCATAAAGCTGACAGCTCAAACCAAGGGTCGGTCGCTGAAGACTTCACTGTTAGCGCCCTATCTCCCCATACCCGACAGCGCTATGTACCCCGCTTGATACCACTGTAGCGCCTGATATGACGGATACCATATCACCAGACTAGCTGTTAACAGCCTAGCACTCACGCGCTATCAAGATAACGAGGGAGCCGGTTCGTAATTCCGGGTGACCCATACCTCCTCCCTCTCATTACCCCAGCTTTTCCCCCTCCTCATTGACCTCAAACCATGGCGACGCGCGAGCGAACGAGTAATACCTGCTTACGATGCGCTGAGATCAAACAGCGCTGTAAAGGTGGTGTGCCGTGCGATCGGTGTAGTAGACTGAGCCTACCTTGTCGTCCGAAGGGCTATTCGGGTTCGTTTTCTGGAGACTTTGGGTTTGATGGTGGCGATGGAATTTCGCTTGGGCAGCCAAAGGCGAAGATACGCAGGGTACAGACTGGCTGCCTGACTTGCAAGCGGCGTAAGAAGAAGTGCGACGAGCGGTAAGCTTCCATGTTCGCATAATTGAAGCTGGTCTCACCAAAACAACAGGAAACCGAGTTGTGGCGACTGCAGGAGGCTTTGCTTGGACTGTTCGTGGCCGACAGAGAGAGCAAGTAGACCAAGGCTCAACAGCTGGACCAACGAGTCATGGCTCAGCGCAGAACAAGTCCTCGACTTATCATCAGAGACATCGCCAAGCCCGAATCCTTCACCAGGCTCAGTACAGTCAAATGTCGACTTGAGTATCGCTGACTTGCTATGCCAAATGTCAACGGCTGTCCCTGTGGATGGCGCTGACGTTGACATGGTAGCGCCATTGCCAGAATTATCCTGGGACTTGACAACTGACTCGGGCTGGTTGGACATTCTCCCGGAAACACCTCCCGTGGCTGAAGACTCACCTGAAAGTCTGCCGAATACGACGCTCACTCTGTATACGCCAAGTCTGATACCGGACATGACGTCTCCTCACGACAAGGCCCTACTGAATCACTATTCCACTATCGTCGCTTCGGTACTGTCAAGACATCCGAATACATCCTCCAACCCTTACCTCAGTTATCTTGTACCGATGGCCGTATCGAATCAGCTCATCCTGCATTGCGTCCTCGCTTTGAGTGCAACCCATTGGCAGAAGCTTCAGCCGGATATGCGAGACAGGGCATTATACCACAAAGGTCAAGCAACGCAGTCATTGGCCGGCCTTCTCCCTCACGTCGATGGGGGCTCAGTGGATGTCGCGCTAGTATCCTGTCTGCTTCTGTGCATGTCTGAGCTGTTCGATGGTACCTCAGCAGGATGGAAACTTCACCTTCAGGGAGCAAAGCGACTGCTTTCAACTGCCAAGTCTCAAACCAGCGGTAACCTGGCAGGTCACTTCAAGTTCTTCGTTAAGCTGGCACGCTTCTTGGATAGTGCAGCGACCACAAGCACCTGCAAACCTCCTCTGATCGACGACAAAACTGTGACTACTACACCTGAGCCAACCGAAGATTCTAGCAACGATGATGCAGCAGTTTATGGAATACCGAAGGAACTGTTCCATATGGTCGACCGTGTGAACAACTTGGCTAGCAAAAGAGGCACAAGAGTTGATGAGGCTTCAGAGGCGCTATTCCGCGAAGAGGCTGAAATGGTTCAAGGCCGACTGGACAACTGGGCTTACGATTATGGTGGACTTGCAGGTGCCGTCGCATCTCTGTCACCAACAAATGACGACGTCCTCCATGCAACGACTGCATATGAATGGGCACTCCGACTTCGGCTTCACCAAATCACAGAAGGATACTCTCTGACCGAGAAGGTATTCGAGTGTGTCCAGCACATCCTCGACTCCGCGCAAAAGATCCGTTATGGTAGTCCTCTCGAGAGTTGTTTACTGTTTCCTTTGGTGATGGCAGGGGGTGCATGTAATTGTCTTGAGCAGAGGATGGTGGTGCAAGATAGGTTGATGATTATGGAGCGGACCTGTGGATTTGGATATGTGCATCAGAGTCGTGAATTGGTTGAAACTGTTTGGAAGAGAAGAGAGACAGAGACCATGGTTAATTGGGCTAGGATTCGGTATGAGGAGATGGGAGGTTTAGCACTCTACTGATAATACATGCATAAGATTGCGAACCAACAGTAAAGGTGCTTGTGAAATAATTAAACGAAATGCTATGGAATGATTGGACTATTTTAAAACAGGCTATACGCAAGCTTCAACTCTCCTCTACGACGAGACCTCTGCATCGTTGACCAACCCAGAGATATGAGCATGCATATCATAAGCACAGACCTCATCAATCGTCAACATCCCCGGTTTCGTGTTCTTGCTCGACCAACCAATCCTTTCATTCAGGTTCTCTCTCGCGCGCTTGCTTGCTTCTTGCAATCTCGTGGCGCGTGGCTTTCGCTCCGCTTCATACAATTTGAGGCGTTGTTCAACACTCAAGTCTGAGTACTTCTCTGAAAATAGGATACCCAATGCGCCTGCGTCTTCAATGGCCATGCAAGCGCCCTGACTTTGGTCAGGCATCATAGGATGCGCGGCGTCCCCGAGCAGTGTGCATCGGCCTTTGGTCCAGTAGGGATAAGGATCGTGGTTGTATAGACGCCACATCTTGATGTCCTCGGCGTTGAGGAAGAGCTTGATGAGCTTCGGGTCCAGCCCAGGGAATGTAGAAGCAAGGACATCGCCAGTGGTGGAGATGTTCCATCCATCTTCCTTGGTATCATTCTTCTCAGCTGGGTAAAAGCAGTAGCATGAAACAACGTTGTTGTCGCTGCATGCTGATAGAACGATCTTGGTCTTCGAGTCGCCGCCCCAGAACTCGATGGCCTCGTTGTTGATGTACTCCTCCAAGCCGAGTTCACGTAGCTTATCAGCGTAGATGATGCAGCGATAACAGCAAGAGGTGCTGGGTACGAAGTTTGGAATGACACCAAGCTGTTCACGCATGACGCTTCGAATACCGTCGGCGCAGATGATGGCATCATGTGTAGCCTCAGAGCCATGCTCAAAGGTGATATGACCAGTTTCAGTGTCAAGCTTGGAAGCCTTGTGCCACGTCATTAGCTCAGCAGGTCGACCTTTGCCACTCTGTGACAAAGCAGTGTCCTTGAGGTGATTATGCAAGTCGATTCGATGAAAGTTGTTGTAGTCCGTGCCAAAACGTTCGCGATAGTCTCCCAAAGGATATGTGCCTTGGACTTCTCCAGTAGAATAGTCATGGCGGATGAGGTTGCGCAAGATGACTGGCTTGGCAGCAGGAATGTCAACGTCCCATTCTTCTAGGAAGCGAGAGCCGTTGGAGGCGACTGATAGGGATGCACCGACTTCACCACCAAAGTCGTAGCGTTCGTAGAGTGTGACTTGGTGGCCAGCTCGTCGGAGGGCAATAGCGGCGGAGAGACCACCAAGGCCGGAGCCGATGATGCCTATTGAGAGAGATGTTTCTGTTCGTCCGGGCATGCTGTGTTATGAAGAACTTGTGTGAATAGGTTGAGCCTGTAGTTGAGCCGCTTGGCTGAGTGATACAGAGGGATGCCACAAGATGCAATGAAGTACTTTGTAAGATGTGATTGAGCGTGTTGATCAGAAGACTGTCATTGAAGTTCTAATTATATGTATCGCAGTCTTATGTCCGGCGCTCGAGTGGTGTCATTATTCTCGTCTCACATCATACCAACCCCAGACTTTCCGCCCTTCGATGGCTGAGGCTAAAGACCACTATCTCAAACCGCGCGGACCGCTATCATCACAACGAACCCAAAAATGATCCATGAGACCTCGAAGCGACGGGCGGGGAAGTAATCCACATGATTTCATTGGTCCCGCCCATCAGGATCCGACGGTTGCAGCTTTATCGCAGTCTAGCCCAATCTAGATAGAGTTTACCGACGTATCATCATTCCCCAGGTTTTTGAAGTCTAGACTAGGAGCTATGACTTGTGCTTTGTCAAGATAACATTACGACTGCTCATGTTTGGCTGGTAGATGTCTCAAAGGCGGTATCGCGGGCTCGAGGTACTTAACCCTGTGTTGTCGTCCTATTGAGGCATCTCCTTTTGGCTTCAGTACAGGCTGCCTTCGTCTATCGATCGCTACCTTGCCACCAATTGATCTCTTCACTCAACTGTCTGTGTCTGACTTCAATTGATTTCATATTGTAACCATACTCTGCAAAGTGAGTCACTCTACCAACCCCGTTTCGCCTCCGATAGCTAATAGTATCTGGGCAGTCTTCAATATGACTGCCACCGACAACGAGAAGATCCCTGAAATCATGCGCCCTCCCTCTGTCACCAAAGGCTCAGTCCAAGATGTCATCAGCGACACGTCTCTGAAGCCAATTACTCGCAAAGTCGACTACCATCTCGTCCCTCTTATGCTAGTCTGTTACTTCCTCCAATTCCTCGATAAAGTCCTCATCAACTATGCCAACATCATGGGTCTTTCCGAGAACCTCCATTTCACGGGAAATGACTTCTCCTGGATGGCCACAGCTTTCTTTATCGGTTTTGCCGTTGCTGAGTTTCCTCAGGGTGTCTTGATCCAGAAGTTCCCCGTCAGCAAAGTCCTTGGACTCAACGTTGTTCTCTGGGGTATCGTTATTTGCTGCTCTTCCGCTGCGCATAGCTTCCCTGGTATGACAGCTGCGAGAACTCTTCTTGGCATGTTCGAAGCGGTTATTTCACCTGCTCTTATCATGATCACCTCACAATGGTACACCAGAAAGCAAGCGACTCCAAGAACTGGTATCTGGTACTGCGGTCTTGGCATTGGCCAGACAGTTGGTGGCCTCATCTCTTATGCTGCTCAGCATGGTAGCCGAACTAGCAGCTTTCAGAGCTGGAGGGTCATGTTTGTATCCGTCGGCGCCTTCAACGTTATGATCGGTCTTCTTGTTCTCTTCTGGATGCCTTCTAGTATCAAGGATGCCAAGTTCCTCACAGAACAGGAACAGATCATTCTTCAAGAGGCTCTGGATGCTGATCAAGGAGGACAAAGCGCTAAGGTATTCCGCCGTGCTGGCATTTGGGATGCCCTCAAGGATGTCCAAGTTTGGTTGCTCTTCCTCAACACTATTCTCATTGTAATCCCATCCGGCATCATTACAACCTTCTCTGCAACCCTTATCCGCGGCTTTGGATACAACCCCAAGCAGGCCGCGCTGCTCAACATGCCTGCTGGTGTCGTGTCAGTTTCAGCCACCTTACTCAGCACTTTCGCCATCCTCTACGGGTTCCCACGATGGCTGGGTCTCTGCCTTCTCATGGTCCCAACTCTTATTGGCGCAGGACTCATGTCCTTCTACTCCAGCAGTCAAGCTGGCTCCCTTGCCGGGATCTACCTGATCAACTTCGACGTTGCACCTCTTGCCCTGATCTATGCTCTCGTCGGAGCCAACATTCAAGGATACACTAAAAAGGTTACAACGAACGCCATCGTTGCGGTCGGCTTCTCGATTGCCAACATTATTGGACCGCAGACTTTCCAAGCCAAAGATGCGCCAAGCTTTATCCCAGCCAAGATCACCGTCTTCTGTGTTTGTGGCGGCTCTGTTGTTGTTACTATTCTTACTAGAATTCTTTATGGGCTTCGAAACAGAAAGGGAAGAGTTTCACAAGATCTTGGGCAGAGTGGAGAGGTTGATCCGGACACGATGACGGACAGGAACAACCCCAACTTCTTCTATGTTTACTAGGCAAAGCGAGTTGGTGTATAGTATTTTAGTGCTTTAGCAATAAATCTCGGCGATTCCATTATTTCCATTGGTCTGTCTAAGAAAGCTTCTATTTGACTGGTGATAAAGGCAGGGTCGGAAGCGCCACGCCCTTGAAGATCTTAGTAGTAGTAACTCTTAAATTGTGCTATCCGAACTATCTGGTGACCATATCTCAACTACAATAATTCCCGACTTCAGCCACTCGAACTGTGACCCGTCAATACGAACGGAACCATTCCTCATACCAGCCTCTCGCCCTGGACTCAGACCCATGAGCTCAAAGGTCATTGGCAAAAAAGACAGGCTTAGCAGCATGGCGGTTAACGCGAAGGCTCAGCTGATCAGGTCGCGAGTAATGGCCAACGATATCCAAGTTCTGCTTCGCCTTGTACTTCTCCTCAAGGTTAATATCAGCATAAAGAATGCCTTCCTCATGCGGATCGAGAGGCTTCACAAGCTCCTCTCCGAAAGGCGAGAAGATCATACTGAAGCCACCACCAGACTTCTTGGTATAGTCATAGCCTTTAACGTTGGCCTTCTCATGGTTCTCCTCAGTCATGATCTGGCTTGCAAGAAGAACAAAGCACGCTCCTTCCATGGAGACGACGTGAGAGAAAGCCTTGCAGCATTCGGGTGTGATATGGTAGGGCCACTCGGGGACGTTCTGGGGGAAGATGGATGGCCAGCTGGAGACATGGATGTCAACATCTTGGGAGTACTCGTAGTAGCGCAAGAGTGTTTGAGTGTGCTCCCAGCAGTTAAGGCCCGCAACCTTTCCAAACTTGGTGTCGGCAACGTTGGTCAGAGACTCGCCCTGTCCGTCACCGTAGATGGCACGTTCAACGTGAGTGGGCTTGATCTTACGGCGGTGCAGAACGATGGTGCCGGTTTCATCAATGAAGGACTTCATCTGTCAGTGAACCAAAGACCCGATCAGTGTTGGAGTTGGGCTCACCTGTGCGATGTAAAGGGTTCCCTTGTACCTCTCACTATATCCAAGAACAACAAAAACACCTGCCTCTCGAACAGCAGCTCGAATCTGGTCCATCTCAGGTGACTCTCTCTCCAATGAGTTCTTGAAGTACTCATTGATCCAAGGTGCGTTCTCAGTGGGGGAGTTGGCCCAGATGCTCCTAGAAATGAATAAGCTGATCTGCCCATGTGTTGCAAATCTGCTACCTACCATGGATATCCAGGAATGAAGACTTCAGGAAAGCCGATGACGTTGGCACCGTTCTTTGCTGCCTCTTGGATGAGACCGATGGACTTGTTGACACCACCCTGGAGATCGTTCCAGACGGGCTCGGCTTGGATGGCGGCGACCTTGAGGGACTTGGACATCTTGATAGATTATGGTTGAGGTTGAACAACGTTGTGCTAGAGTAGTGTTTGTCGGAAATTGAGTTGTACTGAAGAGGATGATGAGAAGGGAAACTTGAGAGCGGTTTGCTCCCATACTTATACTTATGAGACTGATACTCATCTTATGGTCAACATACGACGATATTGCCTATCTCAGCTTACAACTGCCCTTGGCAGGGGTCATTTGACGGGTCCATCCGGATATCAGATTACCTGACGATCATCAAGGTCGGATGATTGATTCCCGGATAACCCCCTCCTTGACCCCAGTTTCCCCAGATATGTCAAAACTTAATCTCCGCGCGCCGGAATTATGATAACCGCATTTCTGCAATAGGGCATGGTCAAAGCGCGATGGGATATGTGCCAGCTCTCAATCAAGTTGGTAGCAGGATAATGAATATCCGCTGGATTAAACTATATAAGCCCGACTAGAAATACTAACAATAAATACAAAGTAAATCCCGACATCATACAAAAAAGTCAAGGGATGACTCTCCAAAACACTGATCATACGTCCAAGACTCAAAGATATCGTCCAGCGAATAAACGTGCTCAAAGCTACTATCCGAACCTTGATCATGGAAAACAACCAAGTCATCCATTTCATACCGTTCAAATTGCCTTCGACACTCTTCGTTAATATCTTGTGCCAAGCCATGCGCCCAAATGTCAATCTCCCATTCCCTAGCCAGCGACAAGATCGCCCGAATGGATCGGTTGGCCCAATTCCAGTTCAAATTCATCTCGTACAGAGATTTGACGCATATGTAAAGGCATCTCATAGCCTCGCTTCTACCGCTATTTCCTGTTGATTTGATGTGAAGAAGATGAATGATTGCTGCGGTGAAGGCTGGATGGACTGCTGAGACCGGCATACATCGCTAGGAAGGGTTAGTCTGCTGGAATAGTCAAGATTGAGCTAGCACATACCATCGTGTAATTCTTTCTGAATATCTGTAAGATTCTGGCCATTTTGACGGCTGAGTCCCTGCAGGACTTTGAGTGGATATCTCCTCCTTCTGGATCATAGGCGATAGAGCTCTTGCCAGGATTGAGAAGCTGAAAGAATGGTCGGTGGAGTAGCAATATTGCATGATGATACTGCAAACTGGAGACTTGCTGTCAGATACGAGCTTTCTCGGATACGAGATACTCACTGAAACTGATAGACGTATGGCGGCGAACATTGAAGACTGGAACTTGAGATCTTCAAGCTTTTCGGCAGCCGGTCAAATAGTCCAACAGCTTGTAGATGGGCCTTCATTACTCGATCCTCCCTTTCTTTGTCTGTCCATGCATATCTCTGAGCATATCTATATCGTGTCAGTCACCTTTCATATTGACTTGGGTGAAGATTTCTCACAGCTGATCGATAACTTCAGATGTAGCGATCAAAAGCTCACAGGTGTACATAGAATTCTCCATGATATGAGCGGTTGAGAAGGGACTTGATATCTTGAGTTGGTAGTCAGATAAAAACGGACTGTGCTGGACGAGCCCTTTTGGTTTGGTCGTTGTGATATTGTACTCTTGGATACTCGCAGGCCGGCCCATGCCAAGACAGTAGAACCTAGTTACGCTGTCAGCTCCTCTAAACGCTAGTAGTTCCAAGCCACTCACTTATCTAGGACATAGACGCCCCAGAAGGTAACATTTCTCGCTTCGACATCATCATCCGATACCAGACCTTTCGAAGCGTATGGCGAGCAATTGCAATGAAGCCCTAAGTTCATGGCCATTCTTGTCGCCATACCGATGTACATGAATCCGAGACCCTCATTGTCGATAGTCGCCCAGTACAGGCCAAGGAGTGCTGTTGCTTGAACCGTAGATGTCGTCGGCGCTTCAGATTCGTAATGAAGCATGGTCTTGGCTTGAGCCGCAAATGCTTCGCCAGCCGTGTTGGCGTCATCGGGGTCAGTTCGAAGCTCCAGTCTTGGAGAGTACCGCGATGACATAGCTAGAATTGCCGCCATCAGCAAAGGTGTGCAGTAACGTCCATTTTTCTCAACGTATAAGTCGCGCACAAATAGTTCTCTCGGGACGATATACTGCCATGAATTCTGCCACCGCCAGAATATTTCGAGCAAGTGGTCGCGCAGCTCATCAGAAGGCGTGATGAAATCAGGCATGTTATTGGCAGCCTCTATGCCGCGATTTCTGGCTTGGATCGAGGATGGCACCTTGATAGCGTGATTGTGAATGATGGAAAAGTTACTGGATGCGCCGAAATAGCGCAGCTCTCCAATCTCACCCAGAGTAAAGCACCCAAGGGCATTTGCGAGATCATCCATCTCTTCTTCGCTTGTGACGCTGCTGGGGGCTGGTTGAGGAGGTCGGGTAGTGGTCACAAAAGCTACTTCCTCATGGTCACAGTTGCTGCTGTTCTTTGCAGAATCTGGTGACCCAGCATCACCATCTCGCTGGGCGAGTTGCTTCTCCAAGCTGGCGACACGGGCTTCCAACGCGTTAATGTATGCATTAGTATGTCGTCTATCAAAAGATGTTAGTGAAATTTCTGGCATAATGTTCTGCTGACCTACTTTCTGTTGCTTTCAGCCTGGGTATACTCGCAGTCTTGTTGACGGTCGTAACATGCGCTGCGTCTTGGCTGACTGCCATCGCACTACGTAAAGCTCGGGTTAGCTAATATCGGGGCCAGAGACTCTTCCTTGTATGTAGTGAAGCTTTAGCTGTTCAGAGAGGGGAGCATTACCTTTGTTCTCTTAACCCGACATCCGTTACAAGCAACCGAAGCCCGCTTCCTGGGGTTAGGTGGGGCGCAGTAAACAGACGTCGCAGACATGATTAAATGCGTGATTCAAATTCTTCAATTCTGAATGCGTGATCGTATGAGAAAACAAGGAGCCGCGGCGATGGAATCTGGGGTAATAGTTGCGAGTTCTCCCCTGTCGTTGCTGCCCAGGCCCAGGGCGACGGAAAATTTAATGAATCCGAGGCGAAGAAGCTATTCCAGAAACATTATAGCTTATCTGTAACCCTCCTTCCAAGCTTCAGGGCTAAAGCTGATTGAGCTAGATCACTGGTGTCACTAGTCCTGTCCTGGGAAGCATCGTCAACAGTTGTGATAAATCTATCAATCGACCGTTCTCGATGTCGTTACATGGATGGAGGCTTAAGTGCTGAGATAACATCAAGTTACGCAAGCTGAAGGGCACCTGCAGATCGGTGGTTCACATCATCAAGGTTCACGATTTGAGCCTTATACAGGCAGTGTAGCGTAATAGACATTTGATCCACCTGGAGGCTGAACTGTGAGCATGAATTGCGCAGTGAAGCAACAGATGGAATGCTTGACTACTTGGAATCAATTCTATACATAAGAGATAAGATAAAATTCAGAAGATAGGCAGTTACAGACATCCCAAATCCTCTCTGCCGAGAAGCTTGTTCTTCCCCCGCATGCACCCTGCGTTAGCGTCAGGGTATTTGATACCCGGATTGTAAGGAACCGAAAAGCCCAATCAAGTTGCAGCTGTTACGACACTGTTTTTGGCGGTATCCTGACCCCTGTTTTGTTTATCAACAAGGATTTCTCCAGTCTGAAATGACTTGTCAGAACTCCAAATCTTGTATCTGCGGTATGTAGCTGAACCAGTTTGAAAAAGGAAACGAAATCATCACTTCGATGACGTATGGGGGCCTGAGCACAAAGGTCCATCCAACTCGTGGGCTCAGATGAACCAATCAACATCTGCAGCTTGTCAATTTTAATGCTACATCCAAATAGGAAATTCATAACTCCGCCTTGACCTCTTCCCACTTTTACCAGCCGCAAAAGGGTAGTCTTCCAGATGACAAACTTCAACATGCGAACGTCGGAGACAACGCCATGTCTTCGCAGTCAAACGGTTTTATGACATCGAGTCTCCAAGCAAGGAGACAGCCTCGACGTAGTAAAGGATGCGTGACGTGCCGTAAACGAAGGGTTAAATGCGGTATGTCGTCTCGAGGAGATTCTGTGTTGAGTTTTCCGCTGATACCTGGAGATGAGCGACGACCAACCTGCGAGAGATGCGATAAAGGATATCACCCCTGCCAATACGACGACAATCTTGTATTTGTGAATCACTTGTACGATGCTACAGAAACTGCCGAAGATCCCGAGTTTCATTCTACCAATGTCTTAAATCAACGAGAAAACTACGAGCAAATACCTGTCACAATTGACTTGCATGGTTTCAAAAATGAAGTTGTGATATCTTTCTTTGTCAATAACTTATTTGTCCTCGTTAAATCACCTCTCGAAGACGGTTCATCAATTCTCAATCTTTTCTCAGGCAATGCAGACTCAACAGCATGCATGTCAGGCTTATGTGTTGCAGAAGCGTTCTTCTCCAGTATGCATGGTATACCTGAGATGAAGATCCATGCTTGTGCGCTGTATGGCCAAGCTGTTCAAAAATTGAAGGCCGATCTTGGAATGAGGACAGAAGTGTCGACGTCTCCCCTTTATACCACGATATGGAGTGCCTTGTTCCTTGGCGTATACGAAATGATCTCTTCTGATTCAATGTCCAACTGGTTACAGCACTGCTATGGTGCCGCAGCATTGGTACGACAACGCAGTCATGATTGTTGATTGACTTTTGCTGACGTTGAAAGACGAAAATGGCTGGGCCACATGGATTCCAAATGGATGCGGCAAAGCCTATCTTACAGATCAACAGATCATTTATAGTATGACATCTCACTTCTTGCCTGGGAAATCGCTAATTTCTCTTCACAGTCCATTGGGGCTATGGCCAATCGAAAGCGCACCTTTTTAGAACAGGAATAGTGGAAGCATATGCCTTGGGCGTTGCAGCCCATGTCCAAGACGATCGGGGACTTCGTACAAGATATTCTGTGCGACATCCCTGGTCTGATGGAGGATGTAGATGATCTTGCCAACCCAATCGGGAACTCAGTATTAGCAAGTTTACTGATTCAGAAGCTGCAATTTACGTTCGAGCAGCTTGATGCTTTACGAACTTCATGGAACTTTATGTATCCCGATGCTTGCTGGAGGGCTGGGAAGTTATCAACCGAAGCAACTGAAGTCCTCGTGGGCATCTTTGATAAGGTTCTATGCTTCTCTGATCTCGAACGAGCTATCGAGTTTGTCTACTTCAACACGACGCACCTAATACTGAATTCACTTCTGCGGCAATTGAGATCAAGCACCAAAGGTTATGTCTTTGATGCTGGCTTGTCTCCTCTAGAGATCAGCAGCCAAGAGGTTCCAATACTGGTTTTCTGGAACCATGATAATCGACACCAAAATGCACCGGCAATATGTAAATGCGTTGATTATATGATGCAGAACCACCGTGGAGCATCTGGAGCATTCAATCTGCTTTTTCCATTAAAGGTCGCTTACAATCACCTAAGCAATTTTTCAATCATGCAGACATGGATTGCAGGAGTCATGGAAAAGATTTCGACTACGAAGGGACTTTTCATCAGCGCGGAGATCTTAAAGAAGTATTAAGCCTCATTTGGCTTCTGTACACTCGGGGTCCAAGTGGCATCAAGTGGCCATAGTAGATACCGTGAGTTCAAAAAACAGCCAATTCATGCAACCTCACTCATATCAGTTCATTAAACTATGAGCCGCTCGCTGATCCCTTGGTGCTGATCCCTTGGTGCTGGTGATTCCGGATTATCACAAGAAAGCGGCATTCTCGGCTTCCGTGGTGGGGCCGGATCGCGAGGTGAGGTGTTAGTCCAGCTCAACCATGGCACTGCCACTGGTTGAAGAGATTATTCGAAGATGAGCGCATTTGCAGAAAAACTATCATAAAAAGGCCGTTTTCGCACTCTCGATCAAGTCTATCAAATCACTGAAGTCTCATCGTCCATTGCCATCATGCAGCTCAAGACTTTTACCCTTATTTTCGCGGCTCATGCTGCCATTGCCAGCCAGGTAAAATGGACAGGGTAGGTTTATTATGATCATTTATTCAACGGAAAGATAACTGACATGAGCAGCGTCAACCTGTTTGGTCTTGCCAACGATGTCAACATCCTCGGATCAGCTTACAACACCTTCCTTGACCTGTCCTGCAAACCAAGCTATCACAGCTACCCATACATCAACACTGTTGAAGTCTACAAGTCATGGCACGACAAAGGCTTCAATCTGTTTCGAATTGCTATGGCCTGCCAGCATGTCCAGACTTCGCTTGGCGGTAGCTTGAATGAGACCAACATGGAAGCAGTTGACAAGTTGGTTCAGGCCATTACTGATGATGGCGGACAGGCCATCCTGGATATCGTAAGCTTAGACAGGTGCCCCCTTTCAATTGTTCGCCAACTGACTATTCTAGCACAACTACGCACGATGGTACTGCGCTGTCATTGACCAACCCGAAGTATCATTTCTCAACCCCAACATCACAGTCACCAACGACCACTTTGCCGATCTTTGGACAAAGCTTGCCGAGAGATACAAATCAAACCCCAAAGTTATCTTCCAACTCATGAATGAACGTAGGTCAAACTTCAGACACTCCCCAGTCCATGTCCCATTCTCCACAGTGAAACTGACAGAGCTCTCTAGCTCATGATCTTAACATCACCAAATGGGGTGCGACAAACCAGGCTGCAATTCTTGCGATCCGAAACGTCACCGAGAAACAGAAAATACTTGTCTCAGGAACGCAGTTTGCTCGTCTCGTTGACTGGGAGGCGTTCTCTCAACCAGGTATCGGTCCTGGTCTCATTCAGGACCCCGCCAACAATACTCTTTACGACTTCCACCAGTACTTCGACGATATCGCCGGAGCATATGGTCTCTGCGAGCCTTGGAGCGGTTACGTAAAGAGATTCGAGGCCGTGACTCGCATCTTGCGCCGCAATGGCTTTCAAGGAACCGTCACAGAGTTTGGTGGCGGACCTTTCCCTCAGTGCGCTGAGACGATTCAATCTATGCTGGCATTCCTTGACCGCAACAGTGATGTCTGGTATGGATGGACTGCATGGGGTAGCTTCAATGAGGGCTCGGACTTGTATCTGAGTTTGGACAAGAACTCGACTTACAACCTAATCACGAGGACTCTGGAGAAGTTCGTCCCGAAGTAGAATTGCATAGCGGATAGAATCTGAGGAGACTGCCCGAGTGTGACATGAAGACGAGGACAGAAGAATGTATTTTAGAATTGTTTATGATGCAAGAAGCTCAAACTACGTTTGAATCAGATAGAGTTCAGCAGTATTCGCGCTCATTTAACTTTTCCCACGTCAAGATAGAAACGGTGCATGTTCTCATGAATGCGTGTCATCTCATTTCTCCAGCTTTTGTCCGTATACAACATATCTGTACAAAGCTTAGCAAGGTACATTGCCAATATAATTCATCCAACTCACATAGGCCAGTAAGCATGAGTGCTTCTGTCTTTCAGTTCGCGGCGAACCTTGGCGAGCAATACATCAAGCTCTTCTTTAGTCCAGCCGAGGACGCGTGTATAGACAGCTGAGCTGAGACCTTCAAGGCCGGAGCTGGTGTTTTCGAGATTCCAGGCACCTATTCACGGTCAGTACTTTCTTTAACCCGGAGAATGAAGCATATAATGATACGTACCGAGCTCCTTATGCTTCGTGTCTTTCGGCCAAGTATTCTGAGGCCATTTGAATACGACCTGTTGGACATTCTGAAAGCCCTGTGCTTCAAGTTGCTCCTTATACTTATCCGCCCCATTGAACGGCCTTCCAATCATCTTTGTGCCATCTAACAGCTTGGTGACCCATTCATAAGTTGCTGAGTCTTTAGTGAGTGTTCCATCATCGCTGGTGATGGGGTAAATGTCGGCCAGTTCGAGCCAGCCACCGGGGTTGAGATTCTCATAAGCTTTGGCGAAGAATCCAGGCCAGTCCGCGATAGATGCAGTCATCATGCGACTGTAGATGAAATCGAACTTGACGTGAAAAGTCCATGGTTCCTCAATATCGTCGACCTGAAAGCTCAAGTTCGGAGGGACGAAGGGACTTTGGATGGGGCTGAGATCAATTCCGATGACCGAAGCGCTGGGATGCTCATCGGCGAAGTCCATGGCCCAAATACCAGTGCCTGTTCCAACATCTAGAACATTGTGTAATTTATGACCGTCACGGCCGGCAGGCGACAAATAAAGTTTGTCATCGAAGGTGAGAAGAAACAGATGGTGTTGTAGGTCAAGCCTATCCTGCTCCTGCTCGTCATTGGGAATCACATACTGTCCGTCTTTGTAGGCATGATACGTGCGACCATTCTCTTGACGATATTTAAGAATGCTTGAACTGATTGAAGAAGTGGAGCTCCCTTCAGTTGACGCGAAAGAGTCAGTATCGCTGGCAGTATCAGTGTCAGCCTCGTCAACTTCTAGTGGCACGGGATCGGCGGTCGAGGTAGGATCAGCCATTATTTCGACAGCAAAAATAATATTTGAGGGAAAAGATTGTATGTATTGGATTGGAAGGTGAGGGGCATTTTACATGTTGGCTCGGTTAAATCTCCTGATGTGTTTGTGACAAGCAACAGACTGGGGTCTCCCAACAAGGATGAGTAGCATTTCATTGATCAATTCTACCGACACGGCTATTTTTCTCGAATACTATGCTCAGAACGTGAAAACCTTACTAATACCATCGGCGAAGTTCTTGGCCAGAGCTTTGTGAATAGCAACACCCGCATGATAGGTATCAGTCCAGAGGCAATCATTCCCGCCATAGCATGTTGCATCCTTGGCTCCATAATCTTTAAAGTTCTTCACCGCGGCGTCGAAAGTAGGTTTCGTGTCAAATACGGTCACCTCGATACCTGAGCCAGACTTTGCAAAAGTAGCAGCGCGCTCAGTCAGAGCTTTGTTATAGGCAATGATGTCTGAACGAAGCGTCTTGAGGTCTGACTCAGGCTGCCCGTTCATAGCTGGGATTTGGTCCGCGAATGCTGGTACGGCATTAGTTTAAGTCATCAAAAGTAGTATAGAGACATACGAGGAACAGTGAGGAGCGCAAACTTCTTTAATCCAGTCTCGGAAAGAGTCTTCAAGAGCTCAAAGTACCGATCCATGGTCTTCTCGACTGGCGCTGCCGATTTCTTCCAGAATGGTTCGCCGAGATCATTGATACCGATCCAAACAGCAACAAGAGTGTCTGCAGAACTGATTTTACCTGCGACATATTCTTCATACTGAGCAACCTGATCATCAATGCAGTACTGTGCATATGTCGAGACGATTTCCTTGTCAACCGTAGCGCCAGTAACAGCAAAGTCATAAGTCAGGACCACGGAAGTGTTCAGCGCGCTAGTCAACTGACCAACCCAGTTCAGTCCATTGGCCGTTGTTTGTCCTGGTAGGGCGGGATTTCCTAGCGGGCTGCCAGCACTGGGTAAGTCGCCTCCAGGCCAAAAGCCAACAGTTGAGTAAGAGTCACCACTGGGAAGATCATTAGCACACCGGATCCCTCGATGAGATAAAGTGACAGTTTACAAGACAATCAGGTTCTTGGCAGAACCAGTAGCTCTGGACAGTACAGGGGTAGGTGTCGCCTGGGACAGTCAGCTGCCAGACTCAAAAGTTGAAGAAAGGACCTCATTTTATAAGTATGATACAACGAAAAGAAGGAAAGAAGATGAGATGGAAAGGAAACGAACGCGTTCGCGAATTCGAAAAGGGAGCTTTCACCTTTAAACAGACCATCCTGACCCGCGGCGTTCGTGCCAAGACGTCACATCCGGGAGATTAGTGGGCGTCAGGAGGTTTCATGATATAGCGACCGATTGGTGGAATTGGGACAGGAAATAGGGCAATAATTGGTTTCTTGCCTTTACTATAAATTATATTTAAGGTTAAAGATACAAATAATCGTATTATAAGGTAAAGTAATACTATTATATTAAGACTAAAGAAAAAAAAATTAAAAAAATTAAGTAAGTTAAGTCTTGGATAGGAGTTGGAGTTGAAGGAGGAGAACCGGCCGATTTGGAGACGGCGTTAACAACCGGGCGAAGGGGAGGGTTTTTTTTGGGGTAGGTTGGAGATATATTGGAGCAACATGGAGAAGCAAAAGCAGATGCGGCGCAGATGAACCAAGAAACCTAACGACAAACATTGAGTGAACTAGTTATTTCTTATCTTTCCTTGATTAATTCAAGATTTGAAATATTCCTCGGCTTGGTCCTTATCAATCAACCTCGGCATTCTTTAACGACCCACATCACGACTTTTGCTTGTGGGCCTTAATTTAGAATCACATGGCACCGAGAATGTTTCCTGATTTTTGCTTATATCCTTTGGCATTTTACATTTTTATTTGTATTCATTCCTTTCTTCCTATTCTGAGTCTGTATCTCTAACCTAGGAATCAGAATTTGACCTAGTGTACACTTTGTTTATCTTAATCCGTCTTACGTACATTTCTTTCTTTATTTTTTCCACTAAGTCTTTTCGAGATGACCAGCGTCGACAAGCCGCGATCAGAAAGCCAGGTCTCGAGACCTGGTGACTTTGAAGCTGTCAGAAAGTCTATCATCGACCTCCTCCGCCAGCCTGACTACGATGATGGAAGCGCCGGCCCTGTGCTTGTGCGCCTAGCCTGGTAAGTCTCTACCAAGCTAGACAAACATCAGCTGGTGACTAACGCAGCCTTAGGCACTCTTCTGGCACATATGACGTAGCGACAGATACCGGAGGCTCAAATGGCGCTGGCATGCGCTACGAAGCCGAGGGTGGTGATCCTGCCAACGCCGGTCTTCAAAATGCTCGTCTCTTCCTAGAGCCTGTCAAGCGTCTTCACTCATGGATCACATACTCGGACCTATGGACACTTGCTGGTGTAACTGCTATCCAAGCCATGGGAGGCCCGGATGTCGATTGGTTACCGGGTCGAACCGACTTTGTAGACGATAGCAAGCTTCCACCTCGCGGCCGTCTGCCTGATGCGGCTCAAGGAGCAGACCATATCCGAACCATCTTCTACCGAATGGGATTCAATGATCGTGAGATCGTGGCCCTCAGTGGTGCACACAATCTTGGGCGCTGCCATACGGAAAACTCGGGCTTTGAGGGCAAATGGGTCAATAATCCGATACGATTCTCGAATCAATATTTTCGCCTGCTGTTGTCCGAAAAATGGACTGAGAAGACAGTTCCTGAATCTGGTGTTACCCAATTCTCCTCTGTTGACCCTGACACAGACGAGGAGTTGATGATGCTCCCAACCGATATGGCTCTGACAACAGACCCTGAGTTCTCTAAGTATGTGCGTCTTTATGCTGAAGATAAGGAAGTGTTCTTCAACGACTTCAAAGCAGCATTCGCCAAGCTACTGGAGCTTGGAATAGCAAGAGACGCAGAGGGGAACATCACGAACAGTGATAATGAAAAGGGAGGGTATAGAAGTGCGCCGAAAAAGAGCGATTCGGCCTCAACTAATGCAGGGTTTGGGCAAGTCGCCAAGACAAATGGTTGCCCAGTTATGCACGCCAGGGCAAAGCTCTGATGCGTTGTATGTTAATTTATATCCATGTAGATTATAGAAGGAATAGAAGATAGACAAATAATTAGATAGGCTATAGATTTGTTTTTTTACATGATTATGTAAATAATTCGGAGTTTATATGCATAAGGGCTTTTGGTAACTTTGTTTTGCTGTTTGCAGTCTTTAAATTCTGAACGATCCGCATGGGTAGTAATACTTCTCATACATGGATGTATACTAGTTGGTATTATTGATTAAAGGTCTGACTGCTGGATTGTGGTGAAGAATTTTGATCATGTCGTCAGCTGTACCGGGTCTGTCTTCTTCGAGTTTAGTAATTAATTATTTTATGACCGGACTCTTGGAAGGGTCTATGGCTGAACCTGTCTCTTATTGCGCTCTATGCCTAATCAAGAAGTGTCCCAGCCTGACGGTTCCGCCCATGAAAAAAGAACAGCAAAGATTACAGAATTCTGATGTCATAGTCGAGATCTGATAGGCTAGCGCCAGGGAGCTGAAAACTCCTCCTCCTCTGCCATGGGGCTTTTCTCCTCAACTTGATACTGGTATCAAGTCCGTTAATGAAAGAGACGTCGTATTAGCGACCAGTCCGTGCATTAGATCAGCTACGAATGAGACCCATGGATCCTGCCAAGGAACTCGATGCTTACGTCCCCACCATGAACGACATCCTCGATTTCTTGCCCGTCCCCACTCTTGTGGTCTCACCATCCTATCGCATACAAAGAGCCTCAGCCGGCTTGCTCGAGGCATGGAGTCGTAGGCGCGAGGAACTCATCGATCAAGACCTCTTCACTGCTCTCTATGACGGATCGCCGACCGAAAGGTTCGATCGTATTCCCTTTGTCTACGCGATTGAAACTGCACTTGAGGCTCGAGCTCTCCGTCTATGCCATGCGGCTTATATCGCGAATGACATTTCTTGGACTGCGCGTATCGCGCCTGTACACAAAGACGATGAGCTGCTATGCCTGGTCATAGAATGGGAAAAGGCTGAGCTTCACACTACAACTGTCGATGGTGAAATAACACAGAGCTGGCTGCCTATTGACGATGCTTTCCGCATCCTCGTCCAAGCTGTTAAAGATTATGCCATCTTCCTGCTCGATACTCGCGGAAACGTCATGACCTGGAACACTGGAGCAGAGCTAAACAAGGGCTACAAGAAGGAAGAGATCATTGGCAAGCACTTCTCAACGTTCTATGGCGAAGAAGATATCCAGTCTCGGAAGCCCGAAAGAGAACTCGAGATCTGCTTGCGTGAAGGCAGGGTCGAAGATGAGGGCTGGCGCTACCGTAAAGATGGCAGCCGGTTCTGGGCTAACGTTGTTATAACGGCCATCTACAAGAACGACGTCCATGTTGGCTTCGGTAAAGTTACCCGGAATCTCACTGAACGGAAAGAGGCAGAACTGCGGCTGACTGCTGCTTACGAGGAGAGCACCAAGTTGAAGAATGATTTTCTGGCAAATATCAGTCACGAGATCCGCACGCCTATGCATGGTGTACTATCTGCCTGTTCTCTGCTACTGGATAGTCGCCTGACTGAAGAGCAGCGGGAGACGGCTAATATGATTCAAGAGTCCGGACAGCTCCTGTTACGCATTATCAACGATATCCTCGACTACTCGAAAATTGCGGCAGGCACCTTTCCCATCAAGAATGAGAGGCTGGATATTGCGAATGTGATTACATCGGTTGTGCGTCGAGTTCAGATTACTGTGCAACCGGGAGTATCTCTAAAGCTGAACTTATCACCAAACTTGCCAAAATGGGCGGAAGGGGACCCTTTGAGGTACCGCCAGATCTTTGAGAATATCCTCAGCAATGCCGTAAAGTTTACCGAGAAGGGATACATTTCGGTCAATGTATCGATGCTTGGTGAAGACAAGACCAGTCACACGATACAGACAGAGGTCTGGGACACCGGGCATGGCGTGACAGAAGTCGACGCGCAAGAACTGTTTAAACCCTTCACGCAGCTTGACACCCCGTACCAAAAGCGGCGTCCGGGAACAGGTCTTGGACTATCAATTGCAAAATCACTTGTTGAGCTGCTGGGAGGGAACATTGGATATAAACCCAACCCGGAACGGCAGGGCAGTATCTTTTGGTTCTCATTCAAATTAAAGAAGCTCAGCAGCCTTCGCCAGGCCGAAACCATTACCGCTCCACCAAGAACCAGCAGTGAATTACCCCAACAGCAGGTTCAAGAAGGCGGGGATCTTGCGACGCAACTGGAACAGTTATTAAAGATCTCACCAACAAAGCGGATCCTTGCGGCCGAGGACAACATCATCAACCAAAAGGTCCTAGTCGGAATGCTGCATGGCTTTGGATTCAAAGATATAACCGTTGTTTCGGACGGCGCTCAGGCTGTTTCGTCACTATCCGCGGCGAATGCCTTTGACTTAATACTCATGGATATCAGTATGCCGGTTATGAATGGCTACGAGGCAACACTTTGTATACGTCATAGTAGCATTCGTATACCTATAATTGCCATGACTGCTTATGCGCTTAAAGGCGACATGGAGCTTTGCTTGGAGAAAGGGATGGATGATTATATCCCCAAGCCAATGGATAGGCAAGTGCTGATGAAGAAGCTGTTGAAGTGGCTTCAGAGTCCAGGCGACCTAATGACAGATCTCACCGCCAGGAAGAATTAGGACCTAGTCATAGCATTTTGCTTTATCACTATACTCCAGCATTAGATACATAACTTACATACTTTAGAAATTGGTAATTAGGTATTATTTCTATACTTGAATTTCAGGGGTGATGACTATATGTCTCTAAGCATAATTAGTAATAACTCTTTAGGTATAAATCATATTTTAAAAAGTATTACTTAAACTTAACAGACAAGGAATAACTCTTTGTTCAATCTTGATGCTTCTTCACACTTTAACGGTACAGACCTTCCTTAAGCCAGGATAATAACCAAGAGTACTATCGTGTTCTTATCATCTGTGATAGCAGCCTAAAGCTTCAGCTTATGGCCAGCAAGTAGTTGTACAACCAAGAGTACGTGGATGTACAACAAGGAGAAAGCTTTCCACTCTGCCTTAGTGAAGTATGGGGGCGATGTAGGTTCAGTGGATACCTCCCGGCGAAATTACTCCCATTATGATATAGCGTCCGATTGGTGGAATTGGTATAGCAATCGGGGCGTCGATCTGTCTCCCATCTGAGAATTCCATTCCAAGTCGAACAATATATATTAATTCTCGCAGTTAAAAGTGCAAATTAAGTGTCTGAGTAGTTTTAGTATCTCAGTGACCTGCAGAGATGTCTTATTGTCGTTTAGGTGTATAAGTAATCTTCCCACTGGACATAAAACTAGGTGCTCGGATGAGTAATTAAGACTAAAGATTATGATTGGCTAGGTTATTTTCACATCAACATCAGACCGTAAGCCACAGGAACCAACATCTTTGCAGTCTGACATCTTCTCCACCCTCTCAGCAAACTCAAAAATGCGACGCAGGTGCCACGGAGATGAGCCTTGGGACGCTGGAAACATCAGGTCCTCGGACACCGTGGAGTGGTGGATGTTCCTCATGCCTGAAAAGAAACAGCGGATGAGAATGCCGGTCCTTGAGTGGGAAGGTTCTGCCATGAATCCTTCATACTTCTGCACCGGTCATCTCAGTTTCGACGCTTTCAAGTTCCTGTGTAACTCGTTGGAAGGTGTCAAGATCGACTCGAACGAAGAGGCAGGCTTACCATCATCCCGATCAACGTTACAGCAGTCACAGGGCCAAGCCTGCCTAAAGATGCTTCCCGCCGAGCTTCTAAGAACGATATTCGAATTGCTCAAAGTAGAAGATTTCATGGCTTTGGGCTTGTGCTCGCAAGCGCTCTGGTCTCATGCCATCAGATGGGCAAAAAGTGGTTACGTCCGGTGGAGGAATGAATATTCCTGGATTGACACTCCAATAATTTGCGCTGGTGATAAACTTCAAGTACTTCCCCAGGCGTTACGACACATATTACCCAAAGCTATCCCTGATGAGATAACAAGTGAGCCCGATCGGCCTGGCCAGCATGACACGCGAACGAAAAGCCAGGCCAAAACCTGGTTCGACGAATCTGTGAAGAGTTTCGAGAGGGTACCATTCCCCTACGACTATTCCTATCCAGAGGCATTCCTAAAGCAGATTAAGGACGCTAATATCCCAGAAAGCCTCCATTTACCCATGAAAACTTGTTTGCCGACTCTCAGCCTTGAACCTGGAAGCAAGTGGTTTTTGCGTAACCTGACGAATAAAGAGTACATACGAATGGAAGCAGTAGTCACGTCAGATGACGAGGCTACTGTTTCGCTACCAGGCCATAAGTGGCTCACACTGGATATTATTCTCTTGTGGGTCATCAGTTGGAGAGGAGATGGTAGAAAGAAGGCCTGGTCTTGGAAGAAGCTCGAAAGCTTCCGGGGATTTACTGATCAAGAACTCACAGACACGTGGCACGACCCAACTTACGGACCACTATTTATGGACTTTTGGCCAATCTGGACCGGCCCTTGGGCTGGCCACAATCTCGACGTCGTCACTGAGCAAAGGTTGGATAATGACTGGGAAGACCGGACTGAGTGTGTCAAGACATTAGCCCCTAAAATGTTGCGCCTTTTCTATGGACTTTCTCTTTCGGAGGAGAAAGACCACCAAGAGTACTGGGAAGAAGCTTTTAGGCAAGACGGTGACTATTGGGAGTTGGAGGTGATGTTGTATTCGTCTTCATGGGATGGCGATGAGTCGGATGGGGAGAGGGTAACACATAGAATGCCCCAGAACGCTCATGGGAATTCCGAAGCCTCTGAGAGGGACACAGGCTGATATCAATTGCTTTATGTGTATACCTGAGAAACCTTTACCAGTGTTTGTCACTTATTTATATTAGTCTTGTCCAATACTTTGCATTGTCCACAAGAGTGATCAACTCAACTCGCCTAATATCCATATGTAAGGTAGCAAGCTGCAACAACCCCAATAATTCCCTCTGCCACCTCACCTGAGATGAACACAGTGGCCGGAAAAGAAACCAGTCAGAAGATCACTGGAAAAAAAGAAAAAATCACCCCCTTCACCCTACGCAATATCGAAGGTTTTCTATGAGCTTGGCTTCTTCACGTGGATGTTGGTCCACTTGGTAAACAAGCTCGTAAAAACGGTTATTCCACAAGCCGCGATAGTAATCGAGAAAGCAACTTTGATACCCCATGCATAAGCATGTAGTATATCATCCAACTCGGCACCAGAGAAATTCTGTCTCAGAGTAGTGGCACCAGTTTCCGTAACCAAGGCGGGATCAACGGTCGGCGCTGTGCTGGACAGCTTGTGGATGATCTGGTTGATGAAGCCAGATTGCGCAGCTGTGATTAAGAATGTACCACCGAGGGTTCGAGCAACTATAATGGTGAAACGAAATGTCAGCTGATGGGACGGTAAAACGAAGAAAGGAAGAGGAAGATGTCTGAGGAAGGGAAAGGAAGTACTCACATATAATGATCGAAGTCACAGGAGCCATGTCACCGGGCGCAGCGAATGCTTGCGAAATGACAACCGGGACCTGGAGGCCAATGCCATACCCAAAGCCCGCCAAGATCTGATACCCAACCCATTTGCCTGTTGAGGTCCCAATGTCGAGGGTATAGAACAGGCCGGACGCAATAGTGACGATTATAGAGCTGCCTACCAGATACGGAGCTGCAGTGCCCGTCTTTGTGATGGCTTTGCCAGATGTAAATGTGGCAACGCTGAACAAGGCAATGAGAGGAATGTTTCGTACACCCGAGCCGATCGGACTCTGGTTATCAATACTCTGGAAGTAGATAGGAAGGTAGTAAAGCGTGATGAAGTATGCTCCAGCAAAGAAAAAGCCCCATACGGCGTTGACCCAAACGGTCCTCTGGCGAATGAGTCGTGGTGTCAGCATGGCGCGTTCTCCCAGCCAGAATTCTACTCCTATCAGTGCGATGATCATGAGAACAAAGCCGACGAGTAAGCCGATGACAACACTGGAGTTCCACGCATGGGTCACGCCACCGTATTGAAGAGCTAGAAGTAGCGATAATGACGCGCCCATCACAAGCGCTGTGCCTAGAAAGTCCATCTGTAAAATCTTTTCCTTGAGTGTAGCGTCGACGACCTTTACCCCTGCGGGAGTCTTGAAGGTGAGCAAGATGACGAGGACGGCTAGACCACCAATTGGCAGATTGATGTAGAAGCACCTAAAGAAAGATGGTCAGTTCACCTCCACCGCATAAAAGACAGATAGCTGTGTCGGGACAACAATCGCAAGAGCATGTACTCACCATCTCCAGCTCGCCCCATCTGTTAGCCCTCCACCAATAAGTGGCCCAGCAACAGCAGCTATACCATACGACAGCCCGATGAAACCCGTGTATGTAGCTCTTTTCTCGGGCTCGGCAATAAAAGCAGGAATCGTGTATACTCCAGGCGCAACACCCGAGGCGCCCAAGCCAGCGATAGAACGTCCGACAATCACAGTCGTTGAGTTTCGAGCGACAGCGCTGATCAGACTCCCAAGTTCAAAGATGAGGATAGAGACCAGGAAGCTTGTTTTCAGAGGAAAGAACTTGTAAATCTTCCCCCAGAGTGACTGGAAGGCTCCGAGGGTGAGGAAATATGCTGAGCCGTACCACGAGATATCTTGTAGTCTGTCGAATTCGTCGGTAATCTTGGGGACAGCAGTTGCAACGATGGTCTTGAACAAGATTAAGGTTTAGGTCAATAACAGCAAATCAGGGAAACAGTTGAGCTTACCTGATCGAGAGAGCAGAGCGTGATACTGAGCACCAGCGCAAGCATGATGAAGAACATCTCCAAGCCTTTTGGGTATTCAACGGGTTTTTCTGCCTCGTTCATGCCATTTTCCTGATCATTATTCGCATCTGCATGGCGGACCTCTGGTGTTTCTATGTCGTTGGCAGTTGAGGATGTCACAATGGACGGTTCTCTAAGCTCGGAATTATGCTTCTCCTCGTCGAGACCCACGGTAGTCGATTTGTCTGTGGCCATATTCTTTTCTCTGCCTCTCGTCTATTAAGAATGATGTGACGCTTAAGGTGTGTCTTTGTCGTATGGTTCAGAAGGCGATTCGATAGTTAGATCTATGGGGTTCCAAAGCGTAACCCCAATTGCTGGTTATTTTAGGTTATACAACAAAGCTAACGTGGAACAGCATTTTTAGAATCGCTCTGTACGCCAGATATTTACCAATATAAGTGTACAGGAATAGGTCCAATGTATTTTCCTATCACTGCCAACTTTAGAACGGAGGTAGTTGACAAACGCCGCGAAGTCCTTAAGTCCGTTAAAGCCGACCACCCTCAAAAGGAGAACTATTGTGGACAATCTTACCAACTTCCAATCATACCACGCCATGGAATTGTTAGACATCATTAAAAGAGATTTGAACTGATTCAAGATTCGGAACACTGACCTTAGTAGGTTTATACTGCGTCTCTATGTTGCCCTGATATTATTTTGAGCGGATCAGGGTTCTCAACTATCTAACATGTCTCAGTCAAAGACAGTAGCACAAAACGAGGCTGCCAGGAATAAATAGTGCTTAATTTAGTATTACCAGCCTCCGTTGACCCCTCATTGCCTTCTCTATGGCCAGGTGAGATACGGAGCCGGTATTCCGTTGACCGCCAGCGCGGAGGATCTGGCGCATTAACAGTAACAGGCAGCACGACTGACCAAGGATTTCCCCCGAGCTCTTAAGACTCTGCAAGTTATCAAATAGTGTACTACTAACCGTCAACAGGCCAGGTTTGTCAATATGACTCTTGTGAGATAGCATGTCATGGTTGAAGGCAATCCCAAGCAACTCCTATTACTACGTAGTAGCGCCATCTTGGGCAGTAGCTCTTCAAGACACGGTGATCAGTCCTTTCCGTTACTGATGTTTCTGTTAAGAAGTGATGGTAAATGGACTACCCTGTTTAGGGGAAGATGAGGCCCATTTAAGGTTACATGTTCCATGAAGTGGCCTGTTGCTCTTCTATCAAGACAATTTAACTCAGCACACCAGAATCATGCCTGATTCATAAGAATTCCATAACGTTTCCCTGATGCACACTAGCGCCAGCTTGAATATCCGCCATAAATGACGACCCTTCTTGCTCATAATTTCGAGGAGGTTGGGTAGATGAAACACGTATCCGATTGCCCTGATTCACACCATGCACCGTTTCTATCGTCCCATTATAGTTTGATCCATGCTGCCTCACCAAGAGGGGATGGCCTGGGGGAGGAGTAACCTTTCTGTCGGTATGAATATACCGCTTCAAGATAGCTTTCGATGTCGCAGCAGCCATTGCAGCGGCATAGTCCTGCCAATCCTTCGTCTTGTCACGATCGGCAAAGTCAGATACCCCTTTGACAATAATGCATGGCAGCTCCTGCCAGAGTCCTGCACCTTCCATCTCAAATGCAATTATGGCCTCAGCAGCAGCAATCCGATCACGGTGTTCAGCAGAAAGCATGACTGTATCGCCTGAAGCCATAGGTCCGAAGTGGATGGTAGGTCCTGGTAGCTCAATGGTTTGATCGGTTTGTTGTCCTCTCAGAGCTAATGGTTGCGACATAGATCCTGAAGCGCTGATAATTCTTGTGTCTGGGCTTTCGTATCTGTCATGCTGGCCTAATTTATCAGCAGTCGTTTTCAGTTCCTCAACAAACGTCGCAGAATCTTCCATGAGTCGCCTCTTTCCCAAGATCGTTTTGAGGCTCTCCAATAGATTGAGAAGTTCTTTGGGTAGCAGATGACCGTGAGAGGTCTTCTTGCGGACAAACTCCTGATCTGTCTGGTGGCCAAAGTCATGTTGAACGATGGTGTCGCTGATAACCACATCACCCATACGAATAATCCTTTCCCCTGCTGAAGGAACGGCACCGCAAACTCCAACTAATATTGTGAGGCGAACATTTGGGTAGCTTGTGCGTAGGCTCGTGACGGCGGTTGCTGAATTGACTTTTCCCTTTCCTAGCAATATGATCACAGCATTATGCCTACCGATACGCCCAGTGACATACATGTTCCGGTCCCCGCCAGTTTTGCCATAGTGATCACCATCCTCATCCCAGAACTCATCAACGACCATGCAGATAGCATCGAACTCAAGGGGCAAGGCGCAAATAAGGGCGACTGCAAAGTCCTCTCGGCCCGCAGGTCGCTGGTGACTGGTCATTGTCGAAAAACTCGCTCTTGGCTCCCTCATAGATGGGGTTAGAAACGGTCAAATGAGAGCCAGCTTTGTTTTCGAAGAGCTCGGTGCTGGAATCAAGGTAAAGAGGTGTCGTGGTGGAACCAGAGTAACTTTAAGCTCTTGACTGAAGGCAGGATGTTTCCCTCGAGTTACTTAAACAATGCGGGACAATTTTGAAGGTTCTGCATTTTCTGGGCCGAGCGTGATAGGTGTCAGGCGTCCCGATATTTCACACATGGCTGGAGGCTAACAGCAACGGCTGAGCGCTCGTTATCGCCTACCCCCGCTTCTTCTTTCAGCGGTGTGGAGTCGTCAGGCATCCAGCTTTTATGCGGGCGGCGTCGTGATCGGCTTACAATACCCGAGCCTAACTCAGACATGCAGTAAGTATTGCAGGTGCTTATGTGAACGGATGCTCATGCAGATTGAATTGTCTCCGTTACAGGAAAGCAGGTGATACGAATATGTTTGTCTGTTGGAAAATGTCTCTGTCGGGACAAATGGAACTCACAAAGACCTGGAGAGGCCGCCCCAAAGAGCATTGACTTGTCTTCGCCTTTCATGTGTTGGTGACAATTCTCGGTGGCTGCAGATATGGGTTCCTGGCTGCATATTTTGATCCAATGCCAGGCTTGGCAACCAGGATGATGCATGACGAGCATCAACCAACAGATTGCACTGCCCACTCCTCTGTCTTCGGCCATCGATGTCTATGCCCGTAATAACTGTTCAGTGTTAATATACCTAGTAGCTTTAGACTATGTAGTGATAACTTAACGTAGCATGAAATGTCAGAATTCTCTTTGTCTAGCCTGCTATAGAAACGAGGTAGTGTAGTAAGCAATCACCCGTGCAACAGGCGTGCATCAGATCATTCACAAGGTGAGAGTCGGCCAGTCAAATCCTACGAATTCTGAACCCGTACTGAGGGGTTTAAAATGAGGCTGAGCGCTTAGCTGGGCGTTGCGGTGAGTCTATGTAACCATAAGAGTTTCCTTTTCACTGCGTCAAACGTCCTGTCTGATTCCTCATTGTCCGCCAAACGTTTCCCACGTCGCCAATTAACTCGCAAAGAATTATTGATGACTAGAATGCCAGGTCCGTCGCGATTACATCAAGGTGGTTCAGAGTTTGCGAGCCCAATCACCGGGCATAATGTCGACTTAGGCAACAAGTCGCTGACCCGCAGGGACACAGCTCAGACGATAAATCACCACAACTATTATGGACACTCTACCGCCCCCTTGGAAGATCAGAGAGATGAGCAACGCGGAGAGAAGCGAAAATATACCGATGATCAAGGTTCGTTCTCATTATATCCACTCGGGAGCCCCAGACACCATGCGTCCAGACTAACCTACTGTTGATAAGCAGAACAAAGTAGGCACAGTAATCCACCACTTGAAACCCTACTCAAATCTTTAAGATTCATTCAAATCGATGCCCGACATGACAATATCAAGAAAGCTCATGCAAAAACATGTAAATGGATCCTCAAGAGAGCGGAGTACCTCGACTGGCTGAATCCCAACAAGGTCGATGAACATCATGGCTTTTTGTGGATCAAAGGAAAGCCTGGGGCAGGGAAGTCCACTTTGATGAAGTTTATTCTCGGCAATGCCCGCAGAAGAATGAAAGACAAATTCATCATCTCTTTCTTCTTCAATGCACGAGGAGAACAGTTAGAGAAGTCCACCACTGGCATGTACAGGTCACTATTACTTCAAATGCTACAACAACTTCCAAGGCTCCATAGTGTGCTCGATCCTGGGTTGGTCTTAGGGATCGGCGAGAATCACGATTGGAGTGTTGAGGCACTGAGAACACTGTTTGAGCAGACTGTAGAGGGCCTTGGGAACTCTTCTGTGGTTATGTTCATTGACGCTCTGGATGAATGTAATGAGTCAGACATTCGCGCAATGGTGTCATCCTTTAAGAGTTTAGGAAGCTTGAGCGTGGCTGAAGGAGTCAGTTTCCAGGTATGCTTGGCGAGCAGACACTATCCTCACATTACGATGCCAAAGAAAGTTGAGCTAGTTCTTGAGGGACAAGAGGGACATGAGCAGGACATTATTTCTTATCTTGACAGTGAGTTGGAGATTGGAGACAGCAAGCTCGCCAACGAAGTTCGTTCGCAGATCAAAGAAAAAGCGTCAGGTGTGTTTATGTGGGCTGTTCTTGTATCTGGCATTCTGCAACAGAAGTACGATCAAGGGCGCATCCACACTTTGAAGCAAACACTTCGGGAGATACCAGGGGACCTGCACGAGCTATTTCGAGATATTCTTACTCGAGATGATGCAAACAAGGATGAATTGCTGTTATGCATTCAATGGGTTCTCTTCGCAAGACACCCACTAAAGCCAGAGCAGCTTTATTTTGCCATTCGCTCACACATTGAATGCGCCACTTGCAAGTGGGATCGAGATGAAATACCGGAAGATGCCATTGGCAACTTCATTCTAAGCTCCTCGAAAGGCCTTGCTGAAGTCACAAGGGTGAAACAGGATCCAACAGTCCAGTTCATACACGAGTCAGTCAGAGATTTCCTTCTTAAGGACAACGGCCTCAGGGTTATCCTGATGGAGGCGAGTGGCAATCTGGGTGCAGAGAGTCACGATCAGTTGAAGAAGTGTTGCTTTGAGTATACGAAATTTTACACGACAGAGCATGGTGCACTAGCAAACGACTCCAAAGAGCAGCTTGTGGATGCTCGTGGTACAGCAGACGACGAGTTTCCATTTCTCAAATATGCTGTACAGAATGTCCTTTATCATGCAAATGCGGCAGAAGAGGGGAATATCAGCCAGGCCAGATTCCTTGAAATTTTTCCACTTGGAGAATGGATTCAGTACAATAATGTCTTCCAGGACAAGGAAGTGCGCCGGCATACTAGCGAAGCCAGCCTTTTATACCTCTTGGCCGAATACAACTTTGGGAGCCTTATCGAGGGGATTCAAGGGAGCCAGTCCTGCTTTGACATCGAAGGTGAGCGCTATGGCGCTCCTATCCTCGCAGCAATGGCTACGGGCAGTCGACTGACAGTCTGGAAGCTGCTCAAAAGGGAGACACGCGATGAGCCGGCAACGTCACTTTTACACTCTTTGTGCAACGAGTACGACGTGGAACAGAAAAGGAAGTCTCGCATTGGGCGTGACTTTAAATTTAAACCAAAACGGAGTCTTCTTTACTATATCCTACATGATGAAGACCTTGTTGTGGCGTCATTTGCTATCACTTCCTCCAAAGCCTATACAAATATAGATTTCAGAACTCATCGTGGAGAGACAGCATTCTCAGTTGCCAATCAGCAAGGTCATGACTTCTTTGCCACTGTTAAGTTACTCGTTGATAACGGAGCCGACATCGAGGTTAGAGATCTGTTCGGACGGACGCTGCTTTGCCGTGCTGCTCACAGGGGAAATGCAGCTGCTCTAGCCTACCTACTTCGGAAGGGCGCCAATATTGAGCAAACCGACAACCTCGGCGATACGCCACTCGCCCATGCTACAATCCATTGCAATAAAGAATGCATGAAACAGTTGATTTCGAAAGGGGCCAATGTTGCCGTAGTAGATATAAGCGGACAGACACTGCTCTTCAAAGCGGCACAAAGTTTAACGGAGTACGAAGCCAAAATGCATTTATTACTTGCTCAGGATGTGGATGTTCAGAAGATTGACGATGATGGCTACACAGCACTGACATGGTCATTGAAAAAGGGATGCGCCACGAAAGCAATTGTGCAGGTCCTGAAAGAACATGGCAATAAAATCGACCAAATCGACCATTTGGGAACAACACCATTGATGCTGGCTTTGAACTGCCACTTATCGATCTTCAAGCAACTGATAGATATGGGCGCCGAGATTGACTCGGTTGATAATAAAGGACAGAGCGCGTTGTTGCGAGCCGTTAAGTTGAAGGCAGAGGATCAAGCACGCCTTTTAATAGAGAACGGCGCCTACACCGATGTCTTTGACACACTCACTAAACGTACAGCTTTGTCATACGCTGTTACTTCTCGACGTGATGACATATTCTATGTCAGAGAAGGTCATCCAGTGGAGGGTCTAAAGTTAGCAGCTCATCGGAATCGCTTGCATCCTGGCATAGCAGAAGCGCTTCTCATTGGCGGTGCGGCGGTTGATGTCACTGATGTGACTGGTAGGACGCCGTTATCATATGCAGCAGACAATAGCTTTCCGAGCGCCGATTTCATCCGGCTACTGCTTGACCATGGAGCAGATGTTAATAGAGCAGACAATAGTGGTAGGACCCCACTGTTCTATGCTGCTTCGTGCGATGACTTACAAGCTGTGGATTGTGTGCAACTGCTTGTGGATCGAGGAGCAATTCCTGGTATAGTTGATCGGACTGGAAATCCTGCTCTCTCATATGCTGCTACTAGCGCTGTTAGGGCCTTACTATCCAGTTTTCTATAGACTTTAATTACTACTAGGAGCTTTCTGAGGTTCATCGTGCTGTCAGATATAATGCTATGATTTGTAAGCGCTACGAAACTAGCTCACGTCGGGTTTGCCAATGCTTCCGCACAGCCTAACGTCAAAGTTTCTACTGATTGTTTACCACTATGGATACCGCAGCCATAAAAACTGCTGATGAAACGCCGTCCCGCTGATGGGTTGTGCCGCTTCTGCATGGGCTGCGCAATGTTTTGTGGATAAAGCATAATCGAAAGACCTTCCATATACGTGAGCGCCTACATTTGTCTCCAAATATCACATCACATGGACCACGCGGGTGACGACCTGAGACAGGATGTTATGCAGTTGGTTGAAGTTTTACAAGGGTCAACCAACAGGCTGGTTAAACTGAGCAAATGAATTGGGAATACGTACACCCCAGGACCCGCAACCGCTACAGGTCGATTCTGCAACGGAAGCAAGCCGGAATCCCCCTCACGCATGACCAGGTGTTGGTCCGGGGCACCATGGTGGGTGATTCCGTACATAGTTCCAAATGTCTCAACTGCTTTATTTCCCTCCTTTCCATCCATTCCCTCCCTCCATCTTCTGTATGAACAACCTATTCAATATGTCGTCCTGGAACCGTTATGACCTTGGCCAAACCAATATCTTTTATGATGAAGCAAAACCTCCGCTTTGGAGTTTTGTGCTACCACCGCATGTAGAAGATGTAAAAGGGTGTTTGATGGACTTTTCTTGCCTTGCCAATGGGAAGAACGATTCTTTTCACGCAATCTCAAAAGATATTGCGGAAAGGATGGAGCAAGGCCTGAATCCAGACCCAGTTCATAAAGCAGCAGAGAGGATTCAGCATGAAGTTGTTAGCAAAGTCGGTGGGGGCTATGACGAAAAAGTGTGGCAGGATATCTTCAAAAAGCATTTTTTCGATCAGCTTACCGACTCTCTCTCGATATCGAAGGAAGATTCACGAAGGTAAGTTATTTAGTACAATACCGACATAATTGCAGCTGACAGAAATTCCAAGAGTATCACGAAGCAAGTACTACTACGATCAGGTGATAAGGTATGCTTACCGCCAAGGCTTGTCTAACATCAATATTTAACAGGATGGACAGAAGCAGTGACCAACTTTGGACCTTATTCGAACCCGAGCAGAAGGCAACAATCTCGCGATTAAGGCCAGTAAAATGCCCAAAGCCCGATCAAGCTTTCTTCCTCCCGATTTATCACCATCACAACAATAGTGGACTCCCAAAAGTGGTGGATCCCACAGCTCGGCAATGGAGCCAAGCTGGGGACTCCCGGGCTGTGGAGCCTTTTGTCTGGTCGACCCTTCAAGCATTGAACAAGTTTGGCCTTGAACCGGCTCCGTTTCGCATCTTCGAGAAGTCCCCATTGGAGGCCAACCTCCGATGTTATCCTTGGCTTATAGTAGAGCATAAGAAAGAGAAGAAACAGAATGAGGGACTCGAACGGGTTGTTAACTGTCAGGCCGCCAATGCCGCGGCTTGTGCCGTCAGTCTGATCCAGCAGACGGCTCAATATGCTGTTAAGCTCCCCAGACACGCACATATCCCCCCAATCCCTGCAATTACTACTCTTGGACCTTTTGTTACAGTATGGCTCATGTATTTCGCCGAAGACTTTGATGCGCCCTGCAGTCGAAGGGATACAGACGAAGTATTAACAAGGCGGCGGAAAGAAGGCTATGTATGTGTTGCAATCTCTAGCCCATACACCATCAAACCTATACTGACGTCGATAGGTCATGCGAGCGATCTGGAAAGGCGACGTTAGAAAACTCACAGACATCATCGCGTTTTAGATGATAATTGATAATGCACATACGTGGGCAACCCGAGTCTTCAAGCCCTTGATCTCCTCGTATATCGAGCAGTGGAAACATATACACAGCGAGCAAAAGACAGGCAGGGTGGTCCAGGACCTACTCCTGGCGGGTAAATCACAAGGACTTCGTCAGAAGAATATTGAACAGCGAAGACTCGTCGTGCCCATAGTTCGAGATCTACTAGATGCCCCTGCTGGGATGGAATTAGATGATATGGCACATAAAAAGGTCACGCCATTGTTCCTTGGTATGCTTATGCATCAGATATGCTCCACAGAGAGAGACTTCATTTCCAGTCAAATCGAGAAAGCGGTAACGGAAAGGCTTCAGGTTATTGTCACAAATGGCGCCACAGTTACTACCCAAGTCGATGCTCTTCACCGAGTTGAAGCAACAACACAATTACCTCTCCGGAGTGAACACGAAGAAACAATACCAAGCGCTGATTCGTCGCAAGAGACTCAATTTCCAGAAACTGACAATGACGACCCGAATGACTCTGATTACAGTCCTCCACGGTCCCAATCACGATCAAGATCAACTTCAGACGCACACTTATATGATGAAGATGCTCGGTCTGAGGTTGCCATTTCTATAGCTTCTGATTCAATCTCTTCATTTAGATCCTTTTCAAACGACACAACGCTCGTATGGAGACCTCCGAGTAATCCTGAAACACCAAAGGTTGGACCAAGTAGCAAGCAGGGTTCTGCAAGACCAAACATGCTTCATCGACAGTCCTCACAGCCATCGGAGGACTCCAACGACGCGACCCCGAAGCCGAGCACGATGGGGAATGGAATTGATTTCAATTTTGCATTTGAAAGTCCAGGTTCGCCACGTGCAAGTTCGCATCTTGAGCGACTGGGAAAGAATAAACTCGATGGGTCACCAGTGTTCGCAGGTCGATCGCCACCCAGTGAACCAAAGTGGCCGCCGGGACGAAGGTTTGCCCAGTCAAAGACTCGAAAATCTCCCCAGCATCCCAAGTATGGGAGTGACATAAGCCCATCTCCCCCTGAAGGTCCTATGGCAAAACTGTACATTGACTTGGCGAGTAATAGCCAGGAAGACCCCCCAAATACCAAGGACTAAATAACCGGACGATCCTGTTTCTGATAAAGGAGGCTTGGGATATTCTAGTTCATAGCGTACAATCCTTCAGATATTCTCATAGCTACCAATTTCTTCTCATCATGGTGCTCACATGTATCTAGTCTATGATTATTTTACCTCACACTCAAGCTACTATTGATCTCCATCGTTTGGTTCAAATAGTAGCAGGTTTTCAGGGATTAGTAATACCTCCACGTTATAACGGTGTAATTGGGATCCGTTCATAGCTCGTTTTCTGTAATATAATTGAAGTGCGCGGTATTATTCGTTGGCTGCAGCTGATATCCGAATATGACCGGATATAGGGGACGCCCGTTGATCTATTAGTCAGTTTCGCTCCGGTTTGGTCCTGACCTCTAGCCCAAATTCGGCTAGATTTGCTGTCATCTAAATTGCGTCTTGATGTAAAGACCGTGATTAACAATAATCGCCATATGATGAGCTTTAACGTTAAAGGGTTGGATAGCGTTACACACAGGTGGTGTAGTGGGAATACTGTATGTAGCGTGTAAGTTATAATTATAACCAAATATCGAGTTCTCCATTACCTGTTTTTCGAATCTCACCACTGCGATTGATCTATACCTAAACATATACCTTGAAGTCCAAGTTGGGAGCCAGACGACAATCATGGGTGCCGCCAATTCTTTGCACGACACTGTCCGAGATGCGCCTCTGGGGCAGATTCTCCGATTCGCTACCAATAATCGCCTCTTCAAATATCCAGAAGAACGTCCAGATTTTGAGCTACCTGCTGCCTGGAATCATTTACTCAGCGCTGCCGATCGCAGGCACACATGCCACACTGGGACTGAAACCCCCTCGACTATTGTCAATCCGCAATCCGATCAAAATACTATTGAAGTTTCAGATATCGAGAGCAAAGGACTCGATGGTGATAGGTCTATTGATGCTGCACCCACGGTTACCGAGAGCGGAGTCATTCTGGTCGATTGGTACTCGGATCAAGATCCCGACAACCCGCAGAACTGGTCGAACCTCCGTCGTGCCCTCGTTGGCTTGATTATCTGCTTCTACACTTTTGTTGTGTATCTCAGTTCAGCGATATACTCACCCTCAACAGAAGGCGTCATGGAGAGATTTGGAGTCAGCAATCTTGAAGCAACGCTCGGTCTTGCTATGTATGTTCTGGGATACGGCATAGGTCCGTTGCTATTCTCTCCCCTCGGGGAGATCCCCCGTATTGGTCGAAACCCAGTCTACATTATCACGTTCGGGATTTTTGTTGTCATTTCCATTCCAACAGCTTTGGTAGACTCGTTCGCGGGACTCATCGTCTTGCGCTTTCTGCAGGGATTCTTCGGATCTCCATGCCTGGCTTCAGGTGGTGCGTCACTGGGTGATATGTATGGCATGATACATATGCCCCTCGCTATGATCGCTTGGGTTGGTGCTATGTCTTGTGGCCGTAAGCATTCCGTCATGTTTCGTTTTTATTCGATTTTTCTGACTGTCTCGCAGCATCCCTCGGCCCATTGATTAGTGCCTACGCCGTTACAGCAAAGGGGTGGCGTTGGTCCTTGTATGAGTCCATTTGGGTCTCAGCGCCAGTACTAATTGCTCTCTTCGTTTGCATGCCAGAAACAAGCGCTCCTAACATCCTCCTTCGACGGGCCCAAAGGCTGCGCCAGTTTGCGGGCAGCGAGAGGCTTCAGTCCCAGAGCGAGATCGATCAGGCACATCTTACAGTCTCGGGGATAGCTGTAGACGCCTTGATCAAGCCCCTAGAAATCACCATCAAAGACCCAGCTGTCTTGTTTGTACAGGTATATGCGACAATCCTCTATGCTATATATTACTCTTGTAAGTAGCACTTGTCTCTGATCACCGTACACATCTGACCGTGTAGACTTCGAGGTCTTCCCATTGGTCTTTCCTGTCTATTACGGCATGACTCTTGGAGAGGTCGGGCTTGTTTTTATCTGCATCGCCGTTGGATGCATCTTGGCTATCATCCTGTACGGCTTATACCTCTATTACGTGCTCATACCACGGATGAAGAAGTCTGGTATCGCACAACAAGAGGAAGTGCTCTCCCCTGGACTTGCTGCCTGCTTCGGCCCGACTATTGGTCTGTTCATATTTGCTTGGACAGCTAGGGTTTCCATACACTGGATCGTGCCAGTTATCGGAGTCACAATCTATGCTGGCTCGATCTTCACCGTGCTACAGGTAGTATTTCTTTATATTCCCATGACCTATCCTCAATATGCGGCTTCCTTGTTCGCAGCCAATGACTTCTTTAGAAGTGCCTTAGCCAGCGGCAGTATTCTGTTTGCTCATCCGCTTTACAAGAATCTGGGCTTTGCTAAAGGCACAAGCCTTCTTGGCGGTCTAAGCGTCATTGGCATCTTTGGCATGTGGGTGTTGTTCTTCTACGGTGCCAAGCTACGAGCCCTCAGCAAGTTCGCTACGTAGCCCTTGGACGGGATTGTCTTTCGTGGCTAATCAAGCGCTTAGCGTTGAGATAGACGTTGACATAAACGACTCAAGGCTGGTAGATCATGATTGGATGAAGGCTAGTTATGAATGGCCCATATCAGGCTATGATTGACGGTCTGGTAAATCAGAAGGATTCGGGGAAAATGGTCGGTTCTAAAAGGTGCGGTACGGATGATGTATTATATTCAGATCTAAAAACTTGAGCAGCAACTTCTCCTCTCTAATGATATCTGATACAATTACATCCGCTTCAAAACCAATGTCTTCTGTAAAATCTGAAGTTTTAATGTCGCATACTAAAGCATGATTTAGTAAGCCGGTGTAGACATATAGAAAATGTGTCTCCAAAGGAGACGTTATCTATGCAAGTAAGGTGCATACTTCGCTGTGCTTCAATAACGTAGTTACTTCAAGGTGACTTGGATGGAAACTCGAGTTCTTGCGGTAACTAAGGGGCGGTTTTGCCTGAAATATATTGTCAAAATGTGTTATTCAGAATGGTACAGCTGAGACCTGGCCTTCTAGGGTAAGCAAGAAAACTTGCGACCTCTATCAGAAGTGACAAAAGACTTAGGTAAACCTGATGGAGATTCAGTAGACCATAGACTAGTTAACTGGAGCACCTTGCCCCAAAATCAACACTTTTCTTCCTCCCTGAGGTGTTTACTTCGCGCGCCTTACCGCTGCACGACGATGACATGTTAAAATAACAAATTCCTCTGTCAATAGGGTTATAATCTAGCAATTCTATTGCGATGATTACGGGACCATCGATCTGATATCCTGAGGACTATGTAGGTTGAGCTAGTTGATCAAAGGATCAGTTGAATGCTTTTGTTCCAGAAGCTTCCTTATCTCCAAACCATGACCAGATATCGTAAAGCAACAGATCAGGCACCTCATAAGCAGCAAAATGGCCGCCATGATTATGTACAGTTCTCTTCAGAACATTTCCTCCGCGCTTCGCCCATTCTAGCGGCATACGGTAAGTCAAGTCATAAGGGAATTGACTGATGGCGACTGGAACTTCTACCAGCGGCAGAGTGCCAAAGTCAAGTGTTTCAAAACCTCCATCATTTTGCACTTCTTTATAGAAACGCATGCCGCTGTACGGACCTTGGATCCAGTACATCATCGACCAAGTAATAATCTCCTCGGGCGTCCATGCCATAATAGTCGGGTCGATGACCCTTTTCATAATGGAGTACATCCACATAGCATTTCCAAGTGGCGAGTCCGTCATACCGTATGCGACGGTGAGTGGTTCCGTCGACATTATCAATCGGTAGCCTGATCCCTGATTCTCGTAATTTTCTATAATCTCGATATATGCAACCTCATCGGGCGTTGCTTCTCCCTCTGCAAGTCGGCGAAGGTCATTATTCCCGGGCTGGATAATCCAGAAATTACTGAGTGCCGAGATCACATGCTTCGGAAAATGGTGGGCTTGGTAGCGAAGGATGACACCACCAAAATCTCCACCTTGAACGACGTATCTGGAGTACCCAAGCTGGAGCATCAGTTCGTTGAAGGCATATGAAGCCGCGGCGGGACCAAAGCCTGGCTGCGTCGGCGCGGGAGAGAATCCAAAACCTGGGATCGAAGGCGCCACAACATGAAATGCTGGTACAGATGCATTTGGTGGATTTGTCAGATTTCCGATAATGTTACCGACTTCAAGGAAGGACCCCGGCCACCCGTGAATGAACAGCAACGGTATGGCGTCCGGTCTCGGTGAGCGGTGATGGACGAAGTGCAGTGGCACCGAATGAGTGATATTGTTGATTTCGGGTTCAACAGTCGTCGTGAACTGCTTAAGTCTTCGCACACCATTAGTAAGTTGCCATCGGAATTTCTGTCCGTACAACCCTCACCTCTTATTGATAGATGCTTCAGTAGCATTCCAATCATACTCATTAACCCAGAAGTCACGAACGCTTGTGAAGTTCTCAGCACTCGGGCCATCGCTTGTCACATTTATAAACAATGGTGCCCTTGTATGAGCGACCCGCTGCCGGGTATCCTCAATAAACTTTTGATCAACATGAATTTGAAACGGCTTAGGGGTTTTAGTAAAGGTGGCATTGACATTTGGCACCGAGAAGGGCTCTGAAGCAGCGCAGAGGAGAGAGCCAACGGAAAAGATGAGCACATAAAGGCACCGCATGATGACTTGTGATGAAAGACAGCTTGAATGTCGGCGTTTGCTTTTGAGATATAACACTCTTATACCTTCATTCTATGATTCTGCGACCCTGTCAAATGCTCCTCACCTACGTTTGATTTATAAGCATTTTACATCCCTAACGAGTGTTCTAAAGTATTAACGGTTCTATTTGGTATCAACGGAGCACCATGAGAGTTAATCGAGTAATGCTACGAAACGTTATGGACGTTGAGTAATCCGTCTGAGTCATCAGCGCCCTTTTGCTGACACGACTAAACATAGTCGCATGGTACCAGAGTATTTCTCTCCAGTTTTGGTAGCTCAGAAGAAGATCTTTTTGAAAAGGCCGTAAGCGACCCTGGATTATCAAATTTACTCATTCAACGGCTCCGACATTCCCGAAGCTGTATCCGAAGGCGTCCGGATATAACCTACGTTGCCCATCCCAGCACTTGCGCTCGGTTTACTGAATCGAATCAACTAGGTATATGGAAGGATGAAATCAAAATTTCCGCCAAAACCTCTCCTGGATTTCTACGTAAGATCTCAGCGGTGGCATTTAACATCAAAGTTCTCTTTCAACTAAATATCAGTACACAAGGGCCTATTGGCGTTATTCTAGCAGCTATTGGTTCGGATGAAAGAAAAATGCCAAAACAATAAAACCTCTAATTGACTCTTAGGACTGTATCCGAATGATCACGGATGTTAACCACCACAATCAGACAATTTGTCATCTTAGAATCTCTAGTGGAGACTCTACTGGGCTTCACGTTATCATCGGCACCTCGTAATATGGCACGCTGCAACGATCTTGGCCATAAATAGGTCAGTTCATCATTCTCTCGCTATTTTGTTATTTATCAACTTACACAAATATCTGCTGAGGCATATCTTTTTGATCCATACACCATATGCGCTTTCATCGCATAGCCTTGCCGCTTGTACTACAGTCATGGCTACCGTTCAGTTCGGCATTCTGGCCTATGCATACCAAGTAATCGATGCCAGCGGACCAATGGATCTTCTCAATTCGGCCAACAAGTCGGCCTTCCTTATCAATCGAGAGTACGGACCTGTGAGCGATGATCTCATTTTACAGGCACCACAATTCACGTTCCACCATATCGGTGTTACCAGAGATCCTGTTAAGCTTGGCACTGGCCAGATGACTATCATCCCTACAACCACAGTAGATGACTGCCCTGAGCTTGACATCTTGCTTGTTCCAGGACCTTACCTCGGCAACTTCGATCTACACCCCAAGCATGCCGACTTCATACGGAAACATGTCGCTGCCGGCAAGTTGCTCTTTACCAGCTGCACTGGGGCTAGCCTTGTCGCATCGACAGGTGTGTTGAACGGAAGAACGGCTACCGTCAATAACATCGAATTTGATTGGGTTCGAAATCGCTGGCCGCAGGTCAATTGGACACGAGAGAAGAAATGGATTATTGACGGGAATATTTGGACGGGATCTGGCGCTGTTGCTGCTATGGATATGGTGGCCTATTGGCTCAAGGAGAATTATGGCCTGCCTGTACTTATTCAGGCTGCCTCTACATTGGACTATGAGCCTCGAGACGTGGATGGCATGCTCAATGTTTTGCCTCAGAGATATGATTCGAAGGGAGAAAAGACCTCTACTCACGTTTTTAAGTATTATGATTCTTAGGTAGCTCCACTCTTAGAATAGAGAAAGTATCAAGTTGCAATAATGTACACTATGAGGAAGAGTTAATAATAAACCCGTTTCGTTACCTCATAAATCTCCGACGTCAGCATTATTTCCGCTTGGTTATTCCCCCTCGAGCCGCTTCCCCTCCCACTTGTAGTCACCGCTTATGCTCCCCGCTTACACGTCGATCATTCGAACTTCATTTTTGGTCTGTCAGGTTACGGAAAGCTGGGGCAACTGACGGGAAAATGAGGCTCAGAGCCTCTACATTAAAGTTCTACTTTCTTATCCTTGCTTACATGACAGTCAACTCCAGCTTCTCACTGACCTTCCGAAAAGGGTTGCAGCAAATAGGAAAGTCGTCCTCGTACCAGCCTTGATCTATCTCGCAAAGAAGTCATGAAGCTCACAGAAAGTCAACATTTGCATGCTATGGCTGTCAAGACACAGACTCAACCCTATCTAGTCATAACTGAATGAGGGTGGGAGCATGGCCAGTGCCGGTTTTCCGTTCACCATGCAACTTCTGCCAGTGAGGAACCAATGATATTTCTACTTTGTAACGCGAACTGTTCGTGAGCCGCGCGTTCCTACCCATCACATGGTGAATAATTAGCTAATAACGAGTTTCAAATCAGTGGACAACTGTTGCTGTTGCTTCTGAGTGTGGCTGAGTCTACAGTCCTTCCATGCCAATACATGCATGTATGAACTCCATAAGCACGCATTGTACTACATGAGTTGGTAATCCCACAATGATTCACCCCACTTTAGTGTCGACAGGGTTCTATTGAGTAATGTCAAGACGGGTGCTCTCTGTTCTGTTTATGTCTTCATGATGTCAAGCTTTGTGACTTCAGACCAGAACGTTCGTTCGGATGTTACACTTTCCGCTGACGAGTACGTTCCTTCGTAGCTATGTCTGTGTCATTGCAGGATGGCTTTCGATGGATTCATCTGTGACCTACAGTTTGAAAGTAGCTAGTTTACGCGTCATCAGATGGAGGTTTGCGGGTATAAAGAGGCTGGAAGCTCCCTCTCTTTATCACGACAATCAACCCTTCATAATCCCATCCGCAGAGACGAAAACAGAGACAACCACAAGTATTTATCACTTGAACATTTCCAACTCAAAATGCAGTTTACTAGTCTTCTTTCAGTTGCCGCCTTAGCCACCATGGCCATGGCTGCCTCCGTCCAGGTCAACTTGTTGGTTTCCCTTTCTAACACAGTATTTTCATTGTCTAACAGTGTTGCAGCTATTCCGATACTGGTTGTCAGAACTTCATCGGATCCCGCTTCATCGATTTTGACCCGAACCAGGGTGGCACACACCATAGTGGTGGCCCTGCAGGCTCTCGTGGTGGCCTGTTTGTCAACTCCAACGGAGATAACCTCGCCTGTAGGTTTCTCATTTTCTACTACCACTTAGTCTATATTCTAACTCTAACCCTTGCAGTCCGTGGGTTTAGTAACCACCCTGACGGTAGCAGCCCTTTCACTGGCAATGTCGTTGACGGCGAATGCATTGGTACCCTCAACGGTGTTGTTGCCGTTTTTATCGTCTGAGTAACATGCCCTCCTTAGAACTAAGAGACAAGGCCATCTTGGGAAGAGGACTGTAGGAACTATGGGTCTGCAAATCTGAGTGATGGATTTGGGGACGAAATGACATATTCAACATATGGGTCATTCTTTAAGTAGTCACAGTCATTACATTCAATTCACTCGTAGCAGTCAATACTGCTACTTAATCCAACAAATTCGTTCATCATGATGTGATAGTGGTATTCAGGTTCATTATCTTGTTGATACAACAGAATAATCATGCTCTGGATGTGCTCCCTTTTGGTATCTTAGATTCCATCTCCTGACTCCCAAGCTCGCCTCTCTACAGCTAATTCCTCGCTATAATCACCGAACTCGCTGAACACGTCTTGCATCATCTTGTTATGTCGCCTTGGCCACCGAAATCGCTCAAACATGCTCTTGGTGAAATCCCAGTAGTCAGGGTAATATCCTGCTGTTTCCCAGTCTATAATGGCACTCAATCGCCACCCTCCAGCTCCAGCAGAATTTCTAATTCTTTCCACCATGATGTTGCGAGGATTGAGATCTCCATGTGTAAAAACAATCTTGTGCCCACGCCGGCTGGGCTCGTCTGAGAAGCGTAGATGCTGGCTAAACGACGCTTCATCTGGACAAGGTCCGATGGGGGCCCAATCTCGAATTCGCGGATCGCGGCAGGCTTCCCCCAACGTATTGCAGATAGCCATACCATAGTCGATCGGCTTTTGAATGTCCCGCATCTGTGAGACGCAGTCCTTGAGTTGAGCGGAGGCGTTGGCGTAGTCTTGGTCAGACAGTGCATCCCGACATGTCGCCAATGTTGTGCCTGGAACCCTACTTATGAGGAGATAACTGAAAGCATTGTCACGAGTGTTCGGGGAGACAATATCAAATGCCCGTGGCGCAGAAATGCCCGTTTTATGTTCCAAAACCTTGAGAGCATTATACTCGTTCCTCAGGGTGTCCGAGTTGGAATTGAACTTGAGGTATAGTCCAAACGGTAATCTCTGAACCTGCGCATCTCCATCCTTTCCGTAGAATCGGTTTCCTATTTTTCGCAATAGCTCGTATGCCGCAATACGAACCGTGGATGGGAAGAACCGCCACAAAAGCATTGTTGGACGTATGAACGCCTGTCCCAGGCCGAGGCTACTAGAGCGCATGCGGACTGGGAAATGCTGTTGTTGGAAATCTGTGATTGGTTTCGGCTCAGAAAACAGACCGGGGGCGATGCCCCTGGCAAGATTCACTAGCTGGATACTTCTGCAGAAGCGGGCGTGCGAACCGATAAGCCGTGCGTCAGCCTTCTCAATTCCTTGCCGTGAATGGTCACCGAGCAGAGCAATGACGCCGTTCACATCGACTGGTTGCTGATCGTCAATGAGAACATGCTCAACTCTAAACTAGACAAATTCATCAGATTTGTTCTCATTTCAAATGATCAATGCATTTACCTCGATCATGGATGACGGTAACCTTGTCAGTTTGATGATGCCGCGCTGCAAGGCCTCTTGCACGCTCTTTCGAACGAGCCAGTGAGTGTGATATGGAGAATAAACGTCGGCCCTGTCGATAAAGAAACGCCACCAATCAAGATATTGGGGACCAAAGAATGCTACGAGGAGCTCTATAATACGCGGCTGGTGTTGTAGTTAGACATTAGGGTATGTACGACAGAAACAAACAATCCTGACCTCGCCTTTGAGCCACCCAGATGGCACGGGCAGAATCGGAGCGACAATTACGGGGTCCCAGAGGCTACCCTGTTTGCCTGTTACGCAGCATGTACTTCCGTCCCGCTTGGTAATGGCATCGATCTCATCAGGTGAAGGGGCTCGCGGCTGCTTGCCAGAGATGACTGCGGTTGAGTAAGTGAGAGGCGTTGACTACAGCGGAGAGGGGATACTAACCTGAATCAATGACATGAATCCAGTCGGCAACAAGAGAACCAGCATATCCCTCGGCGCTCAATCGGCGTTGTACGTAATCTGCAGCCGCCTGAGGTTGGACAGACTCCAGGATGTAAGCGCGTAAGAGAGCGGACGCAGGATGTTCAAGTGGAACACGGTCTACTACGTCGAGTGCCTTGTGTACGTCTGGCGACGGGGGGTTCATGATGACCGTTGAGTTGGTAGATAGGCATCAACGTGAAGAGTCGTATAAGAATGGCGTTATTTCCACGAGATGTCTCGTTGCTAGGAAAAGTCTTGTTGTAATAATTTGCTGCTATGCTCATAAAAAAGAAGAAAGAGAATAAAAGGTGATAGTGAGCTTCGACACTTTAAATGCAAGAACTGGTTAAAAAAAGAGTTGGTTGGGGTGAACATCGTGCGGTAAGCAAGATGCCACCATTGGACAGTTGAAATGTGCTGAGGATGTTAAAGTGGGGCCAGGCACCATGTCCTAGGCAACATTATAATAGACTCCCCTCTTAATCTTCACTTCATCATCAACCCGATGGGTTCTCTTCCTCTCAGCAGCATTCAAGTGCCTCCAGCCCAAGGCCAAACGCACTCTCACACCGTCGTCTTCCTGCACGGCCGCGGAGATAGCGCTGCCAACTTCTGCAACTCGCTCCAATACTCGCGCGACTCTCAAGGGCGCACGCTTGCCGACGCTTTTCCGTCTTTTCGACGGGTGTTTCCTCAAGCGCCTAAAAGAAAATGCGCCAGTTCACCCGACGAGTGGAACCAGTGGTTCGATGTCTGGAACGTGAGCAATCTTGCGGAAAACGAAGATCTGCAGGCAGAAGGACTTAGAGAGGTCGTACCCACGATTCGCGACATTCTGGCCAAGGAGGCAAGTGACTTGAACGGGAGGTGGGACAAAGTCATTTTGATGGGAATCAGTATGGGCTCTGCAACAAGCGTGCACACGTTATTCAACCTCGACATCCCAACCCCAGACAAACGACTGGGCGCCTTTATTGGTTTCAGCGGGCGTTGCCCGTTTGCCGGCCGAACACTTGATGAGATGCGCATGAAGCTTCAAGTCGATTCGTCCCCCCCACACAGTGATGTTCTCAAGAATACGCCTATGCTCTTGGAACATTGCGTTGACGATCCGTTGGTATTGGTGGATTGGGGTAGAAAGCAGTGTGAGATATTGAAAGGGTTCGGAGCGAATGTAACATGGAGGGAGTATGGGAATGGAGGACACTGGTTCAATTCACCCCATGGCATGGATGATGTGGTGGGGTTTTTGAGGACTGTACTTTAGATGGGCATTAGAATGGTAGACTTGAACGTTAGGAAAGGGCCATCTCTGTCATGCGTGATTGGAAGGCGGGCGCCCAGTGCAGCTCGTTGGTCACTGTCGTGATCGGCATCAATCTCGTTGATCGCAAACCTTTACTCTTCTTGATTGTTTTCACTCGAAGGCGCATTACTAGAATTATCTTTATACTGGGCGAAATGCTGTGATAGCCACTGGCACATCCAGATCGCCGAAGATTGTAAGTTGGATGACTCCAAAGGCAATTCCGTTGTCTTTGACTCCGGGGCGGTGTACCGACGTTTGTGTAGGAAGATAGAGGTGAGCTGCGCCTACTCTGTAGTCATTCATGCAATCCAGGCTGTTGAGGGAGTCCCTCCAACGTTGACTTGAACGTGAGAAAGTGGAGGTTGGACCATATAGGCATATTTTCTCAACGTGACATTCTTTTGTTCCTTTGCTAGCCTCATATGACGTGAGGAGGGTCCAGGCCCAGCCCTGATGGTCCGTATGAAGTAAGTGATGCTGGCATTGAGGCTGAGTCTTATTTTAGCTGATGAATAAAGTGCATGACTATATTTTGGTCATGTTCAAGATATCAGCCGTTATTGAAATGATTGGTCTTTTCAGAGTAATCTCGGAGAAAAGGGCAGGGCTTACCCGCTCTCTAGGCATAATGATGAATTCACATGCTACGTAAGCAACGCATTTCAAGGACCCCGAAAACCCGTTTTCCCGATTCGAGTCTTCGTAGCGCACCCTAGCATAGGGTACCTTGGGTGACACCCTTGCAAGCTAAGCAGATCATGTACGGGGTCCGCGCGCAATAATGTCTAGTCTGGGTTGGAGCCGTCGGATAATCGGCAAGTAAGACCACATCATCCCGGAACTCTAATTGGTCCGGTCGTACATTTTCGACATGACCTGAACTCCCAAACTAATGAAGCCTCCAAAATCGTAGCATGAGATTGCAGAATGGCCGAGCCTCAAAATTACGAACGTTACGAGACAGCAGGGCTGAGCTACATTTCATAGGTTACGGGATGGAGAATGCCCAGCCAGTGCTACTTTGTGACGCAGCTCTGAGTGCCAGGGCTGACACGGATGCCGGCCTTGGTGACTTATAAGTACGATAGTCCTGGCAGTTAGCTTGTTATTTACTAAGAATTAAGGCATAAAGCCAGACCTGGCAGCTCTCATGAAAATAAACATTCTTAATCTCTGATTATTTCCAAGTCAACATTTCAGCCATGGAGAGACACGACATGCTGTACTCCGACGTAGAGTCCGCATCATCGTCAACATATCAACACTCACAAACGGATATCTCTGTCCTGTCAGCATCTACCGCTGCATCGACTGTTGTCCCCGACGAGGGCATTATCGCAAGGACCTATGACGCCGCCAAAAGTCTGTCGCACATAAACTGCCCCCACCAATTACAAAGAGACCACCAAAGGAACAGCTTCACCAACACGACCACAAAGGCAGCATTCAATCACGCCTACCAATCCTACGCACAAACCTCTCATATGGGTATTCTTGACCCAGCATATAAAGTATTCGTTAGTAAGAAAGGCTACGGATCATTGATCTACAAGATTCACGCCAGGACCGTTGTCGTCGCCGGGGACCCATTATGCTCAGAATTCCATCGAAAGCCACTCTTGAGTGAGCTTCGCCGTTACCGCTGGGCTCGCGGTCTATCACTTGCATTCGTCGGGATTAGCGAGGACTTTGCTAAGTATGCCCAACAACAAGGCTGGGCGACAATGCATTTTGGCCATGAAGCTGTTCTCAACCCCCTGACCAACAAGGTCCTTCGAAAACAGGCAGGCAAGCGGATGATCTCACAGAACAAGCAACTCCTTGATCCAAAGCGTGGTGGTATAACGGTCAACATCTACTGCCCGGGCATTAATGAAGCGGATTCAGGTCTGGAGCGCCAATTGCAGGATCTTTATGATGATTGGAGGGAAGACAGAAACCGGAAGCATGGAGACGGCTCACAGGCTTTCGTCACTGTCTACAACCTCTTCTCGCTCCCTGAATCAACAATCTTCTTATACACTTCTGATCGCGATGGCAAAATTAACGGACTTGCAACACTACGAGAACTCGGTGCAGAGACAGGGTATCACCTCGATCCTTGTATTGCGTCCCAAGATGCACCACGAGGAATTTCAGATCTCCTTATTGTCACTGCCATGGAGCTGCTGAAAGCTTCTGACATAGGCTACATGAGCCTTGGCATCGAGCCCCTCAATGAGGTTCAAGAGGTTACGGGGTCATCGAAGCTTGTGTCACAGCTCTGGAAGAATAGCTATAACCAAATGATTCAGTCAGTGCCTGTGACAGGCAAAGCAGCATACTTCAAGAAGTTCTGCCCAGATGAGTCGCTTACCTCGAAACTCTTTATATGCATACCCAGCAAAGGAATTCCCGTTCGCAGATCAATTGCTCTACTGCAATTCGCGAACATGAACGTCGGGCAACTATTGACACAAATACATCTTGGAGACCGGCACAGGGAAAAGCAAACACTACAATCTTAACCCTGTCCCTCTTTTCTTTTTCTTTTTGTATAATACTGTCACTCATACATATCAGGAGCGGGGATACCATTCAATCATTCAGTTTCTTTTGTCACATAGATAGAGCAAGTTTTATTATATAGCGATTCATGATTACAACATTTGACTTCAACCAAGGGCTCATACAAAATATTGAATCTTGCTGGATAACTCACAGGAAACTTTCTAGACAGCCCTTGTTGTTAATGTGATATCATGCATATTCAACATCGGAATTAGATTAGTCCGGTCCATGTGATTACCTCGCGTCTGGTAAGCTCATATCTTGCTGTTGGTTCTTCAACTTCCTTGCAACATCATTACCGTTAGCCTAATTTCCTCGCTCTTTTTTGTGTCACTTACATAATATTTCAACATGTCTCACAACACTTAGAAGAATATTGGTTCAAACGAAGGTGAGACAGAACTTGCGGGTTATCGGCGGCATTGATGTCTCCTTCTAACTACTGATCCTTGTTGTCCCCAGTGCCGTCACAACATTCAAATAGTATTCGGAACCACGACTGGCTATGTCTACGAAATGTCATCATATGGCAAATTCTTACCATGGTCAACATGGGACTAGTCTTGTATGACTGGAAAGGTTGGGAGAATGAGCGGCATTCAGCGAAAGGGCGAATGATATTTGGAGCGCTGCAGACAATTCTCTTGGGTATTGTTTTGCTCCAAGCTTTCTTGCGGAAGCAACGAGCCGTTGATCGTAGATCTTAGCTATTACCTAACAATAGAGAGCACAGCATGTATAATTGTGCACACTTTCGTCATTCGTGCTCAAAATTCTATAAGATGGCGCAGTACCTCATTGATGACAAGCTGCTACAACATCGGATCAATTTCAAGACCAACAGGTCCTGTGATGGGTACAAGTAACACTACAGATCAAATCACTTCGTACAATGTAGGGATTTAATGCAGTGAAACAGCGTAAAGCTTGATTTTCGACAAATCTCGGCCCAGATAGCTTCAATCATGTCTAGCGCTGACGATGGCACAACGTTCTGTGCTATGGTTTGGTGTATAGAAGATGCATCGGGTATCGCCGGTGGGCAATGACGGGTATATCGGGACTGACGTAGGGTCTCTGATCGGCATAAATAGAACAGTCTTCCACGCCATCCAAGAACCCATTTCATCACTTCAATTTTAATACCATGGGAAGTTGAAGCTATTCCATCACCGACCCAAGTATTTAGCAATTGTGACTCCTACCGTAATGAAGGCTGATAACATATCTATGCAGGGAGGAGGATGCTACAATGAGAACTCCGATCTTCAGGCACAAGCGATTGATAAGTCTTTGGAGTTGCTTCTCCCTTCGGAACATCAGGGTACGGTACCCTTCATGTTGAATCCATTGACTTAGGTTTCTGCCGGCTGATATGCAATTTCGCATGTCTATCAATAACCTTGGCTGATTATGGTTCCTCCGAAGGCAAGAACTCGTATGCATCTTCCTAATGATGGCATATCAAATTCACTAAACCTTTGATATCAGTTTTCAGCTTTTTTCCAAGTACCTAAGAAAGTTACCCTCCGTTACATCAGCAATATTTGGTCTTCAATGATACACCATCCAACGGCTTCTCTAGTCTGACGTCAACAATCCATCAAAACTGGGATACCGCCTCGCAAGACGGAAAGGTTTCCATAATTACCCTACTGTCTCCAAGATCATACTTTGAGCAAGTCCTGCCAGATGGCTTTGTTGATGCTGGTTTCAACTTTACAGCCTTGCATTGGCTACGCAGCATGCCAGATGCATCTTCAACCCCCTCGTCGTTGTCTGCTGCGGCTCATGAGGACTTTGTCACTTTCCTCTCAGCCCGCCATAAAGAGGTCCACCAGCATGGAACTATGGCGCTCTGCATTCCCAGTCACGGTGAGATCAGCGTTTTGCCGACCTTTAGATGTTCTGAAACCTCTCTCCGCAACCTCTACGACAAGTATCAAGTCGACCCAACCATTGCTAGACGGCTTCCGATGTACTTTCGGAGATTGGACGAGATGCTGGCATCCATTGCTGCTGTCGACACAAGGTGGAGTCTCAAGAACCATCATACTCTGCCATTAATACACACGTCGTGGTCACCCGAGGTAATTGAGGCAAGTTCTGAAAGAGCCAGAATGTGTGCTCGGAGAAGATACGCAGATGCTGTGGCTGGCTTTGCACTTGCAGCATGCTCTCAGTTCTTTATCGACGGTCTGAAACCTCAAGCTTACCATGGCGAAAGCTCTGAAAATTATGCGATCCGTTTGAAGCAGAAATTCATGACGACTTCACCTCTGCGTTCAAAGAAGAGTTTCTACATACTCACTGCACGGATAAAGTTGGGTTCACATATACGCTGCTGGAGTTGGAAAGATTGTAAATAATACACATCTCATGCAGTCTATTGTCATATGGTCCGAAAGTGGGAAGCTGGAAATATCATTATTCTTTCAATGTTACTAGTGTAGCCATATTACCTCATGGTCAAGTTCAATCACTTTGCGTTGCACCGGTTTCAACAATCTCATACTCCCTTATTTACGAAAATGTACTTAGATGACTAGAGTCTTAGGCATTATCGGGCATTATGCAGTGTGATCTGTATGGTGTGATGTGTTGGAAAGCCGCTTCAACGCGTGTTTGTTGTTTCGCCACCTGGGAGTCTCTCATAGGTCCAGGGTGCATGTGTTCGGCCTCCTACATGCATTAGCTAAAGTCGGCTGGGAGAAACTGGGAAAGGACGTAGCCCCAATTGGCTGCAGTTTTGAGGCCAGCTTTGGAACCAATAGTGATTAATTTGCCGCTGCAACCCAGTTTGCCAAGACTATTGTCGTTCTTTTGTCCGGTTTGCGTGTCTTACTACATATAACACTACTAATCTCGCTCTTCCCTGTGGTTTGCCTTCGAATGAAAGAACCTCCGGCTCACCGAATCATTCCCATCATGGCCGAACTTACGACAGATTTATACAGGCCTGAGATAGTAGACGGCAGCAGACAGTCTCTTGCTGTTGTCGAGACCTTATCGCCAACGGACGAGCTAGTCAACGGACCCGCCCCTGAGGTCAAGATTCTGAGCAAGAAAGAAAAGAAGAAGAAGAAGAAGAGAATTAAAGAAGAAAGACTACTCGCCGAATCTTCGCAAACACCACCTCCCTGTGTCAATGGCCAAAAAACTGTCTTTGCAGATGGATCCGTAGCTGTCGAGTCAGTTACGGCGGCATATGATCCAGAACCGTTGCCTACTGTATCTGAGGCCATCATAGAAGCCGCACTACCCGAAGATGATCCAGTTCCAGAGGTCGAGAGCGTTTATGAGCCATTATCTGAGTCTCCTCTTACAGGACACATCAATGGTGGTAAGCTTGCGTTTTCTCTTTTTGGCATGACTCTCACACCGTTACAGCCGTAGAGATTGATATACCGCCGCCAGTCCCAGATGAGCCACAAGAGGTCATATATCTCCCATTCAGCGCCCAGCATAAGCTCATGGTGCATCTGCAGGAGCGCCTGGAGACTATGTGTTTTTCTTTTGCACAGCGCGTCATGCCGCATGCTCTTGAAGCTCGCGGTTGGGATTGTCCAGAAATGGTTCAGTTGCATCACTGGATGGAAGATTCTGTTTTTCAGGACTATGCGGAGCAGAAGGTTCCTGACGTGGAACAGCGCGGTCAAATTCTCAATTCCGTGATCGAAATTCGGCGTTGCGCTGTTGATCGCAAGCGAATCGACACGACCGTATTGGATACTCTTGTTTCCTCCGCTTTGCGACTAGCCAAGCTTGTTGAGGAGGCAGCTTCAGTCGATGAGATTGAAAGATTGGGCGACAACGTTGTCCAAACAGCTGATCGGCTGGCGGAGGAAACACAGGTACTACAGGCCAGATACGAGACGAAGCTGCAGAAAATTGCTTCTGGCAGAGCAAAGTTGGATATTTTTGAGGAGAGAACCAAAGCCGCGCTGTCTAAAAGGCTTGAACAAAGTCGTGCTATGGCCAATGACAGGATCATCATGCTTATACGGGGGGCAGAATGTTCAACCCCAAAGGTAGCTCTGCCTGGAGTTTCAACCGCAAGATCTTGTCTTGACTGGATAAATGACCTTGAGAGTAGCCTGGCACTTGGAGAGGATGATCATGAGGACCTTTTCCGTTAGGAGCATGTCAACGTTCACTTTAGGGTGCCTTCGTTATGGCTTTTCAAGATTGGACTGTGCACGAAGTCCCGTTTAGCAACTCTTACTTGGCTAGCAAGCAAAACCTGCTGTTCGTAGCCTGACTCATTCCATCATTATTAATAACCTTCATCATTACCTTAGCCAATGTCGTCAGTGTTGCTTAGCTCACAGAGTTTCTAAGCACCTCGGCAATGTGGGATAACCGGCGGCACCAGCCTCACGGACCACCCCAGATTCTGATTAATCAACTCGGGAACGAGCTGAATCGGGACCGTTATTCATCAATGCCGACTTTAGTGCGATATGTGGGTTCATTCTTCACCGTAGTGGAGTTTAGTTCCATACTGGCGGTTCTTGAGTCGTTCCGTAAGTGGAGATATCGTCCGATGCCTCGGCATCTATTTACTCCATCTCTGAGGGAGCAAGAAAATTTCGAACCATAAATCACCATGTCAGAAATAGCTAATCAAAGCGTTCCTAATCTTACACTAGACTGGCCTATGTCTTTTTGTAGCTACGGGTGGAGGCCTGGGGTTTTCTTACCTCCCTTAGTTCATCTACACTGGGTACCGTATAGCCGGGCCCTTCATTATGCATATAAATGAATACTGTCCCGAGCAAAAAGTGCTCCTGATAGATCTCTTCTCCATTCTATCAAACCATTGATCCGTCTATTTCACGACTATAACATTTACACTTCAATAATAAAAAGATGGCCACCGTCGTTATTCAGTACCCTGTCGGTCACGACTTTGATGTCGACTATTATGTCAACACGCATATGCCTCTAGCTCACAAGTGAGTCTCAATATCCACCCTTGCCTCCAAGAAAAAGTTTAACAAACCATAGGCTCTGGGGTCCCCAAGGTCTTGTCAGTGGACAGGTCATCAAGCTCGGTGGAGACAGCCCATACCAAATTTACACTATCATCACATGGGACAGCCTGGCTTCATTCCAAAAGGCCAGCGCTTCAGAGGAGGCCAAGGAGATCAGGGCTGATGTGAAGAACTTCACCACCGCGACGCCTACTTATGTTATTGGCGAGACTGTCGCCAAGGCTTAGCCTACATATCATCCTCAACGACATGTCTGCCCGTTGACTAATAGTCGTCCCTATGCCAGAGAATCTTGGTCACGAATGAAGAAAGGATATAATGTATTATAAGAGAAGAAATGAGCACCATCTCATCAATAGAGACTGAGCAACGGCGCACGTGCCATAGTTCTAAGAAAAGTAAAGCCTTAGTCCTCATCATCCCGACTTTGCATTGAGTTGCCATCTCATCTTTCCAACGTCAAGATCCTCATCCGGGCCCTTGGTTTCCTTGACCAGCTCGAAATCTCCTTTTTGGATATACACCACAGCGGCATGCTAAATCCATGTCAGTATCGGTCCCCTCAATTGAAGGGCTCGGTGTACTTACCGTTCCCAGTGTCAGGTTCAACATGCCTTCAAAGAACTGCGGCTTGTATTCTTTGGTGGCAGTGTTATTCTTGATAAGGCTGAGGATGTTTTGAACTGCAACCTCGCCCTGCATCATGCAAGCCCGAGCTTGCTTTGCGCCTCCAGACTGGGCAACGTCGCCAACTGCAAAGATGTTTCGTTGGGATGAGGGCAAGTTCTCGACTTGAAGTGTTGGCTTGACTATGATCTCTCCGTTGGAAGCAATACTCTTTGGTGAATAGGTAGCGAGGAGATCAGATCGTGGGCGAAGACCAGTGCAGGGAATCTGCCATCTCATGTTAACTTGGGGACTTTCTATGGTTGATCCATTACGTACCACGAGGTCAAAGGTTTTAGTCTCTCCGTTGGAAAAAGTGAGACTGGTCTCCTGGACAGAATGACCAGCATCGCTCGGGAACACGGGTCTCTCGCCCAATCGGACCTCAATATCTTGATTCTTGAGTGCAGAAACGACATGATCGTGAAGCTTGTGACCAAATCTGGGCAGGAGCTGTTGTCTGGAATGGATGATAGTAACCTTTTTGTTAGGGTACTCTTCTTTAATCTCGGTTGCCAGCTCAACGCCGACCGCTCCAGCTCCGATGACGGCAATTCTATCAGCCTGAGCAACGCGTTGCTGGAAGCCTCGCAGCTCTTCAATTGCATCATCCTTGACTCTTGCGTTCAATCGAGCTGGAGGAGGCTGAGCTGCGCCGGTGGCAATCACAAGATAATCGTAAGGAAGGGAAATGCCACCGACAGTGTGGACATGCATCTCGGTAATATCAGATGCTTCGTCACAGACTCGTTGAAAGATGCCATCTGGTGCGCCTGCAGCGATGTTGTCGTACGTGATGAATGCATTATGCTCTCGACCCGACAGGACGGAATTTCGAGGGAAGCTGAACGCGTAGTTGAAGTGAGAGTGCTTTTCGATGAGAATAACGCGGTAACCGGAGGGAAGCGTATGAGCCAGGCGTTGGGCAACTAGGCTTCCAGCAAAAGAGCCTCCAACGACGATCACGACACGTGAGTCAGGTAACAATCGATATGTAGCTTTATGGATAATCGATTGTCCCTTATGAACTGCCATGCTGGCAAGATGTGACACAATGACTTTGACAAAGTCGAAATAGAAACTTAGCTGCTGGAGATTCATCGTGACGACGATGGGGCCCGTTGCGCGACAGATTTGGAGACGTTGCAGATCCACTAAAGACCAAATGCAAGATGATCAGATAAGATCTTTTTAAATGAGGATTTTCGGACAGGAAAGAGCATAAGCGGAAGCGGGTTGATCCGCGGACTCCGATTTTCCATGCAGAATCAGTGGGTAAATGACGGAGATAAACGAATAAACCGACTTTCAGCGGTGATTTCGAGGTTTGGGACAGGGGGTTCTCCGAAGTCGGCCTTGATCAAACTAGCTTATAACGAAATCGTTTTGACAATAGCTTATAAACAAAATGGGGAGAAGAAAACTGTATATTTAGAGACAAATATTCAGCCAACGAACTATTGTAATAATCAATATCTGCTCATCTGCTTTGGTGAGAATGAAAAATGGACGTAGCTCAAGTATGTTCCTTGACCCAATACACCGAGACCGATTCGGGAAATGTGTATCAAAACACCCAAAGTCGTGACAGTCCACCCACGCCGGCAGCTGGATCTGTTTGGCGGCTGCTGCGTCTAGACCCTGATCCGACCACGTCCTCGTCATCAGAAAAGCTTGGCGGTTGGTCTTCTGGAGGCGGCTGGATCCATTCCGTGCTGCGTTCTGTCTCAGGCCTGCTGAGAACCTTGATTGGTTCCTCATCAGAAAGTTCAAAGCTTTTGCCGGCAACCTCTACTGTCATCTCCCATTGCAGGCGGTGCGTGTGGCGGATATTGAATGTTTGGAAGGATGGATATAAGTCCCGGCTTCGCTGGAGACGGAGACCAAGTTTCGCTCCGATATCGAGACCCTCTGATGGCCCCATCTCAGATGGTGAACCACTTCCCTGCAAATGCTGCCCCTCCGTGGCTGGTGTCTTCCACGGGATGTATAAATCGTTGTCATATTGATTAAAGCCATCTTCAGCATGTAGAGTTATCCGAGCCTGGCAGTCTGTCTCATGAACATTCTTTCCCTTGGGACACTTGATCTCCGTCTTTGCAACAACGTCCATGAAGATTCGGGTTATCTGAATTGAAGGAAGCCCGGGTTTTTGTTTCTCAAGGTCAATGGCATCAGGTGGAACTGCCAAGACCAGGAATGATATGGGATTCGGACCTTCGATCTGCAGAGTTGTCGGAGCCTGAACTTCAACGCTGGCCACCATAGGATTATGTCCTTGAATAGCGAGTGTATGACTTGTTGTGTAACGTTCTATTTCGTTCATTAAGGGCACTGGGTTTACATAAAGCATCCTGAAAGGCAGTATTGCTTCAACTGTACCAGAACCTCTTGATGTTGTCTTCAAGTCTGCCTGCAAGTAATACTCGACGAATGCTGACATTCCAGACATATAGTCATATCGTTCGATCAAGAATGTCGGCGGGAGAGGTTGCTCTGATACATCCGCTGTGAGATAAGTCTGATCCGGCCCTGCCAACAGCTGTAGTGCAGGTCCATCTATGTTGTTAGGCAGACTGATTGAGAATTTCCAGCTCTGCTCCGTATCGTTCTCAGCAATATGTAGAGGGCCTTCAAAAATAGCTTTTGAGTACTCGGTCGATTGCACAAGATCAAAGCGTCCACGATGTGTCGATGTCAAGTGCCCGCGCCTAGCCACCATTCGCGATTTACTCCTTGCATGCAATGAGATCCTGGCAGTCGCTGAAGCGGCTACAATGTGGGTTTTCCGTGATATCTGACCCGTAATCACTTCTCCAGGAATGTATGTTGAATCTGGACGATCCAAGTGGATGGTGAGCTCAGGGCCCTTTTTGACAGGAGTTTGCGGCATGTTGGCGGAACTATCATTCGTAGTATCTTGTCATAGAACTAATCTATCGTAGTCTACGTGAGGCTCCTTGATACATAGATAATGGACTCGAGTGAGCAGCGTCGCGTGCTCTCGTCAGACGCGGAGAAATAAAGTCGCATCATTTCCATTTCCAGCCAAATGTACGTCATTGCAGCCTTACAAGCCACCTTCAATCGGGTGCTTATGTCGTCTCTCTCTGTTATCAGGCGCAAGGCCTATAGTATCAAGAAACTTAGGACCTCTATCCTAAATAGTAAAAAGACTTAGGTAAGTTTAGTATAGACCTAATAGACCTTTAGACTAATTTTTTTAATACCTAAGCTTAGGGTCAGAAGTTTTCTTGCACCCTGAGGAACACCTAACTACAGCATGATTGGATAGCGGCCCGCGGCATGGAGAGAGCGATTGCTGTGTTGGTCTTTGATCTCGTTTTTCCTTTCTACGCAGCTCTCAGCACAGCCTCTCTCGAGCGGAAATGTCAGATAATTGAGGCTGAAGCCATGAACTTTAGGCATTACGATAAAGTCAGGCTTAATGACTCAAGCAGGGGCAGAAATTCCGAGATTCATCTTTATTGTAAATAAAGTCGCTGGCTGGAAGATAAGAATAGCCTCAAAGGATGTCACCATGCTACTTGCAGTTGGGCCAAGACCCTTGATTTAATTTGGTGGCTTCAATTTATTGGCACTATTGACAACTATTAGCGCGCTAGACCTGCCAAATGCACTGTTAAATCCTTCTGTAATCTTATTCTCAGCCAGTAGACCCCCACTGAAAATCGAACATGATATTAAAATCACAGCTGAGCCAGAATTCTCTCTGATATTTTCCGGGAATTTAATTTACTCTTGATTGCCACCTTCAATGCCAAGATGGGCTCCCAAATCTCTATCGTGACGTCAAACGATGCGACCGCCGTCGCGAGCGCTATCTTCAACGGTCCTGGCGTTTCAATCACCGACGCGACATTTGAGAAGTCATATTACGAGGAAAATGGACTCGGCGGCAATCTAGGCAGTGCAGGCATCTTTACTTCTGGTCCTTTTGGCATCGGATCAGGCGGTATTTTGACCACTGGTTATTCACGCGACGCGGATGACAGCAGTTATGGCCAGAATGTTGATACGCAGATTGATGGGTCAAATTACTGCGGACCGGACACAACAAACGCCGCTGTCTTGTCCGTTGAACTCGTCGTGGAGCCAGAGTATAATGGACTATCCATTGAGTTCATTCTTGCGACGAAGGAAAATTTGTAAGTGGCCCCTCACGTGTTTAATGTTATCGCTAACAAAACCTGTCAGCGTTAACCCAGATCCAATTGGCATCTACCTAGACGGTGTTCAATACGCCGTGGATACGTCAGGGCACAGAATTACTGCCAAGTCCGAATACTTGACATCTCCGATTGGCATTACCGAACCGAATAACCCTTCTCGAAGCACAGCATACGACAGATCTTCACCTCCGCTGATCATGGGTCTTCCTGCAGCCCCTGGTGAACATACAATGATCTTTGCCATTTGCGATGCGAACAACGGACTTCTTGACTCGGGTCTTATGGTGAAGGCTGGAGCATGTGTCGATTGCGACGCGGACATCAGGATCAACTATGCGACTACAACAACAACTGTTGGCCCGACACCCTTTGTGCGCACAATCCAGGCTTCTGGAACCGTGTCTGGTACGGTTGTATATGGCGAACCCGAAGGCGCTACGACTACTACTACTGAAGAGGTAGGTACTTCAACCGAAGTTACGACCACTACAGCAGAGGCAATTACTTCGAGTGAAGGTAGCACCACCGCTACAACTACTCAGAGCACGGAAGTATCTTCCAACACTGAGCTTTCATCCACCACTCACGGGGACCTTACATCAACACAATCGTCAGAATCTCTGTCTTGGAGCGAAAGTTCAACGCCAATTCTTACTACCACTACCAGTGAGGAATTTGCATCAACAACCGGAATGATGACCACTTCCGCACCATCTACCACCACGATGTCAACTCAAGGTGGATTTACTACAATTCGGAGAGGATGCCGGCCGTAATAGTTTAGTTGGGGTTTTTTTGCGTCAGCGTGTGAGGGCAAGTAATAGTTCTGCTTGGTTGATAGTTCAAACTTAATATATAGGCCTTTCTTCCTACTAGCTTCTTAATGGAGCCAAGGAGAACCCCATGTTTCGAAGGGGTTCTTTACAAACTAAGTTTACACCCTGGTCCCTGTCGCCATCCTCTTGTAACTCGCCTCAGTCTTCTCACGGATTCTTTTCCCCCAAATCATCATTGGGACATGAAGAAACGCCATAGCCAGTGCCCATAACCCCATGACAATCGTCATATTCTGCAGGCCTTGAGCATCAAGCCATGGAACGAGGGCGAACGAAATGGCGATGCTGAAGGCATTACGCATAAAGGCAACCCCGATAAATGCTTCTCCGGTGATCTAGTTACAGTTAGCATAACTTTCTCATTGTAAGATCATGTTATCACATACCGCTTGGTAGCTGTCGATGGTCACGCAAAGCGCAACATCGCTCAAACCACCAAGACCAAAACCGAAGATGGCACTACCAATACTGGGATATATCCAATGCATACCCTGTCACTGTCAGTAGTTCAACGTGATGAAAGGTGAAGCTTTGCATACCTTTGCTGTAGTGATACCGAACATGATAAAACCACCGCTCATACAAACTGCTGGGAAGTGGTTCAGCTGAAGTCGCATTTCCGGTTCGTAATACCCGTAATTCTTTCGCGTGAACCAAATAATAGCTCGATCGGAAATCGCACCGTAGGCTGAGCCCAGGATACAGCCGATAAAAACTCCCAAACTCATGTTCCCAACCCCAACGGTGCCGAAGTTATACGGTGGCTGTGTGAAAACGATAGAAATGATTGACGCTTGAGCGGATATCCAACAGAGACAAAAGGCATATGTAAGGGCTGTGTACATGACGGCTGGGAAGCGAAATAAAATAGTGACCGCGGTCCGGACAACGCCAAGCAGGCTTTCATCTGTTTTCGTAACAAGGCGCATGCGTTGACGCCATGTGAGAAGGGGTATATCCGAGTTGATTCGATGTAACGGGGCATTTGATGTTTTCAATGTGACGCACGTGCTCATGTCACCAGTCTGGGTTTCCGAGATATTGTCCTTCTTCGTGGCTGGGATAGAAGCAGGGACCTCGGGGGATAGTTGTTGAGCTTCGAGATGCGGTATATACTTACTTTCTTCGAAGAAGAAACAGAAGTAGAGCAACAGAGCACCGTCAACTGCTGTGATGATCCAATAGCAGCGCCTCCAGTTTCCATCCGCGGCCATGTATCCTGCAATCACGGGGCTGAGAAAGCTCTGCTGTGTATTAGTAACGATTCCTCTGTCGATATGGTTCTCGACTTACACCAATCATGACCATCACCATGTATAGGCCATTTGCACTACCGCGTTGATGAACGAAATACAAATCGGCAATCTGGCCTCGGTCAGTGTAATCCTTCTCAGTGCATTATTTCCATACCGTCATCTCGACAATACTCTCATTGGTTGCACTAGCCAGTCCAAAGATCAACTGTGATACATATAGTTCTGCCAGGGTCTTCATACGCGCCGACCAGATGGCCATGGCGAAGATGATGGCTGTTGTGAGCAGGTACATCGACCGACGACCGTACTTCACCGCTGGAGGAATAAACAGGATACAACCAACAGTGGTTCCGACATAGTTGAGGGCGTTGGCATTGTTGAGTTGACCATACGACCATCCGAACTCTTGGTTCCAGAGGACCCAGAAGATAATCGGTAAGGATGTTCTGTCAAGATTAGTGGCTGGTTGCTCGATTGGAGACTCTGGTAGCTTACTGCGTAAAGATGGTGGCCGTGATTGCGAGAATGGGAACAAAGTTCATGGACTTGCGAGCACGCGACCAGTTCTAGCCAAGTCAGTAAAGTCAATCGCATTGTATTTGACGCATTCATACCAAAGGATCGTTGGGGTCGTCAGTCGGCATTGGCTGCTTCACCAATTGAGGTGTTTCGATATGGCCATCCTCTTTCAAGAACGTGAGCTTGGGAATGACGCATACGTATCAGTTTACTCACCACCAATGAGCCGCACAGTACCCGGCGGTGTCGTAAACTCTGGAGGAGCTGGTGCTATTTTTGTGGGCATACTGAAAACGAGAAGGGTATTGCTAGACAGATCTCTGTTGGAAGAGTTGAGCTGTGGACTGATGTGACTTCATATCAGCAACTGATCCTGGGGTTTTATGTAGGTGGTTATCTCTGTATCAGGATGGCTAGTTGTGATACCTCCTGCGACTCAAGATAGCATGGCCAGATGGTCGATCGCCTTGGGGCTCCGCCTACCTTGTACGGTTAGTCTTATCGTCCAAGTCTATCCCAGCAGCCGGGGTTGTTGTCCGAAATGCGGGGATGCGGGGAACAGTCGAATATGAGGTTGAGTAGCTTGGCAAAATACGGCAATCATGTTGACCAGTACTGAATCTGATCTTTATCTAATTGGGTACATATCATAGTTCAACGCAAGGTTTCTCTATGAAACGGTTGACTTGGTCAATAAGATGTCAATGAGTTGGCCTGATCTATCGTCTATCTGCCTACGTAAACATCTTCAACCTTCTGTCCAAGGAAGTTGGTCAATCGCCAGCAATCTATCACAGCAGCCCCTTCAAATGACTGCATAGCCCCAATGGCCACGATACCATTCATCCAGTTGTACGGACTATTTCCCGCTGCTTCAAAAGTGATATGAGTAAAGTATTCCACCTCATCCTGCGTATAATCTACGTCAATTGAGTCTGGCTGGGAGAACTCGATGCCTGGCCCAGGTCGGAACAGCCCACGAGCCTGCACAAAGATATGATGGCCATCATTTGTCTTGATTGTGTACCTCGCATCTAGCTTGTAGTAGATCTATTCCTCTTTGTCAACACAGAATGCAGCAACGCATGTAGTTAAGGCGGCTACCTTCTTGGAATGAACTTGTTCTGCCCAATCAGCACCACTGTTCTCGACAACGGTGCCCTCTATACCTGGACCTTTTACAGTGCCAGATTCAATAGCTGCAATTGACCTTGTGATACCCGTGCCTTGTATGTTTTCAATATCGTAGCCATTGGTTGGATGCATCTTGGCAACAAGGCGGTACACAAATTCCAACCCCGGAGCTCGCATTGCCGGCATGTCGGGGTAAAGCTGGTTACCGGGGCTTGGCTGGGTAGTTTGAGATGGCTGCGACATTGCTTCAACTGGTGGAACAAGAGAAATCTATTGGGTGGCTTTCAGTGCTATCTCCAAACCGTCGAATCTGTTAAACTTGTTTATATAACTATCTATTTCTTAAACAATGGTGCTCGAGAGCTTCAAAGCTCTCGCTTTGACATGGAGGGCAATCAGTCCCGCGCGGCATTGCATACTTTTTTGGGCGAGGCGTAGAAGTATTGTTGATCTTTACCGCTTTAAGTAGCCGGTGCCGCGCAAATCGAAGGTCCAGACCTTGTCTCTGGTTTCTGCACTAAAACGAGACAGGGACGGGTTTCACGGGTTCCGACAATGCGATAACCCGCGTGTTCAGCGTTCGTAGTTTTTGACATTGAGAGTACTGATAAATCAAGCGCAGAGTAGTCGCCTTTGTTCCTGGCATCGATAATTGTGGTCATCATGTCAAAACTGACGAAGAGTTCTTGCAAAGTGCAGATGAGGCCACTAGGCCTAGGTATGTTGGTTAACCCCTCCACAAAACTTTATAACTGAATATTTCTAGATTATGGCTCAATCAAGACTGCTGCAGAAATCATCAGCCTTTCTTTTGCCTCGGATCCCTTGATCCGTTGGCTCTCTCGTGATCGCTCTGGTCCTGGTTGGGAGACTCTGACACCTACCCTGCAGCAATGGCAAGAGGCGCGCCTACGCGAGTATGCAGTCCGTGGGATCGCTATGGAAGCCGTTACAATGGATGATATCCACAAAACCGTTGGATCATGTTTTTTATTTCCTCCCAGGCCACTGTATCGATGGCTGAATCCAATGTGGTGGCCGTCATATTTGAGAGTTTTATGGGACGAGTGGTGGATTCAACCATGTGAACCGTTCAGTGCAGAAAAGGTAATGGAACCTGCACGCATGCCAAAGATGATATGCCTAACAAACTCTCACAGAGGATCGGAATCATGATGGATTCTCATAACGATTTCGAGGCGAGGATCAAGAAGAAGTATCCACCAAATTCTCTCCACTACCTCGAGATTGCTGCGGTCAAGCCTGATGCACAAGGGATGGGAGTTGGGAAAACGATCATGCAATGGGTGGTACAGAAGATAGGAGATTCTCCATGTTACATCGAGTGTACAGACAAGAAGAATGTCGCGTTTTATGTCAAGTATGGGTTTGAGGTTGTCGAAGAGAAGGAACTGGTGGATGAGGAGGACGCGATGCCATCAACGACTTTGTTTTACATGGTTAGAGATAAATCTGAGTCACTGACGTAGCTAGAAAGGCTAAGCTTGCCGGAAAATGCTCTGAGGCTTCGTTTGTTTCTTGTATTAATAGCTGAATGTATCTTTGAAGTGACTCCGGAGAGGCGGGAGTTATGCAGGAAGTATACCATTTGTGCATTCGTTATGCACACGCTAAGCGGCTTCAGGTTAGCCTCTGCTCATTCACGTAACAAGTTATGGTTATCGCGTTCACTGATAAGCGTATCTCAACGCTAGTCTATTTCTGGTCTCTTCTCAAGTCCCCTCTTGATCTTGATGTTTTGACTCGTGGCGACGAGTTATCTCGGCCCGAGGCATCACCCCTCACGTCGATTGAGACATTGGAAAAGACTTGATAACAATGGAAGTCGGCCTTTTGTCGAAAGCTACTGTTACCACCGTATATAATCAATTCACGTCGGGTTGTAACACACTCCTGTTACGCGTTTGGCTCAAGCGTCCATGAGCTCACGGTCGCGACGTGGGTAAGTAACTTGTTTGTAGCAACGGCGATATCTCATACTAAGAGTCTCCAGTTGCTGGACCTGTAAAAGAAGACACAAAAAATGTGACGAGAAACGACCCGTCTGTGAAAGATGTGTCCAAGCGGGCATGACCTGCGAGGGTTACAAAACACGATTGACATGGGGTTCTTCAGACACTGCAAGCTCAGCAGGGGCTGGTATAGTCTTGAACCCAGTTCGTCCACCACGCCAAAAGAATAAATCTCTGCGCGATAGAAGGGCAAGCCCTGCTGTTGAAAGCGTGGGAGACCCTCTGGTGAACTTGCCCGACTTTTCGTCAATCCAGTCACCGGATGAGCTGGATCTGCTATGTCTGCAATTCGAGTCATTCTCCGAAGGTTTACCAGATGAGGAAGTCTCACAAAAGCTCATGAACACTTGTAAGCAAATAAACTGATGTCTTGTGTTTCTCTAACCAGGATATAGTTACTACCATCGGATACCAGACGCTCACAGGTCGTGCCGGACATGATACCATGTTCAAATCTGACATTTTACCACTTTGCGAAGATAGTATCTGTCTAAAGCATGCATGCTTAGCGTATCAAGCAAGTCTAGATGTTGGTACCAGCCATTTGACACCTCTATACATGCAATCGGCTCTATCGAACTATCTCAATGACTTGGACAACCCAAGCATGTTGTGCCAAGACGTAACTTTGGCAACGGGAGTGCTCTTATGCAGCGTCAGTGTAAGTAGAGACCTCATCTTCATACTGGAACTACACTGATACTCGCAGATAAACTCACTATATATCTGGTCACCGCTGTTGAAGGGCCTGCACGGGGTCCTCCAGGCACGTGAGCTGTTGAATGATCCGCAGAGACCCCCCCTGGCAGACCATCTCCTCGAAGCTGTCGCACTGTTGGACATACCGTTCTTCACTCTGAATAGGATTACACCATCCCTGGAAATATGGAAATCCTATGTCCAACCCAACAAACACTCTGGTATTGAGCAAGTGTCGGGGATACCTTATAGCCTGATGAATTTGCTAGCGAACATGGACTCGACCACTATCGAAAACGATCTATTGCAGTGGCCTGGGGAACTTGGCGATGAGTTTGCACAGATTCACCTCTGGGAAGCGTTTCGACTCGCCGGTATTCTTCACAGCCGCTGTCTGGCTGATCATTGCCAAGATCGAACAACTCCACCGATAGCCAATGCCACCACCGAAATATTACGCATGAAGGTGTTTGCGTCGATTCAAGCAATCATCGGAATCGGCACATTCAACTTTCGACTCTCACTCGCCAGAGCCATATTATACCCTCTTTTCATCGCTGGTATTCTGGCAGAGAATGCTCAAGAACAGCAGCTGACCCGCGTGGCCTTTCAGTACATAATGCAAAAAGGGCAAGAGGGAACGGAACAGATAATATTGGATATTGTGGAAAAAGTTTGGAAGAATGGAAAAGGTGGCAACGAAGCGTCCAAGTTAACGATAGCTACTGAGGCTACGGGGGAGTTGAATGCTGAGATACATCTTTACTAGATGCATTTTTATTAAAAACCTCCTAGAGCTTAAACCCAATGGTTTGTATCTCTGTATATGGCCTCAACATAATTTGATGGATAATAGGAAAGATCACAAAGATCCGGATACTGGAGTGAAAACTGCGGAGGTCATATTAAGCTGCTACTATGGTGTCGTCTAAGCTAAAACTGCTTCCTTGATTCCAATATTGCTTGTGACTACTGGCTCAGCCTTGATATTCTCACTAAGCTGTCGAGCTCTGTCCTCAAAAGTCCCCATCTTGTACCTCTTACAAGCAACGTGGTCAATAGCCAGGACAAACTCTTCCAGTACACCCATGTCGAGAATTTTCTGCATACGAGAGTACCTTCGTACGTTCTCATCCTCAGCTTCCGTAACGACTTTGCTAGTCTCATCTGGTCCAAACCTCATCCATCGATCACCATCAGTGATTCGAGGCCATGGATCTTTACCATAGGAGTAATCGATGAAACTACCAGCCATAGCTCTTGCGAGTTTCTGCTGGCCTGGCGTCAATCTCTCATCGAAATTGAGGAAGATATATAGCAAGTCGAGTGCGTGATAGGCTTGTCCTTTGTAGATACTGTCGTGCGTGCAGACCTGGTCGAAGTGATAACCGAAAGTTTGCGGAATATTTGAACGGTGAACAGCGACCCAGTTGTGAATTTTGAAGACCGAATCGCCTGTGATGTCTTCCAGCGCTTTCAGCAGATCCTCTTTCGAAAGATCAGGAGTGATGCCATATAGATCAAGGATCTCGCCAGTATCCTTTTCACTCAAGAACTTGTTCATGCCAGTTCTCCAAGAGTCAAAGGTCTCCTCAAGAAGATCCTCAGTAAAAATCATAGCCTCGTCGGTAGTATCTCCAACCATGTAGCTCTTAAGCCACGCTGGAGGTGAAGCAATTCCGTTTGAGGTAGGCTTTGTCTTGTGGAAGACACCATCGTCGCACGGATTACCCGTGGCGTTGAGGAGACCCTCCACTGGGATCGTTGCAGCAGCAACGACAGCCTCAGGGACATTTCGAAGCTGATCGAGAGCAGAAGGTGAGTCTGCATCAATACCCAGGTATCTCAACAGAGCACGGTAATGCTTTTCGTGATGGTCCAATGACCAAGTTTGAACGGTGTTCAAATGACCAGACATAGCGATGGCTCGATGAAACGGCGCCGGATTCTTGGCAGCTATATGGTGAGAAACGCTCATACCTCCAGCAGATTCGCCATAGATAGTGACGTTATCTGGATCACCACCAAAAGAGGCAATGTATCGATTCACCCAATGCAAAGCGACCTGCTGATCGTAGAGACCAAAGTTGCCTGCGCCTTCAAGCCCGTCGCGCTCTAGGTCTTGCTTGATTGCAACCGATGCGAGGAAACCCCCAAGACCAACACGATAGTTGAGGTTGACTGTGACAACGGGAGTGTTACGGGCTGCTGCAAAGGTCGTCAAGTTGACGCAATCGAAAACGCCCTTATTGGCACCGCCGAAAAGAAAAGACCCGCCATGAATATACACCATGACGGGCAATTTCGCATCAGAGGCAGAGCTCAATGTTGGTGTTGTGATGTTCATGACAAGGCAGTTGAGTTCATCTTCAATTGGTTCTTCAAAATGCGGAGCAATCTCAACTGGGATAAGAACATCTTCAGGTGTATTGTATTCCGGCGGGTTTGGCGCGCTGGGTCTACAGAGCAGACTTAGCAATAATTCCATACCAGGGAACTTGGTCTTAATTACCCCAGCTTTGTTCCGTCGTGAAAATCGTCGGGCCATGAAGTCCTGAGTTGTGAACGTGTCCAACGCTTGGAGAGCGATGCGTAAGGAATGCCACTGAATTGGTGGATGTTGTTAGGGAAGCTCAGGCCCTTCACAACACCAAGGCCCTGAACGCTGAGCTCTGTAGTGCCGATTGGAGTTCTGCCGGCAGGCATATTGACCAAGTTGTCGAAGAAAACGATAATCGAGTTGAAAAGAGATACCAGAAAATGAGGCTCTTGGTAGAAACACGTCTATCCAGTCACTAGGCAGTTTTTATAAGCTTGATAACAATGATTTTTACCCTCAAAGACATCAAATACAGAGGGGCAATCATCACACTGGAGATGCAGATGAACGCTTGGTGATCCACTAACTCGATTTAGCAGGCTGAGGAGCGTCCAAATCCCCGCAAAATACCCCCGTTCACTAGCGAGTCCAGCTGATACGAATACCGACATGCTGATAATCTTCTCAGAAATTACTATAGATTGTCGGTCTCGGTGAGTTTCGTCGGTCAAACAAACCCCTCAATTGCTCGGAGGCGGGGTTTGCAGACTGTATCATTCGGATCCCGAGAATGCCGTCTCAGAGACCGAGGGTTCCGTATCGCATTAGAGATGGAACGAAACAGACACTACTTGCAACGATGCGTCTAGACTCTGGACCATGGATAAGATAATATTATAACTTGGAAACACAATAGGGTTGAGGCTCGTCAACATGGCAATTGGGAACACTGAAAATACTATGCACTAGATATAGTACCTTATGCAAGACGACTTTACCATTCTTAACTTTCTAAAGATTTCCATGGTAGAAACATGCCAGCTGAGGATGAATAGCTTTCCAGAGTTATGTAGGATATCGACTTTAGCTTCCAGAATACTAGACTATAACTCACAGCATAACAATCACTGATAGCGACACCAACACTTAGACTCAACGTGGAAGACCTCATTCGCTATTGAATGGAGTGAGGCCAAATTCTAGAGCTGAGACAATGGATACGCCAATCGGGTAGTTGCAGGGGCGACATGTAATGCCTAGACCCGATGAAGCATGCCTATCCGAGGGGATGATCCCAATCCTTCTCAGGGATCATGCCAAGCAATAGATAAGGGAAAGGCCATATCAAGGCAATAGAACACACAAAATCATTACTCGGTTGACTATATCTCAAGAGCTGTATTGTATTGTTCCAAGTTCCACTTCACATTGGGCCGGAACATCATCTGCTGACCCAACTTGTAACCCAACGATCAAGCCTTACCCCGCGTGCGGCATTCCCATTGATAACGGCACTTGAGAAACAGCAAACACTCATTCTGTGCAAAAATGACCGGAACTGGTAAGCCTAGGATCCTCTGTCTATCTACTATCACCTACTATGGCTCAACGTATTAGACTTCATCCAAGATGTCGTGAAGCTCATCACCGTCCGGTCTGGGCTACCGAGTACAAACCCAACAGCCCCAACATGGCAGACTCCGCCGCATCCAACCGTATCAACCGCAAAGTCCCATGTCTTGCCCTCAAAAACCGATATCATCATCATTGGCTCCGGGATCACCGGTATCGGCGCCGCACACTGCCTCTTGAACCATCCGAAAGGCACTGGTCTCAAGGTGACTATGCTCGAGGCCCGTACAGCCGTAAGCGGAGCTACTGGCCGAAATGGAGGACACCTTGTCTCTGATAGCGATTCTCTATTTCCAGCTCTCGTAGAAACAATTGGTGTTGAGCGTGCGATAGAGACTGTACGGTTTAGTGAGGCGAACATTCGTCGCTTAAAAGAGCTTATCTTTCAGCTGAATCCAGAGGATAGAGAAGCGGTGGAATTTCGCGATGTGACATCAGCAACATCCTTTACTGATGAAAGTTCATTCCGAGGCGCTATTGAAGAAGTCAGTCAATTACTCAAAGCGGTGCCTGACAGTGAGATCAAGTTCAAGGTATACACTAGGGAGGAGGCGGCTAAGGTAGGTTGAACAACATTACGTTATGCACTCATTGCTGACTACCTATCGCAGATTTTTAATTTTACAAATGCCGTCGGCGCAGTTGCACAAACTGGAGTCGCAGCCTTGTGGCCCTATCGGCTTCTGACTGCAGTCTTAGCCTCCCTAAGAGAAGAGTTCTCCGACCGCTTTACCATCGAGACGAACACGCCTGTTCTCTCGGTACAACTTCAAGACGATGAGTTGGTGTATCCGCACCTAGTGCGCACATCGAGAGGATCCATCCGAGCTAAACATGTCATTCACTGCACTAATGGCTACTCAAGCCACCTGATTCCTGGCCTCGTTGGCAATCTATATCCACTACGCGGGACCATGTCTACGCAGAAACTTGGGCCAGACTTCCCGCCAGCCGGTCACAAGATGTCTTGGTCCCAAGTTTCTCTCGGTACATACGACGCGAAGACGGGACACACTCATCTGGGCCTGTACTACGCTCAACAGAATGCAAAAACGGGAGATATGTTCCTCGGCGGCGAATCTCAGAGCCTAAATGGTCTTCTTACAAGCGATGACTCAAATGTTGCAGATGATGCTCGCCAATCTCTAACTTCTGCAGCCCCCAAGATCTGGAAAGATGCAGCCCCTACAAAGGCACTTAATGTCTGGTCCGGAATAATGGGGTTCACGGCAGACGGTATGCCGATTGTGGGAAAGCTTCCCCATGACCTCACGGGACGAAGTGGAAGCGGGGAGTGGATTGCTGCGGGGTTCAATGGACATGGGATGGACAAGTGCTGGCTCACTGGTGAAGCTATTGCGAGGATGGTTCTAGGGGAGAAAGATGTCCCGGGGTTTCCCAAGGCATACTTGTTGAGTGATGATAGGGTCAAGAGTTGGTCACCTGAGGGAGCAGCTGAGACGTTGATGGATCATATCATGATGGGAAGCCAGGCTCCAACAAGCCATCTGTAGTTTTCTCCGTGTATCTTGCAGATTAGAATGACAAATTGGCGAGTATCTCGTTGTTTCTTGGACCTCCAATCCTGAGTGTGATGCCACTAAGTTCGAAGCCAATAGTGTCGTACGCTATGTGTAACGGAATCATGAAGAAAAGAAACAAGGTTTGCAAGAAATCCGACAAACTCACTATATTAGGACAACCATGGCCAATAAACCTTGGGATCACACGCAATATTCGAGTACTTCTGCTCTCATCACCAGATCTTCTAGATGATAACTAGGATCAGAGGCTTGGAAACACGAATTACAACCAGTCCGCGAAGATGAAGAAGCTTTCCAGACCAATAAACCGCTAGTAAACAAACAAGACTGTCGAAGAAGTTGGGGGGCCCCGTTCGACTGAACTATCGACTATGATGAACACGCACTATAGATCAGATAAAGTTCAACCAGTCAGGGATTGCGATACGTGATCTAAGTCAGCGTCTCGGAACTATTGAATAAGCTTAATAAACTTGTATCTCAGCTGGTCTCTCCTGAACGGCGGCTCGTAGCCTCTTCATCCTCACTCAAGGCTCTTGGTGTCGGACTAAAACACCCGACTTCGGTCTGGATCGCAGGGAGGGCTTTTCAGTGCTATTTTGGCTCTTTAACCGGGTTTGTGACTGCTTTATGTGATCCACTCATTCTTCAAGCGACTTGAGCAAGTTGTTAAGTATTCAGCCGCTCCATGCTGAAGCCTCGAAGGCTGTCACATACCAGAACTTCGGCGGCCAATAGTATCTACTGTTCTGTAGGATGAGGAACGGCGAGTATTCATTAACCAAAATAGCAGGCCATCGCTCGGAATCTCAGCCAGCCTCGTGGCCACCCCCCTCTGGAATGTAGTAGTCATCTCGTCTCCAGAAACAAGCGCTATCGAAAGTCTCAAGCCACAACCGACATGGGACCTGTAGTTGAACCAGAGATTGACAATAAAATTCTGACATTGAAGAAGAGCAAATATGGAATTGTTGTGTGGCTTGCCTGTGAGTGCCAATGCTACAGAATGCCCTTGTAGAGTAGGGGACTCTCCTTTGAGCATTGCGATACTGATATTAAAATTGATGGAAGGTTTTTCATAGGTATGCAGTTTGTCCTTGCTGGTCTAGGCCATGGTCTACGGAGAGAACAGGGCCAAATCGCCAATGTCTGACTCCGCGGGCCAGAGATCGTGCAACAAGCCACTCAAGATCCACTAAGGGGCCAGCCAGCCGGAGATGTGAATCGGTAGACTAACGCAGGGGGAACTGACGCAGTGGTTAGATCAAATAGACATCATACAGTCGACCTCACAAGGCGGTCTTATCAATAAATGGTACAGTGTCAACAGATGTATTATGGAAGTTGGCGCATTGGCTGCTTTTCTCAGCTGTTCATCCGAAAGGGCTGGAAGATATGAGATACGAGCTGATGCGGCGTTTGGCGTGAGAAAAGCTGTCTTAAACGATCTTCGATCAGCAAAGCTCGTGAACTTTTACCCGGGAGCAGTCCAAAAACGAGTTTTGATGACATCCAACCGGTTTTCAATACACTTGACACAGGCCTTTGTATCTTACGCAAATGTCACAGAAGAATGCCATTGTCATAGCCGGTACAACCGTATGAAAGGACACAATGCCATCTTCTCCCTCGCTTATCCCTTGCAGTGTCAAGATCCACCCCACGTGCCCTCCAAATATGTGAAACAAACCGCGTCCCTTTTTCTGTCTATCGATTTCAGAGTTCAAAGCTAGATCAATTCTTGCCGGAAAGGGAATTCAGCTACGGACTAGCATGCCCAAAGCAAAATAGTCACCCACAGCGCTGGAATTCGGGGTCCTAACACAAATCCAGCCACATCTAGACCAGCCACTGTTCGTTTTGAGGGAGCATTTTCGGATCTAGGGTCAATAGCTAAAAATTAAGCATGCTCAGGAACAGCCAGGGACGGGTGGGGATACGCATGTTGATCGCAATCAGCTACGGCGGTGCGCCATCTCGTTTGCACTGCTTGTAGGTGAGCTTGGGCTGAAAAGAAGTCCCAGTGACGGTTTTAATATTAAATATGTAGAGCAGTATTTCAGGGCGGGTATATATGACCCGCCGTTGATCCTTCAGAATTCCTTCCAAGAAAGCACCATCAACACATTCTGACTACTTTTCTTCATCATGGTGAATCTCAAGAATATCGCCCTTGCAGTAAGCGTCCTTCTTGGATGCGGACTTGCTGTCCCTGCACCTGCTGCCCCAGCTGCCGAGGCCGGAGCCATTATCCCGGGCAGTTATATCATCACCTTGAAGCCTGAGGTCGATGCTGTAATGGCCAAGGCCCATTTGAAATGGGTAAAGGGCGTTCACAAGAGAAGTCTCACCAAGCGTGAGACTGAAGTAGGTGTTGAGAAGACCTATGACAGCAAGTCTGGCTTCCAGGGTTACGCGGGAACGTTTGACACTGCGACTATCAAGGAGATCAAGAAGAGCCCAGATGTAAGTCAACGCCTATAACTTCAGTTGCCTCATTCTTAGGTGCACCATCTAACTGGTTCAACAAGGTATTGGCTGTTGAACCTAACCGTGTATGGAAGCTCAATCGCGTCAAGAGCAAGCGAAGCCTCGAGAAGAGAGATGAGATCACCCAGAAGAAGTCGACCTGGGGTCTCGGCACGATCTCCCACCGCAAGAAGGGCTACAAGGAGTACATTTACGATGATTACGCTGGCACTGACATGTATGCCTATGTCATTGATGGCGGTGTTAGAGTGACCCATAATGAGTTCGGTGGCCGTGCAAAGGCAGCTTGGACCAACTGGAAGGGCAACAACAAGGACGATGATGGTCACGGAACCCATGTCGCTGGTACCATTGCTGGTAAGACATATGGTGTTGCCAAGAAGGCAAATATTCTTGCCCTCAAGGTCTTCAACGGCGATGAGTCTGATACATCTATTGTCCTTGATGCTTTCAACTGGGCAGTCAATGATATCATCAAGAAAGACCGTACATGGAGGGCTGTTATCAACATGTCTCTCGGCGGCGAAAAGTCCACCGCCTTCAACAAAGCTGTTGACACTGCATCCAAGAAGGGTGTCGTCACAGTTGTCGCTTCCGGTAACGATGCTATAGATGCCGCCAAGGAATCACCTGGTTCTGCCGCGAGCGCAATCACTGTTGGAGCAGTCGACTCCAACTGGGCTGTCGCAGATTTCTCCAACTGGGGAAAGACAGTCGACATCTTGGCCCCCGGAGTTGGCATCACTTCAGCTGGTCACAAGTCCAACACCTATACTTTCACCGAGGATGGGACTTCAATGGCTGCTCCTCATGTAGCTGGATTAGTCTTGTATGCGATGAGCGTGGAGGAGGTTGAGGGAGTTGCCGATATTACGGCGTGGCTTAAAGAACTGGCGACTCCGAAGAAGATTTCCGGAAATCTTCGTGGAGCGCCTAATCTGATTGCGAATAACGGCAATTGGATTCAGTAAGATAGTCGCGCAATAAATCTTGTTCATGTCATGACTTGATGAAGATAGTCTGATTGTCAATTCTACTCTTGTTCTTCGACGCCCTTATTGTTTACGGCCCGCTCGATGATGTTCAATTTGTCGAATCGCGGGTATCCGAAATCTCATTCACTTTTCGGCAATTCTCAAATTGAAAATTGGTTAAGGGATCCTGGAAAACGGAGGACCGAAGCCACAAGTGAAGTAAATACTTAGGTAGGTTTAGGGTAATTTTGGATGAACTCAGCATCATCTTTGACTAGCTATTTCTCACACCAGCTTAATGAGCCTAGATCTTTTGGCACCATGAGGAGTAAGTGAGTTGAGCATCGATTACGTGTCATCTAGAGATCGATCCCGAAGATACCGATTATATTAAAAATGACTATCTAATTAGTAATCGCTGTGCCTTATGCCTAATCGTTCTTCGTAAGTCGGAGGATATCGCACTCCGCGGGGCCTCCAAGCCCTGGCATCGGATTGATGGACATAATTCAGATCGGCCGGATGTAACGGTAAATTGATATCTACCGGCATGCGCAGACTGCAAATCCCGCGTCCACGGACATAACGGACACGTCTTATGACAGTCGTATTGTTCCCCTGTCATCCGACACAGCCTCTCTTTTGTCTCAGGCGGAAAACATGGCAGCATTCGATTTCATATGATCAGCTCTCAATTGGATCGGCACTGTGTGATTTTCGCGTATTTGCTCAACGAAGCCGCCCGCGGAATGCTCCCGGCTATAAAGAAATTGAAAGCTCGCGTGGAAACAAGCACTACCAAGCCACTAAGATGACGATCCAGTGTCCGAGCACCTGGAATGTTGCCCCATACTTCCTCCAATAGGTTGAATCGGCACCGCCACGCCGTAACACTTTGCCTTTTGCGTCTAGTACATCAATATTGGCGTTGCAACCGAACGTGCCGCGCTATCGGGGGAATAAGCAGCCAATGTCGTAATCAGCACCAAGTGAATTGATAAAACCCCCTCTTTCACCACAGACTTTTAACACTTTCAGCACTTCACAGCCTCATTCAAGACGGCTTGCAGTACCATGGCCAGTGAACCTACAGAAACGCCTGGGTTGACTCTGCCGCCCGCTCCAACGCCGGCTTGGGAGGTCTTACAGAACCTCCAGCAGGGCCAAGAGGTCCGACATTTTTACGAATAGTTTGTACATGTTAGCTAACTTGAGTATCCAGAATCAAAACCAAGAGCATGATGATGCCGAAATCGACGAGGGCTTTGATGGCCACAGTGACTCAGACCTGGACTCTGCTCTGGGATCCAACTTGGCGGACTCGACCTATTCTCTGAGCTCAAGTATTTTCGAGTACCGAACCTTACATGGCAGGACATATCATTCGGATAGAGGCACAGCCCAGTACTGGTATGCATATTTTAGTTCAATATGAGATTACTCTAATATGTTATAGGGCATCAAATGATGATCAGGCCAGCCAATCTCTGGATATTGCGTAAGGGAGCGCCATCATGACATATCACAAGGCCTTCTAACAATAATAAGACATCACTTTACGCTACTTCTGCTGGAAGATAAACTCCATCTGGCACCTCTCAAACCTGATATCCAGGTTGGTTTCATTGGTCTTGGCGTATCGGATCTCCTTTACTGATAATGACTTTGGCAGAGGGTGCTTGATATTGGGACAGGAACAGGTAAGAACCCCTGATATTGACTTGACCATCTAGTTCTAACTATACTACAGCTATTTGGGCCATGTGAGTCATATAAAACGGCATGTTGAATGAGGCTGATAACGATGAAGTGATTTTGCCGACGAACATCCTCATGTCGAGGTCGTGGGCACTGAGATCAGCCCAATTCAGCCCAGCTGGATTCCATCAAACCTGCAGCTGTAAGCTTCCCTACTTCCATATAATAGCATCGAAGTTCACCCTTTGGTAGCGAAATCGAAGACTGCAACGACACCTGGACCTTCCGACCCGACTCCTTTGACTTCGTCCATATGAGATTCATGCTGGGAAGTATTACAGACTGGGCTGCCACTTTCCGCGAGGCTTTCACAGTCTGCGCCCCGGGTGGCTGGGTCGAAAGCTACGAAGTCTCGTCCACTATGGAGAGTGACGATAATTCTATACCAGATGGAAGCGCTATGCAACGCTGGGGTGAAGTATTCGAAGAAGGCGGTCAACGAGCAGGGAGAAGCTTTGCCATGATTCGAGAAGATATACAGAGGAAGTCCATGGAAGAAGCGGGCTTTGTCAACATTCAAGTTGTTGACCTCAAGGTAAAGTGATATTTCGGGCTAGTTCATACGGGTAGACTAACATTTAGACATCAGGCACCATTTGGAGGCTGGCATACAGAGGAACGTCTCAAACAGGTTGGACAATATATGCAGGCAGCTTTAGAGAGAGACTACGAGGGGTATCTTCTGTTTCTGGCTTGCGAGCTTTTGGGATGGACTGAGGATCAGGTCAGAGCTCTGTGCACCCAGCTCCGACGAGAGATCCGATCGGGTCAACATCATCCATATTTCAGACAAAGGATTGTGTACGGCCAGAAGCCCGAAGTTTGATTTCAATCTAGTGGCTCTTCAGTAACTTAGTATATTATAAACTGTTGCCTTTAGTACCTGAAGCGTCGTCATTATTCAAGATCATGTCGCGAGGATGACATTTCAAGCTTTCAGAGACTATCATCATTTAATAATCCTATTCTGACGGTTCTGAATGAATTCTCATACCGAGACTGACCTTTTTATCGTTGGTATCTCGACCCTGTCGACTTACCGGTAACAAACAACGCGGTGGCGCAGGGGCTATATCTTCACTATTCCCTAAGGTCTGTGTGGTGATTATAAGCTCTCAGCCACAGGCCTCAACTGCAAATAACACATCAAGCTCACACTGTTCCCATTTTCTCAGGAACAAGAACAGTAAGGCAATGGTATGCAATCATATCACAACGCTTTGGGGTAAGGGGGGCAGTAATAAAACATGCAACATTTTTCTTTTGCTCGGCAGGAAGACCAACGTTTTCAGCTCATGAACTGGTATCAATCTGACTTCAATTGTTGTTGAATGTATATAAGATTGTATGGAGCCATCACCTTGAATTCAGGATGGCGTTCCAAGTTTATGACAGAAGCGCCATAGGTAGAGGAGACCTCCACATAACCTGTGTCAAATCTGAAATGGGACTACAGGTCAAACAGGCACAGTTCAGGCTGGTTAGCAGAGAGGTCATAAAACCACCCGCGACGGCCTTTTGAGCACTCATAGGCCTTACGGAATGGTCCGCGAGGCTCGATAGGAAATGTCCAAAATCCAAGTGCTGTTTGAACTGCTTCGTTCAGCTGCTCTGTGGTCTCCTTGGGATATCTCCATACTTCTTCTAGGTGCGATCCTCTCCATTTGTCAAGCTGCTGTTCCCATCTCTCGCTCTCGTATTTTAAATAGGCAACAGTGTCAGTTTCACAACTAATTCTAGATTTGCTTCGATCGTTGTATAAGCAATTTTGAAGACACAGGGCGTTGTCACTCTCAATTGCTCCACCAAGTTCATCCAGGTTTCGTATGAATCTCCGAGATCTAAAAGGGAACCGATATTGAAATAGATACTATTCAATACGTCATCCTCGATGAGTCGTGGATCTTGCTGTCTCGAGAAGTTGCCAGTAGCCCCCGCGACAGGAAGTGAACAGCGATACTGCAATAGGCACTGGAGTTCAGCGGGATATCTGCGCGCTTTGGCCATAGCCAGGGATACTCTACCCATACAAGTGTAGTGTATAAATGTGACACTTCGAAGCCTGGCAACGACTTGGCGCAGCCGGCCTGTTGAACTGACATAACGAGTAAGACGACGAAAACTGTGACCAAGAATAAAACTTTGTGAGAAGGCTACGTTACATAAGCCTGCCTTACGCGGGTCATGATGCCAAACGTCACTCGCAAAGTTTGTGAACTGGTGCAAGCCCCTGATCTCCAAGGTGTCCCAGGTATGAGAGCTTGGGGTTGGTCAGGAGTGCCAGGACCGAACGACGGAACGTGTGTCAAAGGATTCCTTGCGGGTTGCAGTCAGCGTTCTGTTCAGTTATCTGAAGTGAATCTATGATCGAGGAAGACTCCGTGACATAGAAACAAGGAAGGACTGTCCGATAAAATCGCTTGGCGCTGGCACGAGATTCAACACTGGCACTGAATAAGGCGCTAGGCTTTGGGGGATGACGCAAAAGGGTTCTGTATGGCTCTGTAACAGGCCGGATTTTGCCAAGAGTTCCTTTGCGACGAATTACGCCAGTAGTTTCATCGACGGTGCAAAGCTCAACTTCGATATCGCTCACACGTTAGGCTTTGCTCCTAAATCCTGTCTCTTAGCTCCGTGGGAAGCTTAGGAAACAAATGAAATATCGCATTCGAATTTGGAAATATGGGTTGAGGAGACTCGGGTGTTGGCCAGATGGCTTGACCCGAGAGGCTTGGTTCCAATATTCCATGGCGAGGTCAAGTATTGGTAAAAGTGAAAATTCAGAATCCCAACCTCTGGGCAGGAGCGTTGTTCTTGTACGAGCGAGAACTAAAAGCTAATTAGTGACTCATTATCAATTCTCTCAGTCAGAGTTTGTGAATCTGTGTTGATGAAATACTCAGTGATACTATGCTTTCGAAGCCAGATATGCTACTGGCAGTTCACTGAATGACTCAAAGTTCATTAGCTGACATGTCTTTTTTTGTGCGCCTGGGAGTGTCTATTCTCTTAAGCAATAATGGCGATGCCTTCTATTGATTGGTTGGTCTGTTCAAGCTTGTAATGTCTCGGTTGTAGTTTAAGACATGGCTACCAGACCATTCACAGCTCCAATCACAGCAAAATGCCACTTTGTTATTATCTACTGCACATATAAGCTATTCCTTCATGCCCTAGTACAACGACTGCTGTGACCAAAGATGTGCAAACGCACCGTTCTGGTAATGATCCACATGGATTCCCCAAATTCTCTGCATCCTGGTAGGACGAATCATGTCATAGAGGTAGGTGACTGAAGCGAACCAACAGCAGCATGACCAGGGTCGGAAGTATTTGAAACCTGTTGCTTCTCGAAATGCGGCATTTATCGAAGATTCTTTCTACCTGAGTAGTTTAGGCAATACCTATTTTTTCAACAATATTGATTATGGCGACGGGCGATACTCCCACTGTAGCCATCTCAGACGATGCTCCAACGACAGCTCAACCTTTGCACCCAGTCACACACTGGGAACAATTGAACGAGGTATGCAAGCCTCAGTTGGACCACTGGTAACATGATATTGACGCTTTCTAGGAAGAGGAAGCGCAGAACAATGATGCCGACTCTGTCATCTCCGACCCCGCTGAGTCGACAGCATCAATGACTTCGAGCATTCTTTCATATCGAACCATTCAAGGACGAACATTTCACTCAGAAAGAGGAAACGCTCAATACTGGTACTTTTGTGTATAGTTGGCCTCACGAGTCTGGGAGCTAATGCCATTTCGTCAGGGCTTCCAATGACGAACAGCAGAATGAGTCTATGGATATAGTGTGAGTTTTTCCATCATCTGTTGTGCCATTCTTTCGGCTACTGAATTTGTCAGACATCATTTCCTCAGCCTTCTGCTTGATGGCAAACTATTTCTATCGCCTTTGAAGGATAATATTCAGGTTTGTGAAAGATACCTGGTCATCGATCGCCTTGGAACTCACACAAGATAGTCAGTTCTGGATATTGGAACCGGGACAGGTACAGTGATCATCTCCAAATGCACAGTGGCCCATTTTGACAGCAAATAATTAGGAATTTGGGCTATGTGCGTATAGAACGAGCCTCACAAGTAGAGAGCGCAAAGCTGATACTGAAACGCCGAAGCGACTTTGCGGACCAATTCCCGGGCGCAAAAGTCGTAGGGACCGATATCTCACCTATCCAGCCATCATGGGTTCCGCCAAACCTCGAATTGTGAGTTCGATTCAACACTATGCCAGGTTTCCGTTACACTAATTGCTTCTGCAAGCCATATCGATGATTGTACCCAGCCATGGACCTTCGCCCCAGATTCAATTGACTTTGTTCACATGCGCTATCTATTCGGCAGCATTAAGGACTGGTCAGCGTTATTCAAGGAAGCCTTCCGGGCATGTAGACCCGGCGGATGGGTTGAAAGTCATGAGGCTTCAGCAATGATGGAGAGTGATGATGGAACAGTCACAGATACCAGCGCTATGCATGAATGGGGAAGGTTCTTTATCGAGGGGGGAAAGAAGATGGGACAGCCGTGTACCATTCTCGAGGATGAACTCCAACAAAAGTGCATGCGCGAAGCTGGTTTTGAGGACATTCAAATCGCCGACTACAAGGTAAGGGTTCAGTCTGACATTGATGATGAGGGTCTCACAGCTGACTTACAGATTGCTATCGGCGGGTGGCCTAAAGACAAGAAGATGAGAGAAATTGGTCAGTATGTTCTGGCTGCTCTGGAGCAGGACTTTGAGGGCTACGTCTTGTACATGGCGAGCCAGCTGTTGGGCTGGTCCATGCAAGAAGTCAAAGTATACTGCGCGCAGCTCCGGCGGGAACTTAGGTCTACTGCGAACCATCCTTTCTTTCGTTACCGTGCGGTCTATGGTCGAAAGCCACAGACTTCTTGAACAAGGATTAGATGCCAACATTTATTCAGTTCAATATCTCTTTATTTAGTCGCTGAATCTATCGAGACGAAAATGCTCAAGCTCTGGATCCGTCTCGCCCCTGATGATCTGTTTGCTGAGCAGTTCTCCGACGATAGCAGCATTTGTGACACCAGAGTGCATGACCGCGACACTGACGCCTTCGAGGCCAGTTGGTCCAATAATTGGCAGACCGTCTTTAGGAGTCGGTTTATAACCGACTGTGAAACAGCCAAACTCAATTTCCTTTCCCCTAACCAGCGTTTCTTGGACCTTGGAAAAGACATCATATGCCATCTCTTCCGGATAGTCACCAGGGTCATCGCCAGGATTCTCGCAGCCCGCCTTGACGATTCCATCTGGTGTCTGTCTAATGTACAGATATTTCGAGTTGACTACATGCTTGACCAAGCGTTCTTTAGTCGGTTCCGTGTTCACAATCAGCGCTGGTACCGAAGTGATAGGCACTGTGATTCCTTCAGTTGCCAGAAGGGGTACAGTGCCCAAGCCAGCAGCCACGACAACATGATCGCCAGGGATCTCCTCGCCAGAGGCTAGCTTGACTCCCGTGACGCCGCCACTTTTCTGGAGAAGCCCTCTTGCTGTCGCTCTGATTACCTTCACATTGCCTTTGGCTTCTGCATTCGCCACGAGCATCTGGGCGACAATATGGGCTTCCATAGCACCCTCTTCGGGGTAGCAGAGAGCCCATTCTGGCAAAGTAGACTGATCAAAGAATGGCTCTTGTTCTGATACTTGGGATTTCTTCATGTTGGCAATTTCGTAACCCCATGTAGTGAGATTACTCTGGTTCTTGACCATGACCTCAGTGGGCTTGTGCCAGTTGATGGAGCCACTCCAGGAAATAGGAAGGTGTGGAAGTTCTGTGTGGATCTGTTTCCATCTGTTTAGGGATCGACGACGAAAATTATAGTAGAACTTTTGGCTGACAGAGCTCGCATTGAGCCAAGCGAAAGAGGCTTTGGAGGCGGGCCCACCAATGTCCTCTGCGACAATGGTTACGCTAGTGTGATGAGCCAGGTGCCAGGCGATTGCGGCACCAATTATACCGCCGCCAACGACAATGACGTGAGGTTGAGCTGAAGTTGTCATAGCTTGTAGTGGTGTTTTATGGAAGGAAGGAAAACTTGGACATCGAGGTCAATACGAGCGGGGGCTTGAGAATATGTCAGAGGGTCAGGTTACACTAACCCTGCCTTTCAATCATCATACATGCGTAATGACAACAAGTCGAGAGTGAGGAAAACGATGGCAAAGGAAAAGAGTCGTATGCGATGGATAAAAATATGAGTTTAGACAAAAGATTAACATGAGAGACGAATCTCCCCCGGGAAGGCTCGAACTTCCGATCTCCCGATTGTCTATGAATAACAGTCGGACGCTTTAGCCAACTAAGCCACAGGGGATCAGTTAATTGGATGAGGGTGGTGAATCAAATCAGGACTCATATCCGCCATTTGATCTCCTCACGTTCCAATCACCCCATGCAGCCGATCATCGATACAGTCCGTCCCTCTTATGTTCCTATAATTTGGGCTGGCGAGATGGGTCAAACTGCGACAAGTAAGCATCCTTCCAAACGTGAAGATAATAAGAATGATACCTGGATGTTCTTATCCTGATTGAGGACTAGGCCGCGTTGACCAAAGGCGATCCATGAATTTTCAAGATTGATCTTGGCTCTATACCCTGCCTCAAAATCTTTCTGGGCTTTCCTCACGTTCGCGACACCTTCTTTACCCCGTAGATGAATTGAGAAAATTAAATTGAATTTTGGACGGTTGGGGTTGCTTCCGAAATATGCATCTGGATTAAGGCTCAGCTGTACTGGGGTATTCGCAATGAGAGTGCGGACCTGGCTCCCTGCGAACTTCTGCAAACTGTTGACGAATCCCGTGATGATATGTTCAGTGTCGCCGCTGGTTACACTTATGTAGTACATCGCGACAGGTGAAACCGAGAGGGAATCAACCTCTTCAGGTGACGCTTTCTCAGACTCGTTCAGTGGAATAACTCTTTCCTGAACAGTTACAGGTAATGTCGACGCAAAGTCAGAGAAGTTGATACCATCCGGGCCAACGTGTTCCCTGACGTATTTCGAGTCGTAACTAGTCTTTAGATGATCCTCGGACCGGAAATAAAGCTCGACGACATCATCAGAAAAAGCCCACCAAGGATTGGCGTTAATGCCTTGACCTTCTTGATGGTTGTATGCTGCATCTTGAATATGGGTCTGGAAGTACTTTCTGCGAAACCTGTTAGAATTGCATGCTTGAAGAAGGGTCGACATACGATGGAGTGACGTCTGGAGAGGGGGCTTGGCTGAGTTTGCCATGAACTTGGAAGTGATAGTCGAAGAACTCCTGTCTGGTGAGACCGGGCTTTCTCCTAACCGCTACGATCTGCTTAATATACGGCATGTTTGTTGTTTTTAAATCTCAATAGGACTCTTTTAGTTGCCGATAACATGGACTGGTTGTGCGACGGAACTTGGCTATATAGTTGACACCTGATAACAAATGATCTGATACTGTGGGGCCAGTTCCTATACCCGAAAGTTAAACGGCCGAGTGGGATTGAATTTCTAAAGGTCTCGGTGAGGTGATTTCTGGCGGGTTGAGCCTCAAGATGCAGCGACCCGGCAATGGGGGAGCTCCGTGGGTGGTCAAAGACGGCATTGGGGGACATCCTGGCGGGGCCGAAATACCGTGGCGGTTTGATAGTTGTGCATTGACTAAGCGGAAGTTGGGGTTCAGCGATTTACGTCCCCACGTACATAGGAAATATCCAAATGCCTCAAATGAACAGAAAGTGTAGGATAATTTCATAAGGTAGTCAAGACAATCATTCAAGTGCTATAAAAATCCCACAAAACCCCCACCATAGCCACCCTTTCTAATCCGTCAATAACAAAAACGCCCCTTCTAACCTACCAAACTATGATCCTTCCAACGGGCGGCAAGAAAACTTAGGACCTCTATCCTAAATGACAGAAAAGATTTAGGGAAGTTTAGTGCAACTTCTTGGGCCTTTAGACTGGTTATTTCTGTCATTGTGGTCCAAGGTCAAAAGCTTTCTTCCTCCCGAGCCAGCCTCGCCAGCGAGAACATATCAATGTTAGGCAACACAGAGACAACAATGATCCGCTGTCGAGATATTAGCTGTCGCCAATCATGCTGGGTGCCCTTAGGCTTCCCCTCTTGTTCATATGCTTGTTCTGAGAACTGGGTCCAGCCTGTGCGTCAATCCGGGCTTTGAGCTTGCGCTGTTCCTTCGCCAAGATCTTGAGCTCGCGTTTTTCATCCTTCTCTATTCGAATTCGGAGCTCTTCAAGACTAGCTTTTTGCTTGAAGAAGGTATCATAGTAATTGAAATAGCGAGACTTGTGCTGGGCGATATATACTGCTTCATCCGCGATCAGCTCAGGAAGCGCGTCAAGACATGGGACCGCATTGGCTTTCACCCAGCCTAGGAGGTAGTCAAGATTATCCACTCAGGGGTTGGATAAATCAAGTTTCTCTCGGCCGCTTTTCGAGTGATGATGTGTTGATAAGCGTTTAGTTTCTTGAAGCCCTTGTCAACCTTTTCGAGAGTCTTATAGACAGTACTCTGTTTGAAGGGATCGCGGGCCTTGAGGAAGTCAACAAGGTAGGTCATGAGCATGCAGGCATGCATGGAGCTGAAGTCGAGGTACTACCGGTAGTCAGGTCTTGATTTCAAGAGACGCTCAACAGCTTCATGGCCATCGTGAAAGACGATTCTGTCCAGGGCTACAAAGGGGAGCATCTCGATCATCCACACGAAGTCCCCTTCGACCCAGATGCTGGATGATTCGTCCTTGGAACGGCTGGTCTTAGGCATTGTGAAATTCGTTGTGGAAGTAACGGAGTTTCAAAAGATAGTCAACTTGATTTGCTCGCACTTAGGTCTTTAGGTGATTTGTAAACTTTTCGAAGTGATAAACTGTAGATAGTTTAATGAAAGGAAAGAAGCATTGGAGGTCAGAAGAATTGTAAAGATAACTATTTATACCCCGGTTACGAACGGGTTAGTCTAGACTACAGTAGTAAACGGTTATACGGAACCGTTCATAGTGAACACACTCTATCATTCAGTTCAACCAGTGGGTTTCATCATCGTTTAGAGAGTCACATGACTCTTGGCTATCGTTCAGTTGGTGTTCACTGGCCAAGTCACAATGGCGTTGCAAAGATTGACAGCGACAGGTCACTGAGACAAGACACGAGTCACTGTATCCGAAATATCGGATGGTTCGCCGCAACTGTACTCACACGTCTTTGTTCGACTTTGAATCTCGCCCCGAGATCTTTTCTAGCTTTTGCAAGTCAATGATGTTCACAGATCTCAGGCGGGAGGTTGTTATTGTTGAGGATGGGCGCGCGGGCAGATTCGGAAGAAGATTGATACCGAGGTTTATGTTCCTTGAAGGGTCTGGCATGGTCCAAATTCGGAGCTCGTTTGTTCTTCATTGTTGCAAATACCGTCGTAGCCTGACCAGTCGTTAGCTGTTAGTTGTGCTTGCTTCAAATACATCTGCACGGAGATGACGCTTTGAGAAGCGTATGGAGGAGAGAATTGGCAAGGCAATCCAACCATGACCAGATAAAGATAGAGATACCAATAAATGGGGAATAGCCTCATGAGATTCAATAAGCAAGCAAGTATCGCCGAGAAAGAAATTTGCCAGCGTTTGGAAATAGGGTCAGACTAAAGAGCAGGGGGATAGATTACCCGTACGCATAAGCTGAGGGTAGTAGGCATTGACATTACAGCAGCAAACGCATCATCTCCTTGACTGTAGACGCGCTGTTGTCGAGAAGAATCTGCATGAGGAAATGTCGAGTGCGTGTTGACGAGGGGAGTGCGTGTGTACAGGGAAAATCAGTAAAAAGAAGCCGACGGGAGTAGAGACGCATGGAACAGATCCTCAATGTAAAGTACCAAGGTTCACTCTCGGTAGGAAGCCTGGGTACTCTCTGTTGGGTCTGTTGTGTGAGTGAAAAGGCTTGAGTTTCGTAGTGACAAACAAAAACATGACGTGGGCGACGCTGAAACAACCACGCCGACACTGGCAGACAGTGAGTCCCGAGCAAGTCGCGATTCAGCTTTAGAGCCACAACGATTTATCGGAATTACATTATTTGGGTTGCACGGGGTATTACAGAAGGAGGTGTAGCTTCTCCTTGTTGAGTTGCCGTAAGCTGTTGTCCTGAGTGATTAATAGGGGACAACGGTAATTACCAAGGGAATAATAGTCATTGACACAAATATGACAGTGATTGACGAGAAGACAACAATGAATAGTAATGAATGACTGGAGATATGGAGCGTTATTTGCGTATTCTTAGTGTGCATCACTGACGAAAACGACAGTCATTATCAAGGTAATTACAGTGATTAACAATAACCTACAGTGGCTATGATTATCTGAGGTAATGGACAGTGATGGGGCATTACTTATGACTCTATCTATTTAAATTCTCGATTTACGGCCCATTTGGCAGTATTTCTCATTATTATTACACTAAAATATAACAAAACACCATGCCGAGTCAAGAAGGTTCGCCCAACTCAGGTCTTGCCCGTATTACCAGTTACTAACTTGTAACCGATTAGGAAACACAATGGCAATTCAGGCTCTCCTTGAAGGAAATGGGTACATCATGTCAAGAGACCAAACCTCAGAGACCTCGGTGTTTCTTGTCAAGTGGATTGGCGGAACAACTGGTGAGACTAGTCAAGCCAAGGTCCCGGAATGCGAGTTGAGGACATCCTGTTCCGCACAATTGGATCAATACCTGCTTAACGAAGGGAAGGTTTAGTGATAGAAAGGCACTAAGACTTAACCAACAGCTTTTCCAGAAATTCCATAGCGAAGAAAAAGAATGAACGACAAATACTACAGAATGTTGACTGTTCTCGAAAGATGAATCTAAATGTTCTCTTACCCCTGAGACCTATGAAAAGACAAACTTCATCGATGGTGCGGGGTGAGAAGTAACGGCACATAAAATATCACAAAGTAGAAGTTCAAACTCTCTACACCATTAAGGTTTCCAAATAAATAAGATTTTAGAGTTATAAGTCTACAAGCCAACTCGAATAAATCCTTCAAGTTATCACTCCCAGGCTTTATTAGTTTAGATTTTGGAACTTTCTACACTATCTATTCATTCACCAGTAATGCTGTAGTACTACATAACTAACCAGGAATGGGTTCTAGACATACTTCCTTGCTACTGTAACTAATGAAATGCTGTAAGACTTCACATGGCTACGTGTCGAAAGTTGCCTCAATGGTGTAACAGATAATTTCATCCAAAGATGAGCGTCCAACTTATTTAAGCGAATTGTGCAACACGACAAGGGCATAAACTGGAAAACCCCCCCTCATCTGCCACTCTAAATTCGCTCCCTTACCACTACTTTCAAATCATTCAGACGCTATCCTAAGACTAAATGACCCAAACTAAAGCCTCTCAACATGACTGATCATCTCTCCGTGGTAGGGCCTTCGAGACTTTGTGCTGTCTGCGACCTGGCCTTGAAAAGCAATTTACTATGCACCAGCCAGCCTCACCACAAGAGTGGCTTTGACCTGGAAAAGGCTTCCGATCTTGGCTGTTACATTTGCGGCACAATCCGACATAGTAATACATGGTCACGAAGATCTGAAGAGTGTCGCTCAAGCTCTTTTGAGTATGTCATAAACCTGCATAATGCCGGTTGCGTGGACACTCTAGAAGGACTGATTATTGGGAAAGCTCCAAGTGGCTGTTGCTGGGCTTTTCAGCTTTGGAAAGAACCTGGTATTTCTCCAGTCCCTAGCAAGTCAAACCTTTCTAACCAAGACTCTTAGATCCTGCTTCCGGTATTTTGTCTTACAAACCACCTGCCTCACACCATGATTCAGATTTTATTCGACTTGCCAGGGACTGGCTTGACTCTTGTTGCCAAACTCACGTTAAGTGCCTAAACAGCGGCCCAGGTTACAGGCCAACAAGATTAATCGAGATCGTTGACGAATTATACGTTCGCCTCATTTTTCCAAGGAACCTCTCTGTTGAGTCAATTGACTATATCGCATTCTCTCATTGTTGGGGAAAGGTTGAGGCGATCAAGCTTCTTGAAAAGAACGTTGATCGATTCCGACTTGGCATAAGCATCCATGATTTGCCCAATTCCTATCAAGAAGCTATTCAGTTGTCTCTCAGAATGGGTTTTAAACACATATGGATTGACTCACTCTGCATTATTCAAGATTCATTGTTGGATTGGATGCAAGAGGCGAAGGATATGAAGCGGGTTTACGAGCATGCAATATTCAACCTGTGCTCTGCTACAGCCTCCGATAGCTCAGGGACCAGCTTTGTGGCCCGCCATACACATCTTCTCAAGCCGCAGCGTGTAAGTCTCCATGGCGAAGTCTTCCAGTTGCTGTGTGATGGCCTCTTACAGGACGATATCACTTATTGCACCTTGCGCTCCCGGGCATGGGTCTATCAAGAATGGTACCTTTCCAAGCGCTCACTGGTCTTGGGCTCACATCAGCTTTGGTGGCATTGTAGAGAAAAGCTGGCATGCGAAATATGGCCTATTGGAACACCACAAGCCAACAGGGGAAGATGGTGGAGGGAAACCCAGCCCCTCAAGGAGTCAGCACCATCTGAAGATTCGGACGATATGGATGCCTGGAATCAGCGTGTCCTAGCATACATGAGGACAAAGCTGACGAGAGAAACCGACCGTTTGGTTGCATTCTCAGGTATTGTTCAATCTTTCGGGCAGTCACGGCAACTAACTAAAGACTATCTTGCCGGCCTTTGGCGATGTCATCTACCAGCAGCGCTCTTGTGGAAGGCCACCTCTCCGGCGCGGAGATCAGCTACATATACTGCAGCGTCATGGAGCTGGGCGTCTCTTGCTGGAGACTGTCTGGTAAAGACAGATAAGGACTTACTTCATGAACCGTGCTTCATCACTGTCGAACAGATAATGCCCCTGCGTGTACCAGGACCAGATGGATTCCCGATGGGGGGAGTAATCACGCTCAGTGGCTATTTGTTTGAAGTTGTCTATCGATCTGTAGGTCTTTTCCTGGGTAGAGGAGACTTCATGGCTCCCGGAGACCAGACGACAGGTGGTGCACTATTCCTTGACGAGGGATCAGAGAATGATCAATTTGTCTCACACTTAGAGGCACCAGACCTAGATGATTTCAGTGGATGGCTGGAAAATAAGGCTGTGAGGCTAGCAGTGCCACTCAATGACGCAAAGGGTCGTTTCTATTTTTTTTTTGTTCCTTGATAGGGGAGACAAGTATCGTTTTCGTTTTCGAGGACTGACTTTGTATCAGCCTATTGATCAGTTAGGTTCCTTTTATCGTGTCGGATATATGAACTGGGGGAAGCTTCCAGGGGTCATCAATACTGATGAGCTCGCAGCGAATCGTGCTAAGAGCACGGTGAGGATCCTATTAAACTTGAGTCCTGGGGTTGCACTATCGGTTCCTCGCTGAGAATACAGCGCTTTGTGTGGTATTCAACCTCCTTAATGGAGGTTATGTTAAATAGTGTCGCGACTTTTATTTCTCCAAGCTACTTTTTACCATTGATTTGTCTCTCGAGATACTTAGAATTCGTGTGACAGAATGGAATTCAAGCGATCTAACGGAATTATTAGCCTTGCCAACTCTGTACTCGGCAGACGAAGCTATCACGATTCCGCTTACCTTACCCTAAAGACTACATTTGCTAATGTTTTCTTTTTGCTTTAAGTGGTCTTTCGATACGTCTACGCATTAGAGTTACACCAATTCAAGGATTTCTTGAAGAAAATCTATCACGATTTGCGCAATTACGCTTTGCATTTTCAAGACATTGCGAAACAACTGATTATGGCTTGAGAGTTGTCGCGTCTGCAAGAGAGAATTTGCTTCACCAGCAACTCCACCTTTCATTGTGCCGAAACTGAGCCCATGATCCCGATCCAGCGAATCAGATTCTTGCTCATGCTTACAACCTTGTATTGCCAAGAAGTCTGCCCTATTGGCTCGCTTGCAGTCGATGCTAATGGATTAGCTCCCTTTGGCATGCTTTGCGATCTCCAAAGGGACCGAAAGAAGCGAGAACGGTACTCAGGAAGGAAAGCATGGTTCGATGGTGTGGAAAAATTTGTCTTCTATGCAGGTAAGATGTTGGCAATCTCGGCAAAACCCTGTATGGCGGTTTTCGCTATGAAGCTAAACTGTAATCGCGTCTGACTTGGTGGAGAATGAACATGGGTGAAGTCTTGGGAGTAAGCACAGCTGGGATGGCGAGCCTACTGCGACGTTTATGAGGCACTTTACTTGGTCTCGATTGCAAATATGACTTGGTGTTTGCCAACATGGTACGGGGTGAATGACCTGTTGCGGCGATATCAGAGTGCAGCTTGATGAATTTGGGTTAATTCTGACCCCCTTCCCCGAGAACCTCTTGACCATGTAAGCTTAAAAATGACCGTTGCAACTTCAGCTTCAGTTACGTATCGAATCAGGCTGTGCTAGTGTTCTCACTAGGGATTAAGGTGCCTTGGCAGCCTGAGAGACAAGCTCCTGGGCCAGGGCTTCGTTACAGCCTCGACTCTGATAGGACACCCCAAGCCTCGTTTCAGTTGCTAACGGCTAGCCATGGGAACTACCTGCACAAGGTTGCGTTCGGTAACAGACAGATCCCAGCATCCGCCAATTTGGCTCTCCGCCGCCAGCCTTATGAGGTCTCGATCAGACGATACCCAGCAAACCCGTCTCATCGGAACAGACACCCAGGCCGTTGTTCCCATGAGGGCGTTACGAAATACGAAGGCAGGCTTTTACCCAGAAGAAGGCTCGGCAACGCTTCCTCAACTGGGAGGTGTCACCGCAGATGGCTCTGGGCATTGGGGGCCAAAGACATTGAATATGCAGCTTATTCTTTAGCTGCAGTAGCTGACACCCTTTAATGAAAGCGAGGCAAGCGCAACTTCGCCACTTTTTCGTCCCATATAAGCACTTCCTGTCGAGACATCCTTGAATACTGCTCCCGACTGGACTTTCGTTCTCTTGGACAAACTTCGACCCAACCTGCGACCACCTCATCGAGTGGATATCAACACGCAATGGATGGTAAAATCGTCAACGATGGACAGGAGCATAAATCGTATGCTTATTCTCCTGTGCAGCATCAACAAGCTTTCCCGCAGCCGGTTGTGTCTCCGCAGCCTTCTTTAGGCCAATTCCCTCCCCAGGCCGTCTCCCCCGAGTCAATCGCGCGAGAGACATTCCCCCACCAGTCGCTATGGATAGATCCTCAGAGCCCGAATCTTCGAGATACTCCCGACTACGATAGAACTCACGACAGTCGCAGAGGCCTGATGGGCCATGTGCCTGCCAATGACCCATACTCCAAGGTCCCTGATGTACACGTCGTTAATCGACCTACCGCAGGGGCCTTGCCTGAGTCGGGCCCTTTGATGTTCAGGATCATGAAGAGTCGATGGTCGATGATTGCTTGCTTGGTCATTGGAGTCGCTGGTGCAGTTGGTCATCATTTTTTATACATGCATCTTGATGGCCGCGAGGCGAAAAACCAACAATGGTGGATGCGACTAGGTCAATTGATCTCATTCATCGCCAACGCGAACTTCATCCTCGCTGCTGTCATGGCCCATCAGCAAGTCGCATGGCGGGCTGTAGGACAGAAAGGATTCTCGATTCACGCCGTTGATGCCCTATTCGGAGCTACCCACAACATCATCGAGCTTTTCAACAGGGAAGCATGGATCAAGTCGTGGTTTGTAATGTTTCTTGCTTTGTATATGTGGCTCAGCCCTCTTGTCGTTATTCTCTCGTCAGCATCACTCTACGTCGTACCAGGCGAGAGGATAGAAGATACACTCTGCCCATCAATCCGAACGTTGAACTTTAGTAATGAAGCCAAGGAAAGTTTCCAGACACCTAAGAAAGCCGAAGGTGAAGTCATGAACAGTCGCTCTCTTTCTGGATACAACTGGACAGCCCCGGACGGAAACCTTGCTGAAGGAGCCGCGGAGGACGACGACATCTTCGAGTACTATAACGTTCCTTCTTCTACACTTGATCGCATTGCTGCTGGTGTGTTTTCAAGTGGGCAGACAACCCAGAAAGCAAACATATCGCTGGAGATTTGCGGAGATGGATGGGATTGTTCTACGACTGTCCATTTCGTTGGGCCTGGATACAAATGCGAAGAGCTTGCCAACGGAGTCGGGTCCGAGATGAAGAGCTTCGGAGATGCCGAAGCGCCCTTCAACCTTAGCCAGCTTGTGCCTGCCTCTAACTTCACCTACTTCGCGAACACCGACCTCGGAGAGTATATGCGGCCTCAGATGGATAACGTTTCGATCGGTGGAATTCCTTCTGAGGTCGATGGACCGCCTTTTCCCAAGAACCTCGGTGTCTTTCGAACCGAACCCTCCATCTGGATTGGCTACGCCGCTGTGGATGATCACACCAAGGCTCACGCGATGGATAGCAAGGCCGATGGTTGGAACGATGACTATACTCCCATCATCTTTGCTTGCGATCATTGGGAGGTCAATTACACCGTCACCTTCAACTTCACCTCGGGATTTCAGAAGTACAACATTATGGATCGAGACTACAAGCGAAAGATTATCGATACTACCTGGAGCAGCTGGACCAACGAGTCCACGGACGGAACGGCCGATGGAAACGTTGCAGAGCCGGAGAAGAACTATGTCAGTCCCCGCAATGACTACGCTCGATACCGCCGCATAGCCGCCTACCATAGTCTCGGGCTTAGGCTTCGCGAGAAGCTTTTTGGTAATGTCAAGGTCCAAGGATCCGTCTTAGCAGACGGTGCCATTACCACTACCAACCTCCTCGATAGACATGAGAGTCTACCCGTCCACGACTTCCAGCAACAGGTCCGCCGCGTATATGAGGACTTGATAATCTCACTCCTTTCTGACCCTCAGCTCCTTGTCGTAGCATGGGCTGCCGATCCATCTAAGCTTTCTGGGACGGGCATCGGGGGTGAAGACACGAACTACAAATGTGAACGTCGACGAAAGGCCAACTTCTTTGACTACGGTTGGCCTGTCCTTGTAGCTGTCTACGCCGTGTCATTCGTCGTGGCATCGATTGGTGTGTACTATGGCATTGATGCTATGTCAAGTGATGGAACTTATGCGCAACGGGTGATGACTTTCTCTGCTATCGCGGGAGCTACGAAGAAGGTAACGGTGGATGAAGTTGAGAAGAGGGAGACTAAGATCAGGTGCTTCCCAACTGATCAACGGCCAGGTGAACGGACATATGAGTTCAGGGCTGAGTTGGAAGGATAATTAGGTAGAGATATGTGGAGGAAACATCGATTTCGTTGATGAAGATGATATCTGTACTATAATTCTGATTTCTTAATATTACTGTTAATGTTTAAAAAGAGAAAATGCTTCAAATTTCAAGCACAAGGATAACAAAAAATGACATCCTCTTTGAGGCATATTTGGAACATTGCGACCGAGGGGAATCGAACCCCTCTCTAACGCTTGGAAGGCGTTAATGCTAACCACTACACCACGGTCGCTTATTAATGATATCTATGTTTGTCTCAGCGTCTATATTCGCGAAACTGTAAAGTTGCAGCATTCCGCTCGGCAATGTTCCAGTTCCATCGAAGAGTAACATAGTCATTCTTATCCGTCTTCTACCGGGTCTGTACAGTCTCTAGTTTACAGCATTTATAGAGTCCAACAGGAACAAAGGTTGCGCAGCGACATTGGAAGGTGGGCAATTCTCGAGCAACAGGATCGAACATATTCACAAAACCGACAATGCTCAATCTACGGAATCCCGTTTACAAATGAAGCTCAATGATAGGCTCCACTGCATGAGCTTCATCTTATCTTAGCATGCTGGGCAAAAGATATTCCGCCACTAGTGAGAGGGGCAGCGTCAGCAAGGGCTTCCTTTTACAGTTTTCGTGTTCTCTGAATCTTCTGTTGTTAATCTTTGAAGATTAATCTCCAAGACATTCACTGTTGAATCGAGCTGAGTGGGAGAAGCATGGCTGGAACCAGTTCCACTATGAAATGGGGCGGCATCTTCATCCTCACTTCTATTGGGTACTTTGTCTTTAAACTTTACCAGCAGCGGGTCTTTTTTCGGCGAACGGTCAAAAAGTATAACCTTGTGAGTTATCAATCGTGTTTGCAGGTGTAATTCTCATCACTGATGCGTTATAGCCAACGCTACCTGGTCACTCATGGCTTCTCGGTAACCTCATCGCCGTGGGAAAAATCATGGTCAAGTATCCTGAAGATGTCCACGGTCAATTAATGCCCGATTTCCTCGCGCGAGATTATCCTGGGATCGCGGAATTAGGCATATGTTATATCGATCTCTGGCCAATCTCATGGCCCATGTTGGCAACTTTTCATCCGGATATCGCAGCGCAATTCACTCAGGAAACGTCACGACCAAAGCACGAGATCATCAGAGGCCAATTTCGACCGTTGACGGGCTTGAAAGATCTTGTTTTATCCGAAGGAGCATTCTGGAAGAAGTGGCGAGCAACTTTCAATCCTGGTTTCTCGACACAAAACATCACGGCCCTTGTCCCTGAGTTCATTGAAGAGGCATCAATTTGGAAGAAATACCTGCAAGAAATCGCTAAAGATGGACGTGTTGTACCTCTTGAAGATTGTGTTATGAAGGCTACTTGTGATATCATTGGTCGGTCTGTCTTGGGAATAAGTCTGGGCATTCAAACAGGCGTCGACGATAAGATTTTCCTGACGCTCAAAAGTGCAATCTCACTGCTTGTCACGGACTGGTCGCCGCATCAATGGGGAAGACTTCTGAATCCTTTTCGACACTATCGGCTCTCGTCTCTCAACCGTCAACTTCGCAGCCAACTCCAGCCATTGATAGAAGCTCAACTTCAAAACCACGAACGCAATGAAGGACCGAAGACTGTGAACGGTCTCGCCATAAGAACATATATGAAGGAATACGGCTCCAAAGGCACTACAGGAAACACAATTGATCCTGAATTTCTGGATGTCACTATTGAGAATCTGAAGATCTTCCTCTTCGCTGGCCATGACACCACTGCGTCTACGCTCTGTTTTGCTTACAATTATCTTTACCAACATCCAGATGTCCTTGCGAAGTTGCGACAGGAGCATGATACAGTCTTAGGAACTGATCCGGCCAATGCAACCAAGACGATCTCCAAAACCCCGACATTGCTCAACCAGCTTTCTTACACCACTGCGATCATCAAAGAGACTCTGCGATTAGAACCACCAATCGGATCCTGCCGAGAAGGCTCTCCGACATTCTTCCTGAGACATCCTGAGACAGGGCAGCAGCTTCCAACGGATGGCTTCATTCTCTTCTCAGCAAGCAAGGCCATCCATCGCAATCCCAAGTTTTGGTCAGAGCCTGATAAGTTCGTTCCTGAGCGATGGCTTGATCCTGACGCCCATAAGAATGCATTCCGTCCATTTGAGCTAGGCCCTCGAGGATGTATTGGACAGGAGCTTGCGTTGACGGAGTTGAGACTTCTTCTTGCGATGACGGTCAGAGACCTTGAGATTGTACCGGCGTACAAGGGGAAGGACGAAGTTCTGTTGGGATATCAAGCTTATCAGGCACAAATGCCTGGAGAGTTGACAGCACATCCTAGTAAGGGTATGCCTGTGACAGTGAGACTTAGGAAGGCTAGAGACTCTAAGGAATGGAATTGAGGTTATGTGAAGGCATTGTATGAGAGACTGGCGACTTATTAAACGCACTGGCAGTGAAAGTTCGGGAATCCTACAGTCACTCCGCACGCGAAGCAGGTGGCATAAGTAGGATAGATTTCGAAACGCAACATTTGATACATTGATACATCATTTGTCTTAGCAATAGTTCAGAGATGGAGGACAGAATTCGTTGAAATTCCGCCTAAACGTGCTCAAGATTCAAGTCTTGGGGCGCTAATCAGCTCAAAGGGCTCGAGGGCGCCTCAGACCTACACCACATCCTTCTTCAGTCCATACTCAGCGATACCCATCCTGGATTGCATGATTTCCAACTCCTCCTGACCTGCATGGTCACGGAAGACCTCGTCCATCTGTTCCAACGTCTTCCCCTTGGTCTCTGGAACTAGGAAAAAGGCCCAAACAGCCGCGAGGAAACACCAAGATCCGAAAAAGATATAAACACCGAAGCCAATACTCTCAATCATCGGGGGCGTTGCAACACCCACAATAAAATTAAAGAGCCAAACCGTGGCTGTAGCGAGGGCTACTCCCTTGGACCTCGAGGCATTGGGGAAGACCTCAGCGGGAAGAGCCCAGCCTAAGGGAGCATAGGAGACTCCGTAGATGAGGATGAAGCAAAATGCCATTGCCACTGCAGCCCAGCCTGCGGATGGATTGGAACTCCACTTGTCGTTGAATACGCCTACCAAAACCGCCATAATGCCCCATGCTGTACCACCTCCAATGCCGCCCCAGATTGCTAGTGGCCGCCGTCCAACTTTGTCGATGATGAAAAAGCAAACCGTCACTGCGACAAGTTGTAACATATTGAAAACACCAGACATGATCAATGACATCTCAGACGATTGACCCAAGGACTGAAAGAGTGTGGGGGCATAGTAGATGAATGCGTTGATGCCCGAAAGCTGCTGGAAGAAAGCTACTCCAACGGCGATGGAAGTTCGATGCCAGGACTTTTTCTGGAAAAGATCCTTCCAGCCAAGAATCTCAAGCTTGAGGCCACTGACACCTGGATGTCGCTTCTCTTGCATGATCTTCTGCAGTGCCACTTCGTTGAGGATGCCAACATGTTCTTTCTCAACACGAGGGTCGGTTCTGGGGAGTCGGCGGAGCTTTTCTAAGCTCAGCAGCGCATCGTCCGATCGGTCGACAAGAGCAAGCCATCGTGGTGAGTAAGGAAAAAAGTGGATGCCGATGCCGAGAATAGTGCTGCAGACCATTTGGAGACCAAACGGCAGTCGGAAAGAGAGATCACCGGGAAGATGGCGGGTGGCATAGGTTATCCAGAAGGATACAACCACGCCAAGAACGCATGAGACGGACTCGAGGACAAGAAGCGTTCCTCTCAGGTTGGGCGGTGCGATTTCGGAGATGTAAATTGGAGCACCCTATCCTGTTAGTCATTACAATAGCACAAAGACGGCATCTACATACCATCGCAAGTGTCCCAACGCCAATACCGCCTATGGTTCTTCCAGCCACCAGAAGGCCGTAAGAGTTAGCCGCAGTCTGCATGATAGCGCCGACGTTGAAGATGACTACAACGATTGAAAGAGCCTTCTTGCGTGAAATTTTATCGGCGAGTGTAGGCATGAAGAGGCATCCAATGAAAGCCCCAAGCTCTAGCATGCCAGTCATGAAGCCTTTGCCGAATGCAGTCTCAGTGGGAGGGAACCTCTTATGAAACTGGCTCATCACGTTGACGATTGAGATGACTCCTTGGTCGTAACCAAAGGAAAAGCCTCCCATAGATGCTAAGAAGGCAGCGCCGAAGATGTAGGGAGATTGGACGACGCCGCGAATGCCGCCTTTGCCGTATGAGATTTGCTCATCTAAAAGGAGGATGGGAGCATTGCTTGATGAAGGGGCGGGATTTTCAACATTCTCGACTCGTGGGTGATCTTTGGGAGAACACTCGATAGAAGAAGGCATCTCAGTGGCCATTGTGCAGGCAATATCGAACGATGAGACTTCTCAAGTATGAGAATGGTGATTGAGCCGATGATAAAAGATGAGAGTTCAAGTGGAAGAAGAGGGCATGATGATATTATATAGCCGTCTGCTTCAGCAGCGACCACTATCGTAGCTGCGAGTCATAGAAAGTAACAAATCAAGAAACGCGTTGGTTCCCCGCGGGGAAATTGTCTGGGGAAGACCAAGGCGTCGAAGCTAAAGTGTCGGGATTTGTTTGAAATGATGGTGCGTTACCTATTTTGGGGAATTCATTCCGCGGGTTTCAACCTTGTGGCTTCCCCAATTTAGGCCAAGCCACTAGCCATCAAGACTTTGGAGGCATGAATTCAATTTCGACCAATGGGAAGCAGTACATTGTAACTCTGCAGTTGAATTGGTACTAAAAGCGGACAACATTTCCCGATACCGTAGTTGGCGCTTTGATTCCCAACGTTGGTGATATCAGGAAGACAATCGAGGAACAAGGCCAAATCATCTACTGGTTAACAACATGAAAATCCTGTTCCAGAACCATGTGCAATTCGGAGAGAAGCCCGACGGCAAGCGGTTTTGCGACTGAAAAAGCCTCCCTTGTGAAACTCAGACGTACTTGGCATTTATGATGCCTCAATGAAAGCGGTTGCGCTTCTGTACCGTGGTTAAACGTTCCTCGTTGGTCTCCAGTCGCATCAGAGGGTACTTCTGCAACAGCAAATCATCGAGTGGACAATGCTATGTTACCGACGACAAGAAAGACGATAAATTTGTTTTTGCTATGCTACTTCAAAGCAGAGTCTCGGACATGACGAGTATGATGCAGGGTATGAACCAATTCTTATACAAGAAACTCCCTTCGTTGCTTCTATAGCGACTAGCCAGTCCATTTCAAGACTGGCTTAATAACACTGCCACTCTTCATGTCGGCCATAGCCTTCTCATAGTCCTTGATATCATAGTAAGCTATCAATCGTTCCAGTGGGAGAAGGCCCTTGGCATGCATTTCGATGAGCTCAGGAATCAGCTAATTGGAGACCAGTCAGTGACGGCGGGTCAATATAAGGGTAGGACTTATACTCACGACCCCAGGATTGCTGTCACCCTCAGAACAACCCACGTACTCCTTGCCGTACGTAAGATGACTCATGATATCTATCTTGGCTTTTGCGTTGCCTCCAGGTGCACCAACTGTAGCTGCCCTGCCCCTCATTCCCAAGGCAGAGACCATAGTTTCAACGATAGAGGGAACGCCAGTACAGTCAACTGCAAAGTCAACGCCAAGAGGTGGGCAGATGTTGTTTATCGACTTGATGATGTGCTCTTGATCAGGACCCAGCACTCCATCCGTGGCACCTAATTCTTTGGCAAGTTTTAGTCGCTCTGGCTGCAGGTCGATTGCGATGATTCTGCTGGCCTTTCGTGCCTTTGCAGCCATTACAGCAGCCAAGCCAACAGATCCCACGCCAAAAATTGCTACAGAGCTGCCGGGCTTGACATCCAAAGTATTGAAGACAGCACCAACGCCCGTCTGTATGCCACAACCCAATGGCGCAAAGAGGTCCAGTGGTGTTTCTTGAGGAACCTTGACAATACTCGATCGATGAACAATTGTTCGCGCCGCAAAAGAGCTTTGGCCGAAGAAGGTGCTGTAAACCGGTTGCCTCTTCCCATCTTTCATGATGGACATAGCAGCTGAGCCGTCCGGGCGTTTACCACCGAAGTTGTAAGCGTTGAAGCTGTAGCAATAGGCTGGATGGTCTGATTTGCATCCAGGACATGAGCCACATGATGAGAACGATAGAAGGACTTTGTCGCCTGGGGAGACGGAAGTGACATTTGAGCCTATCTCAAGAACTACGCCTCCACCTGAAAATGGTCATGATTGTTAGCATACGTATCTGCGATGCAGCAATCCGTGGTTTACCTTCGTGGCCAAGAACAGCATTCGGCGCGCATGGCAATTTACCACTTGCACAAGCAAGATCAGTATGACAAACACCAGAGGCGTGGATCTCTACCAGCGCTTCATCGGGTTGCAGAGAGTCCAAACAGACTTCCTTTAGTTCGAAGCTGCCATCCAGGGATGGTGCAATGAGTGCTGTTGTCCGTGTCATTTTCTCATAAACAATGCAACATACGAGTTCAACGTGCGAGAATCTCCCCGCATTATTAGGCCTTTGATGCGCTTCTTAAAAATCGCGGGGGTTACAGCGCCTTTCCGAGGCTATTTGCCGCTGAAAGATGCCGGTCGGAGGCGATGTGGGGGCGGAATGGTGATCTCGAGCAACTCCGTTACTGGACTACCGACTATCTACCTAGACCAGGTAGGGTTACTGCATTATGCGCCTGGGGGAGCAAACAAGAACGATTTCGAGGTCTCTGTTTAATAATGGAGAGAAATGCTCGGCACGGTAGTAGCAACAATGAAGTTGTTCTGGTGTAACAAAAGGTTATTGATTGATAGCTTGGCTAGTGAATATGTACATTCTGAAACCCTGTGATCAAGTCATTCACTTGAAGCATACTCGTTTGATCATATCTCGTAAGAATCGGTTCGTGTGCTGAACCGCTCGCATCAGGAACCGTAGACTCGGGACTTCCGAACGAATCACTTGATGTTGAGAGGCGATCAACGAGCAGTTTCCCCAGGAGCCAATATTCTGGAGAATGGCGCATAAAGCCTACCCTCCTCCAGAGGTTTTCCGTTGCCACATTATGTCTATCAACCATGACATGTGGCGGCGAGAATGAGAATTCATCCGAATACGTTTCCCAAGCTGACTTCCAATTGTCGAGAGCGTTGCGAACTGCCTGCAGTTGATCATGGCCGCCAAAGGAATTTTGGTGTTGAAATATCAGGGCATGGAAGGCTGTAATTTGTATCAGGATAGGAGGTTAGACAGGGCTTCTTTAGTAGTCTTACCGGACACAACTGCGAAAAGGTTGAGGGGACCAAGATCAGCGAAGAGTCGTCGCATATCATTCGAGAAAGGCCTTCCACAAAAGCTCTCGACAACCTCACGAAAGGTTATGTTTCGTAACAGCGTGGATCGCAAGTGCCAGCTTTGCAGTTCTCGAGCGCATTCTGTTGGCGTGCTGGCTTGGAAGGCTGCTTCAGGAAATGCCATATGCATGCTCATTTCTTTGATGACCATCCTCGGAGGTAGGTTATTAAAGATTACGAATGCATGGTCTAGAAGATATATCCAGAGGAAGATACTTAGCGTAGATGTTAGTTATCGGTCCACATTCATACGAAGCTTATCTACCGTATAAGTTGCTCTCGTGCAGCGAAGTCTTTCCAATCGAATCTATCATATAGCGACGTAGAGTAATCAGGGTGTCTAGCAGACATAATACCAAAGTCTCTTGCCATCTAAACACGTATTAGTTGTTACCACCAGGAGAGATGGGGTATCTCACAGATATGACAGTACTGAACCGGTATCGACGGATTCGTCGTTTGCTTGCCTCTGTTCCCTCCCAACCCTGGTAGAGACAAACGATGTATGCTGCCTGCAGGGCTTGGATCTTTGAAATGTTCTCAACCGGATTCAGTAACAGGGTATCCTGGTTGTTCAGAGGGTCATTGCAAAAGTCGTCATCAGTAAACACAATTTCTTCAACACAGTTGAACCAGATCTTGGCTTGTTCGTTATCAGTCTTGCTAGGCGATACACTTGCACCTATTAACGTCAGGATTTACCCATCAGGGATGTCTTTACGTTTACATACCTATCAAGGCCATGGAAGCCACAAGGATTGACTTCGAGGTGACTGGGTCAAAAGTAGGCCGGTGCACAAAGTTGACGTTTGGGTGCCATATGTGCCAGAATAGGGCAAGATATTTCCGTAAATTGTGTGGTGAAAAGAACTGCATACACGTATGTTCTAGAATAGTCGACCATTCTAGCTCAACAACACTATTTCGAGGTTTGACGGTTACGACCTCTTTGATGTCTAGAAGTATTTGATGAGTTTGAATGATGAGAGGGTCGTGGAGATCTAATGTTTGCAGTCGCGGAAGGTTTGTCGACGAGCCATTGGGGTGTTCAAGTTCGCCTAACCCAGCAGTCAGGCTACCCCGGCCTTCGCTTGCTGGGCGAGATGCCTCAACCTGCACTCGCTGTTCAAATGTCCCGCAGTCAAATGAATCCACCAACCCAGTTCTTCTGGTGAAATTGTCGAGAAAGTGAAAGGTGTAGTTGTCTAGATGCGTTTGGGGATTGGTCGGTATCGTCTGAAAATGCCCAGCGGCGAGGTTGATAAAGTCTAACCAGTCTTGATTGTTATCTGATCCTTGGAGCATATCCGAAACTGAAGTGTAGTTGCCAAGATAGTCGAATAACGAGTCATCTCCGAATACCACCGTCGGTAGGTTGTCTTCGCCACTATATTGCTCGTCGTCCCGGCCCATGTCCAAGTTGTTTTCTGTTGCTACACCAGCATTGAAGGAATAAATGCATTGGACCGACTTTCGGCGGCAATGTTCACATGGCTGGCCAGTGCTACAAGCTTTCTTCTGCTGAACGCAGAGGTCGCATGCTCGTCGGCTGCTAGACGCTGTAGCCGATGTCTCCCCGATCCTAACTTTGGTCTGACAGGCTTGGGTATGTCGCTTGAGAACATCAGCTCGTTGGTATGATTGGCCACAGAAGTTACATCTGTAGGGTCGGAGGCTGCTGTGGGATGCAGCGTGGCGCTGGAGGTGTTCTCGCCGCTTGTACGTCTTGGTACAGCGGGAACATGAAAACCCTGCCCCTGAGGATGATGCGTTGTCAGACATTGTCGGATGTCAATGTGGGTGGGTTGTGACGAGAGAGAATAATGCAACTTCGATGGGAAAAAGATGATGCAACTCCGCATCTCGGCTTCTGTCTCGGATTAGGTTTTCAGATCGCGGGGAAGTGGGGCTATCCTCCGTGGAGGGAAACGGAACTAGTCGGAGTTCTTGTGGGAGGCGAATTGGAGCTCAGAAGTTGGTCACTAGCGACTTTGGACAGTTGGAGACAGAGGTCAACACGATCAACCAAAACGGCTCAGGGCACATCTCCCCAGACCAGAAATTGTGGCGCCTACAGCTATCCCACATAGTTCCGCTCCAAGACAAGACGCAGAGCAATTGTGAGACGCATCTTATATAAAGCCATGTAAATGAAATGATTACAATTTGCTTCAAGCTCACGAAACGATTCAATTCACTCACTCACTCAGTCACTCACATTTCTCCATCATGCTGACCGTGCAATTATTCTGGGTAGCTCTCGCTGCCCTCTTCATACGTCTTTTGTTCACTGGTAGAAGACCCAAGAATTATCCACCTGGACCTCCTACACTGCCGATCCTTGGAAACATTCACTTGGTACAGTCTCCAATTTACAGATCCTGCAAACATTCCTTGCTGATAGTACCAGATGCCCAAAAGAGATGCCCATCTGCAATTCCGTAAGTGGGCAGACGAGTATGGGCCTGTTTATAGTCTCATTCTAGGGACCAAACCTTTCATTGTTTTGTCAAGCGCCCAAGCTGTCAAAGATCTGCTTGATAAGAAGAGTGCACTCTACTCTGACCGACAACAAATGTATGTTGGTCAGATTCTTGGTAGCGGTGGTCTAAGGCTTCTGATGATGGTTCGTTATTCTTGATCCCAACCTTTGCCAACGATGACACTAACAATTCTCTCTCTCCTCAGGGATATGGACCAACGTGGAGATCGGTAAGTCATCATTGAGTGAGTCAGCTATGATAGAGACAACTAACACAGTCTCACAGTTCCGCAAACTAGTACACTCGCTGCTCAACGTAACCACAGCCAAGAGCTACGTGCCTTACCAAGACCTCGAGAACAAACAAATGTTGTACGAGATGATCGTTCAACCCGATCAATTCCTTCAGAGTATTCGACGATACTCCAACGCACTCACAACAACCATGGTATTTGGCTGGCGCTCGCCTATCTACCGAGACCCCAAGCTCATGCAGCTCTTCGACGGCTTTTCTGAGTTTGCCGAGATCAATCAAACTGGCATCGCTGCACTTCTTGACTCTTTCCCCATACTCAGAAAGCTGCCTGACTTTCTCTTGCCTGTGCAGAGGAAAGCCAAGGAGCTTCATAAGAAGGAAAAGGACCTTTACCTGAGTCATTGGCTTAAGGCAAAGCAAGACATCGCCGATGGCTCTATCAAACCATGTTTCTGTGTTGGATTGGCGGAAGCGCAGGAGAAGGAGAAGTTTGATGATGCTCAAGCTGCTTATATCTCTGGAACTCTCCTTGAAGCTGGCTCAGACACAACTTCTAGCACCCTTTATGCCTTTGTGCAGGCAATGCTCCTTTATCCTGAGATCCAAAGAAAAGCTCAGGACGAAATCGACAAAGTAGTTGGTAAGCGCATGCCAACTATGGATGACGAGCAGAGCCTTCAGTATGTCCGCGCATGCATGAAAGAGACACTGCGATGGATGCCGACAACGATCCTGGGCGCTGTTCCTCATGCTGTCACGCAAGACGATACCTACAACGGATATCTTATCCCCAAGGGGGCGGGCGTTCTCAATAATGTGTGGGGTATTCATATGGATCCTGAGCGTCATCCCAACCCTCGCCAGTTCAACCCTGACAGGTATCGGGATGACTTCCAAAGCTTGGCAGACGCCGCAGCCAATCCAGATGCCTCGAAACGAGATCAGTTCACCTTTGGCGCAGGTCGTCGTATTTGCCCTGGAATCCATGTTGCCGAGCGAAGCTTATTCCTGGGCATATCACGGATGCTATGGGCATTCAACATCAAGCCTACTGTGGATAAGAACGGCAAGCCCATTTTGCCCGATCCAGATAAGCTTACGCAAGGCTTTGTATGCATGCCTGAAGAGTTCCCAGCTCGAATCATTCCAAGGTCTGAGGAGAAGAAGGCACAGGTTATTGAAGCTTGGAGGAAGGCGGAGCAAGAAATACTGGATCCTGAGACAAAGCAGTGGCGTTAGAGAATGTTCTCAATTAATAATTATGTATCTATCAAGTTTTCGGAGTTGACTAAAGTCAATCATCAAGAATGGCACTGCAGCATTGCTTCATCATGTGTCCTAACACTATTCATATCTCGGAGGCAGATCGTAATCTATATACATATGGTTTAGGCGGAGCCCAAGAGCTTCTCGACGAGGCCAGCGACGGACTGGACGACGGGGTACTTGGGGAAGTTAGGCTTGTAGACCTGGGACATGTTAGCATCCTGTTCTGTAAGAATGATCTGGGTACGGGAACTTACAGCCTGGCAGACAGCATTGAACTCGCTGCGGGGAGCCTTGCTACGGGCAAGTTCATCACCGGGAACTCCAAGCTTAACCACCTCCTCAGTCTTGTCAACGGTATCCCAACCAGGTCCAGCAGCGGGGTTCTTGATCCATTGAACGAACCAGTTGTGGACAGAATCGGCAAGAGCCTGCTGAGCCTTGGTGACACCTTGGAGGGCGGCGAAGCACTCATTGCCGCCATGGAAGAAAGGAACCTCAGTACCGTGGGTAGGAGCAGTGTTGGGGGGTCCAACAACATTGTCGTACTTGCCGAAGAAGCGGTAGACCCAGGTCTTCTGCTGCTCACTTCGCATGTCGAGGAGGTAGTCAACGGGACAGTTGAAGCGAGCATCACCATACTGGATACCGCTGCGAAGAGACTCGGTGGCGTAGTCGTTAGGGTTGTAGGCCTGGATCAGAGACTCGTCGGGGATATGAGCGCTATCAGCATCGAAGGTGTTGATCCAAGAGCTGAAGTTGCTGTTCTCGGCGCCGTAGACGAGGCTGAAGATGGTGCCCTCTCCATTGGAGGTACCAGTCAACATGGGAACATGGGAAGGATAGTTGCCAGCAGCAAAACGGGCAGAGTAGTCGGAGAAGCGGGTGATATCATCAATGACGGGAGTGAACCAGGTGTTGAAAGTGGAGTTGAAGTTCTTGGTCTGGAAGTCAAGGATGTCAACGTTGCGGAGACAGTTGAGCTGACCGTTACCGCCCTTGGGGCAGCCAACTTCCTCGGCGACGGCGTTAAGAGCCTCATCGACGGGAGCGTAAGCGGGGCCGGACATGGCGTTGGCGCTCATCTCGACGGCACCCTTGAGGAAGGTGTTGGGGTTGTTCCATAGGTAGTGATCGACCTGGACACCACCTGAAGAGTGACCACCGAAGACGATATGGTCAGGGTTACCACCAAAGGCTGCATAACGTTAGTCACGTTTTACATGTGATCGATAAGCGTGAAACATACCCTTGATGTTCTTGTGGATCCAGTCAAGAGCCTTCTCAACATCCAAGATGCTAAAGTTTTGTGTCTCATCAGGGTTCGCAGTCTTCAACTCGGAAGAGTGAGGCGAAGCAAAGATGCTCTCGCGGGTGTTGAAGTTGACGTAAACAACGCCATTGCGAGCAAAGTTTGTTCCTTGGATTTGAGGGTTGCTGCTTGAGCCAGTGACCATAGCACCGCCATACATGTAAACGAATACCTAGTAGGTGTCAGTTCATGTCTCGGAATATTCTGCGGGAGGGTAGGGTAAGGCTGACAGGCATGTTCTTGCCCTTGGAAGGGGCCCAGATGTTAAGGTTCAGACAATCCTCATCTTGGCGAGTAAAGGCATCGTTTGAGATGGCTTGAGGACATGTCGCACCATACGACGTAGCCTGGAACTTGGAACGAGACTTGGGAAGATCCTGGGGAGCCTTCCATCTACACCAGTGTCAGCTCATCAAATTGTGAAACAAACAATTTGATGACCTACCTGTTTTGGCCACCAGTGGAAGCAGCAAAAGGAACACCAAGATAAACAGCGTTACAGTGTTTGTCACGGAAACCTTGAATGTCGCCCTGAGGAAGAGCAGCGTACGGAATTGGAGGACAGGGAGGTTGAGATGGCGTCGCAGTCACAGGGACAAGACACGTGGCTGCCAGGATTAAACCTGTTGTTGTGAACATGCTGCTGAGGCCCATGATGAGGATGTGATGTGATAGCCAGAAAAAGGTGAAGATCGACTGAGACACGAGAAAAGCTTGAAGAATGAGTGGACAGAAGTTCCCGCAGCATTTGGTTTTTATCACCAAAAGATGTTTGCTGTTACTCGATTCGCCTATATCAGAGACGAAGAATTTCCGACGGGCGGACGCTTAGCTACAAAGAGACGTCTGAGCGGTCTCGGCAGTGGAACCAGGACCCTTTAGTGCTGGGTCTCCTAACTGTATTGAGTAGGACATAGCCGGAACATGCACCATAATAGAGTTTCGCGGAACGTGCACCGGTCGATTTTGTCATGCATGATCCGAGTCATGGATTCAGAATGCCTGTAAAATCTCGAGTTGGAAAGAAAAAAAAAAGGATGTCGGGTATTAAAAAAGGGGTTCACGGGAAGAACGGGAGGCTGGTGAGACTATTGAAAAGAAACGCCGGATATACAGCGTAGGGCAGAAGTTGAGCGGCTTCACGGCCAACTCTGTTAGTTGCAAGCCATTGCCGTTGATAGCATCACAGTGGACATTTTATGATGATCGATTGATGCCAGATGGATCCGAGGCTCAACGTACGATCCCACATCGCTTATCCATCAGTGCAAATGACAGAATTTGTGGATTGGCAGTTCCTTGATGATTGAGATTGTTCTCCAAGATAGGAATTGATCGGCCAACCTCCCCTGCTGCATCGCCACCAGTTCGCCGACCGAGCTTGATAATCAGCACAGATCTTGCATCGGGATTGGAACCCTCACGACGATCCTCCGAGGCATATCCCGAAGCAGAAGGTTACGAGAATCCCTCTCGGCGCCGACAACACGTCCCTTGCATATCAACCAATCCAAACACCCGGACGTCAGCCCAACGCCTTACTGTTAATTCCGCTCAATATCACTGAGTCATAATATTAAAAAACAAGACACTAATGAATAATACCTTACGAGATATAACCACAGCCAATATTTGTGCGGAGTTTCCACCTTCCGGTGTTTTTCTTTCCGCGCCACTAGTTCAGGTGCATCACCGTGGAAAATCCACATTGGTGTCTTTTTGACTTCGGAGCTAGAGACAAGTCTGTCGCGGACTCTCCACAGAAGTAACGGCTTCTGGAATCTCGCTGTGACAATCTCTTACACAATGAGCTGATACCAAGGACCGAGTCCACGGGTCCTGTTGATCAGGGGGTTTGGGTTCCGGATCCTTCGGTAGGAAATAAGTCTTGCTGCATTCCCACCTTGCCTTGCTTTTGTGCTGGGTTGTTTTGCAGATCAGATCAGATCAACGTCGCAATGGCTGAGGGTCTGGGACAAGTTGTAAGTTTGATGAATGCTTATGATGATGTTTTTGCTGATGATGTTAGGTTTCGTGGTACATATGTACCGTTATTGCGTGCATCTTTCTGATTTTGAGAATATGGGTTCGCGTGCGCAAGCTTGGGTTGTTGGCGATCGATGATGGACTCATTATTCTGGCGGCGTGTTGTTTGATCGGTGATTTGATCATCCAGCAGCATATGTGGAATTTGGGAATGGCGGATATTCCAAATGCTTCTCGTGAGAATTTTATCCAGATCATGAAGGTGAGTTTGCCTCTCAATTCCATTGTTGATGTCTGCTAACAACCGACAAGATGATTGTTCCTGGATCGATTCTTTACGTCACGTCGTTATGGGCTATCAAGATTGCTCTGGTTCTGTTCTATAAGCGACTCGCTGCGCCTGGAACAAAGCTACAGATGATTTACAACATCACACTTGGACTGTTGGTGATTTTCTGGGCGACTATTTTCTTCCATATCATTTTCCAATGCTTCCCGCATGACAAGAGATGGTCGCAAGATCCAAATTGTGTGTTATCTCATTCCCGACCGACTGAGCTGAAGCTGACGATTGCACAGATCAATGCGACCCTAAGGAGGCAGAGAAGAACTATTGGTTGACCGTTATCTGTATGTCATTCCACTCTTCTGGAGTCGTTATGTGCAATGCTAACCATTAAACAGTAAACATCGGTACCGACGTCATCAGTATGTTCAGAAGACACTAATTTAAGTTGCCCGACTAATGCATCTCAGCCATCAGTCTTCCCATCTCCATGGTTATGAAGCTCCAAATGAAGACGAAGCAAAAGATTGGTGTCGCAGCCATCTTTGCCCTCGGTTTCTTGGTCGTCATCGCAAGCAGTGCGTCCTCCAATCTCGTTACCGCGAGCTTTGCTAACGGCATCAGTCATCCGAGCCTACTACTCCAAGAAAAACGAGACCATGTTGACATGCACCGTCTCCATGATCGAAACAGCCGTCGCAATCATCGCAACCTGTCTCCCTCGTACGTCCGCTCACTTTCCCCATCTCCATCCCACTAACAAACCCTCCAGCGCTGCGAACACTCTTCCTCGGCCAAATGTCCTCCGCCCGATCCGGCTCCAACTACGGACGCTACGAGCTGTCCTCCACCGGCCAACCCCGATCCCGACGAACGAACCAAAGCCGAATCGTCACAAACGTTATGGGCGGTACACAAAAGCTCGACAACGATTCACAAGATGAACTATTCAAGGAGTCTGCGCATTCAGTAGCGGGACGAAGTGCGGCTAGTGATAAGAATCCTGGTATTACTGTCAATACCACCATTCATATGCAACATAGCAGCGAGGAGGAGGCGAGACGATCACAGGCTAGGCTCGATAGCTTTGCTTAACCGTTTTTATGTGTTGGATGTATATAATTTGTAATAAGATTCATGAGAGCGAAATGGTTATTTGCAAGTGAAAGAGGATGCAAGGTCTGGGTTACCGCCCTTGTATGTTAGCCGCTTCGGATAAGCGCACAGCTCAACGGCTCGGCGCTTTTCCGTCCCTACGGTCTCTGCATACAGAGTCTCGGGTGCTTTGCCGTGTTCAACCCACTTGACAAGAGCATCAAAGGCACTTCCGGGATACCATCCATCGCCACCTTTGCAGTGTCCAACACCTGGTGCTTCGAAGAATCTGTAGTAATCCGTCGCGCTGGAATCTTCTTCCAGAACACGCTTGTAGTAATCCACCGAGCCTTTGTGTGGGATGAGTTGATCTGCTGTTCCGTGCCATGAGATCAATTTTCCTCCTGCTTTCTTGAAGTCTGTGAGATCCGGGTCTGCTGTGCCCATTACTGAGGCAAAACGGTTGACAGATTGCCGGAAGAGCTTGCTGTACTCTGTATGAGATAGGTCATCCAAACTAGCCGATTGGTCTTGTAGGAGGAAAGTGGTGAGCCAGTCTTGGGCAATGGCGAAGGGACTTGAAGTGCAGTCCTTCAACGAGGTGCATGTTGTGTTGGCAAGACCACTCAAGTCTGCCCCACGATCAAGTCCATACCAAAGAAACTTTCCTTCTTCAGTCTCTGGTCCGCGCCACGTCAAGCGAACGACCTCAGCGCCCTTCTTGGAAATCTTGATTGTGCCGGATGGGTTGGTACACTCTACTGATCTACCAACGGCAGACTTGGGATCGAACTTGCAGAAATCTGGGTTTGAGATAACACCATCTTTGACTCCATCCAGTTGGTCACAAGCTTCAATGGCAGCCTTGGTGATGGCGTTGAGCTCGCAGATGGGAGGATAATAGCCTATGCCAAGTTAGCCTGGTTATTTTATAATTATGAGAAAATATTCTTACCGAGCTTGTGCATAACAACTTGCGGCCAGTACTCCGATGTTACGAACTTGTCCCAGTTGAAAGCAGAAGCAGTAGCAAGAACGCCATTATACTGAGTCGGGTATCTCTGTGCCATCATATGACCCTGTCGGCCACCCGTAGAGCATCCCTATCATATGTCAGTAGAGCTCATTTCTGAGGTTCTCTATACACTCACGTTCCAGTAAGAGTACTTTGACTTCTTTCCATAATAAGCCGCTGTCACAGCTTTGCCCAAAGTCGCTGCATCATCCAGAGAAACAGCTGCAAAGTTCTGTAAAGCAGGCCAATTGAGGGTTCCTGCGCTATGCAAAGCCCAGTCTAGCTCTTGCCTATTAGCCAAGAGGTGACCACCATCTGTAGTGGCTGCAGCATATCCATTAGAAGCGGGTTGTGCAAGGTCTGCAAGGTCGCCAGTTGACCAGCCTCCACCACCTACTCCAACAAATCGACCGTTCCAGCCTGAGACTGGCAGTGTTACGTATGTGTTGATGGTGTCATTCCAGCCTGGGTGTGTATACTTGACTATGACTTGGCACACTGAGAATGGATCAGTCGAGTTATTGGGCCATTCGTTGGTTGGCCATGGTGGAAGCTCGACATTGGTGACACTGGTGCTGATGGAAAGAATCTTGGCATTGGCGAGCTCTATGGAGCTAAATGTGTGGTCTGTGCAAAGGGGCTTTGCAAACACGCTTGGAAGGCCCTGTAACATCAAGGGTAATGACATGACGGAAAGGTTTGAGAAGAGCATGGTTACAAAATGCCGCTGAGGCTTGGCGGGTGGGGATCAGTCAGAGTGCGAGATGTCAATGGGAAACAACAGTAGACTACGTAAGAGAAATCATTTCTTGTGATATTTCCTCAGATATATAATACTCTCCCCAGTAAACAATTCTCCAAAACGATCATCTTCAGCCAAGCCGTGCATTACTCCTCCTCACTAGGAGAGCTATTCATTGGACAAGCTATCTATTCCGAGGAACATGCCAGGCCAACCAAGATCAGCACGAAACATCCCCAGATTCAGCCAGTCGGTAAGTGCTCACGGGAACGAATATCCTTCCTCTTGATACGCAAAACAGACCTATTTTCGACGTATCCCCGGATAATGTAGCATAGACCGATCCCTGGTAGGATCGCGAAGTTCCATCGGCCAAGGGCTTAACCTTGTTGCGGTAAAGTTTACCCCATATTCCCATTTCAATGCCGCGGAGACTAGTCGATATTTGGAATACCCCACGATTCGGGGTCTGAACAAGACTCCGTCAAAGCAGCAAATCTGGGGTAGCAGTTATTCGGCAGGTGATTTTTCTTAACTATAAATGGACGGGAAAGTATTGTCACTGACTCGTGAGAAATCCGGGGTTCTGCCATTGAGCAGTACCGGAGTTCGATCGTGGAAGAAGGCCGTCCCAGGGCATTTTAACAAAGACAACATAGAGAATAGTTTGTGGGAAAATACATGTCTTGTAGACTGCATATGGTATCATAATTCCAGCTTTGGTTATTCCTTCGGCTTCTGACCGGTGACTATCAAGCAATCAAACATCGAGTGCACAGATCTATCGCGTGATGCTTCTCTAACTCGAGCATTGAAAAGCTCAACCTCTTCGCGTGACCATCCCAAAACATCAGTAAACAAAACTGCCGTAAAAGCAGCCACACCTTCTCTCATATTGACTCCCATCAAAGTTCCAATTTCTTTAAGCCGTTCGTCCTTAGGCCACGGTCCGATTGGAAGCTTGAATCGCTCCTCTTTAACACTAGCGAAACCAGCCTCCTTAGCCCACTGCTGAAAAGACGGCGCAGGATCCATGGTCCTTCCAATCTTATCACAGGCTAATTTGAGATGGTCCATCATCTGAACTAATGCGTTGTCAGGTTTGAGCGAGTCATCCTCGGAATAGAGCGTATTGGCTGTTTCTTGAAGTTCGATCCAACCACCCGGTCTCAAGTTGGCGTATGCTTGTCGCAGTAGTCTAGGCCAGTCTTTGATAGACCCAGCCATGTATCGACAGTGGATATAATCATATGGGGTTGGCTCAACCCATTCCGCTTCAACGTCGTCAACGATGAATTTGACGTTTGGGGGCACCCAGTCTGGCTGGATGGGACTAAGGTCATTTCCGACCACTGTCGCAGAAGGATGCTCGTCTCCAAATTGAATTGCCCAGATCCCCGTTCCTGTTCCGATATCGAGAACATTTAAACCTTCTGGCTGAATGGGGGCCAAGAATAGGCGGTCCTTTATCGTCCGACAGAAAACGTGGTGGATCATATCGAGACGATCTTGTTCCTGGTCATCATTGGGGAAACTGTACTGTCCTGCGCGATCACTGTGGTATCGCCGACCATGCTTCCATTTGTATTTGAGCACACTGCTAGCAATAGAGGTAGTCGCTCCTACAGAGTCGGCGGTGAAGACAGATTCCGAGTCGGAGGTGGTATCTTCGTCGACCTGAACTTCAGGGGCTGTTGGGTTGTCTGACATCCTTGCCGTTATCAACTGGGAGAACCAAAGGACGTAGATACTTTTTATAAATATGATGATTGATGGAAAACTAGATTGCGGGCATATGATGTGATGGTCGTGCTTAAAGTGGAGGTGCTGCAGACCCAACGTCAGCCGAGGCATAGAAAAACAACTCATCCAGTAAGAACATATGCGGTTCTGAAGATGGATGTAACCCCAGACATATTGCAATAACGAGGGTGCCAATCATCTCGTGATTAAAACTTGAATATGCATGTCTGATTAGAGCCCCATCAGACACTTTTTCTGGAAGGTGATTAAAATGAAGACCATGTTTGCCGCGTCTTTCCATAGATGCTTATTGTGAGGCGAAACTACACCGATAAGATAAGACAACGTGGCCGAGTGGTTAAGGCGATGCCCTGCTATCTCTTCTGAGACATCATAGGCATTGTGTTCGCACGCGTAGGTTCGAATCCTGCCGTTGTCGACGTTTTTTTGTCTCTTTTTATCTCTTCCTAGTCTGTTAAATCGGTTTGGGATAACGGCAGTTATATGCACAATCATGGTTGAATGGCTTCAGTTAGTGGGAATCTCACTGCGGTGTGCCTATCTGTAGTGGATATTGGTTAACAAAAGAGTTTCATGGTATGATTTCTATATCACAAGGATCAGTTATCGCAATTTTAAGATAGAGAGTTGCGTTTGGTGCCTATCTTGGTTATGTACTGAACTTTAAAAAACATTCTGTATAGACGCGGTTTGTGTCGGGGCTGGGTTCCACTACGCGACGCGTCCCAACCCAAGCCTATATCGCAAAGTTGCTATCTTATACAAGCTGGAAATATATATACACGTCTTGTTTAATAATAAATTAATTCAATCTGTTAGTTAACATGTTTGTCTTTTAGTTTTAGGCGATGTTGGCAATCTCTTTATAGAGTGCAGTGAGTGTGACTTATAATGTAGTTAGAAAACTAGTTGTTAAAATATTACAAGTTTTAATAATTTTAGACTTAATATATTCTATCTTTAGAAGTTTTATAATTCTAAGGTAAGACTACTTATTCTCTCTCTTAATATATAACTCCTTTATTTAAAATATTTTTATTATTTGCAAGCCTCTGGGCATGTTTAAAATATGTCTTAATTGTTTAGTAGTAATGGTTTAGGGTAATTAAAACGCCTGACACAATTAGCATAGCATAGCTTTCACAGTGCACAATCTAACTATTATGCTCACAGATATCGCGAAAATAAACACATAGATAAGGCATCGCTACGGATAATATGCACAGTATCTTGAGTGTTAATGAAACAGCACAGTAATTAACTTTAAAATCTGCAAAAAAAAAAGAAACGCCTGTGTATCACAGGTGGCTGGATCTCTCCCGCCGGGAATTGAACCCGGGTCTCAAGCGTGACAAGCTTGCATACTGACCACTATACTACGGAAGATGAACAGGTTCAGACCTGCTGTAGTGGGGTTGCGGTTGGGGGTCGCAACAGGGTCCATAGACGTACAAGCAAGACGCAACACTTGACAAAAAATAAGCAACACGAAACACCCCTCATAATACTCACCACAACAGAGTATCATCGCTCTCATAACCACAAACTGAGACAAAAAGGAAGATCCAAAATGTGATTGCAGCAATCCGCAAAAAACATGCAACAGCGGGGATTCGCTGGTCGTCACCGACCCAACTACTAATCCGCCGGTTAGTGGCTTGACTATGGGAGAGCGGACGGGATCCCGTATTTTCCACTACCTTTGGTCGCATGTGTTAGCTTTCCTGGCAAGACGGATCATGTCCACGAGGGTGTGCTGTGAACCGCAAGCTGGCGAACCTGTCCCCGGCCCATCTAGTTCAGGAACACGTTACTACTCTGAGCGAGAACCTATGGCAGCAATCTCGTGATTGAGAGCTGCTAGAGTCTTGAACTTTTAAAGGGTCAAACCACCGAATGTTAACTGCTTCGATCGTCTAGAACGTCTCATACAATGATAAATGAGATTTCAGTTGTTTTGATCATTATTTAATCTACCTAGAGAGCTTGGCATGTCGGTTCACATCCTTATACAACAAGTATCTAAACCTGCCTGGACCACCAGCATAGCAAGCCTGTGGACAAAAGGCCCGCAACCACATAAAGTCACCCGCCTCAACCTCAACCCAATCCTGATTCAGTCGGTAGACAGCTTTTCCTTCAAGCACATAAAGTCCATGCTCCATGACGTGTGTCTCAGCGAAGGGAATGATACCACCAGGCTGGAAAGTCACGATGTTCACGTGCATGTCGTGTCGAACATCGGTAGGGTCAACGAAGCGTGTTGTCGCCCAAGCTCCGTTTGTATCAGGCATCTCTCTAGGCTCAATATCCCTCTCATTGGCGAAGAAGGCCTCAGGTGCATCAAGACCAGGGACAGACTCGTAGGCTTTGCGGACCCAGTGAAAGCGAGCTGCTTCGCTAGAGTTGTTGCGGAGTGTCCAGCCGCTCTTGGGAGGGAGGAAGGCATAACCTCCTGATGAAAGAGTGTGAGCTTCGCCAGCCAGCGTAACGGTGATTTCGCCCTCGACAACAAACAAGACACCCTCAGCAGTGTCATCCATCTCAGCACGATCACTACCACCGCCGGGTTGAACCTCCATAATGTACTGAGAAAATGTCTCAGCGAAGCCTGAAAGTGGACGAGCGATGACCCATAGTCGTGTCTGCTCCCAGAAGGGGAGAAAGCTGGTGACGATGTCGCTGAAGCAGCCTTTGGGGATGACGGCGTAAGACTCGGTGAACATAGCCCGGTCGGTGAGGAGTTGAGTTTGCGGGGGCAGGCCGCCCTTTGGTGCGTAGTAGGCACCCACTGCGTTGTCGTTGCTCATTTTGAGGATTGGATTTGAGTGTTTTGAGATATAAGAAGAATTTGAACACTCAAGACCAAAAATTGTTTTAAGAGAGAGGATAAAAATTTCGGCCATCAAGTCCGATATCGAAAAGAACTCACTTGCAACACCATAAGTACCCCGCATGAACCCCTCCGAGCGGACTGGACCCTTCATGAATGTGGCCAATCGGGCCTTTGGCAATTCAGTCGCTTTCATTTGCAGTTTGTGCTATTCCTAATTCGGCTACATTAGACGGACACCTTAACGAGGGACTTCGGGAGAGTAACCCGAAGCATGAGGAGTATCAACAACCATAGAATTCTGAAAAGGCTTTTTATAATGGAGAACTATTCGAGTCTGGAGTATGCTAACTAAGGTTTCAGCTGGAGCGGCATGAAGACCCCTCAGACTGTGTGCAATCACTTCGTGAAAGAGAAAGAGTTGTCTCTTTCTTAGCAGATGCATTGATGGACACTGGATCCTCGATGATAATCTCCTTTCCCTTCGGAGCAGTACGCGTGATGGAGAACTCATCCAACTTATAGCCAGACTTCCCAGTCAACGCCATCTCAGCAAGCGCTTTACCAAGAGTAGGCACAAACTTCATTGCCCAACCAGCGGTGAAAATGGCAATGCTCTTCTCCGCACCACCTCGAAGATACTTCTCTGGCAGGAAATCCAGCACAAACATGTTGTCTAATTCTATTAGCATTTCCCTTAAGACAGCTGGGCGGGCATCTTACCGAAAACATTGGTCTGGAGACAACTAACAGTCGAGGCCGGAACGGTAGCGTCAACGCCAACAACATGGTCCCTCACGAAATCTTGAGTGTCCTGGATATCTCTGGGGTCAAACACATTGGCTTGACGTTGACTTGGATCGTCGATTGTTCGAGTAGCAGCATCCACTGCAATTCTCACAACATTCGGTGGTCCCCATGGCAAGGCTGGGAAGCCATAGAAAAGTTGTGACCTGTCATTCACCGATGGTCCGAACTGAAACCACATGCCTTATCTACTGTTAGTAATGTCAATCACAGGATGGTGATGTACTTGCTAGGGAAGATAGTGCCGTTTGGTCCTGGGTTCGTGTTAAAGTATGTTGCAACCATTTCCCAAATATCCAGCCTCAAACCAATGCTGAAACTCGGTTTCAAAACATGATTGACGTAAGCTCCACTGGTAATGATGACCTTCTTCGTCAGATACTTGACCTCTTTATCATGAACCATCGCGTGGACTTCCCAGATGGATTTATCACTATCTAGAGGACGAAGCTGCTTGACTTGGGTGTGCTGCTTTGCCTGGGCGCCATAGTCCTTTGCAAGGCTGTATAGAGTACGGAGAAGGAGCTGTACGTTGATGACTCCGTTGTCTGGAGCGAAGAGTCCGATCCACTTGGGGTCCAGGTTCTTGAAGGGATACTGTTCCTCAATCTGGGCGGCAGTGACTTTATTGGTTAGAATATGGAAGGAAAATGGCAGTTAGTATACTTACGCTCCTTGTAGGACATTCCAAACTTGTCCAAGTTCTCCTTAGGTCCCAAGAGCGAGCCTGTCACAGTTAGGATTATCTCTTAAAATCACAACAATATCTTACCTTCTGGAGTATCGCCTCCCATATCCTTATCACCAAAGTTCAAAAGACCTCCCATCCATCGAAGCGACACTCCAGCATCTTTCTCAAGAGCATGCCAGTGCTTCATAGCCTCAATCGCAAGCTTAGCCATGAACTCTTCGGTGTACCTATTCTGTTAGCTAATGCGAAGATGGTTGTTCTGCGACAGACTCACATAGTGCGAAACATGCGGGCCAAATCACCTGAACTGCCGGCTTGATTGAAGAAGTTGTTTTGTTCCAGAATCATTACTTTGCTTCCCGCTTTGGCGACTTCCTATCCCGCGGCTAGACCGACTGGGCCTCCACCAATAACCACGACATCAAAGATGTCTGAGTTTGAGTTTGAGTAGGCCATCGTGTCTAAGCTGATGTCAAAATGATAGAATATCTTTTTCGTGGTTATGAATTGTCAAACTCGTGAGAGTTTGATGAACTAAGGCCCCGTCCCATCTTGAAGTTGAGGATCTCGCCTTTCTTATAAGAAGATACCGCCATCAAAACTAGGCACGGCCCGACATCTCTGCCACCACTATCACATTCCACCATGCAGAGAAATACGATAGTTCCTCATGTAGAATGCAGAATGTGCTGTAAGTGGTATAAGTGAGGGGTAAATCTCACACATCGTATTCAGCTCGTTACCATGTCTCAGGTTGTGCAGAACCCCAAGTATTTATACTTCATCTAATACACTACAAGAATAGAAAAAGCAGTATAGACTACACAAGAAGTGACACTGCTATGCACGTTACCATTTCGCTACTTTAGTAAGAGTTTCTATGATGCGTTAGGATTATCGACTTGGTTTCTGCATTTGGACCACGTATTGATTTGGGCGCAGCTGAAAGTAAGACAACATACGCTACTGGGACCCCAGACAAGTGGTGTGATGTGATAGTTATTGTTCGAGCAACTGCAAAAGTGAGTGGACATTGGAAAGACCTTGTACTGAGGTAGCCGATGAATGTCGTCATCGCACATTGGCTATGTCTCGTGGTCAAGAATCCCGGTATGGTGCGCTCGTCGACTAATGAACAAATATAGCCATCAATAAGATGCAGCTAAGGCCTAATCTCCTCAAGGACTATATATGGGAACTGACAAGAATGCGTTTTGATCAGGTGTTCAGGCTCTAACGGAACATGATATGCACTTCAAGTGTTGTCATTTGCGATGCGCAACAGAGAGGCCGCACTTCACTCATTTCTCAAGGCTTCCTTTACTTGAAGGTCACCAAAAGGTTTGGCAGTGTTGCACTCGTCACCGAAATACTGTAGTACATATCTAGCGATTAGCTCACAGTATGAAGCATTAGATATGATGGGACGCCTTTTTTTATCTTCCGGTGTTATGATATAAGTGGTGGCACTGATAAGGATATTCTGTCTTTTGTCTTTACCACCTCGGGGCATTGGTGAGATATTCCAGAACCACGTCGCGCCGTCACCTGCTGTCTTGAAGGAATTTGACCGCTGCAGACCGTTATTCATTAGTCCGAATGTGGTCGCTCGCAAGATGGAAACTCTTCCCTGATCGGCGAACGATGTTTCGCTACTCTTCTGCATCAAGTTCTTGCAGTCCATCCACGACGTGGAGGGTTGTGAGAGACAAGGAAAAGTGTTGTCTATGAAACGGTGGACAACGAGGAAGATCCTGAAATAGTAACAGAAAACCGAACATCATCAGTCTAGTAAGCTTTGACAAGTAGCGCTTACCGACAAGAGAAAGCTGAACTGGTCAGCCAATACCGATGGACAACACGGATATCAATGCCGTGATTGTTACGAAAGCTCAATAATGCGCCCGAGGCCACCAAATACTGAAGCATCATTCCGATGGATTTCTAATTAATTGGACTTGTCAATCGGAATCCGAACAAGCTTTCTCAAACAATGTTTCTTGGGTTTATTCCCATTGCAACGCCTGCAATTCCCTCATGACGATGGCAATCAACTGTGTTTGGACAAGGCGCCTGGTCCAGTGCGATCTAATCAGCCATGAGGCGTTCAAGCTGGCTACTCTGATAGGTCTCTCGGACATGGGCGTTGTTTAAACCCGGATTCATCCATGAAGCTGGGATAGCCACATTCCAGTGACTAGTACCACCAACCTTAAACTGGTCAGAACGGACGCAAGAGCGGCAAGATACGGGAATGACGGTTCAATGATCTCCCGATCGATCGGGGGATATCAGGGCCATTACCCCGTCCCCTGGCCCTGGGTTCCACGGTGGTTCATCGTGACGTTGCACTTAACTCTAGTTCCTGTGCGGTCCCTGCGTCGATATCCACAACACCATGAATATGACTGACGAGGAAATGGCTGAAAAGGCGGGTGAGGATAGGTCCGGAGTCGCGATTGCAGTTTCAGTTTCGTTGATGAGTCTGTCAGCTGTCATGGTCGGACTGCGACTTTGGTGTCGTCGGGAGAGACAGATGCTTGGACTTGACGACGTGACCGTCGTGGTTGGCCTGGTAAGTCGAGCCAAGATGCCTCGAGACAAAGAGGTTCTAATGTTACTTATTGTAGGCTTGCGGGTTGGGATGTGGATCGTCAATCATTGCCAGTATGTCACTCTTGTCTGTGTCGATAACATCAACTAAACTACGATCGCAGTGACGCATTATGGACTTGGCCGACACGGCTTTACATTATCACCTCCACAGCTAAAACTATACTTCCGAGTAAGCAGGGCAAACCGATCCCCATATTCGGACTTCTCTAACACGGACCCTGCAGTGCTTTTGGATATCAATCATGTTCTACCATCCAGGACCACCTAATGCATAACCCCACCTAATGCATAACCAAAATTTCGCTCCTCCCATACAAAATCCAAATTTTCAATTGCATTGTATTCGGCCAGGCATGAAGATACTCGCGAACGAAGACCTGCACTATATTGCTTTTTTCATCGAATTTTCATATCGGCTTGAATTTTTCCCGTTCCGCCCTGTAGCCTGGTTCTCTAGCCCTTTGAATTTTGTCGCATTTCATCTCATGTACCCTAGGCGACTCCATCCACTCAAGCCGAACTTTCACCTAATTTACTCGCCACAACTCCTTCCGTAATGGTTCGCCGTAATTATACCGAAGATGACGTAGCTGAGGCTATATTCGACACCACCGATAGAGGCCTCTCACAGAATGAGGCGGCCCAGAAACGTGGAGTACCTCAGTGGACCATTTCGAGACGACTTTCCGGTCAAGCAAGCAGGAATGAACGTATCCAGGCCCACCAGCGTATTCCAAAGAGCCAGGAGGAGACGCTTATTCGTTGGGTGCTGCGACAAGAGTCTCTGGGCTATGCTCCCTCGCACAGCCAGGTCCGCGCCTGTGTCGAGGCCATCCTTCAACAACAAGGCGATAACAAACCTTTAGGCAAGCACTGGACCACCAGGTTCGTCAAACGTCACCCAAAACTATCTACCAAGATTGGAAAACGTCAAGAAGCCGCCAGATTTGACGGCTTTACTCCGAAGGCGGTCAATTGGTACTTCGATATCAGGGAGAACGAGTACGGCTGGATCAAGCCTGAGAACACAGTTAACGTGGACGAGGGCGGCATAATGGTGGGTTTCGGTAAGTCTTCTATAAGTACTCTATAGGCTTTTATAGGGCATAGCTAATTGGTTGTCCATGAGGCCTGGACAGCCTCGTGATCGGGAGCTCTGACCCGAAGAAGAAGGCGATGTTGAAAGGCGTTCAGTCGCTCACCTGGACTTCGTTTATTGAGGCTGTCACCGCAACTGGCCGTGCTTTGAAACCGGGAATTATCTTTAAAGGAAAAGAGCTGCAGAAGCAGTGGTTCCTTAACGAATTCGAATTAATAGCGGACTGGCACTACATCACATCACCGAACGGCTGGACAGACAACCATATTGCTCTCGAGTGGTTGAAGGACGTTTATCTACCACAAACGGAGCCTCGTGATGCATCGGATGCGTGACTTATTATCCTTGACGGTCACGGGAGCCATGCGCAGGTGAGCCTTTTGGTGTTTTCTCCGCAGAGTCACCCGCTATAGGGTCGCTAACGAGCAGTCAGGATGAGTGGATGGCTACGTGCTTTCTGAACAATGTCTACTGCTGTTACCTACCAGCACACTGTTCTCATGGTCTGCAACCGCTAGATAATGGAATTTTTAATGTCATCAAAGGTGCGTATCGGAAAGAACTCCAAAAGCTGGCTAGTTTGACCGATTCTGCGCCGGTTGACAAAGTCAACTTTATCCGGGCATACGCGAAAGCCAGGGAGGCGGGCATGAGGAAAGATATTATCTTATCCGGCTGGAGGTTTACTGGAAATTGGCCAATAAATCGGTATAAAGCTCTAGCACATCCGGAAATTCAACCGGACAAAGAAAAATTGTTGGAAGAGTTCAAGACGCCGAGCCCTCCTCAACTGCACTCAGATGATACGCCGAAAACGAGCCGTCAAGTGAGGGAAATGGCCAAACACCGAAGCCGCCCGACCAGGCGGAAGTACAGTAAGATCGCAAAGGGGCTGGAAGCTTTAGAGATGAAGGTGGCCGTTCAGAATGCGCGGATTACTGGCCTCGAGGAGCAGATGGCCCAGGTGCGGCGAGGGAAGAAAAGAAAGGCGGTACCAAACCCGAACCGACGATTCATGGCTCTGTCGGAGAATCTAGCGGCTGGAGAAGCTCTCCCTGACTCAAAAGAGGCAGAAATAGAGGTGGATGTGGATGAGGAGGTCGAGTCGGTGATTGAGGTGGGTGTCAGGTCAGAGGACGAAAGTGATGACTTTATGGTCGTAACAAAGCACTGCCAGCGCACACGGAGCGGTCGGGAGGTCAAAAAACCACGCAGACAGTAAAAATTGAGCAATTTTCTAGAAACTTTCTCCAAAGCCTCATTTATTAATTGAGAATCGGGCCTGTTTTTGTGGACATCAAAATTTGGATTTTGTATGGGAGGAGCGAAATTTTGGTTATGCATTAGGTGGGGTTATGCATTAGGTGGTCCTGGATGGTACTCATACGCTCTCTTCACCATCAAGTTGACGTTTCTGATCCACTACTATCGAATCATGTCGGTCTCTAATATGCGGTGGCTCTACTCGAGTGCACTCGCTTTTGTCACGCTCTGGGGAATATTCATAGGCGTCGGAGTATTCCTGGTCTGCATTCCGCTCCAAGCTTTCTGGGACCCGCGAGTCGACGGACGATGTTTCCCTTCCCAGTCTACTTTGTGGTACGTCAGTGGTGTTGTGCACGTCGTCACTGACTTTGCAATTATCGTCATGCCTCTTCCCATTGTTTGGAAACTCAAGCTTCCGCGCTCTCAGAAGATATATCTCACTGGTATTTTCGGTCTCGGATCATTGTAAGTCTTGCATTTGGGTCTTCCCATCTTTGACTAACACGCCCTTCAGAACCGTCGCAATTGCTATTCTTCGGATGCGGTGGCTCAAGCCCGTTGCAGATATGACATGGTGGAACGTCACACCAGCTTCGTGGTCCATGGCAGAAATCGCGTCTGGAATAACTTGTGCTTGTCTTCCGACATTCAAGCCCTTGCTAGTTGGTATAAAGAACTGGTTTCCTCAACTTGATAAGGGAGATAGCACTATTTGTCTTCAGGAGCAAGGAAGCGAGGGAATTACTGGGTCAACTTTGGCTGCCTTCGAGGGTCATGGAGTTGTCGGTAGTGGACCGAAAGTACCCACCAGTATCTCAATGTATGGAACTCAGACGAGCATATCGGCAATCCAGGGCGGAAAGAAATCGATGAGAAAACCGATACAGACGGTATAGTGGTGTTAGCATATATAGATCTTGATACTTGTACAAACTTGTAATTTATAATAACTTGGTTCCGCGGAACAAGAAGATGCATGTAACTCTTTCAGTGGGATCTAACAAGGTTCTCTGCCCGACGTTTCCCTGTGAAGCCTGACGCATCGCAGATGTTAGAGACAAATGCATAACCACCACGCATATTTATGTGAGACACCTTCTGTGAGGCCGTAACAAGAAAAATATACAAAAGCCTTTACAAATTCCCTTTGTGAGTCCACACCATTCGGCGGCAGTGAAGCAATCGTCATGAACCGGAAAGGGCGCTAATGTCATGTCATCTAGGGCGTAACTTTAGTGGATCTCTACTCCGCCATTTCTGGCTTCACCTCCTTCTTCCACTCATTAAAGAGCATCCCAACTTTGTATTACGCCCGAATCATGACAATCCGCCTGATTGAAGCCTCGGAGGAGCATCTCCCTGCCATAGCTCGTATCGCAACTTCGGCGTTCAACCCAGACACAGATGCTCTGTCACGTCGCTTGTTTCCCCTTCATCTCCAACCCAAAGACCTCCCCGATGGCGAAGCAGCGTATGATTGGCGCTTCGCACGCAAAGCGTCGAGTCTAGCATCATCGGAATCTCATCTCGTAGTTGCCGTTGATGATGAGAAGGGGCCCGACGACCACATTGTCGGGTTCTCACTCTGGGATGCCCCTCCTGCTTCTGGCGGTGACTCAGCACCCAGCAGGGAGATACAATGCGCAGCCCTCGATAAGGAAGCATTCAACGAGATGAAAAAGACTGTGAATCAAGATGCTGTCGATAATTTTGGAGAGAAGGGCATTAATGGTGTCTGGCGTACGTTTCCCACTCAACTTCCTCCACTACGGTAACTGACCGCCTAGATCTTGACTACATCGGTGTCAGTCCGGGTAACCAAAGACGCGGCATTGGCAAGATGCTTTTGCAATGGGGTCTTGATCGCGCTGCTGAGGAAGGCAAGGACTGTTATCTGGTAGCCACCGAAGCAGGACGACCGCTGTATGTGGCTGCAGGTTTCAAGGATATTCGTGTTGTATCGATTCTCGGCATACCTCACTATTCGATGATACTTAGAGCTGAAAGTTCCTAAGATTCAGAGGTATCCAGAGCATATAGACAGTAGAGGCAATCGATATGCAACTGAAATTGCCATTTAAACTGCTGAACCATAGGCCGTCAAAGCTGAATGGGTCGAGATTGCCAATCGACTATTCTGTTGAGGCTGTCTCCGAAATTGCAATCTCTCCAACGTATACCATTTATCAACATTCGGCGATAAATACTGTCCATATCGCTTATTTCCAGACTTCCTTTTTCTCCGGATAAGATAAGGCACCACGCGTGAGCTGAAGCACACAGTAATCACTATGCCATATTCAGAGTGGTCTATTGGCTTGGCGCAACCAAATTATCAACATTTATCAGCAAACTATCGATTTTCAACGGACCTTAGCGCCCATGTAATTTAAGATGCCCCATAATGACAGCGCAAGCACTAAATACTTCAGTACTGGGAAGCCCGTTTTCCGTCCCCCCCTGGATCTTGACTTGCATTTTCTCATTCTTTTCCTTTTGGATCTCACGTTCATTACAGCGACTGTCTTATTCACTCATTTTAAGATGGCGTCGCAAAGACTTTACGCTGCAATTGCAGCTTTATCCATTCTCATTGGATCCGAGGCTAGTCCATGCAGGCCAATTTCTTCCACCACTGAGATTCAGGCTACATCAACATTCTCTTCTGGAACCGAGACTGCTACTGCTAGCGACGCCACGTTCACCACTGGGCTGACCTCAACTGAGTCGGGCTACGTCACAGACATAACCATCACTAAGAGTGAGACCGAGACTACCAGCGCGGCTGAGCCGACCTCAACCGTGGCTGTTTCCACTACCGAGACTTCTGCCATCACTTCTACCACGGAAGCTGCCTCATCCGCTACCTCAGCCGCACCTATCGAGACACCCACGATTCTAACCAACGGTGACTTCGAAAGCGGCAGCATTGCTCCATGGTTCAACTTTGGCACCGGCGCCTACGCCAACATCGACACTACAACAGTTCACGAAGGCTCATTCTCTCTTACCATGGGCTCCCAGGCTAGTGATTGGTCTAACACCGTCCAAGTCCTCCGCAAGTCAACCCTCGTTGCGAATCAGCCATACAGCCTTTCTCTTTACGCCAAGGTCAGCTCTGGTTCTCACTGCACTGCTTTCGAGGCGTTCATTGATAACAACGACCTCAATGACTCCTTTGGACAGAGGATTCGTGTTGCTGGTGCCCAGATCGCTAGTGACTTCACTCCTCTGTCGGGCGAGTTCTACTTGACGCAGGCTGCTTTGGACAGTAACAATGCTATTCGGGTTGTCATCAGGGCGCAGTGCAGTAATGGTTATGTGGCGTGGGTTGATGACGTCCAGCTGAGTATTTCAGACTAATTTGTCTCATCTCCGGGATGTCGATGTTCCTTTGCGGCTGTAGAGACAGTCAAGATTAATGGTTTGAAGAAACAGTGACCAAGAACCAAGCAGCGCTTTAAGGCACATTTTATCATAGCAAGCAGCCTGGTCCGCAGCTAGGGCTTCGCTGTATATAGTTACCTATCCTAGCCATCCTCTGATGGTTGTGGAATAATTAGATTTCCATTCTTAACATATCCTCTGGCCCCAGGAGCTACAACCGTCCGCAGTGCATTAACCAGTGTAATCCACTCTGGCCTTGATACTCGCACGACTGACTGAGAGCAAAATATATGATTTAAGAGCGTAATGTTATTTATATTGGGATGCAAAAAGGAAAGCCTCGTAAACGCTCGCAATCGTAATATAGGAACAGCCCGATGCGGGGGTCGAACCCGCAACCTTGAGATCGCGTACTCGTAAGAGTCTCACGCTCTACCGATTGAGCTAACCGGGCGTGGCTCTTAATTGATGCTCGGCGTCATGGGTGGAGCGACCAAGAACACGGGCAGTCTGGTTCAATCGGCAGCAGTGTGAATCGAATGCGAAGTATTGTTGGTTCAATTTTACTTGTAGGGAAAGGTATAGCTTCAAATGTTTTGGTGTTTTCTTTGGTAAGTTGCTGACATTCGCATGAAACAGGTGGATGGGCCTTGTCACGTATGGTTCAGATTGGCGAGTGGGAAATATGGCAGGTTCTGCTCGTTCACCATTGTCGCCTGTAAAAGAATGGGAATCAAAGTGTTCGATCATGCATCGGTGGAGAATAAAACATGGCTTTATCTTTCTAATTGTATACAATGCAAGATGATCAAGATATCGCCTACCTAGTACCTAGCTCACCACTGTATCTTGTTGTACACTTGTGTATCTCAGCCAGCATGGCGTGATGAAAAGGATACCCTTTGCCAAAAGTCTCGACGGAGCACATATGTCGATTTTATATATGTTGCCGTTATTTCTCTAGGCGATATACATTACTAAGTCCAGTATCAGGTTGAGCCCGCAGGATAGGGTGTAGCTGTGCATCAGCCAGGGAAAAAGATCCAATGGCACCAGGTCAGAGATTTGAAACTCTGTTAGGAAAGCGGAACATGCAGAGTTCCTGAGTTAAGCTGGCCAGACTTGTACTCTGAAAGATGGCTTTAACCATCTTAGATAAGACTTGAGAGATAAGCGGCACAGGCCGTGTTTTCTTAACGTTTTCTTCTACTGATACAGCTGATCCAAGAAGAATTAGAGCAAGATTGTATTTACTATCATAAAATAGTGACTGTGTGATTCTGTGTAGAACGACCTGGTACTTAGTTTAGATGAAACAATGAAATAAGAGGCCTATAATGTAGAAGGACTTGAATGAGACTGAACCAGCTGGTATTGTTTCAATAGTATTTTGAACAAAGGCTAGGTAGGTTTGATGGTTTCGGTGGGACATGTGGGACCTGAAAATCAGGATGAAAATATCTTTCGAGTCGTATCTGTCGGGTGATGAAGAAGCCAAGTCGTAGTCTGAACTCCCCAGACCAGATGATTTAAGAGGTTTCAGCCATTCCTGGTGAGATTTTCTTGTCTTACCAGCCAGTGCTTGGCGACTTTATCAATCAAGGCTTCACCATCCATCACACAAGCAGCTGCACATTGGAACGGGCATCTTCAAGTCTAATATCTTCTGCCTCGGGAAGATTTCATAAGTACTATGTCTATTCTTCTTCTTTTCTTTATTCATTGGCTAGACACGAAACAATACGGTGTCCAATGTCTGGCTGAGTTTGCCTGTTGTATTACGCCGGAGCTGGAATTTATTTTTCCGCCCCCTTTGCTCAGCCATTCGGGTACCACGCCAAAACACGTGACGCAGTTGGACCGTGTTTACCGTTTACCTCATGCGTCGCAAACACATCACCACCCTTTCGATAATCATTCACATCAGCTCATCTTAAGCACATTCAGTCTTTCGCAGACTCACAACCAACATCAACCTATCCATATTTTTACTCATTTTCTATGACGCCAAAGATCCCATCGGCGCGCCATCGCGCTAGACCGCCGCCAGGCGTGAAGGGTCAATCGTCACCAGAATACCCAACTCATCGAGCTTATCACGCAGCGTCGCGCATTCATCAGGTCAGCGGAATGTGGCCAAATGAACTGTGCAAAGGCTTCGTGCCTGACATGTGGGGAATTCGACTCATCGAAAGTCTCTCGGCGCTGGTGTCGCTCGTGGTGACCAACAAAGTTGATATTGAAGAGTTGCGACGCAGACTGAAGGGCCATGCAAACCACCATCCACGCACAAAGTATCCTCAACTACGCAAATCTGATATCCTCAAGGCCCGGAAATGGCTTCGTGGGATGGGTATTGATACCAAACATCCACATCCAAATGAGCCTGCATCAGTGAATAACCTGAGTGATGATGAGGTTGGCGATAGTGACGCGACTGAGGCAGACTCTGAACCAGTTGATGAGATAGTGGCTTTGGGTTTGCCAGAGGATCAGATCGGAGAGGATGACGATGAAGATGAGGAGGAGGAGGAGGAGGAGGAGGAGGAGGAGGAGGAAGAAGAAGAACAAGAAAAGAGACTAGAGGAGGAACCAGAGCAAAATAAGGAGGGGGAAGAGGAAGAGGAGGATGTTGAGGAGCAAGAGGATGAGAATGATCTCGACTGGGCTGTGCCGAAGAAACAGAGCCCGCCTCGAGAAAGACGCCGCTCACCAATCAGAGAAATCGTCGAGATCGAAGACGACGATTCAGGTGACGATACAGAGGTTGACCCAGCCGGCGATGGCTTCATGATGAACGACAGCCCAGAGCCTGTACAGGCAAACGGCCAATCTGGGCCTGATCATGCAAGGTCGACACCCAACTCTGCGTCAGCAGCATCAAGCCGTCCCCGGCGCAGCATTCAACAGCCATCTCGACTGGTTTCAGATACACCTAGGAGCTCTGTTCGCCAAGACAGCGGCTCAGAAGAATATACATCTGCGACTCTGGCCGTAAAGAGTCCTCCAGGTTTGCAAAAACAAACACCAAGTTTCCAAGCACCGGCATCAACGCCTGCAACTTCACAGCGCGTTATGCGTCCTCCTCAACAATCTGCACCAACTGCTTCTCCTGCAAACACAATGCAGAATTTTTTCAAACCTCGCCCACAATCACGTACAGCAGTGCCTCTTCCCCCGATCCCCGGTACCAACAGCGCAACGCAGTCAGCCCAGCGATCTAATAGTCAGCCATCGGCTTCAACCTCCGCTTCAAATTCGCAAAGTTCCGCAGCCCCCCGCACACAAGCCAGCTCGCAGCCATTGGCATCGCCCCGCACTAGTGCTACCTCTCTGACCCCTCAACAGCAATCAGGCAGCTGGCCGTCAGTGTCTAACCACGTGGCTCCCCAGGAGGCTTACACCCAATTAACAAGCAGCCAACAATCAACGCCTCGTCACTTAGCTCCATCTCGGGGTAATAAACGCCCGGCTGAATCATCACCAACAATCTCATATGTGAATACCCCAGCAAACGCCTCACGCTCCGGAGCAAAGAGGCAAAGGACATCCAATGCACCACCGCAACAGTCTCAAGTGCCTGGAGCACTCAATTGGGACGCACTTCTGGTGAGAACTTCCCCATCCAATTTATACTACTATAATCTGACCATTTGTAGCCTTCTGGAAACCAGTTCAAAGAAAGCTTGAAAACTACTTTACATATTATAAAACCAAATATGCAGAAGTTTGAAAAGCTGCTTGCTGATATCAACGAAGAGCATCGCAGACTCTCGGCCGTTCAGAGCAACCTTTTTAACAAAAAGTATGATTTCACAAACGACCAAAAGAAAGCACAAGACGCTCTCAAAGACGTCGAGAAATCCACAGCCAACGAGAATAAGACGCTCAGAGGTCTCGAAGAAGTTTACCAGAAGAACCCCGGGGATGCTGAGCTCCGCACCTTTATCAACAAGCGAAAGAAGACTATTCTCGAGCACAAGGAGGTGTACATCATCGTCAAAAGCCAGCTTGACAAGAGCATAGCTGAAATTTACAAGACGGATAATGAGATTGCGCTTGTTACCAAGAGACTTGGACAGCTTGATGCTGAGAGAGCTGAGGTTATGAGGGAGAAGGAGGGTGTTGACAAGGCGGCGCGACGACTGACGATAATGTCGAGAATCATGGAGCCTGGATGGCAGGCTACAATCGACATGCTTGAGCAGGCTGTGGGTGCTGAAACTTTGGAGAATGCTTTCTGAGGAGGATTTGTATTGCAATGAGTACGGTTTGAAGGTGTAATATCCGAGGCAAAAGCTTTATTAAGCGTGGCGTTTCTTGGATGGGATACCTTATATGTTTTATGAAGTATAGTGTAATTAGAATGCTTAAAACTTCTTCAAGAACTAGGGACTATACTATCATTAAATTAAGTTGGAGATTGTAAGGTGAAAGAGATGCCTGAAAAGCTATGAGCTGTGTTAAGAGGATATGAATATTAACTGTGATTATGGGCCTGGTAACTTTCCTTAAGGTAATTTTAAACCTTGAGGAACACTTTAAAGAATTCTATAAAACTTAGGAAGTTTTTTTTTATTCTTCAAAATGGTCCTCTAGATTAGCGCCTGGTTAGAGTAAACATAAACTAGTTATAAGATATAAATAAATCTTGATATAACTCTTAGTTATGTTTATTACTTGGATAAGACCTGAATCACGACTAACCTGGCTTATGCTCCATGCATACTATATTTCTGTGACATGATCCTGCGAGGTAGTGTAATGCTTCCCCGCACATCGGGCACTTATGGTAAGCGCAGGGCTGACAACCATGTCGATACCAAACAACTCATTGCTCCAACCACCAAGTAACATAACGTAGAGGTCTCTATTGATCTGAATAAATAAAAGGATTTAGACCAAACATCGAACATGACTTTACTTCTCTTTTAGCTGAAGGCTCCAATGTTCACTAGCCCTTCATTAGGTGCAAGCGGCAAACGCTTCGAAACTCCACGCTTCCGTGCCGCCTCAGCAGCGTCGAACGAGCGCCGAAATATCATATTACAGGAGAGTTTGGTTGATACAAATAGTAAAGAGACAGGTTATTGTTGATATTCAATCTCTTCGAGGACCCCTTGCGTTGTGAGTGCTACACTTTACTATCAGTCTGTTCCCAGGTTGATGGCCAAAAAGGTTGGAAACTTGAACACAGCGATAGGCAACATGTCGACTCCACGCCTGCCCCAAAGATACAGGTATGAACCCAATTACTGGTAATTGTCTTGGCGCAACAAGCTCTTTGATCTGGATCGTGATGAGCTCATGAAGCCTTATGTATTTTGACTATTAAAGTTACTATCTCTTTAGCTACGAGGCAGACACGCGGTGAAAAGGCTTAGGTAACAACAGAAAGACTTTGTGCTATGGAAGATCCATTTGAAAGGGCATGCCAATCGGAGTGACCGATGCCAGGACTGGGGTTATGATTGCCTTCTCCAGTAATAGAGGGGTAAATTTCTCGCAGTAAGTAATGTTGGATCAACGTCGTGGAGTATAGAACTCATCAGACCGCAAAAAGAAATATACTATCCTTTCCCAAAAACATAATCATTGAGCGAGGAGCGAAGATAAGAGTGATAGCCGAGAGATCAGAACTTCCAGTTCCGCTTTGGTTAGACCCGGATGAAACGTTTCATTCGAACGGCTTCATGGTTCAAACGATCCTCGACCGCGACGATCGGAGATGAAGGAAAGACGTTATAGTCTCCGAAGTGGGCTGTTTCCCATACATGTGATGAACAAAAACTCGGTTACTAGTCCGTACTTATCAAGTCCTAGTTGACTTGTTGTTCATTGAAACAACCTTCGTTTCAAGTTAAGTAAACCTGCAAAATAGGGTTCGGAAAAAGCTGCTGCCTGCTCGGGACTGTCGGTGTCTTACGACCTTCCAAACTTGGGATAGGTAGTTGAGAGAAGCCGCTCAATAATTAAGCAACTAATGAACAGATTTATATAAAACTGTTGCGGAAAGGTAACCATTGTGGCTGATAAAACTTGAACAACTTAAGCTTGTTTAACGATTACCATGAAGTTCTCTCTTACAAGCTTGGTGCTCGGTTTGTTCTCAGTGGCAACGACAAACGCTGCGAAGTCCTTCTCAGCTTCGAACCTTTACTATGCCGCTGGACTGACTGATGGCCAGCAGACTATTCTGTTGAATGGCCTCCAAAGCGCCGGTGTCAAGGTTTTACGGGTATGGCTTGATGGTAAGGACTCTCCCCCGGCTTCCAGGTTGAATACTAGACCGGTAGCTGATCAATCTCGAAGGTCAATCCGGAGCGACGAAGGGAACGCCTACCAACGACTTCAAAAGTCTGCAAGGCACGAGCCCCGATGACTGGGACGATACTGTCCTAAACCGACTCGACAACCTTATGGTCAAGGCCCATGACCATGGTATCAAGCTTCTCATTTCTATTCACAGCTATAATGCTCTTGAAAACAACAGTGACTTCTACGGGAAATGGTACGGTACCGGCAACTTTTACACCGACAGTAAAGCTATTAGCCAGTTCAAGGATCGTATCGCCCACGTTCTTGCACACAAACACCTCAAGACGGGTAAGACTTGGAGTCAGAGCTCTGAGTACATCTTCGCTTTTGAAGCACAGAATGAAGCTATGCATCCACAGGTACGCAGATTCAAGCTCCGTAGGCAGCGAGATATGCCTGACTAATTCTCTGATCGTACAGGGAAACCCACAGGCCTTGGCTTCCTGGCAGTGCACCATGGCCAAAAGCATCAAAGACAACTTGAAAGGCAACTCGAAGATCCTCGTCACGACCGGTGGCGGCGCGTATCTCGATAACTCCCTCCTCAATCCCTACTTCTCCTGCGATAGTCTCGACGTCCTCACTACCCACGCCTACGGTGTCGCCGACCTTACAACTTCTAGACTTCAGCCATTCGTCGCCAAGGCTAAGAACACTGGCAAGAAACTTATCATGCAAGAATGGGGTGCCTGCTACACCGATGCCGAGAACAATAACTGCAATGGAGGAAACCCACTTCATGTGAGCACAAGAGATGGCAATATTAAGAAGTGGGCAGCGAATATTGATGCAGCGGGAATTCCTTGGTTCTACTGGCAGATCCTCCCGAATGCAGATCCTCACCAAGGCTGGGACTATGAGATTGGTATCAACGATGCGAACTGGGAGGTCTTGAAGGCCGCTGGACTTGCCGCAGGAAAAGCCGAGTCTGCTTTTGACTTTAGTCCTTATCTGCTCTGAATAGATGGTACTAGGTCATTGCAAGGAGTACTTTGCAAACACGTGTGTCTTATTTTCTCAGCAGGTTTGATGTTATGGTTGAAAGACTGACGGCTGCATGGCAAAGGGAAGACAAGAAAACTTAGGGCCTCTATCCTAGATGACAAAAAGACTCAGGTAAATTTAGTATAGATTGAGTAGACCTTAGACTAGTTATTTTGATACCTTATCTAAAGGTCAGAAGTATTCTTTCTCCCAGAAGATGGCTTATCCAGGTTCTTAGCACCTTTTGCATCTCCATTGGCGGTTATGCAGTCAATCATCGCGGAAAATGTTATGAGCCAGCATTTTGCAGCAAAAGCGTACAACCCAATGACAATTTTCTTTATGGGGCACTAACCCCCGACAGCCCAGTGAATTTCAGGCCTTCAGCCGCAAAATATCCACTGAGTCAAGGCCCTGGCTGCCAAGGCCCCAGTGGATATTTTAAGCTTAAAAAACGATATTCCATCAAATAGCGCATCAATAGTTCCGCGCATCAACAAAAAACAATTCATGTCGCTTGCAATGACTGGGTATAAGTAAGGGCCTTCAGGCGCCTTCCCCCCGACATTCCTTCTTCTGCTTAGTACACTCACTCTAGTCTTTCATTACCATGATTTTTCCAAATTCTTTGGCAGTTGCATTCGTCGCCTTTGCGGGCGTTAACGCTGGGCCATGCCGTCCTTCATCATCGGATACTACGAATGAGGCCACTACTACCATCACAAGCAACCTTGAATCAACGACCAAGGCTAACACTTTCATTCTGGATACCACCGAGACTACTACCGCCACATCCGCTCACTCCGATGAGTCCACCACGACCATCCTCACTGTGACCGAGACTTCAGCAGCTACTGAGTCTGACACCACTACCCTCTTTACGACCACCAGCCAAGACCTTCCCACTACCGTTACTACTACAACCGCCGCCATGACCACCTCTGAGGCTCCCGAGACTCCCGCACCTCAATGTGCTGATCTCGCCAACCCCTACGTCGCAGATGATGGCACCGGATATGAGCTCAGGTGTAATTGGAGATTTGATGGTTACGCAGATCTCGAGTATTACACAGATAGCACGATGGAGAAGTGCATCAAGGCTTGTGGTCAGAATGGCGATTGTAACTACGCCCAGTTCGAGACTGAATACAGTCTGTGTATTTTGATCGGAACGGGTTTCGACTATTCTAGCAATAGCCCTGGGTTTGCTGTTGCTGTTAAACAGAGGCCTAATTGATCGAGGGCTCTGTTAACGAGAGAGATGCTATTCTGTTCAAATATGTTTTTCTGTAACAAGTAATCACCCAGTGTCTTTCTTAGCTTGCTTAGTTTGACTGCCACTTAGTATCTCATGCTTCTTATTAGACTATGATATATCCTTAATTGCAAGGTATCATAGAAAAGAAATAATGTTAGTTTTCTTGGTATTATTTGGACTCAACTTGGAACTAAATTCCGTCGAAGCTTTATAGCTATCATGTTGGATAATGTATCTAAGAGTTCTATAAATGCAAATTAATACGGCGATGCCTCGCTTTCTATCAAGACAGCATCGTCAATGGAGAAAGTGACAGAAGTACAAATAATCGTCACCGCGACGATGGGTCCAGCATCCAGCTGAGCTTGATTCCAAGTACAACTGATAGCTCTCAAAGCCCATGCATTCGAAGGCAGCCCAAACTCCCCCATTCCGACTCCTGCACCACATGTCAATCGTTGCACACTGCAGCCACTAGACGCCGTGGCCTTAATAAAGATCGAAAATCGATATTCTTTGCCCACGATGATCTCAGTAGGGTCGATGTTTTGCGTAACAGCAAAGCTCAATGGTTGAATAAGTCTGCGTTTGAGCCCTCCTTTGGGAGGTAGTGAAGAGTCGAAAACGCCGCACTGGAGTGATCCTGGACGAGATGTGTCGCTGCGAACGGATAGCCATCCGCGATCTGCAACCGTGGGTGCCTCCCAGGGCGCGAAGGTGGAATCTTCAAAACCGGGGTTGCGAATCAAGTTGGTGGGTTGTCGCTTAGCAGATGTTGTTGTGGTGGATTTCTCATCATTTGAGGTCGCAGCTGAGGTTGTAGCTGAGGTTGTAGAGACTAATGGCTCATATGTAGTGGTGCTCTCGGCAACGGTTGTCGTTTTAGAGGAGGCTATGGACAACGATTCTGTCTCCCCAGCAAAAGCTGATGGTGATACGGCTGTCGAGGTGACAGATTCCGTCTCTATGGAGAGAATTGTAGGAGACAAAATTGTAGAGATGGCAGACTCTGTTTCCAACGCGACTGTAGACGAGATGTCGGTAGTGGTTCTGTCAGTTTCGCTAGGGCTGGTGGTTCTGGAGGATGCAACAGAACTGAGGGTTGAAGAAGGTTTGCATGGTGAGGCTGAAGTCAGCTCATACAGCATTAAGAGCTGGAGTATCGAATAGGCGAGTCTCATGACAGCGATGACGACATCCTGGTGGGGACTGAGATGATGGGTATGACAGCCAAAGAGCAAAACAGAACAGAAGAAAACAGTTGGGGATAACCAGGAGTCTGGCGCAATTAAGCATAAGGGCTCACGCTAAACTAGCTTCAACAACAAATCAAGTCACCCTGACAGCTCAACTCCGCGGACCAAAGTTTCCATATTTCTTTCCGTTGGTAGGGCCAGTCCTCTTGACCATCGTTTTATTCTGGAAACTATTGAAAGTGGCGCTGCTGACTGGGAGTCTCGATCCAACATGCCCTGTGAAACTATTGGATTGTGGCGTTGCATTTTGAAGATTTGTGGGGATGTGGAAATGAGATTCAGGGCTGTCAGTGAAGCTTCATGGTGCTTATTACTTGGCACGTTAGACATCTCAAGGAAAGGGAGTCACGTGTACAGCACTCACAGGCTCACAAGAGTGCTTTCATGATATATTGTTTTACCGCGGTCTTGTTGTTAGAGTAGTTTCATCTTGCCATTACTCTCGCCCTCAGCGCTACAAAGATCACCTTTCGGTTTACAGGACAGAATCGACTCCCAAGCTTACAAGATATAAAATAAACAACCTCCTCTCAGTCCTTCAATTTCGTAAACTTGATCAGACATTTAGATTCCTGTGTTTAGTCAGTCACACGTCGTAACAATGGGATTGAAGAGAAGACCAACCTGAACCTTGGGGAATCGATCATCATAGAAAGTCTCAACGCGAGCTGTAATAGCGGGAGTAGTATCCTCGAACCCTGGAGCAATTGTCGTCCTAAACTGCCGGTACATGGTGGCTGCGAGTGTCGTCATCTCGGCCATAGCAAGACTGGTTCACGTTAGGCATCAAGATTCACATAAGCCGAGAGAAGAGGCAACTTACTGCATGCCAATGCACATTCGTCCGCCACTTGAGAATCCCCAGAACCATCGGTTCAATTCCGCCGCATCTGGTCCCAACCATCTATCAGGGTTGAAGACCAAGGGATTCTTGAAGACAGCTTCGTTGCGATGCATGATCCAAGGTGACATGCCGACAACAGTGTTGCCAGGAATGGTATATCCATCAATGACCGAATCAATCTCGATCGAGCGAGGTTCCGTGCTTGGTAGCGGTGCATAGAGTCGTAGAGTCTCCTTAATGACAGCGTTGATATATGTGCATCGATCACTTGCTTCAGCTCTGGGATTACCCCACTGGTTCAATCCATCACCTGAAATAGCCATGACTTCTTCTCTTAACTTTTCCTGATACTTCTCATTGCCTGGAAGTGAGAGTGCCCAAACGAGGAACATGAGGGTGTCACTAGTGGTGTCGATGCCAGCGAGGAAGTGGTCAGCGCATTCGGATGCCATTTGCAAATCGCGGAGTCCACCTGGTTTCTGGGATTCATGATGTTGCCAGAGACTTTCCACGATCGAAACATGCTCGTCTGCAATTCTTGTCAGCTGTTATCATACAAAAGTGACAAATTCGACCTACCCTCTGAATGAGTGATCTTCTCAACATCAGCCCGAAAAGCCTCGAAAGCCCGCAGAGCGTACCCTCGGATACCAGTGTACGTAGTAGGTTGCTGCATCGGAAGAACTGGCTTAACGAGTTGTCCCATCAATCCTGACTGACGATATAGCCATTGAGTCAATGCCTTTAGATGCACGATAGACCAAGAAAGCTTTCGACGAGAGGGGTGCAAGATATCTGAGATGAGTTCCCGATGAATCCTTGAGCCTCGAATCGCTGCAGTTTGGCCATACTTTCCGTAAACAAACGCTGTGATGTTGTCGAGTGAGTAGTAATGTAGAGTGCTGAAAATCTCACTGACATTATCAGGCTCGGCTTCAATCAGATCCAGGTACTGGCGAACCCTTCTTTCCACCATTTTCGCAGTCGGCGGCTTGAGAACAACGGATTTGGAATAAGCATGCGACAAAAGCTTCTTCCTATCACCATGCTCCTTGGGTGAATGGAACGTGAACAAGTTCTGCTCACCATAGACGTCAAACATGCGATAGAATGTGGTCCGGCCATATCGGCTCCCGGGTCCGTAGATTGTTCGCAATGCGGAAAGACTGTTGAAAGAGACCTCATGGGGACCGATGCGCACGACTGGTCCGTATTGTTGGTGTAGTTTAAAAATTGTGCGAGTTCGCGTTCCTTTCCAATCTTCGTAGGCGAGACGCCATTTTGTTGCGGCGAAGGATTTGGGGCCGGGGACGTGGCGGAGGGGGCTGAGGATGAGGGGATCGAGGAAGATGTGCTTGATGAAGAGCACGACAGCGACTACAGCTGCCGCGATTGGGAGGATAGCCATCTCGGTGATCAATTCAACAGCCCTAAAGAGAATGAGTCGATACCAAGCCAACCAAATGATATACGTTAGATGTCAAGGTTCTTTAAGTAAAACGCAACTGGTCAATCAACCCTTGTCGGCTACGTCAAATCGGTAGTGAATCGTTTCCCCGCACAAGATAAAACATGTTGCGCCAGGGCGTAGACTTCAGAGCAAGGGCGCGCCTTTTTCTACAAACAGACTATTTAGTTTGACCTGCAGATAAAGACCGCAGTGGATCTGATACACAGCTTGGCACTGAATTCAATGTTTATCAGGGCGGAGAAAAGTCATGATTTCCGGTGCGCGGAGGTCTTGGACCGACGGGGCTCGGCAATTGACGCCGTGTTTGGGATACTAAGCTTGATGCAGGTCATGTAAACTGGAGAAGAGTGTTTCTCAACCAATTGGGGAGGAGATATTCCAAAGATTGGCTTATCTGATAAGGGCTTCATGATGTTGCCCACGTAGAGACGTCCAATGTGTTCATAGTCGGACAAACATCAAGACACATCCACTCAGGGTAAATGAATTGCCCCGATGAGTGAATGTCAGTCATCTCGGCTGAAGTGATTATGTGAACTCTGAAACTGAATCGATTACTATCACTTAACATGAGCCAAGGGTTATGCAAATCAGAATTATGGTCCTAAGAACCTGCATGAGAGTGGTTTCATCCACGACATCTTTAAGATGGACCTTACTTCAATCCGATCTAAAGCCCATCGTTTGACAGTGTATACAAGAAGCAATACTTGATTCTTTACTTCAGTAGCTGGATACAATAAATGGAAGGCCCAGCGTTGTTTGCATCCTTACTAGTGTTTCACAGCAGGTTATTGCAAAACAGACTTGTACTCGCGAAACTGTCTACTTACCAACTACATAAGACCAACAAATACCGTCAACACACTTCCAAACTACTGGCATGCATACCATCACCTTATGCCATGTGCAGGTACAAAACAAGATACCGTTGAGCCTATGGATCATGTCAATATGAGGTCATATCTTCACCAATGAGTGTTGTCGCGATCAATTGTTTTTCCTGGTCCATCTCAACGTACCCACCTACTGTTTCCTCAGTCCCACATCCATCACAGGCTAGTTACAAGCCAAGTGTGGCTGGGGCGGGGGAATCGTCCTGTCGTGAATGATAGCCACGAGAACAGGATCCAGCGAAACATATGCCCAACCTGACCTGGTCGAGTCACAGTTTCGGAGCACAAGGGCCAGAACCTGCTGAAGGTCACCAGTCGTAAAGGTGCATGATTATGAGAAGGAGATTCCGAAATAAAATACAAAACTGCTTATCAGATCAATGCTACCGCGCTATATGAACCATTGTACTTCAGAGGCTCATGCTGATGCTTCTTTCGTCCCCTAAGCATCTTGCGAACAGCGCCTGCAGTATACATCAAAGACGTCACCAGACCAACCACGCCATAGCCGATAATGAGTTTCATGGATGCACCAGCGAGCTGCAAACCGAGACCGCCGTTAACAATTCCAAGGACCATCAGAGCTCGACCGTACCAAATGTGAGCATGACTGACGCCTGTTCGTCGCTGATACTTGGTATAGTTCCTGTGATGTAGCCATCCCAAGATTGGCTGGATGGCCATCAAACCGCAAACGACTGTACCGATTATGACATGCGGAGCGCTGAACCACTGATCGAGAGTTAGTCAACACTGTTAGAGGACAGGCTTGGCTACTTACATCACCGTTACGGTCGGCGGCCAACTTGCCAGCAACAAACCCAGCCCACATGCCGATAAAGACAATCATCTGCCACGTAGCGTGGATGAACCACTTTCCGATTATAGGCATTAACAGAGATCCGAGAGGATAGCCCAGTAGGAAGACGACCGACATGATGATACCGTGGATGGTGCTGGTGTTAACTTCACCCCCGCCACCACCAGACGCTGCACCACTCGGTGTAGCAATCGACATGTGAATGAAAGGGTTGCTATTAGAGCTTACAACAGCTTCAGAAAAGTCAACTGAGAAGCTATTGTGCCCATCGTGTTCTTCAATATCAGCATCAATGTCAGTCGTGTGCAAAGAACTTCCAGTCTTCCAAGCACTAATCCAATGATTCGACCCCTTGAAGTGCATGTTTCCCAGATCGCCACATTGTATATTCGCCACCATTGTCTTGTTCACGACCCCGCTGCCCTCGATAAGCTTGACAGAGCGCATGCGGCTATGCTCCGGCATCTCATGGCCATGTCCCATCCTCGTGCTCAAGGTGACTTTACCAGTGCCATCTTGGTAAATGACGAACATGGTTGAGCCGCTCATTTTATCACCTGTGCCGAGGCCAACCCATTGGTATTCGGCGGGAGCTTGGATACGGATGAACAAGTTGCCGGAACTGGACGAGGCTGTTGAGGATGGGACGGCCCAGGTGTAACAGATCTTGTTGGATTTGCCGTTGCAGTAGGACGTGGGGGATGCTGAGGAATAGCTGGCGACTAAATAAAAGATTGTTAAGATGCTGTTCTAATCTGTAGGGTTGTTTGTTGCTTACAAAGTGCAAAAGCCGCTGCGATAGCGATGCTTGTAAGAGACTTCATATCGCTGAATCGCAGGTCACTAATGATATGTTACGAAATCTGTATGGAAAGGATACCAGAGAGGGCAATTGATCAGCTCTGCAGCTCTTATCCTGGACTGAACGGCTTTTTATGCAATCTCAGCTCTGCAGTCAGCTTCCGCCCAAGCACATGACGAACCGCTAAGCTTCCAAGCCACTCAGCCCAGTGTGAGTAATCTTCCCCAATAGCAAAGGTATTGCAAAAATAGGTTCAACCCAAGCTCCTGTGCTCACCCAATCAAGAGCACAATAAGCTTGCTTAGATATCGATAGGGCTTACTCAACTGAATGAATACCGCCGGCTGGATAAGATGCCGAACCTTGATGCAGGGCAATGTCAGCATCCGTTGAAACGGCTGAGGCTCATGTCTAGATGGTGTCTGTGCGTAAGCCGCATTGCCCAGAGATCTCCAGTCTTGCCATTTCAGTGACAGGCTTCAACAATAACACTGGTGAGATACGAGGTTTTGTTCATATGAGCCTCTTATAACTCCAGAAATTCGAACCGATCGAGTCACTCACAACCCTTTCGTGCAAGGCGGGGGAGCGCAGGACAACCGGGCGTTCTCCAGAAGTCCCACTAGGGTTCATTGGGTGGTTGGGGCAGCGTGTCGGCTTATCGGTCTGGAACGGGATCACTCGAGGCGGCGGGGTAACCCGTTGCATTGAGTTAAAGCCCGGCAGTGATTGAGTTACCGGCCATTAACAGCAGCGAATAATACTCATAGTTCACAATCTAGATGACCGTAGACTCTGTAGCCCAGACTTGCGCGAGACAAGCTTTATGCCGTGGACACCCTTGAAGCAATGGGGCGAAGGTTATTAGGATCTGAAATACAACCGTGGAACCTTACAACATGGCCCTACGCAGATGCTAGACAACAAGCTACTACTTATAATTGGATTAGAGTCTTTGAGATAATTTTGAAGGCGTATGAGTCACCTAGCTATGTTTTGGCTTCGATGAAGGACCCTAGGAATTGCGGTTGCTGCTTGTTGAGATTGAAGCTCACATTGCCGTCATGATGGCATTCCCCTCGCACGTTATGCAAGCTACATATCGGAGGATGTGGGGCCATGGTGACAATGGTCTTTCCCATTCCTTCTGATGGAGAACGTGGCAAAGAGGAACCAGCAGCAGAAAAGGCCATGTCACTTAGGCTCGGAAGATTCCGAGAAGTCGGAGGTGGAGCGAAACAGTGAAAGTCTAAATCACCAACTATGACACAGTGAAAGAAAGCAAGTGACTCATTTTTTGATGAATGAAGAAGATGTCTCATTTCCCGTAAGAACAACAGAAACGGTTTACGTCTACTAGGATCCCATCTGTGGTGGCTGTGTAACTAATCTAAGGCCTCCACATGAATCCAGGATGCTTCCAATCCATAACACGAATCTCAGCATCAGTCTTCCCTGCTAGAGCCTGACCGACCTCAATCGCTGCTCTTCGCCTGTTATCCCAAGTCATATAAACTTGCAGTGCAATAGTGAGAAGAAAGATAGACGAGCACGCGCCAAGGTTGAGGCCATTGCCGATCGGATAGTTTGGTCCATCGAAGGGCAAAAAGCACCATGTCGAGATCAATCCTCCGATGTTACCAAGCATGACGTTCAAGCCAATTCCTGAAGCGCGTGCTGTGTCGCTGACCAAGTTGGCCGAGACTTGAGCATTGGACAGAGCGCCGTTGGCGAAGGTGCCTGCGCAGATGAGGAACGTGCCAGCGTAGCGGACATAAGCTGGAGTGAATCAGTAAGTAGGTACCAGAATGGAGAAGTGTTTGAACTCACGGTTCGTGGTACTGAGGAACATGATGTACCCCGCGATGACAGGGAGCTGTGACAAGTTGATAAAGATATTTCGCTTATCAATACGAGTCGACAGGAAGCTGATCGTAACAGTGCAGAAGGTACCAACGATATAAGGCGGCACAGTACGCAATTGCTGTTGAACGACCGAATGGTTGGGGTAGATGGTCCTCACAATCGTGGGTGCGAAGAAAGCAAGGCCCTGCACCGTGATGTTGGTGAACAAGAAGATGGTGGAAGTTCCGATGGTGACGGGCGAACTGATACCGCGACGCGCCAGTTTCCAAGAGAACTTCTCAAGGACTTCGGTAGCACCAACGCGCTCAGACTTGATACGTGCAATCGCCAGGTCTTTCTCCTCTTGTGACAGCCATCGTGCAGTGCTTGGTCGATCCGTCATAGTGAAGAACGCAATGAGCGCCAGACCAATAGTACAGATCCCCTCGATGGCAAAGATCATTCGCCATCTCGTCAATGAGCCAAAGTGATCTAGCTTAAGAATACCAGAAGCCAAAAGACCGCCGAAAGCTCCGCCGAAGGAACCCATGGCGACATATATAGCTAGGCGGAAGGCAAGTTCGCTGCGTCTGTACCAGCGGCTGAGATAGTATGCGATACCAGGTAGCATGCCTGCTTCGAAGATGCCGAGGATGAAGCGGACGGCACAAGCTTGGCCCATTGTGTGGACGAAGGCGGTTCCAAGGGAGGCGACGCCGAATGCTACGGAGGTAGCGGGGATGAACCAACCGGGTCCGATCCATTTGCAGACCATGTTGAGAGGGAGTTCGAAGACGATGTAAGACTATCGAGGTAGATTCATGTTAGGGTGGGATGCTTCAGTAGATAAGGGGGAGTACGTACGATGTAAAAGACGGTCAGCAACAAGTTGTAGTCATAGCCAGATAGACCAAGGTCTTCCTCGAGGCCGGCCAATCGAGCATTTCCAATATTGGCACGATCGACGAAGCACATCAAGTACAAGATAGTGACTGAGGGCATGATGTACCAGTCAAGCTTGCGACGGAGCTTCTTCTCAGCTTCTACGTCGAAAGTTGCAATGGGGTTGCCATGCCTAGAAGTGTCAATAGAGGTCAAACAAAGGGGCAGTCAACTTACTCATCGGTAGCTAGATGTCCTCTGGCAGCAGCATCATGAGCGTCAGCATGCTCAACCTCCTTGGCCCAGTGCTCCTTTCCATCAATGCCTCTCTCTGCGTCAGAATCTCTTGCAGCCATGATGATGTACAAGTTCACGAATGTCCTGAAGATGACTTTGAAAAAAAGGAAAGCCCACAATAAGGGAGAAGAGAGCAGTTTAATACTGGCGCTGATAGGCGCGATATCCAATCTTGTACGTGCCGAGCATGCCAAGAGTGAGGGGGGGTTGATAGTGCATCGGATGACGGGCCGAACAGTATCGGATACCGGGTCGAGCTATCATTCTGGACGGAAGGAGTAATTAGTGACAATCCGAGGGGGGCATTGTCCAGTAGGAACAGTTATGCTTAACATGGGTAACGAAAGATAAGCTTAATGATGGGGAGAGAATCTGGGGAATCAGATTGTGGGGGAGACCCGCTGGCGGCTATGGGATCGTCGCCGTTGCTGTATTCGAGGGGGTATATCCGAGTAGGTTGACATACATCACCCAGATAATCGCTGGTTCACGGGCTTTACTTTGATAAATCTTCGGTGTTTTCTCTGTATCACCATGATCCACGGTCATTTGTATAATTCCACCTTGGTCTTGTCTGCTCGGAACCCAGGGTCAAGTGTCATTCCGAGCTTGCAGAGATAGACACTCAGTTCCGATAACCAGGCTGACATTCAGAAATGATTGGACGCGAGTGTCAGAACATGATTTATCAAATGATTTCAGACGAAATACGGATGGCGATAATCGATCGTGCTGGGAAAAGGCGTTGTCGGCCAATGTGTTTTCCCGACGCGTCCCCTCGCTCCACATGATCAGGGACACGTCAATTTGCCCTTTGCATCACCATGTCTGCGCGCCTTAGAAAGGTCATGCAGCTCATTCAGTGATTTGGAGAATAGCTTGAAAAGCCAGAGCATAATTCTTTGCAAGCACACATTCATACGCATCTATTATAGCGCGATCATGTCTCTTGATATTATACTCAATGCAAATTATTTTTACCGTCGCTCTTTAATACGTTTTTTTAACCTAGAATTTTTTTTTTTTTTTTTTTTTTTTGGTTTATTAGGGTTGATACAAGAAGCTCAATTTAAAGCCAATTAGATGACTGTCGTATTCTGTTCCCATTCCCTCAAATTTCCCGCATTCGAATCTCGAAGGAACTGTTTTCGAAACGAACACTAAGCTTTTCCCCCCGTGTCTTCCTTTTCGCACCGTCACAAAAAACATCGATATGTCTAACTATAAAGGTAGAATTCATTCAATTGACCATCTTCTGATCCAGATCTGAATTGTACGAAAATACGCTGGTGCAGGGTAATCAAACTCCCGAACCTAAGTTGGAGAAATCTAGAACCTGATAGCGCACGTATCAATACACCAAGCGCACACTAAATCAAGGCACTATCGAAGTACCCGTACTTGCGCCTCCAAGTTTTCGTGACCACTGGAATGGGGGACACGCGACAGCTAGAATTTTTACGCGGGGCCCCAGGTTCCTTTGACGAACCGTGGGCGAGTAGCCTAACCCAGTCGCCAGCGCAAAGAACCCCCCTTTTGGGTAAATACATGACCAATGCCAACTTGAAGTCCACTTGGACTGTAGGGAGGTGGTGCAGTTGGAGATGTCTCATGTTTTGATCGAGGGATTGATGAACGTAATGATGCTTGAGTACCCTCGTGATGGCCTGCTGTCAATTGAAGTCATCGCGCTCATCAAGTGTATTCACGCCAACTCAATGGAAGAGTAACTTCGTCTATGGCCAGAAATATGAGATAAACACGTCTCAATGAACTTACCGGTGCAAGGGAGCCTCAATATCTGGTAACTTATGGTAATTAGTCTCCAATTCAACATGCCATCACCCCAATCCTCACGAGCCTCCGGCACTCTCTCGCCGGTGGTGGTCAGACCAACAATCACACTATTCCCAAACGAGGGGTCTTAGCCTACCACTTTCTCGCCCGCGCATCAACTCCAGAAAATTAGATCCCCAGTGAAATGGCCTGGGGTAGAAAAATGTTTAAAAGACTCGAACTTTCTCCCCATACCCCAGATTTCATCACATCAACCTCCCCACAGCTTCGTCTCACTTCACCATGTCTACCTCGGACGGTCCTTATACCTTGGAGCCCAGTGCTCCCAAGAAGACTATCTGGAAGTCTATACGGGAGAATCCAAAGGTCATCTTTATTGCCTTTTTTGCTTCGTGAGTATTACTTTGATATAAGTTTGAGGACAGTTTGCTGACTGGAGGATAGACTTGGTGGTTTTGAATATGGTTACCAACAGGGTGTTCTGGGTCAATCCCTCGTCATGACCCGCTTCACACAAAACTTCCCCTCAGTCGTTGAATCATCCTCTGCGACAGGATGGCTCACATCTATTCTCCAACTAGGCGGTATTCTCGGATCTCTATCAGCTGGTGTTTCTAGCGAACTTATCTCGCGAAAGTACACCATGTTCATCGCATGCTTATGGGTCGTCGTCGGCAGTTATCTCTACGTTGGTGCCACTGCAGGAAATCCACAGCTCCTTTACGCTGGTCGATTCTTGACTGGTGTTGGTGTTGGTCTTTTCAGCGGTGTTGGACCGCTTTACAACGCTGAGCTGTCGTCGCCTGAGATGAGAGGTCTTCTTGTGTCGTTTTATCAACTTGCGACTATTCTGGGCATTATGCTTTCGTTTTGGTGCGGTTATGGAAGTAACTACATCGGCGGAACAGGCGACTCTCAGTCCGATCTTGCTTGGCGTCTTCCCTCCATCATCCAGGGTATTCCAGCTGCTATGCTTGCTGTCGGTATTTGGTTCATGCCCTTCTCACCCAGATGGCTCGTCAAGGTTGGCCGCGACGAAGAAGCCAAGTCTACTCTCGCCTGGATGCGAAAGCTCCCCATCGACTCTGACGCTGTTCAGGTTGAGTACCTTGAGATCAAGGCTGAGGCAGTATTTGAGCAGAAGGTTTTCGCTAGGGACTTTCCTCATCTTGCTGAGAGAAACAACAACCGTTTCATGCAGCAGATTGCTCAATATGTGACCTGCTTCAGATCGATGGATAACCTCAAGCGTGTCTGCACTGCTTGGCTTATCATGTTCTTCCAGCAGTGGTCTGGTATTGATGCTATCATCTATTATGCTTCTAATGTTTTTATCAGCCTGGGTCTTACTGGTGGAACTATTGCTCTCCTTGCGACTGGTGTCACTGGCGTTGTCTTCCTCATCAGCACAATCCCTTCTATGGTAAGTCCTTCCGTTACTGGGACTGCAGAACTTATGCTAACCTTGGCTCTCACAGTTGATCATTGATCGCGTTGGTCGCAAGCCTCTTCTTTTGATTGGTTCCGTTGTCATGGGTGCCAGTATGATCACGGTCGGAATTATTGTCGCCAAGTTCCGCCACGACTGGCCTAATCACGTCGCTGCTGGTTGGACTGCAGTTGGTAAGCCAATCCTTCATCTCCCAGCCTGCCATCATGACTAACATGGCATTAGCTCTCATTTGGGTCTACATCGCTGGCTTCGGCGCTACATGGGGTCCCGTCTCCTGGACTCTCGTCTCCGAGATCTTCCCCCTCTCCATCCGCGCCAAGGGAGCATCCATCGGTGCCTCAAGTAACTGGGTCAACAACTTCGCTATCGCCTTCTTCGTTCCCCCCATGCTCGAGTCCTGGGAGTGGGGAACCTACATCTTCTTCGCCGTCTTCCTCTTCGTTGGTATTCTCTGGGTCTGGTTCTTTTTGCCCGAGACCAAGAACGCTTCTCTTGAGGAGATGGATCGTGTCTTCAAGAGCCGTGCTGGTGAGCAGGATGCTGAGTTGCTTCGCGAGGCTCAGGCCGAGGTTGGACTTTTGGGTTCTGTGGCGGGACGAAAGCCTTCGTTTGAGAAGGAGAATGAGAAGCATGTTGAGGCTCTGTAAATGGGTGATGACTTGTGAGGGTAGGATAGTCTGGAGAGGGGACGAGGTGTTTATGGTGACGATGAGGTTGTAATGTTATATACCACGCTATGCATAATGATCATTTTGTATATTTCTTAACTTACTTGCCTATCATCTTCGTTGATAACTATTGGAGTAATGAAGTGTACTATGATGCATAAATAATAAGACATGCACCCAATCAAGACTCAGCTGATCCAACGCCAAGACAACCACGGAAGATAATCTATAGGGCTGGCGCTAGCCAAATCTGTAGTTCTCGTAAATAACTGTCGCATATAGAGAGAGACTGATCTAATGCGAAGCTTCTGCCGTCCTGTCGCAGAACAAACAGATGCTGACTGCCCAGCTGCGGTGAGAAGAAGGCAATGACATCATGAAAGATGGACGAATGTCATAGGACCTTGTAAGTGATAAATAACACATGCCGCAACAATTTGACTACGGCTCAGAATATAGATTTAGTATCAAAAGACTGTGTCAGTAGAAGCCAGGCAGGGCGAACCGCCTGGTGAAATCGCATGTTTACATGGGCGGGCCAAGTAACACGAATCGCCACTGTTAGCATACGAACAGTCTGACTTAAAGTCACAGACTCCCGCGGGGAACTTTGCCTGGTTGCAGTCTGTGCTTTCTGGGGCAATCAATACCGAATTCAAGTTCAAGTTACTTGGGAAATGGAGTCTTTGCTTCCTCCGGTTGTTATGTTACCGAGTCATGACCTGAGAATCGCGTCGCCTATGGCCCCCAAATCCGGCTTAGTGAATTACCCATCGAGACTTTGACCAACTTCATGATTGGCCAATTGCAATTTTAATTGGTGAGCGGCGACCTTGAAATGGATCCTTCGGGGATCACTGGTTTCTGGAAAATTACCTTGTTTCTGTCACACTTGACACATGAATTGAGAGCGAACAGGAAGAGGCTACAGTTCCGTTTTGGGACCGTATTTGCACTCATCATCACATTCTTCCTTGGTGTTGCTCATGACGTGCCTTGTATAGGCGATCGAACCAACTCTCCATACTCCACTCATCATCTCACAATGGCCTTCTTCCCATCAGAAGACTTCTCCCTTGACCCCCGCTTTATCGAACTTCAAGAAGAGCTCCGCACAGTCCTCTTCGCAGGGTTATCCGGCCTATCACCTAGCGCATCAGTCACACCCGAAGCAGACTCATCATCACCACCAACATCATCCCTCAACCTGTCCAGCGTAACAGTCAATGTACCCAACGATAGATTAATATGCTATCTTCAGAACTGGGTTACAGAATGTGCGCCGTACTTGGACAAGTTTGATGAGGATAAGCATTTCCAGATTCATGTTCCACTTATGGCGCAGAAGAGCCCGGCACTGTTATATGCTATGCTTGCGTTTTCATCACGGCAGATGGAACGGAGAGGATTGACGCAGGAGGGGGGATGCGATAGTCTTGAGTTGTATCAGGAGAGTATTAGGTTGTTGAGTCCTGGATTGCAAGCTAAAGATCCCAACATGCTTGTGACAGCTTGTATTCTTGCTGTTTTTGAACTCATGTCTGGTGGCTCCAAGAACTGGAAGCGTCATGTCGAGGGATGCGCTTCGCTTTTTGAGTTCTTTGGAGTTGATGGTTTCTCTGGTGGTCTGCCCCAGGCTGTGTTCTGGTGCTATGCCAGGATGGAGTTGTGCGGAGCGATTATATCAGATGGGACAGAAACTGCTGTTCTTCCACTCTCAAAATGGGCACCAGCTGCACCTGAGTCGCTGATATCCTCTGGACAAGTCGAGCGATATGTGCGAGACATGTTTCATCAAAGGAGTCGGGATTGTCCTGACATGCAAGCCAACTGGGCCATTTACCTCTGCACGAAAGTCTGCGATCTAAGATTTCGGAGGACGCAAAGCCTAGAACTAGGACGAGCAGACGTTCAAGATGACAGACCCTTTCAAGAACAATGGCAACAACTCTGGAACGAGCTCCAATACTGGCTTGACGAGCGTCCATCAACAATGAAGCCAATTAGCATGGTTGAAGCAGGTGATAAGCAGATTTTCCCAGCCATGCTTTTCCCCCACTGGGCTGCTATATCAAGCAACCAGATCTATCACACAGCATGTATTCTCATGCTAGAAATGCGTCATGATTTAGATTCACAGTGTTTAGCGCTGTGGCATGCACGACAAGTCTGTGGAATATCCTGCGCAAATCTTCATCCAGGAAGTCTTGTGAACTCTATACAGCCGCTTTATATAGCTGGGAAGTTATTCTCACATGTTAATGAGAGGAAGCAGATTGCAAGGTTGTTGAAGAGTATTGATAGGACGACGGGATGGGGAGCTTTGTGGAGGTTGACGGATCTTGAGGCTGAATGGGGCTATGATGTTGGCGCGCTGCTGAAGACGCTGTAAGGACTTACGACAGGGATTTTAGCGAGTAAGGCACCCGTAGAACTGTTGACATATCATAATAATGAGTTTAAGTCCACTAGACCCCGTTCACATGCTTCCTGATCGTCTATCCGCCATCGCATAACACACCCATTTTTAGGATAGCGTGCCAAGGACAGGTGGAGTACATCGCCAACACTCAGCAGTCATGCACTGCGCGTATAAAGGTTTTCGTCTTTTGAAATATCCTTGCTCCGTCCTTCGTTATCTACAAACATTCATATTCTCCAAACAAGCGCCATGGCGTCACCAAGACCAGTCATCAGTGTCCTCGGGTCACTGAACATTGACCTTGTCTCATATGTCCCTCACCACCCTCTTCCTGGCGAGACGATAACTTCAAGTCGTTTCAATGTCTTTCCCGGAGGAAAGGGTGCCAATCAAGCGGTTGCTTGCGCAAAGCTTTCAAGAACCTCCGATCTGAAGAACCCAAGCGTCGATGTTACCATGATCGGTGCAGTTGGAGCGGACGCATATGGAACCGTTCTTCTTGACAGTCTCAAGTCTTATGATGTTGGAACAGACTCCATCATCGTGAATAAAGACGGAGGTTCTGAGTCACAGAGTGGAATTGCCATGATTATCGTCGATGAACCAACTGGCCAGAACCGCATTATCTTATCACCAGGAGCCAACAACTCCCTCCAACCAAGCCACTTCCCCGAGATCCCCGGCCCAGCACCATCATTGCTTATCATGCAGCTTGAGATTCCTCTGGAGACAGTTATCCAGGCGTTTAAAGCCGCCAAGACTATAGGAACTCCGGTTTTGCTCAACCCCGCTCCTGCTCAAGTGCTCCCAGCAGAGATCTACCAAGGGCTGGCACATTTAATCCTCAACGAGACTGAAGCGGCTTTGTTATCAGAAAAGGACGAGTCCGAGTTCGAAGATATCTCTGTCGTTGAAAAGGCCGCTGCTGATTTCCTTGCTCGAGGCGTGCGGAACGTTGTGATTACTCTGGGTGGCAAAGGAGCATACTATGCCAACGACACGGGTGCCAAGGGTCTCATCCCCGCTCTGAAGGTCGAGGTGGTGGATACTACTGCTGCTGGTGATACTTTCATCGGTGCTTATGCAGTTGAGCTTGCAGGCGCTGAGCAACGGTCGGAGCAGTTCGACATTGCGAAGGCTGTTAGGTCAGGAATATGGGCGTCATCAAAGACAGTCGTGCGAAGGGGAGCGCAAGTGTCTATACCATGGAAGGATGAATTGGAATCAGCACAGTAAGCAAGAGCAATGAATTTATAATGATTCTCACGGCCCTATTCTATCCAGTTACGCTATCATCAAGTATCAGGAATGCGCATTTGCTGGTGCGCTGGTATGTCGAGAAGAAGACCAAAACTGCTGCAGATCCGCAATCTCACTTTGAAGAGGAATCTTTGTCGCATCCCCGATACGCTGGAAACATAACAGTAACGCTTCTTGTTGAGAAGGATACGTCATATCTCTTGCTATTCGAACAACTGTCGCTACCACGACAGGATCCCATTGATCGGAGAAATTATTCCACAGAGCAAGTTTGGCGAGTTTCTGAGCATGCCAGCTTTTCGATGCCAACCTATGTGGTATCGATGATAATTTGACTAAGCGTGGTTTATATGAAAGGAGGAGAAGGGCTGAAAAATGAATCGCTAGGTTTGCTTGAACCGCGATGGCGCTTGAATAGACGTCTGCTGTGAATGGGGTATTGGTTGATGTTGCGTGGTCAACTTCGGCGCTTTCTAGCAAGGGGATCATATCTGGAGGACGATCACGGAACCATTGGACACAGCGTGCCCATAGTTTGGACCATGTTGCCCAGACGAGAGAGTAGGGTTCGTGGGTTGGTGATTGTACGGGTGCGATACCGTTGAACAGAGGGATTATTTCGTCATGTATCAAGTGGCAGCATGTCGCGAGATGTGTTAGACAGTCGTCGTAAATACTCGGTGGTGTCGGGGCAGAGGTTAGGAATGTGTCATTCATCAGTGGTAGTGACTGTAATGATGGGGATTTGGTTGCTATGATGGAAGCAGCAAGCTCTGTTATCCAAGGTCAGCTCATATCTTACAAAACATGAGATCAAGCATAGTACCTGTCTTAAAGTGAAAGCGATCGAGAGTTTTGAGAGGCTCCTCCTGACTCTCAAAGAACTGACATCGCTCTCTCACATTCATGCAATCAGAGTGCAGATTTGCCCACTCAGATGGGCCAGTATAAAAGAAGTTACCGAGAGCAAGTAGCGACCGTCCGACATCAGCGATGAAACCATCTTCCAGAGATAAACGATGCTGGAATTGTTGAACAAGATGAGTATCTCCTTCATGACTGGTGGAGCTCGAACTCCTCCTACTCCGGCGCATCGCAACCCATATGATGATATCCATTATGGTAGACTTTTCTGCTGCTAATGTCATAATCTTTGGTCCGAAGGTGGACCTTGGTGCATTCGAGTCTAGCCAGGGGACTATTTGGTAGCGAAACCGAAGCATTGCTGTTTGTCTCTCTGAAGAGTTTTGCTCTGATAGAACTGTTTCGTTCCATCTTGATGGCGTGGGGATTTGGTTCCCTTCATTTTGGTGATGGTTGTTGGTTGAAGGGGTTGGTTGAGGAACATCTGTTGTCGTGTGGTGAATAGATTCAAGTCTTTCCGTTCGAGCAGTACTGGCTATAGGACTCTCAAACACTGGCTCGGCTGGAGCAGGACTGGGCTCGACAAAGGACAGCAAGCTATCTTGCATGGGCTAGCATCGCAATGTTAGTGATCGACTTACTCGTGGAAGACGAGAGGACTGACCAGAGATGAATCAGCATCATCGCCATTATCCCCCTGTACGCTACCGTCTTTCCCCAGTGATGAGCGTACCCCTGGTACAAAGGTCCACTCTTTGAACTCGCACGTCACATTCCTCCCGATACAGCTACCGCATTGAGGTCTCTGTTCATCACCTTGTATCCAAGTGTTAGCCAATGTGACCGGGAGAGACGCGGTTGACTAACATTTTCTTCGACGTCTTCGACAGGGTATACAGCCTGTGCGGGACCGTCTTTTGTTATCGGGTATTCGTCTTACGACTGGCATTGCGATAAGGTACGCACGCGTTTGACGAGAAAGATGGAGCGATGGGAAAAGAGGAGTCTTGAGGGCGGTGGAGGTGGGCAGAAGCTAAACTCAATTGTCGCGAAACAGACGATTTGAACATACAAAAGTCATCGTAAATTAGAACCCGAGAGCTAACAAGTGAGACCTAAAAAGACACTTTAGAGCAAACAAAATGGAAGATCGCAAAGAGACGTATTTGCTGATTCCTTGGCTGACAAAATGGTATGCAACTGCGGGCAGCACATTCCTAGATCATGATACTAGACCAGAACAGGATAGGTTTCAATTAACACGATAGCATAAACTATTGGAAGAACAAAGCCGCAGGAATCCGATTCAAGGTTGTGAGGCTAACCTTCTTGAGGTGCATGGCTGGACCGATGTTATAAGGCGCGGTCAAAGAGCAACGCTATCGTGGAAAGCGATCTCAGCCCCTGAAGCCTGGACCACGGACTATATGTACGGCTGAGAATACCCAAACCGCCATTGGTCCTGAAAGCTTGACTTAAATGAGTGGCGTTGCCAGCGTGCATGAGAATGTCACACCTCCGCAATCAAGCGGCTCAAATCTCATATAGAATATGCGCAGACGTTACAAATAGGAAGGCCAAGTAGATTAAAACCACAGAAAATTCGAAATAATTGTCTTAAAACTTCCGTTACAATGAAGTTACAGCTCCTAGTCTTCGTTCTCTTTACATCCCTCGCACAAGCCCAGTGGAAAGGTTGTTCGAGCCCCTGGCCCAATATCCCTCCAGGCAAAGAATTCACCCTCAAAGATAAATGTCGCACTCTTTCAGGCTATCCAAAGAAATTTGAAAAAGCCAATACAGAAGTCACCGTGACATATACGCAGCAATGGAGCCGTCTACCCAGCAAGACCAAAACCGCTGTAAACCCAATCCTCAAAGAGTCTCTCGAGAAAAGCATGGAAGTCTACCGCAAATTTGCAAAACTGCCATCGAGCATTGTCGTCATCCTAACAACAGAAAGCGATGAAGATTTTACCGCTGAGACCTACTATCCAAATCTTAGGAAGCCACCATGTCAAATCAAGTTATTCAAGAGATGGACCACCGAAGCAACGACGAATAAACCTCGGGTGCTACAAGCTCTTGCGCATGAGATATATCATTGCATACAGGATCTTGGAAAACTTGGGAATTTCCTTGATCCGCAGTGGGTTCGTGAAGGTTCTGCGAATTATTTCAGTAACCTCGTCTTTCCTGACTCAAACGCCGAATGGCCTGATGATAAACACAGCGGCGTTGCGTATAAACCTTCTTTGCCGATATATGCACATGTGAAAAAAGATGCTTACGCGACTAGCATATTCTTCCAAGCGCAAGAGAAACTGGATGAGGATGACATGAACAAGTTTGTTCTGGCAACGCCGGGAGGGTCAAGTGGGCTTCAAGAACGAGCTCGACTATCAGACTTGACAGGTTTTTCTGATGAGTTCTTCACTTTCGCAAAGGCCTTCGCGCTTGGGCAGATCAAAGACACCAATGGAGATCTCATTCCGATCAAGAACATTAATCCCGTTTCTGCGTCAATCAAGTTTGACGAGGCGGGCACTACTGGCACCGCAACGCTCACAAGCACGCCGTTCACTATTTCAGTCTTCAAAATTACTATTGACCCTGGGCGAACGGCGAAGATTTACTCATCGGCGAATGATAACCAGCGGCTTGCTTACCGAAAGTCAGACGTCAAATCGTGGACCGACATGGCCACCGATTCCTCTTCTGGACGTACCATCGATCTTCCATGCAACCAGAAAAACACTAAGCAGACATATATCGTTGTATTTATCTCAACTAAAGATGTCAAGAGTGATAAAGTGAAGATTACGGTTGCGACAAGCAAGCCCAAAAAGTGCGGCGCAAGAAGCGGGTTCGTTCTCTACCCTCTGTTTAACCCTACGACAAGTGGCGGATATTGTCCCAAAGGAACACATTCTTCCAGACTAGCAATTTGGTGTTGTCCAGACGGAACACAATTGGATGAACATGTAGCGCAAGAAGTCAGCGTCTGCTGTCCAACAGGCAAGTCTCGTGGTGTGAATGTTGTTACGCTGATAGGCTAATGGTCAAAGATGCGGATTGCAGCAAGGAAATCGTCCCAAATAATCTTCGATGCGCTAATCCGGAGTGGAGACTCTGGAACAAGCAGAACAGAGAAGTTGGATGTTGTCAGATTGGTTTTTACCCTACAGCAAACAGATATTGCACAACGGATTCCGCGGCATGGGACAGACGTTTCGTACAGGTACCATCACATGCTTCACTAAGTCTTACAAGAGTTTACTAACGGTGAGATCGACAGATTCCACAGAGCAGTTAGGCGGGCTACACGAAGATCATATGTCAGATATCCATCATGTATGGGAATTTCAAGGTCATTCCCTTCTGCTTCATCGTATTTGCGGTATTTCATGGATAAATTCATAGCAATAGGGTAGCCCAAAAACTCAATTGAACTGGTCGCATGCTTAGCCTATCATGGCATGACTGATCATCCTCCCAACCCATCTTGGGATTTAGCCAAACTGCAGAAAACTCAGTGCCTATAACCCTCGGGTGAAGATGCAAAGTTGCAAACCGATGGATGCATGATATTCACCGAGGATCGCTTAGTGAGCGTTGCGGTTTGCTCGCCGTTGAAAATGGCATTCTGGTACGTGTGTTCCTATTTCGCTGCGTTTGGACTGACCCAAAGACTATATTGTGACAGGATGCGCTATTGGACGGCTCGTATCACTGCTGAAACTTAAAACCTTCATATCTCTACTGGTGCTTGCAACATGATGACTCTGCCTGTATGACTTACGTGTTCGATAAGGCTGAACGAGCTGCGATTGATGAATTGGGGAAACATGTCGGGCTGTCTCGTCCGGTTCTGCTCTAAGCGGCATCGTGAACGTTTCAATGAGTCAAACAATAGAGCGCCCATCTTACGAGGCGTATATTAAAGCCGCATCATGCAAGGGCGAGGCTTGAGAAACTGTTATGCTTAATCGATAGCTGTCGAAGCTGCATGCGGCTTGATAGTTAGTTCCAGGCCAGCAATCACCTCTTTTTTCCGCCATGGCTCAATCTCTGGACGCGGAAGCATGGGCTTTGGGGAATAGTGTAACGAAATGGCGCAGCTGAGTGAGAAAAGGTGCACTGTCGGATAGCCCGAAGTGGGAAAGGTCGCACGAGCACGTTATTGACTCTCTGCCACGTTCATGTGTAGGTTACGGGGCTGAATGTGTTGGCTGAGTCGCGCAACTCTGTTTGGTGATGGTCTTATCGGCAATAAACAGAGTCGAAAGAGCGAGACTCCAACATTGTCTGTTTTGGTGATAACTGAGTGTGACAGTGACTGGACTACTTGGGCTAGGCTCTGGGTTAATACGAGCCCGTTCTGTGAATGGCTTGCGCTATGGACGAACACGTAGCTAGATCCGTTGTGATCCAATAGATTTTGGGAAAAGAGGGTCGCGATGCCGCCCAGCCGGAGTTTTACATACCAGAGCGACAAGGCACGACATACCGACCCTGGTTCATGTAATGGGCAGTGACAGCCGAGTGCACTGCAGCGTGTCATTGGAACACGGAGAACCCTGTTGGAGTGGAACATGATTTGCGTCTAGATGTTTGCAGATCAACCAGTGACTAAAAAGCTTGTCTAGGTGATCATCTGGCGTTAGAAGGTATATTCATCTGCCTATAGCGGTCCATGTGAATTGCGCATCCCCTCTGCCAAAAGGCCAGTGGGGATGGGCCCAATGCTTTGGAAATGACAGAAAGTGAGTTATTACCGCATGCGATTGAGGTTATAGAATGATGGCGATGTCAAGATATGTCGGCTTGGTGGAGATACGCCCAGATTCAAGCCCCTCAGCAAAACAAAAAAAAGGGTGAGAGACATCGCTTAGCTTCTGATCCGTCAACAGAAAAAAAGGTAGTGAACGGTTGTGTAATACAGGAAACATCTAGACCAAACGCCACAAGAAGGAGCCGCACAGTTGCCAAGGTGTTTCTGCACTGGGAGTTGACTCTGATCCTGCCAAGAAATGAACCCGCGTGGCTCTGCAAGGGGCACTGGGATTTGTTCTGTGTTAAGAATGGAAAGGACCAGCCTGGAATGTAAAGGGACCTGCGTCTTTCCCGGCCTGTGGCGCCACGGGTAGGCCCGTTTTGCATGCCGTTATTGGAATGGTGTCCTCTGTCTCGGTTCAGCTCTCCGATCTAGACCGTGCCTACCATAGCAGGCACCGGAGAAGACATCAATTTACCATTTCCTTGGTTATTTCAATCTAAGAGAATTATTTGAACAATTGATCCAGATAGTAATTGATTGCAACGGGAATAGCCATTCTCTGCCTTGTTTTTGATCTCCATATCATGTCACTACTACTATCAGTTAGCTACCGTTTCCAGTCCCTCTGCCAAGAGTCCCAGTCTCCTGGTACACTTATCACTCACAATTCCATATGCGGAAAGCTGAAAATAGAAGTTGAGTTCACGCTGCATTAACTTTTTAGCCCTGGTCCCTGGAAGGGTCTTCTTGTGGCTAGAATGAGGCTGGAATACCACATTGAGTTTATACTGAATATCTCGACTAAACAAGCTTTCAACCCAGACGGATTAGGAAACAGGCGAACTTGAAGATATCGGCCAAGATGAGAGCAACAGTTCTTATAAAAAACCATTATAGATCAGATCAGAAATGGATTTGTTCTCATCAACAATCTCACAGTCTACTACACCCATCATAGTAGTCGCTTCTTTACATTGTCTTTTTCGCAATGCATTTCATCAAGGCTGTTGTCTGGGGCATATCCATTGCTGCTGCTAACGCAGCCGCTTTGCCTGCAGAGGGATCTGATGCTACTGCCTGCGAGTACTCCGGCGGCGACCGAGCCTGCGAAGCTCATGTGAGTGCAATGCAGTATCAGATCTGGTAACAGCGCGAGCTAACAATTTCTACAGTGCGCAGAGAAGGGCCAAACCTTTGTATCCTGTGCTCCGTGAGTATTCGGCTGAGTCAGCTGGGATGTAGCTAACATTCGCTAGTGAGTGCAAGTGTTCCGGTTCCTTGGGCGATTCTCTGAGACGTCTTCTCAAGAGGAAGACTACATCATCTGCCAAGCCTACCACTGTCAAGGTGCAAGCTACGACTTCCAAGAAGCCCACTACCACTTCGAAGCCTGCTACTACATCCAAGAAGCCAACGACCACGTCTAAGCCAGCTACAACCTCGAAGCCCACTACCACTTCGAAGCCCGCTACTACTTCCAAGAAGCCTACTACCACTTCGAAGCCCGCTACTACTTCCAAGCCTGCTACTACATCCAAGAAGCCAACGACCACGTCTAAGCCTGCCACTACTTCCAAGCCTGCTACCACTTCCAAGCCTGCTACCACTTCCAAGCCAGCTACTACCTCGAAGCCTGCTACCACTTCCAAGCCTGCTACCACTTCAAAGCCTGCTACCACCTCAAAGCCTGCTACCACTTCAAAGCCTGCTACCACCTCAAAGCCTGCTACCACTTCCAAGCCAGCTACTACCTCGAAGCCTGCTACCACCTCAAAGCCTGCTACCACTTCAAAGCCTGCTACCACTTCAAAGCCTGCTACCACTTCAAAGCCAGCTACTACCTCGAAGCCTGCTACCACTTCAAAGCCTGCTACCACTTCAAAGCCTGCTACCACCTCAAAGCCAGCTACCACTTCCAAGCCTGCTACTACCTCAAAGCCTGCTACCACTTCAAAGCCTGCTACCACCTCAAAGCCTGCTACCACCTCAAAGCCTGCTACCACCTCAAAGCCTAGTACAACTTCCAAGGCTGAGACCACCACTTCCAAGGCTGCAACAACAACCTCCAAGGCTTCATCTAGCTCATCTTCCTCCAGTACTAGCTCCAAGGCTTCCACTTCTACCAGTGCCCCTGCTTCCACTAGCAAGGCTTCTACCTCCACCAGTGCCGCCGCTTCTACAAGTAAGGCTTCAACCAGCACAAGCTCAGCTGCAGCTTCTACTAGCACTAGCTCGACATCTTCTGCTGCCGCCTCCACTAGCTCTTCTGCTTCTTCCTCCGCTGCTGTCCCATCCAGTGCTGCATCCAGCCAGGCCACTGGCGAGCCCGCTGGTGGTGTCACAAGCTCCACTTCTGATGATGATGAGACCACTACTGTTATCTCCTCTACTTCTGCTGATCAGTCTTCTTCCGCTACCGATGTTGATGATGTTACCTCCACATCTGCTGAAGTTGATGAGACCACTACCTCTTCTGCCGCTGCTGATACTACCTCTGAGGCTAATGATGAGACTACCAGCACTACTGGCGAGGTTGATGAGACTACTACTTCTGCTGCTGATGAGGAGACTACCACTTCTGCTGCTGACGAGGAGACTACTACTTCTGCTGCTGACGAGGAGACTACCACTTCTGCTGCTGATGAGGAGACTACTACTTCTGCTGCTGACGAGGAGACTACTACTTCTGCTGCTGATGAGGAAACTACTACCTCTGCTGCTGATGAGGAGACCACTACCTCTGCTGCTGATGAGGAGACCACTACCTCTGCTGCTGATGAGGAGACCACTACCTCTGCTGCTGATAAGACTACCAGCACTACTGGCGAGGTTGATGAGACTACTACTTCTGCTGCTGACGAGGAGACTACCACTTCTGCTGCTGACGAGGAGACTACCACCTCTGCTGCTGATGAGGAGACTACCACCTCTGCTGCTGATGAGGAGACTACCACTTCTGCTGCTGATGAGGAGACTACTACTTCTGCTGCTGACGAGGAGACTACTACTTCTGCTGCTGATGAGGAGACCACTACCTCTGCTGCTGATGAGGAGACCACTACCTCTGCTGCTGATGAGGAGACCACTACCTCTGCTGCTGATAAGACTACCAGCACTACTGGCGAGGTTGATGGGACTACTACTTCTGCTGCTGATGAGGAGACTACCACTTCTGCTGCTGATGAGGAGACTACTACTTCTGCTGCTGACGAGGAGACTACCACTTCTGCTGCTGACGAGGAGACTACCACTTCTGCTGCTGACGAGGAGACCACCACGTCTGCTGCTGACGAGGAGACCACTACTTCTGATGTTGATGATGAAACCTCAACTTCTGCTGCTGGTGCTACTGATGTCGACGAGGAGACATCCACTGCCGCCGCTGCCACCACCTCAGAAGAGGTTGATGAGACCACTACTTCTGCAGCCGATGACGAGACTACTACCTCTGCTGCTGCCACGACCTCAGAAGAAGTTGATGAGTCGACCACTACCTCCGCCGCCGATGAGGAGACCACCACGTCTGCTGCCGACGAGGAGACCACTACTTCTGCTGTTGATGAGGAAACTACCACTTCCGCCGCCAGTGCCTCTACCACCTCGGATGCTGATGAGGAGACCTCAACCTCTGCCGCTGGCGCTACTACTTCTGATGTCGATGAGGATACGTCTACCTCAGCTGCCGCCGCTAGCACCACTGATGAGGTCGATGTGACTACCACTTCTGCTGCCGGTGCCTCTACCACTGATGAAGTTGATGAGACCACTACCTCTGCTGCTGCTGGCACCACCACTTCTGAGGGTGACGAAGAGACCACTTCAGCTGCCGCTGGTACTTCCACCTCGGTTGCGGATGACGAGACCTCCAGTGCTACTACTCTTGTCACCTTGACCAGGACTACCAGCGCCGCCGATGAGGAGTCATCCACTGCTACCTCTGAGGATCTCACTGGTAACCCTGCTGGAATCTCTACCACCTCTTCTGCTTTTGATGAGGAGTCCACCAGCGAGGCTGCTTCATCCACTGCTGCTGCTACCACTTCGTCCGTCGCTGATGAGGAATCATCTACCCAGGCCGCTTCTTCTACCTCGGTTGCTGATGATGAGACTACCAGTCAAGCTGCTTCATCCACCTCTGCTGCCGATGAGGAGTCCACTAGCCAGGCTGCCTCCAGCACTTCTGTTGCCGATGAGACTACTTCTTCCGCCGCTGAGTCCATTACTTCGGTCGCGGACGAGTCCACTAGCCAGGCCGCTAGCAGCACCTCTGCTGATGAGGAGTCCACCAGCGAGGCTGCTTCATCTACTGCCGCTGCTACCACTTCCTCTGTTGCTGATGAGGAGTCTTCAACTGAAGTTGCCTCCACCAGCTCTGCTGCTGAGAGCACTAGCCAAGCCGCTTCCTCCACATCGGTCGCTGATGAGGAGACTACCTCCAGCCAGGCTGCTTCTTCCACTTCTGCTGCCGATGAGACCAGCACTTCTGTCGCTGCTTCCACTTCCGCTGATGAGTCTACCTCTGCTGCTCAGTCTACTAGTGAAGCTGCTTCTTCCACGTCGGTTGCCGATGAGGAGTCTACCAGCCAGGCTGCTTCTTCTACCTCTGTTGCCGAGTCTAGCACTTCTGTCGTTGAGTCCACTAGCTCTGCTGATGCCTCGACTTCATCAACCGCAGATGAGGAGTCCACCAGCCAGGCTGCTTCTTCTACCTCTGTTGCCGAGTCTAGCACTTCTGTCGTTGAGTCCACTTCTGCTGCTGCGACAACCTCATCAGCTGCCGATGAGACAACTAGCCAAGTTGATTCATCCACCACTGAGCAGCTGACTGGTAACCCTGCTGGAATTTCTACCTCTTCATCTGCTGAGGAGTCTACCTCCGCTGCTGCCACTACCTCATCCTCTGTCGAGGAGTCTTCCAGTCAGCTCGCCAGTACCAGCTCTGCTGCTGTTGATGAGACAACAAGCCAGGATGCTACATCCACCTCCGCTGCCGCCTCTACCTCATCTGATGCTGAGACCTCTTCATCTGTGGCTGAGTCCAGCACCTCTGCCGCCGATGAGACTACTTCTTCTCAGGCTACTACACTGTCGACTGCTGTCCGATCTGATAGTACTTCTGCTGATGAGACCACTTCTTCCGCTGCTGCCTCCACTTCATCGACTGCTGAGGAGTCCTCCAGCCAGGCTGCTTCCAGCACCTCTGCCGCCGATGAGACTACTTCTTCCGCCGCTGAGTCTACCTCTGCTGCCGAGACCTCTTCCTCTGCTGCTGAGACTTCCTCCTCTGCTGCTGATGCTACATCTACTTCTGCTGCTGAGACTTCCAGCTCTGCTGCCGAGACCTCCAGCTCTGCTGCTGAGACCTCTTCTTCAGCTGCTGAGACTTCCTCCTCTGCCGCTGAAACCTCTTCCTCTGCTGCTGAGACCTCTAGCTCTGCTGCTGAAACCTCTTCTTCAGCTGCTGAGACTTCCTCCTCTGCCGCTGAAACCTCTTCTTCAGCTGCTGAGACTTCCTCCTCTGCTGCTGAGACCTCTTCCTCTGCTGCTGATGCTACATCTACCTCTGCTGCTGAGACCTCCAGCTCTGCCGCTGAAACCTCTTCTTCAGCTGCTGAGACTTCCTCCTCTGCCGCTGAAACCTCTTCTTCAGCTGCTGAGACTTCCTCCTCTGCTGCTGAGACCTCTTCCTCTGCTGCTGATGCTACATCTACCTCTGCTGCTGAGACCTCTAGCTCTGCTGCTGAAACCTCTTCTTCAGCTGCTGAGACTTCCTCCTCTGCCGCTGAAACCTCTTCCTCTGCTGCCGAGACCTCTTCCTCTGCTGCTGAGACTTCCTCCTCTGCCGCTGCCGAGACCTCTTCCTCTGCTGCTGATGCTACATCTACCTCTGCTGCTGAGGCCTCTTCTTCAGCTGCTGAGACTTCCTCCTCTGCCGCTGAGACCTCTTCCGCAGCTGAAACCTCTTCTTCAGCTGCTGAGACCTCTTCCGCAGCTGAAACCTCTACCTCTGCTGCTGAGACTTCCTCCTCTGCCGCTGAAACCTCTTCCTCTGCTGCTGAGACCTCCAGCTCTGCTGCCGAGACCTCCAGCTCTGCTGCCGAGACCTCTTCTTCAGCTGCTGAGACTTCCTCCTCTGCCGCTGAAACCTCTTCCTCTGCTGCTGAGACCTCTAGCTCTGCTGCTGAAACCTCTTCTTCAGCTGCTGAGACTTCCTCCTCTGCCGCTGAAACCTCTTCTTCAGCTGCTGAGACTTCCTCCTCTGCCGCTGAGACCTCTTCCTCTGCTACTGAGACTACCTCTGCCGCCTCCAGCACCTCAGAAGCTGATGCTACATCAACCTCTGCTGCTGACGAGACTACCAGCCAGCCCACGACCCTATCCACAGTGGTGCGAACCGAGTCGGATACCTCAACATCTGAGGCTGCAAGCACCACTACTGCCGATGGTTAGTAGATCTAGACGATGGGGTCTGAGACGCGATGTCTTGACGCGATTGCGCGTAGCGATGGTGACGGGTCTATAAAGAGACCAACCTAATATACACGATATACTATTAGAGACTGTGATATGGTTTAGATTAGCTTGAATCTCATTACTGTGTACTCATTCATTTACTCGACTCAATTGGTGACTTGGAGAACTTGTCCACTGTCATGTGAAGACGCAGTGAAGGGGATTGAACTTTATCGACTGGACTCGTACTTCCACCAATCAAGAGCTCGGCAATCGACGCGTCTTTAATTCCCATTCATCCATTCCAGCTTCACTAGCATCGGACAAAGCGACTTGCAACCAAATGAAAGAGTCGTCATAGTCAAAGTCTTTTTAAGTAGTATCAGAAAATTTCCCCCTTTATTGATCATAGATTCAGAATAAAAACCTCTTCCAATTCGAAAACCAAAGAGAGCGTGCATTCTCCATCGCGACCCACTCTGGCGGTCGCGTCAAGTCTCATACCCTGGACCTGAGTCTCAGACGATAAGTTGAGTTGGAGATGCATGACAATACCACTTCACCCAAGGTAAATAATAAGAAAAGTATATAAGTACCGGCTCGTAAATATCTAGTATGTTAGATGATATGGAAAACCTCGGTGGCAAGCCAAAGTTGAGGGAAATGCATCCTGTTTGTCATTACTGTAGCGACTTGCTTGTTTGGCTAAGTTCATCGTATGCAGAGGCCTTGTTATCGAACAACAAGTAAGTTCTCGTTGCTGGCTTTAAGGTGATCGCAAACCCTTATCTGTTACGTCTGATCGAGTCTTCGTATCTAATCGGCTAAGACTCGGCTAACCACGATCACACACTCGGAGTTTCTTGATCGGATTACACAAGTCTTCCAAATGCCCATGACATACCCTGCCTGGATCATTCCTTTAGGCTAGACACATTCGATCATTCCACCGAGAAGCTGCCGAAGTCATTTAGATCTCACAGCAGTTTACTTATTCCTTTATTCATTTTCACAAGCAAACCTATTGCCTTATCCACTAAACCTTACTTGGACACCGTTGCTCGTTCCGCCAAGCGTCTGCACAAAACGCCCAACTGCGGCTTCCGCACCAACGACAACGTCAATTCCTTTGATCAAACCTGGTCTGGTGGTCTAGTGGTATGATTCTCGCTTAGGGAAAACCCTATAGCTTAGCTTGCGAGAGGTCCCGGGTTCAATCCCCGGCCAGACCCGTCTCTTTTATCTCTTTTTGCTCTATTTTATCTATCATTATGTTGGAGTGGTTTGGGCTGCATCTCTTTTGCAGTGGCTTTGCTTTCAACGACGCGGGGTTCTGTCACATTTCATGCCAAATTAGGCAAAGATCTACGACAGACACCGCGGCGCGTCGTGTTCGTGGCTCCACCACGTATGTGTATTTCCACCCACGCCCATGAAAACGCAAGGTCAAAACGCATTCTATCAAATGATAATCCCCAGAACTGGATTAAATCGCACTGAACAATGTACAAGCCAAGTTCGATGCGACCTTTATGCTGGGGCGTTGGCGTCTGCTGATCTGTCGATAACGGCCAAAGTCCGCGGAAGGTCGCCGTGATGAACAGCCTCTGCTCCAACCTCATTGGCGCCTCTGAGACGAATTTAATTCTAGGTTTATCCGCTATCTTACAGATGCGAGACCATTCATTGGTGATGTGCCGGGCATTCTCGGCGGTGCCTCTTGGTCATACAAGTGAGAGGCAACCCCATGGGGAACATAACGCGAGAACGCTCAGTTACCCCACGGACTAACGAGAAGACTCTCTGAGTGAGTAGTTCTCCATTTAAGTAATAGTAAGTGCAAAACCGATCCCTGTGAGTCGCCAGGTCTGTGGGTTAGATATATATCGCGACCTAAACCACCTTGGCTCCCCCAGCGGTGTTCTCAGCAGCCCACCTTGACTTCTTCTTCATCTTACCATGAAAGTGTCATTCCCGCTAATTCTCTCACTATTTCAGCACACTACCATCGCCGAAGCAGTAGCCATGAATCCTCCTTCACCGCCTCTATCAATTGCCAAAAGGGCAGCCAACATCTCATGCGGCGCTGACCCACGAATGCCCCCCGGCGCTTGGGATTCACATCTTCACATCATGGATCCCGTGCGTTACCCTCCAGTCGAAGACATTCCATACAAGCCCGCTGTTCACAACCTCTGGGAGAATGTAATCTTTGAGAATAGAATTGGCTGCGATCATGTCTTCTTCGTTCAGACTGCAACACATGGATATGATTTGACTCTCATGCTGGACTCTTTGCGTGCGGTAGGAAACGAACGGTCGCTGGGTCTTGCGCTGTTTGACCCAAATACCACGTCGCATGAGCATATTCGCAGATGGGGTAGCGAGGGTGTTCGCGCCGTACGAGTCAATCTCGTGACGCATGGTGATGACACGCCAAATGATGAGCTGAAGAGCCAGATCAAGAAGTATGTCGACCTCATCAAACCTTTTGATTGGGTTCTTCAGCTGTACACCAAGATGGAGCGCATTACCGAATTGGAAGATTTCTTGCCCACTCTCGGCGTGCGGGTTGTCTTTGATCACTATGGCGACCCAACTCTTCCTAAATCATCGGGTCCCGTGAACCCCTACGACATTAAGGGCTTCCAATCTTTGATCCGCCTTTTGAAGACAGGGACAACATGGGTCAAGATCTCTGGCGCATACCGCCTCAGCCATGTTGATTCTGATATCTGGGAGGATCTTGACCCTGTCACGTTGGAGCTCTTTGAGCAAGCTCCAAAGCGAGTTGTCTTCGGGTCGGATTGGCCTCATACCCGATTCGAAGGTTTAGATGTTAAGCACTGGGTGTCTCATCTACTGGATTTGACCGAAGGAAAGCAATGGCTGCGAGAGAGACTCTTCAGAGATAATGCTTTGGAGCTTTGGGGAGTGAATAAGACGCAGAGTACTTGCAATGGAGACAGATGATGCATAGAAGGATCAGGAATTAGCTTATGAGGCTGCTCACCATAATAAAACGAACTTTACAAGTATAGAGACAATTGATTTGATCAATTATGAACATCTCGTCCTCCAGCCGCGGTCAAGTGTGATGCTTCCATACCATTCTACTGTTTCTTGTCATTCAGTGTGATGAATTACAAGAACACGAGAAGATATCGTGCCACAATCTGAAGTCTATTTCGTAGAACGATTTACATAGTGTTCGAACCACTGACCGACATGAGTACTGCATTCGAGGCTGTTCCCATATTGTGCCCACGGGATCTGGCCGTGGAACATCACCGGGAGGAACTGACACTGCTAGCAATAGTACAGAAACATAGAGCAGGGAATTTCTCGCCTGTAAATTCTTTTCAAACGTAGTTTAAATGTGATCTGCAGCTTGCCAAAGTGGGCAGTTCCAATACCGCAGCACCTCCGCTCTGTCGACGCCCCGAAAGCGCCTACTTCACCAGCCATGTTCTCACCAAGAGGCATCACATCCATGCTTGCCAAGACATCCGGCGACGTCGTCATTATATCCTCATGTCGTACACCAATATGTCGTGCAAATCGAGGATCTCTTAAAGACGCATTCCCTGAAGAGCTTCTTCCCTCCGTGTTCAAAGCAATCATCGACAGAGTACCCAATCTCGACCCGTCTATCATAGAGGATGTCGCGGTCGGTGTAGTACTTTCTGAGCTAGGAGGCTCTAAAGCTGCGCGTATGGCTATAAATCATGTCGGCTACCCAAACAGACGTCTCTCTATACTGTCAATCGCGCAACATCTTCGTCCCTGCAGGCAATCTCATCCATCGCTTCCCAGATTCGAACAGGGGTGATCTCAGTGGGGGTTGGCGCGGGAATGGAAAGCATGACAAGGAACTATGGGAGTCGAGCTATACCCGTTGACCTCTGGCCAGGTCTGAGAGAATCTCCTGTTAAAGATGCCTTGGACTGCATTCTTCTTATGGGCATCACCTCCGAGAACGTTGCAGACCGATACGGCATCTCACGAGACGATCAAGATGTTTTTGCAGTCAACAGTCACTTAAAGGCGGCAGAAGCACAGGCATTTGGACTTTTCTCGGATGAGATTGTCCCCTTTATGCAGAAGGATCCTGACGGACCAGGAGATATCGTCGTCGATACAGATGATGGCATCCGACCTCAAGCGAGCTTGGAAAACTTAGCAAAGTTGAAGCCGGCCTTTAAAGAAAACGGTACCTCCACCGCTGGTAATTCCCCTCAAGTCTCAGACGGCGCTGCCGCATCGCTTCTTATGAGACGCAGTACTGCAAATGAACTTGAATTGAGTAGTAATATCATGGGCAAGTTTGTTTCTGCAGTCACAGTAAGCTGTCCACCGGACGAGATGGGAGTCGGACCGGCAATTGCGATCCCCAAGTTGCTTGATAGCACTGGTTTCACAAAGGATGATATTCACAGATGGGAGATCAATGAGGCTTTCGCGAGCCAGGCAATCTATTGCTTGAGAAAACTAGATCTCGAAAAGGCATACCAGGATAATAAGGTCAACCCGAACGGAGGTGCCATTGCTCTGGGGCATCCGTTGGGTGCTACTGGTGCAAGGCTGACCAGCACGTTACTACACGGCTTGGGACGTCCCAATGGTGGTGAGCTGGGGGTTGTGAGTATGTGTGTTGGAACTGGTATGGGTATGGCAGGATTGTTTGTACGAGAATGATTAGCACCTGGAAAATAAACAAATGAACTTGAATGGAAACTTGCCACATGCAACCCGGTACAGAATTGCCATCACAATAGTATAACTGGCAAATGATAGCCCGTACTGGACCATTGGCTCTCGGTGTTGAGGATTGAGAATGTTGAACTCGGCATTAACTGTGTTCCTCGGCAAGACCCCCAGTTCCCAACTCATTGGTCAATGGATCTTGGCGCTCAAGGAAACAGAGTTTCTACACCAATGTAACTTCGCGTTGTCGCCCAGCCTGCCTAGGCCGTAGAGTAACATCAATGGCGCCGCGGGCAAGTCCCGCGCTCAGTGCCCGACACCACCAGGCACCCTGTAATGAGCCCTGACTCAAGGAAAAACTCACAAAATTTAGCGGGGATACACACTATAACCCCAGGCCAAAAACGCGGGGAAAGCTCCAAGATCGGCAATGAGAGAACGAGCTTGATGCCCCACGATCTGGGGTAGCAACATGCTTAAAAGTATATAAGTCAGACCAACGAGCATTACTGAGAGGAATATCAAGCACGACAGCACTTGAGTTGTATCGGAAGCATAGTATTTGTTCAGAATCTCTCCATCATGCCTGCCGTTGAGTTCGCCAACTCCTACGGGAGCTCGATGCACCATCTCGTGTCAGGCTCTTACACTAACAAGACGCTCTTCCTGCTTGCCTTTGACACCATTGCTAAGACCTTGACTCTGAACGCTACTGTTCCTGGTTTTGGTCTTCATCAATTTGTCACAAGTAATGCTGCCAAAAACCGCGTCTATGCAACTGCCATGAGCGAGCCTCCACAGCTATTCTCGTGGTCGGTTGGTGAGAACTACCAGTTTACTCATCTCGACACGGTGAACATTAGTAGGTTCAACCTTCTACATAAGCTCAAGGCGTGATTGCTGATTGCTTCAAGCTTCTTCGTCTTGCTACTTCTCAGACGATGGTAACCTGGCTTTCTCTTCTGGAGGCTCAACTGCTGCTATCCACGGCCTGACAGATAATGGTGCCATCGGTGAACAGGTTCAGGAGCTCTATATGGTACCGGAGGAAGAGATTAAGAACGTGAACAAGACAAGAGCGGCTGTGGTCAGTTAAGATAACACTTTCATCCCATATGCTAGTGTTAACGGTTATCCAAGCTCTATGGCGCTCACGCCTTTGACATCAACGTCAACCGAAAGGGCTTTGTCCCTCACCTGTAGGTGCGCAGCCCCCTGTTACATATGATATAACTGACTTCAATAGGGGCATGAACTCCATTTTTATGTATGACATTGCGGAAAACGGTACTGCTACGCCTCTGTCGATCAATCTTAGTCCTACTGAAGGCGATGGACCTCGAAACTCCTATTCTAGCAAGGATGGAAAGCTCCTCTATGTGGTAAGTCATTTTGAGGATGAGAATAAGATGTAATAATGAAGACTAACTATGTTTGTTAGATGACTGAACACAGTAAGAGCAAATGAACTCAGCACCATGAAACCTCTCACTAACCCTCATAGACCAATGGATGGATGTCTATAGAGTACATGACACCCGTCTCGAGCATGTCCAGAGAGCAAGTGCTATTCCTGATGGTGAGTCAATCCATCGAGACCTCAGTCCGCAAATGTCTCTAACAATTACAGATGTACGAGGCGTCTATACTTTCCGCAGCAACACTGTCCAAATGTCCCGCGACGGCAAGTATCTCTTCACCAGTACCCGCAGCTGGAACAACCCCGAAGCAAATGGCTACGTTGCAGCATTCGCCCTCAACAATGACGGACTTCTGAAGAGTGACAAGGCTGTGGCTTTCTACGAGGCACCTGTTACTCTTGGTTCTGCTGGCGGTCTGCGAGTTGCTCCTTGGCAAGACGAGACTAACAGTGACCCCAACGGTATTACCGATTACATGTATCTTAGTGATACTTCAGAGGGTTGGATGTTCATTCTTGGTTGGACCCCTTCGAATCATACTCTTGATGTTGTGGCTTCGCTGCATTATCCTGACAACAGCACGCCTTATGAGGCAACTTGGCTTGATTAGAGTTATGAAGCCTAGAGATGGGCGGGAGCGTTGGTGCACAGATATGCATGACTTAATTTGCTATAGGTCTCTTTGATAGAGCCATTACAGTTCCTATTTCATGAAATAGAACTTACCGGGTTACCGTGGATGCACTGGTCGATTTGTGATAGATGACATGTGGCAATTAGGGTTGAATGGTGTTCCGTGCCTCAAATGAAGAGCATCAAGTCTCTCTTTCTTCTTCTTCTTACATGTGGTCTGTGACATTGATGCACATCTATGGGTGAAGATATAAACAAATGGAGATCTAGATACTCATGTGCAATTTTACCTGCTCTTCCGATAGAATTGCTCATAATTCACACAGGCTTTCCACTCATAAGGAGGAGGGAACAACAGGCCAATGACCTACTGATAACCTGGAGCTGCTGGTGTCTTTATCCACGTCCATCACATAACCTCCGGCCATTCACTAACTGGCCATTCATTATCTACTTTCCTAAATGCAATTATTCCCATTATCTAGGTACTTGTCTATAGCTACTTCGGTAGTGGTGCTGGAACAGTATTGTTTCTTTCCCCGACTGCCGTACGCGTTAGTTGGAGCTGGCAGTGGATGAAGTCGATGTAAACTAAAGACTCAGATGACTTACCATCTAATGCTACAAGAAAACGGCTGACACAGTTATAGCATGCAACCTGCAAAGTCTCATCAGTTTCCTCACGAATAGAGTTACTTTACCAGAATATACTTACCGTTGCGACAACCTCAACAACCTCTTGGTCAGTGGCTAGGGATTTGAGCCAATCGAATGTCTCATCTTTCACCTGAACATTCCTCGTCATCTCATCAGCAATTACACAAGCAGCCCACTGCTTCTCATTAAAACCCTCTGGCTTATCACTCTTCAATAAAGTCCCCTCCTTCATAATCTCATTCATTGACTCCGACGACACACCGCTGTTGACAGCCAAAGGAGCATGGTGCATCCACTCATACCAAGCTCTGTTCACAACGGCGATGCGACAGATGGCAAGTTCTCGTAGATCATCGGCCAATGACGCCTTTGTGCGGATGGCGCCGACAAAAGTGTTCCAGCCAGCGGCGACGTGAGGGGAATGCAGTAGTGCCAAATCGAGGGGTTGAATGGGGCGGGGATGACGGCGGGCCGCAATTGCAGCGACGATTGCTTCTTCTTCTGGGGAAGATGTTGGAGGAGGATTAGGGATGTAAGGGACTCTCATTGTGATTATTACCCTGAAGATTTGGCATGTTGATTGCTAACAGGTAGAACTACGAGAATTCTACCATAACTGATATAAGTTATAATTCGTCCCCATCACCATCAATTGATTAACTACAGCCCTTCATTTCCCTGCCCGCATTGCCCGCACACTCCGCGGTAACTCGCCGCGGAGATTGCCCGAGCCAATCATGCTCATCATCCATGTCAGTAGTTTCGTCAAGTTCAGACTGATGACAATCCCCCAGCTTTCGGATTTTCACCGTGAGCCAATTCTTTACTTTCCTCTACGTGATCCAAGCTTATCAGAAGATCTGTTGTTATCTCTTTCCCCTGGAAACAATGGAGACCAATGACGAACAAGGACAGGGACGGAGCTCCGCTCGCTCCAAGAAACAGCGTCTGTCTCGAAAGTATCGAGGTTTGACTTGTGCCAATTGTCGCGCCAAGAAGGTCACGATCTTCCTCTGCTGTTCATTGTTTATTGAGTGTTGGTTATTGCTGCGCTTGCTGACTTCTTTGATGATATAGGTTCGATGCGAAGGGAGTCAACCAACCTGTAAAACATGCGAAGTCTACCATGTCGAATGTCGCTATGACAAACCACCACCGCTGTCTCAGGTTGTCGCCATGGCGCGCAAGTTGCAAGAGGCAGAGGAGACGATTGAACGCCTTCAAGGTGGCGAAAACTCCATGAACTATCAGATTATGGGAGCATCCGTTGCCGAGAGTGCAGCCCCGGCTTCAAGCTCATTCGGCGCTGAAGACGTGTCAACACGAGTACCGCCACCATCAGGACACAGCACAGAACCCGTCGTGCTAGAAACATCACCTGCAACGCATCAAAGCCGCCTTCAAGATCCCCCCCGACCAACTGCAGCCATCGACGGTACATCGCAAGACGCTTTGGCCATAGATCTCAGCGTGGATGAACACGGCAAAATATGCTATTACGGTCCAACATCTGCTGTCCATGAACCATTGGGTCTCGCATCGCCATCTACAAACTCTATGAGTCGCGGTGATGGATCTAAGAGGACTGACGTTCGGGCCTATCTGGTATCACGGGCTCGGGAATCGACCATCTGGGAGGAATTTGCCCTTGGAAATGCATCACTTCAACTTGGATTACCGCGACAGGTTATGGCCAAGCTTCTCCATCTGCACTGGACCTGGGTTGCTCCGATGTTCATGTGGGTGTATAGGCCTGCATTCATGCGTACGTATCTTCCACTACTACGCGACCCATATCTTGACTAACTCCTCTGGCGCTTAGGTGACATGACGACCGGCGGGCGGTACTATTCCGAGCTTCTCCTCCTAGTACTATGTGCTCATGCCTCGAAATACTACGACAGTAACCACGCGCAACTACTCTTCTCCCGTGTTCGATTCCTGCTCGGCGACGAGATACAAAAACCTAGCTCAATACCCACCATCCAAGCTCTCTTGCAGCTGAGCGCTCGGGAATTGGCTCAAGGAGCAATCTCGCAGGCGTGGCTCTATAGTGGGATGGCCTTCAGAATGTCGGCCGACCTTGGATTGCAACATAATGGACCCGATATTGCGGATCTCAAGGGATTAGATCCAGTGGACTTGGAGATCCGAAAGAGGCTATTTTGGAGCTGCTATTTCTGGGACAAGTGAGCGACTCATATCAAGAATGGCGCATAATCTTTACTTACATGGACCTGTAGAGCAATCAGTCTTTATACAGGGAGACTTCCAGCAGTTACCGAGCTACCGCAAAGCCCCATTGACTTCAGTAAGCGCCCGCAATTGGATAGTACCTTCACACCCTAACGCTATATCCAGTGGATGATTCGGCAGAGTCTGATGTATGGTCACCATACTACGAAGACACCTCCCCTCTTACTCGACTAGCACCAAGCCAATATCCCGTAATGAAGAGTCACGCTGTATCATGCTTTGCAAATTCGTGTAAACTATCTGTCATCATCAACGATATCATAGTACAGCTCTACTCAAAGCGAAGTAGGGCCATCACTGAGTCGTCGCTGAACGATATCAAGGCACGTTTGGAGACATGGCGGGCTGAGTCACCGGTACATCTGCGTTATGACCCGGAGTATCTCCCAACGATATGTCCGCCTCCTCATATAATCTCCCAGAAGTAGGTTTGTAATTGTGCCATGAAAGACGCACCGCTGACAGAAACAGTCTACTATACTTCACAACTGTTATTCTCGCCCATCGCCCATTCTGGTCCGCCCCAGCTTACTACCAGGTCTGCATGAGTGCGGCACTAAGCATGGAGAAACTTCTCTTAATGCTCGAATCAACATTCGGCTTTGAGAACATCACGTACCTGATGGGCTACTGCATCTACACCGGCGCTTCAGCCGTTCTCGAAGATGCAAAAAACAACGATGGTGCAACGCATCCCACTATGCAGACCTTCCTCAGAGCCCTCAACCGCGGCATGGCAAAATGTCCGCTTCTTGAGCGCAGCCTGCACATCATCATCAAAGGCCTGAAGCGAACACCTGTTCAACGGCCAGCACCGGATCAATCGTTGTCCGATAACACGGTCACAGCTACCATGAACAGCTATATCCCGGCCTTCCCGTATCTTGACCCCGTAAGCCCGAATGACTTTGACATGGATGCGTACCTAAATAGCATGAGTATGGATGCGATGGCATCTTTGGATTGTTACCCAGAGCTACAGATTGATCTTGATGAAATGATGAGACATGCACCGGCATAGGTTTTGTCCTGTCTTGGTTATCCCTCTTGAAGGCTCTAGTATATACACTGATCTTAATGAAGGGGAGTCTGTAATGCTTTGAACGAGGGATGTGATCTTTCAGGGCTGGATAGGTCAGGGCGTGTGTTGTCAAAGGTGCTAGGGTCCAAGCTGGTATAGGTGCTGATAGTCTATCGTAGGTGACTTGAATAAAAGACGTCTTGTATTCTAGGGTGGTATAATTTATAGTCATGCTTTTAACAGTATTTAGTTATCGTACAGGTTAGTTCTGAATACCAGTGTTTGCTTCAGCTAGTGTATCAGCCTTGAGAGCTGGTCTATCGGCTTTTCCGGCAGTAGTCTGTGGCAACATGTTAGCAGATATTCAGGTTGTTGTATAAAGAATGGTACTTACGCCTCCATCGACAGGCATGATCAGACCTGTGATCCAGCCAGCCTCCTTGCTAGCCAAGAACAAGATAGCTACACAACATTAGTCCAAGTGGCGAGGACACAAGCATTTGAGTTGACTTACCATAGCCAACGTCCCAGCCTGTCCCCTCCTTCTTCATCAAGTTCTGGTTAATTCTAGCTTGTCTCATCTCATCCGTCATTCCGCGTCCTCTTGTCATAGGAGTATACACCATGCCTGGTGCGACGCAATTGACGCGGATGTTCTCACGACCGTGATGAGCCGCCATGGCACGTGTCATTTGGATGATGGCACCCTTGGTGGTAGGGTACAGCAAACTGGGGTTACCACCGAGCACTAGAAAACGTCTCATTAGTTTGGCTAGGTTGAAGATAGGCTGAGGATACTTACAACCACTAACAGATGACATGTTGACGATAGATCCACGGCCCTGCTTCCTCATTTCAGGAATGGCATATCGGCTCATCATGACCATACTTGTGACATTGATGCGAAAGTCTCTGTCCCAAGCATCGAGGTTGATTGTTGTGGCATCGCCCATTGCACCGCCAACACCAACTACGTTTGCCTGTCAGTTCATGTCTCTCACTGTAATTGCGCATGCCATTTAACCTACCGATATTGACAAGGATGTGAAGAGCCCCCCATAGTTCGACAGTCTTGTCGATAGCATTCTTGCACGACTCCTCACTTGTCACGTCGGCCTGAATCACCTCTGACATACCACCCTCCTCATTAATCATACGCTTGGTCTCCTTAGCCCAGTCCAAGTTGAAGTCTACAAGAGCGACCTTGGCCCCATGGCGTGCAAGGAGGATGGCAGCCGCACGACCATTGCCAATCTCGCCTTTACCAGGGGTTAGTGTAAGGGGAACAATGTTTGGGGTGCACCATGAACTCACCATCCATGCGGGAGCCTGCACCCGTGACGATTGCCACATCTCCGGTGAAATCGAAAGCTCGAGGGGGTGTCATTGCGAGAATAAGTGAGTTTGATGAGGTTGTTTTGACAAGATATTGACTTTTACTGTTTGTTTTTTTGATGATAACTCAATATTAAAACGAGTTCATATACCTCATGAGATCAAGCATCACAGAATAAATATTCCTCACTATTCGGCCAAATAATGAGAGATCGTCGCTCACCGCGGTCAATTGCCACTTTCAACTCGCCCAGCTTCCGGGCACTCGGCGCGGGCAGTCGCCGAACACCCTGTTGTCTGAACTATTGACTGCACCGTCACGAGAGCCATAGCATGCGGGGGAAATGATGGGGAAACTCAAACTCGGGTTTCCCCCGGAATCTCATCCCGTCAATTGAGATCACCTCAATTCTATACTTGCCAAGTTTGTCAGCTGTGCGGCTCTTGATGGCTTGCACTACAAAAGTTGGATCCTTGGTCTTAGGGTATGAGGATGCTGGATCATTTCGTTCTTTTGCTCCGCGTTACAGGGCCTTAACTCGCCAATATGCCGGTCGGTGGAACCTATGCAACAGGCCAATCTGTTTCAATTACAATCACTATAGCTGCTACTCGCCAAAGGCCCTACCAGCTCCACTGCGCGAAAGAAGTGAAACCCGTTATGCAGTGACGGGGAACTGTTTTGATGTACCATGTTGATCAAGAGCTTTGATGCAGAAGAGATCACATAAATCTCGGTTGCCATTTGTGAGTAATATACGGAAGTCATTGTCGACAGGAATCTAGTTTATAATCTATTATTTGTCTACTTATCCGATAACACCTGTTGTGACAACCAGTAATCGAACCATGCCACGATACCGGCCAGACTCTGTTCCTTTACCCATCCTATATCGTGTCAGTAGGCCCCAATACGTCGCCCAAAACATGGAACTTACGTTGGTAGGGATTTTTAGGATCACCTCTCAGAGCAAATCCGTGCTCAACACCAGAGAATACTTGATAGTGAAAGACCTTCTTGTTGGTCTGTAGGATATCCAACGCTCGACGTCGAGATGGCACATCAAACGTATGATCGACTTCTGAGCATGAGAGGAATAGAGGCTCTGTGAAAGTTTAGTAAGCTTAAGCAAAGAACGGAGAAATAGAAACTTACTCTTAAGGTCTGTAAAGTGATGTTCCTTAAGGAACGCTGGGTGAGCAAAAGCTCCAACTGTCACCGTATCGCCTTTCAGCTCATTGCACACATACGGCGCTCCGAAGCAGTACCCAACACAAGCAAACTTTGTTGTGTTCGTTCCATAGCTGTTCTTAACGGCAGCGACCCATTTTGGAACAGTAACATCTGCAAAGGCAGTGTGCTTGCGCTTCCAGGCTTCGTAGTCAAAGTCAGGATTTTGGGTATGGCGGTCTTTCCGATGCTTCCAAACGGGGTCCTGCAACATCGTTAGTCTCCGATCTAAACATCCCATGCAGGCCTGACCTTACCCCACGGAAGTAGTCGAGCCCCAGGACTAGATAGCCTGCATCCGCAAAGGCATCCATGACTAATAGCCCGTTGGGGAACATGCCCCATACATCTGGAAAGTACAGTAGAATGTTCCCATTTGCTTTTTCGGGTGCTGGTTTTGAGATATATGTTTCGACATCTGCAATGGTTTCCCAGGTGCCTCTTGACTCGCCCTCGTGGATGGTGCCTTTCAGACAGCAACTACCACTTGGCTTAGCAAGGTATGGCTCACTGGTAGATTGCTGTGAAGATGATTGACCCATAATGTGATAAACTGATAGTGTAAAAGAATGTAATGAGTATTGCAAGAGAAAAGGTGTAGTTATTCTTGCCAAGGTTGTCTCCGGTATCGTATGAGTTGCTGGCTGGAAACTAAACAACCCCGTGTTTAATTAATGCCAGTGGCGTAGTGGCGTTCTGTACACCAGCCGTCGGTTTGCATCCGCGGAAACTCGCCGTGGGGATATTCCAGCAGTTCACCGATGATGTTCAATTGGCCAATGCCATGCGGAGTCGAACCAGGCCCCATGGGGTAAAGGCGGAGAAGTTACAGGCTACCCCAGATTGTGCAGATTTCTTTCTTACTATGTGACCATGCACTTGTTAAATACTACCCCAGCTTCCCCTTGTCCAAGCTCAGTCTTCAATTCAGTCTTTTTTCCATCCTCTCTTGACTTGACTTAAACAACAAGACTATCAGCAACAATGTCGGACACACCTAAGCCTATCGTTGAATTACCTCCGAGTGTCGAGGCTATTGAGGACTCGGATCTCAAGGGCGGTCGTAACGAGATGGATGTTCATGACCGAGAGAACGCTGTTGGTTATAACGAGTACCTCGAGGCTCGCGACATTGAGTTCTCAGATGCTGAAGTACGCTGAAAACTATCAGGATACAGTGCTAGTTCCGTTCACACGATTACAGGCCAAGAAACTCCGATGGAAACTCGATCTTGTTATCCTCCCTATGTTCCTCGTCACCCAAGCGCTTCAATTCATGGATAAGACCTCTCTCAACTATGCCAACCTCTTCGGATATCAGGAGGCTCTGGGCCTCAAGGGTAACCAATTTAACTACCTCTCCGCAAGTCAGTATTCCTCGACCTACTCTCTCACCTTCGATTGCTAATACCGGAATACAGTGGTCTATGCTGGTTACTTCTTTGGGCAATACCCTTGTGGATGGCTCATAGGTCGCTTTCCCGCTCAAAAGGTCATGGCTACCAGTGTCTTCCTATGGGGTCTGATGGTCATCATCATGACTCAGAGCCGCGACTACTCAAGTGCTTTAGCTGTGCGATTTATCATGGGTGTCTTTGAGGCTGCTGTTACACCTGGTTTGACTCTTATGACTGGTTTCTGGTATACCCGACGAGAGATCCCTCTCCGCCAGTGTATCTGGTACTCATCCCTTGGTTGGGGCGGCATTGTAGGTTTCACCCAGTAATCGTATCTCCTGACAGGCGATACTAACATTCATCTTTCTTAGGTTGGCTCCTACATCTCTATGGGTGTCTCCAAGCTCCCCGTTGACCTTAAGCCTGAGCGCTGGGAGCTCATCTTCTACATCGCACGTCTCCCTTAGTCAATTACCTGTATGTCATGGCTAACCCGTCTTGCAGCTGGGCGGTGCCACTTGTCTCTGGGCCTTCGTCATCTGGTTCCTTCTCCCTGATTCGCCTTCTAACGCACGATTCCTCAACCACCGCGAGCGTCTGATTGCAGTGAAGAGAGTCGCATCCAATGAAACGGGTATCAAGAACAAGGCTTTCGACAAGGATCAGGTGGTCCTTGGTTTCACTGATCCTAAGACTCTGCTCCTCTTTACCTCAGTCTTTGCTGCGTATGTCAAATCAACTTTATGACGAAGGAATGTCCTTTTGCTAATGTGCCGATTCACAGCGCCATCCCCAATGGTGTCGTCAACTCCTTCTCGACCATCATTATCCGTGACATGGGATTCAGCACTACCAGAACCACGCAATTGAAGTCCGTTGGAGATGCTGTCCAGATTATCGGCTTGATCATCGGTGGAAGCATCATTCTCAACGTTCCCAACTGTTTGTTGAACCCTCTATAAACGGCATCTAACTAGTCAGCTAACAATAACCAGCTCGTCTGCTTACTGCTACGGTTGCCAATATGCTTTGCACAATCTCCGCCGCATGCATGGCTTATCTCCCTCGCGACAACACTTGGGGACGACTTGTGTGCTTCTGGCTGGTCAACACCCAGTCTGTTGGCTTCACTGTGTCATTGACCACCATTTCCTCCAACATGGCTGGTTACACTCATCGATCTCTGGCTAGTGCTCTGGTCTTGTAAGTCTCTCATCAGTGAACCTTTGAGGCCTGACTAACGTCTTATGTCAGTACTGCTTACTGCTGGGGTAACTTTGCCGGCCCCTTCGTCGTGAAGAAGTCTGAGGCCCCCCACTTCACTGGTGCCACTATTGGACTTCTCGTTGGCTACGCTATCAAGTTCTGTTGCCACCTTGGTCTTCTTGGTAAGTTTCCTGGCGGTCGAGCATGCGAATTACAGCTAACCTCCTGTCTTCAGTTTACATGTACCTCATCAACAGACACCGTAACAAGACCTACGGCCCCCCCAACAAGGAGCGCAGTAACGAGGCTGGTATGCGGGATCAGACCGAATTCGAGAACAAGGACTTCCGATATGTCCTGTAATACTGTATCTGCTCATCCTAATAAGAGTAAGAGCCAGGCCTTGGTAGATAGTTATATAGGAAAATGGAGGCACCATACGCCAATTATGTTTTACCTAGTATTTTATGTTTTGTTCGTGTCTTTGATCCTAGGTTTTGAAGATAGCCTCATGTAATATATCGGTGAGATAGATCAAGGCACGCCATCAAAGATGACAACTTGTGTCTTTTACGTCTCAAGTAAGCACAGAGACATTGCCTGATATGCATTTTGCTTCGTGGCTTCGCCAGATCCATCCTTGCCCGATTTACCCATTTCATTACTATTCTCTGCTCTTCATTCTTCCCCCGTCTCAATCGTAGCCATGGTATGCTAGAGGACTTCAATTACCGTGGTGTCGTCTTAAAACGCCAGACCAAGCCGGTGGAGGGCTGAGTGACCGGAAAGCTCTTGAATGCTGCCTACCAAGCTGCCACATGTGGTTCACATTTCTTGACACCAATTCTCTCTAGTAGAACCATTATCACAATTGAGAAGATGTGAGTGAGCGGTAAGCCATGAGTTCTGTTAGCAATACCAAGTGGACCAAATACGACGAGGTTCTTTCAAGGATCTTGGCTGGTTATGACATATAATATGTCTGCCCCTTCTAAAACCTTGAACCATGCCCAGGCTTGGCTATCGTTTTTGCGATGTTCCGAAAAGATGAACTCGGAGATGGTGCGAATGCTACGTTGTAAAGCAGGTCTTCCTGGACGAGGCGTTATTTCTGATGGGTTATGGAGATTCATCTCCTCGAGACATCAGATTAGTCTAGCAAAAAAGCTCAACTGGCTAGTCTAACCTACAAATATATATGGACTGGAACATTACAGAGTCAGAGTCTCAGTGACACGAAAGGCTGTAACAAGTTGTCATATATCCTCTGCTTATCTACTCATTGACTGTTTATCATTAATAGAGGCTTCGATACACTTCGGTGCCCAAACCCTTCTTACTTCTTGAACTGCCGAGCAATCTGACCAACATCTGTCACGTTGGCGATACCAGCAAAAGCCTTCAAAGCCTTCTTCGCCCTATCCTCTCCGATCAGGTTACCAACATGGTCCAAGAACTTGGTATGAAGGAACTTCTCATCAAGAGGATTCTCATAGCTGCCAATCGTGTGCTCAACATGAACCTCGAACTTCTTTCCATTCTCAAATTCAACAGCAACAAACGCCTCATGTTCACTGACCTTATCATCACTCGTCACGTTGACCTTCTGACGGAGATCGATGACGGTTTTGTTCTGCACAGCCTCATCGGTAAACTGAGTCGGGGTAGCTTCACCGAAAAGGAGTGCTACGGCTGCTGCGTGATAGACGCTGAACTTGCCCTGTAGTCCTGTCTCGGGCTTGGGATCATCGGTCAGGAACAGAACGCGGGGATGGGTACGGGCTGTGACGTTGGCGATCTTGGTGACGTCGAGACCTTCTTTCACTGCCCTGTCATGGATCTGAATCCAGCCATCTATGGCAGCGTGGATAATCCTGTCACAGGGATATGGCTTGAATGTGTTCCTGGAAATTTCCCAGACTTCACCAAGGGTGGAGATCTCTGCGGTCAGGTTCTCACGGGTGCTGACAACATGAGACCAGCCCCTCTTGGCTTCTAGCCCTTCAAGGGAACCACCAAAGCCATTCTTAGCGAGTAGTGCTGATTGGAGACCTGCTTGTGCTGCAGCTCCAACGTGGAAAGGCTTGGTGTCTGTACCGAAGGACTCGTGCATACCGATGACTTGGACAGAAGCTATACTGATTGCTCTCTGCATTTTCTTAGTGTCAAGACCAAGGAGTTTTCCGACGGCTACAGCAGAGCCAACGGATCCAACGGTACTAGTGATGTCTGAGAATTGTCAGTATGGCCACTTCTAACGAGAGGATGGTTGGGTTCACTTACGCCATCCAACATTGTAATGCTCAGGAAAAACAGCAACACCAATCTTGCACTCAGCTTCAACACCAGCAACAAAGGCCGCCAAGAAGTCTTCCCCAGATACAGGAGCCATCCACTCAGCAACAGCAAACAGAGCAGACAACACAGGTCCAGAGGGGTGAATAGGATTGTCGCGGTGGGTATCATCGTAGTCATCAGCGTGAGAGGCAATACCGTTGATGAGAGCAGCCGTCTTCACATCAACGTACTTGCCAGTCCCAAAGATGGAAGAGTTTCCATCAGCTCCGATGAAGGGAGCGCTGGCCTCGTACGCAATACCCGCGGGAGGTAAAGCGTAGCCGCCGATGGCACAGCCGGCCCAGTTGTAGACACTCTTGACGGCCATGTCGACAATTGGATCGGTGAGGTTACCGAACTGGAGGGTTAGAGCCCAGGTTGCTAGAGCCTTGGTAGCCATTGTTGGTTTGCAAGTAATGCTTGTTTGGGGTGTTTGCTGTGATAGTCTAACACTTGAATGGCATATCTCGATGGCATTTATACTTCTTCTGAACCCTGTTCTGTACGCATAATGTCTATATTATCAAGGATCTGCATCTCACTTGCTTCATTCTTACCCCGCGGGTAGAACGGCACTTTTGTTCAGCGATACTGGGCAGTGTAACCCTCTCCAGTCCTTATTGTGGAGGTCATCGTAACGACCGGACCACTGTTAACCTGGCAAAGTGATCAAAGTCCATGGCAGATCAAGACTTGCAGATATTGATCCCTGAGCTTATGGCAAACACAAGTATATTGACCTCAAGGTAGCACAGAGTAGTGAGTGCGCTCTTGTATCTCTACTTGTCAGAACGAAGTCATGCTAGCGTAGTTTAATTGATGCTTAACGTGAGGAACAACCCCGGATGGACTAAACCCCGCACTTAAGAGGTAAATTATACTCCTGGATCCTTGCTTTGTGATGATCTCAATGCAGTTGATCTGGCTCGGTCGAGGGTCCGCGGAGAGCACCCGAGGAAAGTGACCGGTCGCCGATGTCATGGGATGGATGCATGGCTTACTCCAGGAGAATTGACTGATGTTTCGATAGTCCCTGTATATGTCGTATGTATTTATTCAATTTGTGTTGGTGATGAATTGTCATGGAGTTCCATTTGCCATTCTGGATGAGTCCCTGACATGGTCATGTATAGCCAGGGCCTTTCGGGGGTTATCATTGCTTCAACTACACAATACAATCAGTCTAGTAGGCAACAAATTCTATCTTCAAACTTCATGAGTCTACAATTAAAAATTCTATGAATGTATCCTTCATGATCCCGACATTAGCTTCAGTGGCCCAGCAACAGTAAAAGGAGCCCCAGTCTTAACCTTCACCTCATCCACAGTGACACCATCAGCAATCTCAACCAGCGTCAAGCCCGATGCAAAGTCCACATCAAATACCCCCTAGGAAGAGTTAGCATACACCATGAGTTACATATCGATGATCGCTTACCAAATCTGTGATGATGCGCGATACGCACGCTCGGCCAGTCAGGGGAAAAGAACATTGGCTCAAGATCTTGGGATTGCCCTTCTTATCTGTATGTTCCATCGTGACAATGACCCTAGTCTTGCTCGGGTTGCTAACAAGGTCCATCGCACCGCCAAAGCCTTTGACTTTTCCTGGTAGCATCCAGTTGGCCAAGTCGCCTGTTGCACTGACTTGCATGGCACCTAAAATAGTCACATCAATACGGCCGCTTCGAATCATACCGAAACTTTCATCACTGCTGAAAACGGATGCGCCGGGCTTCAAAGTGACTGTTTCCTTTCCAGCATTTATGAGATCTGCATCAGCTTCGCTGCGCTCCTTGGATGGATATGGCCCAAGACCAAGAATGCCGTTCTCAGATTGGAGCTGGACATCAACATCTGGTCCAACGAAAGATGCTGCAAGCATAGGCATACCGATTCCAAGATTGGCATACATGCCATTCTTGAACTCCCTCGCTGCTCGTCGGATTATACGTTCTCTCTTTGCCGCGGCTTCACCTTGGCCCAAAGTCTTGTCATCTTGCTCGGCCCAGGTAAACTTCTCGATGCCTTTCTCCGCAGTGCTTTGGATGACTCTCTTCACATAAATACCCGGCAGATGAACCGACTCCGGGGGAATTTCGCCAGGTTCAACGATATGCTCGGCTTCGATGATAGTCATCTTAGCATTACGACCCATGGGACCGTTGAAGTTCTGAGCTGCAAGGCGAAACTGACAATTTCCCAACTTATCTGCCTTGAACGCCTTCACAAAGGCATAATCGCCCGCGATGCTGCGTTCGAGTAGATACGGCTTGCCATCAAATACCTTGACATCTTTGGGATCCGGGAACTGAGGATCACTAGAAGACCCCGAGGCTTTGTTTCGAGACGGTAAGTCGCCATTTTGAACAACAGTTCCGACACCGGCAGGCGTGTAGAAAGCCGGGATGCCTTTGCCACCAGCAGCACAGCGTTCTGCCAGGGTACCTTGAGGAGTGAGTTCCAATTCAATATCGCCTGTCAGATACATCTTCTCGAAAGTCTTATTCTCTCCGATATAAGATGCAATCATTTTGCGCACTTGTCTGCTCTTCAAGAGCTTCCCCAGGCCAAAGTCATCGGTTCCAGCATTGTTCGAAACAGCTGTTAGCCCTGTGACATCAGGCTTTTTAAGTACTTGACTGATAAGTGAGTCTGGAACACCGCATAGGCCAAAGCCACCACAGAGAAGCGTTGTGTTTGATTTCATATCCTTCAAGGCTTCTTCAGCTGACGGGACGAGTTTGTTGATGCCATACCGGCTGATAGAAATGGAGAAGGACTTTCTAAGGAATGCATTTGCCTGTGTGGGTCAGCCTTCAAACTTGCTAATGGAGTGAGACTTTCACGAAGCAGGGGCGAAGGGCATGAAAGGCAACTTACATTTGTAGCATTTCTCATCAGGATGCGTGATCGTATGCACATGATTGTCGATACCATTGTTTCAACAAAGTTCCAAATGGGGACGATTTCACTATCTTGGTGTCTTTGATTAGCTTTGAGATTCGTTTCCGTGACAGAAACTCTCCAAACGGGTAGTATATGTATTCTCAATTCGTCTGGTGAGCCTAAAGAGCTCGGACGAGGAGTAGACTCGTGATGGAGGCTTTCGGGACCCGCCCGCGGAAACTGGCCGTAATCATGCTAGAACTCTAACAAAAGGATCTTTAATATTTCCTGGCTAGCTAGAAACAGAATTGCTCGTCTTGAAAGACGTTTTCTTCACTTCAGGATGACCTATGCTGGAATTGAACTAGTTAGGCACGCGGATAATATCTCACTTGACGACTTTCGAGGATGATCTGACAAAACGTTCATGATGGATACAGGTACTGGTAAATATATGACATTGTTAGCAGGCTAGACTAGAGGACGTTCCTTTCACCACGATTTGAGCACCTATCTACCAATGTATCACTTGCCATATGGGCTAGTCCTCGGGTTAATCCTCTTCAATTTCATTCACCTCAACACCATCCAGTCCCTTGAGTTTCTCAATGCAATCCTTGGTCACGGGACTTGGAGGGTTAGCTAAAACATATCGAACCCAGCTAAAATGCTGGTGACTTACGGAGGGATTCCCATGGGAGGGATGGACCTAGTTTCAATCCAATACTCAACGCCGGTATCGTCCTGGATGAGCCTAGGGGAATCTTGGTTAGAGTTGATTACGAGTATCTTAGGAAGACCGCTTACTTTTTGAGCTGGGGCTCAGACGCCTGCCACTCCTCGTAGCCCTTGTAGGTGTAGCGGATTTTCTACATGTCTTATCAGTAGGCGTGACAGGAGAAGGGCAATTCTTATGTACCATCTTGTCAGCCATGATGAATGTGGGGAGAAATTTCTTTGGGTTGATAAGATTGCTTGAGTGTTGATGTTTGTTGCGGTTCAGAGGAAGCTGGGATGAGCAAGAACTGGGGATCTTTCTGACCTTTTATACTTGAATGATATCAGCATGAAGTCTGTCAAACAACAGCACATCTGCGTGATGGTAGGCTATTTTCAAATCGTTTTCAGCTTTTGACGATCATGAACGAATGCGTTTCGGCATTTCATCCACAAAGACTAATTACCGCTGCGGGATCTTCCGCTTGCAGACGCTATCAATGGTTTCCGTCGCTATTATTTGCAGATCAAACTCAACCAGCAAATCCATCTTGCTCTACAATCAGCTCGAACCCACAGTATCAAAGCTTAGAGCATCTTCGGGCCGTTTCATTGGATATTTACCATTCATTTTACTTTCGGGGATCGACACGGCAGATCGGAATGTTAGGCGTCAAGCCGTCATACATGGAAGTTTAATCGATGTCTTACCTTTCACATGTCTCAAAGGCAAGAGGAAATGCACTTTAGGATGAATATTAAAACGTATTATCATTGACAACCCGCTAAAGGGAAGCGCTAAGGGTATCGTGGGACAGAAAAACAAGTTTTTTCCCCCGCCTCGTAATTACATCTACTCTAACATTTTATGACATGACCAAGTCAGGCTCATGCAAGGTCTGAGCCTCGAGTTTGGACAACAGTCTTCTTGACCAACACATTCCATCCTTTTTGGGCACGTGGTTGACCATTTGCGTCAGCCAAATCTGACTGGCTGCTGTTCCAGCCATGGAGCTCAGCGACAGAGTCAGAAGCTTCTGATCTGCTTCCATTTTCCCCCGTCTCAACATTGCCGTCTGACTTGTCGTCATGGTCGATGATGGTAGTAACTCCAATACGCTTGCCAGCATTGTCGTGGAGATCAAAAGCCTCCTCGCCGGTCTGGCCGTGGCTGCGAAGGTAACCTCCGGTAGGATGGTTGCTACCTGTTCGCTGCCAAGGTCTGGCTGAGTTTCCCTGTCCATCGGCAGATGACCCGTGACCAAGGAAGTTACGAAGAAGAGGTCGGAGTGTTGCGAAAGCTGAAGCAGTGATACCAAGGCCAGTCTCAACAGTTGACCAGATAGCAACGTCTGATGTAGAGTATAGGAAGTCGTCGATGTCGGTGAGAGAGTAGAGGTATGGGAAGCGGATGATGGTTGCACTCGAGGCACTGGAATTCAAGGTCAGTAAGCCAATTCGATAGTTAGAGCAAGTGGTGAGACATACATAGCACCTGCAGCCAAAATACCGACAACAGATATCTTTGTTCTTCTGCTCATCTGAAGATTATAAACCAAGGCGATAGGAAGCAAACTGTAGGTCCAATCGGACAAACAGCTGATAGCAGAGTAAGCATAGAAGGCCTTGGCAACCACCGATGCATCGAAGCAGCTACCGCCAGGAGGGTTGCTGGTATATCGGAGCCAAAAGAGTGATGTAGGTCGGCATTGCAGGACGAACAGCAGAAAGAAGAATAAGCTGTAGATTTCTGTGATGCCAGTGATGGTCCAGATTATAATCTTGTGTGTACGTGTAATACAGATTCGAAGCAGGAAGATAGCAATACTGGCTTTGATTGCCATGTTGGTCAGGACGTAGGTCGGTTCGCATGTCCACCACATCTGCATTGCTCTGGGGATATTCTCCGGTTCGATGTCCTTGAAGTGACGTCCAGTTCCATATCGGACACCAGTGATCTCATAGGAACAGAAGACGATAAACATAAACTTTCTCGGTTAGCACGGTTTTACCAGTAGGGGCAAATGCATCCTACCTGAGCAATGAGGGCAAGCCAATCATCCGCCCCAAACGCCTTCACAACCCATCCTCGACAGTAGACTCGAAGGCATGTCGCAATCGACGAGAGGACCACAAAAGTGTAAGCGATCGCAGCAATCTGCGTCGCCCGACTCTCGATCGCCATGGTGTTGAACGGGTGTGGCAGAGAAGAAGAAAGAAGAACAGGGTGCAGCGAGTGGACTCTCTCTCGTAACCGAGCGAGCGAGCAACACCCCATTGACTATATATGCAAACATGGTAAAAACACCACTCACTCGCCACGAGTCTCCGGACAACAATCCAGACCGGGATAGTTTCGTATGTGGAGTGCAGGAGATGGAGACAAAAGGGGATTCCTGTAACAGACTACCCAAGCGGCGTGACCAGGAAAATACGGCAATGATTTGCGCCTTAACTAGATACATCCTAGTTCGATCTTCATGACGGGGAGGCTAGCTCTACTTGTGTTGGCGCAGCCAGATAGTCGGGATCTTTGAGTCAGGGAGCTTCGGACTTGGGCCAATCTGCCACGAGGAAAAACGCTCTGACAGGGCACGACAGGTTTCTAGTTCTTCTGTTGCTCGGAGCGCGGTTCCATGAAGATCTCGTCCCGGGGTCTAGGAGATTGGCAAGACTGTTAGTAATGCATTATTCCGGTAATAGCGTCGGAGAAACGGATGATCTGCTTTGTGTTTGCCGAATGAGGTCAAGTGGCGATTGTGCTTGGACCTTTGTTACACAAGGAAAACTCTGCGCGTAGTGGGCTTCGGAGAACCCACAAAGGGTATAATGTCGAGAATAAGGGGAAATGATTTATTTGCCTGATGGCTTCCAACAATTTCTCAGCCTTCCCCAGGTCTGGAGATTACATAGAGGGCTTGATTGAAGCTCTACTACTGGCTGTTTCGCCTCCGACAGAAGGATGCTAGACGTTTTTGGGTATGTAAATCGTAGTGTTAATGAATGTCTGTGAGCTACATCGTAGATCGCAACAAAGCAGATGGAACATCTCGGGGGTCTCATATGCGCGTTTGGCGATCATTTACTTGGCCGAAACGCTTGCATGTTAAGGCTGTCGAGCACAATTCAACGTTCTTGGCTGGGTGCCGCTTCCGTTAAGAATGCTTCCAATAGTTTGACGCCCATCGAATGATAAGTGGATCATAGCTATGACTCGGGTACCCTTAAGCTTAAGACCAAGGCTCTGTCATGAGGCGAGCTGAGCAGCTATTAAATGTGACTGATCATAGGGCCGATGTTTTAGCTGATATTATACTCTCAAAGTGGTATCAAAGCTGTCAATCAGCATCCTTCATGAATTGCCTGATCAGTGAGTTGGCATTCTGGACCGTTTTTGCGAGTCATGAAGTGGCCAATCAAAATCGTTTCGGAGTCTCGCCTATGATGGGGCCGGATCAGACGCTCCAAGCTTCAACTTTATTCCAGACGTTCTACGGAAACGAGCATTAGCTGTGGCTTGCTACATGGTTCGTTGAAACAATACGAATATCCAAAGACAAAAAGACCAATCCGAGCCATTCATCTTATCTGCTTGAAACATTGTTAGAGCTGAAGTGGGTCGTAGCCGCGAAGGATTCGTGGCTGCTTGGCCCTCATGCGGAGTGAAGTTCTAGACATTGGCGTCTTGGCCAAGAAAGGTTTAAGCCTTCAGTTGATTGCTACCAAGGCAGGCATCGAAGTTCCATTCCTTACCCTATGAGGGAGGCTCGTCATTAAATTGGCTTCAACCAAAAGCAACTCCACAATTCCATGTCTGGATACATCGTGATGCTCCTACCCTGGAACAGAAGCCCAACAAGTCATCCGGTTCCATTTTCTGACTCCGTTATGGTACAGAATTAGAAACCATCAACTAGATAATTTATTAAGCATATCATTTCTAAGATATATAGCTTTATAAGCTGCTTCACAATACTGAAACATGGAAACTTGTTTTGCCGTAACATGGTTACTGTTCATGACCGTGGTCATCTAAACTATAAGCAGCTATGTGTCCGTTTTCATGTCCACCAAGTCGAGCTTCGCTTTAGAGCTTATTCTGCGAAACCTTCCTCAATGTCTCCAACGGCGATGTCTGCGCCAGAACCGTCGCATAAGACCCAAACCGCACATGCACCGTCTCCTTTGGCTTTGGATCCCAGCAGTAGAAACGTCCTGTCGACCTCATATTCTCCAAATCAATAACAACAATCGACTCAACAGGCATGACTGTCTCAGTCCAGAACAGCATATACAAATTGTCTCGCAGTTTGAGCATCTGACACTTCTCAGCATCTGCGATGCCCCTCTCCGTTCCGCTGAGACAATGCCAGGCCATAGTACCCTTGTTCAGATAAACGTGCTCATAAGCATCCCGAGGAGTGTATCGGTAAAGAACGTGCTTTCCAATGAGCTCATCAGTGACTGGGAATGGCTCAACACGCTTGTTTCCGAATGCGACTGCGTTGATGAAAGAGGTGACTGTTCGTCGCTGGCCGTTCTCATCCTTGAAGCCTGATACACCGGCAATAGCTTGTCCGGTCACTGTATCAACAATCAAGCTGACGACTTCATTGTAGTCAGGCTTAAGGAAGTCGACGAAGAAGATATCTGGTCGCACTTCAAAAGCCTCGTACTTGGCTGGCGCAGTAAGACCTGCTCCCTCTCCCTCGAGGATCTTCCATGCCACAGAATCCGGACCAAAGTCGTGGGAAATCTTCCAGCCATTGTCATAGGTATGTTCGAAGTATTTGCCCTGCAGCTTGTTGGATGCTGGCATGAGGTGCTCCCGGAAGCCATTAGCCATTTCCTGGAGGGTTGGCCATTTGGTCACTGGCACAAAGTCTGCATTCTCTAAAGTAGCCGATGGAGTCATATTGCCGATTAATAGAGGATTGGAAGAAGAAAATATAAAGTATCAATTCTAGAATTTCTTATTGTGTTTTTGTTGTCCCAAAGAAAGAAATTTATCTTGTATGATCTATGCATCTGAGGAGAGATGATCCCTTTATAGAAAATCTTCGTACATCACACTGAGTGATCATTCAGCTAAGCCCCATAGACGTACACTTAGATGTCGGCTACTCATCACTGTCAAGTTCCGCAAATTCCGTGAAGCTTTTGATACAACAGTCCTACCAAAAACGGAGCTTCCCCTCATTATCGTCAAGATATTGGGGCGCCCTCGATCACGACCTTTCCGCTTACAGAAAAAAAGTGCGAGGTCCCCCACCTGTATCTGTCTTTGGCGTGCGGAGAAGCGCCTTGAAAACCCTGTTTCAATGGCCTCGAAGGACTTCTTCTTGGCATCAAGCCGGCAACCGCGATAGTTATATCGGAGAATGATACGCCCTGGCTGCATTCGGACTTTGAAAGACCGAAAGTCCTCTACTAAGGATTCATCGTATTTCTCCGACTCTCCGAGCTTTTCGTGTTGCAGCTTCATTGTCGGACTTTCGTGATAGTGTGACCGCGGAACCAATTGGAGTACGGCCAGCCTGGCGAGAGAGCAAGATTAGGACAATCGATTGATAAACACAGTCAATTTTCACTTACTATCCTAGAATGGTTTCCAGTCCAGCTTCTGTCATAACATCAATCCAGTGAACACGCAAGATTGGACTTTTATAGTAGGACGCAGAATCAGGCACCGCCATGGCCGCTGAGTCCATCTTTGCCCAGACCTCCTGAAGCACAATAGCTACCCTGTTAATCGTCTGAAGTTTAAGAGTCATGAACGATTTGTATAGTCTCTCAAGTACAAATCTTCTCCAGCCTGTAACTGACATTTTGAAATTGGTGTCTTCACTTGAACTGAATCCAAGTGCACTTCCTGCTGCCAAAAGTATAATGGTCTGAATGGCAATGGTTCGGGAACCCTCCGGAATAGTGTTCATGATTTCTAATACCTCCACTGCAAGCTCCAAGATATGGTATGCCAGTAACCCATCTTGGTTCTGATCATTCTGTAAGTCTGGTGTGAGTTCAGGGAAGGCCCGGTCAAGCTCAAGACGAGCAACCAGTTGATAGCACTGAGCTATCTTAGAGAGATGATCTGCTGGAGTCCTGTAGTCTCCAGTATCCTGTATCTTTATGGGAGATGGTATTTGGCATTGGTCTATGTCCAGACTTAGAGAGAAAGCTTGGGTGAGTAAATCGAGATGATGGCTTGATACATCCATATTACGCCCCATTGGGGAGTTGCATAAAATCAGACGTCGTCTTTGCCGTACTAAGGTGATGCATTTGGCGAGATGGATCAATATATTCGTGCCGACTCCGGTCCATGGACACGGATAGCAAAAGGTAGTAAGTGGTAGAGCGGAGAATACGTCCAGGTATGAAAGTGCGCCAATCTCTTGATCAATCAAGCAGGAGGCCATGACTTCCCAATAGATCATCGATGAGGCTATCAGGCGCTGAATGCGATAAGAGGGAGACTGCAGGTTGGCAAGGTCAAATTGAGCCATCCAAATATGGAATACTTGTCGAGCCCCATGAAAATGGCACAGGCCGAGGGAAGAAGGATCGTGCCAGCTCTGCAGGTTCAGATGTAAGCCTCGTAAGATCACTGCTGAGGAAGTATACCTACAGAGGTCATGCCAACAAGAGTGATGCCCAATATCAAGTCATCTTTTATCGTTGGCGTCGTTGAGGTGCGGAGAAGCCCCGTGCAGCCCTGGTTCTGAGGAGCCAATCTGTCTTGCGTAGAATGTATTTCGGCGAGTTCTCTCGATATGTGTGAAATAGCTTCCGTCTGGAAGATCAACGGCGTCGAAGACGTGTCTTGTTCTTGCTGGCTTAGATGGGCCGCCGATGCACTCAAGGCGCTATTGAACACAATGGGGGAGTTTCGTATCAATCCCAGCAGATCCGACCGATAAGGGTTGTTAGGTGAGTCAAAAGATGACAGTACTTGACATGCCGATGAGAAGTAGTGTGTTAAAAGCTTGAACGACTCCTCCTGCGGAGAGTACAGTATAAGGGCATTGTCAGTGTCAGATGGAGAAGATGGTAAGTCGCCAATGTCAGGCGAGTGCCCTGAGCTAGGGCCAGCATATGAATGGATGCCATAGTCAACCTCGTACTTGGTTGACCATTTTACTGGACGTTTGTAGCCAGGGCATGGCAGGTTTGATTTGATGCAGCGAGTACAGGCAGGCTTTGCTTCATCGCATTTCAGCTTCTTCAGCAACGTTTAGCAAGCTATTTGTCAAGTGACACAATGTCAGCTCGATAGACGCACTCGTTTTTTACAAGTGATGCAGCCGCCTATAAATTTACATAATATTAGCTAATTGAAGGAATATCAGGTCGACACTCAAGCTCATACTCACTCCTCAATTTTTGTCGCCTTCGGAACGATACCGATGAAGTGGGGGGCTGATCCATAGAGAGTTATGTGAAGTAAAGATGAGCAATAATATTATTGCCTTATAACTCAGAATCATGGAGCAGATTTAACATGCTCAGCAATGTTACTAATGGGCCCTGGTAATTTGCCAGTGAGATAAGAACGTTGTCCAAGATATGAGATAGGCGAACAGTCGGAACTCGGAAATGGATTTCCGTTGATAGAAGTCATGTGGTTATCAATTGGCAGGCTGGGATTGGCTAGCCCTCACCTAACACCACTAGCTGAACCTTGACCTTTTGAGATTACAAAGATGTTTTGGCGAGATAATAGCAAAATTATCTCGTGCTACCTACCTGCATAGATGGAGGCACGTTACAGCCAATGCCAAACAGGGAACAGTAGTACCATTGAGGCATTCATAGCATATCCAAGTGACTGAGTTTATCACGAGATCGTAATCTTCATATATTATTACAGTATGTGCATGCATCGAAGAACCGATGTCGCACCCACCAAGGCATACTAACGTAATGTCCCCTCCAGAACTTCGGCGTCAGTCAGTGGGCCGACATACCGCTTGCTGACTCTCAATGGCCAATAAATACAACCAAATACGAGAGCGCCGCCCAATACAACAGGTGCATAGTTCATGTTAACTGCAGTGATTGGCTGAAAGGGAGGGAAAAGAAGGAAGATGCAAGTATATATGAGATAGATGACCGCAACAATGTTGATAGGTAGACCTGCTTTGCCGAGCCGCCAAGGACCCCAGAGCAAGGTGTCGGGTCGGAATAGGCGACGCCAGATCAGCAGTAAGACTGGAAGGAGATATGAGGCCTGTAAGCTGACAACGGCGAGGGATAGAATCGCATTGAAGGCCGTTGTCGAACCAATGTTGATGAGACTTAGCAGCATAAGCAGAAAACTGACAACGATGATGGATACAGTTGGGATTTGTCGACGTTTGTCAACACTGGCAATGCGCTCAGAAAAGGGAAGACCTAGATAATTGTCATGTTAGTCATATGTTCCTCAAGCAAGGGCCAAGCAAACTGACCTCCATCTCTAGCAAACGCCCACATGATTCGAGCCGCCGCTGTAAGGAGAGGAACTGTCGCCAAGCATGCCATAACAGTAATCATAGCAGTCATGGTAGTAGCAGCCGCAACGCTGCCGGTCATATGAAGAAAAATCTCAATGATAGGGAACCCGGTAGGTGTAGCCAAAGCCGCCGAAATATCTCCCATGAAGAAGAGAATTATAAGGAGGAAGGCAAATCCCAAAGGACCGTTAACCAAGAGGCAACCTACCATAGCCCTGGGTACACCCATCTCAGCATTGTTCATCTCCTCACTAAGATGAGTAGCACCATCATAGCCGATGAGGACATAGCAAGAACTGAGAAGTCCTATACTCCAAGCCACCGCGTCATTGCCCCATCCGGAGTTGTTCTCGAAGTGCGAAAAGACCCATTCGGCCGAGTGCTTGGTTGGTGATGTTACGGCCATGGTGACAATGATGGCGATGAAGAAGGTGACATGTAGCACGAGAGTCAGCTTCTCGATGAGTGGGAGTTTGTTACTGCAGAAGATACAAATGCAGGCGGATCCGAGAAGAACGGCCCAGAAGAGCAGCGTGCCATGCCATCTCTGGAAGACGTAGGAGTCGGGATAGTTGAGGACGAGAAGACCTTGGATCTGTGTTCCGGCGAGAAAGGGGGCACTTCCAGCGGAGGCTATCCAACCCAGAGTTCTTCGTCTTGTCAGTTCATGTTTTCGATTCGCGTCGATGTTCGATCGTGACTCACGAGATATATCCAGCAAACCAGCTGGTCAGGGGTCGACTCGTTTTCGGACTCAGCTTAGCGACGAAGTGATATTGTCCGCCGGCAGTAGGATAACTGAGAACGACTGTATCAGCGGCTGGTCAGAATGAGGATGGGCTAGCTTACCTTGATGCGAGTTCGGCCAAAGAACTGGCAGAGCAGAGTGATCCGATAAAGGCCACGATGACGCCGTAAACAAGGGATACTGGTCCGCCGCTTACGAGTCCAGCAGCGAGTGTACTTCGGGGAAAGGTCAATTTGAGTCAAATAGTAATGGTAATGGGCATCAAACCTAGATAATGCCTCCCATGTTGCCATCAGGTTGACACAAGTCGCAACCATGGCAGTAAGAGAGAAGTTGCGCTATCATCACCAGTCAGTACGCCCACGCGTCTCGGAACCAGTCTGTCGTACCTTCGTCTGCTGAACATAGCCATGGCGTTCCAAGTTCTGTTCATCTTGGTTCTGAGAGCCAAGATGCTTCTCATTGTCGACTGCAGGAGATGCCATATCGAGCGACATGTTGAATATTGTATCGATGTCTGTGAGAGGAAGAATAACAAGAGCAGATAGCCATGCGTGCTCGGAACTTTATCTTCGTTTCGGTTATCATACTTCGGAACCCCCGGTCTGGGGTAACGGCAGACGCGGCAGGCATTAGAGGTCTAGCGTGCTGCATTGGGGAAAAAAGTGCGTGGTGGCGATGCTTGCTAGCGTGGTATTCGCTATCTTCATCAGGGGAGACAGGCATTAGTAAAGCTTACCCCGCGTTTTTCGATGAAGGTTATGTGGTTTGCTGCCCGGGACTGATTCCGACGTAACCATAGATAGCAGATGTCCAGTTCCGAGATGTTAATCATTACCGAAATGTCTCCAATGGATACAGATATCTCATGCTGGTCATTACAGAGGCTCGGGAACAAATCGCAAGTGAGGTTTAATAAGCTGTACGTAAGGTTGAAAATCTCGAATTTTGGGCTCTAGAACCGTACTGAAAGACGCGGATGCTTTCCGAGCGGTAGTCTGTTGAAGAACTGCAAGCCATAAGGTCAAACTATAGGCAGCTAACATGGGTAATAGGAACACGATAGAGATGAAGACTATAGTGTGTATCACCCAACATGCAAAAGAAGAGCTTGCCGTTTTCATGGAGATGGAGCAAAAAATATGATCACGCTGGGGATCGAACCCAGAATCTTCTGATTCGTAGTCAGACGCCTTGCCATTGGGCCACGCGACCGGATTATTTGTTATGCCTCAGCCGGCAGAGTTTGGACAGATGTCGCTGCAAAGCATATTCAGTCGTGAAGTTTGCCAACGTTGGTGATTTAGAGAATCACATGAAGGAACATCTCTTCATTTGCTGTATCACCAATGATTATTTTCTATTAGATGATGGCACGCACGATGGGTCGGGCTTGATAGAACGCTTGAAGCTCGCAGGATCGCCTCAATGGACGGGCGAGCACCGTAAAAGTTGAATAACACATCATATCAATAGACGTGAATAGAAAAGGAAAACTTGTATTGGCACTTCCTGATATCCATTTCAGACACTCACACTTTGATGTTACTCAATATGCGTTCTTGGGTCATAATCATCTTGATCAAGCCTATGGTTCATCGCCCATTCTTCAACCAACGACCATTTCCTACAGATATGCGTTGTGGTCGCATTTGGAAAGTTCTTCCCAACTTGAGGTGCCCAATACCAGTGAATAAGACTCAAGTCAGCATTGCACATGAGACTCTGCCGAAGAGAGTCAATGCAGTGAAACTTGTGCATAGTTTGTAGTCTATCGAGACCTCCCTCTGTCGAGTTGAAGTCCCTCACCATCTTCCGAATGTCATTGAGGCAGTGGAGTTGGTGGTATACATCAAGACTGGTGATGTAATAGTCTGGATCTTTGAAGATCTGCGACGTGGGACGGGATAATCGTGATGCTTCTTGGCCAGATATCCTAACGAGATAAGGTTTCATCAGATTTATCCATGCGTCTTCTGCCTTCGGGGACGCGCCATAGAAGTCGGTTGTTCCCGAGCTGCGAGCTTGGTCAGGTAAGGTTCGTCGCTATTTGAGGCATTAACACTTACTGGTCTTCAGGGAAATCTGAGTTGAAAGTGACTATTTCGTACTCGACTGCATTCTGGGCCGGAGCTGTCTAGGTCAGTCAAGTTCCTATAGGTTACGGTATCATAGTGCCATACAATAGAGAGTGTCAGGCCAGGGAGGCAAGGGTGATCTTGTTCTCACCCACAGGCAGAGCAATGAGACAATCAAAATAAGGTTGAGTAAGAGAGATATACATCCAATAGTAGATACATAGTTGAGCTGTCCCCGCTTCGAAGATTGCTCATTGTGTACATCCCAGCTTTCCTCCTTATGGGGATGATCATCGTTATTGTTCAAAAGCCGATCATGACTCTCCAGGTCCTCCAAAGGGGAGTGCGGCATTTCTGTGAGCGAAGCGGCTAGAGGAATTGTGACAGTACAGAAAATGCAAGACGAATGCCACTCGATATATGAGAGACAGGAACGGGATTCCGTGTTGCTCTAGCGCTGACATATAACCCATCTTATCCTACCATTCGGCCTTTACTACCCCGAGCTCATACTTACCTTCGCGACATACTATCCCGGTAAGTTTGTTGCATTTCTGTAGATAGTTGCCGTTCATGAAACTATCCCCTCTTGTAGGATTTAGGCTGTGCCAAGAGTACATGTAAGATTTCAGCTTTATCCACCAGTCACGATACGCACTACACACTTTCAGGCCAAGGAAATCCTTCGTAGGAATTTTCTAAAAACCCAATCCAATGAGTCGTCACATAATGCAGCTCGACATTGTCTACAAAACTCGTCATGCATACTGATCGCATCTGCCATGGTCAGCTCTTCGGCTTCAATTATCCGTGCTGTTACCTCAATGCTCGAAACGCATGACTGTTTGTAAGTACAACGTAACATTCCCCCGCAGATGAAGAGATCAATTTTGTTTCCAAAGGTTATATCGATGGACCATAACATCAATATCGGCACAGCATTGTACCGAGATGGTTAGAATAAAACGAGGATATAAGCTCATCATAATCACAAGAAGTTACAGGTAGGCCACAGCGACATCTTTCATCAACGAATCCTATTCTACTATCATCACCTATCTTGACTACACGAGTCAGAAACCTCTACAACATGAAGGTCTCTCATGTTCTAGCACTCAGCGCTCCCCTAGTTGCTTTGGCAGCACCGACGCCCGCCAATAGTCAACTTTCGAAGAAAGCCGAAGCCGAGAGCTTCTTCCTCCAGACAGATGTCGGATGGTTCGACGGCGGCGATAAGAAACGTGCCACGTCTGAGAAACCCTCACCCAAAAAGCGTGCCCCAGCTGATGCTGATGCCGAAAGCTTCTTCCTTCAAACAGACGTTGGGTGGTTTGATGGCGGAGATAAAAAGCGCGCTTCAATCGACAAGAGAGCTCCAATTGTGAAGCGAGATCAGGCTGAGAAACGTGAGCCTTCTGATGCTGGGGCTGAGAGTTTCTTTCTTCAAACCGATGTTGGTTGGTTTGACGGTGGTGACAAGAAGCGAGCAACAGATGGTACCCGATCAAAGGACTAGTTAGGTGTCTTGGCACCGGCTACTGGATATTATTACCACGTGTATCTGCATTATATGATCAAGTTCTGTCTTCTACGTGACAATAAATATACACGAAAGTCAATCAGGGTCATGTTGCATTTGCGTCTTCTTCGCTACTGTGGTCGCATTCCCATGACTTGATCCTGCCTTGTCTACAAAAGAAAGTATGAAGAAAGAGCCAGACGTAATACGGCATGGTCAAGTCGTGAGGATCGAAACATAGATGCGTCAGCGGCTTATCAAAAAGCAAAAGAGAGGATGCTAGTGGAATCTAACCACCGTTATTGGACGAACAGGGAATCGAACCCTGGACCACTCCCAGATGCGAGGATCTGTAACTTGGACGGAACTTGCTAAGGGAGTATTATACCACTAAACCATTCGCCCAGGACTTATTTGTGGAACAGTAGGGGTCTGATTGAGCATACCACGGCCGCGAAGGTCGACAGATTCTAAGATGCCGTGTCTCAAGGACTATCATTCTTCCGAATTTCGCGCCTGTCGTCCAGGACTGAGCGTATGACGTAGAGCTACGTCGCTTGTCATCATCTGTCTGAATTGCTGCCCCAATCTCTTAATCCTTCCATCTTTTAATCATCTAACTCCTTCCGTAATCTGTCACATCATGTTTTCAAAGGGAAATTCAAAACCGGATTGGTTTTATCGCGTCTCTCAACTTGCACTAGACCGCCAAGTGAATTATTGGGACGACGACGTCGAAATCAACCCTGAAGACTATGATGAGGACCTCTCTGATTGCTCGACTTACTCCTTTGCTTCCAGAAATGGCTGCGAGTATGACAGTCTAGATGAATGCCCGTACCACAGAGCCTTGGATTAAGATGATGAAGGTTCGGGCCATCCTGCTACCGACTCCGACCTGGAGTACTCCGTGATGAAGCGAGATCGGAGTGACCGCAAGAGAGAATTGCGATCACGAAAGAAGCACGAAGATGAGAAGAGAGAGATGGAAGAGATGAAAGAGATTGACGAGTACATGAAAAGAAAGGTTTAGGAGACTATAGACATAGATGCGGAAAGCTCTGGGATATCTGGAGAAAGCGCAGAAAAGAACTGAAACCTTGGAAGACATTTGAAAAAGTGACTACCAAAGAAGATATCGAACTTGAGATGCGTTACGTCAATGAAATCAAAAACGCCCTTATCCGAGCGCAATCTATCGACGAGACGCCCACTCCTCCGAAGCTCGGCCTGATGAGAATGTTCAAGCTCTGGTCAATCGACCACATTAAGCACTGCCATTACGAGCTCGATCCTGCGAGATACATCGAGTTTGAAGCCCCCTTCTACGAGTGGGACGATTGTAGCGAGGAACAGCGTCTAACACTAAGAGCTGAAAAAAACTATGGGCACATCTATTCACTCTCAGAAGATGTCTGTCAAATAGGCAATCTCATGCCCCCAGAGTATCGCAGCACCAAAACTCATAACTTGGGAACAAGCGACAAGCCGGTATATGTCCAGTTCTTTGATGACAATTACTTGACTCTCAAGATCAGCCGCCAGACAGTGTTTTCAAACCATGAAGGGGATATCCCTTGGGATGCACCGTCGTCTTTTACATACTATGGCATCTGTGAGAGATATATGGTTAAGAAGGCGAGGCAGGAGTACGAGGAGCGGGAAATGAAGAAGAAAGAGGTGAAGAATCAGTGATTGAGGGTGTGAGCTGAAGCGTATCGCGCACCATACCAGGTCACTGTCATTCAGCATCGCTTGAGTAAATGCCGAGAGCGGAATCTGGATGTGCTGTTCTCTTTTAACAGTGCGTGCTTTTCAGTGCCGCAGAACAGTTCTTTAACCGTTCAGTTAGCGGGTAGGGAAGCGGCTTTCCTTTTCACTTGTCTGAGGTGAGTTTTCCCTAATTTAGTATTTTCGCTGGCGGCTTATGAATATAGAGTTGGCTATGTTATTCCTCAAGTGTCTGTTAAAAACAAAGTTAACCTATCGGTGCGTGAAGATTTATATGGGAGCCTCAAGTCATGAAAATTCGAAAATCTATTGAGATTTCCTTATGACATAACCATAATAGTCAAAGCCTCCACCGTCGCCCAAAACCTCCATCTCCATGTCAAAGATATTATCTGGGTTCAATAAAAGTTTCATAAAATGAGGTTGCCTGAAAGTGATGTATAGAAACACTCCATCCTCTTTTAACACACGATGCACCTACATGTTGTTAGAGGCCATGGTATCTTGGGGAAAATAGTAGACCACGTACCTCTTTCAAGTATTTGCTTGTATTTTCCCTCACTTCCTCAGGCGGGCTCCAAGGGCTGCCGTAAATCATCGCGTCCAAGGTTCCCTTATCGAAAGCGACATCTATAGAGCCAGTAGCAATAGATGGCATATCCCGAACATCGACTCTACTCCATTCTATTCCTGTAATTCCCTTATGTCTCTCTGTCATCATATCCACCACTACAGGAGAAAAGTCGACACATAATTGCTTCTGGTAGCCACGCTCGGCAAGCTCAGCAGGGACAACCTGAGACTGAAGTTAGTTTGCTACAAAAAGAACTTGAATGTCAATGAACTGACACTATCACCTGACCCAAGGTGCAGAATCTTTGGGTTATCCTGTGCCGTCCGTCCTGGTTGTTCTAAGAGGTTCTTCTGTAGAAATGGAAGGACCTGTGAAAATGACCGGAACCATTCATGAGTTGGGTCATTATTATTTGAGGTCGCATAGCGACTATCCCAGTATTCGGAAAGTCCGAGCTGTTGGTCCTCTGCAATTGTCATTTTGGCGGTCAATCTGTCGAAATTTCTCTAGTTTTTACAGGACTATTCAAAATTCTCTAGTATGGAGTTAAGGCTCCACAAGAACTAAATCACGTGTATCCATCTTATGGTGGATCATAGTGAACAGGCTATTCCCGTTTTGAGTAGGATCGTGGGGTAGGTTCGCCAATCTGTTGGTGTTGAGTGCAGACATCATGTTTTATATGTGGGACTGTGAACAGTTCCGAACGAGCAGAGGTTATAAATCGCAATGTTGTGAACAGGGTAAGCTCTGGCAATAGATGTACATAGTATCGAAGTTAGTTCTTATCAACCCATGTACATTATATCAGTCCGTATGCCGCATCTCCAACAAAAGCCGACCGCCGCTTCAACTCCCCTTTCAGCATCTTTACTTCGTTAGAACGAAAGATTGTTGCCGATTTACGATCTTATTCAGCTTCTTCCTGTTGATTATTTTGATTCTAGGTTCGGCGTGTGTATGTGTATCCATTAGTCTGGTGCTTGACATTATCATTTACGATGACGATTGGTCTTTATAAACAGCCTTGAATTTGCAAAGCTCTCTTCCCAATCGCCTTTTCGACGCCATCAACAGGCAACGGTGACGCGCGCTTCAGATATGCTTTCTTCTTTTCGGCGCCTGTTGATTGGATAGTAACTAAACGAAACTGAAGATCCTAGTCCCGCCACCCCTTCACCCCACGCATTTCTATAAGAATCCTTATCTTGGCTCACAACCCAACTCTCAAACACTATCATCTCTGTCTTGCTCAACACGATGTCTTCAAGAGAGTACCCAGCCTGGTTCGGGCGGATACAAGGTCTGATGCAAGACCGCATAGCACGTGGTCAGGGAGACAGATACGGTGATGATCCCGAGTATCCGTTCGAGCCCCAAGACTTTGACGAGGATCTTTCTGATTGTTCCAATGATAGTGAGGAATCGTGCTTCCCGGAGAAAGGCTGCAAGTACGACAAATACGACAATTGCTCCGCACATGACGCCGACGACCAAAGCTCAGAATCATCTGGACTGAGCGACTTCTCAAACGCCTCAACCACGGAGCTCATGTATTATGCAATGAAGGAAGATCGAGAAGATCGCAAGATTGAGTTGAAGAAACAGAGGAGTCAGAGGCTGAACCAACCATAGAGCGAGGAGTTGGTAGAGCATGTTACTCAACAGGAGATTGATTGGGAGGAGCTTGAGATACAGGCGGTCAAAGACGCCCTCGCCAAAGCAAAGAAATCGTCTCAAAAGAAATCTGCCCCATTCAAAGGCTTGGAAGTCAGGACTCACAGGCTTTTTTCTACTGACCACTCGAAGCACTGCTATTATGCGACGTGCCCAACAAGATACATCGAATTCGACGCCCTGAGGATTATGACCCATGGCTGAACTATTCAGGCCGAAGAGGCCCAGTGGAAGGCCATGTTTACTTGGTAACAAGCGATGTCTGTAATCTTGATTGATTCACCCCCCCAAAGTATCCCAGCACAAAGTTCCACAAGCTCAAAGCAGATGGAGGTCGTCGAACAATAGATGTTCAGTTTTTTCATGATCACTTCTTGATTCTCAAGATTCATCGTGATCTCGTCTTTTCGAACCAGGGAATAGAGCCACCGAAAGAGGCGCCGGAAATCTTTACGTATTATGGTATTGCTGAAGGCTACAAGCCCCCAGGTGATCGGAGGAAGGAGAAGGCTAAGCGACGTCTCTCGGCATCTCCTCAGTGATCTGTCACCCATGGAAACCGGCTCTTTGGTAGGGCGAGGTTCCTGAGTTCTTTTTACTGTTTATTTATTTATGAGACTTGGCGGCACGAGAGGGTGGGGGATCGTGAGAAGCGGAACTTTGAGATTGACCAGTAAAGTTCCTCATTGGTAATTGATGGTTGGAACTATGTATGTTTGACACTCCGAATATGTAAAACTTGTCACTGATTTCATACCAGGGTGCTCATGATTGACTACAGTCGCCGCTTGGGGGAACTTGATGCTCCTCAGCAAAAGGATCATCGCATGCATCCCTCACCCTGTTGAACTCAATGGTGCCTTGTAAATCTTTCCCATGCTTCGCCCCGTAGACCTCGTCAATAAACGCAAAGATGAGATCCAGACCGGAAGTGACCTGTTCATCGTCAGCGTGAACCACGAATCGAAGGATCTGAGGGTAACTTACACCAGATGATGTCCAGATATTACCATCAACAGTCCACCTCGCTGGCGATACCCATTTCACTTCCGGCCCCATCGCTGTGACTGTTTTCCATGCCTTCTTATTCGTCGTCGCTCTCTTGCCGTCCAGCACTCCAGCTCTGGCTGCAATCCCTGCGCCGGTGCATGTTGTGATCAGATACTTCAAGTTTGGGTACGTCTTCTTCACGAATTCGGTGACTTCATTCACATCACCCATTATAGATCCAGGTCCACCGGGTATAAGCAAGACTTCGATGTCCTTAGGAGGGTTGACATAAGTATGAGCCGGATTGACGGAGAACCAGAAGGACGAATTATGTTTGTTCAATGCACGGTCAACGGGCTCAACCCGGACTGGTGAAAGGCTAGGGGCAATGAGGGCGAGATTGAGTTGAAGAGAGAAAGCGAGGTACCAGAGGGGATTCAGAGGGCCAAACACATCGATACTGTCAAAGGAGTCAAAGAGGGCGACACCCCAGTTCTTGGGAGGTGCAGTTGCATTGTCAGGGGATGAAGCAAACACGGCGGTGACGCTGATGAAAGCAAGAAAAATATGACGTAGTCCCATGACTTGTGACGTTTAAAGAAGATAATGCACAAAGCAATGCCAACTGATCTCTATTGCGTGGCCAGGATAATGTTATATATAAGGTAGTGCAATATCGTTGAATTATAAGCTTAACAAACAAACTTGCTCAAACCCTCTCGCTCATAACCGAAGAAGGATTTGTTTCAAAGTGAAGGATTGCCAGTGGTGTTTATCTGCGCGATGTGATTGAACAGCGCAGACTGCGATAAGGTGATGGGATTGAGATCCCAGCCCGATGCAACCCAACACTGCAGGTGCCTCTCTCGTTAAGACGTCTACATTGAACAACAAGGAGGAAAATTAGAAATAAAGAGCATTAGAATTTAAAGCCAGAAAGGCAGTTAGATGCATGTCGGACAACATGAAAAAAAAAAAAAAAAAAAAAAAAAAAAAAAAAAAAAAAAAAAAAAAAAAAAAAGAGGTATTAGGATTAAATATATCATTAGAACCTGTGCTTTTCTATGCGACCTAAACTCAAGACAACTAACACAGTTATTCACTCTATACTTGTTGAACCATAAGGCTGGTGGGAGTATATCCGCTGGGACTTCCAGTGGAAATAAAGAGATAATCTCCACCTGAGGATCTGTGCTGGTAGTAAAATTGATTGTTCACGCCTTCGCCCGAAACGGTAACACAGTTATCCAAACCAGTGTCGTCATCAGTGGTGCAATAAGCCTTGGGGGCTGTACATGAAACAGTGCCGCTGACGATCTGGCAATTAAGATAGTCGTAGTAGTTATTGGGACCGGTGGTTCCTGTCTGACAGTTCGCAACGAACGCGGGAGAAGATGTGGAGGGAGAATTTAGGTAGTATGCGCAGAGATAATTGCCGCTGGCGGTGTCTTGGAGTCGGCCGGTGGCAGTGTCGAGCGTGTATGATCTGACTGCGAGACCGTCGACGGTGGGGTTAATCAGGACCAAGGTGCCGTCTTGACTGATGCCTTGGATGGGAGCGTTATTGACGGAGCCACTGCCCCCGACGATGTGGTAGGTTGGGGTGGATTCGGGAGCAGTGCTGGTGCTCTCAGGCGCGGTCGTGGTGGTGATGTCTGCGGTGGTTGTTGTCTCGGCTTCCGATGCGATGGTGGTAGTGTCAGCAGCAGCAGTGGTGGTGATGTCTGTAGTTGTTGTCTCAGCTTCAGAAGCCACAGTGGTAGTGTCGGCAGTGGCAGCAGTTGTGCTAAGCTCCAGGGTTGTGGTATCAGGCAAGACTTCAGTAGCAGTGCTCAGTGCAGTTGACGTTGGTTCTGATGTAGCGACGACAGAAGTTGTTACGGCACCTGTTGGTGGAGACAATGACAGTTAGCTACGACCGTTCAATAGTCTGAATTCACGTTTGTCGTGGCATAACTCACCAGAAGTTCTGGGCTTGCAAGGACCTGCAAGCGCAGAGTCGGCAATAAGGCCAATGGTCAAGAAAAACACATTGGATCGCATGATCTGATTCTTCACGAAAGACTGACTGGGGTAAGGTGTGAATGGAAAACAAGAGACAGAAAACCAAAGCGAGACAAATGGAACTGGCCGGACAGAATGATTTTGAACCATTTCTTTCCCCTGACGATTTGCATGTCATCTCATTTCCCAAATCTATAGTTTGGTTTAGTCTGCCACTAAATCGCATCTCAGATTCAATATTTGGTGGAAATGGTTTAGTGTCAGTAAAAAGCAAAAGCGCTAGAGCCAGTTACACCAATGGGCCCACAAAGTCCCCTGTGATCTAAACTTGGCCCTGATCACTGACCATTCAGCTGTGCAGATCTCGGCTTCGACTGACGAGGTGGGGAAAATCATTGTTGGGGAACGAATATGAGGTTTACGGTACCTTTTCTGTTTGTTCGTTTGGGCATCAGCTTCTCAATACCTTAAATTCGGACGATCCAGCCAGTCCGCGCTGATCAGATTCTGGGGAAAAAAGCGCCTTTACCAACGTAAGTCACAAAACCCAGAGTATGCGGGATGACCCGAGCCGGATCAGAACCCGAGACCGAAAGACACAACAGCAATGACCAAGTTCAGGGAGCCCCAAGCTACACAAAAAGACAGTCAATACCACTGTTTAGTGGAGCAAAAATGAAACATTTGATGAGACTGGGACTCGAACCCAGGAGGATTGCTCCACCAGGAAGTTGGTGTTAAGGTTAACCTTAACCTGGCGCCATAACCAACTCGGCCATCTCACCTCAAGCTAGTGCCGATGCTTCGTTGGCTCAATAACAGTGTCTACTAGCTTAGCAGCGTTGAATGCATCAATTGATTCCACCAGTTCCATGATTCTCGAGAACATAATCAACATCTTTATCTCCCCGCCCGGACAGATTAACCAAAATTCGCTCAGATGACGGGCGTTGCGCTGCTAGTCGTATGGCATATGCAATCGCATGTGCGCTCTCTAGAGCAATGATGATACCTTCGCTCTTTGCCATGCGGAAGAATGTGTTGATGACCTCGTCGTTGCCAACCGTTGTGACTGATATACGCCCAGCGTCGTGAAGCATTGCCATTTCAGGTCCAATACCAGGATAGACTAGCCCTGAGGCTATGGATGAAACTGGAGCAGGCATGCCTTCGCCTTGCTGCAGAACAAGTGTCTTTGCACCATGTAAGGTGCCAGGTTTTCCGTACGACAAGGTCGCTGCGTGCTCACCAAGTTTCTCGGATCTTCCGAGTGGCTCAACGGCATGTAACTTTACATCGGTGTCATCAATGAAAGCAGAGTACATGCCCATAGCGTTAGAGCCACCAGCGACACATGCGACGACATGCTCAGGCAGAGTACCATCAGTCATGGAGAGAAACTGCTCTCGTGCTTCTTTGCCGATCACAGACTGAAAGTCTCTCACAATCAATGGGAACGGATGCGGTCCAATCGCTGACCCAATTGCATACAACGCATGTTCTCGTTGCTCAACATAAGCATTGAACGCCGAGTCACTGGCTTCCTTCAACGCAGACTGTCCCTCAGTAGCAGCAACGACCCTCGCTCCAAGAATTTGCATACGCCCAACATTCGACTTCTGCTTCTCGGTATCCACACTCCCCATATGGATCTCGCACTCAAGACCAAAATACGCCGCTGCAGTTGCGAGTGCGACACCGTGTTGACCGGCTCCCGTCTCAGCGATGAGCTTAGCCTTGCCCATTGCTTTAGCGAGAAGTGCGAAGCCGACGCAGTGGTTGATCTTATGTGCGCCTGTGTGGTTCAAGTCTTCGCGCTTGACGAAAATTTGAGCACCGCCGACTTCGCGGGAGATGTTCTCGAGATGGTGAATTGGCGTTGGACGGCCTTGGAGACCGATGCGGACTTTGTTGAGGGTTTGGTTAAAGGATGGTGAGTGGCGGAGTTCTTGGTATTTGGTGGCTAGTTCTTTGAGTGCTTTATGAGCTTCTGGTGGGTAGAAGTTGCCTCCAAATTGACCGTAGTAACCATTTTGATCTGGGTAGGTTTCCGAGTGAGGCTGATGAATTCTTCCCATGATGGCGGGTGATGGTAGTGCATTGGGAAGGGACTGGAGGTTAATTGGAGAATCTTGTTTCCAACCGAAAAGAAAGGAGCAGTAGAATTAGCTATATATAGTGTTTACTTAATACCAGTTTTAAGTCATGCAAATCATCAAATGTTGAAGGGTTCATTCGCAGGGCGCATTCTTACAGTTAGGGTGCAGATTGACATGAAGGGTGCAAACTAGCGTCATCAAGATGCCACCACGGCCAACCACGAGAAACCCAAGATATTTATCCATCATGGCTATAAAAGAAACATGACTTAATTTGGCTAGGAAATAAACCCCTCAATAGCATCAACGAAATAGCTCTCGTTCTGTAAGTACATCACATGTCCAGAGTCCGGCACAGTGACAAGCTTGAAATCACCCTTAACACCCTTCTCCTGCGCCATCTTGACAACCAAATCTCTCATCATATCCACTAAAGGGTTGAGGTGCGCATCATTTTCTCCTTTAACAAACATGATCTTGTCACAGCTTTCCAAAAGCTGAGGTACGAGCGGTCGCATGTCAAACCGCTTGTTCTTCTGCAACGTCATCATAGCACGCCAACCATCCAGACTTAATGTTGAACTAGCACGTTTGAGTCTTTCATCCTGGTCTGGATGCTCATCGAGCCATTCCTTGCTAGCCCAGCCGTAGTGCATCTGACGAATTACATTTGCAGCAGTCCCATCTGCTTCAGCCTGAGCGCGCATCTTGTCGAATTGCTCAAGCGGCATTATATCAAGGGCCCCAAACGATGCAGGAGGACATGCGCAGTATGCAAGGTTTTGGATCAATTTTGGGTGACGGCAGGCTAGGTAGACGCCGCTGGCTGCACCGAGGGAGACGCCGACCCAAGCACGGATGTTGTCGATATGCAAGACGCGAAGGAGTTCGTCAATGTCGTTGATCAATTCTTCCATCTCGACGTTATCGACGTCTTTTACGGGACTGCCTTGACCATGGCCAGGATGGTCGTAACTAAGAACGCGGTAGCCTGATGAGGCGAGGCGTTGGGCGACAGGCTGATACAGAGTGGTGTCAGCGCCGAAGGAGTTTGAGAGGACAATCCACGGGCCTTGTTGTGGTGTCTGTGCAATACTGTAGGATATCTTGCGGCTCGTAGGCAGGACGGCGCATTTGATGATGTTCTGTGCAGAGGCCATTATGGTGCGAAGACTGGTGAGGCAGCGATCAAGGCAGCGCGTCAATGACATGTAAAGATAGGGACTGGCGCAATGAAACACGGGTTGAGCTTGATTATAAACAAAAAGGTAGGCCATTCAATACCTCAAATACACGCACCCGGATACTTATTCTTTCCGGGGTAATTCAGGTCATAACGTACATCTAGGAATGTCTCCGAGCATAAGCTGACGGATCCTTCGCCCTCAGCCCATGGTCAGCGAAACCTGTCATTCATGCTAACATTTACCCGCAATTCGATTGGGCGCCCAGAGACAATTACTAATTCATGCTGGTTCCTCTTCCAAATATTGTATATATCTCAAATACTAACTAGGCAACCTACCAGATATTCCTCTACATTATCCAACTGCGACAGAGGAGCCATCATACCAACGTACCCATCAGGTCTCACCACTGCAACAACGCCATCACCCTTGGAAACACCTAATACTTCATAGACGTCCTCCTTCTTTGACACTCCATAAGTTCGCATCTCAGCAAATGTCTTTACTCCCGCTGGCAGATCGCTCCACTCAAATCTTGACGTGAGTGGATGCATTACAGTCAAATTTACAGTACCCTTCGGGAACTTCTGCAAAGTATCAACGGATGACTGTAAAGCTGATTGCGAAGTGCCGAATTTTTCTAGTAAGTCGTTGCTTGTGAAGACGAGGATATAGTAACGGCCAGTCGGCGGCATTTCTGTGAAACGAGTCAGTCAATCAGTTCCCAGCCTTGTGATCTGAAATCTTGTGAGAACATACCGTCTTGAAGGTGCCGGGCAGTGGCATCAGCATAGCGCTTGACTTCGACATCGAGAAGCCGTCGTCCAGGCGTCAACGCGCCCAGAAGCGGATCTCCTCGAAACAGGTTACTCTTCGCCTCCAGTTCTCTTATCAATTTGTTCTCCTTATACTGAAGTCCACAACCGCTGGTAAATCCGCTTCCCTCACTAAATACTCGAAGGAACTCTTCGTGAGTGAGCCCTGAAGTCTCGGCATCTGCTGATCCGATGCGACCGGAGAACATGTGCGAGAACTGGGCGTCGAACTCGATGAGTTGGCGAGCTACGTCTACACGCTCATGCGAGAATGTTTCGAGGATAGAGTCTGTTCCGGAGGTACTTGGAGGAGTGAGGCCGTGGATTTTATGAACGAGTTTCCAAGCTAGATTGTAAGAGTCCATCATGGAGACGTTCATGCCCTGTCCGGCCTTGGGACTGTGAGTATGGCATGCTGTTCAAAGTCAGTATCATGAAGTGAACAGGAGCTAAAGCAGACTTACCATCTCCAACAATGAATACCCTTTCAACTCCATCAGACGTTTTAGCGGAGAATCGAGGAGCCATGCGCTGTCCAATCTGATAAGCCGCCCACCAATCCGGCTCCGTGCCCTCCTTGATCTTGATCTCATACGGCGCAAAAACCTGCCGTGCTTGCTCAAAGATATACTCTAACGTAACAGCGCCACGTCGCTTCTTATCAGCTGATTTCTTGTCTGTTCCGGTATCACCACTCGTATCAACCTCCTCAGCAACTTGGACGTAAAGACGAGTCAGATACTCGCCCGTTGCAATCTGTTCCCTGGGAATGACCATGACGGAACCAGCGTCTGAGTGAACTGCAGATCGTTTGCGAATGTCGGGAAAGTTGGTGTCGGCGACGAAATCACATACGCCCCAGATGTGATCTGTTGTTTCACCCTCGAGTTCAAGACCCATGCATTTCCGGACCTTTGAGCGGGCTCCATCTGCGCCGATCAGATACTTTGTTCGAACGGTGCCTTGTTGAGTTGATCCGTCTTGAAAATCTTGTTCGTATTTGACCACGATGGGGAATTCAGTGTTGGTTTCGTCGACTGTGTACTCCAGGAAGCGAAGGGATCGTCGGATGGCACTCTTGCCGGCATAAAGATGGAGATTCTCTTCCAAGATTCGCTCAATGCGACCTTGGTGAATAGTGACTTCGAAGGGGAAACGAGCAGGCACGTTTACATCGGGCGCGAAACTGGTTCGTTCAATTCCTGTGGCATGAGACCCATTGCCGCTGTTGGTTGCGCTCGATTGCACTGGGTTCCAAAACGCAACCTCTTCCATATGGCAGCCTTCGCTGATGATCTCACTTGCTATTCCCAAACTTTGAAATACTTCAAGAGTTCTTGGCTGAAGTCCATCTGCCTGACCAGCTTTTAGTGTACCCGGCTTGGAGTCAAGGCAGAGAAGTGATGATTCTGTGATGCCATATCTTGCGAGTAACAGGGTGAGAAATAGACCGGCCGGTCCAGCCTGCAATGCGCTTGTGAGTATAAATGACATTACCACCGAAGGTTGTGACTTACACCAATGACGACGACTTCCTTGTGTTCCTCGGAGACATTGGAGAAGTCTGGCTGTTGAGACAGTCTAGGTAACGGTAGAGCGCGCGATGGGAGAATTCTCTGGTCTCGAGCCGAGTTGGAAGTTTCTTGAAAGACAGGCATGATTGATATCCTAGCTCTGTGTCCTCGCAAAAATGCAGATAAAACTCGTTAAACCGTGAAACACCTCCAACCTTTCATGTTTATCAACTCATAGGGCACGATGCACCGCTTTTCTCGGCGCCCACCAATTCCGGCAGTATCTCCAGTCTTCCGCCCAAGCCGGATCTTTGCTTTTCTCGGCAGTTTTTAGCGCAACTGCCGACGCGGGGTTGGTTACTTTTTCATCTTCGCTTCGTTCCCCCGGAAGACCGGAAATTCTCACTTGCACAACAATGACAAGTTCCGGATCTTTGCCAAGTCGTCGAAATTTACCGCGGGCGTCGCATGCGTGCCAGAGATGCCGGGCGAAGAAGGCGAAATGCGATCAGCAGCAGCCTTGTGCTAATTGTGTGAGACATGAGTGGGATTGCGTTTATGGGTTGAGGAGGAAGAATGGGAGGGCGAGTAATGTTTCTGTGCTGAATGATGTGCAGCGCAATACACCACCATCACCGTTGTCTTCTTCGCGAAATTATCATGATGAGGCGGCGCGGCGGAGTGAACCGTTGGAACAGGCCCATTCATCCGGTCGGATAGGTATAGTAACCATTTTTCAGCGGCATAATTGGCACTAACAGGAGGTCCACGTAGACGATGGTGATGTTGTAGGGGACATCAATCAACACACCCACGGCACAGAGTTCTATGGTACATCGTCTAACTTTGTACTACTCAATCAATTCTTCCTGTATGCCCAGAAGAATCTACCGCCCGGTCACCCAAGCTCAAACAACGACACCGGCTTCCTTTCTGCCAACGCTCAAAACCGCAACGTTTCGGGACATGGCCTCGTAACACGATCGCCGATTTCCATTGTCAATCTGCTTTCGGATAGAGAAGTATTGGATCCCCCTTCTAGACCAAAGACTCCCCCACCGAGAGGAGGGGTCCAAGATGAGATACAAGCACGTCCGTCCCTTGAAACCAGACAATTGACAGAAGGGCTTGATGGCCCGGTCCATCATGATCCTCCCTCAGTCACCGGCCAAAACAGGCCATCCACAGATAACTCGCTATCATCGTCAAAGCAGAGGCTGGAACGAGAATACATCAGACAGTTCTTCAACAACCTGCATCACCTCCACCCGATGCTTGATCCCATTGCATTTACCAAGCGTTGCGAGGAACTAGTCTGGGGTTCTCAAACCTCAATGGAAAGCAACAAGACTCAGCGTCATTTCTTTGCCCTGTACCATATAGTCGTCGCTGTCGGTGCAATTGTTGCCGGATCTAGTATCACGCAGGACTTTGAGCGAGACATCAACCTCTGCATGAAGCTACCTCCCCAAGGACAAGACTTCAATCCTTCTCGATTAAGCCAAGAACTCTCAAAGAAGTACTTCCGGAAGTCTAGGTTGTTGCTTGGTGATGTATTTGAAGTCTGTTCTTTAGAGAGCGCTCAAGCACTTCTTCTCATGGTATGTGGCTCATGGTCTCAGTGAAATCTCGATGCTGACCCAGAGAAGTCGTTGTACTGTCAGAACTCTCTCAAACCTCACGCTTGCTACATGTACTGCGGCCATGCCGTCCGCACAGCACTCGCCATCGGTATCGCAAGAGAGACTCTGTCAAACTCAATCGAAGACCGCAAAGCGGCACGGAGAACGTGGTGGTGCATTTACTCTCATGAGATAGATATGAGCTGTAGTGCAGGGCGTCGCGACAGTCTTGGGAAACCTAGAAATTACCAGATCGATCTACCTCATATCAGAGGACAGGACGTCTCAACATCAAAGCAGCCTGATCTGGAAAATTGCAGTGCAGCCATGATCAATGAGATGGTGCATTTCGCTGCTATTCTTCGGCGCATCTCGAAGGAGCTATACTATGACTCAAAAGGTCTGACTTTGCTGCAGAAGTCCGCTGTTGCGAAAGAACTTGATCGCTTGCTTGATGACTGGAAGGCTCGGTTACCCAGTTATCTCGAGTTTACCACCGTGTCTTTTCGTGAGCAGGAGTGGGCAGCCAAACAGAAGCTTGTCCTTCATCTCAGATACCTGAACGCAAGAATAGTTCTTCATCGCCCTTTTCTCGAACAGCCCATTCTCACAGCCGAAGCGAGCATGTCTACTCATGCTGAACTATGCCTCGATGCGGCACGGAAGACAATTTGCGTGATGTACGACGCTTATGCAAATCGACACTACTTTCGCACCTGGTGGTACAACTCCACTTACACCCTGTATGCTGGGATGATCGTGCTGTATATCATCATGCTTGGGCCTACAGCCGTTCCATCGGAGGACGTCCTCGCTGATGCTGTCAAAGCGCATGATATCTTGCAATCGATGGAGGAAGCTACTGTTGCTCGAAGGAGTGCAAGTCTGCTACAGGAGGGGCTGGAGGTGGCGCGAGCTTGTGTTCAGCGACAACAGAGCAGACCAGAGGGAGATGCTGAACAACAGGTATATGATGGTACACAAGGTGGCTTGAATAATATTGCGAACCAGTTTTCGAATGCTGTCTCGGGACAGGACCATGCGTTATTGGCTTCGATAATTGATCCGAATTTGCTGCAGGACTTTATGGCGGCGGATCAGGATGCGCTTGGAATGGGATTTGAGATGCCGTCTTTAGATGGGTTATATGGCGAAGCCTTAGATGTTGATGCTATGTCTATGATGCCTTGAGTTGAACAAAGGTCAAACGGATATCAGTTATTGTTGGTATCTGTACTTATCGTATCAAAAGCTGGCATGAATTGTCCATTTGGTCTACGCATACATCTAATCAACATCTGGGACAGGCAGATCATCAATGAATCTAAACTTCCGTCCCAGTTTCGCCATTGCCTCCTCAGCCTTCTCCCTTCGAAGTTTCGCAGCCGCTTCATCCGAGACGAGAACAAAGTCATAAGTCATCAATGCAGAACCAACTTTGACACCATATTTCTTTGCCATTTCTTCATCTTCAACCTTTTTGATGGTGACAATCAACGAATCCTTGACGCCAAACACGGCATCGGTAGTCTCGTAAGGATCGTCCTTGAGGTAGAGTGCGCTATAAGTGCATTAGTTGTACTGATCGCGGTGCCAGACCAGGACAGACTTACGTGATCAGAGGATCGTATCTGTCTTTCTTGAACATAAAATGCATATGGCTAGGTCGGTAACAGTGCCGGCCCAGTACTTTCAGTAGCTTCCCGACTGGTCCGTCATGAGGAATAGGATATGGCACCGGCACAATGGCCTTGAACCAAAAGTCACCATTATCGTCACTTGTCAACACAGCTCTTCCATCTGGGCCAGTACGGTCAGCGTGTTGAACATCGTAAAACCCCTTGGAGTCGGTCTCCCAGACGTCAATCTTGGCTCCGGGGATTGGCGAGCCATTGACATCCTTGAGAGTGCATAGAACAAGAAGAGGTTCGCCGTCTGAGTCTTGGGAGATCAGACTTCCCTCTTTGACATGCTCTGCCTCATGAGTGTGAAATGGGCCCAGAACTGTGCCTTCAGTGCTGCCTTTGGGTTTCGGATGGTCGATTGAGTCCACCAGGAGAGACAAGCCCAAGACATCAGATAACAAGATGAACTCTTGGCGGACATCAGTGCAGATCTGGCCAACTTGCGTCAGGAATTGGATAGCTGCCATCCATTCGTCTGTAGTTAGTCTTGTTTCTCTTGCCAAGTCATGCAAATGTGTAACGACTCGCTCGAGTATATACTTCAGTCGCAGATTGCTGCACTGGGAGTTGATAGCGTGAACATTCTCGGTGATGTTATCGATGGTGAGATCTTTCAGGTTGACAGGAGCCGCCATGATGAAAATGAATATGATAACAAATAATTTTATAATGAGCTCTAACCTCCAGTTTCATTTCCACCTCAACCAATTTATCATTTCTAAACCCCGCGTTTCAATACGTTGTCGCTGTGGGGACGGCGTGATCCGAAGATGGGGATCCGGGTTTTGAGAGGTCGGAAGATGCTCCACACCCCGGAAGTTGACGACTTCCGGCCAGTCGGACACAATTATCGGCAGTTCATTCTAGGGTCGGATCGGCTACGTCATGGGCTCGATCAGTCAGCAGAGTTTGCTACGTTGTCGTTGGTCGCCAATATCGTACCCCGTGTAAGTTGTAGGGTAGCTTCGAGAGCGATATGAATAACAGAGCTGTCAATTCCAGAGACAAAGGGATTTGCGGATTTCCAAAGAAAATATACATTTATGTTGATTAAATTCGGCTGCCTTGTTGCGTGCCAAGTTTGAATGCAATAACGCGCTGTTGGCTTGATTACAAAGTCTCATTAAATGAAAAGGTGACGGAATGATTGGAGTAAAAAACCAGTCATGGCCACCAACGGACTAGTACAAATAACGCATGTTAACTCGGTTAAGTGATATGTAGATAAACCCAACTTTCCAAGAACTCTACAATTGAAGATGTAATGTCGTCAGGGTTCACAAACTGACGACGTGATTTGAAATTTGGTTTCTGGACGCGTTTGTGAGCTGGTTGAGTATTAGTCAGCAATGACAAGGTCGCGTGGCCCAATGGCAAGGCGTCTGACTACGAATCAGAAGATTCTGGGTTCGATCCCCAGCGTGATCATTCTTTTGCTCTACTGTGCTTCATTTTTGCTGCGACCCTTAACTTATTCTGTTCATCATGTACTGCATCATCTGTGCAAGGTATCCTTCACTCAGTGGAACTGAGTTTCTAGAACCCTTCTTAGGCTAAATCGTCTCGGAAAAGCGGAGAACGGAAAAAGGATCACCACGGAAAACATACCATTTCAACTCCTAGCATCGTTTCAAGTTTGGTAAAGGTTAAATACAAGGGCTGTGGCATAACAGAGGTTAATTAATGACAAACGTGTCAGGTTGCCAAGCGGTGATCTCACCATTGGAGGATATACATCTCTCCATTGCGGGGAGTCTGCCCGACAACCGAACTTAAAGTACCATACCCTGGATATCCGTGGATCTTTGACTTCTGTAGTACTCGGAGGATAGTCCTCCGAGGATAATATAACTTTATGCCCTGCCTTGCTCAAGGTTGACCAAACTTTGTTCCTCACTTCACGTCTCTGTACTTCACAATGCACGGTAAAATACTCAGTGTGATTCTGGGCTCTGCCGTTTTGGCAGCGCCCAGCCAGGCCGTTAATCTTTTCGTGGCGGACTACGGCGGCAACCTGAGCACTCTGAGCCTCACTGAATCCCAAAAAGGCTTTGATCTTTCTGTCACCTCAAAAACAACTGATTGTTCTCCCGGTCCTAATTGGCTCACTCTCGACAAGGCCAACAACGTGCTTTATTGTTTGGATCGCGGTCTCAACTTCTCACCGCCTGGATCTTTGAACTCCTTCGCCATTGGCGACAAGGGTGTTCTCAAGCGAATTTCTCGCGTCAAGTCTACTGCAGGTGCCGTTGCGGGTGAGATCGTCACCGGCGCGAATGGAAAACGCGGGTATTTCAGTGCTTCATAGTAAGTTGCCAACAATTTATTGGGAATCAAGTTGCTCACAAGCGCAGCACTCCTGGTGTAGCATCGATCTATGCTCTCGGTGACAAGGGTACAATTGTCGGAACTGCGCCGCTTCAAGAGCTTTCTACAAAGATTAGCCAAGTTGGACCAATTGCAGACCGCCAGGACTCAAGCCACCTCCACCATGTCATTATTGACCCTACCGGAAAATATGTCATTACACCTGATCTTGGTGGTGATGTCTGCCGTGTCTTCACTTATGACAAGAACACTCTTGCTCCTATTGCCGAGGTGGGTAGCCTGAGCGCTCCTCGCGGTTCTGGACCACGCCATGGATTCTTCAGAGTTATGGCGAATGGCGAGACTTTCTTCATCTTTAACGGTGAACTTGACCAAAAGGTGTACTCTTACAAAGTCAAGTACAACCGCACTGGTCTCTCATTCACAAAGGTCTTTGAGATTCCATCGCTGGACGCTAGCTTTCCTCCCAATACGGCTCCCATCAGTGAAATTACCATGAGTGTAAGTCTTCCCATATCCTTTTGGAGAGCCCTACTGACTTTCGATCAGCCCGACAAGCGTTTCGTGATTGTCACCAACCGCGAGAAGTCCTTCGCCAACTCTCCCGAGCGTGGATCTGGTCCATCCGATACCCTCACAGTTTTCCAGATCAACGAGGATGGCACTCTGAAGCGTATCCAGGCTGTCCCATCTGGCGGATATCTTCCCCGCCAGTTCTCATTCAACAAGGCTGGTGACAAGATTGCGGTTGGCCATCAGGTCAACCAGACCGTTGTTATCTGGAAGCGGGATGTCAAGAGTGGCAAGATATTCACGGAGCAGGAGGGCGGAAAGTTGGCGCAGGTGAAACTTACAGGAGATGTTGTCGCTACCATCTGGGACGAATAGGGACATTAGACAGTCTAGACAGACTTTCTTAAAACTTACGCTGCGTTGGATGTCTAGATATCCACTTAATTTCAGATGTTCGTGATATCCTTCACGAAGCTGTGCTCAGAATCTGTGAAGAATACTTCGAATAGGATGTTAATTGTCATATCGAGAGACTTCTAGCTCGTGCATCAGAGGAAATCGAGATAGGGAATGCCCTGAAAACTTTTAGTTTACTAGACGATTTGGCTCGTCGGCCTCGAGCGGTCGTATTCTCCAGATAACGCGGCTCCTTGTTTAATCACTTACATTCAGTGCTTCGAGAGACGATCACTTCGGTTTCCGTTTGATGGCAGACACTGGTCTTTTCCAGGGCGTGAGTGCCACCTACCGACTTGGAAAGGTATGCACTATAGTGTTTCGGCTTGGCACTGCCGAGCTTCGCACTGTCGTAAAGATATTGGCGTTGACAGTGACGAACAGCTCCCAACTCGCGTTCAAGCTCCTATACTGAGCTTCGCACACGTGATCCGCTCCAGCGCCGCCTTTGATCAATCTTTGTTTGTTTTTCCTTCTTCGCTTCCTCCCTGTAACAACACAACAGATCATTCTTTGCCTCATTGCGATACAGGCAAAACTGCTTTATTCATCTTATACCTTCATTTGTGTTTCTGTTCAACCGGTTCTTTTGGCCCCGCAGAATGCCTCAACCCCGTCCACTGCCACACAGGCTTTGCAAATCGGAAGAGCCAAACAACACTGGCAACTTTGAGCAGAATTGGGTTGGTGAAAATATCACTGCGGGACGCAGGGGCTATTATATGAGGGTATACCTGGAATGGATGCGCAAAGAAACCAAGCCAGACCAGATGGATAAGATCTTCCAGGAATGCAAGAAGAAACTCTATATATGGTTCACAGAGGACTTTAAACTTCATCCGCGTGGGCGTTTCTATGAATACGTGCTAGACCTTTGGGTCTGGCTTATCTGGCGTGGGTCATCGATTCCCTCACGCGCTCCATTGTTTACTTGACTGACTCTTGGTGCTAGTCAAAGGCATTACTCCGGTCCCCATTTTCCCATGGAGATATATTGGGGGAGCGCCACAAGCTGATTCAACAGCTTCATGGAAGGGCCAAATGACCACGGTTCAGACTCTTATATTGGAGCGACTGGGTCCTATGGGACCTACGGAATGGTAGAGGAATAAGAAACTCGTGGAGATTTCATCACTTTTTTCCGTTGACGACATTCTCAGAGACCCCAAGTATGTGTTCAAGCCTGAGTTGAAGGATGAAACCCGCCTTGATCGACTGCTAGGCGCCGCTAGCAAAAATCAACAACAAAACCCATTGCCAGCACCGCCAGTATCTCTCGGCAACAGCGCCGTGCCTGTTCACCAGAACGATGGCAACTTCTCTGGCATCTTGTCCGCGCCAACAAAAGCGGGACAAGTTGCCAACCTTGCGCAGAGCCTTCAGATACAAGAGCCACCTCCGCCAGCACTACGGAACGGAGAAAACCGCGTCCCTTCCCGGGATATCCTGAACCCTTCCACTGTTGGCCAAAACCTGAGCCTTTCCCAACACCAAGAAACAAATGAAGAGCAACAACTCAAGGCCTCTGTATCCAGCCCGCGCCCAAGTAAGCGACGTCGCTCATCATCTTCTGCTGAGCCGCGCAGCGCACTGGCTCTATCCCTCGACCGATTCGCCAACATGAGCGCCCGCTTGCATTGTGTGGAGGATGAGAACTTCGACGTTGATATCGTCGCATGGATGGTCATGGGTCTTGGGGCTGATGATTCTCGACGACGTCTCTTCTACTTTCTCGACAATGGAGCATTGGACGTATGGTACTGCTTGGCAGATGTCGCGTCACAACCCCTCCGCCTTCTGACTGAGCTCGAATCATCCCAAGAGGCATGTATTTCTCATGGGCTTTCGTGCAAACGGGTGATGGTTGTCAAAGATGAACTTGATTGTCGACGACTTCGTTTCGCATCAGTTAGTCGTGATGAGTGATTGGCTGGAAGCATGAGATGTTTTGTAGTATGGTGAGGACGTTGATCACTTTTGAGTGTAGGTGAACACCCGAGGTATATTGGATTCTGGTGTTCATAACACAAATACGGTTGTTGGATTATCTGGTTGTTGTGTTTCCCTTGGGCGTGGAACAAGGATAAGGAATAAAGTTAGAGTTATGTATGATAGTAGGGTTCACGAGATCATAATGTGTCATGTATAATGTTTAATGTTCACTGCCTTGGTCATCCCCGGTCACAGTCAGCCTTCTGTCGAAAAAGGGTATAGCTGTACACCGGCATGTAATGTAATTGTATTTGCTATGCTGCTAAAGAGCGCATCTTACAACACTATCGGGCTATTTGAACAATCACATTCATCTATTTACACAAGAGACACGCATGTAGTCAAGTGATAATTACTTCCGCATCAGTCAAACTCCTCTATCAAAGGGGCGTCAAGAACTACTGGACTGCTCTCCCGCCACAGAAATCGGCTCTATATCAAAGGAGACTTCCTTCAGGTATCTGAATCTTGCTCCGATTACCCACCAAACACCGGAAAACAAGAACGTTGCTCCGACAATGAGTGCAGCCCAGTTCATGTTGCCGATGTTTTCCCCAGTGACTGGAAGATACAGCGGCATGCTAGTAAGGAGTCAGCAATGACGTCTCGCTCGAAGGTTTTGTTAGGTAGTACGAACACGTAGATGACAATAGTCAGTAAGGCCCATGCAACAGAAACATAGTTCACAAGGTATCCCCATCTGCCAAGATCAAAGTGAGGGCGAGGGGGGAGAATTGAACGACCTCGGACAAGAGCCTGTTAAAATAGTCAGCAGCCAAATGATTGCGTGAGTGAACACTACTCACCACAGTAACTGGTATCGCATAGGCAAGGGCGAAACAAACACCAGCACCACTGACGATGGCGTTGTAGGCCAATTCACTCCCTAAAGAAATAAGTCCAATGATAACTTCAACTACCATAATGGCAAAGATAAAGTTCAAAGGAATCTGGAGCTTATGATCGATCTTCTGGAGACGATCGGACCATGGGAACGCCCTGTCCTCCGCCATGCGCCATCCTAGACGAGAACACGAAGAAAGAATGCCGGTGCAGACAAGCAGCTGAAGCACAGGGAGTTAGAGCCAACGAACGGTAGATGAGGCTTATATACTTACGTTTACGACACCAAACACGATTGCGACATAGATACCGGCGTACTCATTTCCCGCCACGTCTGAAAACCAGGTGACATATGGTGACCTAACCATAAGCTTGAGTCACGATAAGAGGGTTTGGGAAACTTACAAGGATGTCACGTACTCAGCGTAATTGCCGCAGCAGAACAGCAGAATGAGATCAGTGACGATGGTAGCAACACCAGAAAGGACCATGGACCAAACCATCGCTCTCTGCGTAGTGTCAGTAAGTTAAACCTTTACCAGGTAGGGAAGTACTTACTGGTGCATCTTGAGACGCGTTCTTCATCTCCTCAACCAAATGCATCATACTATCCGTACCATAAAGGCCATAAAGAGGGCTGTAAAAACTGAGTATGAACACCCACCCGTTATTCGTGTATCCCGAGTTGTTGATAAACTTGGTAAATACGAATGTCGCGCTGGATTTGGGGGCTGTGGCGAGTAGAGTGATAGCCCAGCCAAAGAAGCCGAGGATCGTGAAAACGGCTCCGACAGTGCTGTAGAAAGGGAGTGCACTGGGCTTCAAGTTCATCAGGAACGGGATAACCAGCAATCCGAGATATATCAAAAAGGTTTGGTAAGGCTTAGAGCGTCAGCGTATGGCATCACAGTAAGGGGGAGAGTCTCAATACCTTCCAGTCGATATTTGGATGAAAGATGGACACCATCGTGCCAATGATGTTGGCGGTATTCAAGGCGCAAGAAGAGCCAGTGGCAGTCTCAGCTAGAAGCAGACACCAACCGACGAAATATGACAGAAAAGGCCGGTACTTTTCGGTGGCGAGCTTCTGGACGTAGAACTGCTGACCACCTGCAGTAGGCCAGATGCCACAGTATTCAGCGAGTGAGGCCATGAGTAGGGTTTGGCCGATGGCGACGATGATGGATCCGTAGAGAAGCGAGGCTGGTCCACCGACGTCAAAGATGACACCATAGAAAACGACGACGCATGTCCATGTGGCACTTATCATAACCTGGTACGCGCATACTGTACTGCTGTCAGTATCGAAGACCAAGGAACTGTTGAAGAAGACTCACATGTCCAGAAATTGTAGACGCGATGCAACTCAGCCGACTTTCCGAGGGACTTGAGATACGCATCGTCGGTATCATACTGAAACTGGAACTGGCTGCCCTCGAGAACGGATCCATCGTAACAGATTGGTTCAGCCTTGATGTGTTCTTTAGGAGGATCCATATCCAGTGGAGATCAGAGGTAAAGAATATCGTCGTTGAGAATGTGGCGTGGTCATGGACTGGAGAATTCAGGAACAATGCCAAGATGCAAAATAGGAACCAATTTGGGAACAATGCTTTAAAGAAAGTGTCCGCAGTGGACGATGAGAACAGGAAAGGTCTATAACCAATTTCCCAAAGCGAATACACAAAGCAACATGACCAAAGACTGCAATCTAGATCCTGGTCGAGAATGCGGGGAAGATAACGTCAGGACAGCAACCACCAATGATGAAATAGTCTGCTATCGTTTACAGCTGCCACAATTCCTCACAGGCGCCATGGTTTCTCTCCCGGGCAGCCAAGTTAAGCCTTCCCCGGAATACACCGCGTTGCCGTTTCTCTCCCGACCAGCCTAGCCCGGGATAGCGTGTTCATGTGAGTTCCCAGGCCTTGGATGGATGTGAAAGTGGCTTTGACTTTTCTCTGCCGACCAACCTATCTCGGATTAGTGACGAGCTAGTGCGAACCATCGAATGCAGAGTCGTGATGATGATAGAGTCATATGCAAAACGAAGGAAGTCGAGATAAAATCTATAAATAATGCTAAAGACTTCACTGGCGTCTCAATAGAAACCATCGATCTTATCACTGTTTCAAAATGGCTCCACTGAGCACTGCTACCACTAAACCATCCTTTGCGCGCCTGGACGCAGCGGAACCATCTACAACGCCACAGAACCTTGTCGCAGCCATCAAACGTGACGGCGGCGTAATTGTCGAGAACCTTATATCTCGCCAGCTAGCAGAGCAGATCAGAGCAGATCTCAAACCGCATTTTGACTCTGATATTCCAGACTTGTCTGGATTCTTCCCCGTCACAACTCAAAGAGCAACTGGTTTGTTTAATGTTTCGGATGCGTGTGTTGAACTTGCATGTAACCATCTCTACATTGATGTTGCAAATGAGCTGTGCTCTTCGTCGTTGACGTATTGGGAACGGGACAAGAGAATCACTGTGAGCGGAAAGCCAATTGTTTCGTCGACTGTGGCGTTTCGGGTTAATCCAGGTGGCAAACAGCAGGTTTTGCATCGAGATGATGAGTGAGTATACCCTTTTGCCACGGTCTGGAATCAGTGATGAAATAACCTTGCATGGTGCATTGGTCTGGAATCATTCGCTGATTGAACGCAGCGACTACCATCCCCATGACAAAGAGCTCCCAGTCATGATTGGCTGCGTGACTGCTCTCACCAAAACCACGAGAGAGAACGGTGCTACGATTGGTATCCCGGGATCTCATCTCTGGGATAGTGATCGAAGACCCTACGATGAAGAGGCTGTTCCCGCGGAATTAGAGCCTGGTGACGCCTTCATCTTTCTGGGCAATCTGTATCATGCTGGCGGGCAGAATATTACCCAGTAAGCGGAAGCCAAAATCTTGGTACCTTTGCCCGTGCTAAATCACTTTGCAGAAACGAGTATCGTGAAACAGTTGGTATCTTCCTCTGCAAGCCCACGCTCCGTCCTGCTGAGAACCAATTCCTCATGGTTCCACTGGAGCGAGCAAGGCAGCTCACACCGCAAGCGCAAAGATTGCTAGGTTATGGGGTTTGTAAACCATCTTTGGGATTCATGAACTACCAAGACCCAATGAAGGTATTGTTTGGAGTTGAGGATGAAGAGACAGTGCTCATGTAAAGTCCATCGCCAATAGATTAGAACACAATGAATGGGCTTATCCGCTGCTCGTTGTCTCTTGCATACTGTATCCAGTTTTGAGCTGACACAGCTGCTGTTGCGCTCCAAAAGTCTCTCAGAAATTGTAATACTGCCGAATTACATGAGAAACCTGTCGCAGCTATGTTCTCAGTGAAGAGTCTCTCGATCATAACTTGCTTTTCGGTATGTAACTGACTGACTGTTCCGAGTATGAACAGTGGAAATGATATATTGTGCGAAACAGACTCTGTTGGCCAGGATGTCATGAAGATGATTTCGTTGTATAGACAATCAACTAGCGGGGGAATAGCGGCTGTCTTCTCGAGATCGGAAGCAAGTGCTTGGTAGCTGTACACTAGACAGGCGTAGTATTGTGCTTTGAGAACAGATTTGAGGCCTATCTGCAGGGTGATATCTTGTGACGGGGTAGAATCAATACGGGCGCAGACGGAGCTATAGGAACACATGAGCCTGTCTTGCCATATGGACATACTAGTGCCAGCAAGCACCTTGACTGCCTGAGAAGCACGATTTTGGTTTCTCTCGGTAACCGTTATCTCATAAAGTGCTTCAGTAAACTCTTTAAAATAGTCGTCAGAAGTTGCGTGCTGTGAGATGTGCTTAGGGCGTCTCAAAGTTGAGGTGAATGCAGAGATACTACCGAAGGCCTCCAAGTAGTCAAGCTCTTCCACGAAGAACTGAGAAATTAACTCTTCGTGTGGGTTTTCAAGGTCATATCTCTCAAATCCTGTGCGTACACCGCTCAGGTGGAGTCTCCATCCCGTAGAGTTTGGTATAAACATTTCTGCATAGCACAGAGAGATCATGGTGAGAATGATCTCAATGAGAACCGAGACTTCAGTATTCTTATCACACCGCGTCACTTCGCGCTTCAGCTCAGATTCCATGTGACGATTCAGGTAGTAAAGAGTTGCGTCTCGAAGATCTCGGTGTATCTGCACAAGGGCTGGCTTATCTTGGGGAGACACGACGGACATGTGGGCTGCTGCCAGTCCCAGGGTTGATAGCTGCAAGCAGGTCGAGCGTTGTGCAAGAGGGAGCACAAGGGTTCGCCATGGGTTGTTGGGCCCGTCTAGCCATGCAAGCTTTGATGCGACTTCGTGGTTGAAATGTTGAAAGAGAACTGCATGAGCTGCTTGACGGGCGTGACGATGGGCAAGCTGGATGCTCTGATTTGTGTGCGACAACGTGACCATGGAGTCTTCGGCGTGTGTTAAAGATGTACAAGTAGAGGGACTGTTGTCACTGGCGCGCTTCTTCACTCGAGCGGTTTGCGATTGTTTGGGGGCATCTCTCGCGGGTTGTTTGGTCGGAGGTCGTAACGGGACTGATAGTCCCGCCAATTTGTGTTGGAAATTCCGGGAATCCCCCTTCCTTTCAGGGTTTAGACTGTTAGACTGAAAGTCCTAGATTTAGAGTTCAAAGTCCTAGATGAAATCATCTAGAGATATAAACCCGAGAAGAACTCTCATCTCAATAATTAACAATCAAGTTTCATAAATATATTTTCACCCAGCACTACTGCGCAATATAAAAAACAGGTTATGAGCCCGGGTTAGCAAACACCGGGTTTCTCTTCTGAATCAAAGAACCGAACTTTAACTTCAACTCAAGATGACGTCACGACGAGCCCCACCTTCCACCATGCGAACTCGCAACACCATCAGAGTATCGCCTGCATCCGAATCGTCGCGACCTGGTGCTTCGGGTCAAGACCACACACCATCCTCAATGTATGACAGCACCACGGTCGTCTCCGAAAAGAACACTCTTTTCCTTCCGCAAGAGCTCAAGCTAGGCGGACCCTCCAATTGGGAACAATATTCCCCAGCTCAGAAGGCAATTCTTCGAATCAATGGTCTTGAAGATGCTGTCTTTAGCGACTACCCTCCCGAGGAACAGCAGACTATGGATCAAAAGATCAGGGCGGCAAAAGCTGCCGTCTCCATCCGAGGTAACTGCACTGGAGAAGCACTCAGTCAACTAGTCGGGATTGAGAATCCCCAAGAGATGTACAACCTTCTCCAGGCCTATTGTATTGGCACGGGCCCAGTTCTCCTGCAGACAACACTTTACCAGTTCATCCGGATCAAAACAAGCTCTTACGAGACAATTCCACAATTCAATGTCGACTTTGAACGACTCGTCAAACTCCTCCTCGAGCAGAAAGAGCCAATCTCAGATACCCTCAAAAAGGTTGTTTATCTGACTGCCTGCGAGAACGAGTACCCCGACTGGACTGCCAGACAGCGGGCTCTCCTACGCTCTGAGCATCCGCCAACACTACGATCAATGCAGCAAGATCTCATTGATGAAAACAGGTCATCAGATGATGATGATAGTCATGGTACTGCCTCTACGTACTGGGCTCACAGTAAAAAGACTGGAAGGAAGGGCCCGACCGCAAGAAAGCAAGAGGCAAGTGGCCGGAGGAGAGGCTCTTCAAAGAACCGACGAGCCACGAACAAATCCAGCCAGGAAACCAATCATCGGATCGGCAAGCACAAGGACCATACCTGCACGAATTGCAAGAAGAGAGGTCATCACGAAAATGATTGTTGGTTCGCTCATAAGGATAAGCGACCCGACTGGGCAGTCCGTCTCGCCAAGGAACTCATGGAGCATGACCTTCAACGCGACAACACCAAGAATCTCCATATCAAGGAATCAAATCACATGACAGTCGAGCGATCTTTTCTGATTCTTGAAGACAGCGTCTCAGACGAGCTACCTATGGACAATACAGAGGCGTGTAAGGTCTCCCTTGATAACATTTCTTCACCCACGGCATGGCTGTTCGACACAGGTTCGTCAGTCCACATCTGCAACGACCAAAGTCTGTTCACAGAGCTGCAGCCTGCAACTCGAACGGTCCTCGTTACGGGCGGTGGGAAGGTGTACCCATCCGGCCGAGGGACAGTCAAAATTTGCTTCATAAATAAATGGGGCGATCAGGTCCCAGTCAACCTCAAAGACACGCTGTTCATCCCTGAGTTTCCGGTAAACGTCATGTCAGGGCTCAGGCTGTACAAGAACGGCGGCTGGATTGACGGTAACGACATATACGACCCAACAGGAGACGTCTTTGGTCTCCTCCGCATAGGAAGGGACGGTCTATACGTCAACACTGAGGTCGGAAAGACTGCCGTTTCAAACCAGGCCGTCTCCGAACTCCAGCCAGAACCATGCAATCACCACATTGTTTCATCAAAGCAATGCCTGGATGTCGATCTTTGGCACCGAAGACTCGGCCACGTCAACATATATCAGGTATCGCAGACTGCCAAAATAACCAGAGGAATGTTCTGCGACAGCCACCACAATCATGAACCTTTCAATTACTGTCTCGCCTGCGACATCGCGAAGGCCCTACGATGGACTCCACGAAATAAACGGAAGCGAGCCTTGAGGGCCGGGTTCATCCATGTTGACACCTTCAAAGTCAATCCACCGGGCATTAGAGGCGAACGATGGGGAATGATTGCCACAGATGACAGGCATCGAATGAGATGGGCCTACACATTCACGAGGAAGGGGATGGCTTCGGAACTTCTAGGCCAGCTCATCTCCAAGATACAAACTCAGTATGGCATCCAAGTGTACGCAATCCAGATGGATGGCGGCTCTGAGCTCTATGGTGCGTCTCTCAAGAACCTCGAGTACACCCACGGCGTCAAGATCATCAAGACGACACCATATACTCCTGAATTTAACGGAGTTGCTGAGCGCTCTAACCGCATCATCTTTGACAAAGTCAGAGCAACCATGGAATCGGAAAGAATCCCGATAGAGCTCTGGCCATTGGTCCTGGAAGACATGGTGCGCAAGACAAACGTGACAGCCACCAGGGCAATTGATGGCCTCACTCCCATGGAAAGCTTTCTCAATGAAGCCTTGCCCGGACAAGACAACAAGCCGGATCTATCCGGAGAACGAATCTGCGGCTCACAAGTCACGATACACATACCGCAAGAACGAAGATTGAGATCACACAAGTTTGGTCCAAGAGGAGAGGCTGGAATCTACCTATGCATGGAAGGTTCACAGATTTACACCTGCTGGGTGCCCTCTCGCAGAAAGGGACATCAGATCGTCCGCTCTGCAAATGTGCAATTCTACGAAAAGGTTGGGGAGACAGAATTCCTGACCGAAACTGAGCATGATGTTGAGCCGGAAATCCGCAAGAACGGAGCTCCCATCTCAAGCCGGCCACAGTCCGTCACGGAGCAGACAAAGACTCCAAGCCCACAAAGGTCTGAAGTGAACAATCTTCAGCATGCTGAGGTGCATAATCCCCAGCATGGACAGACGACAACATCCATGACATCAGCTAAGCTGCCCGATCTCCGAAAAGAGGTGATCACTGAGCCCAAAACAATGACTGAAGCGCTTCAAGGTCCGCAAAGGGAGCATTGGCTCAGAGCAATACACAGTGAGCTGCGCAGTCTCCTCACGAAAGGAACTTGGCGCATGCTGGACCGCAACCAAGCTCACAATAGGCCACTTACAGTCAAGTGGGTATTCAAGGTCAAGAAAAACGAGGACGGCAACCTCGACAAGTTCAAGGCGCGGCTGGTGGTCAGAGGCTTTGAACAACAGTTCGGCTTTGACTACAACCAGACCTTTGCCTCTGTTGCCAAATCGGCGACTTGGAGAATCCTCCTCACTGTTGCTGCCTGTCTTGACTGGGAAATTGAGCAGATGGACGTGTCGACGGCATTCCTGGAAGGGGACCTCGACGAAGAAGTCTTCATCGAAATGCCGGAAGGACTTGTCGAGTATTTCGACCAACACCCAGAAGACCGTCCGCCAGGATTCTCAACCGAGAAGATCTGCAAACTGATCAAATCGCTCTATGGACTCAAACAGGCGCCTCGGCAATGGCAAAAGAAGCTGAAGGAGACCTTGGAATCCCTTGACTTCAGACAAGCAACGTCTGACACGGCCGTATATCACAATCCCACAACGGGAGTGATCATCATCACATATGTGGATGACTTCCTCATCATGGGCAGCAACAAGGAAGCAATCCAAGGGTACAAAGCCCGCCTGGGAGAGATCTTCACAATGACTGATCTCGGTCCCGTCAGCCATTTTCTTGGAGTAAGAATAACCCGAGACAGGAACTCAAGGCTGATCTACCTTTCCCAGGATGCATATTTTACCAGAATACTAAAGAAATTCGGCTTGGAAGATTGCCGACCGGTCAAGACCCCCATGGAGCGAAATTCACTCTCGACACTGCAACCAAGAGACAATGGCGACTCGGCTTCTCCAGAGGAACGAGAAGACTATAGCTCGAAAACCGGCTCGCTGATGTATGGAATGACCCAAACCAGACCCGATTTAGCTTTTCTACTCTCGGTACTCTCAAGATACATGTCGAATCCATCACCAGCACATTCACGATTGATCAAAAGAGGTCTTCGCTATCTACAGCAGACAAGAGACCACGGCCTGCTGCTTGGGGGCATCAAGAAAGATCCTGAATCCGCTTGGAGCATCACAGCTTGGGCCGACTCGGATTGGAAAGGCGACACAGTTACGGGAAGATCGACGTTTGGATGGCTCGTTCAACTTGAAGGATCTACAGTCTCATGGAGGACCAAACGGCACGAAACAGTAGCACTATCGACCACCGAGGCTGAATACACAGCACTCTCCCAATGTGCCAGAGAATTGGCCTGGACTAGGAACCTCTTCTCTGAACTGCTCCTGCCACTACATATGCCTATTCCACTGAACGGCGACAACCAGGGTTCCCTAAAGCTATGCAGAAACCCTGAGCTTCACCAACGGACAAAGCACATTCCGTTAACCGAGCACCATATCCGAGAAGAAGTTGAAGCCGGGAACATTGATGTGCAATACGTCAGCACACATGAGCAGGTAGCAGACGGACTCACTAAACCGTTGAACACCGTCAGCCATGGCCACTTTCTAGAAGCAATTCGAGTTAGTGCATGTCCGATCGAGGAAGCAGGTCGTATTATTTGGAGTACTGAAGTCCACGATGACTCTGTGCCCTGAAGACAAGGTGGATGGGGGCGTGTTGGAAATTCCGGGAATCCCCCTTCCTTTCAGGGTTTAGACTGTTAGACTGAAAGTCCTAGATTTAGAGTTCAAAGTCCTAGATGAAATCATCTAGAGATATAAACCCGAGAAGAACTCTCATCTCAATAATTAACAATCAAGTTTCATAAATATATTTTCACCCAGCACTACTGCGCAATATAAAAAACAATTTGCCTCTACTAGCTACTCCCTGATCCCATCTCAAACGAAGTCCGTAGCCCGGACAATCGAGTCCTCGACTACAACACTTTTGACATGAAGGGACGCTTCGGTCGCATTTTATGCGCCTTCTTATGCATGTCTTACAGTCTGGGCAATCAGTAAGTCATATTTCACAGACATTGACATCGGCCATACTTACTCTGAGCAGCAACTTCACGATCCGATGACAAGGAGTCAAGGCGAATATTCCGCATTTCGGTCTAAGCTTACACTCAGAGTATCAAGATTCAACGGTTGACACCAACGACCGTTGGAAATCGATTGCCTTATCATGCTGATCTGCACGCGACGGCTGAGAGGGGAAGACGCGCATCATGAACCCCGCTTTCTAACGACTTGACGTTAGTTGGCAGACGGCGATTGATACGAGAAGTGCCCTATCTTCATACCCGATTAGGAAATGTTTCACGGCCAGGCCTGAAGGGGCTTATCGATATGGTCACAAGTTAGGGCGCTCGTTGTAATACCGTCTCAATAACCGCCTGTCGGTTCATCCTTCCCGGTATGGTTGTTAGTTGCATGGTTTATTTACTTAAGCTGCAGATATAAATAGTGAGTCTGACATAAACTCCCTTCTCTCCCCCTATAATAAGTTTGATCATTATTCGCTATGTAACTACAGATAAGCCTGGTGACGCTGAAGGCTCAGTCATAACTATATACAGGAAGGACTCCAAGTTAAACAAGCCAAAGACTGCTTAAAAATATCGAGGATAATCTCCACTGAACTTTAAAGTTTGCTTGATGGCGCTGCAGAGCTTCTCGTGAAAGTCTTGAGTCTTGATCAACTTTTGTTGGCAGAGTTGAGCGGGCTGTCCTGGACCTTAGATATATTGCTGAGGCTGTCAACGTCCCCCTAGCGCGGTATTTTAGTGACCGGCTCGTGCATCAAGCCCAAATACCGACTTCGCGAAATTGTCATACGATATGGAAAATGGTGGCTGAATTCTGAATAAAATCTTGGCTTAAGACATCTCAGGCTTGGAGCCAATCAAAAGACCCCGACTTCAATCGAGCTCGTCGTGGGGCTGAGATGCCTGAGACCACGATTACCCCTTTCTTCATCTCAGATTTGTTGACGAACATCGATCAACCGTCCAGCTGCCAATTTAGAGCCAAGTTCCCATTTTGATGTATTGCTGAGACTTTAGTAAATAAATTATATCATTCTCAGGAATATTTATACTGACTATTACTTTTTTTTAGCCGTAATATAAGCTTATAAAAATAGTTTATGTGAAATAACTTCATCCCTTGCTTCAGTTTACCACTAGCCGCTGTTTTCCTAAACATAATCAAACTAACCCAGTTATGCCCCAAGAATTAAAATAATTGAATTTCCTTCAAATACCTGATCTCAAAGAGCTCCAAGGGAGTCTGAATCAATTTGGTGGTCGGGCGCGCCATTGAAGCTTCAGCTTTCAAGCATCGGCCACTAAGGTTCTATGGAGATCTCACCATTGAAGCTGTTTCATTTCCATTTGTGGATTTTACACATCGAGAGCATTCCAAGTCTTGGTATGAGTAGACCTGCGAGATGCTCAAGCCTCCGTTATCCCTTTCAGGTGTTCACTTTGGGCGCTGGTAGGTCTAGTTAATGTTTTAAATATTTTCTGGCTTAACACATGCCAGCCCTCCATTTCATCATTCTCTGACTCTTGGCATCTTAAATAATCATAACCGCTCACCTCATGATTTTGCAAACCGAAGTTCTATCAACGAAGCATCATGGCCAACTTAGGATTTGTCTCTCTTCTGCTGGGCAGTCTGGCTCTTCCAGCCGTTGCTTTTAACGATTTGGAGCAGATGCCCGAGTCTTGGTGTGTGACCTACCTGTCGACTTACCTCGTTCCCATATCAGCCGCTACAAGCTCACCTGCAGAGAGTTCATTGCCTGGTATCGAATCTTCTGCGAACCTGGATATCTCTGTCACTTTGAATCCCTCTTCATTCCTCTCACCAGAGGAAACTTCCTTTGCACCAGGTATTACCTCCTCTGTAATAACCACAGAGGTCGAAACAGCCCTTCCATCTTCCACTACAGGTCCCAGTACCGAGAACGAGCGCCTCATTTTCCGCATTATTCCTGATACCCCAGATAACAACCGACTGCGCAGGCGAGCAACGGGAGGGTTCATCGGTTCTCCGTCTGAGATTTGTGACAATGCAGCTGTATTCAACTTGGTTGATGGAGAGCTCTTAGTCGGTAACGTCCCCATCTACTTCAACGGAGAAGACTACAAGGTTTTCGGCGCCGAGCAAGGAGGAGTCCCTAGTGGCGCCATTACCAGGACGTTCTTCCGTGATGGAGACATTCTGCGATTCCAAAGCTCAAGAATCATCCCAAACGGCGAGGCTGGCTTCTGTCAGACTCCGTCAGATGATCAGGTTTACATCACCTTTTCTTCGGAACCCGCCGGTTGTGTTCCGGTCAGACTCTCCGCCATCGGAGGTAAGCTAGCCCTCAACTCTCTTACTGTGCAAGGCTAATTCCGTTATAGTTCAGGAGTGTCAAGACGGGGACGTAACTACAAGCGATGCTACTACTAGTGAAGTCCAACAGTTCACATCTGCGCCATCCCTGGAATCAATCATCTCTGTTCCTTCCTCTTCTGACGAAGTTCCTCCGGGGGTCTCAACGCGCCCTACAAAAAGCCAGCCGCCGATCGTAACAACACAGCCAAATGGGGTTGTCACCACAAAGAACGCCATTACAGAGCCTATCCCATCAAGCACTTTCAGATGGTCAAACGCCTCATCTTCTTTCCAGCCACCACCAGAGACCTCAGAGTCCTCTTTCATTCCCTTTAGCACTTTACTTTTCACATCTGAGTCAACCACCCTGGCAGAAATAATTTCCAGCACGTATACTATTGAACCAGAGTCTTCCACTGTCGAAGAGCTCACCTCAACCACTGATGCTCTACCAACGTCTGAGATTGAGACAACAACAGTGGAAGCCAGCACCACGGCTGAAGCTACAACAAGCGCTGTTGAAGAAACCACGACGAAACCCTCAACCGTTGAGACTACAACGGATACCACTACTGAGGAGTCAACAACAATCCCTACCACCGAGGAATCAACAACAGATATTACCACTCAGGAGACGACAACAGGCACTACCACTGCAGAGACAACAGACACTACTACTGAGCAATCAACAACAGATACTACCACTCAGGAGACGACAACAGACACTACTACTGAGCAATCAACAACAGATATCCCCACTACCACCACTTTCACCTCTGCTCTCGACTCAACGACAGAAACCACTACTGAGGCAGCCACAACAACCACTGCAGAAGCTTTCGCGCTAATCGTATGCCCTTCGAACCCTCAGCAGTGCATCGCTACCTTCCAGATTCAGTGCGATCAGGTTATTGGTGGTATTCCTTTAGCCCCCGGCGCCAGGACTGTAGATGAATGTGCTCAAGACTGTTTCAACGATCCGACCTGTATTATCTTCACTCATTCTGGAACTCAATGTTTCCGGACTTCAGACGCCTCAGACAACCAAGGCTCGTTTTCAATTCCGGGCTGGACTAGTGGTATTAAAGGAACTTGTTAAGTGTAACTATAACTGGCTTTTACTTTTATCCATTAGTAGACAATATCCTTTGCAAGATACTTTCCATACTAGACCTTTATTCATTTTTACTTTACTTGAATATTAGATTTATGCTTTATGACACCTTATTTGTTTTTTTTTTTAAAAAAAAAACACTTTAACACTAAATGTTTATCCATTGATGTTACGAGACTGGTACTGTTGATATGCATGATATTCTTTGCCTGAACACTTCAATATTGAGTGGTTCATTCCGACCATACTTTGTAGGCAACGCGCGCCCTTTAAAGGAGTATCCATTCGCGTCTCTTTTGTTAATGTTGAATCCCTGTTGTATGATATCTGCAATGAGAATAGACGCGGTATATGTTCATGTCCGAAATGAAAACAGCCTGGTTCAACAGGAACTCCATTCCAAGCCAAGTTTTTGAACATTTAATCAGAACAAGCCGTGACGAGTTAGTCAATCTTGCATGGCTGGAAAACCTTGTTGAGATTTGGGGCAAAAAAGAAAAGGAAAAAAGAAAGCATGATTGTATCATGAGGCGACTCTCCCGCCGGGAATTGAACCCGGGTCTCAAGCGTGACAAGCTTGCATACTGACCACTATACTACGGAAGATTAACAGGTTGAAACCTGCTGTAGCGGAGTTCGATGGCCAGTGGTCCGCTAACCCAATCTAAGTACCTGAGCCTAGATTCATGAAGCGAATATCTCTGGTCAATATTTTAATGATGGCTCATAAGTAAGGCCATGACCTCTGCGCGACATTTGTGAGAGACTGTCTGCAGCTGAACTGATCATAACCTTTTTACTCCCTTCAGAGAATTCTTCGTTTTCTCACGTTAATGTTTCAGAGCACGCAGACATCGGTAGACTTGTCTGTCATAAGTCTAAGTATTCAACAATTAATCATGACCGTGAACAGCTCAGTCTCAATGCGGGATTCCGAAGTGGAGCAAATGATAAAGAATTCCGATATTTTGAGCAATATCTCATGCTGAAAGTATGGTTACGCCGATCAAACATTCCTTCTGCATCCTTTTATGGGTGACGCGACCCACTGATATTCCTTCGGCTCCGCTGTTATGAGCACTGCCGTGTTTTCAGCTGTGATGTTGATACAGAAACACACTAAAATCTGACATGGTGACGAGTTTCACTCAGGGACCGGTTATAATATAATGTAGATCGGCAATAGCAGATGAAATCAAGGCGTTATATCACTCAAGACACGGGTATATAGTAGACTTCAATAAGGTCGCCATGATGTTGCCCTCAATCAGACGTCTTCAAACTCCAGCTTCCAACTTCTTATGTGATTCAGAACTAAGCATATTGACAAGTCCCAATCACCTTCATCATGAAGTTGTCGATCGCATCAACCCTCCTCTTCCTCGGTCTCGCTTCAGCTCAATATGGCGGCCAAATCAAGGTCAAAGACGACGGCTGTCCCCAATTCACCGCCGGCGAAAAGTCGCAGCCTCTCAGCTGGGTAAAGGGCAACAACATCTGTGCCGACCTTTCGGATATTTGCCCCGATGGCAAATGCTTTATGGCATTTCAAGCTCTTGTTACGGGAACAGACAGCAGAACGCCTGCTAAGATGGGAGCTTGTCCTACCGACGATTGCTCGTCGGATTGTCAGACTTGGGACGTCGAGTCGCAGAGTAACAGCATCAGTGTTGACTGTGCCGAGTTTACTGGGCAGCATTACTTTTACTTGGGTGACTGAGGAATTGGACTTCAGGTAGTTATGAGGAACAGTATTTGTCAAGGAAAAGCAAGCTCAGTGCGGAAATGGGACTGAAAGCCAATAATTATCATGTTTACCATCAAGTCTAGCAATAAAAGCAAGCACATGATGTCACAATAATATTTCTCGATAGCTATTCAATGTTGTTTCACCGTAGTTAAGAACTTTTGCTAGCTCTGTGCTTGGATGCATAACTTTCAGTGCAAGCTAAGGGTAAAGAATATTCTGCGTAACATAACGGTTTTATTTGTCTATTTGGCAGCGCACGCTCCAACTCCTGTCAGATATTCGCTAAAATCTCATCACGGCGCTGAGATCTACTGATTTACTCAAGCATAAACGGGCAGCCTCATTCAGGGTTTCAACGAGAGACATGCTGTTTGACTACAATGCATTGAAGGCTACTATGTTTCATGAATCTGTGAAATTTTTCCGGCCTCCTGATCATGGCCGAGCTCCGGTTATGCAAGTGTCGTTCGTGTTAAGCTGGCTGCTATATGGTCGGAACTAAGCATTCATGTGAAGCCGTCTAAGCGAATGTATATAACGGCGGCTATATGCTTATTAGCGATTATTTGCTTTTGACCCGAGGGTTCGGTTAAAAGTCATCCCATCAAGCACATCAAAAAAGTACTCTGCGCCGCTGAAAACAAAACTGGGTTCCAGAAATACGGGAGATGGCCAGAATAAGCAGAAGCTCCACGCCTGAAACAAGACCTAAGCCCGTGGCGAAATCCTCATTTTTCGGAATCGCACCATTCATATTCGCCAAGATGCAATGAGAGCAAGGTCCAGGAGAGGAGGGGAGTACGAGGGGCGACACAGTTTGTCGGATAATATATCGTGTCAGTTCGGCACATTCTTTGCTTGCGTGAAGATCATGTTAGCGACTATTCGAAATGGTGAGTTCGGCGTTTGTGGGCGAACCGCCTGCTACTGAAGATGATTTCTATGTTGTTCGTGGCATTCTTCGTACTTATGGCCTCAACAATCTCAACGCAAGCGCGGGCTTGATGTTTTCGATCCAACGACCTGATAATCCACCCGACGATTCGAAGAAACCTGCAATCTTGGCGGGTATGATCTTGGTTATACTGGCGATTGTTGTGCCGACGGTTGCGAGAGTTATTATTCGTTTGAAAGGAGCGCGGACGCAGTTTGGTACAGACGACTGGGCTATCATAGCCGCTGCAGTGAGTCGAATATGATGTTGAGAGGTCCCCAGCTAACGGTTGAAGTCTTTGGCAGTCAGCTACCCATGCATCGTTATAGCAATGCTTGCACAGACGGGAGCCGGTCGACACACATACGAAAGCACGTACGAAGAATATAACCTCTATTTCTACTATCTATCGGTGTGCAGGATCATATTTTACGTCTCAGTCGGCCTGATCAAGGTCTCTATCACACTGTTCGTTCGTCGACTTGCGGATAGAGCATCGAAGAAGTGGAGGCTCTTCGCGGATATCTTTCTTGGCACAGTGGTGATCTACATCCTTCTCGCAATCTTCTGTAAGTTGGACCTTGGCGCTGGAGTAGTAGAGGTTCTCAGGTTACTGACTTTGCAAAGGGTTCGTGTTCACATGCAATCCCATTCAGTTTGCGTGGGATAAGAAGTTTGGCGGTTCTTTGGAGAAACCACCAGTGTGCATCGACACTGGTCTGCAGAATAAATTCCTGAGCAGCATGCATGTTGCGCAGGTGAGTCAAGTCGCTTCTTTGGTGTCAATACATTTCTAACAGTGATTTTCTAGAGTATTGTGCTTCTCCTTGCACCAATTATTATTCTCTGGTATGTGAAAATCAACACCACCAAAAAAGCCCGCCTCTTCTTCATCTGGCTCGTCGGCGGCACAACAGTCCTCGGCGGACTCCTCCAGCAAACAATGGTAACCATAACCAACGACTCATGCTGGCAATTCACATCCGCCATGCGCTGGACCGTGCTCGACCTAACATTCGGCACACTTACCGCCTCACTGCCTGTTTTGGACGCAGCGATAATGGGGACTTGGAGCTCCATAAAGACAAAGATTGGAACGTCGGGTTCCCACTCGAGATCTAGAACACAGGGATGGACGGATCTGGAACATGATACGAGGAATACTACGACCGTGAGGCGGGCTACAGCGGGAGATTCGGATTCGATTGAGAATATCATTGGTGGGGATAAGGGTGGTGTTGTGGAAATGGGGATTTTGAGGACGGATGAGGTTGAGTTGACTTATGATTCGGATCCGGGGATGAAGAAATATCATGCGAAATAGTTAAAACTCAGAGGAAAAGGTTCTCGGTTTGGTCTGATAGCTCTTTCTTAACAGAGCAACACCACATCCAAGTACAATCGCGAGAGAGATTCTACTCATGTCACCTTTCTAAGATTCCTGATCTTACAGTAACGAGCATCATCGCAGCAGCGCCGTTGAAGACGATGCAATGATGGTTCGAGGTTGGAAGCAACGCCCCACCAAGATACCGGGAATTAAATCCTCCAAACTTGAAATGCCCCGTCGGCTTCGCTTCTCTTGGATCCAGAAGCTCGGATGGCCTAGTGTCGCGTACCCACATTCCGCGCACACCCCCCTTCCGCGCACCACCTTCAATCATCGTGATGACTTCAATATATGATATCTCAATTAATTCATACGTAAATTAAATAGCGCAAAATGGAATTATGATCTGCTCTCGTCTGCGACTATAATGGTGTCGTTCTTTTTCCTAGATTCTGCCTTTTCAGCCTCCCTTTTCCGCTTCTTCATAAGCCTCTCGTTTTTCAGCTATCGGGCATGTTAAATCTCCTTGCGCCCCGGATAACGGGCTTGGGGGTGCCAAATGACCTTCTGTCGAGGCTGTGGCTTTTGTAAGTCTATTTCCATCTGCAGAAAAGTTAATTTCTGCCTTTCTATGGTATTTTGGGCCTTCAAATGATCTAGCTCTTCGGCAGCCTTGGTCCCCAGGTGACGGAGATTCCTCTCGTACCCTTCTTTCTGCAATTAGAGCTCTTTTAACTAAGATATTAGTTCATTTCCACTCTTTAGTATATATGGCATAACCTGTAATATTACCCTTTAGTATTAAGGGGTCCTGGGGGCGTCATTTTAAGCCGGTGCTTAAGAAGCTACAATAACGTTTTCTAACGCCCTTTTCAACGAGATTGGCCAGATTCCAGCGCCTCTAAAGCCTGCTCATATATTCCTCTCTATAATAGCTTCATCTATAGCTTTTTTATATATCTAAATAAAGCGCTGTTTATAAATTGGCGCCGTAGCGTTAAAGCCGGCATATGGCTTCGCAAGGCACTTAAAAATTGCCTTCGCCAGGCCGAAAACACCAACATCAAACGGCTAAGTGGCATATGAAGAATGCGGCGGCAAATACAGGATCTATACTTTATGAAATAATGCTATAAATCGGAATTAAATAGAGACGTGACTAGTGAATCTATTAACTATAAGAAGTCTCCAATCGAGCGGGTTTTTGGGCTTTATATGCGGTAGGAAGGTCTCCTAGAGCCACTTCAGATAGATATCTTGAGTTGCCTAGCCCGTCTTACTGATATCATATCCCTAGTTAGGAAAATGCTCTAGAAACTACTGTTCTTGGAGATAATCTCCTTAGAAAACTATAGTCGGTCGTAGTCTTCTTCCTTCTGCATTTCCTGACTCCAAAATCGACACCTAATTGCGCTAATCGCTCTCTATAACAATAGCCTGCTTTATGAGGTTATTACCAAGCACCTTTCCTGACTTTATAAGCCCTTCCTAAAGTCCATGCTTATCTATATTGTATATCCTTAATGGTATAATCCCCAATTCTTTAACAGTCAATAATAACATATCGTAGAAGCGTTAGAGGAGGACGGGAGTAGTATTGTTAGAACGAGCGGCTTCTAAATATATAGATGGCTTTATTTTGATATCCGTATGGCATCGTAAGAATCTGTCTAGCTAGTTGCGCCTGATCGTGATTCTAATCGCGTTAGGGTTTGCAATCCTATTAGCGAGATCACGTAGCTTACTTCTCGAAAGGGCGCGCCTATAACGCTCTTCGTGCCTTAAAAAGTCGGCAATTTCCTTCTCTTATACAGGCGATAATAATTGATGGCTTTCCTGACCTTTTTGAGCTATCTGGGCGCCTTTTAATTGATTACGGAGCATAGACTCGTTTTTCCTATATAAGGTTATGTAATAACATAAAGACTTGCTATTCTTTAGCCTTTCTTAGATCTCTTTAAGATCAATCTATCGAGCTTCTTCAGGAGTCACCATGGTGAAAATTTGGAATTTTTCTGATATTATTTAATGGTGTTTTGGGGAGAATTATAATTAGGGGGTTAGGAAATTACAGTCGCAGGGAGTGCGCAGAAGGTGGGGGTGCGCGGAATGTGGGTACGCGACACTAGATAAGGCAATAGGGCCTTGATGCCAAGTGATGGGTTCCCGGTGTAAATGCGGCGCGGTAATTTCTCCGTATATCCGGGTCATGCTAACTTTATTGAGATCTAACGGGAACGACCATAGGGTTGGCATCGTGTCAGAATCGTTCGATCTTTATAGATGGAGTATTGACGATTTGGAGCCCGAATAAGGATTAAAATGTTTTGGTGAGTCGTCCATAATTATATTCCTATATATCAGGACAGTATAGACAATCGCCCGTCAGACTTGTCTTGTCTTGAGATTAGATCGGCCAACATTTGATGCTGATTTCTTCCTTCAATCATCCGCCAAGCCTCTCCTTGACGTTTACTTCACTCAATGCGATTGGCGCGAGAACGGAATACAACAGCAAATTAAACCCTTGATTTGCTATAAACCTCTCAACTCCCGAAGGATTTATCCATCTCGAACATAGAGAATAGCCACTCTCTACATCCTTAATCACCAGTCACTCGTTTAGACAAAAGTCCAGAGTGTTTTCTGGCAGCCGTTCATTTTTACACCTTCAATTACTTGATTAATCACAATGGCGCGTTTCGTCCTCAACTCACTCCTGTTACTCAGCAGCGCTCTGGCGTCTCCTGTTCAAGAGCGCAAGGTGGACTGCACTGGTACGAACGCCATTAGCATGCATTGCCGCTCGAGCGAGGTCCCATACACGAGAGACTTCTTCTACATTGGTGGTCGTTCTGCAAAGGGAGCTTCTGGAACAATTACTGTTGATCAAATCTACGTGGAGAAGTTGACGCCTACTAAACAGTGGATTCAAAAGCATCCTCTTGTCTTCTTCCACGGAGGCGGTCTCTCGGGAAGTACGTGGCTCAACACACCCGATAACCGCGAGGGTTGGGCTAGCTACTTCACCAAGAGAGGCTATGTTGTGTATCTGGTTGATAACAATGCCATCGGTCGCAGTGCTGAGAATGCTATCGCTAGCTTTCCCATGGCTGCTGGCTCAGCAACTGAGACTGTCATGAAGTTTTTCACTTCTCCTGAGAACTACGAGACTTATCCTCAGGCTAAGCTGCATACTCAGTGGCCTGGTACTGGAGCTGATGGCGACCCTGTGTACGACCAGTTCAAGAAGTCGCTGATTCCTCTTACCACCAATTTTGTTGGTCAAGAGAATGCTCTCCGTGCTGGTGGCTGCGAGCTGCTCTCTCTTCTTGGCGAGAAGGCATTCCTCATCTCCCATTCACTTGGTAGCAGAAACCCCCTCCTACTTTCCAATGATTGCCCCGAGTATATCGCTGGTAGCATTAACCTTGAGGCTGCTACTTCACCTTTCTGGTCTTATGCTGAGGGACTAGGTGGATTTGCTGGTTCGCCTTGGGGTTTGACCAACACGCCTGTTACTTACGACCCTCCCGTCAGCGACCCATCTGGTAAGTTCACCATCACACTCACTATCCCCGAGACCTTTGCCAACCATGTATCCTAGAACTTGAGAGCGAGTCAGTTGGAGAGGAAACCCTCGCTCATCGTAACTGCTATCGTCAAGTCGAGCCCGCCCGCAAGCTTCCCCAGATCAACAAAGTCCCCTACCTGCTCCTGACTGGCGAAGCTTCTGTTCACATCACATACGACCACTGTGTCATCGACTTCCTCAAGCAGGCTGGTGGCAAGCCTGAGTGGATCAAGTTAGCTGACTGGGGCATAAAGGGTAACGGCCACTTCTTGCATGTTGAGAAGAACAATATGCAGATTGCTGGTATTGTTGATGCTTGGATTCAGAAGAAGCCTTTCAATGGCACGAAGAGTGCCTAATGTTACAAATATTCGTAGCTTCTATAGACCAACATGAATGATACCCTGGTTGGGATTCCTCGACATGTACACTGAGCCAATCCTCCGCCACCCGCCTCTAATGATACATATCGTGATCTGATAGCCAACTAATAACTATATCGGAAAGCTCTGTCCTCCTTGTCTGTCAGGTCAGACTTGGGCAAACCATTCTTATCCAAAATGACCTCGCCAGTGCTGTGACACTCTCCAGCCATGTCTCTCGTCTTGTTTTCTCGAGTGCACAGAGTGCGATAGATAATCATTGTGAGGAACAAGAGGCACCAGGTGACGATACTGGTGATGACACCCTCTCGATATCGAGGGCCGTTGGTCCATAGCTGGGGTGATCCGATACAGCCTGCGCAATATCCGATGAAGAACATGCAGTTCACTAAAGCTCTCTTGGTGTTCCCCTTCACGTTCGAAGCTGAAAGGGAGAGAAGGATCGACATCGAAGCTGTAATGCAAGACGACTATCCAAAGGGTCAGTAAATATCGGATACAAGAGAAAGCATTAAACTTACCACCCATGATGCAGCGATCAAACCCCAACCGGCGTCGACATCAAGCTTCATCAAGAAGACATTCCCGATAAGAGGCGGGATGATGAGAACTAGCACGACCAACGATCGCTGGTTGGGGAACAGAGTGCAGAGTCCAACTCCAATCCATAAGAGTCCAATCTGAACTGCTCCCGATGGCGCCGTGTAGAGCATTGTCTCGAGCTGCGTGTAACCGATTGACTTGATGACAAGAGATGCAAAGGTAAGCACGGGCGACTGCATCGTAACCAAGACTCCGAACCAAAAGACAGCCCAAGCCTTGGGGTCCAGGAGAGTCTCTCGAAGTTGACTGGTGCTGAAGCTCGTCTTGTCACCTCCCTCACGATCATGAGCCATGCGCATCGACAGCACCTCGCGCTCTCGGGGAGTCAAAAACCAAGCATCTCTCGGGCCATTAGGCATGAGCGTAAAGAACGCAATACCGGCAACGACCGTCATGGCACCACAGACAAGGAACAGGGTACGCCATGGCGCAAGACCAAGGGACGTATTCTTTCCAATGCCGTACATGAGAAGGCATCCAATGACTTGCGCAACACCGTTCATGGTAACCCAAAGAGCAGTGCGGAGGGTATGTTCTGATTTGCGGTACCAGATGGATGTGATGGTGACGAACGCGGGTGATACGGCACCTTCGCTAAAGCCAAGAAGGAAACGAACGGCGGCGAAACCGGCGAAGTTGTGAGGTGCTGCGAGACACATGCAGATGGTGCCCCAGACGATACTGTTGATTGTCAGTAAGGACTGAGTAAGTGGAGGGATGAACGTACACTGTGACTCCGACAAACTTGGTGAGATGAAGTCTGCTCATGAGGTAGATACATGGGTATTCGGCGACCAGTTGACCAACATAGAAGATGGAGCTGCACCACGAATACTGGGAGCTGGTCAGGTTGAGATCGTCGATAAGACCAAAGACAGCGGCGTAGCTGAGACTTTGCTTGTCGAGGTACTGGAGGAAGAAGACAAAGCACATCTGTAGACTTTGTGAGTCATGAAGACACTTGATGGCGATGCCGTCACTTACGAATGGCAGGATGACCATGTCAATCTTGCGAAGAACAGCTTTTTCTTCTTCGGGAGTGTATGAATCGTCCATGTCAAGGATTTCGCCCCTTGCCTCAGGCTCATCAGGCTTGGGCGCAGACATTTTCTTTTCAAGAGCATTATCCATGATTGCAAAAAGAACTGTAGAAAAACTTGGATTAGAGATGTCCAGGACTCAATTAACCCAAGTGCATGATGGACTACGCAGATCCTTCGTGGGGAATCCCTCAATTATATCATGTTCCCAGTGACTTGGTTCGCCGTTATCAAATTTCATCAAATGAGATGTCCCGGCATCGGATATTCGGTGACAGGAGCCACTATGGGGAAAACCTTATCATAATGCGGGGAAGGACATGGAGCCGATGAGATAGACCATCGATCCGATGGCTCAACGTCGGGAATAGTGGCATTTTGCCGATGGCCATGTTGCCGACTACGATAATCTCGCCCGCTATCGGCAATGATCGGCGGCGATTGTTACACAGCGCGAGGGGCGATTGAGAGGAGATTGGGATAAAAAGCCACTGTCTTGGATTGTTTCTGGATCGATATCTCAATTTTATCTTACTTATCTTGGCGTTGAACTGAGATTGCATTGTTCATTTATTCTACAGACTTCAACATGACTCAACTTGACACTGTTCCTGGCGCGGACGTCAAGCCATGGCTTCGTCACCCTCCCAAGAAGCATCTCTTCATCCACGCCAACATCATTGACGTCTCAACGGGCAACATCCTCCAAGACGCGTCGCTATCCACCAAAGACGGCAAAATTGAGACCGTCTACCTTTCAACACCAAGCCAGTATCCCGATGGCTACAACATCGTGGACTGCAAGGACCGATACCTTTGCCCAGGTCTATTCGATGCCCACGTTCATCTCTGCGCGACACCGGGCTTCACAGACCTATCCCGTGTGTTTGGAAACCCCAATGACATCTCACTGTTGCGACAGCCATATGTCGCTTCGCAAATGCTCTACCGTGGCTTCACATCAGTTCGTGATTGCGGCGGCGCGCAACTTCCGCTGAAGGAAGCCATTGATGAGGGCGTTTTCCCAGGCCCTCGTCTGTTCATCTCAGGCCATGCGCTCTCGCAGACGGGTGGACATGGTGACTTGAGAAGCTCTTATGAGAAGCATGAATGTTGCGGCGGACACGCTATTGGATCTTTGGGCCGTATCTGCAATGGCGTACCAGAGTGTATGGCAGCTGTTCGCGATGAGATTCGCTGCGGGGCGGACTTCATCAAGATCATGGGCTCTGGTGGCGTCGCATCACCAACCGACAAGCTGGAACAGCTGCAATTCACCAAGTCTGAGATTCAGGCTATGGTGGAGTGTGCAAATAACGCTGGCACTTTTGTCACGGCTCATGCGTATACTACTAAGGCGATCCGACATTGCATTGATAACGGAGTAAAGGGTATTGAGCACGGTAACTTTGTAGATGCCCCGACAGCTCGTCTGATGGCTGAGAAGGGCGTCTATCTCACCCCGACACTTATCACCTATGCGCAAATGGCTACCGACAAGTGGAAGAACTTCTTACCGCCCGAGTCACAAGTCAAGAATGCCCAAGTGTTGAAATCTGGCCTTGAAGCTCTCCGCATCGCCTCTGAAGCTGGTGTAACGATGTGTTATGGCAGCGACCTTCTCGGTCCGCTTGGCTCTGCTCAAACGCAAGAGTTTTCTCTCCGCTCCCAAGCACTCAAACCTCTTGAGATATTACGAAGTGCCACGGTGAACCCTGCTAGGATGATGGGCTGCGAGACTACTCTGGGTCAGTTGAAGGAGGGCTTCCAGGCGGATATCCTCGTCATGGATAAGAATCCATTGGAGAATATCGAGATCTTTGATCATCCTGAAAAGTACATCTTGGCCGTCATGAAGGATGGCCTTGTGTATCGCAGTCAGTTGGAGTCTTTGGCGGTTGATGGCGGAATTCCGATTCGGTTCAATTCGGTGCTGTAGTATTTGATGGATGCCGGGAGCAATAGATATGAACAATAGTCGCGTTAAATACCAAGCTGTATAAATACAAGTTTCTTCCTATGCTTTAAGAACTATACTCTGGACAGGCTGTATGTGTAATAATTGGTTCGTGGCCGCAATTCTTTTCGATTCTGTTTTCCTTTGTTTAAAATTGATAGCGAAAACATAACACGGTCTCACATAAAGCCCATTAACATATCCTTGTGGTATTTCAATTTCCAAAGCGTCAATTGTCTAACTAAAGCTTCATGGCGCCATGTCGGGAGGATAGCCAGCAAAGTCCAGTACATCAAACCCCGTAAGCCCCATCAAGAATGTCTGGTCGTCATTATAAGTCGTAGAAAGGCGATATGTCTCAAACGGATCAGGTTGCTCGCCCGCCTGAAGCTGCGGCATCGGTAGACGCGACATGAGTGGCTCAAGAACTGCATCAGCGCGTGAGCTCCATTCCATATCCTGTTCAGGCCCTGCAGACCAGAACTCCGACACTGGGGCTGACTGTACGGCTGGAGTCTGGTCGGCGCCTGTTGTGTCGTCACGAATCGTCTCGTTGTTGTTAACACTCTGTGACTGTTCTTGGTTTGAGAGCCACTCTGCCCAATCATTATATGCAGCCGACAGTAGTCCCGCGTCACTAAAATTAACCGGAGGCTGTCTCGAACGACTGAGCTTACCCCAAGCTTCGTTCGAGATGGACCGAAGAGCTTCGACAAATCGAACACCAACTTGAGCATTTGGGTTGCCTGTCGCCATTCTTCGCAAGAAGTCCAGACCGAACCTCACTCTTCTTTCGTATCCGGGGTCCCGATCAAGAATACCTGCTATGAGAGTGACGATGGTCGCAATACTGCAGCCTTGGAAGTCGGTGAAAGAGAATCGCGTGGTATAGCCAGTTTGGTTCAAGTCCTCAAAGAGCTGAAGCAGCTTTTTAGAAGCCTTTGCGCATGACTTGGATAGCTTTTCAGCCCTTTCGTCGATGACGGATGGTTCTGCATCGCCTGCAAGATGGAGTCGAAGAGTCATTCTCACAACAGTAATGAGAGACATCTTACCCATGACGATCCATGCATAGTAGTAGTTCAGCCAGATGTGAAAGACGGCGCGATATCGTGAGTCTCGCGGGGGGATTGTCTCCAGGTCGAAGTCTTCGGGCAACGACTCTTTCCACTCTCTTAGCTGGTTCTCCAGGCTCGCTGTATCTGTCCGGCTGGAGGTATTTGTTACTGTTGACCTGCAAATGTCAGCGAATAATGGGGAGAAGTGGGCTATGGACGTACTCCCAATCAGCGACTCTGTCCAAGATGGATATGAGACGAGCAAAGGCTATTTGGAGAAGAACGTTGTTGAACTTCTGGGAACCGTCAAGTCCTGGCAGGATAGCCGGTAAGGGGACTGTAATGATCTCAGGGGACACCGACCGGGGCCTATTGAGCTTGATTGTCGAGCACCTAGAGTCAAAGACATTAGTGAATGAAAATGAAGCCCAGGCCTACAAGTAATTACCTTTCGAGTGAAAAGATTGACCACCATAGCCGACGACGAACTTCTCGTTCTCGCGCGTCCATCGCCTGGTCGTCGGAGTCCTGATGAAGGTCAAATGCCAAAGCCTTCCTCAAAGCCATACCCGTATAGACATACGAAGATCCAACGGCATTCAGTGGCATGAGATAGACGCCAAGAATTAAGCATGCCTGTATTGATCTGAGACCCGGGCGCTCAATGATATCCGGTACAAGGAGCTTAGCCTGCTCAAAGAACAAACGCCCGGGATCGTGTTCATCAATTCGCGAATGGCCTGGTCGCTCTAAGGGTGTCCAGTGGCTGCCAAGTGCGAAGATGGTCAATGCAAGACAGATGAAAGTTGGGTCAAACCTCAAAGGGCATATCTGACTGGTGTAGAACTGCTCAATCTCGTGAATGAGTTGTGCTTGGTCAAAGTAGAAGAAGACATCGGTGCCACGTCTGATGCAGACATGGACGAGAAACTCAGCGATAGACCGGGGAGGAAACGAGTCGACAATTTTCTTGAGGCGGGCCTGCTCTGTAAGCGATGGGTTGTTTGGTCGCGTAACGTTCTGGATATAGTCAACCTCAAATGATTTGACAGATGGGGCAGCAATACTTACAGCCTGCAGATTGACCATATCCTGCTCTTCTGGGCCTGATATTGGGTCCAAGGAAAAGGCCTCGCGTAGCCTGGTCAAGAATCGCGGCCATAATATGCTTTCAGTCTGGTCTGCACCGGTCAGTCGACTGATTCCATAAATAATTGATCGCTCTCACGGCTTTCTATGGATATGTTTTCTTGTGGCGTTGCTCCAGTTTGTGATGAGGCAGCAGCAGTAATGGTAGCATCTGCAGCGGGCATGGGGCTTTCGCTTTGTCGCGGAAACGGCCTATCTCTATATTCTGTCAGACTAACCTGTCGATTAATGATATGATGCTCACATACCTGTCAAAGCGACAGCTCAGCTTACTCGCTTGACATCTCTGACAAACACCTGGACTTGACTCGATGCATTTGCTTTTCCGAGCCTTGCATCGATCGCACCTAATGACGGCAATGCGATCAATTCTGAATCCGTTTCATCTGCCTTGAATAGGAACTCACGCTCGAGGTGCACGTTTCCGATTCTCTTCGGCAACGCGTCTACGACGACGACGTCGAACCGCGGTTGTTGAATCCATGGTTCTGATGCAAGATTATGGAGATTGTCGGGTAGTGGAACCAACCTCGGCTGCTTGTCATTGGAGTTCGCTGGGGTCGGTAATTTGTACTGAGCTAGCTAGCGTCTTGTCGGGTATCTGATAGAGTTCTCCAAACTCTGAGTCTTAGTAGATTATCTTTTTTGCCCTGTGCAGCTTTGGCATTCTGTTAGTGGCGTAGCAGAGCTGAAAGCTGCCTACCCCATACCCATCAACAAGTTGAGGTTATTTTACCTTTTCTTTTTCTACATAAATGTATCCCCTGCTCGCTGATACAGACTCACTGCAAAGGCTTGATATTTAAGTAAACTGAGTTAAGCAAAGAATGTCATAGGTACATGAGTAGAACTATTTTGGTGTGTTAAATGATTATATTCTGTTGGAATATTCTTTCCCGCCGTCAGGAAAGAACCGCTTTATTGATTGATATTGCAATGCACAAATATATTTCCCAGAAGCTTACAAAGTCTCACTAAGAAATATATACTATTCTTGCCTCTCACTATTATTCACTTAAAAAGATCCAGTTCAGCTTCCTAACCTATTATGGTCAATCCGAACCATCACAAAGCTGGGTAACACAATCTTCCACTATTGACTCGTTTCTCGATGCACCGCTTCTGCTGTGTCCTTTCCTCCTAATTACCACTTCAGAGCGTCTTCGGCGCGAGTCATGCCAATTCTCTTGTGAACAACTTGAGTCAAAGCGCTGCAGCCATGCCCAACGTATGCAGCCAACATATTGTTGATCCTACCCAAGAAGAGGCTGTTCATCGCGGGGTAGCAAAAGTAGAAGGGCGGCACAGAGGTGAGCTCCATTGAGACCCCTACGCATTTCCTGGCTAAGCTAGCCCCCAAGAAATAAAAATGGTAATCCGGCGCCTGACTTCTATTTTTGCTTACACCGCTCTGTGCCAGAAAGCAATCCTCGAGTCATTCGAAAGTCTGGGGTAGCATTGATCTACATATTGCATCAAACCATGATTGCCCAACTCAAATTATGCCACACGTATCAGATGCGTCTATTTAGTCAGCATGATTTCGAGAGAATATAAATCAGGATCCCAGTCCCGACTAGCGTTTACCAGCACTGCAAACCTTCCACTACGACGTTCTCGTATAGAACCCTTCATATCAGCCTTGACTTCCCCTTCACGATGACGCCAGCCCAGACTCAAGATACACCGGAGAATACTCAAAAGAGTGCCGATCTCTTGGAACATCCCAAGGGCGAATCAGTACTCACAGACAAAGACCGAAAGGCACTAATCTTCACCGACAAACACAGTTCTCCAGATGTCTACGTTAGCTCCAGCAAAGACACTCTGTGGCATCCCTGGACAGGAACGCTGGAGCTCAAGCCTCTCCGCTTCGAGACAAGATCTGGCAGCTTCGTCATTGGTCTGCGAACGCCTGTCGACTGTTGGCTCGGTAAGCATAGACACCGAGGCACAGTTACGGCTGTCACACTTTCTGGGAATTGGAGATACAAGGAGTGAGTATACAGCCTCGCACGACTCTGCATTGGCTAACCCTTGTAGGTACGACTGGGTCGCTGGACCCGGGGACTACGTCGTTGAGAACCCAGGAACTATTCACACGCTTTTCATGGGTGCTGGCGCAGAGGTGGTGTTTACCATTACAGGAAGTCTTGAGTTCTTCAATGACGATGATAGTCTGAGGGAGACCATGGATATCTTTAGTTTTGCGGAGCTTTATTACAATCACTGTGAGGAGAAGGGTGTAAAGCCGAATGAGAAATTATGGTACTAAGCAATATCGAGCTGGGTCTTGGGTTGATAGCCTATTACTTTGCAATTCAGGTCAGAAGCCTTATTTAGTAACAAACCATGGTGCCAATGAAAGAAACTTTGCTTGTAAGGCCAGACCCGTTGACTACAAATTACCTGTACTCAGTGGTACTGAATCTCGGGTAAATGCACCATTAGCTAAAGGACTCGCATGTTAAATGGCTAGTTCGAACCTATGGATATCGTCACGTCGCTGAGATACTCCCAGTGCTCAATGTTGTTTGTGATCCTTCTTACGCGCTTTGACCACTTTTCATCTCTTTTACTTCCTAAGAAGTCTAGTATGTCGAAGAGTTCAGGTAAAGGATCTGTTGCCAGGACATGCATTAGCTCAGCCTGACTTTGTAACTTGACCCAACCAGCTCTCAGCCGCATGAAAATGCACATTTGCCGGAACGGATATTATTCCGTCTCTTCCTTATCAAATGCACTCAGCCGAAACCCGCATCCTTACCTCTCTTTACCTGCCACTCTACCAATTGTAGCACCACTTTAGTTACGTGATGATCTAGCCCGAAAGCAACCGCAGATGTGACATTGTCTCGTTGATACTCAGCCTAGTTATGGAGAGTAAGAAGACGAAGCTTGATAGTCCGTCTCTCTATACTATCGGTTAGATCGCAGCCCTTTCTATTGAGCAAGCAGCAGCAAGGGCACTACTAGATGAAGAACACTCCGAACCAGATAGCTTCCATCCATCTCGCTCGGACACAAATAATTATATCTGGGGCCGCATAGGACATCATAATATCGTTATCGCTTCACTCCCAGCGGGGGTTTACGGAACTACCTCCGCCGCTACCACCGCTTCGGATCTCGTACACTCTTTGCCTCAGATACGCTTCGGCCTCTTGGTAGGCATTGGTGGAGCCATATCGAGACCTGATAAAGATCAGGATATTAGACTTGGCGATGTCGTTGTTGGTCAGCCGGATGGTGTGACTGGAGGTGTCGTGCAGTATGATCTTGGCAAGGCGAAAGCGCATGGGATTTGGGAGCAAACAGGCTCACTCGACAAACTACCTGCAGTTCTACTGAAAACTCTAGCCAGCTTACAAGCTGAGCACGAGATTCGACCTTCAAAATACCACAACTTCTTGAGGCCATGGTGAAAGCTACCCTTTTATGAAACGCTCTAGTAGTAACTTCACCTACCAGGGAGCAGAGAACGACCGTTTTTTTCTATCTGACTACGACCACGCCAGTGGAAAGACATTTATGAACTGGTTACCGTGAATTTGTCCAGTTCTCGCCAGATTTCACCACGGTGCTAGTGGCTGGTGAAGACTTTATCACGATATTTAACGTGGAGCCGGAGAACTACATGAAAACCTTCGACATCGACAGCAAGTCGATTACTGTCTGTATTCAGATGATTGCAAGATACTTGTAACGTTCACATAAATCGTAAGTTATGGCGAAGTCAGGATTCGAACATAACTGGTGAAGGGTATAGACGTATCTATTAATTCAAGATATAATGAGCTGGTCTCAAATATCTCTATATAGCTCCATTTACTCATGAGGGTTGCCATCGTATTATAGGCAAGTTACCGCCACTTATTAAAGTGTAATGGATTGGCTTACGATAGGCCAGAATACTTATAGTTAGTAAAGGATGTTAATATAGATATTCTAGTAGAGACAGATAACAGGAGCAGCGCAATTTACCATTCCAATAATTTAGGGTCACATTGAATCATTACATAAGGGAAGTGACTTTGAAGCCATGGTGTCAGATGAATAGTGAGTGCAGAGCTTTTCCTGATGCTGATGAGATATGTGACGCAAACTGAATATGTAGTATCCATAATAGGCGGCTTAAACTCATGATATCTCAGTGAAATATATCAAGCCAAAAGATTGAAAACGAAACCCAATTCTCTTGCTAAACTTCTTGGAAAAAGGGCGCGGTGCCTTGACAGAGACGACTCCTGCAATTTTTGCATCATAAACATTCGCAACTGCATCATGAAATGCAACTCGTTAATCCGACAAAAAGGCCACAATCATGTTACGAGACCAGGCAATGCTCTTCAGAGCGCTCTGACTCTAAAAGGTGGTTTCACCCTCCGCTTGGTTGTTCGTAAAGACCTAAAAGCACCCCGCTGTCAGGTCATTATCGAGTAGTATTCAGTTCTTAATGTAGCTTACCTAGGTCTTGATGAATACAGAGGCCGCCCTGAATATCGCCTCCACATAAGCCTCTTTAGACGGCAATGTTTGTTTGCCATGTCCTCCAGACTCCCTTCCTTGAAAGGCGATCCACCTTGTTCATCGGTGTCGTAAAGCAGGTCGCTCATGTGTCTGCACCAGCTTTGGGACTATCCATTTCTGCTGGTCTGTCACAGGGGCAGACTGTTAAGTGGATCGAGAGTTCTGCTTGGTGTCGGGACTCTTTAGGCGAAGTGCACACCTAAAAGTGAACTTGATGGGCTCCTTTTCAGGCTCTTCACGCTGGGAACCACGAAAGGTAATCACCACGGGGTAAATGGATTGATTCTTTGACTTCTTGTTGTGAAGAATGATTTTCTTGACCTTGTGGTTGCGATACGCTGTGGCTTGTGGTGCTGGGAGGGTGAGTTGGTCGTCATCGTCGCGGGCTGCCTTGACGCGCTTGTCGCCCTTGACGAGAACATTCTTAGTGCCGCGGGTAGGGAAGATATGAGCTTGGGTTTCAGGTTCAGAGTCTTCAGTCTTGCGCTTTTGGGAACGTGTGATAACCATGGTGAGTATGTCGTGAGTGTGACTGTACAAAGTAATGGTGTATGAAGTTGATGGGTTGTCGTGTACAGGTGATAATGCACAAAACCGAAGTCTACTTTGCTAGTGGACGAGGTTGTTTGTGATATAGAGGGCGGTAGTGTAGAAGGTGGTATTGTACAATGAGGTACTGTACAAAATAGAATATAATAGGGTGGACGGACCTGAAACACCTCTGTGATGTATGTGAAAGGTTGAGATATTTAGGATGGAATTGGGGAGAGAACGCAGCTCTTTATAGACCAGGGTTTGTCAACGGACTCACTCAGAGGTTGGTAAACTTGAGTATCTAAGCTGAAGAAGGTTTACAATAGAGACGATCTAAGTTCTGCGCAAGTTTTCTGTCAGTCCCTAGTGGTTCTAACACATTGAGTTTAAAAGCTAAAAAGCTAGAAAGATGATTCCCACAAACCTAAGCTCATATCTTGTAATTAAACAAAACTTACTAGTATTTCTTTTGAATAATTAGAAAGTCACACTCAAGAGCTGTTTGGGTTGTTTTCATGACGAATAACTGGAACATTCTTTACTACCTGCCAGTCAGCACCGAGCAGGGGGTCTAAAGAGACTTGGCACTGTAAACACATTCAAATCACCATTCCAAAGTTAAAATTTAGGAAACAAGTCTTCGAGTAGCCTGTCATAGCGTATTAGATTTCCTACTGATCAAGCACAGCAGAGATCCATCTGACATCTTAGACATCTGTCGCCGTTGTTACGAAGAACAATGTCCCAATTTCCAAATGGCAACAGATCTACGTGATGACTCATACCTTTTACCGGCGGCTGCCTAGAGCATCAAACACTATCATATGCCTTAACCATGAGCGCAATATCTATAGGTTACGTATGCTAGGTGAACTACTCTTCAGACGTCGGTCACGAAGCAAAGGTCCGTGAGGCCATATAACTACTTAACGCAAACTACGGCATAACCTCACAATCCTCAAATTTGCAGAAATATTCTCGCTCTGTAATCTAATCTTAAATTACCCTGGTAACACCTAACTTGGTTCTCATGCCTTATGGCCACTCGTAGCTTGATGAGCCCGGAGCATATCGACGACCTCAGTCTCGCCGTTCTTCTCCGCGAGTTGCAGAGGTGTAACGCCTTTCTTGTTTTTCACGTCAACCGTCGCTCCCTCGTCAATCAACATCCTAATGACACCCATATGACCATGGATACATGCCCGGGACAAGGGCGTGTCTCCCCACTGATTCCTCGTCTCTATATCAGCTCCTTTCTTCAGCAGTGCTTTGACCACAGCATCCCGTCCTCTTCTCGCAGCAATGGAAAGTGGTGTGCTCCCAAGGTTATTCCGTGCTTCAATATCAGCTCCTCTGTCAACAAGGAGTGACGCTGTCGTTGCATGTCCCTTGGAAGCCGCCGCCATCAGGGAGGTATCTCCATCTTTATCCCGAGCTTCTATCATGGCGCCGTTTTTGAGCAGCAAGCTTGCTGCAGAGACTCGCCCATATGCTGCGGCATATATAAGAGCCGTGTATGAGTTATCGGGGTTTCTGATTTCTAAGTCTGCACCCTTGTCGATAAGAGCTCGCAGAATTGTCTTCTTTCCGTTGGCGGCGGCCCAGAGCAGGGGAATGAAACCGCCCATGCTTTGCTGGCTGTTAATCAGACCTGTTGTTGGAGGGTTGCTTGGGCCCGCAGAAACCGGACTATCTGTGCCTCGAGATGCTTTTTGTTTGTCCAACTGGCTCTGTATCAGGGTTTCGGCCCAATTTACTGGACCCTTGGCGCCGTCGATTTTCTCAAGTTTCCTCATATGCTCGACCGTTTGATCTTCGAGTTCACTCAGCCTATCTTTGTTTTCTGCTATTATCCTCTCGGACTTTCGTATGGTATCCTCCACCATTTTCATTTCGCACTCAATCCTCTCTCTTTCCTTTGCGAGTAGTCTCTCCTTTTCTGCTACTGCGTTCAGTTCGACTTTCAGCGATGCGATCGCCTTTGAAGCGGCTGCTTGGTCGTCAGCCACCTTCTTAATAGTGCTCTCTGCATATTCGGCTTGGCAAAGGGATGAAATCAACATATGTGTCTCGGCAGCTTTGGAAATACGCTGGTACGGATCTGTAATAGGTAGTGGTCTCTCATCAGTCCGAGCCAGTCTCATCAGGAAGATGGACCCATGAGGGATGTCTTCTCTATGTACCGAGACCTTTGCAATAACGTTGCCATTGTCTATGACTTTATCGCGCAGGAGCTCGGGTTGCATGTACTCCAGACTTCCGCTGATCCTTTTCAGGTCGAAGGCTTCAGGTGCTGCTATTATAAAGCAGTTTACACATTCTTCTTGTGCATCGATGTTGAAGTCCAAAATAACGATGATATCGCGGCCCCGCTCTGCTCTGGTAGTGAAGCGGGCGAGATGTTTCTGTCTAAAAGACTGATTTGAATCATTGATGTCTGTGACCAAAGCACGCCCCCTGTCCCACTTGAGTGGTGGCCAAACCTCGTTGAGATGCAGTTGAAGCTTCTGATGGCCATCCATATGAAGCCAAATACGTTTCCCTGTCATTTTCGTGGGCCTAACTTGGCGATCTACGCGGATACGGACCTCTTGGCCATCGTAGTAGTCCGTTCGTATCCCGGAAAGAAGTATAGGACCATATCCCAGGGGTCGGATATACTCCCTGATAGTCGAAACTGAAGGCGTCGTGCAGTGGAGCGGAATGGCGATGGTGCCATCTGTCGTGTTTTCAAGACCACAATTGAGTAGACCATACGTTACTCCATTTCCTGATGTCTTTAACTTGAGCGAAGTTCGAATGTATCCTCCGGAAACAGCGAAAGTCGTGATGCACGTGGGGTCGGGCGCCTTTGGAACGATACGGCCACATTTGGCGAAGTCCATTGGAGAAGATGCGAAAATCCCCGCAGACATATTATCCTCCCTCGGTCCAGTCTGAGATTCCAACTCCATGCCTTGAACCTTTACCCCCCATGCTAGAATTGAATCGTCGGTTGTCTGTTCCATGATCTTGAGCTGCAGTCGCTCAAATGCTTTATGTCCCTCGCCGTAGATCATAGGCATAGTAACATTGAAGATCCCCAAGAGGCAGTAAGCGATATCTTCCTCCCTCTTCGTCTTCCTCTTCGACGCCCAGGACATACGCTGGGCGACGCTCGCCTGGTGAAAGTCGACCCAGCCGAGCAGGAATTTGCGTGGGATCCCTGTGATATCCTCGATTTCGCTCGCCAAGTCTTCCTTCGTGCCAATCAGGCTCCACTTCTGATCGTAGAAGCAGATCTCTCCAGGGGCCAGTAGTTCTTGTAATGTCCAACCTCTTGTAAACCACGAGCTTGTGGAAAAGTTCGACGTTGGGTCCCAAATGTCCTGCTTGTGGGGTACATCAACCATATAAGTATAGCATACTGCGGCTCTTCGATACCAATGAAACATGGAGTTGATAGCCTCATCGAGCTCTTTCGAACTCTCCTTGTTGATGCAGCAAGTGTCAATCCAAGCATATTTAAGGTTGTTTTTCTTGGCCTGACGACAGCAGCCTTTCACCTTCGCCATTCCGACCTTGTCCGCAGTGCCTCGCACAATGTCGTCGAAGGTAACCTCCTCATCATCGTTCCCCCATCGATGCGACAAGATGGCGTATGGTGGAATTTGGTCGCCGATGAAGGTTTCCAACTGCAAGTTCTCGACATTTATGAGCCGCATGGTGGCGGTGATCTAACTTAGTATATTCCGACCGCCAAAAGTCGAATACTCTTACTCATTAAGAGATCTTCAGTGCCGCTAACTCGTGTGATATCAGAGCGGGGTAAAGAGAAGCTGATGGTCAGCTTGTAGATGTTGCGACAAGATTCTGATGCAAGGGATATATAAAAATGGCCACGCGACGTTTGGCAGTTGGAAAACGGGGAATTTCTTAAAATATGTTCCCAGGTTAAACAGTTTAGAGGAGAAGGGGTTGAAAATTGGTCCCAGTCTTCCAAAGTGGCTGATGTAATATTTTCAGCTCAACCTTGCGGCTGTGAAGCGCAGCCAAGCTGCATGAAAATTGGCCAATGATTACCACGATCAATACACCAATATTGCCAAGGCAGAATATTGGCCAACTTGGCCAGTAAACGAGATCATAAATAGCAGTAATTTCACGAGACTAACAAAATACATCACTTTGCCTTTTTACTCGGAATTCTCTTGGCTCAAGACTTTCACTGGTGTTACAAAGATCAATATAGAGTATGGAGCTTGCAAGAGATAATGATGGTCGATGAACTACTATCGATACATAATTTTTCAATCTCCATAGGCTATTCCCATCCTTATCCTGGGTCTCTTCCCTCCCTTCACTTAGACGCCCATCATGCATAGCGGGGTTAATAAAGGAGCCCCATGCCTAGGTGTGACGATCGGTGTCCTGTGTCGATGAGCTGGAGGATTGATTCTTTTGGGCTTTTTCGAATCTTTCTTTGTTCTGCTGCTCGAGGAGGGCGAGCTGTTTCTGAAAGTCCTCCTCGACTTCTTTGCGGGTGAGAGGGCGGTCGGGCATAATGTCGGGTGGCTCTTGCGGACCAGCAACTTGTTTGGCTTTGTTCAAGTTGGAGTTTGTGACCAAAGTCTAAGACGTAGATTTCGAGATGATAGAGTGCGTGGCGAGCTACATAATTAACAGAATAAGAATGGAAGCTCTTATTATGGGCTGTAACCGTCCTATTTATTCTAGAAATACAGCGCATTGACGTTCCGGTTGGCTGCCTTAAGAGCACTATGCAAACGGTCATTAAAGCAAATGTTGTAAGCATGATGCATGGCTGACAAGTTGTGGTTGGTCTGCTCTACGCAAGGACAAATTAGATTAAGCTTAAAGGTGGTATCCGTGGCATGTCGCACTAAGAACACAGCAAGGTCTCCACTAGCACAGTTGAAAGCTCCACTGGAAAGCCGAACAATAAGCTCTGCCACAGATGAGGGAAGCTCAAAAGCAAGCAGCAATCTTGCTGTTGTGTGACCAATGACATCGTCCAGTTGTGCACAGCCATGCACAGCCTCAGTCTGCGAGGCACGGCATTGGGGGTCAACCAACAACCCAGTTGAAGCATGAATCGCGACCAATACAAGTCAGACAGTCCAAGGCCTTCATTCTCGAAGCATACGGATGCATTACGCTCAACAGGATATGCCATTATCCGATCACTTGCTCATTGAGGGGGCACCGAAAAAACATCAAACCATACCGAATTGAGATTTGACATTCAGGTGCAGGCATTCGAATCCTACAGCCACCATCTGCAAATGGCAATAGCCGAGAATCATGTCATGCCACTTAGCAGTAGCTGAGACATTATAAACCCTCACTTGCGTAATCCGTGACGAGGCTTCAGGCATCAGTTTAAGCATAAATTTTAGCAGATATAAAGCATCGATATCAGCATTTCCTCCCTCGACAGTATCTCACAAACAAGTCCAATTCACCAAAGCTTATTTTCGCAATGCAGACCAAGGCTTTCCTCACCACTCTTCTAGCTGCTCTCCCCGCCATCCAGGCCTTCAAATTCACTGGCCCCGACCCCTCCGAACCCCTCGACGTCAGCAAAGAAGTCACCATCACATGGGAGGGCGACATTCCCGACAACCTCTCACGCAAGTTCGACTTTACTTGGTCTTGTGAGCCTGATGATCTGAACAAACTCGCCTCTGAAATCAGCCACTTTGTCGATGACATCTATTTGTCCGACCACAAGTACAAGTTCCGATTTCACAACTCCAAGTCGATGCTTAAACCATTTGCCGACAAGATCGCTGCGAAGAAAGTCTTTTCTTTTCAGGCTGTTTTCACGGATGAGAAGCAGGAGGATCTTCAGCTTGAGTACTGGAGTCAGAATTACACTATCGTTGGACTGGACAAGAAGGAGGATGAGAATTCAGAGGCTGATCTGTAGAGGATTAAGGCTGCTCTGGAGACAGTGACAAATGACCAGCAGTGTTTTTGCATGAGAAATTATCCCGGGTATAGCGACTGTCTTGATTGTCGTAAACAGAGCAAACAGTAAATTGGAAATTGGCTTTCAAGTACATGGCTGTCATGTTAACTTGGTCCGGTATAATTCTTTGTGAGCGGATTCAGATAAAGGTTTCAGTACTTTACTGGGCTTCTGGACGCGTCGGCACGCAGAGCTTAGCAGTGGGGCATGCTTCCTCCTTTCTCAATCGCGTCTCCAAAAGCAGAGCTACCGAGGCCGCCGGTGAACTTAGTCTTTCTATGTCCATTGAATACCTCCTCCGAGCCACTTCTTGGTAGAATATCCCTGCTCAATGCGCTCCACTCCATTTCCCGGCTCTCCGTCTCGAAAATGCTGGCGAGATGAGGCCATTGTCTCACCCGCTGAGTCATCGAATTAGACGGCTTCCGTAGCTCAGTTGGTTAGAGCGTCGTACTAATACTTCAACCCGAGTATCCGGTAATGCGAAGGTCTCAGGTTCAAGCCCTGGCGGGAGCAATCTCAGTGCCTTCTGATTCGTCTTTTTGCCGTCATGTTGTTCTATCAATTGTGGTTGCTTTTCCACGCTGGATATAATCAGAAGACTTTGTGTCGGCTAACGGGAGTGACATTTTTAGCCTGATAAGAACGAGATAGTGGGTCCGGCGCGGCTTATCCGGTACATGCTATTGGCTAATTTGCAGCTCACCCATTTGTCTCCTTAACAATGTGTGCAAACGACGTGAGTATCTATCTTTATGAAACCACGGTGATGTATGCTATGCGTAGATTGATCGTTCTCCCGGCTTATATCTACCTGCCTTGCAATTGTTGCGTCGTGTCGTCAATTGTCTAATGCTGTGCATCATAGAATCTGAGCAACACTGTCCCGACATCCTTCCCTAGTGTCGTAAGTCTTCCTCGTTCTGCTCGAGCTCAAGGACGTCGTTGCAAGACGTTTTCTCATCCAGTCACAACGCACGGTTCCGTGGTCTAGTTGGTTATGGCATCTCGTTAACACCGAGAAGGTCCCCGGTTCGATCCCGGGCGGAACCACATTTTTGCTCATCTCGACGAAGAATGCAGGGAGTGAGCTACTATCTTGTTAACTGTTAACCGTAGTATCTGAGCTAAGCTTTCTGTACTGGTACAGAGCTGCTCAGAAGGAAAAGACATGCTTGAAATGTCTTTTGGCGTCGGCACATTGTTGTTAGAAGAACAATATGCTGGAATTAAAAGTGGAGGTCAAGCACATTGGGGTCGAGTCAAAAGAGCTGGTGAATAAAATTACCATAAACTCACCAAGCTGACTTAAGAGAAAAGGGAACCTTCATATCTACAGCTTGACTACTATAAAATATATAAGAGATATCTGAAATTCCAAGTCAAAGCCTTGTCTCGAGGAGCGGAACTTACAAAGTGCAAGGTAAGAAACTGTCAATAAACGGATGCGATAAGATAAGCGCACAGCCACTTTTGTGCACCGCCCCCACAACATTTCAGTAAACAAACCTGTGCCTCAACTTCGCGCTGCCTCAAATCAACACCACGGATGCGACATTGCAAAGCATAACTTCTCTTCTCCAACTCGCACAACCATATATGCATGTCGACATTTATCGAAATTTATCATCTCTCGTTTATTAGAAACTATATAATCTCATTCTACTATCGTTGAAAATCTTTCACTTTCTCCTGCTTCAACTCTTTCCTCATGCAATTATGACTATGCCGCCTTCGGCTGTTCCCAAACAGAGCGGGATCGCAGTTGCAACACCATTCAACAAAATCGGCGGTACCCCAGTTCAAACCTGCTTTCACCGCATTCGCGACGCCTGCGGCAAGTGGCCATGGGAACTCTTCCACGTGAAACATCTTCCTTCAATCTGGAGCGTCTACTTGCTTCAGAAATTACACCATGCCATCAAGCTCGCCCACTCATCACCTGAAACTCCCCTCAAGGCTGTACTGAACCACATGGAATATCTTGTCAACAAGCGAGGTCAGGACTCGATACTCAAGGGCCGAGATGTTATAACGACAATCTAGTGGATTGCAGAGCAGAAGAAAGCCATTTCCCAAAGAAGTCCCCGAAAGAATAAGCAAAGGAACACGACAGAAAAAGAAAGCCACGACCAACCTGGCCGGACGTCTGTTCAGCATCAGAAGGCGAAACGTCGAATAAACAATGCCCAGACTCGCAGCGCCAGTCTTGCGCGCAATAGAGACAGCGACTGTGCCAAGAGTAGTGATGCCAACCTGGTACAAGATGAGATCGTCGTCGCGCAGTCACTGAGTCCGCCAACTCGACCCAGAGTCACCCAGAACAACAAACGCGATCTTACAGCCCCGCCTTCACTTGGCCTCACCAACTCTCACTCTCCCGAAGCACGCAGCATCGAGCTAACCGAGAGCCGACCAACAAGGGATTGGAGTTGGCTCAAAAATAGGAACGCTGTTAGCGAACTCGCCGCTGGCAGCATCCCTGCGCAAAATGGGCAACAAGCATCATCGATGCCAATTCACACGCCCCGCGGTACGCTTGAATCGAGCCCCAAAGACATGAGGAGAAAAGACTACACAGATGATGAGGTAGTACTGAGTTTGCACTACTCTAAGGACAGGAGTAACTGACTCTGCACTATAGATCGCATACATCTCGAAGTTAAACAACAAGGCCACCGCCACCCAAAACAAGGCCGACTCCATACACACCCAGCAGAACGAGAACGAGAACCGACTGAAAGCCTTGAACTCCTCGCGACAAGTGCTTCAACAAGAGCTCAACACCGCACAGACCGAGTTGACCAGAATCCGCCAGGATACACAAGACAATACCGTTATCCGAGACTGTATCATCCGAATCATCCAGCGACGAGCCCCCGACAATGTTGGTGGCTGGAACATCGCTCTAGAACGCTGCGATCAGTCTTTGAAAGTGTTTGATGATGACTGGAAAAAGACTATGGCGATCATAAACCATAAAAAGCAAGACATCAACCATGTTGATGAGATGGTTGTGTCGGCGAAACTGGCGGTTGAGCAATGTGCTCAACAGGCTGAGACTCTGGCTGCGCAGTTGCATCAATTGACTCTTATGAAAGCGGCGTTTGATGTCCTGAAAGTCATGGTCGACATGGGACCTTTGGGGCTGGCGAGTCTGGGTGGAGAGAAGCTGACAGAGCTGGAAAAACTGGTCAACCCGAACGAAGGAGAAAATGGAGAGGACATTGAGATGAGCGAGGGATAAGGACACAGGGAAGCCAATGCGGTGGGTACTTGTGTATGGTATTGCAATCTGGGATATGAGTATATCGAGACAAAAGACGTTCCTTAAGGACTGCAGTTTCTCATGAACTTAATTATCCAGAAAATTCCGGGGGGGAAACATCTCAATTTGGGACAAGATATGAGCACCGTGGCTCATCAAAAGCATATTCATCATTCGCCCGAACCCAGAACAGGCCGGTAGCTATTTGTCATTTTCATCAATGTCTTACATTCTGAGTTTCAAGAAAGTTATACACGCCTTATGTGCATAAATGGACGTTCGACATCACTCGACTGCTGTAAATCAAGTAGCATATACAATCCGGGGTGTTTGTGCTTGACGGTCCGCAAATTCATATCAACAAAGACGCTGAAGGTGAAGCTCATAGGTCATCTTGCTTGGTTGTCGCTTCTGTCTATGCCCATACAGGGGCAGCGCTAGCGTTTGGGTTGAAAGCTCATCACCTAGCGACAGTGGTCAACCGCAATGGACCGACTGTTATCATCCCAAATGGATATGCGTTATAGCTGGAGCACACCGCTTATATGCACATGCAGCGCGCTATTGAACGCTCGAGCTATGTATGAGTCGAAGACACATTCGACCAGCCCTGTATCAAACATCGCAAATCATCGACGGTAGTCCACACATTTTTGCGGGCAACTACAGCCCCCCTACGCAGCCCTTTAACAGTAACAATGCGACCCTGGAGTACCAATCTGTTGGGAGTCTTCAGGCCTTTCAGCAGTTCCACGCAACCATTGGTAGTAGCGAAGTAACAATCTCATTAAACTACGGTACTACGATCAAGGGACCCCTTGACTTCCCCATTAGCCCTCCATCTCGAGTTGATGGCTCGGGAGGTTAGTCTCAGGAGTAGTTTGTTGGCACTGCAACTCGACATATGAATCTTCCGATCCCCAATGGGAGTAGGACAGGGGATGGTATGCAAAGCCAAGCCTTAGTTAGCGTCTTTCTCTGCAGGGTATGGTCAAATCAATGACTCGTGAGCTAAAGCGGATTTGAAGTCGTTTGAAACATCAGACCAGGACTAAGCCGAGGTTTGGCCCTACAGAAATTCGATGAGCATTTCTAATAGTGTTAAAATAAACGCGTCTCTGCAAAGACCGTTTACTGGGATGGGGAATTTGTTGGTAAGGCTATTGAAGTGTAAATATAGATAGATAGTAGGAAACAGATATCAAGACATTGCTAGACTTCGTAAAATGTGACCTGTGAACTCGACCCTTCCATCCTTTCGTCGGCATAAGAGACAACCCAATCCTTGAACTCATCAAGATCAAACTGCGTTACCCAACCTTGCTCCTGGAGGGCCCGTATGGCGTACATAATCCAAGTCACACAGCTTTGCTGCGGATGGGTGTTCTTGACCGGTAGAGATATGGAGTGGAATAAATCATCTAGCTGAGAAAACGTGACATCCTCTGGTACTTCTCCGATAACGATACACCCAAGCGGTTTGGCGTTTTCTTCAGGCTTAACATTTTCCTCGGCTCGGAGCCACCAAGTCATGGTAGGGTTGTGCATTCGGAAAGTAACGGGATTGATTTCCGATACATCGGTGGCAGAAAAGGCGTGGTAGTCTCGCTCCTCGTGACCATCGGGCATGATGATGATGCCCCAGTGATATGCCTCATAGCCAAAGACTCGCCGCTTGTCCCCGCGAGAGAAGTCACCCCGATCATACAATGCCACAGCGACTTGCTGTACCATGGCGAAGAACTGCGCTTATCAGTATCCTAGTATCGCGATACTGCTCAATGACTGACCAGTTGGATGCTTCACCCGAAGCCTAGAAGCTCTGGGAAACACGATCGGCCTTGCCAGAAAACGACGCGGGCCGGTTGAAACTCAATGTCCTGGTGCCAGACCAGGTTGTTTCAATGACGTCTTTCGCAACCCACGGGTTGTGCCTTCATCTATAAGAGATTGGGCTGAAGTTTAGGCGCGCGATATATGAGACTGATCATCTTGGGATTTCTCCGCGCCCAACGTCTGAAGTGGAGCAACAGATCGACATCGCTTGCAAACAAGATTCGTCGAGAGCTTACACGTGATCTCAGGCGAGAACCAATGAGGCAAAGGACAAATTCACTGAGGAGTTGAGAAGAGAACACGGTAAGCATTGCCAAAAGTGCAGTCAACATACAAAGCAGAAGACAGCAATTTCGTATACTTTCAATTGCGGCCCAATTACGATACAGCAACGTACACCATAAGCTTATTGGCGCAAGGTCTTCGCTCAGATCAGGCGGAGTGGATTTTCATGCATGTTGGCTCTGGAGAATTACGATATAGGAGTTTCGGCCAGGGCATAGCCTCATGCAGTCATCCAGATCAGCTCAACAAGGTTGGTTCGGAGACACGGATAAATAGCTCTATCCACTGAGCTTACTCGGATTTCTTTGATTCTCGCATTCAGACGAGGCTTACTCATGTCGGCTTACTTTATGTCACGCGACATCTCACTTGTAGAATCCTTTTGTAGCTGCCTACTCACGCTCTCAACATGAATACCTCGTGTAAGTCTGGCCCAATGCAGCAGCCGCCGCAGTGGTGTCATAATAGAGACTGTTCATTTCACCCGGTATTGACGGGAGGTCCACTCTGGGCGGGGTTCACGTTAAAAGCACTCTTATTGGAGGTCATTGGAATTTGAGCTTGGAACTTGATTGATTGATGCGGAGAATGACAAGGGTCATGGTAGTGAGAGCCTCGATGTAAAGACACATAGCTGCTTACTTTGGAGGGATTGGGAACTTTCCGAAAATTACGTGGCCTGACAGAAGCATGCATGATGCTGCAATTGTCGTTTAGCCAAAACATATCAGGCAATTGAATCAAGTATAAAGAGTCGTCTTGTTTCCAAGTAAATCGAGCCATCAGACAACAAGCCATCTCATCATCAAAGTACATCATCACCAAAACAGACCTCACTCATCATGCATTTCTCATCTCTCCTCGCTGGCCTTGCCACCTTCACTGCAGCCGTGGCCGCTATCCCTGCAGAGAACCCTCACGTCGGCGTCGCCATCCTGACCGTCAACGAACCCGAGGACAGCACTCTTCCTCTGAACGTCCCTCTCGGTGTTCTCACCCACCAGAAAAACAACAAGCTCACTGAGCTGCAGTTCGCTAATGTCTATTCTACCGTCAAGGGTGTCAAACCTCCCAAGATGGACCAGATTAGATGTCAGATGTACAAGGATCAGTATGGTACTGTGCCTATCACCAAGGATCTCACTGCGGAGGATGGTGTTGTTAGTAAGAAGCCGATTTATCTCGGCTGGGTTCTCTGCCGTGTCAAGGCGCAGAAGTAGGCTGCAGCGCTTGGGATGATTTGAATGTTTCATTTGTCTAGGATGCGATGAGTGAAACGTTGAACATTGAGCATAGGATCATGGGAATCAGATGAGCTTCAATTTAGAAGTAATAAACATTATGGAAACTATCCATACGTACTCCTGCAGTTGCACTCTCTGCGAGGCTACCCAGCGCACCTCCATTTCATCAATTAGTAATGACAATATCAGTCTTCGTCTCCGTCTCTGTTGACAAAGTAGTAGTAAACCTCGTCACACCAAAGCTAGAACAAGCATCGTAATACTCATCCGCGGAATCGCAGTACGTAGCGTACTCAGGTGTCTGGGTAGGAAAGATGGTAGTAGCCACGTCATCGTCATCATGAGGGGCAATGTTTCTCGTGACTGGCATGACATGTTCAGCGACAATGATGCCTCGGACAACACGACGTTTGCGAACCTCTGTCACAGTACTGATATTGTTAGTTAGGTTATGGTATCAGACTTAGGGTTATGTTACTTACACTGTTGCTGGATTGACGGTAACGACGTTGAGGTCTGAACATTCCTCTTCACGAACGTCGAGAGGAGGTTCTCCGTCCGGAGAGGTTATGCCGGAAACACAAGCGTCTACGGTTGGAATAGTAGTCGCCGCGGTTGTAGAGGCATCCATAGTGGTTGAAGTAACTTCGGTAGTGATATCTCCAGCAGCTGTAGATATTTCAGAGACATCATCAGTTGAAGCGCTGGTCTCACGTTCCGTTGAGATGTCTGAGCTGGCTATTGTCTCTGAACTGTCGATAGAAGTAGATTCTTCATTGGAGTTATTCTGAGATGTAGTAGAGTCGTCACTGTCAGTAGTGCTATCTGAGGTGACAACTAGGGTGACGTCCGATGACACCGCATTTGGGGTTGAGGCAGTTTCAGATAATTTTTCGTCTGATTGAGAAGATAACTGTACCTCCTCTATGCCAGGTATAGAGACCCCTGTTGTTTGAGGCACGGAAGAATCCAAAGATGAAGACAGTGGCTGGATCGTGGTTGTAGTGGACAAGCTCAACGATGAGGTTATCGTTCCGGAGGAGGATGTTGCAGTGTCGGGACTTCCGGTCGTTGAGGGAATTGAGGAAGTGGAAACATCTACTGATGATGAACCGGCTGGCGATGCAGAGAAGGTTTGGGATTGAGCTGATGACTCCTCTGTTGAGGTGACATTCTGTGTCGATTGAGTAAGATCAGAGCTGGTTGTACTCGAGGCATCAAGACCAACTAATCGACCATTCTGACACTGTTCAACTACACAATTATCAGCACCGACCAGCTCGAGTCAAGTATAACATACCTCCATAGACTGACAACTCAACTGGTATGCAATCTGGTGGCCCCGAAGAAAACGTGACATAAACTTTCCCACTCGAAACTTGACAGAATCCAGCCTGACCTCCAGGCAGCTTCGCATTGGTGAAGTGGAGACCGCCGCCCGAAGACGAAAATGTCTTTGTGACAGCATCACTAGGTGGTTCGCCTTGTCCAGAGAGCTCTTTATACTCTTCACAAGAGTAATAAATGGGTACACCGTCCTCAAGAAGCTGATCATCCGCGAGGGTAAAGACAGCAGCAAAGGTACAGACTCCGGGGTTTTCATTACCAACGAAGCCACCGGTAGCTTTCTTGTTCAGGTCGCGTTTGTCGTTATCCGGGAGGGATACGAGGAAGATGATTGATCGGCCAGCTGGCTCAGTGACACTACTTGCTGAGGCGGTGTTTGATGTTAAGGTTAATTCGTCTTCAACACTGGTTGTTGGGACGATTGCAGTGCCATCTGTGGGCTCTATAGTGGTGTCGATGTCAGATTAAGGTTCAGTCGGCTCGATGTCTATGAGCTGGGTTTCCAAAGCCGAAGAGCCTGTACCTTTAATCTTATTAACGCTTCTATACGCCAGCTTGCTGGAAAGAAGATATACCAGTACTGAGTCGAGTCGTGATGGATGAGAAATTCTCAGCAGTTGTTGCTTCCAAGGTTGGTATCAGGCTAGAGTACTCGGTTGCCTCGGCAATCTCTGTCAAGTTTGAAGAAGCCTGCAGGGGAACAAGGTAAGTAATGCACCAAGATTCAACTTTCACTGGTGCGAGTTGTTTTGCAGCAACATTGTCAAGCGCCGCAAGAACCGAGGCGATGAAAGCCTGGTGCTTCATGATTGTGGAGTTTGTCGTGTTGAAAAGTGAAGAGAAATGGTATGGGCCAGGGGAAGCTGGGAATAAAAGGTCAACCGGAGCAATTCCACCATATGTCTCATTCTGTAAAATTTGTTCAAGCAGCGAATAACTCCAGTACTATGAAATGTCTTTGTTGGTTGTCATGAGACAGTTCTGCTGCAGGGAGAATGTGTACTCACCTCACCACGAAACGCTACAGCAGGGGCAATCGTTCGACTTGGGTCGACCTCCCGGCTCTCCCTCTATTAATTAGAACCATTCCATCAACCAACAACCACTTACTGGAGAGACTCTCGAACTGCCTACGATCGTGCTCCGTGTTGTAAACCAGTGGGCTCCAATTGCACCTCGATCGTCAACAACATCCAATAGCGTAATTGGTTTAGTGGTAAAATTCTCCGTTGCCATTCGAGCAGCGTCGGGGAGCCCAGGGTTCGATTCCCTGATTACGCATTACCATCACTCAATCGCAAGAGTATAATCTTTTGCTATTTATGATTATCAATTTTTTGGTGTTTTCCATACGAAAATAATGTTCAGCGGTGTCGCGCAGTTTTGCCTTTGTCGATTGGTAAAGACACTCTGGTGGGGCTAAATTACAGCGCGTTACAGCGCCGTTGGAACCTATGGCCCACTAAATCAAACAGCTACTGTACTGAGCCGCTTGCACTGAGAGGTCTGTGCAGTTATGGGACCATCACGTACTCAAGCATATTTACGCACATAACCAACTCCACGCGCTCAAAGGCTCGAATTGTAATGGCAAAGTCGGCCGCAGCTTCTTACCTTCTTTCTAATTTTTACGAGCTCACTCTCTGTCATTCATGCTCCGCCTGTCATTGTTTCCTTTTACGCGACGCGTGTTTCCGGCACGCCTACCTACCTTCCTTTCATACCCAGCTTTCTGTATCTCATCGCCCTTACTCCAACGCATCCCATAAAGCTATGTCTACGTCAACAATCAGATATAAGTACATTGAAGAAGTCGAGGTACTAGAGGATTATCGGCCAGGAGGCTACCATCCTTTTCAGATTAACGAAACTCTGCATCATGGTCGTTACCAGATAGTGCACAAGCTCGGGCATGGTACATTCTCGACCGCCTGGCTTGCCCTAGACCAAAATTCATCTACTTATGTTGCAGTTAAGATTGGAACAGCAGATTCCGATAAAGATGAAGTCGAAATACTGTCACGGCTGGCAATGACTGTTACAGATGAACCGTTGATCCCTCGAGTTCTTGACTCTTTCACTGTTGAGGGCCCCAACGGATCACATCCATGTCTTGTTACAACACCCACACGATGTAGCCTCATAGATACAAAAGATGCATCCGACTCAGGGTTGTTTCAACTAGACGTGGCCCGGTCTCTGGCTGTCCAAGTTATAAAAGCTGTGGCTCATGTACATTCGCGTGGTTATGCCCATGGAGGTTAGTTGCTGAGCTCATCATCCAACAATCTACTAATACCTCGCACAAGATCTTCACTTGGGCAACCTATTGTTACGGCTTCCAGCCTCGCTCAACAATTTGTCAATCGACCAGTTGTATGCAAAGTTTGGCGCCCCAAAGTTAGAACCTATCGCTCGCCTAGACGAGTCAGTAGAACCTTTACCGACCGGTGTGCCTTCTCATGCTGTTCTGCCTGTTTGGCTTGGTATACCAAGTGATGAGATCTCCCCAGGCGATACCAAACTCTTACTGAGTGACTTTGGTGTCGCATTTCGGCCAGCAGATAAAACAAGATGCGAGTCTAATGCGCCCCTCGTTGTCCGCCCTCCTGAGTCGTATTTCGAGCCAACGAAGCCTCTCACCTTTCAATCAGACACATGGAGCCTTGGTTGTCTGATCTTTGAGCTATTTGCCCATCGCTCCCTCATTGATGGCATTATCGCTCCCCAGGACGACATCACTGCGCAACAAGTTCATTTGCAGGGTATTCTGCCGCCAGAATGGTGGGACAAATGGGACAAGCGCTCGAAATGGTTTGATTACAACGGTAAGGCTCTCGGTAATGAGCGCGATATCTGGTCCTGGGACAGACGGTTCAGGCAGTGGATACAGGAGCCGAGGAAATCAGAGAGCATGGGAACCATTGGTTCGGAGGAGATGACTGCGCTGTTGGACTTAGTGAAACGAATGCTTGCGTGGAAGCCAGAGAACCGGCCTCAGGCACAGCAGGTATTGGAATCAGGATGGGTGAAGGAATGGGCTTTGCCAGCCTACGACAAAACCAAGAGAACTTCCAAAGTCGAACCAGCATAAACTTGAAAGATGTCGGATCGATGCTTGCAATAGAAAAAGAACTTCAGCAAATGATTAGTAAATCTTTCCGCAGAATCAAGAGTCGGTCAATTAACATTGTCCGAACCGTTGTACAGATTTTGGGGCAGTGAAACGCTGTAACACTTATAACCTTGGCATATGGCCATATACCCAGCCACCACGGGACCCTCGGACACTTCCAACACCATCCCACCCATGCCGAAGTCCCCCAAAATAAGAAAAGCATCACTTGATTCCAAACCAGTTCAGGCCATTATCTTATCTAATCACTTGTATTTGGTCTCCACGTCATCCCCGGCATTTGAATCTCTTCCGTGCGCCCCGAAACGATGATGTCAGCAAGCCCCCACACTCACCCCTGCTCAAGGCTGAGAATTCGCATTCGACACAGGGATTATCCGATGATTTGGGGTTTCAATTGGTCAGAGTCCGAGTCTATTTTTGTGATCGACGGATTGAGGAGTTGGGATTCGTCAACGCCACGGAGCAAGCCTCGTTCTGACTACTCAGCAAGTGGCTCATGTTAGACAGGACTTACGAAGCCCGACGGAGAAATCAGCTTTGTTACGGAAGCGATGGGAAATCTGTCTTTAAATATGCGCTGATGTTCGGATATCCGGCGGGAATTTGTCTCAGTCGCATTCGGTCCTTTCTTGCTTCTCGTTTTTGTATGTTTTGGTTAGTTTTGCAAGCGCTCTAGTTTTCAATGGATAGTTACGACGATGTTCAGAGTACGCCGACTGGCAAGGTGTCAAAGGCCAAGAAAGGGAAGCCAGTCCATGTCTGTTCAGAGTGTCAAAAAGTATTACTTTCTAAATGATGATGATTGATCATTTACTGACAAGAAGCAGGTATACACTCGAGCTGAGCACCTAAGGTAGGAATTCCCTCTCACCACACAATCCGAGGCAGCATACTCATTATGTATAGGCGACATCAATCTTCACACCAAGAGCCCCAGTTCGAATGTCCAGTATGCCAAAGACGCTTCCATCGCAAGGATCTGCTAGAAAGGCACTACAAACGGTGAGTTGAAAGAATTTCGCAAACAAGAAAGGCTCCTAACAGCAATTTGCATAAGACATGAAGAAGGAATTGATGAGCCTGTTGCTTCTGGATACATGCAGTAAACTTACGACAACAAAGGCGTTCAGGGAGTCGGTTTGGATTGTTGGTAGGGTGGAATACGTTTAAGATTCAGGGACTGTCAATAATGTTCACGAATCAGGCATTCGAGAATTGATTAGAGGTTATTTATGCCAGGTGTCTAGGGCCGATAGGGTAGGTATGTTAATAGTTATGGATCGAACGCTGGTTTGAAGGATAGATACACTGTATATACAAGTCAGTCTCAATAGATCTGAAATCTGATTCCGATAGGTCATTCTGTTTGTCTCCGTAATAAAACGGGGTTTATGAGTGAAGTTATCCCGTTATCACTCTTAAAAGTGCTTCATGCATAGCCGTCATTCAACGGTTAAGACTTGTTGCAAGTTTAATCTGGTTGTTGATGTTACTAACCTATTAGTTCCTGTCCCAAGTCCCAAAATGTATGCGAAACAAGGCTGCATATTTCCAAATAGCACTGCGACAATATATAAGTTTCCAGGATTCATGCAAGGCAAGAATATCACAAGTACGTGCATCGAGCCCGTCCTACCGGGTAACACAGCCCCAGTCTTCTCCGCGTCAGAACACCCTATTGGCCATCTGCTATCGAATAGCCCCTTACTGTTTTAGTGCGCGCCCCTATTTTTGTACGAATGACTGTTGTAAAATTCTTTGAAGATTTGTTCCAGTCGGTTATCAGACTGCCGTCCCTGGTGCCCGTGAATAAGCCTTCTCCAGTAGAAAAGGTAGCTTGTCGGAAGAAAAGGGACGACACTACTTCTTGGTCTCTGAAAACAGAACTCAACATAAAAACAGTTTCTGGCACAGCCCAGCTGGGACTTCAACAATGAGGTACATCTCTCATACCAAGGTATATCCTTTATACAAAGCGTCGTTGACTCTGACATATAGCGCGACTACCATCTCAGCGGTGTTGGAAAATCCGATACGCCCGTACCGTGAAAAGGCGGTAGACAGCAGTGGTTTCCTTAGCTACATGAGCTTCAACGTACACCCAGATCACAGAGGCTTCAGCCTTGAGGAATATAGGCTGGAGGAATACAACAAATACAAAACCAATATATTTGCAGACCTTCTTACCGATCGATGCAAGGTGCCAAATGGAGTTCAAAGGAGACCCTTGGATCTGCATGTCGTCGTCAGACTGTCTATGAAACAGGACTAATCTTGATAGACTACGTGGGATTAGCATTAGCATACGAGTTAGCTCGACTATCGAGGCCATGGCAGCTAACAGGTGGTCGCTTCCCATCGCATTGATCTCGCATCATTCTCCTTACTTGAAAGCCATGTCCTCGGGTCCTGGTATCTTTGTCAAAGCGCAAATTCACCTCCCTGAAGATGATCCTGCGGTATTTGGCCTTTTTGTAGAATGGCTGTACTATGGAACCTATGATGATTTAGCAGCACCGTCATCTTCGAACATTCATGCACAATGTTGGGTTCTTGGCGATAAGCTTCTCTGCAATGAGTTCAAGAACTACGCCATGAGCCGTCTGTATAAACAACGCCTGGACTTTTCTGACCCACGAGGATGTGGAGTATGCATATGCAAACACGTCCCCGAATTCAAAATTAAGACAGTTTTATGTGGATTTCGTCAAACAAAACTTCTCGGATCCAAAGAAACTGCGTGGACCTGTGGGAGATTGGGATACGATCTTGCAGAAGGATCCAGACCTTCGCATTTCTTTACTCTTGAGCATACGACAGAAACCATTTTGCAAGTGTCACCTCAATGATCCAAAGGATTATATAGACTTCGATGAAGTCTACTTTACAGCAATTACGCCATCGGCTGCAGAACCTATACGATTGCCAGTCCGGAAGAAGAAGAGGAAGAATAAAAAACCAAAGTGTGGCGCCAATATAAAAAGTGAGAAAAATATAAGTGAGAATATTTTGTTTAAAAAAATAAAAACATGAGGTGCCCGGCTAAGACTGAATCTATCTATCTATGTGACAGAAAGAAGTAGAGGATCTCATGACCACAAGATGTAAAAGGTCAGAACCTTGGCTAACAAATCTTCCAGGCCAAGACTTCTGATCTGAGTATTGGAGTCTTCACTGTACGACAGGACTCTCCAGGAGGCAACGCATCGGAACTAGTACAAGGTTCAACCACAGATGATGAGAACGACGCCGTGGTTCTTGCATCGAAGGAGGTTACGAACTCGCGTAAAACTGTCGAAAGCAAGGAATGTGTCGAGGGCGGGAACGTCAAGACGGAGGAGCGGCCAGCGCTATGGTGGGAGACATATCGAGAATTTCCGCAGGAGAACATGGATGAAGAGTCGTTGGCTGGTAAAACATTTGACTTGCTATGGGATTGGCTTATCTAAAAGGGTCTTACACCGAGCTTGAGGCTATAGTGTGGAATTGTTACAGACTTCTATTATTTGAGGGGTTGATTTATATGCTTATGTCCACTCCTAATAAATAGCACGCAGCCGGTCTTCCATCTCCGAGAATATGTCCTGATGCTTTACTCGCTTGCAAGATCCAGGAGCGGCACTGCAACCTGACTTCAACGACTGGATGACTGGAGCGAGCCGTAGAGATTCTGTTGGTTTAAACTGTCTGTAGAGTGTAGGAATCTCTGCTATGCCGATTGTAAATACATCTCACGACAGTTTTGGCTTCAATGGCAAGCTGTCAGATGAGCGTATGTCGCTGGTGGGCGTCAGAAAGCGAAGCCATCGATTGGCCAATAGGACTTCGATAATGCCTGCAAATGTGGTGGTTATAGTCTGCAATTAATTGTCATCTTGTACATACGACCAAAGCTCGTAGAAAATACGGGATCCCGTCCGCTCTCCCATAGTCAAGCTGCGAAGCGCTGGATTAGTAGTTGGGTCGGTGACGACCAGCGAATCCCCGGTGTTGTATGTTTTTTGCCGTATAGCCATATTGAAGGCAAAGACTCAGCTCAAACTCCTCATACAGTCAATTTTGTCACTGTATAGTATACAATTGCTGGCAATGTCTTCTTTATTCCTCTGTCTCTAACTCATCGTCTGGCATCTCCACCCCAAGCCCCACCAAGAATTCCGCGATATCGGGCTTCTCACGACAGCATTCCAACAAATCCTCCTCATCTAGAGTATTAATATCTGCACCGTGGCTAATGAGCAGTCTCACAGATTCCAAGCATCCGTATACTATCGCATGAGCCAGAGGTGTGAGTCCATCTTCATCCACTGCAGCAACATTGGCCCCACATTCCAAGAGACGCTTGACAGTATGTGACGAATCTCCAATCTCAGCTGCAATATGCAAGGCTGTCTGTCCATTCGCCGCCCGAGCCTCGACATTATCTCCACGATCAACAAGAGATTGAATCAATGTCTCCCTGGCTCCAAAGTGAGCAGCGAGATGAAGCGGAGTATATCCTTCCGTATAACAGCGCCATCTCTCCTCCTCAGCCTCAAACTCATCGTAGCTCTCTCCATCGATATACGGCCATGCTTCGGCAGCTTGAAGATAAGAGTCTACAGATCTATGTGAATTTGTCATTCTTAGAAAATCTCTGTCGTAAGGCAATGACGGCAAGGCTGCAAGGCTTGGTGACAGAGTTCTAGCAGCATAGCAGAGAAACGGATGTGCCTCGAGTCTCTCTTTGAGCTCCTGGGATGACTTGCATGCGCCTTCGTAGTCACCTCTGGTCAAATACCGAAACGTAGCCTTTATATGTCGTGAGTGGTATTTGTCGTTGAATACTTCAGTGCGTAAATAGTCCGTAAGCAACGGAGACCGCAGCTGCATAACCTTTGTTTTAGGGTCAATGAAGGCGAAGTCAGCACAGGCGTTGGAGATTTGTGTAAGAGTAAAAACCGTCTTGTCTTCGTCTCTGATGCCCCAGGCGATCAGAGCACTCCATAGCATTGGCGTAGTAAAGGTGTATCCGTTTTCTTCGCCGGTGACGAGGTAATAAAGCGAGCAGAGGATCATGTCTGCATGACTTGTGGCTTGGATCCCGTTGAGTAGAGCTTCGCAAAATGCTCGAGGGACATCTACGCTGGAGTGTGGTGACCAGGACTCAACCAATCCAAGAAGGATCTTGTTTGGTTGCGACGCAATGTTGGTAAACCAACGTGGTATAAGAGGGAGAAACCTTAAAAGGCTTTAGTAGATGATACCTGAAATACGCAATGAGACCTACCGGCCATCAGCCATATCCATAAGTTTCTGGTATGGAAATAGCCTCGTATGAGACTCGTCCAGGAGCTCAGCGCTGACGGGTGCCTCATCAATAGCTCTTGCGTGGTATAAACTCAAATCCTGGTCGGTAGCACGGGCTGTCATCGTGGTGATACCGAAGCTCTCAATAAATGCGTCCGAAGGTGGACTCCGACTGGCCATCATGATTTGCAAGTGCGATACCCGACTCTTTTTCACCAACAGAATATCCATCAGCTCACGTAGACCAGCCTCGTTTGAGGAGTCGACTCCATCCAGGATGATGATAACCCCACTGAACTCAGATGCTAGCATCTGCAGTATAGCCACGGAACTTTCGACATCTCCAACATCGTCCTCAATCTTCTCTAGAATCTGGGCAGGGAGTGTAGATTCTGCCGGAAGCTGTGATACAAACTGCCTAGTGATAGAGCGCAGTGCAAGATTGTAATCAGCGACGTTATATTGCAGATCATGTCGACCAAAGTGGAATACAGCGACTCCGGTGCTTAGTGTGATCTGCTTATCTAAAATATGGCTCACGAGACTTGAGGTAATAAAAGTCTTGCCGGTTGCGCCTGATATTTGTTAGCTGTGTACGTAGAAGTATGCAGGTGGGTGAGATACTTGGTCCATGGAGCCAAAGCACCCGGCATTCATTCCCGCGCAGCCAATCCCGTGTTCTTTCATGGTCAAAGAACCACTGCGCGGTCCCGCGAATACGTGCATCATTAAGAATTCGCTGTTGAGTGGCTGACTGATCACCCGGGCTCAACCTCCGAAGCAGGACATTCCTATCACCTGATGCCATTGTGAGATTTCTCAAGCAAGTAGGAAGTAAACAAGCGATGCGAAAGTGTTTAATAACTCATTGATTCTTCAATTGATGTTGCTTACGGACTAGACGGAGAAATTAAAATGGGTTAGGCAACCGCTGCTCAAAGATTGGCTGCGTCGTATAATATCGCCCCCACTCGTTAGTTTTGAAACAAGTCTCGTATTACAAAAAGTAGCCTGTTCCAGGCATCAAGTATTTCCAGACGTAAGATTTTCAAAGATCAGATCGATTGTCTGTTTTCCCTTCGGGTCATATTTGTCAACGTATCTCTCCCCAAAACGCTGCATCCAAGTATCTGCAACTGATCAGCAAAGGTCACGTCATTGGGCAGAACAATCACTCACCATATGTCGTCTGAGGCTTGGTAGCACAAAGCCAGATGATAGTCTGGTTGACGTTGTCCTTAAGATCACCTTTCGGAAAGGCTTTGGCAATTGCAGCATGGTCCTCTTCCGAGACACCATAAGCTGGTCCTGAAAAGTCCATTGCGATGCCCTTGGATACAACCTGCACATCAAGTTCCTTGAAATAAGATATTGACCGTTCTGTATGAAGCGCGATGGCATCCCATACAAGCTAGAAGAGGGTGGCTAGAAATAAGCTGGCACTAATCCGATGGAAGAACATGGTGATATTATGTGCCTTGTATCTCTGAGTTCAGAGGGCTTCATCGTATTTATCTGGCCTTCCGAGCAATATATGATAGATACGATTAGAAATCATGATGATTGGGGAAATACTAATTCACCGTTTCTTTTGAGCAAGAATCGCTGACGTGAGACTTCACAGCCCATGAGCGAATGTCCTACGGACCGACGGTATAAATTACGAATGAGAAAATGAAGTCCTCGTGTAGATTGTCAAAATCTTCAAGTGTCATGGCAGTGACAAAAGATTTACATGATGGAAACTGAAGACATGCAGTCTTGTACTAGGACAAGAGTCTCTCACCCTGCTGATGCGTGGCATGATATTCTACCGATATTTTGGCGCATCTCACTTTGCTCCAAGATGAGAGGTAATCACACGTAGTCTTGCTACTATAGACAATTGTGCCACAGGTGCCCTGCCCATATCTCTATAATGCGTTACCTTTACAGGTGCAATGGTGTATTTCAAGGTTTAAGTCCATTGTAAAAGTGTATCATGATCTATGAACCTATTTTCCGAAGCGGTAATCTCCATCTATTGCCATGTCCATGCCTTTCATACTTATCGCTCGTCTGCATCTTGTAAGACCCGAGTAAAAAGAATTCAATCATCACTCCTCGATAAGCTTCTCAAGAGGCCAAACCATACCAGGAATGCGATATCCCAGCCTATCCATATAGTACGAGACATCAAGTCCATGAACCCTCCAAGCAATAACTCTCTCACCAAGTTCTTCCACCAAGCCAAAGTCAGGCTTCATTAGATCCAGAAGAGGACTCACATGTCTCGAGCCATCAGGTATCTCCCACATTTTCATCATCAGCATCTCATCCCCGTCGACAAGCATCATCAGTTTTACGAATTTGGTATCTGAAACCGTTATGACCTCGATATCGTCAGGTTTCATCGGCTGAGAGCATTGAAGAGTGCCTGGCTGGACATCCCTTGATTTGGATAGACTGAAACTTATCCATGGTGTCCATTGGCCCATGAAAATGTTGCGGGGGAACGGCTGAGGGGTAGTGCTAGAAGGGATCAGATGACGCCTGAAGAGGATAGAAGTTGCAGCTTTGCGGCTCAAGAGGAATGCTACTAGATCGTGTGCTATCGACAGCTTTGGATGTGGGTTGACGGTAGCGATGTTGCCATTCTCATCAGTAGCCTCCCCGAGAACGAAATCGATGGCTGAATCCATGAGAATTTTCTCCTGCTTAAGGTATTCATCTTTTTCCGATTCATGACCAGATGCACGCCTGTCAGAATAAGACTCAATGAACGACAGAATATCGAAGCTGTCACCAACATCTAGATCTAGCTGAATAGGAACACCACCAGACTCTTCCTCAAAGGCTGCTTCGATGACAAGAGAGCTGTTACGATCCATGGTACAAAATGTTGCTGTAAGTGTAGTCGTGTTGTTGTGCGGTACTGGTGACTCTGGTAAGTTAACGAGATAGATAACAGATAAGTTAATCAGAGGCCTAGGTTCTTAAATACTAAGAGATTAAGCGCATTCGCGCAATCATGGTGTTCTGCTTCAATGTTCAATATTGTGTCTCAAAATTGCCAAACGATCTTGTCCAAACAAAGGGCCATACTTTGGAATACTGAACAAGTCAAGTATGTTCCAAAGATAATTAAACAAACAACAGTCTACAACTCAAAGGTCGAGAAAGCAAGATCGGAGTTCGATTGAACATCATCTATTGTGAACGACTGAGCTGCTACGTCAAGACGAGAGACACTTGCGCTTTTCGCCCGAACCCGTCTAGCGTTCACTAGGAACTTTTGCATCTTAAGCTTATTCGTATGGTTTTTGATCCTTGTCCCCTCAACCTCTTTGACCTTCCAAAATAGTACAATCGAAGAAAAAAGCTCGCAATTGTCCAATTAAAGCCCCTCGGCATTCTTGGTGTCGCGGGGTTATCGTTCTTTGCCAAGATGACCCGTATCTGCTGCAACGTCGATCGGCCTTGGTCACATTTTAGTGCAGTGAAAAATCGACTCCCGTTGGTGCAAGCAAAAGTGCCTGGGAGTCGTCACCGCTAGCGATAAGGCCTCCGTTAGAGAGGCTGCTGGCGATCATCATAACAGCCTCTTGGCTAGACATGACCTTCCAGAAGCGACACTATATCCGCGAACTTGTGTTCGTCATGATTCCCCGCCATGATTGGCTTTCTTGGCATTGCGATTGCCTTTGATTGCGTGACTTGATCGTCGGTATAAATAGAGACACTGCGCCTTTATGCGACTCCCCGCTTTCATCGTTACGGCCGGTTCAACTATTGTACATCGTCAACATGAAGTTCAGCACTGGTGTCGCCACTCTACTGGCGTTGGCTCCCGCCCATGGCCTCGCCAAGACTCACAAGCTGGAGTCTAAGAAGATCCAAGCTGATATGAAGACCAAGAAGTAATTGCCCTTCGCTTCTGATACCAGAGACACAATGTTAACATGTTGCAGCCTCATGTCGAACCTCGAGGCCTTCAATGACATTGCCTTCGCCAACGGTGGAAACAGAGCGTTCGGTCTGCCCGGCTACGACGCTTCAGTTGACTACATCTACAAGCGCATCTCCAAAGTCAAGAATGCGAAAGTCTGGAAACAGAACTTCCCCGCTCTCTTCGCCTTCGTAGACTCAATTGAGCTCAAGATTGACGATAAGCCCGTCTACGTCTACGGCCTGACTTACTCCCCCTCAACATCTGAAGAAGGCATCACCGCCGAGATCGCCCTCGGTCCCGAAGGTGCCGCCGGGTGCGACGCTTCATCGTACAATGATCTCGACGTCAAGGGTAAAATTGTTCTCGTCCAGCGCTTTCGCTGCCCTACCGGTGGAACTCTCGCTGGAAGAGTCATTCCCGCAGCAGCGGCTGGTGCATCTGCTGTTATTATCTACCATGATCTTACGACGAATGTTACTGCTGGTTCTCTTAGCCAACCTGATCCCGAGAAGCATGTCCCAGCTGGCTTCATTAACCTTGTGGATGGTGAGAAAATCAAGGAGAGGATCGAGGCGGGTGAGGCTGTGACCGCGCATTTTCAGCAGACGCAGACTATCGAGGAGAGGATTACGCAGAATGTTATTGCTGAGACTAAGGGCGGTGATCCTCGCAATGTCATCATGGTTTGTCACCCACTGCGATGATCAATACTCATACTAACGATTATCTAGCTCGGTGCCCATCTCGACAGTGTTCAAGCCGGTCCCGGTATCAACGACGATGGTATATCACCCTGCCCTGTTTTATCATAACTCTACTAACGCAAGTAGGCTCTGGCTCGTCCCTCATCCTCGAACTCTTCCTCGCCCTCTCAAAGTACAAAACCAAGAACAAAATCCGCTTCGCATGGTGGGGCGCCGAAGAAAACGGTCTACTCGGCAGCAAGCACTACACCTCCACCCTCCCCGCCAAGGACGTCAACGACCTTCTCGTGTATCTCAACTTCGACATGGTCTCCAAGGGTTTCTTTGGTGTCGCCGACACTGACGGAAGTTCTCATGGTTCAAAGGCTCCTAAGGGATCTGAAGTTACCGAGAAGATCTTTACGGAGTACTTTGAGAGTAAGGGTATTGAGGTTACGCCTGCTGTTTTGACTAATGGCAGTGATTATGCGCCTTTTTGGCAGAATTTGAACAAGCCTTTTGGGTTCTTGCATACTGTAAGTTGACTCATTCTGTTGTTCTTTCACAGTTAACAAGGGTTTAGGGCACGGCTGTTGCGCAGGATCCTTGCTACCATCAAGCCTGTGATACCATCGATAACCCCGATTCCAAGACTCTCACCATTAATGCCAAGGTAACTCCCTTTACTGTACTTTATTGCGCAAAAGCTAATGGGCTCAGGCTGCTGCACACATTCTGGCTGTCCTCGATGACAGAGGAACAAAGCTCATCCCCAAGACCAAGACCACTGCGGCTTCGTTGCAAGGTCTCCAAGAGCGAAGTGTCGGCCCTGATCTGGCTCAGATTGACGAGCTTGAGGCTATGGGTATCCGACACTTGGGATGCGGTATTCACGAGATCTGATCAATTCCAGCGTAAATTTACACCTGGGTTGATTGAACAAAAGAAGTTGATGATTTATGATGAGATGAGAAGTGATGTAGCTTCGATAGATGAAGTCAATTAGATCGTGTCAGACGCATGACATCACTCTCCAGTGAACGTATCAACAGACCTCCACTTCCAATTCCTAAATCTTTCATAAGACATCGGATCAGTCCCCCAATAGTGACATACATCCTCCGCTGTCAACATCCTCCAATCCCTCTCGAACTCAGGCGGTCTCGGCGCCGACGTATCAACCCCTTCATCCCACGCTATCATATCTTTCCTCTTCGCCCAATCCTCACCAGTGACTTTACAGCCTTTACTGCGCTTACACCTCTGTCCACAGGATTTGCATTTGTAGTTTTTCCAACCTTCTGCATGATCGAATTTCCAAGCGTCGGATTTGCCGTGGGGATACGAACATGATGGCTTTGTGTGACCCATTTTGTTCTTTAATCTGTTATCGTAGTATCGCTTTGCGAGTTCTTCAGTGTTGTAGCGCTGGGGATGACCGTGACGGAGGGAGTCTCTGTATAGTGCGTCTGTTGTTATCCAGCAACTGGAGCCTCGTTCCAGAGATGTCTCGAGAACGTAATCGCTTTTAGTAAGCATCACTCCGTCGCAAATGTCTTCGGTCTCGAACTCAGTTGGCGTAGATGAGTCGACTACTGTGACTTTCACTCGCTCTTGTTCAAGTTTTTGAAGAAGCTCCTTGTTTGCTGGGTCCTCCATCTGTGTCTCAGAGAAGTAAACTTCAAAGTCATCGCGAGACATCCTCCAACTATCGAGCTTGGAGTTCTCTAGAAGCCAGCCAAGTACAAAGGCGTCGAAAGGATTGGAATGGCCGATGATGTAGTGGTGTCGGAGGCCAGGAGGAGGTGAGCTGCGAAGTCGTCGAGCACCAGTTCCAGCAGGGTCAAAGTGAACTTTTTGGCCGACCCACGACCATAGAAGCATTCTTAGATTGGCCCAACAGCTCTCATAGTATTCTCTTTCTCTGTCTTTGTCGATAATGGTACGTATGTAAGCGGTTCTTGTTGTCGCCGGTGGAGTCCTTGCGTCGTCCATTGGTAGTGACATAAACTGATTGGCGTTGCTGTGGGTTGAAGCTCATCAATGCCCGAAGCGGTAGCGCAAACTGGAGAAGAACAGTCCTCAGTGCTGAAACGGTGGTACTTCAATGTGGTTCAGATTTTCGGGATAGTTTAATCAATATCAGGCGCAATATTAAAGGTGAAATCGGCAAGTGACTCATCGCGAATCGAACCATCTCAAATATGAAACAGATCTGGTCTTGGTGTTTAGATCATCAACAAAGTAGCCTCAAGTAGCTAATGGGCTAATTAAAATGCTAAGTAACTTTACCAGTACCCGCCTCAAACCCGACGCTAAAATAGTCGTAAGTCTTTGTCATGCCCCTGTAAGACTACTTTGCTTCTAGCACCGACCAGAGATTCCAACAACCGGGTCACGACTTGGATACTTTTCCTGTAAAAGAATTTATGTTCTATTTCTATGGGTATTTTAAATATTCATCTCTTCTATATGACCGATCCTTTCACTGAAACTTGATGCCCTTAGCCTTCTCGTAAGCATAAGGAACACTAGCCGTCTTCCATCGCGGCGTCACCTCCTCATCGCTCAAACTAACAACAGGCTTAAGAATACTCAGCTTCTTTCCATCAAAAGCACTTGTCTCGAAACTCTGGTACCATCCACCATCTTCAGCCAACTCTTTGCCAAAGACTCTCTTCCAGCCGTCCCAAACCGTCATCAGAAGATCAAGAACATGATGCGATCCTCTCATCTCAGCCCATTGGAAACGCTTAGCGCATTCAGCGACGGTTTCGGGTGAGTAGAGACCGACGTCGGAGCGAAGAGCAAAAGTATTGACTGCGACGAGGGATGCGTGAACTGCGTAGCTTCCCCCCTTTGTGGCGCGATCGCGAAGGGCGAGAAGAGTGCCTACTGCGCCGAGAGCGCCAGTGGTCATGTCGCTGACGGGTAGTGAAGGCAGAACAGCTTCATTGTTGGGCAAGTTGAGGGAACGGCCAGTGACGTATGCTGATCCCGCAGCTGCATCTGCAATCTGTTGCCAACCAGGTCTCTCAGCGTAGTATCCATCAGGACCGTAACAGTTCTCCGAAACATGAACGATACCGCGGCCTCGCTCGCCTGCCATCTTGAGGATGTCATTCAGTCCAAGACCAAACTTTGGCATCTTGTTCATACGGAAGCCTTGAATGAAAACATCTGCCCCGGCGATAAGAGACTTGATGATAGCTGCATCCTCAGGCTTTCGCAGATCAATAGCGATAGTGCGCTTTCCAGCGTTGAGAGTAAGTTGCATAATGTTGATATCAGGCAAGTGAGGGGGATTAACCCGAATAACATCAGCGCCGAAGCTAGAAAGAATCGTGCCGATTTGAGGTCCGGCGATAACGCGGGTCATCTCAACAACTTTGATACCAGCCAAAGGACGCTTATCGGCTAGATCGAGAGGAGGGAAAGCAACGGGCGGTGTAGGAATAGCGTGAGGCTGAGCCTTGACGTTGATGAGGGGATGAGCAGCGAGGGACTTGCCCATCTCGCTTTCGTTCCATTGCTTGGGTGTGAAGCAGATACTGCCGCAGTTACCATTAACAAGGTTTGTGAACTCAAGCTTCTCAGGCGAGAGTTTGCTTGTAATCTTTGCGATGTGCGCGGCTGCTTCTTCGTTTGATTTGATGGCCTCAGATGGGTTTACACCAATGGACTTGAGAACTGGCTCGGCGTTCATCGAGCCGTGAAGGGAGTACCAAACGTCAGGATCGGAAGTAGGATAAAGACCTGTAGTGCGATACTTGAGAGGCGTATCAACCCAGCCTCTCTCCCAATCCGGCAAAAGCTTCTTCAACTCTCCAGACTTGGCCAACGCAAAAACATCCTTCCCATCAACGTACGCGGTAGCGATGTTGCCAAACCAAAGACCAGCATGTGTAGTATTAACAGTGATCTTGCGCTCTTTGTTCTCAACACCTCGAAGGGTGAGAATCTCATCGGCTACTACACCGGCCATGGCGTGGAGAGCAGCTGCTACTGAGACAGCCTTGATGGGGCCGGAGATGACAGGGAAATCATCGCCTGTGAATCTGACTTTTGAGAGGACGGATTCATCTTGGGTGAAGCCGGGTGTTTGGGAGGCGATGAGACGGAAGATGCGGTTTGTGTCTTGGGGAACGGGGATGAAGGCGCGGTCGGTGTGAGTACCGGGGCCATAGACGTCAGGGATTCTGGGTTCTTGTGACATATTGATAGTTATGAGATTAGAGTATAGTCAAGAATAACAAGAGATTGGAGTCAACTAGAATGATAGATCAAAATAGAAATTGGGGAGATAGCTTCAATGTGGTCAGGTCAACGTCTCTTATTAATTCACAATGACGACAAAGTCGGTGTAACGACAAGTTATTGAGATCACAAATCTTCAAGCATCAAGGAGCCCATTTTTTAACTCCACAAGAATCATGCATCGTCACCATCTCCATAATCGGCCCCCGATCCGCAAAACAACAAATCGGTAATCTCAAACGCGAGCGCGAGCGGAAATCGGACGTACGAAAATGAGTGGAATCCCATCTCCACGCGTTGCAACATGAGGCTCAAAAACCCGCCACGAGAAAAGACGTTTCCAGGGCAGACGACCTGATTTGTTGTATCTTCTCCATGATGACGACGGGACGGAACGGAAGAGTGGAGAATGGCGGATGGTTCCGCACTAGAAAAGATCTAGAAATTTTCCAGAAGTTGAAAAAGAAGGAATTGATGAGATAACCACGTGGAGATTGGACTGTCGGCGGTTGATCCGATGGAGATTTTGCCACTTTGCGTGATTCAAGTGCCGATGCATGACGTTGAAGAGATTAAATGCCGAAGCGCGATGGAAGATGCGGAATTAAGAGATTGGGATGGATGAGGGCGGAATTGATGGTATTTTTGTATCCTCATACTGGATGTAAATAAATATCGTCTTATAGCTACTGCTCACACCATAGATAGGAATCGCATCAGCTAAGTAAAGCATTTTCTTTATTATTACCATTAATATCATGTCGCCAATCAAATCTGTCGCAATCATCGGCTGCGGTGCAATTGGCGCCTCATGGGCCGCTCTCTTCATTGCCCAAGGTCTCCAAGTCAAAGCCTTCGACATCAACCCAGCTGCAGAGACATATCTTCGCAACTTCATCCGCGATGCTCTTCCAGTTCTGTCATCAACTGGTCTTGTTAAGAACACGGAAGCCAAGCCTGAAGATGTCATCTTCAGTACCAGTCTACAACAAGCTCTTCAAGACGTCGACTTCGTTCAAGAAAATGGTCCTGAGAGAATTGACTTTAAGAGAAAGTTGTTCCAGCAGATTGGAGAGCAACTTGGACCCAATGTGATCATCGCGACGAGTTCAAGTGGTCTTACGTGTTCTTCTATCCAAGAAGGCATGAGTGCTGCTGCACGACCAGAACGTTGTCTCGTCGGTCATCCGTTCAACCCACCTCATCTCATTCCCCTCGTCGAAGTAGTCGGCGGTTCCCAAACATCACCAATGACCATCCAAGCGACAATGACCTTCTACACCACCCTCGGCAAAAAGCCAATCCACTTGCAAAAAGAAGTTCCCGGCCACGTCGCGAACAGGATTCAAGCCGCGGTAATGCGCGAAGTATTCCACATTCTCCAACAAGACGTCTGCTCCGTCCAAGACATCGACGATGCAGTTTCTTACGGTCCTGGTCTACGATGGGGAGTCATGGGGCCGAATATGTTGTTTCATCTTGGTGGTGGGGAGGGTGGTATTGAGCATTTTGCTAATCATTTGTTGGGGCCGCTTCAGGGGTGGTATGCGAAGGAGAATCCGGTTGTTGATGAGGATTTGAGAAGGAAGTGGATTGAGGGGACGAAGTGGGCTGTTGGGGAGAGGGGATATGGGGGATTGGTTAAACAAAGAGACGAGGAGCTTGTTAGGTTGTTGAACGTTAGAAGGGAATGGGATGCTTTTGCAGACGGAAAAGGCAAGGAGGAATCGTAAATACCATCTAAATCAATATAAATCAAAACGTACTAATCTCTTGTTCTGACATTGGCTCTACACTACTATGTGGCTCTGATGATTGATTAGTGTCGCGATATTTGCACCACCGCATCCATTGTCCTTCGTCCCTCTACTCACATTAACACCAGCGCTTCCTTAGCTCTCCCGTTGGCTAAGGGAATCCACCAAATTAATATTCAACTACACTTGAACTACTAGTTATTCCATATCACCCATCTGTAAAAGAGAAATGCGTTATCCCAAGAATTCTGAAGTAATTTCGTTTGGAATGCTTGGTTACCCTGGACAGCCTCAAAATTTCCGCACATCTTTTGCGTTCCGCTCTTGACTGTGTCATATTCCGCGGTGGAACTGCCTCGGCATCACCAGCCCCACTACGCCGGGTCGTGCCCCACTTGTCCCGGTAGACCCGGCAGACCAGCGGAGTTCAAGATGAAGATTCTGTCTCGCGGCGCGAAGTCGGCGCCGACTGTACTCGTAAGCCCGGCGCACGGATCTGTGTCCACTTGATCTCCGATAAGAACGCTATGATGAAATTTCACCGCCTCTTCAATCGTTCAAAATGGATGTATGCCTGTACTTCTCATGACTTGAGCATACGCACGCCCGACTGAGGATATTTACGTGTTAATACCACGATCCGCATACGACTCTCATACTTTGAAGTTCATCAATTGAGCCTTCCACTTCATATTCCACCATCATGGGCTCTCTTAGTTTACCCCGTCTTCACATCCTCGACACAGACTTATCCAACTTCCCCGATCCCCAAGGTCGCATTCTGTCATGCTACACCGACGGCAGCGACCTTCGAACAATTCATGATCAAATGAAGACTATGCCAGATGGCATCACAATCGATCACCAAAATGGCTTCATGTACTGGACAAACATGGGTCCAACCTTCAAATCCAACGACGGATTCATAGAGCGCTCAAGATTAGATGGCTCTGAGCGAACAACCGTCGTGAGCACTGGTACCGTCGGTGTTTACACTCCAAAGCAAATCACTCTTGCTCGTCAAAGAGGCAAGTTGTACTGGTGCGATAGAGAAGGAATGAAAGTTATACGGTGTAATCTTGATGGATCTGGCATCGAGGTTCTTGTGTCAACTGGCTTAACTGCAGAGGACAGACAAGATATGTGCCGATGGTGTGTTGGTATCACAGTCGATGAGCCGAATGGGTACTTCTACTGGTCACAAAAAGGTCCTTCAAAAGGATCGCAAGGACGTATCTTCCGAGCCAAGATTGATGACCCAACACAAGTCGAGATGGTCTTTGACAAACTACCTGAGCCTATTGACCTGGAATTTGACGAGAGCACACACAGCCTTTATTGGACAGATCGCGGTGATCCTCCATCTGGAAACTCTCTGAATCGTGCTTTTATCGGAGATCTCACAGCCGCGCCTGAGCGAGAAGTTCTAGCTAGGCGACTACACGAGACAATTGGCCTTGCGCTGGATACGAATGCTGCAATGGCGTATGTGACGGACTTGTCAGGTGGTGTATACGCTATCGATCTGAAGACGAAGACAAAAACAGTGCTGTTTCCAGAGTTAGGGGATATCACAGGCATAGCGTTGGCGTAGAGTAAGGCTGGAGTACAAAAGTACATAGACTGTTGAGCAATCATAATACACATTTTAATCTACAATGAGTTCGACTTCGCTTAGTGCGTGCAGCGTGATCTGTCTCATCGAGTGATTTCACATTTTACATATCAATCGACTTTATAAAGAAGACTTTTCTCGATTCTTTATTCCTAGAGGTACTAACCACCATCCTGGTTCCCCGTTTCATCAAGAACACTTCGACTAAGTCAGCCGAGGTGTTCGTCGAGAATCTACCTCTTTAATGATACAAACCATGTTGAGCGGATGCCTAAAGCATAAAGCGGATTAAATCTCTGTACCTGAACGGTTAAAATACAACAAGGTTTCAATATTGCGAGTTAAACTGGATAACTAAAAGGCTATGGAGCTGTCCTTGAATGAATGGTCACCAATTTTGAAAGTCTAACAACATACACGAAAGTAAGAGAAGTTCAATTTACATTTGCTCGCTACTAAGTCACGATGGGAATACCAATACATCTGCTTTAGAGGAAGATGTAAAAAACTTAGTTGAAAAGCATTTACAATGAATTTCTCTACATAAAGTCCCGATCTATTGCTCATCCTTTCTCTTTTGTCCCTCCACACTATTATCCCGACGGGTCAGTTAAGAACAAAAGACCGATCAAAATTAACAAAATAACCAAGATATTTCATCCCACCCAAAAGATCTCACCAAGGGGAAGTACAGAGGCAAGACTCACTTACCATCCGCTCAAGAGAAACCAGCACTCCTCCACCCAACATGGCATCCCGAACATCGATCAGAACCGTGCGGGTACCTCCATTTCAAGCCTTACCACTCGGCGCACCTCCTCCCCCAACAGCGCTCGAAACGGAAGACTACTATGGTGACTGGAGCAACCGACCCAGACTCGTCGCACGATCAAACTACCCCGATGAACAATGGTCAGGGCTATGCAACAAATGGTCTCAAGTGGAAGCCTCACACCCCCTGAGGCAACTCATGGCAAGACCTGATAAAATCCTCCAGCGGGAATTTGCGAATGCTCTTGAGTATACAGAGTGGGAGAGCTTTGAAGCTGTCCGGATCGGAAGTGCACAACAAGAGAGTAAAGTGAAGTTGTTGATTACGGTTAAGACTGGATCGATGAATTGGTTTGGTGGGTGGATTGTTTCGAGGTGGTGTAGGGATATTATGAGGGGTTATGAGATTATGGATGTTGAGGTTGAGATTCAGGAGTGTGTTGGTTGTTGGGTTGTTATGGGGATACAGGAGTCTGTGGAGCCTGAGGTGACTGTACAGGACTGTCCCATTTGTAACGGAACTGAGAATGGGGTTTAAGTCGGCGGGAACGCATTTGACGATAACCTCGTGTCATGTCATTGATTAGTGAACAAGGAGGAGACACTGCACCCTATTGTTGACAAGACCCACCTTGGTGTCGATAAAAAGGCGAAAAACAACATGGACGACTTATCTGGCAACACATATTCTATTTTATTCCCCGTTACTCCAGAGAACCTTTCGATATTCAACAGAAAGATGCACGTCAAACAACCCCCCGTCGTGGCAGTTGAGTCGAGTGACAGCAAGGACTGTCAGCCTTCCACTCACTTTCCTGAGCCAGTATCTCTCAAAGTCAGCGATGACACCTGCAAAGAAGACGACGAACCGGGATGGAGCACAAGTACCACAAGTAAGCATTCTCAACTCCGCTCCTGATTCCTCTAACGCGTATAGTCGTCTTATCCTCTCACTTCGTTGTGATGAACACCTCCGGCCTCACAAATTCTTTCGGGGCTCTGCAAAGCTATTTCATCGACGAGTTCAACGAACCATCATCTACAGTGTCATGGATTGGGTCCATACAAATCTTTCTATACTTCTTCATTGGGATCTTCTCAGGCCGGCTCACAGACGCGGGATACTTCAGATCAACTTTCTTCACGGGCTCTCTTGCCAATGTTATTTGCATCCTCGCAGCTTCATTCGGCTCCCAGCTCTGGATCATGTTTCTCACCCTTGGTCTCGGAGTTGGTCTCGGAAATGGGTTCATGTCTTGTCCCATGCTCGCCGTTATGTCGCAGTACTTTACCAAGCGTCGAGGGATGGCGGTTGGGATTACGATGTGTGGGTCGTGTACTGGCGGGTTGATATACTCAGGCATCATGCGCCAGCTTATCCCGAGCTTGGGGTTCCCTTGGACGATGCGTGTCATCGCCTTGATACAGTTTGTCACATTGGCCTTCGCGAACATTTGCTTGAGACCTAGGTGCAGGGCAAAGAGAATATCTGGTTGGGTCGATTGGACTGCGTTTCGCGACGTTCGATTTAATCTCTATGCAATTGCAACATTCATGGTAAGTGTGACAAGAAAAGCTCCCTTGAGAGCAATGCTGTTCGATGTCTAACGTTCTTTCAGTCACTACTGGGTTTATACATCTCAATTTTCTTCATCGTTGACTTCTCCCGAACGTCAATTTCACCACCACTTTCGTATCGCAATGGTCTCAACCTACTCATGATCTTCAACGGCGTCAACGCCATCGGCCGTTTCGGATCTGGTCTTGCTGCAGACAAGTTTGGTGTAATGATAGTCTTCGTCCCCGTCTTGGCTGCAACAGCCATCGCCCTCTTCGCTTGGATTCCCGTTAAGGCAGTTCCTAGTATGTATGTATGGACTGTATTCTGCGGGATATTCTGTGGTGGCATCCAGAGTTTGTTTCCAGCGGGTCTTGGATACCTTACTGCTGGGACAGAACAACCTGGGACGAGAATGGGCATGATCTTTGGACTGGGCAGTATTGCGAGTCTGATTGGGTCACCGATTGGAGGAGCTTTGGTTGGAGCGATGAAGGGCAATTATTTGGGTGCTCAGGCATTTGGAGGTGCAACAATGGGCTTTTCTGCGCTGTTTCTTGAAGCTGTTCGAAGGGCGGACAGAAGGAGGATCTGCGACTCCAAGGGGTGAGAGCGCTTACAATTAAGGGAAGACTGCAACTTGTCGGTAAGTGTACGTGCTTTAACATAATCTAGACCATTTTGTTCATAAACAAGGCATTTCTGTAAACATCGCGATGATATCTCAATTGGAATAAGGCTAAAGCTCATTCAGCAAATCTTATCGTGTCATCTTTCCTTCTATTGGCTAAGACTTTCTGAAAGGGTTGAAGATGACAAGGAAATAGTGGGTCTAGTCAACCTTACATGACGCCTCAGACTCGTCGTCATTAACGTCGACGCGGCATCTCTGCTAGCGAATGGCTCGTCAACATGGAAGGCAGCGACAGAGAGGCCTATAGTAATGATGGCGCTACTACAATCCCGAGCGACTTCCCTGACTTCAGTGACCTGCTCGACCAGACCGGTTTTCCTCAGCTTGGCTTCGCCTCCTTTCAGACCCCGTTCAGTGATGAAGTCAATCCCCAATTATTACACCCTGCCCCAGGATTAGGAGACAACCTGGGGTCCGGAAACGACCTACAAGACAACTCAATTTCCCCGTTTCGTCCCGCTGAAACTCTAGCTCCCATCACATCAAACACACGGGCTGAAGCAAGCACCATCTCAACTCCGCCACCCAAAACTGGCAAGCGACTCTCTCTCAACTCAGTTCGCATTCTCAACAAGTGGCTTTCGAATCATACACACCACCCTTACCCTAGCGTCAGAGATGTTGAAGCGATCGAGAGGCAGACGGGGTTGACTCGACAACAAATCCTGAACTGGTTTGCCAATGCTCGTCGCAGAAAGAAGTTCAACCCACCAGAAACAACGGATCCAAGCTCGGCAGAGGCTAGCCCCCGAGACATACCCCTACGTAGACCACCTACGCCAACCGTCCAACAAAGTCCACTTGAGCGATGGGAGAACTCACCACCTGAAGACGAGCCATCGACCATGGCTGCTATTGCAAGGGCAGTATCGGGCGCAAGCGGTGACATCGACCAATCCCATGATGCAAGAACGAGACACGGCAGGGCACCATCGTCAACTGGCACCTGGGCGACAACCGACACTTCTGATTCGAGTCGAAGCTCTCAAGCCTCGGGCTACTCAAATACGTCCCGTGGGTCACTCAGAAAAGTCATCAAAAAGCGTCGAAGGGGGGGTCTACGGGCAAGAAATGATGAAAGGAGCGGCCTTTCAGTGGCTTGTCATCGTTTTCAGTGTACGTTCTGCACTGAGACGTTCAAGTTGAAGCATACCTGGTCAAGACACGAAAAGACACAACATCTTTCGCTTGAGCAATGGGAATGCTCCCCACTTGGCCCAACTGCTCTCAACCAGGGATCCGAGACTGTCTGTGTTTACTGCAGTGTTGTAGATCCCGATATCAGTCACCTTGAGGAACATAACCATGACTTGTGCCACAAACGCGAAAGAGGAGAGCGGATTTTCTATAGAAAGGATCATCTACGACAACATCTTCGACTTGTCCACGGATCAGAGTTCATGAAGTGGCCGATGGAGGAATGGAAGTCTAAGCATGAGGATGTCATATCACGTTGCGGCTTCTGTAATATTACTATGACGACATGGTCAGAGCGGGCGAATCATCTAGCGGAGCATTTCAAGGAGGGGAGGACCATGGCAGATTGGAAAGGGAATTGGGGCTTTGATGCTGTAACGCTTGATATGGTGGAGAATCATATGCCTCCTTGTAAGTGAATAACTCCAACTACAGGCCTCGAACTCACACCGTGTAGATCTCATTGACTACGAGCGCAATTCACCGCTCCCATTCTCCACGCAACAGGGTGCACCGTACAGCTCAACAAGTGCCTTCGAACTACTACAGCTGGAGCTCGACTACTTCTACGCCAACTACACCGACATCAACCACTGCATCCCATCCGATGATACTCTTCATCTCGAAGCTTGCTGTATTATCTTCGGCGCGGAAATGAACTACCAACATCCCTCCACAGCATCATCCTGGCTCCGCGACCTTCTGATGAGCACCGAATATATCGTGAACAAAGCACGTATGACGCCTATGAAGAGTGCAGCTAAGTCTCGCTTCTCGGAGTTGAAGATTCATAGCAAGAATGACATTTTTGAGGATTGTAAGCTTGAGACGTCGCTGAGGCAGTATGTTGATATGCTGCAGTTGTTGAATCTGGAGATTGGAGATGCCGAGTTGCAGAAGGAGGCTTGTTCGATCATTAACCATATGCCTGACTCTTCGCCTATGTTTAATCAGTTATTGGTTGGTTTGGTGTATGGTTCAACAGGTTGGTTGGCTTCCTTTCGAGACAGGGTAGGACTACCGATGTCTGAAGGGGTTTCATCAAACACGCAGGAGGGCGTCGTCCCCCATCTACTTTCCTCCAACAGCCTTCATGCGATATCAAGGAATGGCCCAGAGCACTGCATACCATCGAGTGGTCTCAACTCGCCACCTATGTCTCAAGGACAGAAGATCGTCTCGTTGAACGATGGCAACATGTACAGAGGTCTGACCAGAGACTTGACCCGCTACGTCGCGAGAACCATCTCACCTTTGAACCCTACCAGCCACGTCCCAACCGACGAAGAACTCCAATACCAAGCACGATGGATAATGTACGATAGGTAAGCATCATTCAATTCTCAACCAAATTCTCACTGACTCGTTCACAGCCACGATGTATGGAATCAGACTCCAGCAGATAATCTCGATTGGCTCACCGAATTTAAGAGGGACTCTGGCTTTTTCTAGCTCTCGCCAAGATCGATAGTCTCAGCTTTAATAAGAACAAGGTGGACATGAGGGCTGGTGCTTACTTTAAATCGCTCATACCTTGCCGAGGATGTTTAGTGTCGAACCGAGAGACTGGATATGCCAAGCCGTTTTCCCTGATGAATAAACCTCATGTGGCAGGGTAGACTAAGTCAGCGGCCGACCCTTGAAGCAAGTCCCACTGAGTCATGCTAAATTACTGGTTCCCAACGTGATGGAATCCACATGGAAATAAGCATATCTCCATAGCAAAAAAGCCTCATGATGCATCTAGGCCAACAGTCTCCCAAGTCTAGGAAAAACAAAGCCGATATTGGCTGGTACAAGTGATAAATAGCACTGCGAACAATGCTGATATGTACCCTCTCCCTTGAAACTCAAATCTCCCAAAATGCTACAATCTCTTGGCAAAAACAAGTCTAGATTACCATCATCAGCGCAGGGTCCACCCCACACTTAACCATTCCTGACCCTACGCCGTTGGAATACGACGTTAGCTTCGGCAGTTCGACCAAACTTTATTGGCGATGTCACCCTTTCAGGCTAAGAAGAGAAATTTTGCTGGTTTATCTTATAAATCTGATAATCAGAGTGGAGAATGTGAGGGGGAGCGACTGATTGATAAGTCTGACCATTTCTCGTTTGCCGGTTTGACTTGAGGCCTTGGATCTTAACGTACTGGTAATTTGTTTGCAGGTCAAAATGGCTGAACATGGTGGTTTTGGCGAAAGCGTTCGCGGTGAGTATTGAGTGGAAAGCTATTTGGACATGTGCTGATGCGATGAAGCGTTCTTTTTGGGAGCGGCGGCAAAGTCGAAGGAGGAGAGACGTCTTGTCAGGAAATTAGGTTTGCTCATTCGTACCCGCTTGTATTTGCCGATGCTGATATTTTGCAGATTTCTTCATCATGGTATGCGACCAAGGCGGTTAGGCACATCGACAATACTGACAGAATTAGACATACTGCTGTCTCAGCTACTTCTTCAACTTCCTCGGTAAGCTCAGATGTTAGTGCTGTGCCATACCGTTCTGACTGACCAATGATATAGATCGCGCGGCATTTGCGAACGCCTATGTAAGATCAGCCAAAAGCCAACCGTTTGGGAGGTATACTGACAATCCAGGTCGCCGGCCTTCGCGAATCTCTCAACATGACTGGCCATGATTACAACAATGTTCTCTCTGTTACCACCGCAGGGTACGTCTCACGAACCAAACGCACCACGGCAACTGACATGAAGCAGAATGGCTATTGGCCAGCTTCCCCATGGAATCATCATTCAGAAGATCGCGCCTCGAATCTGGTTCCCGTCGATGGTCGTCATCTGGGCTGGTCTGACAGTAAGTCAACTTCACATCAGCGCGACTACTCCTGCCAGCTCACATATCATAGATGGCTAGTGCAGCAGCAAAGACCGTTACTCAACTTTGCGTCATTAGGTTCTTCCTTGGTCTGGCTGAAGCAAGTACTTATGCTGGAACAATCTACATTATCGGCGCATGGTATAAGCCGGAGGAAATTTCCAAGCGCACTGCCCTTTTCACTGCATCAGGCCAAGTTGGTACCATGTTCGCTGGTGTCATGATGACAGCTATTCATAAGAGTATGAGGGGAATGTCAGGTCTTCAGGGCTGGCAGTGGGTGTTCTTGATCGGTAAGTCAAGCCGTAGACGATGGAAATATTGGACTAACAGTTATAGACGGCATCATCACCCTTCCTATTGCCCTATTCGGCTTCCTCTACTTCCCTGATATTCCAGAAATCACCAAGGCGAAGTATTTGTCCGAAGAGGAGAGGAAGATGGCAGTTTCCAGACTGCCTCCTATCAAGTCAGATGGACACAATATCATGCCCATGTCTCTGATCAAGCGAGTCTTCTTGACCCCAATGTTGTATGTATATTCCTCAAGCTTCTTTCGAATGCATGTCTGACTTTCATCAGTTGGATTCTCTTCTTCTGGTCGCCTGTCTGCGCCAGCACAGAAGGCTTCCCCTTCCAAAACACCTTCCTGCTCTGGCTCAAGTACTACAACGACAAATTCTCACAAACCCAGATCAATACATACCCCCTTGGCGTTCAAGCTGTTGGTATCGCCGCCAATATGCTTGCAGCATGGCACATGGACGCCACCGGCCAGCGTGTCCCAATGGCAATTCTCGCCGTTCTTCTGCAGATCGTTGTAGGAGCCATGCTTCTCGTGAGGAACCTATCTGATGCCGGTGTCATGTTTGCCTTTTATCTTGCTGGATCGGCTTATATGGTCAACCCACTCATCTTTGGCTGGGCAAACATCATCCTGCAGCGAACAGGTGATGATGCCATGCGCAGTGTGACGCTGTACTCCATGAACATTGGTTCTATGGTTCTTTGGACATTCTGGGGTATCATATTCTACAGTGCTGCTGATGCACCTTATTGGAAGAAGGGTGCTATCTCACTTCTTGTTTGCTGCGCCGTCATGTTCTGTTACATCTGGCTGGTTAACTATGTAAGTCCTACTAAGCTTGCCATTTGGAAACTGCTAACCAACCATTCCTAGCTCGACAAACTCACCATGAAGAAGTATGGCGACCGACCTGTGGAGAATCTCGAGGAGCCTGTCGAAGTGAGCGAGCTTGACAAAGGTGATGCTACCAAGGTATCGGAGAAGAAGGTGACATCGTGAAGAAATTAGTATTTAAGGAGCATGTAGAGGAGAAAAGGAACGGTTTAAAATAATACTGTGTCAGACTTCATGACGGATACGAGCTATGCTGTTGGATGTATGTTGGGCACTAACTTTCAGCATTATTACATAACCTGAAGGGGCTAATAGAAGAAGAATATGGATAAGATAAGTCTAGTTAAAGGTGTATTTATGGTACGCTCACCAGCCTTCCCCCAGAACCATGCTGCTTTGTCGATGGGGCCGTGGTTGGGACGTCCGAATGTATTGAAGTCCCGCCTCCGATGTGTCCAACCTCAAAGCCACTCGCTTTCCATCACTTTCAAGCGCTTACTGACCCTGAACTAAGTCCGCAATGATATTACCCGTCGTAGGGAAGGCGCCAAAGGCAGAGGAGAAGACACTGCAGGTTTGATCGGCCTCTGCGTAAAATACGCCAACACATGCTGCAGTTTGTGTACAGGCATCAAGGCAAGCCTTGAAGCTGATTCCCGCGATGGGGTCACCAATGTTATACCGTCACGCCTGACATAACGTTGCACCTGATTCCGAAGGACTCGCCGTTGGTCGCAGTGTACGGGTTCGGATAATCAGCGCAGGCAGTTGGCTCCTGTGGTGCAGCAGAAGTTGTGGTGGGTTCGGATGTTGTAGTCGTCGCGTTTGCGGTAATTGTTGTTGGGGCAGTGGTGAAGGAAGAAATGCTCTCTGACTCGGTGTCCGCGCTTGTAGTAGTACTTGTGTCGGCAGAAGTAGCTGTCAGCGTGGTGGTGATCAAAGTCGTGTCCGACTCGGCTTGCGCAGTGCCAGTCATAGCAGAGTCGGCACTACTGACTCCTTTCATCCCCGGTCGTTTTTACGAGTCTTTTCATCTAACTATTTTGACACTGTTGCCTGTCACGCGAAACTAGCTCAGCCACAAGACGAAACTTGATGGTGAAAAACGACCGTTGAGCTAAGCCGAAAGTAGTTTCAATTATCAGAATAGCGAGAGAGTTGAACAATATGTGAAGCACAGATAACAAGGCGAGCAGAGAAATAAACTGAAAATAGGACCTATGGAGTGGAGGGAAATCCCATGTTATCTTGCGAGAAGGAAACTCTTGTTAATAGACTCGCGTTGTTTGGAAAGGCCGTGCGACTCTGATAAGTCATAAGATAGATGAAGCCCGCCGTTCTTATACAACCCTATAGAGCTTTTCTCTCTCCAGACTCTTTGCACCGTGCTTGGTATCTTGTCCCCACTATAGTGATCTTTGAATTTCGCGGACAGTGCCATCGTCTCCGGAATCTCAGTTTGCTCGCAACGCCACGGTCGCAGCATCGTACAAGATATTCGGCTGCAGAGCATCGGCACTACTCCAAAGAGAACACGACTCAATAGACCTGTAATACGCAACACCTCTGCAAAGAGATTCAGCCTCGCAAGCGTCCATGCAGGCCTTGAAGGTGAGACCCATCTTTTCGCCTCCGATACTTTGGAAGGAAGTGGGCGCTGACCCGCAGGCAACTTGAAACACAGCTCTGTTCGGGACAGTATATGGGTTTTGAACTGTCAAACATGTGTCCTCGGGCTCCTGGACTGGGGCAGCGCTGGTAGTGGTTGCGAGGGTAGTGGTGGTGATGATATCGGTGCTGCTGCTCTCAGTGGCCGAGATAGTGAGGGAAATGGTCTCAGTATCAGAAGTTGTTGTTTCTGTCAGGGAAGGGACAGTGCTGGTGGCCTCAAGACTGGCTGTCACTGTATCAGAAGAAGGACGGCATGGCCCTGCATTCACACCAATAACGGCGAACAAGGCAAGTTGCCAAACGAAAATGTTCAAGGGAGCCATATTATAAAGAGAGACAAAAGTTGGTTGATAAAGACTGACAGAAGCGGCGTGGAAACAAAGGTCCAAGGGAACAAGATCATTTATGAAAGCTTCAACCCCTAATTGTAGTTCCCACATTTTATTTCCGAGTCTGACATCAGTCCACTGTGGGTTTGCAAAGACTATTGACTGTAGTGCTTGACTAGTCTGATTACAGGTCTGGCGAACTGCGCTATTGAACCCGACCTGAGCTGAAAAGCGGTCGATTAAAGCGTTAGAAGTATTCTGAACCAAACCCACCTAAAACCTCCACTCTTCCGTATACCATTCCGAGCTATCATCAAAGTATGAAATTTGCGACCAGAGGTCACATGTACCATCCGAGTCTTTGTATTCGACACATGGCAGTTGGGCGGTAAGGCTAAAGCACCAAGGCAGAGTTTGAGGGTATCCACGTTGAGCTGGCCAGCAGAACTGGATCCAATAGCAGGCTGACCGCTGATATCGACGACGCTGTTGTTGGGTGCTGTGTATGAACTTGTGAGAGCGTGGCAGGAATCGATGGTCTCTTCGACTTGAGCGGTACTTCTTAGCGGTAAACTGTCCGTCTCGGGGATAGATAATGATGAGATGGTGAGGGTAGTTGACTCTTGGCTTGCAGTCATGATGACTGCCGGCGGTAATGCTTTCCATTGTCTAACCTCAACACCAGCGATAGTAGCCAATGCAAACGGCAGAGCAAAGGTAGTGATGTGAGTTATAATGATGAGTGACGAAAGTGGCAGGAAGACCGTGAAAGAAGATATGGCCATGACGAACAGCTTGAATATTTTCATTCTCTTGGTAGCCCCCAGGGAGCAACACTTCTGACGTTAAACCGAGGCACCGAGGATGATAGGTGTACTAAGTCTATACTAAATTTACCCAAGTCTTTTTATCACTTATGATAGAGGTCTTAAGTCTTCTCCCCTGGTACTGGTTTTACTAGCTACGTGCTAAGAACAAAGGTCCCATCAGACTATTGAGCCGCTGTTGAGCATCGCACTGTGTGAGTCCGGTTTCAGATCTTGGCTGTTTTCCAACTTTTATTTTTAAGTGCGCACTGAGATTGATATAGTATTTTTTCGGGGCATTTGTTGCGAAACACGAAACTGCTTTTTGTACTGAGCTTTATATTTGTACTGTTGAGATCAAGCGGACCAGGCAATATGTCGACCTAATACTCTCTCGAAAGGTCATTGTCACATTTCAGCGAGTTTGAATCTCCTAACTTATTGAATCATTTCTCACTCAGCGGGTTCTCATACAAGAGAGAGCAGGTCTAAATGTAATGAATGATAGATAATATGCTGGACGAAACCTTCCCATCACCACATTGCCCAGCCATGTCAGAAACTACCTGACTAGTCTAGCTACTACTGCACATATATGCTCAAGGGTGATAGCTATAGCCTGGGCGTCGTCCCAAATACTGTCAGTACGAGCTCTTGATAGAATCACCTAGATGACATGTAGCGACAACATGCTTGTCAGTAAGATGAGCATCAAAGCCATCCAAATCATACGTGTTGAAACTTCCGTGTTGGTCATTCACACATGCACGACACATGTACTCATTCGGAGCACCCTCAACATGCGACCAGAGGATACCGCTCTGCACCATCTGGAAATAGTCGACGATGATGTTGTCCACTGCCTTACCACAGTCATGCCAACCGCAATCACAGACGAAGCGTCCAGTTTGCGTCATGTGAGGAAACTTTTCACAGAACGTGGGATATCCTCTCTTTGCGGGGCCTGACTCGATGCTGGTGCCCAAAACATGATTCCTCCTGATTGTTGACCATGTTAGATGACATAAAGACGCATGGAATAAGACGAATATGTAGGGGGCTTGCAAACATACCAAAGTCTCGTACGCGGTTATCCTTTGAAGGGTCAAGTCTTTGCACGATGCGCTGAGCTTGTTCGTTGTTCATACTCTTGATGGCAAGTAAGACACGAGGGATCTGATTGCTGTCAAGGCGCTGAATTGTTCCGTCAAGTTGAGTATCGTCAAGCCGCTGAAGAGCGTCTGGGAGTTCCGAGTCGTCAATTCCCTGAACAGAGAGATGTTCGCTCATGACTTTCTCTTGGCTTCTTGTCAGTTGGCAAAAGTGTCGAATGAAACTGCTGGGCTACTGAGAAGAAGAAAGAAACGGTCAATCCGATAGTCAGAGCAGTCTTTATAGCTCGTGATTGGGTCTCAACCGGGTTATTCACATGCTGCCTTTCATCAACACTTCTGGCCCAACCCATCCAAGTTCAGCCTCAAATGCGCAACCTCTACGACAGAAGAAGGTGTCAGAAAGCCCCACTTCAACCTCGTTACCAACCGCTGCGACAATCTCGCCAGGCAATATATTGTCAATGTGCAAGTATTAGGCTGCGAATCCGAAATTACAAAGTTAATCCGCGAATAATATGCTTCCAATGACATTTTCGTACATCACTGTTTCGGTAAGGGTGTATTGCCAGTTCTCTGTATCGCTCAGCCGTAGAGGTTGGGGTGGTTGAACAACTCAGAGCCTGATAACAAAAGGATGGTTGCAATATGAGAAATCACAATTCTTCGCATTTCAGCCTGAATTAATAATGTCTCGCATGGTTTCACGTGAGCATATAACAATGGTGCACGTATCATCTGACCGAGGGCTTCGAATCAGGTATCTTGGACTTATAGCTCTGGTTGAGATCTCGATGTGAACAACAAACCAATGTGAACACGCCAACGTACTACATGTCTCACTAAACAAGACTCGAATGAGTTCAACCGGTAAGTTTACCCAATTCCAGTAATCATTCACTGCCCATTCATGATGTTCCGCGTATCAAGGTCCAAATTCATCAAAGCCTTCTGTAGCGTGACCTGTTGGGGACTCTATAACGAGTGAGCGGCACATAATACCACGTGGGGTACCATATAACAGGTGCCCACCAAAGTTCATAGCTAAGTATATAATCCCCGCAATATGGGATGTTATTGAGTGCTCTATCATAATAATACCAATTCCAATCGCAGATGTAGTACCCTGTCGCTGGATGGGGGTAGTATGGGCTGATTGCTTGAGCATCTCGGGCCCAAGATTGAACTCCTTGTAACAGGCATGGTTATCAGAAGAGATCATTACCGAACAGACTGAGGTGATAAAACAAAAAGATGACCATACCGCTCTGTTCAAGGCGCTGATTTCCATAGTTGTTAAGGCCATGCAAGCACTGGACGATGCGCTGAACTTGATCGTCATCAATTCCTCTTAGGCTGGCGGCGAGTTGGGTGTCATCAAGACCTTGCACGACCTCTTGAAGGCTGGGGGTATGTTGGTGCGGCACAGATAGCTGTTCAACCATGTTATCAGCTTCCGTGCTGGCTATTTTGTGAGGTGACCTAGACGCGACGTGTGGTTTTAATGGAAGGGATAAGTCGGTAGAGGGGATTAGGTCGTCAGATTTTGTAGTATGATATTGCGTTCACTTCCGCTACCTCAGCTGTATGGAGAATCCAGCCCTATGTCCACAAAAGCAGTTGTTGGGGCTGAACAGAGTGCCTAGAAAGCCAGCTGCCTCAGACATTCTTTGCCCGATGACAGATTGGGCATAGACGAAAGAGCCTCATTCAACCTCTGCTCCAAACGGTACAGCTCGACCACAGAGGGATACGTGGCAGTAGTTGCATATGACGTGCCAAAAAGCCGGAGACAACATGAGAAACCAATTAATTACTACCATGGGTTACACCGTGAAGGCAGAGTGGTCAAGTGCAAGTGTTGTGTATTGTGGTGCTAAAGGATAGCGGACGTTGGACAACCAGCAGCCTGACAAGTGAAGGTGGCTGCAAGGAGAGAAACGACTATCCTTGGCAGAGCAGCTTCAATTAAGAGTGCCTTACACTGTAAATCTTCATACCATCATGCTGGATCCATGTATGATCTGACTAAGAACTTGGGGTATTGTTTCTGGGCTTCTTGAATACTTGAGGGAAAAGACATCGACCTAACCTGAAGTTATTTGTAGAGGGATGGCGTCAGCGTTCCATGTCCAACCTCCTACAATCGGCCTCAGCCCAATGGAACCGTCCTTATATACGTGAGTGACGACAAAGACAAGCACATACGACCATACCTGCAGGAAAATACGGGATCCCGTCCGCTCTCCCATAGTCAAGCCTGTAAGGGGCGGATCAGTAGTTGGGTCGGTGACGACCAGCGAATCCCCGCTGTTGTATGTCTTTTTTTGGCCATTTTTGAGGCACCTGTTTTTAGATGTAACTGTCTGTCAATTGGTCCTTTCACTGACTATTAGTCCATACAATTTTTATAGCCCAGACACCTCTGCATGGACGGGTCGTTTAATGGTCCATTCCCCGCTGTCGATTCTCAGTGACAATGTCCCAGTACTTCTCCTGGCTGCGCTCGCGAAACGTCTTTCCCTACTTCATCAGGACAAGAAAAATACTAAAACAGGACATTGCGACGAATGCTACCGTGATGAAACAATTTTATTAGCCCAAGTTGGTAATCCGTGGCGTTATTCTGAGTACAAATGTTAGCGAATGCATATTGAGTCGTGTCAGAAAACTGACTTACCCATATTCCATGGCAAATGAGATGGTAATTCGCACGAGCATAATAGTAGACATGGCATCGTTGCTCAGCTCGCCATAGCTGTCTACCAGGTAATTGATACTGTGATACCATAAGTATTCGACATGGTGAGGATACGCATAACAACCATGAGACCAAACCAGTGAATCTCGTATGCAGCGCCTAATCCCCAAAGAAGAAGAGCGCCTGGCACTGTCACGATGCAGAGGAGGAAAGGCCACAGTCGGTGCTCAGCTTCAATAACACCATTGTTGCGGCGGGCAAGCCGGATAGTGAGCCAATCGCTGGAATATCCGGTAAAGAATAAGCTAGGTACTGTCAGTAATTGTGTGACAGTACGGGAAAAGACTCTTGCCCAAGAATGACACCGATACAGCAAGAGATATAGCTGACGACGACCGTCGACGAACTTTGAGATGAGTCAGCACTCGTGTAACGAATTGAGATAGGTTTGCATGACTGACCTGAAGTTGTACGGCGGAGAGCCCGGGATAATAGATGCGGTGCCGTTTCGGTTATTGGTCCCTATGAGATACAAACCGTAGGAGAATCTACCTTAGGCCCATCGATTGGAGCTGAACGTTGAGAAGAAGCTGGCTCACACTGCATAAAACACGACTAGCCAGCTCGTCCACCGGGAATAAGTTATGAGATGGAAGAAACGTTGTCTGAAACAATCAGAAAGGGATTTCCGATCTTCGAACCAGACATGAGGCAATAATAAATGAAAAGGCCTCTTATATAGAGCGGCCTTGAAACCACAAATATCTTGTTCTCTTTCTCGAGTCTCATCTTAGCTGGAATTCGATTGTCTATCATTCATCTAGTGATGTTGCTCAGACATACGATTAGTTTCGAGAAGCTCCCGGCATCGAAGCGATTGTCTTGCCTTGTGGCTATCTAGGGCTTCGTATGTTCCCGACCGCCGCCCTTCATCACAAAGCAGAACTACCAAATTACTTGCCAGGTAGTTCAGACCAACCATTCCCTTTCAGTAGTCTGACTCCACACCGTGTGAAGGAATTCGTTAGCATCCAATGATGATCCAGCGCTCAATGAACCAACGATGCCACCCCAGAGTAAGGCATACCGATAGATAGAGTCGTCAAGTTGCAGTACTTAGAGCAAGTCACAACAGCCTCAAAGAAAGCGCTTTGCCTAGTCTGGGCAAAAAGTGCGATGTGTGGGGAAAGTGACTTTGTTTCTCAGTTGAGGGGTAGATAGACTCACACGAATGGGGTTAGCACCCTTTGCTAGGATCCGATCATGATTGACATCTTGATCTACTGGTATCAGACAGTTCAGCAAGGCAAGCTGGTCAGCTGTTCACGGAGCATGTGCGATTACTGTAGCTTCCTTTATCGCTGGTATCAATTCCGAAGTTCCGGGTTCCGGACGTCCGATACTATTTAACAGACACCTTACAAGAGACATTTTCTAGTTTGATTCCATGTTCACAATATAGCTATTATTCGTGTATCTATTGAAAGGTCGTCCTTAACAACATGAAACCATCCGTCGCTGCTTTCATACATGGTCGTGTATATACCGTGAATGACAGGCAGCCATGGGCCGAAGCCTTTATTGTTTCCGCATCAGGGCGTTTCGATGCAGTTGGAACCAACCGAGAGATTCAAAAGCTGGCCAAAGAGCAAGGCCTACCCATCCATGATCTGGGAAATACCTTCGTCATGCCAGGAATCCACGACGCACATACGCATCTCCTGGTAGCCTCAATGCAGAAAATGAGCGAAGTTAGCATTGGATCAGACAGCACCGCTGCCACCATCGCTGAGAACATCAAGAACGGACAGGCAACCTGTGCCTGCACACATGCTCATATCAGAGGAGATTGGCTTATTGCAAACTTCTACGCAGGACAGAATTTTCCGGACGGGAAGATGGATCGGAAGTATCTAGACGATGGCTTTCCTGAGCAGCCAGTGCTTGTTCGAGATGTCTCTTGCCACAATGTGGCCCTCAATACCGCAGCTCTCAGGCGTGTTGGGTATGGCGCTGATGTTGAAGATCCCCCCGGGGGAAAGTACATGCGTAGGCCGGATGGTCAGTTGACCGGGGAATTAGTGGAAGCAGCATCAGCTGAGGTCTTGGCCAGCTTGCCTCAGCCACCGGTCTCGTTTGTGAAGGAAGCTCTTATCTATGGAATCAATATATCTCACAAGTTCGGCATCACTTCGTTACAGGAGGCGTCTGCAAATACCCTCTATCTTCAGGCCCTTCGAGAGCTGGACAGTGAAGGACGACTGGACATGCAGATCTTCCCTCACATTGTTCATGCACCAGAGAGCTTTGCTCAGGAGAAATCCGAGAGCCTGCATCGACTCATCGATGATGCTGATGCTTTTTGCAGTCAGCACGTTGATGCACGATTTGTGAAGTTTTGGATGGATGGGGCGCCCATACCGCCTCACTTCACGCAGTGCGATATTGGAGCGGATGGGCTTCCCAACGAGGACAGGCTACTGCTTACTTTCGACGAGTTGTTTGCCGCTTTGACCAAACATGATGCGAGGGGATTGACATGCAAGATTCACTGTGCCGGTGACGGCTCTGTAAGGCGAGCACTGGATGTTCTAGAGCGAGTTCGACAGTCGAATCCTTCAGGTCCAGTGCACGAGCTGGCACATTGCAACGCCATTCATCAAGGTGAGAGGACCCATTCCATCATGCGTACCGAGCGAATACTGACACGCTTCTAAAGATGATATTCTCCGAATGGCAGAATTACGAATCACGGCCGAAATGTCACCCGCGATATTTCATGACACAAATCTCACATCCAACTATCCCCATATCTTCAAATGGCCGTTCAAGGAGCTCCAGGATACTGGTGTCCATGTCACAGTAGGCTCTGACTGGTTCTTGACCGATACACCAGACCTATTCCCAGCCCTGTCGGCCGTCGTGGAGCGCTTTGGTACGCAGGAGGGCAAGACGGCGAAAGAGGTTGGAGGTGCAAAGATCTGTCGCGTCATAACGCTAGCGGGGGCTGAGGCGGTAGGCAAGGCTTCGGAGATGGGAAGTATTGAGCCAGGAAAGAAGGCGAATTTCATTGCGGTTGATCAAGACTTGAGTCGTGGTGAGTTTAGTGGAGCGAAAGTGCTGAAGACATGGTTTGAAGGAAGGATGGTTTGGGAAGACACAAACAATGAGGCATCTATTTAGTTTGGTCACACAACAGGAGCCTGTCCCGGCGACCATGTCCCTGCGTTGCTTAGACTGAATACAACGGGTGCTCTAATGTCCCTTTCTCGAGAAAGTCTTGATACCGCATCACCATCAGAAAAGCCCATTTCGCTCAACCCATCCAACTCATCAGCCTCTCGAAGAACCTCGGCTGGAGCCTCGACCTCAAACACAGCCTGGATATCACCGTGTGGTGAGAAACCTGTGAACTTCCACATTCTTGAAACTTTGGCAGCGTCAGGTCCAAAAGTCCATAGGCGTCGACGTTCATAAAAGCCGACGCAAAATAAAAGAGGCGCATTAACGAGTCGTGCGAGAAACACGTGAATGGAGTAGAACTCTAGAGATGACAGGAAGGGCTTGATAGGGAGCAGTACCAGCAAAGCAAAAATGTTGAATGGTGGCGGGTAGGCGAAGATGGCATCGCTTTTCACGCCCTCAAAGGTGAGAACTGTCTTTCGAAACTGGATCTCGACATCCTCAGATGTGACTATGGTGCTGAACCGATTGGTGAGAAGTGAGACGAGAATTGTGAGAAATAGAGTATTGCCGAGAAAGGCAAAGGCAATGGTCAGTGCAGGTCCTAGGATGGCGTGAAACTGAACAGACTCCTCAATGCCAGTCCCGTCCAACCCGAACCAGATCCACAGTAGCCATTTGATGATGGTGAAGTCGTTCGGAATTGAGCCATCTCCCGGAGAAAGCCACTGCAGCGCTAGCAGAAACCCGGTGAAACACCATATTGCGAGGAATGTGAGGATCAGAAACTCCTTCATCATTGCGTGAAGCGAGATAAAGACGATATGGTCTGGCAGAATGTTGAAGGCCAGTCTCGTCAGAAGAATTGGAGACGCGAGACAGAGTATGTTATGCGCCATGCCATTCTGCACACTGCTTACGGCAAACTCATAGGCTCGAACAGTGATGTAAGCCATGAAAATGACGGTGTATGAAAGATCCAAGAATGACCACAAGGTCTGCGAATGAATCATCCACCCGTGCTCGATGATGGCAGCGAGTTCATGAAGAACCCAGCCGGCAGAATACAGAATGAAGACAACCTCATTTCCAGTCAAGTTATCGGGATCTCGATACTGCATCGTGTACACATATAGAAGAGTGAGGATGATGTAATGCACTAGCTCAATGATGTAACGGGTGCGCGGGACCACGAGACGATGATGGTCAAGCAGCGGCGCCTTGCGCGGTTCGTACAAAGACACCGGGAGGTACTCATAATGGTTGGGGAGAATATCAACGAACGACAAGGGCGTGTAGACGATTTGGCCACGGTACACTGCATCAATCACTCGTCTGCATCCCGAAGAACTGACAAAATTCTTACTCTCGGATATAATCGCGAGCTCAAGTGCAGTTAGCTTCCTCTCATGGCCACCACGCCTTTGAATCGGCCATTGTGGATAGCGCCCGTATTGTTCAACTTCGGGCGGAGCACCATGAAATGGGTCAAAACCCTGGACCAGGATCTTGGAGAGTAGGAGTAGACCGTCTAGACCTGGGTTATCATCGTGAAAGTTACGCAAAATCTTGATAGCTAAGAGCTCGCATAATGTTGCTCTTGCTATGCTGGTGCTTTGGTCAATGACGCTGGACTGTTCACGGAGGAACTGTACCCGATTTGCGAGGAGACAGTATACTGGGATAGTCAGTATTATAGCAGGGTATTTCTTGGCAATTAAAAGTGTATCGCGCACCGATGGAGTAGTCGTTCTCGTCATACAGACGATCTACCAAGGGACGGACAATGAGATGGTTGACTCGCGGACTCTTCAACTGTTCCAGAGAGTAGGGGTCATCTAGTGAACAGTATTAGATGGCATACATCGGATGATAAGACGTTGATATGCACCTATACTTGCTAGCACAAATTTTCTTATCCTACAACCGATATCCTGTCAGCAGGTTGCATTCTGTGTAAATGTCAAAGATCAATACCGATGCAGGGTGACAAAGACTGAAGTTTGGGGCCATTCGCCGTCGTGCTCAGTGTCTGTTTCTGTCCCGAAACTTGCAGCTGCATCATTCAGTAACGTGCTCTCGTCTGGTTCGACGATGTTCCTGGAATTCAAGGATAGGCCATCCAGATCTTGGCTCATTTTACTCCCACAAAGACAGATTGAACACAGGTTGCAGAGGAATAGTTGAAGTCTCCAAGGGCCTGCGTCTCACCACCTGTTTTATTCACAGGGGGGTGGAGCTGTCATCTTAGTTGACTATGTGGATCAAAGCCGCCAAGTTCGGTCTACGATGCTACAGGTAGTTGGACTTGGAGGCAGACCTTTCTTCAAAGCTGATCAGAAATCAACTCAATCATGATTGTGCTTACTATTGCACACTGATGCTCTCCTGATCAGCTTAACTGGTCCAGTTGTGAAGTTCCCTCTTCTCTCAAAGGTCATCGTGATACCCCAAGCGAGCCTCAGTTCGCATGACATGGGGTTGACAAAGTGACAATCGGTTTGGGGCTGTGTTGTGAAATGACTGCGCCCCCTTCGGTTGCATCCGGCTTGGCCAACACCAAGCATTTTATAGCTCCATCATATCAACGGAAAGGCAAAAGCTCTTGTGCCTGTGAATATGACGTACGCGCCAATTTCCTTGGCGTCGTGCTTGTGGGGAATGGATCGTCAGTGTCAGATGCTTGGTTTTATAGCACTGGCGAGATTGGACAGACTGGATAGCGCAGCGGTGTGAGTCGTGGTGAGCATGATATGACTGGATAGGAAACGAGCAAATAGCGGTGTTAGCGAGGGACAGACTGAATCAAGAGGGCGTGTACGACAGAAGTAGTATCAGTCGGTACCGAAGCTCAATTGAAGCAATGACAACTGAGTGGATGCTTATTCCAGACAAGCTTTTTAGCGCTGGGGGTAAGATCAAGGGTCTACGATGAGAATGTGCACACCTCGGAGAATTCTGTCTGATCATTGCTACTTGTTCAAAGAATCACTCGTGACGGCCGTTTACGAGGCGGGGTTTGCATGGAATTGTCTCGACCGTGAGGCATTTTATTTCCCTGCTGTCGTTGTCCTTTTACGGGCGCGAAATTACGGCTGCGACGATGCTGTTCTGGGACTGATCATCAGCCCTTTTGTAGTGGCATCAATTGTAGCTGTCAAGTATTTATCTCAGCTTGCGATTAAGCTTAGAGACTACAGCGGTACAGTGTGGTCTGTGTGGAGATACCCTGTAGCTTTTGGAGCTTTGACAGGATCAGCGAAAGGTAAACTTACCCCTCATAGGCGGCCTCTTGGACTGCAGGGAGACTTCGTTGCAATGAGACAGATTTCGTAATGAGAATCATATTCCAGGCTTTGAATCTAGTACACTGTGAAACGCCTTGGCCATGCTCCTGGCAAATCGCTCGTCATTTTCTCATTGGTATCTTCAACGCGTGCCATGTCCATCATATCATTATCTCGTAGCTTGTGAATGATATGCTCGTCCTCGGGCCCCAAATGAATGCACTGCTTGCGGTTTCGTCAAATTTATTAGGGTTGCCAGATCAACGCGACTTCATAAAATAGAGGAAACCTTGTCAGCTAGCTTTCATTCAAGATGGTGATACAACTGACCATAATGGGCAAGTCCTCGATCTTCCAATCAACCAAGGATCGATGCATTGTGGGTGAAATAGGTGACCGCACGGCAATTTCCTCAAACCTGTCCCTTCAATGAAATCTTCAGTGCAGATAGAACACGCCGGAGAAGTGCGTTCATCTGCTTGTCGTGCGTTTCTGTCGCTGACATTCGGAGAGCGGCTCGACATGTTAGGCATTGTGAAATAGCGCTGTAAAGCTTCGAGTTTCGGTTTTCGTTGCTTCCGGAACATTGATGGAGTCATTTGAGCTTGTGTGTGAATCTGCTTGGAGTGTATTCGAGAATGATATGTCACGGTCGGCATGTTCTCCACGGTGACCTTTCCCAAGCCGGAGCTCGTTCGAAATCGCGGAAGCTGTGTTTCTAAAGGTCGTGGCATATGGTTGTTTCGCAAGAGCCAGTGTACGAAGCAGATAATGCTGATGATCAGGATGACTACAACGCAGAGGATGATCCCCCACATTGTAGTCGTTTTGTTGTCATGGTTGGTGTCATGGCTATTTGACGAGTCTCCGGATTGTGCCATGAGTGCCACGGGTATTGTGGGTTGCAAGATTCGAGAGACAAACAATGTTGAAGAGCAATATCGGGAGTTGGTTCTTCAAGAGTCTTGTCTCTTGCTGGTCTAAATGATTGGTTGTTGTTTTTCTGACATCAAATATCCGAAAGAAGAGCGCTGATTGGTCTACGCGGGATTTGTTTCCAAGGGGTCTGAGAGCACATGCCTGACCTCCCTTCGACATGCCGGGAATGCGGTCAAAACGATCGCTGAGGGGTGTATTTAAAATTTCCAGGTACATTAAAGTAGTGGAAAAAGGACCTTGAACCAAATTGAGGCCAGTATAATTGGGGTTCATATGTTTTCTATGCCTAATTCACTAAAGCTTCCATCATCCACGGCTACGGCAGCCATCAACACAAATTCAGGACATTCGTCACAGAGCCACGGAGACTTCATCTAACGTTTACTACATTCATATAATTGGCTATGGTGTATTGTTACTGCTGAACATGTATCTAGCGTGGCTTGTGGTTGCAAAGATATGCATATCGCAGAAGAATGGTCTTTTCGACTGAGCGCAAGGTCACATTGCAAACGAGAGTTCCATCACCTTCGAAAGTGAGTGCGCAGTCACTGGTAAAGGAGCGAAATGCCAAATACCAACAAGTCCCCAGCTTTCACAACGGCCCTCACGTTAAATCCTCGAAAAAGGCCGCTGCTATACAGGCAAAGTCCGTAGGAGCAAAATGCCAGTAGCGAGATGAAGCGCGCGATAAGCTTCAGCTCTCAGTCATGAATGAGCTCAGAAGCAGTTGTCGTCCCCAATTCCCTCAGCGTCCACCACTTTCATCCGCCTTGGTAGTGATTCAAGACATTGGAGGTAAGTAGTCACCATGACCTACATGCTCAGAGATTGTTACACATATACTTTCAGCGTGGGTACTCCAAGAGACAGAAGGGCTGAGACCAACGAAGAGGCATCCGCTAGTGACCATGTAGCTTTGGCAATGGAAAGGGCCATGATCGCGGATGTGCGCTTCTCCATTGCGAGAACACGAGCAAACTTCGTACGTGTTTAAAGTGTCTCCTCTGGCTTTGGGTCGCAGCCTTCATTTTTGGTAGCCAATAAGTGGGATACATGGTCTCGCGTTGTTTGTAGACACCCTTACGATAGTCTTCCGGTTTGGTGAAAGTCCAAGGCTTGGTTTCGGTGTAGGTGTAGCCAAACTTCATAGTCTGGCGGAGATTAACAGAAGTTGGTAGCTTCCTGGTGGAAGGGCGCAAAGGGCGTATCCAAATTCTCTTCCGTCTCTGCTCCTGTTATCCAACAGCCCCATTCGGAAATCCTGGTGGTCTCCTAGGCCTTTGGATTTCTTGGGTTGGAGCAAAGGCCTTCCCAGATCGACACGACGCGACCCATATTCCTAGCGCATGGTGAGCATCATGATGATCTAGTACGCTATGGAGAACGTACTTGTGATAGAGCCAGAGAATCGGTTCAACAGACGAGATGAGACATCTGCTTATATGCCCAGTTCTGTGACCGTTGAAGTTGCCCATCTCTTGTCTACCGACAAGACCATAGTATGAATAGTACTGTGAACTCCTCAATACTTCCAAAAACCCTGAGCGCTGACCTTGGCCGGCCGTCCCTGCTCGTCAAGGCGCGGCATGCACCTGGGATATTGACTGTTGGCACTGTTATCCCTGCCTTGGGGCCCCTCGACCTTTTATGCTGCTTGTGAGCCCATGAAAGCTTATACTGGCAGAGGAAACTGGAAAAAGGGCTTAGTCACGTGCTACGAGGAATCACAAATCCTCTTCATAGTTTCCTACAGTTTAGAAAAGACAGGGCCAAAGTGAGCATTACGGTCAGAGTCTTAAACTCCTGCTTGTCGGTCGCATAACTTGGAACAATGCGACATCACGGCGAAAATCGTGTTGCTGAAAGTACCCATCATCATTAATAAGGGCTAATTTTGACATCTAATATTTGTCCATGCTGCTGCGTCCCAATCACGCATCGAGACCCTTAATAAATCTTTTCATTTGGCCATGCAGTGAGGTGAACCATCGTTCGCCGCATAGCATGTAGTAGTCCTAGCTCGTGGGAGCAGGGTCCACAGTCCTTTCTTGATTTCCTCCTTGGTCCAACCATGGTTATCCACGGGAAAGTAGACAAAGTAATTTCGATTAGGGAAGGTGAATGCATCGATTTGGGCGAAGCGGAAACGGGGGAATCCACTAATTGTTTCACCAGCAGGTACGTCGAACTGCTTGCACTTCTGGGGGGGCCGAAAGCCTTTTGGAAAGATCCATATGCCTATGGGGTCTGTTTGGCAGAGGTGAGGTAGCTTTACAATTTCATATCTCCCTGCAGCTTTAGGCAGCATGGCACCTTGTGCGACCCAAGGTGTTTTGTTTTCGAGAATCTCGGGCCGGAATCACAAAGCTTCGGCGGGAGATGCACCGCCGAGTGGGAGAGCTCCGAAAGACAGGAAGGTAGAGAGCTTCATGGTGACTTTGAAGACAAGAAAGTTAGCGTTTAGGAGTAGCAGTAGAGTGGTTTGAGGAAGCTTACAGTCGCAATTTGACGCTTGGTCGCGATGTTGTTGGTGTAAGTGATGGTCTATCCAGAGATGCAGACTCGCTCGGGCTTTTGTACCTCTCAGTCTCTTCCTTTTGCAAAGCCCTAAAGGCTTAATTGCAATATGCGATTGTGGCTGCTTTTAGGTACAAGCTTATATTGAGAGAGAGAAAACGCTATTGTGCCCCCATCACCTGTGTTGGCAGCCTAAAGCTTATCCTTATGGCCAGCATGTAGCTCCATAACTCTCTGGTGATGGACGCCTGTGCGGCTCTTATATACACGACTGTCAGTCTTGCCGCCGCCACTTCTTTCGAAGACAGCAACAGAGTCCTCATTATGTCCAAGTAGTGATGTCATCCCACTCAATTTCTGAAGTTGAACGCCCATTACTCTGTGTTTACAGCAATTAAAGTCAATCATTAGTAAAAGGGTGGTGCAGGCGAAACTCGAAACCAACTGTTCCATGTGCCCAAACCTTGTGGCGGTTCTTTGATACAATTGAAGCTCATGTACCGATTGTTCCACTAGCCGGCGTCAGACGTTTAGCACAGTAAAAGACGGTAAAGATGACTTCTCCCGAGAAGTCTGCTGGCATGATATCTGCTCTGAGCGCCTTACAAGAATCTAGGTCTTTGCAGTCAACCTCTCATGACTTCTTAAGATACCGGCGCTTTATATGAAATATCATCTTATATTAGTGTCCAACACCTTGTGTATTACCTTGTGTGACGCCGTATGACCTGTATTTTGCCGATATTTGGCTACTGAAAACCTGGTTTAATTGGCGGACCTTCAGCTTAAACAACTGCAATGCTTAAAATAGCAAGACAAAGAATGCTGTGCATAGGGCTAGAGGAGCACAGATGACATCCAAACATCAAACATAGATAATTCCGGCAATCAGAGCTGGATTCCGCATCATGTCGTTATTGTGGCTGAGGGCTCCGCCTGCTACCTGTATTCTTGGTGGCTTGAAACTCTTGTTGTTCTAGAATTGAGGCGGGAAAAAACTTTATCCCAGGCTCTATGACTCTTTACATGCCTTTATTGTGTAGATATGCTCTAGCGAGGAGGGTATAAGTAACTTCAAGAGCGGCATCAAGATAACTATGTCGACCATTCGGCTTTGCTTCCTCCTTTGTGACCGAGACCAGTTGTAATTTCATTTGGGGCACATCGAGTATCATCATGTTCAGCATCGTATTGAGTATCCAGAGATCAGCGACCACTTGTATTAATCATCAACAAGAAACCAGGCTGACGGGGTAAGAGAGGTAAATAAAGTGTCAAAAGGCCATCCAATGATCTCTGTACATATTGCCTTCCAAAAGCTTGAGTGAGTTGGGGATTCTTTAATGTGTTGGCTTGATATATCTCGTTGAGATATTATAAGCTTTAACTATCAATTAATGATCTTGGGGGATTGCTAGAGCTTTGACAGCAATGGCCGCGTTCTCTCTTGCGGCTTTCATCGTGACGCAGAATTTCAACGAGAGGCCAGCCTGGAATTATGTATCATCGAAACACCACTATCTTGCCCTGAAATGTATATCCAGATCTTGAAAGGAAAAAACGACAAATGAATTACAAATCCACTCTCTACCAAAGATTCTGAGCTTCTCCTTTTATGAACAGCATCGACTCGTCCGCAGCGCTTGATCAGATGGGATCTGGCACTTTCTATTGACAGCACTTACTAAAAACATAACGGAAAATCTTGCTTGAGCAGAGTGTCTTTTTGGGCGTATTATGCAAGTCAAAAGCTGAATGGCTGTACCACTCGTGGGGTTGACGGTGAACTCTGCCACTTTGGGTCTGACACCGTAACGCCCCGTCCGCTGCCAATCGGAACCCGTCCAAATGCCTGACACCAGACCACTTCTCAACGCCTGGGACCAGTAAGAAAGGGCTCTTTTAGGGTCTTTCAAGGAATGACAGTAGGCGGAACTTCGGCAATCGCTTCACTGTACATATTTGGCAGTGTCTGCAACGCTGTCATGCATGTTGGTCGTCAGTTTTGTAGCACAGCATCGGACGAGAAAAGAGAAAACAATGCAGGTTTTGAAGCTCGGGTCATGTGCATACGACATGCGGCATTTAAGTTCCCATTGACAAACATTTCACGATAGTTTTTGGAGCTTCTCACAATTTGACAGCAAAGATCTGCAATACTACAATGACGACTATTGAAGCGCATCCCGTCGTAGACGCCGACGATAACGTTAGTTCCCGCTGGAACTGACCCACTGAAGCTAGCTAACGGCCCCAGCATTCTGATGCGGACTCGTCACTTGGTGCGGTATGAGATCAGATGATGCCCATCCTTCAACAGATGTCTGTTACTGATCTTATCGCATAGGATAACGCATCCTCGACAGATAGCTTGAGAAGTTCAATTCTTGATTTCCGTCAAGAAAATGGAAGAACATACCATGCTTTTCGAGACGGCAGTATGTAATGCATTGGTATAACAGCCAGCTGATCATTGACATGGCCAATCACAGAATACAATCTCCCGAATGATGACGAGGAGAACGAAAGATTAGGTAAGTACCTCATATACTGCTAGAATTTACTGATCAATAACAACCTAGATCTGCAACATAATCTGTTCCTGCTTACTCTTGGCAACAAGCTCGGTTTGAGCCCTCCCAACCTGCCTGACTCGAAGGTCAAGCGTGTCCTCGATGTTGGCACTGGAACGGGTATCTGGGCGATTGACTTTGGCGATGAACATCCTGATGCGGAAGTGAGTTGTGCCATCAGAGTTTATCCAGTATAGCAGTTGACAAGACAGGTCATTGGCGTTGACCTCTCGCCAAGCCAGCCAAGCTTGTATGAGTGAAGTTTCCGGTTGATCTTGAGTACTACTGACAAATCTCAGTGTACCACCGAACGTTCGTTTCGAAATTGATGATATCGATGAGGAATGGACATACAGCGAGCCGTTCGACTTCATTCACAGCAGATTTATGAATTTCAGCATCCAGAACTGGAAGTCGTACTTCACCAAGATCTACCAGTAAACCATGTCTCATTGTTATCAAATGAACTCTACTGATGCAAGCAGGAACTTGTCTCCAGGTGGCTACGTTGAACTGCAAGATGTTGATGTCATCATGGGCAGCGACGATGGAACCCTCAAGGAAGACCATACCATGTACAAGTGGTGCAGACTTCTTGACGAAGCAGCCGGAAAGTTCAATCGCTCTTTCGAACGTACGGCCAATTTCAAGGATATGCTGAAAGAGATCGGATTCGTTGATGTTGTTGAGACGCGCTATAAGTGGCCTACCAACCATTGGCCCAGGGACAAGAAGTATAAGGAACTTGGCCAGTGGAATAATGTCAATGCAGCTTCTGCTCTTGAGGCATTGACTATGGCACCTTTTACGAGAGGATTGGGCTGGAGTCGTGAGGAGGTTGAGGTTTTCTTGGTCAAGTTGAGACAGGATTGGAATAACCCCAAGATCCACGCTTATTGGCCTATGTGAGTATAATTCTTTTCGACGAGAGTTGTGGCTAACTGTTCATAGTTGCGTTACTTATGCTAAGAAGCCCGAAGCGTAGTGCTGCTTACAAGATTAACGGCTTCAGTGGAATGTAGACCGCATGGAATGACGGGCATGTTACGCATTACAACAACACCAGAGCTGACAATAAAATTAATCACAATATTTTTATAGTGCCCCCGATAAATTTTAAGGCGGCGCTCTTTTACACCTCTTTATAGACTGAGTTTATGGTGAAGTGACCACTGTTATGAAATGCCTTTTGAACGGGCAGGGTATTCGTTCTCGGCCTTGTAGTTCCAGTGAGGGCCTGGCAGTGACGCGAAATCGCTATTCAGGAACTGCAAAAATATTCAGCTTCTGGAGATATTTTGTTAATCAACAGGACCAGATTAAAAAACGAAACGTAGTTTCCATGTATCTCAGCACTCCTAGAGTATACCGCAGGGGTGAATCATGTATTCCGCTCATATACTCATATTCGAACCGTATGTGCTCAACGAACTCAGGACAACGTGGCCGAGTGGTTAAGGCGATGCCCTGCTATCTCTTCCGAGACATCATAGGCATTGTGTTCGCACGCGTAGGTTCGAATCCTGCCGTTGTCGATGTTCTTTTTTTGCTCGTTCCAGCGAATAGATCAATCGAGTCTGATTCATTCTTGTAGCCTTGATGATTCTGCGTGCGTTCATGTGCTGAGCATTTTGTCAAATCGCTGAGTGGTCGATATGAAGGTTTTTGTCGATTAACATCCGCTAAAAGATACAGGCTCCTTCAGTGCATCTGGCAGTGGTTGCTGCCCTGTCGACCGCCCTATTTCTGTGGATCACTGGTACTAGAGCGCTGTAGGACACGCGCCGGTGCACGTTCCACATTGAATGTATCCTTTCTCAGACATCATGGTAGCAGCTTGTCTACGGATTAGTAAACACTTAAATAGTATAACTCATTGACTATTCCTATAACTACCAGTTTACCGAAAATGTCTTATGTTATTGAATTCCGTTGAGTTGCGATGGCCAGGTGCAAGCTATTATGTCCCGTAGTTTGTCTGTCAGCAAAGCCTGAATCACTTCACCATGCGACCTGTTAACCAAAGTCCCTGTTCAATTCGGTCATTGATCTCCCCTCTCATTCACGGCTGGTACCAAAGTAGTATTACTAGGCACAGGCAGCTTATCGTGTGATTTCTTTTTGAAGGTAATGATTTATATGATGGGAGACTATGTAATCTTCCTGTAACTAGAAAATGACAGCCTCAGAATGGCTACGGACCAGGTCTTCGGACTCAATCGTCAGCCTCCGATGGCCAGCGTCTAGCGCAATGAAGCATGAACTCGCACATCAACATATCATGCGATATTTGTGCAAGTTGTCTGAGTTGGCGTAGAAAGTCTTCCTCATCAAATCGACGACCAGTTACAAGATCTAATTCAATCTGAGTCTTCTGCCTCATCAGCTGCCTCCGATCCCATGAGGTTCTTCGAATCAATTGCTCGTGCTCTCTATCGTCTAGGGGCACCAAGTAGTCAAAAGTACAGCATGGCCGATTGAACAGACTTATGTGGTGTTCGATACGGCCATTGTAGGTGGTTCAGACATCCATTGTATCGGGATCCCATTCATACGAAGACTGAGAGGATGGACTTCGATCAGCGGGCTCGTACGGATAGTACTTCATTATTTCCGTGTTCTTATGATGCAGATTTATGTGGAATGCAGGAAGTTGAGGCCAGCTGTTTGCTAGGGATCTAGTGGGTGCGAAATATTTATTGGAGGAACATGCTCGCGCCGGTTCGACTTTTATATGTTGGTCTACTGCCGTGATGTGATGTATGTTTGACGTTCTTTTCAGGTGCAATTTTACAGCTCAAACCAATGTTCAATCAATGCGGTACGTAGGAATTGTTAGTCAGAGTAAGATATGCATCACTAATGAGATTGTCCTGGTGAGAGGTATCGAGGCAGTCATTCACAACTAATCCCTTCTACCAAAAATACTGGGTTCAAGCTCAGGCTCACTGTGTGGTCTTCACAATCGTTGCTGAGTTGGAGAATCAGAACAACGAGTCACTCTGGGTATCTACCTACCAAAAGGCTATGATGGTGCAAATTCACGGTGCGCCATATAGATGGATGTTATCAGACAACATGTTGCTGTTCATGATTGCATTGTGATAAACTGATGAAGACCTGTCGGTCTTGTATGAAGAACTTTGAGGAATGACACAATTCCCTGTTAGAATATGCCAAAAACCCACGGAATACCTGAGCCAAACTCTAGTAAGCATATCTTGTAGCACTTGTGTTTCCTTCCCGATCGAGCTTCTTGTTTGTCCTGACAAGCCAGATCTTCATAACCCAAACGCCCGCAATACACATAGTTGCAAATCCAGCATTGCTTGCCATTCCGATCAGATATCGCGGACCATCTGACTTAGGGTACAGATACGCAGTGTAGATGTACGAGGCGTTGGCGATGACGTTGACGATTGACAAGCTTACCGACTTCTTCTCTGCAGTCGAGCCGAGCGTCGCGGAAACCCAGCCAAGAATCATGGAGTTGACTGCATAAGCACCGCTGGCAAATAAGAAACAAGAGATGTATCGGGCAGGCGTATTGAGCGTAACACAGGAGATGATATATCCGACGAGTGCCATTCCCATGCAGGCAGTGATGTGCCAGGTTCGCTCGTTGAACCGACCAGAAGACCATCCTGCTAGGTACCCAAAGAAACCAGAGACAAGGTAAGGCGGGCAAGTCAGAACCAGAGTGATGGTGCTATTGAAGCCGAGGGAGCCAACAACAGTAGGGAAGAAGTTGTTGAAAGAACAAGCAGAAAGATGCATGTTCTGGATGAAGCAGAAGAGCCACAGGCGAGGGTCACGGATAGCTTGGAAAAATCCAGCTCGAGCTCCCTTGCTCTCCTGGAGACCAACAGTATCGCGCAACATTCGATCGTGTGCAAGCTGACGCTCCTCCTCAGTCAACCATCTTGTCGTCAGTGGGCTATCAGCCAGAGTGAAGATTCCGATAATTCCGACTGCGAAGGTCAAGACACCTTCGATGATGAAGAGCCACTGCCATCCCTTGAGTCCGTGATGCCCATCGATCGTTCCGAAAGTGGCTGCCGCGATTAAACCGGAAAATGACGTAGCAAAGATATTGCCCGAGTATAAAATCGATAGTCGCATAGCAATCTCCTTTCGCGTATAGAAGATTGCCAGAAGGTAGAGGGCTCCGGGATAAAAGGGGGCTTCGGCGACACCGAGGAAGAATCGAACGATGACGAGACCTTTGTAGTCTTTGACGAGCGCGGTGCAGGCAGACACGACTGCCCAGCCCATCATGCAAATCGACATGTACAGAGAGGGACGGACGCGTTTCGAGGAGATCAACATGTTGGACGGGATCTGCATGAGCAAGTAGCTGGTCAAAGGTTAGCATCTCCGCAAGGAAAAGAGAAGACATTCATCATACCCGACAAAGAGGATCGAGATACAAGTGTTGTACTGCGTTCCCTTGAGGCCAAGGTGATCTTCGAGACCGTTCAAGCGCGCCTGGGCAATAGCATTTCGATCAAGCTACCAACATTAGCATAGGTCCTCCAAGAGTCAGCATTAAACTCACGTAGTTGAGGAAGTACATCGCCCAAAGAGTAGGCATGATGCGAAAGTCCAACTTGCGAACAAGCCGAATCTCAGCTGGGTCCGTCTTCTTCACCGCACCAGAGTAATCCGCCTCTGGGTCAACAAGGACACCAGGCTTCTCAGCAGCATCAGCAACAGACATTTCGACAAAGTTGTCTTCAGGCTTTTGCTCAATGCTTCCGCGCTTGAAATTGGCAGTCATGATGAATTGTCGAGTAGTTGTGAAGATGAGTGAGTCTGGAGAAGCCAAGATTGGAGCGAGCGGTCTGGCATATTATATATCTTGAGTCTCATGGCAAGGGGAGGATTTCTCCCCATGGCGATTTTCCTGGGGCCCCGGATTCCCCCAGATCAACCTTCGCTAGATCCAATCCAGACCTCGACGCCTCATACTCTCGTGGTTTAGTGTCGGAGGAAGAAAAGGCCGCCAGAATGCGGGGGAGTGACATGGCAGTTAAAGGTGCATGTTGATGGGGTTAACACGCTTGTTACTACTCGATCCAGCTAAAAAGGCTTTGGGGAACCTGCATTGGTGTCATCGAAGTGAAGAGTGAGCATGCATGTGAGATGCTGTCACCAAGCTCATGATATGATATTGGCTTGCAATTGAGTACCGCGAAGCTTCATCATGTCTCCTTTAATGTCCCTTCACTACGGTGTTTATAAAGCGCTATCATCTGAGCCTATGCGCCATTGTCTCGTCTCCCAAGCGACCGGCAACCTATATGCTTTCAGCGCTCTTCTTCAAGACTGCCCGCTGACATTATTATTTTTACTCAAATATTGCCATGATACGGCTGATGATGCTGGGATACCGGTCACGATTATCAATCGATATTTGTTGATAGTGTTGAAGGGTCTGGAATTGACCAATGGTTACTGTGGAGTGGCCTGATCCGCCGGGGGAAGAAATGTCCACGGGGATTTCATTGTCCGCCTTCCGAAATGACACTCTCATGATAGTAGTTGCCCGCAGAATCAACTAGTAACTTTCGCTAAGGAAAAGGGGACGTGAGTTGAAGTTATTACTGTTTTAATCAGCCGGTTCATTCGAGTACTGGATGTGGACCGTGGCTTGTTCTGAGGTTACTCAGCAAAACTCGGTTGCATGTCTTTGGACCCGATGCAAAAGCATTGATCCAAATCACAGAAAACACCATATAGTGGTTCAAGTCTGGTATATAACGGCTCTGGCCTTCTCTGACATGCTTTCCATTGTCCACCTATAATTCATCGCATCTCTTCACAAACATCATAGGTTTTGGTATTTCCATACAAGCTAAAGCGATTACCCTACGGTCATTTCAAATGGTCCGTGTGACGATTTGCGCCTGGCCTATCTTGGAGTACTTTGTCTCCACCTGCAGCGTCCTGTGCGCATAAGCCACTCTGTTAGGACACTAACACCAACGAATACCCGTTGAATTTGGAGTGACTGTTCATCTAACGCAGCCGGCTCCAACCAGATTCATTTTGCGGGCTGCCGAGGCCTGTCAGATCAAACATGCAGCATTAAGGAGCAGAGACCATTCGCTACATGTTAAATCCAGAATTGATTCGCTCAATTGCAATCTTCTAGTAGCACTGGAAGTGACAATGTAACGTCTCCATTTATCTGCTGAATTTAATGTATTGAATTGGACATACAGTAAATCTGTGCCTAACTTCAAGCCTAACATCCAAGGCAGTAGTTTCTCCACGTCAAGACGTATACAGTCTTACCAAGGCAAATCACCCATCTTACAGGATAGATTTTATCAACACGAGTTGGGTTCCCGATACACCAACTGAATAACCTGATGGCCGTTTGGTCTGGGGTACTCATGGCTTGGTCATTTGCGGACGCTGCTGTGTCGAATACAGTTTCATGGATGACGTCGTTGATGAAGACTCAATCGAAGGGCGTGTGAGACGTACAGAAGAATATGAAGACGATATCGACCAAGCTGGCTCTTTAGATATCGAGAGACTGGATCCTATTCGTCACATGGAAGTTTCTCGAGGTAGCGGATTAGTCCTCCCAACAGTCTTTGTACTGCCCCTTCAGCCACTCCCCAGAGCCTGTTCTCTGTAGGCATTGGTCGCAATGCTCACCCACCTGTGATACGATTCATTCGAGTGGACGATCCAAAGTCTCTTCTTATCTACACCGACGGTGCGTGCCTCGGTAACGGACAAGTTGAGCCTAGGGCAGGATGGGCTTTTGTCTTCGGGCCTCTAGAACCAAACACCACTGCGAGTGTAAACGAACGTCTAGAATACCAGGGTCCAATGGGCGATTTCGCCGACCCAACCAGCAACAGAGCAGAGCTTCGAGCTATCATCGGCGCCCTTCGTTTCAGGAACTGGACCAGCGAAGGCTTTACCACTCTCGTCCTGGCGACTGATTCAGAATATGTCGTCAAAAGTGCAACAGAGAGGACACGAGCATGGCTGCGGAAGGGCTGGAGGAAAAGCGACGGAGCGGGTGTAAAGAATATGGATATGTGGCAGGCTTTTCTTGGGGAGGTAGAGCGTTGGGATGAGTATGGTGTCAAGATTCAGCTTTGGAAGATTCCACGGGAGTGGAATACTGAAGCGGATCGGTTGGCTAAAGAGGGAGCGCAGCTTGATGAGGAATTGACCTATAAAGAAAGGCTGGGTATTTTCTCCTAGCTAGAAAAGGCCGAGCGAATGAGTGAGTGATGAAAAACTATACATGGTAACATCATGTGCCGAAGCTAAAGAGCTCCTAATTACAAGCAATTGTTTTCACTTATTCCTTAGTCGCACGCCAAGAGTAACTTCGCCAGTGTCCTCATCATTATATGATTAGCTTAGGGCTGCAGTGACAGTTGGCAGATGTCTTAGCCATTGGTTATTTTCTTTATGATTCTTGGTATCCTCAATAAGCATTACTCTGTACGCTGAGTATGAGTAACCATGTTGGTGCCCATCGGCTTCTAGGTACTCTGTTCCAAAGCATTATGGACCCTACGTTTCAAGTATTAGCCAAATAACTTCAGTGTGGAATAAGCTTTAGCTATCAATATTAAGTCAGAGTATCTAATTAAGCTTACCTAAAGTTAATTATCTGTTAAAAAGCAAGTCTGCTCAGCTTGACTCGTGCTACTGCATTTCAGGTCCGTGATTACACATTAGTGTCACGCCCGCTCGACTTGTAAGCTATCTGAATGGTGGCAGACCTCAGGGGGAAAGATAATGCGGAATTGCCTACACCAAAATCACTGGCCTGTCAAGTTCGATTCCGCAACTTTATTTCCCATCTCAGCCAAGCATCCTATTAGTGTTGACACAGATGCATTTGGTGGAAATGAGTTCCGTCTATGGGTGATACAATCAGACCATAAATGAAGGTTGGCGGTTCTTGTTGCACATTCACGCTCGTTCTTTTTCGACCTTCATCTTCACCCTTTCTTGTCTTCTTCAGTCTCTCATTTAGTTGCTTAACATCACTATTATTCACCATGGTTGCCGCTCATTTCCTGATACTCTATATGGCCGCTGCCGTTGCAGTAGCTGGACCTTGCAAACTTCAAAGCTCCTCTGTCATTTTCTCTGAAACAACTCTATCTACCTCACTCCTTGAGACGACTTCCACCGAAGTACCCATCGAAACCCCGACGGTGGAACCAACAAGCACTGCTGTCGTTCAAACATCGGTAACCTCTGCTGCCGAAACTACAGCGGTCACTGCCGTGACAACCCTCAGCTCGGTAGAAACCACCACTGAGGCAGCCTCAACAACCTTAGAGACCGCAGCACCTCCGCAGGGCATTTCTTGCCTTGCTTCAGACGGCGAGTGCTTCGGTGCCATCAAAATCGAATGCGGTTATATCATCACAGGAGGCTTCAGCTTACCTTTCCTATCGACTCTCGACGCCTGTGTTGGTGCGTGCAACGACAACTCGGGTTGCGCCGGCTTTTCTCATAATGGTGTTAATTGCTACTTGGTCTCAACCTATGACTATGCTACTGCACCTTCGATTGGATGGGTGGCTGGTAAGAAGGGAGATTGTGGTCAATAGACGGAGGGGTGCATTCAATCTGTCTTGCTGTCACGAAGTTGCATTTATCAAAGTACCACTAACAGAATTGAAGGAGGAATCCTTATCAGTACCTTTCATATATATGTTTTTCCAAAACCTTCTCTGAGCCCAATTACTACACTATTATAGCAAATTCTTGAACAATTTCTTCGTAGCCGACCTTGATTCTAAGGTTGGGATAGTTAACGCACCCGGTCATGTCGTCTTAATACATTTGTAGCAAGAGTAGTACTGTCTTGCCAAGAGATACCTTGTAGTTAGTGGTTTACCTTTGCGGTCCTCATGAACGACGACTGTTTAAGACAAGTAACAGTTCTGATGAAAGCTATACCACAAATAATCACAAGAGTTGTTAGTAGAAACTTGATACACTCTTTAGAGACTAAGAATTGTAACCTGAAAAGGCATGATTATAGCTTTGAGTTCATCTCTTAGCCGAGCCTGCGATCCGTCGTTCTGAAGCTGAATAAACTGATCCGAGAGATTGCTGCAATCATGAATAAAACGCGCTAGTATGAAGGTAGTACTTTCCTCAGAGCTCTACTATAAATCCGTTTTGCGGCGAAGACCTGATCAGAAGTCTCCTCTTGGAGTTGAATCATGATGGCTTATTGAATGTTTTGAGTGGGCACAGCTTTATTCTCGATTTTGTCGGTAGTTCACAATAAAACTTGGGTCCTAAGATATTCAGAGCATACTCAGCATGTCTTCATCGTTTCGCAAATAAATTGATCATCTATAGTAATTATGTTTCATGTTGATGTTAGTATGAGCGACGAGCACTTCAATATTCACACCAGTGCTCTCCGGCATCTCTGAAAGAACATGCCCCACCCGAAAGGCCAGTTACAATCTTTGTAGAACAGCAGTTTCAGTTTCTGGGGGCTTGGAACGAATAAGATTGCTTTGGACATCCTTGATTGGCTGTGTTCCATAAGGCAACCGGTTCGCTGGTTGCCTCACCTTGCACCCCCAAAACCAACCCCGCTGCACCCCGTTCTCAAAATGCACTACGCAATCAACTTCAAGTCAGTGTGCTCCCACCCAATTGTCCTTCACTCGAAACATAGTTTACCGAGATCTGTTGCCAGAGCCATCTCGCCAACGGGTTGCCACAGTGCCTGTGTAGACAAGACCAGGAAGAGGAGCGGAAACATCGAAACGACGCAACTCACAGGTCAGTACTTTCTTTCGGAAAAAGAAAAATACCAAACAGCAGACGTACTAAATGAAAGGGGGGTTGGCCTACAGCTTCCTTCGCCTATGGCTTAGTTCAACCGTTATCAAAACCAATAACCTATTGCTCCAAGAGCATTCGTAGACGACAATATGGGCTTACACAAACTGCCAGAGCAGCCTGAAAGATCAAAATCAGAGATTCATCCAGAACCTCGTTCAGGCCGAGCCTCTCGTCGATCATCAGCCGATGAATACAATGCCCATCATGGCTCTCATACCCGATATGCTTCAGAAGGGCACTTGAATTATTCTACACGAATCATTCAACGTCAATTACTCAACAACAGCCCTGTCTCAGTTATATTTCGACGTCCACGCAATCAAAGTGCTTCTATGTCTGAGATCCAGGCTGAGGTGTACCGTCTTTTGAAAGCGATAGAAAAGGACTGGACCGATATCGACAATACGCGCTTGCAAGGCGACGTTGCCACCCTGAAGCTCGCGGAAGACGTGAGGACCTATCTTTCTTTCATACTCAAAATACATGAAAACAGTCAACCCTGTTTCCTGCCTCGATACCAGCGCGATGTTGTCCCTTTTCTTATATGTTTTCCTCTTTTGACATTCGTCGCACTCTTTTCTGTTATTTTCGACGGCCTTGTGTCTTTAGCATCAGGTCTAAATGATACTCTGACTTTCCACAGTCTGCTCTTCCCATCAGCTGTGGTCAGTGGAAATGACCACGAGTTTCCAGAGATCCTATCGAAATACGCTCAACAGTCTCGCAATTGGCGCCACCTCATGGATCGCTTGCTTCCTCTTTTGCGTTGTGAACAAGATTTCCGGTCTTCGCAGCAGCTTCTTGAGGTAACGAGCTTATGTTCTGCCCTTTTTGACTCGTTACGGAAAAACGGCTCGACCTTGGATCACGTAGATGCGCGTCTTATGGGAGCACTTCAGAGAATCGAGGAAACATTGGAAAGGTTGAAACGGAGATTTAGGCGAAAGCTGGATGAACCAAATCACACATCTGGGCCGACCGAGCTCATCTTTGAGTTTCCGGATAATATCAGACATGTCTGTACGACGATGCCATGGACTATTCGTCCAGCGCTATTAGTCTTGTGGGGCGTCTGTTGGATGTTCATCATCGGTCCTGGCGATGGAGAGCCTAAGGGGCTCAATGCGTCTTTTCCGACATGCTCACCTCTACCGATCGATTTTTACTTCTCTGGCGATATTGGTGTCACTAGCTATACAGGTACGTTCCATGTCTTGCTCCAAGTTTAGACTCTGACAATTAATAGCTGGATTTGAAGACTTTCTTATCCCAGATCTTAGCAACATAGGGCATTGCAATGGGCCAGATGTTGCTGAATTTCTAAATGGGGACATAGGATCAATCGGTGATCAGATCGATTCTATGTACTTTGCCCAGGCGGCCCCGCAAGATCCAGATTTCCTGGCGCTTGATGTTTTGCAAAAGAGCAGTTCAGGGGATATCCAGCGGTCTAGGAAGGAACCTGGCAAACTCAATGGAGTGCTACCACCTGCTGTCACTGCAGATTTAATACTACAGAGCTATGGTGATGCCAGCCGCCAAGAGCCATTCAAACCAGCGGTTAATGTTGCATTGGTTGGTCAGGAAAATCAAGATGCTTGGTATGTGACGGAAGACCTACGTGGCGTCACATCATGTGCTAAACTCAAATTCAAGCAGTAGCCAGAAGGGCAAAACTCGCTTTGCATGCCACGAATGCCAGCAGACATTTGCGACGTCCTTTACTCTGAACCGGCACCAGTTAGAAGCGCACAAAGATGCATCATCCATCCCTGAGGAGTCGTTCCCATGCCCTAATACAGGCTGCAAGAGGTCCGAAGGGGGACCGCAGTTCAAACGTCTTTACAACCTGAAAAGACATCTTCAAGTTTGTAAACATGATCCAAATGTTTCAACCTTTTCGGCTGAGTCGGACGGAACAGAAGAGCAACCGTTGTCTCAGCCAACTTCAACACCAGCCTTACCCCATGAACTGCAGCCTGCGGAACCACCATCAGAGGAGGCATCCGAAGAGAGTAGCGTCAAGAAAAGGTTGAGGTCCGAGAGCGATGCTGAACTGAGTGACGAATCTTTACTGAGAGAGATGAGGAAGAAGTTTAAGCGAATGGCTCAAGAGGTCAACGAGAAGGAAGATGCATATCTGCAAGCTTTGGAGGGCCTGGAGTCCTTTGGAAAGACCATCCAAGTCCTGGAGGATTCTCTCCGGAAGTCCTAGTCGGCCTTTTGCTCATCGCGCCGATAAGGCCAGGCTCAAAAAAAGATGGGAAGATCAGATGGATTCTTTTTGTCAAAAGATATCTACATATGCAGAACTATACTAGACTAGGTAACAACTCACGCAGATGTGTACGCTGAATATTCCCTCATTCGTTATTCGACATGTCAGACGATGGATCAGCATGCCGGTCTTGCATCTTGAACGTGGGATTGCCGCTGTCTATATCTTAGCTGACCTCTAGGGGACAGAAAACGTAAGACTGGCCTCCACCAAAATGCAGCGATCTACCACCAATCTGAGTCTCAAATTTTGTCCCCCACCCTATGTTGAGAAAGCTCGTGGATCCCGCTTATCCACATGGCAGGCGAGGATTGCAGAAATATGATATATCATCGCGGTCCAGTGGCCAAAACGAGCTTGCCTCGGCGTTACGACTGGGTACGTCAACGCTACTGCAACTGGCAACTTGGCAGCGGAATGCCGACTTTTCTGATCATGCAAGTTGGGCATGAAGCCAGGTGAACCGACAAAGTTCAAACTTGCAGTTCCGATGAAGGTTTAGAACCAGCAACCAAACGTTGAGACACATGCTTCCGGAGCAGCACCGAGTTAATATAAAACTTAACCGCACGTGCGGGAGCGGACCGGAGGCTATCCGGAGCTAAACAACAAATTGCAGAAGAGCCACTAGCGCTTCTAAAGTATTCGTAATACTGATGTCGCAGCCCGCACCAAGCCGCAAGAGGACATGCTACAAGGTTACTGCCTGGATTCTGAGGGCACACTAGGCAAGACCATGTTACACTACAGCGGCAAATGCGTGATGGGTTTATGTTCCATCGTTTATGAGTGATTTTACTGTACTTACTTAGACGAGGGCGTACGATTGAGCCTATGCTCGCTTGTTGCAGCGCACACGTTGGCCCACTTGTTCCCATCAGGAGGGTCCTGGAAGCCAAATGGATTGCAGGCATATTTTGCGGGCTGGCTTTGACAGGTCCTTTAGTCTAGTGATGTAACATCAGATACGATACGTCTGTGATTTCCGGGTCGCTTGGCATACTAATAAGAAAGAAATTGGGTTAATTAATCGTATTGAATACGTTTTAATACTAAGTTAAATGGATTGCATCAATTCGCAAAGATCGCAGAAATGCCCCTCGTTATCAGTTCCTCCTACCATTATCATTAGCTTGGCACTACACAGCAGCCTCCAGAGAATGATCATGCTATTTTCAGAGCCGTTTGCGCTAGAGCAAATTTGCCCCAGTCATAAACCTTGTCACTGACTAGCAAGGTAACGGTCTTCCAAAGACTTGGACAGAAGGAATTGAATGGCAAGAAAAAAAACGTGTCGGGCCCTGCTTTGGCTTGATCTGCTGTGCAATCGTCTGTTGATCAGTAAAGACACTAATTGCCACTTTATCGTCATGTCATACTGATCCGAGTCAGTATCAGATGTTAAACCAATGCTAGAGAAGCTATATCATTCTGGCAAGGTCAAGGGTCCTTCACTAAGCCTCACCCGCCAGCCCGCAGCTAGAAACAATCTGTGCCGCTGAATAAAACCGTTGCTCGAGGGATTGTGGACTAGTCTCAGGGTAAACCACCTGATGCAATCGCAATGGACAATGGTGGTGGTTTGCGTAACTCTCACCAACTCTGTACATGGTTTAGCCCTTTCCATTCGGTATCTTGACTTGTTTTGTTCTAGTGGCCGTTGTTACCTTTCTCCAGTATTTTGCGCTGATCGGGAAGGCTTGAGAATGCTACCCTGTTACTGGGACTTTGTAGCTTTGAGCTTGGCGGTACCGAGGTTCTGGCTCTCGTGACAGGCGGTGTTGTAACCTTGAGAGTGTCATCAGAAAAGAAGGTGTAGCCGCCGTAGCGCATGGAATCAATATTGAGTTTGGTTAACATGCTTCATACAGGTTTCGACGATGGTTAGAATGAGCGCGTTTGAGCTACATGGCCCTATCTCAAGCCGTGGTGATCACCCAACTAAATTGAATCATGGCCGCCTTATCACCGAGCCTCCATCAAGAATTCCACAATTGTTGGTTCTAGAAAGGAATTGGTATTTTTATTGAAACATAAGAAACGTGAACCAAGTACGTAAGTGCTAGAAATCAAGCGGTATCAAAGCTGCTAAATCATGGATATCCCTCTACTCCATAACCCTTTGTTCATGGTATCGACCTCGAGTTCGAATCCTGGTGGCTTATCGAGTCTGCGCTCGTGACACTTCCTGTGACAGAGGTACTGTTGAGTGACTCGATCTTTGCCATCTTCTTTCTCTTCTCAAACTCATCCAACAATGCATGGATCGTACCCAATGGAAACTCGTGTATCATCGGCCTTGTAGATGCGGGGCAAACGTTTGACTCGTGATCCTTGAACTCCTCCATGGCTAGATTCAATCGTAGCAATTGTTTCCACGAAACAATCGCATCACCAATTAAAAAGGTCGGTACCCTCGCCATGGCCATCTCCTCGAGGATCCAGCGCCGGTGGAAGAAGTTCCTGTTGAGGAAATCCGCAGTTCCAACGGCAGCGTCGCTTTGAGGGTCGAATAAGTGGATAATGGGAATTGCCCACTCGTGATGGGGCGAGTAGTTCTCAGGATGTTCCTCCTTGTCGCCGGGTTCTTGCCACGTCTCGGGCATGGCAGTGTCGAATGCTTGGATGAGCTGGATGCCCAGATCTGTCTGCGGTATCTTGAGTCCCACCCAGCCCACTACCATCTGCGCGCGCTGGTACACGTGGTACATGATGACTCTGCTCTTGGAGTTTTCTCTCGAGTCCATCGAGTTGATGCAGATGCAGTCGATCCATACCCGCAGTTTCGGCCTGTTGTCCAGCTCCCTCCCGCCGAAATGTCTGAGAAGGCTCCTCAGCCAATTCGGTGACTTTCTCTCCCTGCCTAGACTCTCGCTCGATTTGCTCACGGCGGGGTAGAAGACGGCTCGGACATGTTTGAGGGCGAGGGCGATGTGGACGGGGACGGGAATTGGATTTCGGTCGAGAATGATTCTGTCTTGATCTGCGGGGTCGCCGAGTAATGAGGAGATGGCGATGAATTCGATGTCTCGGCTTAAAGGGAGAGTAACGAGGCGACAGACGACTTGATCGTTGACTGTGTTTGCTGGTTCAATCTCCAAGAAACGGACCTCGTCTTTGGAAGTGCTTAGTCTGGAGTATTGGATCCTTGGTCGTCGTAATTCGGATGCCATTTTCGTATGGTGATGCAATGCGATGCAGTGCAGTCAGCAGTGCAGTGCCGTGTACCTACGCCGTAATGCAATGGCAGTCAGTTAATGCGAACCGCTGTGACGGGCTGTTGGTTTGTCCGTCTGTTGGTTGTTGGTTCGTTTCGCGTATGCAGGTCGATGTGTCAGGAAGGTGAATGGCAGTCCACTTCGGCACTGCTTGTCAGCAATATGTAAGGATAAACCCAAGAAGATGGTTCAGAGCAAGCAATTCTTTTTTTCTTCCCTCCTCCCCCTGGCCAAGCTCCCACTTTTATTACATCCCCGCCCCCCCTCTCCACTAACATGGTCTAGACTGCCCCTAGGAACCCTCCCCGGCACGCAAACGGAACCATCCACGGAGACCATCTCTAGCGTCGTCCAGTGCACCTTAGTCTGGTGTGTAGTCTCGGCAAGGTCCTCCCTCTGCAATCAAACCAACAGACAGACCAGACACAGAAATCAGGCCTCCTCTAGTGTGAGTATCTACCAACAGCCAACATGCAGGTCAGTGGTGGAGTTGTAAAGTCCCTTTAACCACCCGTGTCTTCCGCTCGCTCGCTCGCTTTCAAAAAGTAGTCAGTCCCCTACCCGGCTTACCCAACTTAAATCTTCCTTCTCGTAGGCGAACAGACCTTTTACCCCAAAGTCCAAGACTCTCCATTACGGCCTAAACGAAAATCCTCATACACACAATGGTACCCAGCCTAATCACACCGCCTCCAAGCCGCTCTGGAGAAGCCACACCACCAAAAGATGCCTGTCTGAACCTGGTCAACGGTGCCGAACCCGAGGGACACTGGATCAAACTTCCAGAGGCGCTGTTCTCGTCGATTATGGCTGTGGAACCAGAAGTCAATCCCTTGTACAAGACATCGAAAGGTTTATCAGACGAATGGCTGAAAACGTAAGTCCAGTTGGGGAAAGGATTCAGCTCCATCCATCTCGGTAACGTTTGAGACATTGCTCGCTAACAGCCTTATTACAGTGCATTGCGCATGAACGATAAAACTGCGAGCATCTGGAGTCGGCTTGATATTGCCTACATGAGCGCAATATGCGCCCCGCATGCTGAAATCGAAACACTTAAGCTGATGAATGACTGGAATGGATGGGTCTTTGCATTCGATGACCGTAAGTCAAACAAACAAGCAAACAAAACCGAGACTCTGATATTCTAGAACGGCCCGCGCCGCTTTTGCATATTCCACGGAAGAAAAAAAGTGGCTTCCGCTAACAGAACAATAGCCTTTGACGAGGGAACATTTGCCAATGACCCCATCAAAGCAGCTGAAGAAGTCATCTATACACTCGCGACCCTCGATAATATCCATCCCGTAGTATCCCCCGACGAGAACCCATTACGACATACCCTCCAATCCTGCTGGATGCGTTTCAGCCAACACGCGAGCCCAAGTCTACAGTACAGATGGAAGAAACACCTCACAATGTACTGTGTCGGCGTACTGCAACAGGTTGGCGTCCAGCACAGAGCGACACGGCCTACAATCGAGGAATACATGGACATGCGCGCTGGTTGCGTAGGAGCTTACCCCTGCATTGGACTCATGGAGTAAGTACCGTGCCCTGCCATCTTGTTGATTGCGATCCGCGGTTTCAGTCGCTGCACTGTAAATGTCACTGTAAAAGACCAAAGACCACAAGCGTGGTTGGAAAACTCTTCTAGGTTTTTTGGCGGTTTCACCTTCGCCTAAGACTATCCTTGTTCTGGCCAAGCTGCAAGCCATCATTCCACGGCAGTTCGACTCGTTTGGCACCCAATTGGCCACTGAGCGAGAATGTTCCAGGCCTGCGACTCAACCAATCACAGCGAAAGAGCATCACTAACTGGGCCGTTCAGGTTCGCTGAAGGCATCGATATCCCCCAATACGTCATGGACCATCCATCAATGCAAGCGATATCACGAATCACCTGCGATTTAGTTACATTGTATGACCTTCCAGAAGCCTTCCATTCCCCCGCTAACAACGGCAGGCAAAATGACTTGTGCTCGTACCGAAAAGATTTGATTCAGGGTGAAGAGAGTAACATCATCTTCATCTTGAAGGACCAGGGAATGACAGATCAGCAAGCCGTTGACCAGATTGGGGAGATGTTATATGACTGTTACCGAAGATGGCACATGGCCTTGGCGAATCTACCGTTCTGGGGTGAGGGTATTGACAGGGATGTTATAAAGTTTGTCAATGGATGCCGAAATATCGCACTCGGCAACTTGCACTGGAGGTATTTGCAGCCATCCCTTTCAACCGAGTCTGACATGCTGACAAGATGCACAGTCTTTACACATTCAGATATCTTGGCAATGATGGTCCAGAAGTCAAGAGGACACGCATGATGAAGCTCCCTTAGGCGAAGAATTGTTGGGGATGAGAAGCGAGAAGCGAATTGGGTGGAATGATGTCGTGAGCTGACCCTTCAGGCGAGAACAAGGGGGTTTTCGCTTCTAGAAGGAAAGGGTCAAATCCACTTTAGATACCCGTATACGAGAAATTGACTTCTGTTTCAGTTGGTTGAACTTGCATTCCAGTGATTGTGGCTTTCATTTTCGTACATGCAGGTTGAAAACCGGTTTGTGAGTGTTGGCTGTTGGTTGTTGGTTGTTGGTAAGACAGGTTGGAAGAGGAATGCTTACTATCTCCGAATTCCTTGCATCTTGGAAGAATATCATGGTATCTTCATATGTCTCGGGTGTTGGTTCTCATTACTCAGACCGGCAATTCCAAAGAGAGAGAGAGACAATGTTGAAAAATCGTTTATTGCCGTGCAGATGAAAGAGGCTTTGAATTCGCCTCCAAAACTGATTGATGCTGTTCTGGAGGTTCAACATAGCCATGTCCGACTACCTGCATGAAGGGGCACCAATTTGCGTCAAACAAGAAAGCCGCCTCTTGTCGCAATTGTTTCTGTTCACATTCGTAGACATACGATAAGCAAGAGGAGAGTGCCATTATTTCAGCGTAACTGGCTTATCAGCTGAGAGACCCAGTAGTTGTAATGTATACATCGTTTTCCAACCAAGACTCGTGTATATATTTATCCCCGTTCCAGTAACGACAAATTTAACCGGGGGAGCAAGATTCACCTAGCCAATTCATTAGAATGGAAGACAAAATAATAAAAAGATAGCATTCAATATAGAACAAGATATCACAAAAAAAGATATCCAAACGACGCAGGCCTGATTCGAACAGACGCCTCCGAGGAGAATAGATTTCTAGTCTATCGCATTAGACCACTCTGCCACTGCGCCTTACGTAATGGATATCTGATCATCTGGAACATGGCGCTCATACGTCTGCAGGCACTGTGAAATGAGAGAGGACTGATGTAATCATATAATCTCGATTCGTCAGTGATTAATGGCAGAAAAGTATTGATATTACCTAATAAACGTCATGTCCTAGTACGAGGTTTTGTTGAAATGGTGATAGGCTGGGAAACGCAAATTTGGAAAAACATGCTTTTGGTGAAGCAAATGCATAATACCATTTTCAACGACAAATCAAATAAAGAGATAGTTCATTAAAAGCTCAATGTAATGGTAGATTAAAACAGGATAAGTTTAGTTCATATTTGTCGGCTATTTCTTTGGCTAGAAGAGCTGACTCTTGCTCTTTGTTCCAACATCAGCATACCCTATATCAACTAACAGGAAAAGGCATAGATATTATGATTAAGGTTTGGTTACAATGCGGCAAGGAAGACAATAAACAGTTTTCTATATTTAGGAATTAATATAACGAGAAATGGTTATAGCTGTTTATTTCCGCTTGCCATGGAAAGTTTGTCTCTATTGTCGTTTTCGTTGGTCCAGAGTGAGCTGCCTGTTCTAGATTTGTGATCTCATGAGAACCATCTCATGCAATCAAACATCTAGCTACTGCCAGTTTGAAGCAATAATGAGCCAAAAGTGACACACAAACATCGCGGCTATAGGCGCTCATCTCATCCGAACATTCAGGCTGCCGCGGTTGTTACCCAAAACAGTCTAGCCATCCAGTCATTAAGCTTTCGGCTCATCCAAGTCATAGCCGAGAACCATGTGATATCGTCAGACTCAACGGCCGTTGGGAAAAACCCTCAATTCACTTCACTTCATAAACCAAGTCAAAAGGCCCGATACTTATGAACTGCATATTTACCGTGCCGCATTCACGATATCATCACTATCATCTGGTGCGTGAAAAGGACCGATGTGACCTGATGAGCTAAGCCCAGGGGAGCATCTCGAGTGCGGGGATGACGGGATGATCAGCGAACTTACCCCAGAAACGTCGTGAGGCTAAATCGGGGTTTCTGGGGTTGAGGTTGCTATTGGTTAGAGAGGTTGGAGATTCTCGGCGTAATTAATTCGATAGTGCAGTTAGAAATATGCAAGACGTGACGGTTTCGTGATGAGGAACGATTCCGCGTCTTCTGAGTTGGATATATAAGTCAGATCATCCTGCCAGTGATCTGCATCAACAGTCCTCTCCGTCCTTCGTTCCTCACCGCTGCCATTTTTTGTTCCAGCATTCACAGAGAATGTTTACTCAGATCTTGTATGGCCTTACGGCCTTGTCGGCCCTCCAAGGCCAGGTCACTGCATCACCTGGTGGTTCCAGCCTCGATCGCTTCATCTCCAAAGAAGCCGACATCTCGATCAAGGGCGTCCTTGCAAACATTGGCGCGGATGGCAAGCGAGCTCAGGGCGCAGCACCCGGTGCCGTTGTAGCAAGTCCATCGCGAACAGACCCAGACTGTGAGTGAACCTCGGAGAAAGCGTCGGAAAACCGTTGACTGACAGGAATTCCAGACTGGTACACATGGACCCGAGACTCCGCGTTGACGTACAAAGTTCTGGTTGAGCGCTTCATCCACGGAGACAAGTCTCTTCAGCGCAAGATCGACGAATACGTCTCTGCCCAAGCCAAACTCCAGGGCGTCACCAACCCATCTGGTGGCCCTGAGTCTGGCGGTCTTGGCGAGCCTAAATTCCACGTCAACCTCACAGCCTTCACAGGATCTTGGGGTCGTCCCCAGCGCGATGGCCCTCCTTTGAGAGCTACTGCTTTGACACTTTACGCCAACTGGCTTGTTTCTCATGGCGATCGCTCCAAGGCCATCAACAAGGTGTGGCCCGTGATTGAGAAGGACCTTGCATACACCGTCAAGTTCTGGAACAGGACTGGATATGATCTTTGGGAGGAGGTCAACGGATCTTCCTTCTTCACCCTCTCTGCTTCGCATCGTGCTCTCGTCGAGGGAGCCGCTCTTGCTAAGAAGCTTGGCAAGTCCTGTTCCAACTGTGCAGCCAACGCCCCTCGTGTTCTGTGCTTCATGCAAAGCTTCTGGACTGGCAGTTACATCGACTCGAACATCAACGTTAACGATGGCCGTAAGGGTCTTGATGCTAACTCCATTCTCTCGTCAATTCATACTTTTGATCCTTCCTCGAAGTGCACCGAGTCAACCTTCCAGCCATGTTCATCAAGGGCTCTTGCGAACCATAAGGCAGTAGTGGACTCTTTCCGATCTATCTATGGTGTCAACAAGAACAGAGGTAAAGGCAAAGCTGCTGCTGTCGGTCGATACAGTGAGGACGTGTACTACGACGGCAACCCTTGGTACTTGGCTACTCTTGCCGCTGCCGAGCAGCTGTATGCTGCTGTCTACCAGTGGAACAAGATCGGATCCATCACCGTTGACAGTGTGTCGCTCCCATTCTTCGGCGATCTTGTCCCAAAGATTTCCAAGGGTACTTATCGCAAGAACAGCAAGACATATAAGGCTATCACCAAGGCTGTCACTTCATATGCCGATGGCTTCGTTGCGGTTGTTCAGACATACACTCCCAAGGATGGCTCCCTCGCTGAGCAGTTTGATAAGTCTACTGGAACTCCCAAGTCAGCTGTTCATCTCACCTGGTCCTACGCTTCCTTTGTCGGTGCCGCCGAACGTCGCACTGGCGTCGTTCCTCCAGCTTGGGGCGAGAGCAGCGCCAACAAGGTCCCAGCTGTTTGCGAAGCAGCTCCTGCGTGTGACACCACCATCACCTTCAATGTGAAGAACGTCGATGTCTCATCTGATCAGAAGGTTTACATTGTTGGCGGAATCACGGAACTTTCCAACTGGGCTCCTGCTGATGGCATTGCACTTGAAGCATCCACAAGCACTAAGGGTTTGTGGACAGTGAAGGTGAAGATTCCATCTGATACTAGCTTTGAGTACAAGTACATCAAGAAGACGAGTGATGGAACAGTCACTTGGGAGAGTGACCCCAACAACAGTGCTGCAACGGGCAGCAAGTGCGGAAGTAGTAGTACGATCAACGATGAGTGGAGGTAGAGTTTGGTATTACCAGTATTGTAATTAGTTATTTTGAGGAACAGGGCGCCGGATATGTCAAGATAATGAACGAAGATAAAAATACAAAGTCTGATAATATGGCTTACAACCATTTGTGCCGAGTATATCGCTTCTTTGCGGTTCTATCGACTCTTTTCCATTGTTATAGATAACGCATCTATGGGAAGAACCCAGACCAGCAGGATGCTAAAGTCAGAGGTCTTTGGTGACGAATCGCATAAATAATCGCATGACCATACGATGTTGTTCCCGGCAACTCGGCACTTTGAGTTCCCGAACTAACCCATGTCGAGATCATTACAGAAGATATCACTGAGAAGTGGATTAAACCTGCATGCCTTATCGTCAGGCCCCAGTTGTCGCATATCAACGATTGGCGATATCTGCGGGACGTCTCTAGACTTACCTGAAGGATTTGAGGCGAAAACTTAAAGAATACACAGCATCAAGCGCACATTAGTCGAGTCGAACAAAGTTTGTGTATTAAACATAGATAGAGTACATAGGAACCACAGAAGGATCGCTGTTTAAAATCTTAAGGAAGCGGGTCTAGCCTCGAGTCTTGCAGTTGGTACAGTAGTCCATAATGATAGTGCATGAGTTGGAAAGGCGTATATGGCCGCAGATATCAACACCGTCGTTCTCCTTGGCACTCTCGCGGCTATGAAAAACTTCGGTTAGTGTCAACTTCACTGAAAGGAGGAAATAACTCACGCTTCTTTGACGTCTGAACCTTTCATACCGATCCCATAATCGTCACACTGGAACTTGGCAATGCATGCCGCTTGGCCGACAGACGCTGCTACCAGGATACCTTTGGTAGAGCGGCTGTAGCGAGAAGCGTAGTCGCTGTACATGGTGTCGTCTTCGAACTTGTTGATCGCTCTGTCGCAAGCTTCACGAAGTCCCTTCTTAGACAGACCATCACCGGTGCCGCATTGTCCACCACCGTCATTATCGACGGCAGTCTGACTCGGCAACGGCGTGGACACTATTGACGGTTCACCTACACCGACCGACTGGGTAATTTTTGTAATACCTGGGATGTTGATGTAGTCGAGTACGTACGCTGACCAGACCAAGACCGTCCCGTCTGTAGTGGTAGTGATGGGCTCTTGGATGGGCTCATCACTTATAGGGCCAGTGTCGGGTGCCGATGTGATCTGTGAAGGAAATTCTGCGTATGCGATGCACTGATCGTCAACCAAGGTGGTCGTTGCGTAGTATCCCTCGCCGCTGACTGTAGTTGAGCACTGACAATATGGCGTCTCAACTGCAGGGCCGCCATGAATGACACATGGGTAGTAGGTACGAGTTGCTTCTTCGTCAGTGGACATTGGGATACCGGAGGTATCGCTAGTACCTCGGGTCTTGGTTATCAGCGTGCTGGGGACTGTTGTAACAGAGTATGTATCAGAGCCTGTTGTGAAAGTGGCAGTTGCTTCTGTATTCGAAGTCAAATCGGTTGAATAGGTAGCCGTAGAATCTTCGGTGTTGATGGTAGAGGCTGCCTCTGTATCGGTTAGGCTGGTAATGGTTGACTCTTCTACGGTCGTAGAGCCCGTAAGGCCTCCAGTCTCAGTCTCATTCCGACCATCGTCACCAAAAATCTCGGCCCATCGTGCTTCCAGAGCGGCGACTATGTCTAGATCAACATCCGCAGTGTAGGCATCTTCGGGGATAACTCCGACAGGGTTGGTGTCGGGAACACCAGCCCAGATAAACTCCGGTGCCAATGTCACAGTTGCAGTGGCCTGAGTTTCCGTGGCACAGCTGACGATTGTTGGACAGTCGCCAAATTCGGTCCTGAAAGGTAGTGTCAGTGCCCTTCCCTGGTGTCCGAGATATATCATTGTGTACATACATGATCTGGGTACCCTCTGAAGTCATGTATGAGACGGTTCTGGTACAGTCCGGTTGTGTTGCAGCCGTGCATTCCTCTGAAGTCGTCGTTGCCTCCGTAGTGGTGGCTGTGGCAGGCTCTTTTGTAGTTGATAGTATAGTTGAATCCGCTGTAGACTTATCGTTATCCTTCGTTGAGGCATCGTCGTCGTCGTCGTTGTTGCCCTTGTCACCAGGTTCATTCTGTGGAACGGGGTTAGCAGTTGGGGCAGGAGGCTTGGCCACGTCACCACCTCCTTTGCCACCGTCCAACTTCCAAAACCATCCAAATGGAAAGATGACAATAGCAACACCATTATGATCTGTAGTGGTAGTCGTGCCAGTAGAGGAAATATAGACTTTGTTCTGCTCAGGAACATATGTTGCTACTGTACCATCCGTGCCTGTGACAATGCCATTCTCTGAGGTAACAGCTGAAGACGGCAGGCTATCTGTTGTTTTCGGTTGCTTTGGGATCGGTAAGGTCTTTTCACTCGCCATGGATTCATGATCAGATGCTGTGACTCGTCTTGGAGTCTGGAGAGTAGTCGAGACTTGGGCTGTATCTGGCGAGTTTGGCAAACTCGTTGGACCTTCCAATTCGGTTGTGTCGGATCCCATTGCTGGCTGCGAACTCTCAAGGGTCTGAGAAGCTCCATCGGATGTGGTCACGGCTTCTGGGGAAGGGCTTGTGCTACCCAGCTCATCCTCTGATTGAACTGTAGTAGGTGTCGATTCCTGTGTACCGGTCGTTTCTTCTGGAAACGTCGTGAACGGTGAGATTGCTGGGTCCTGGGAAGACTGCGAGGTTTCACTGGGAGGATTGTCCGTCTCGATAAGAGTACCGAGTTCCTGGGATTCAGCCCCGCCCCGTGGAGTTTCAGAAGCTTCAGGCAACGCAACAGAGGTATCCGAAGAAGTGATTGGAATTTTCTGAAGTGAGGTGTCAGTAGTTGGCTCAATGGCCCTGCCACTACCAGCATCGAAGGATGTGTCAGTATCAGACGTGACGCCAGTGGAAAGCTCAGTGACAGCCGGGTCTTGTCCAGTCAACTGGCGTGTCGTTCTCCAAAAAGGTTCCTTGGTGGAAGGAGTTCCAGGAAATAATCCCGTCCAGTCAACCTCGATAGGAGTTGCCGGAGTGCCTTCGCCTTCTGACATGGGGACAGAAATGCTCCTAGTGGGAAGACTGAGAGCTTCAGAGGTACCATCATCAATGCTGCCATCCGTACCGGTCCCGGTATTGACACCAGTACTCTCGAAAGAGTGGAGAGAGTGAAGTGTACTGCCATCAACCAGTTGGCGCGTTGAAGTCGGGGGGAGAATGTGAATGGAAGTTCTGATAGCACTACCATTGTTTAGGAGAGTAGTGCCAGTCAAATGAGTGGCAGCTGGTGGTAAATCATCAGCTTGGGGATATCTCTTCAGCAAATGAGCGTCGCCAAGAAGATTTGCTTGAGATAACTCGGTCAAAAGTGCAAAGAACATGGCGCCAAATTGGCAAACTGAGACCATTGTGTCGAGGCGATTCTGAAAGAATGAATGAGTAAATGAATGAACGGATTGGATAAATTCAGGAAACGGAAAGAGACGCTGAACTGTGATTATAAAATGAACGAGAAGAGCTGGACTGTTTGAAAATTGTAGACTTGGGGATCGCGAGATACCAGATACAACATGTTAACATGGCCACGACGAGCCAACAGCAGTCTGACCAACATGTTGAGGCTGGTCCAATCTATTCGAAAAAAGCCATGAGGTTCGCGCCGAGATTACGAGGAGCGTAACGCGCAATGTGACTCAATCCAACTGGCCAATACTGGGGGTCAACTGGTTGTATTAGTGGGTTGTTGGTTCCAACAACTTTGCAAGTCCTTGGGATATCAGCGCTTCAGGCAGTCGACCGTGCGGAACAGTTGAAACCGAAGAACTCACGCACTATAATTAAACCAGCGGGGATTTTAGCGCTTTGCTTTGGCCCCTGCATAAAAATTATCAGGTCATGATGCGAGGTTTACAGGGTTGTCAACTTACAACCAACTGCCAACAACCAAGGCGATTAGCGCTGTAGAATCCTGAAATCTGCCTTGTATTGCCCTCAAAATATGAATGTTTGTGCAACGGCCTCAATGGTTCCATTTTATCGTTCTATAGATTAGTGAACTTTCTTTATTTGTACTATTGTCATATTGCAAACACCTTACCTCACGTTCTTCTTCCTCAATTTCTTTACTCTCTCTTGATAGTGTCGATTCTTTCCCAACTGCCTCAGTTGCCCAGAATATTATTTTAAACATGACTATGTTCAGGCTCTTGTGTCTCTGTTTTGGACTGTTGTCCCTCCCATTTCTTGTGGCAGAAGCAACGGAGACTGCTACCAACACAGCAGATGATTCAACTCCTGAAAGAGATAGTCTACTCAAGATATGGGAGGTTGACAGGACTTGCGCTAGCGAAGTGCAATACATGGAGGACTCCATGGAGATTGCACTGGAGATTGTCATTGCAACTCTCGCGGCTCTCGAGTATATCAAGAGTAGCGACCGTCCATCCAAGCAGCAAGACCCAAAGCGATATTACAGATTCACGTCAATCTGGAAATCATGCCAAGCTTTTCTTGGGTTTGAACCTGCGAAAGATCCTGGCCATCTTCAATCTGCCATTGGTAAGACCACCAAACGATATAGTTTAATTCCAGCTAACAGGTATCCAGATATCTTTGCTAAGATCAAGAGAACCATACCCGCCAGTGAAAACGATCCAGTCAAGGGATACGTCGTCCACTTTCAAAAGCTTCCTAACCATAAGCCCAAGCTCATGTGCGGGGATAGCCCTAGCGAAGACTCATGGAAATGGTATGGTGCATCAGATACAATCCCGGGTCAAGGACAGAATCTCATGAACATGAATGATGATTTCAGGGAGTATGCTTACGACAGTTACGATGGTGCATGGTATTACGATCGTAGGTTTGTATGGAAACGCACAGCAAGGGAGACGCCGATCTATTGTTACCCAGGTATATTTGCCGGCGTTGCGTGGGACAAAGACATCATTATCTTTTGCGATAATCAGTTTACACCCAAAGCAAAAGCTTCCAAGACACCGAAAGCATGGAAAGCATCGGGCATCTCGGAAGGTTTATCACTCAACGCGTATAAAGATCATCTTTCGGTGGTTATGGTACATGAAATGATTCACTGGTTTGGCGGTACGGTTTCGAAAGGCGCAAAGCCTGTCGCCAGTAAGATGCCGCTTCATGTCTTGTCAAGATGGCGAGCTAACATTGACCAGGGATTAACGATCAGACCGCTATTGATGCAAATGGACTACTGATATATAAAGGGAGAGAAAAGGAGTTCGCGTACAAATCTGTGCCCTCTGCTGATGAGGTCAAAAAGAACAGCCTGGAGCCTGTCCTCGCATGTAAGTCGTGGCTCTAGTTTCTTCACATGTCCCTCAAATGACTGACTTTTCGGGATTCTTTATATAGATGGTATGGAACGTGTCTGGCAACTAGCATTCTGTGGAAGGAAACCAGTCCAAGACCATTGTGGCACCGAGAAAGCCATGCACAATGCCGACTCCCTGGCTTTGTTTGCCCTAGCTATGTAAGATCTATCACTTTAGTAAAGAAATGCTACGAGCATACATTCTGACAAAGCGATAGGTACTATGAGGATTGGGGTTGGTCACATAGTGTAGCAAGAGTACCTGGTAAGGATTATAAGAAGGATAATAGTAAGAAGAGGCCTGGTGGCAAGCAAGGGCAAAGACCACCAAAAGTTGCCTGATTAGTTTGGTGGAATCATCTATATTGACCGCGTAGGGGCTCGTTTTGACGTCTTGCTTGGGTAAATATCATGTAATTAGACTCAATACACTCCATAGGTGATCCGCAGTGCGATATTGCAAGGTTTCTTGTCTTTGGTGATGTGATTTTCAGGATCTGCGTCTAAGCGCGCTCGCCCCACTCTCATTCGCGCTGGGGGCCTAATTAATCACTTTGAAACAAACCAACTGCAGCTGCATAAGCAACTACCAACAACCAACAACATATTTACCATTTTCAATGGTTGCCTGGTCTCCCGCCACTTTGCTTCTTCACCATTCTTCCTCATCCAGCTTTATAAACTCGATCACGATATGAGCCTCAGCCCACGAGAACCTGATGCGGAGGAAATTGAGAGGAACTGGAATGCGATTTGGGAGAGTCGCGTCAAGGAGCTCCCTCTGCTCCCCGATCCTCGACCTCGTGCACTGACGCCTGATCCCTTTCCCAACTCTGACTCTGCTTCCAAGCAGGCGCCGCGACCTTTATATCAAGAGTCTTCCTCTTGGTTCAAGGTGCCTCCCAACATCCGACGAGATATTCTTCGACTTGCCTTTGGAGATACACGTCTTCATATGTATATGGAGTATGGCTATCCCGATGTTCCTCGAGAACAAGAATCAAAATTCCATTGCAAGATAGTCGTCGGACCAGGAGACGATGCCAAAGAAGAGTTTCGCATTGTCGACAAGAGCCAGCCAACGACATGGCATTGGTGGGGTTCAAGGTGTCATCGTTTCCTTCCCATATCAACAAAAGAAATAGGACCTATGACTCGCAAGGGACTCGAAGGACCTTGGGATGACTGTTGTCGTGATGGCGGTAACCATCGTCTCTGCAAGATTTGGAGAATGCAAGAGGGGCCTTCTGCATGCCATATTGGGATAATGGGTTGGCTGCTATCTTGTCGCCAGAAGTACGTAGAATCTACCCCATCTCCTCGCCAAGCAATTTTCGCTAATGATCACTCAGCTACTTCGAGGCTATCAACGTGCTATACTCCACCAACACATTGATCCTCAACAGCTCGCACATGATCACTCATCTTCCTCAGTTGATCTTGCCCCAGCGACTAAAGACGATCACCTCTCTTGAGATTACCTGGCCGTTAGAGACAAAGTTCACTCCCGATCAGTCTTACGATAACCTGAACCAAGATCACCTTGAATCTATCCTGTGCTTGCTGTCTTCGGAATGGCTCGTTTCACTTCGTCATCTTTATGTATTCTTAGACGAAGATGAAGCTTGGCTTGGACGGAGTGGTTTAGATGCCTACTCAGATATCATCTTCGACCACTTGGACTCATTCGCCCGGCGTATGACTCACCTGAATGAATGTGCTTTTGCGATTCCGGACTATTTGTTCGAATCAATACACTGCGGTGCCACTACAGTGGAAGTGGAGGAACAGGGAGGAGTCAGTATGTACTCGCACAATAATTCCTACCAACAGGTATGGCGAGACATTCACGGAAACATGACTGCCGTGCAGTTGCCGTACGTTGACAGCTACCCCAAAGCACCGTACAACCTCCCCCAAGGAGATGATCAGGTTCCTGGGTATTGGGTTCTGGAAGTGAACACTCATAAGGTGCCACATACTCCCCCTCCACACCTGCAAATTTGCAGCCTTGGTGGTTGTAATGGGTCGAGTAGCTATGATCAGCTAGAGAGATTCGGCAGTCCTCTATCACCACGCAGCGATCTATCAGGATACAGTCCTGCGTCACCACAATACAGTCCTGTGTCACCACGATTCAATCCCCGATCTCGAACCGGTTCAAATCAGCCGAGCGTCCCTGAGATGGGTCAATGATAGAGGTCGAAAACAGGTCAGTTGTGCTATAAAGGGATTACCTAGTACTGTTGTCAGATTAGAAGTTTAAACATCTAAATGGGACGGACGAAATAGATAGCTTTTTGCACAGCTAATCCATTTCTTATAAAGACCAGGGAGGCTATGAAATGTGATACGCTTTATGTATGTCATGCGATGCTCCTTTCGTTAAGAGACCCGACAGTATGTTTCCTTACACCAAGTTGCCCAGTTTCCCGAATCAAGAATAAGGTATCAATGCTCTTGTGGCTAATCAAGACCACAGCTGCTTGGTGTCAAATACTTATCTTTTGCATAGATTTATTCACAATTTTGGTTACAGCCTCTTCTCTCTGGGAGTTGGTTTTCATTGATTATTTTTCTAGTGGCTAAAAGTAATGAAAGTTTGCGGTTGGGATGGTGTGATGGTACTGCGCCGTGAATGAACAGACTTTCAAACATTCTCTTGTGTTTCAGGGCAGGCTTCGTTGTCAGGGTTCGGAACCTTGGGTTCAAGTGCCTTGTATATGTCAAAGAATTTCTTGTTGTCCGTCATCTCACACACCTCACAGCGGTTTTTGCCCAGCTTCCGAGGGTCGAAGCAAAATTCGCACCTGCCGGTCCAATACCTTTGCCCAACAATACAATCCTCGCATTGATACTTCTTTATTGTGCCCTTTTTAGAGAAAGGGTCCGGGCATGACATGCATTTCCCCAGCTGCAGCCTTTTCTCTTCACTTGCATTACACCATTCGCACCGTGCTCTATCGCCTGGCGTTTCCCTCACATAGCAAAATGTGCAGAAGCCTTCCCGAACAACCACCATTCTTTGCTCCTGGGTGAGAATGTTGATGAACGTTGTGTCCCAGTTGTGGATCTCGCAGAGCCGGCATAAAAGTGCTGGCCCGTAGGTTATTTCAGTACAGTGTAGACAGCGTCCCGAAGGCTCTGGTTTGGCTGGAGGCTCGGGGGTTTCGAAGGAAATGTTGCGAGGGGTCTCGGCTTGCTTCCCCCAGCAGGCTTGGCATCTCAAACTGAACCAGGGTCCTACCATGGTCGCGCAGCCGATGCAATGCTTACCACCTGCGCATCTCACTTGGTCCTGTGCCTGCTTTTTCATGTTTGGTCGTCTGCTCCGATATATTCGGATGGTCGCAAGTATTTGGGCTTAATGATGTATGCTTAGTGATTCGATATCTATTGTGGTTTGTAGCAAAAGCTCGGTAGTGACCAGAGAGATATATAGTTCAGATAAGGACATTCTCTCGCTCACTGTTGACCCTGGAAAACGCGCCAGGATCAAATAAAATGCTTCACGAAGTGTCACTGACTCGGTGAGAAAGATTGCCGTGATGCTTGGTCCTGGCTTGATCTGTATTCACCGCAGCGCCAGTCTGGAAGGTCCGCACAATCAGCCCTCGACTCTTGTGCCTATCGATTGTGACTCAGGTAATCTAGACTTTGATTCATGGCCAAGTTGTCTTTGCATCAGCTGTCCCCGGATAACAGCCGTGATCAAAAGACATGAGGACAGTAGTCACCGACAGTCGTCGAGGCCTGCGCCTTAGGAGTGATAAGTCATTCACTAACACTTTGCGGGCCCGGATATGTGGCTCAAGCTGAGTGCTGGCAGCAGTTACATCCAATATCGGGAGCTCCAAGTCTCTTATGCAAGTTTATTGATCTTCTACTTAGAACACGATCGCCCCTCCATCTACGACAATATCCGTCCCGTTCATGTAAGCTCCCGCTGAGCTTGCCAGCAATACCACCGCACCTGTCAACTCACAAGGAGCACCCATACGGCCACTCGGGTTACGTTCTGCCCATATCTTGCGATGCCCAGATATTCCGTCGCCCTCATTCAAGATGGTGTCCATATATCCAGGACTGATAGTGTTTGTGCGAATGCCATAACGAGCCCACTCCGCAGCCAGGCAGTTCTTGAGCGTCAACAAGGCTGCTTTGCTGACGTTATAAGCCGCCTGAGGCTGGGGATAGTTGACGCGGTGTGCCGAGATAGATGAAGTGAAGGTGATGGACCCTCCTGTGCCTTGTTTGACCATCTGACGGGCTACAGATTGCGCACAGATGAATGACCCTGTCGTGTTGATATCGATGATCTTCCGCCATTGAGACACTGGTATTTCCAGCGTCTCGGCACAACCGACAACACCCACAAAGCAGACGAGACCGTCAACTGAGCCGAGAGTCGCTACTGTCTCATTGACACCGTCTTGTACTGCCCTTTCGTCTGTAACATCGACCTTCATCGTCGTGATTTTCGCATGAGGAAAACGAGCTTGAAGAAACGTGACTTCCTGCTTGGCTTGTGCAGGATTGACATCAAGGATCGCAAGGCCATTGAGCCCATGTTCCAACAGGGCGTTACACGAAGCGAGGCCAAGAGTACCCGTGCCTCCAGTGACGATGAAGTTGCCGCGCACTGAAAATCGCTCTTTAGCTCCAACGGCGGGATCATTGGCGATTGTGTTGCTTGGTGGTGCAGTCAAAGATAATGATGAGCCATCGCTGAGGACCATGGATGGGACTGCTCTAGCAGTGAGCGCGTCCCTACTGGGAAGCTCTGTAGCACCGGGTGTCATCGTACTTTGTTTCAAAGAATGGATAAGGGTATGAAGCAATGAGTGTAGCTGATCTGACTTTGCGAGGTTACCTCGGATTCACCTTTATAACCTGGGGTGAGTACCCCACGTCCGAGGCTTCATCGGAGTACTGTCACCCGAGAGGTTGCAAAGACTGTGCATACAACGGTGGAGACCCAGAAGCAGCTACAAAATGGACTCTTGTTCTGTCGAGCACTCACAACAGTTTAGCTTCTCTACCGTGACGTTTCTGGGACTCTGTCTTGTCCATGGTCGCGATGGATGTCATCTATGCACAACTCGAGCAGCGCGCGTTGAGTCTTCTGGAGAAATCACAGCAACAGTCTTCAGATTCCAGAGCCATCATTATCCTGGCTGGTCCTCCAGGATCTGGGAAGTCAACTATCGCTTCCCAAGTCGTACGCAGGATCAATGCCCTTCATCGAACTCCGATCGCAAAAGTTCTTCCGATGGATGGATATCATTACTCGCGCGCTCATCTCGATACTCTTCTGAACCACGTTGAAGCCCATGCACGAAGGGGCGCACATTGGACATTTGACGGCAAAGCAGTTGTTGAGATGATCAAACAACTACACGCCTCTCGAGAGAGACCATTCACCACATTATACGTGCCGAGCTTCGATCATGAGATCAAAGACCCTGTTCCTGGTGCCATTGAGATAACTCCAGATATCAAGATTGTTTTGGTGGAGGGCAATTGGCTCTTGTACAATCAGCAGCCTTGGAACGAGATTGCCAATTACGCGGACGATACCTGGTTTGTTGATGTTGATTCTCACTTGTCATTACAAAGAGTTGCGAAAAGGCATGTTGCATCTGGCATTGAGGGGACAATGGAGGTTGCGGAGGTCAGAGCGAGAAACAATGACATGAGAAATGGAGAGGAAATACGGACTTGTCTAATTGAGCCGAACATCAAGGTCGAAAGTGTTGAAGGTCTATGAGCTACTCTACTTGCGTCGAGTCATGAAAGTACAGTTCGCCCTCCATGAGTTTATCAGGCTAATTGGCCAATATTGATCTTCTGCTCACCTGATGTTTGTCGGTCTCCAATCTACCGAAGGCGGCTACTCCGCACCTAGTGGCTGCTACGTGTGTCGGCCGACAGTGCTCCGATGAATGAATGACGCTAGCTCAAACCTTGCGCTCATGATAACTCTCCCTTCTCTTTGTAACAATACGTGCATATGCGAGACTAAAGATGGGTCGTCCTCCGATGCACGGTTCTTCGAGCCAACTTCGAGCTTGTCTCAATTGCCAGAAGCGCAAAAGCCGATGCCAACCTAGTCTCAATGGCCCGGGGCCATGCTCCTACTGCGCCCGCGCGGGCAAAGACTGCAGCTTCGTGAACCCACCGGATAGGACAAGGCTTACGCGGAAGAATCTCGATGCGATGGAGCAGCGCTGTAATAAGCTCGAGTCTCTCATTCGATCGCTGCATCCAGATATGGATATTGATGTTGCTCTCGCTAACCTAGAGGCTGGTCAGGAAGCCATCAGACGAACAGAGCAAGAGTCAGATGATGAGTCGCCTGAGCATGAGGAACCAGCGCACGAATATGAATGGAGTGAACCCTCTTTGCCACCAGATTTCGATAGTCAGAATGATGAAGCCGGAGCCATGGATGGCATGGCCACGTTAAACAGCCTTGATGCTGGATATCTAGGTATGTCACCAAAACTCCTCTGTTATTGCCATCGTCGCATATTTCGGTCTCACACGACATTCAGGCAGTAGTTCCGGCGCAAATCTATTACAAGAGATTGCTTCAATGCTACCGGAGCTTGCGGCGTCAAACTCTCCTGCCAATAGCCATGGCAAATCCCCCAGCCGGACGCATAAGTCAAAAGCGTCACTCGATCCACCGAATCTGGCGAATGAGTCTTTAACAAGCTATCTTATCGACGCATACTTCCTCTTCTACAACGTTTCGTATCCGATTCTGCATGAACGATCATTCCGCCAAAAGCTTGCCGCTCGTGGCATGCGACGTGGCAAGTCATCATGGAACATCATCTACTACCTGGTGTTGGCCATTGGGCACTGGATATCTACTTCAGATAAACATCACGCTGGATCCCGCTTCTATACCGCAGCGAGAAACTCTCTATCGATACACATGCTGGAGTCGGGGTCGCTTGAAACGGTCCAGGCGCTCCTTCTCATGGGCAATTATCTACAGAAGATGGACAAGCCAAACACAGGCTATCAGTTCATAGGTATCGCATACAAGATGGCACTTGGACTTGGGATGCATAGAGAGACACCGAACCTGGAAGACAATATTGGACTTGAAAGGCGGAGGCAGTTATTCTGGGTCGTTTACTGCTTTGATAGCGGGTTCAACATCACAACTGGGAGACCACCGTATGCGCAGGAAGGGATCATTGATACCGCGCTACCAAGAAACATTGACGACAAGGTAATTGAACCTCGATAGCTTTGCCCCGAAAAGAAACGTTGATCACGATATGCTAACAACAGCAGGATCTCGAACCCTCCATGCTAGCCCCGCCTGAAGTCAACACGCCAACGACTCTATCCGCCGTCATCGCACAAGCAGAACTTGCGAAGCACGCAAACTCGCTATATCTCGAGTATCTCACAGCGAAAACAGCCAACACCAAAGTCGAGTACCAAGTTGCCGAGGCCATAGAACGGACGCTCACCGATTGGCGACATAAACTTCCTCAATACTTCACTTCTGTAGACGTCCCAATATGGTTCACTGGTCCGCGGGCTGTTGTTTTGTGGAAAGAGCAGAACTTGCGGATTATCCTTTGGCGAGGAAGCAAGCGAAATCATCCATATCTCCCCAGCAAGACTGATGCAGAGACACGCTGTCTTGATGCTGCCATGCAAAGCATAAACGATATAACAGCTTTCTGCAGCGTAAATGAAGGCATTTTGCATCTCGGTATTGTCTGGTATGCCACATACTTCTTGTTCCAAGCCGCTCTTGTTCTTGAAGCGAGCTATCTAGACCGTGAGGCTCAAAACAAACTCGACAACGAGACAACCGATTGGCGAATGATGGTCCACAAGGCCCAGAGTTGCCTGGTAACTTTCTCAAGCAGAAGCAGATCATCAAAACGATGCTTGGAGGTACTAGAGCTCATAAACAGAAGGGCAGAAACAGCGGCGAACACTCGCCGAACTGTCCTCACTGTGCCTGAGCTTGTTGAGGAAGCTCCAACTGCGCTCCAGGCCCCAGTAGGTGATACTGAGACATCGATACCACCGGTCGATTTGCATAATTTCAGTGATGGGGATCTCTCCATGGGGGCCTGGACACTGAACGATGATGGATCAGATCCTACAATGAGGATGATTCTTGATAATACTCCGTGGGGGTATCTCGACAATGCGCCTATGGATGCCTTGTTCAACGATTGGTTTCCCCAGGATACTTTTGACGGGTGAGAAGCTTGGAGATCGCTCAACTCCAAATTTCGACTACCGACAATACTAAGGAAGTACATAACCGCCGTCAATGATAATATCTGATCCAGTTGTATATGTGGATGCATCACTGGCCAAGTACAAATACAAGCCCTTGATTTCCTTCACATGTCCCTGTCTGCCAAGCACCGACATGCGGTAAGCTTCGTTCAGTGCTAGTGGACCAGCTCCCATCTTGGTATCAAAGAAACCGGGCGATACGATGTTGACGCGGGCGAACTCTCTCCACTCGCGAGCTAGCGACTTGCCGAAATGCGTCACAAATGCTTTGGTGCCATTGTAAATAGGTTGGTCGACAGGGACGTTGACGATATGTGCGCTCATGCTAGAGGTGATGATGAGAACACCGTTGCCTTGGCGTTTGAAGACTTCGCCGACGTATTTGGAGCAATAGACAACTCCGTTGACTGAGAGGTATTAGATGTTACTCTTGAGATGAAATAGGATGATGGGTTGTACGCACCATTCACGGACATTTGCTTATCGAATTCGGGGAGAGTCTGTTCCAGGATTGGCTTGCTGATGGCCATTCCCGCGTTGGCGACGAAGACGTCTATCTTGCCAAAGTCTTGTACCACTTGCTGTACCGCTTTTTGCACCGACTCAGCGTCCGATACTGCCATCATATTAGCCCCATTTTGTTATATTCCAAAACGATGCAATAAACATACCGTCGACTTTGTAAGCAGCAGTTTTGGCACTGTGCTTAACCCCAAGATCTTGCGCTCTCTGGATAGCTACATCGTTTCTAACCACTTGTCAGTCACTGTATAGGAATCTTGATCGGCATGATACGACTTACGAGTTATACCATAACACAACATGGGCGTTGGCTTCAGCCATTCCCTCCGCAACAGCGTAGCCAATACCGTCAGCGCCACCAGTCACGACAACCACCTTGCCAGACATCTTGAACTGCTCCAAGACATTGGTAGGGGTGTCAGGGAATGGTCTAGGGAAGCCATCCCGTAGAACGGTACAGTCGGATTCGTTCATAGACATTCTAGTGGCGATCTCGTAATTTAGTGTATGTTGAGTATTGGTAACATTCTCAATGAATGTGGGAAGATTTATATGCACAATGCCAGTTTGTTGATCTCCATCTTTATCGGAATTCAGAGGCCCGATACAAGCACAATAGCGTAACTGACTCGCTCTCATGGCTGGTTAAGCGGGGTTACGGCTCACTGAGGCCGATACTACTGAGAGCGCAGTGAATGCCGTGATTGGATAGTTTGGTTCCATGGAACTTGCCGTTTGGTAACGCCAAGGCTTCTAGAATCTAGAACAGCATACGTCGGAGTTCATTATCCCTTCAATGGCCATCTGTATCACCAGGCAGCCTGTGACAAGATGTTTGCAACCTGTTGGGGAGTCATATCTTTCGATATAGTCGCATGGAGCTTTACGGACACTCATAGCCGCTCTGAAAAGGGTGGCAAGCCACTAACAATAGCTAATTCTGAAAAAGAAAGAAGATGAAAAGAGTGGTAGTAAACGCAGCAGACGTGGGCGAAGAGTATCTGGCCCACGGGCTCCGTCGGAGTATCCCTTTTCGTAACAAGGCCTAGCGGTTGATCATTTTCTCCGCCGCCGCCAGCGACCCCGTTTTCACAGAACCTACAATATCTTTGGTCTTGGTAGTAGCTCTCCCCGCATCTCAACACTAACGAGTCGTAAGAGTAAGACTACGGCTGGTGCTACAGTATCCCTTGAACCTCTCTCGATTGATCCCACTAGTCTGGGATCTAGTCTCGAAGAGGGCATTCCCCGCGGGGAAGATCTGGGGTCTGGAACTCCCCCGGAGTACAGTGGACCGTTGGACTATATATGGACAGTCCTCTACTTGAGATGTCATCGTAACTATTTAATCAATTAAAGCCTCTTGTCCTGGGTTATCTATCCCATCAGACAAACTTCACTCTCTCAAGTTTCTCTGATTGCCCAGATCACTCTTCTATCAACATGACATCCAAAAGCTCAGAGAAGCCAACCGTCGTTCATGACCCGGAACCGATCGATGTCTTTACCAAAGAGTCACTGGGCATAGATATCCAAGTCTACGAGACCAAGTTTGCATGTACGTCCCCATCAACCTCACTGTACTTATGACCACTGACCAGAAGTCTATCAGCCCTCGGACGATGGGCTGTCGTCAAGACCTTTTGGAAAGCTCTCCTTTTCTGCATGATCTTGAACTGGGCAGCCTTGAATGATGGAGTAAGTCTAGGTCGCTGGTGGCTCCCTCTTTCTCCCTGTCTGCTAACACGTTTTACAGTTCCAGCAACAGATCCCCGGTAACGTCATCCCGATGCAAGCGTTCATCAACACCATGGCCGATACCACGATCAATGGCAAGCCGGCTGTCAGCGCTCGGGTCGTCTCCTACTGGCAGGGTTTCGCTGAGATGTCCAAGACCCTCGGCATGTTCACTGGCGGTTACTTTGCCGACAAGTTTGGTAGAAAGTAAGTCTTTTTACTTGGTTGGCTCTGTCGGTTTGCTAACTGGTCACTTTAGAACAGCTCTCTGCGGTGCGATCGTTATACTTCTTGGAGGTTCCATCGCCGAGATTACAGCGTCTGGCTGGAAGAGTTGGCTCGGAGCTGCCGTTCTCGTTCGGGCTGGTGTCGGACTTGCACAGTCGATCCTCGTCACATATGTCTCGGAGCTTGCGCCTTTTCAGATTCGAGGTCTAATGATTGGTGCTTATCAGCTCTGCCTCGGTATCGGACAGCTCATAAGCGCTATCGCGACACAACTCATTACTATTCATCAGCCGACCAAGTGGAGACCTCTGATTGCCACTGAGTTCATTTTCACTGGGGTATGTACCTATCATCCAATCCTTTGTTGAAGCGTCGGAATCTGACTGGACTCTCTAAGCTTCTTATCTTGATGGTATGGCTCGTTCCCGAATCCCATATCTACTACGCTCGCAAGGGAGAGGGTGACAAGGCCAAGAAGTCCATGCTCACACTCTACGGTAACATTGACGGCTACGATGTGGTAAGTGCCTTCTCATAAGGAGATACAGCTACAAGTATTAACATTATCTCTTCCTAGGAACATGAGTATCGCGTCATCCAGCATGGTATTGAAGCTGAGCGACAGCTTCATCTCGAGTCCAAGTCCTCGTCCTTCTTTGAGATCTTCGACAAGCATAACTGGCGCAGAACCTTGGCTGGATGCATGGGTATTTGCAGTCAATGGGCTGCAGGAGCGCCAATTGTGTTTTCCTACTCGACGGTAAGCAGTGCTTCGATCTTGTATCTGATACAGAGCTGACGTGCCGCTAGTATTTCTTCGCAGTTGCCGGCCTGAAGGATCCCTTCCTTGTCACAATTATTACGTGAGTAAAGGTATAGCCAGCCCGTAATTACTCGTCAACTAACTTGTAAAGCTTCGTTTTGCTCATTATCGCCATCGTATCATCCCTCATCGCGTGTGAGTTCATTGGTCGCAGACCTCTTCTTGTTGGGTGAGTTCAGATGAACAAGTAGATGAAACCTACGCTGACCGACTATCTAGTGGATGTTTTTCCATGATGCTTTTCAACGTCGGCCTTGGAACTACTGGATTTTTTAAGAACCCTGCCTCCGATAAGGCGGCCTTGGGCTGTCTTCTCCTCTGGGTCATTGCCTACGGCTGCTCGGCCGGACCTATTGGTTTCGTCGCAGCTGGCGAAACCTCTACACCACGACTGAGAGCCCAAACAACGTCTTTCAATTTGGGCTGCTATGGTATTGGATTGTAAGTTAACTTGCCAACTGCATAGGATGTGAGCTAATCTATTATCTTCAGTGTTGTGTTCCAATGGACAGTGTCTTACATGATCAGCCCGGATGCTGGTAACCTTGGTGTCAAGGCTGTGTTTGTCTGGGCTGGATTGTTGGTACCTACTACTATCCTTCTTTGGTTCTTCTACCCTGAGGTCAGTGCTACCCAATTAGCTACCAAGTGGTTCATACTAACATTCCTTTAGACCTATGGTCGAAGTTACTGGGAGCTCGACGAGCTTTATGCACGAAACATTCCTGCTTGGCGATTCAAGAATACTCAAACTCTCGTTGATGAGAGTGGCGGCAAGAATCGAGCTCTTATGTCTGGTCGAAATGGCAATACCACGGATTAGAGTATCATGAACGAAGGCGGAGTTTAGTTGGCAGTTCAAGAACTTGTCGATGCAGGGATGTTCATCAAGATCAAATGGCTGGTCACGACTAGCCTTTGGACCGCTTACTGAGCAGCTTCAATGTGCTTTCGGGGGTCTTGGATGAGTACACCGGTCAAGAGGTTCTCATTCGTCTCTCCTGTTCACTTTCATGTATACATAAACATCCCGGTCAGAATACATCAACTTAAAGAACTAAGCAACATTCACATGAGAAGTAAGAGGAGATCAGTCCACTGAGATTCTACTGTATTCAAGTTCCTGCCTCGTTCGGACCTCAGTGATGCTTACTGGTGAACCTCAAGGCCAGCCCATCACCGCGATTGAGAGATCTTAGACCCAGTGAGTAGTGGCTCCATAGTTACCGCCATCAGCAGGGCGAAGGAAGTCGCTTCGAGTGATCTTGCCATTAGCCTGTCGACGTCCCTTGACAAGGCTAGTAGAAGTAGCCTTGAAGTCCGCATCCTGCCAAGATCCACCCTTCTCCCAGTTGTTGCCCTTACCCTTCACCGAAGTGAGCGTATTCTGCTTGCTCAAGCTGCTGGAGCCAGCATTGTTGGCAGAAAGGTTGTTCTCGTAGGTAGCCTTGGAAGAACGCTGGTTGAAACCTTCCTCACGGTTCTTCCAAGCAGTGTTATGAACGAGAGTCATGTCACCGGGCATGTTGTTGTCGCTGAAGCCACGGCGGTTACGGAAGGAGAAGTTGTTGCGGGCGACATGGTTGACATTGGCGCGGTTGGCAGGTGAGCCACCGCCAAGCTTGATTCCAATGCCGTCTCCTCTATAGGGGTTGAAGTTCCATCGGTTGACTCCGTTATCAAAGATGATGTTATCAAGGATAGTAACAGAAGACTTGAACTCATACAGATCAATGCCGTCATCAGCGTTCTCATAGCTGCGAATGCCGCGGATGATGTTGCCAGCGCCTGAGCCTTCCTTGATAGCCATGCCATCGGCGTTCTGCCCGTTGTTTCGCGGATCAGCATTGTTGTAAGTGTCGAGATAAACGATCTCGTTGTTGGAAATGCTGTTCTGCATGTGGAAACCAGTCTCATAGTTGCTGTGGGTAGTCAGGCGCTCGAAGTAGTTGTTGTGCGAATCCTTCACGTAGACACCGTAAGGGCCCTTGGTGAGAGTGATGTGGATGAACCTCCAGTACTCGGCCTTCTCGACATGAAAGATACCACGGTCTTTGCCAGCGAGACTAGCGCCAAGAGCAGCCGGAGTACCAGACATCTTGTCACCGTCAATGATGACTTCTTCATTGTTGTAGGACGAGATGGTGTAAGGCTTGCTGGAGGAACCTTTCTTGGTAAAGTGGATGTTCTTAGAAGGGCTGTAGGTACCCTTTCGGAGATAAATAGTGTCTCCTGCGCTGGCAGCATTAACTGCAGCTTGGATGTCGGCAAGAGGGGAGCTGCTGGAGCCTGAACCACTGCTCGATCCATTGGGAGAGACGAAAATGTCTTTTGCCAGAGCTGCAGGCAGCACGGCTAGTATGTACTTGAAGAGAAGCATGATCAAAGAGTGCAAATGAAGGTGAGTCGGTGAAAGAGTGACGAAGAAAGTAATGAAAAGAATATCTTGGTTCGGGCTCACATTAGTTTTCATGAGACTTCATCTTCCTTTTGTAGCTGCATCCACCCATGCTTCCGCACGGCCTTCCGAAAGCTCACGTTCCCAGCGATGCCACTGTCATTATACACATGGTGCTTGGCGCCTCGGCACTCTTGGCTATGGTGTTGCCATAGAAGACTACGAGTAACAGCTCAAGCCAAAGCCAAGATGCAGTAAGCTTAAAATTCCATAAATGACGGACATTCTCGTCTCGAATTTCTAGTCACTTTATCCTGGCTCGAGCCACGCGTCATACTCTACAATCGGATGTAATTTCCATAACGGTTGTTGCGGAGCCTATTGTCCCGAGTTTTGATTGAAGCCAAGATATCCAAGAAGCGATCGGGCCGTGTCAGTCTGTCAAGACTCTTGGCTAGTTTGAAACCACGACAGAAGTCCTTGGCAACTTTCGAATGCGACACTGAGAGATGACATTAACTCCACCCTAGTATCAATGCTTATCACGATGTTAATATTCAGTGTTGAAGCGTCAGTCATTCATCTCTCATATAAAACAGCGACTATCATCCTTATGGCATGCATAAGAATCTGTAGTTGACGAGTAAAAATTGCAAAAGCTATTAAAGCTTGTATTCTTCCTATTATGCGATTCTATTACTATTATTGGAGCAAAATGCCATTCTAATCAAACTGTACAGTCTAATATCCCATCATTTCCTTCGCCATACCCCATAAGATCTGCCTCGAATCATCAACTGCCGTTGCACTTCCTTTGTCAAGGGTAAGTACCTAGCTACGTCGCTTAGTAGCTGTAAACCTGTTCAGGCCCCAGATCTCCAAAGTCGCCGGAGCCGAAAGGGTTAGATGGTGTGACCTGCTGGCCATTGACATCGGACACACCGAACCAAGCAAGCTGCTTGTCTTTGACAACGGTGAGTACAGCAAATGCGGGAGCAGGCTCAGTGACGTAGCCCCACGAGATGCTCAGGTCGGACCCGTCAGTGCAGGGTTCGTTGGCCCAGCTTTCTGTCACAGCATTGGAGCCAGGCATACGGATGATGGTGCATCGCTCAGTCTTACCGTCAGCCTCTACCGCAAAGTTGTAGTCACATCCATCGTCATCCTCGCCGCAGTATCGCGTGAGATTCTGGATTGCCCAAGTCTTGCCATCAACAGGCTTAGGGCTAGGGTATGGCGCTGGTTGAGTGCCATCGGTAGGGACGGGAATTGAAGGATGGGTTGCGATTGAAGTAGCAGTGTAGGTGACATGGGATGAAGCGCAAAGCTCTGGATGAGCTGGGCTGCATCCACCAGGAACAATAGGAATTGGGGTGAAGGTTGGGGGAAGTCCCGTATGGTAAGGCGGTGGGCATGATCCGGGATGAGCAGGATTGCAACCACCTGGAATACCAGGAATGGGAGTGAAGGTTTCAACAGGAGCTGTATCGTTGCTGCTGACAGATGGAGCATCTGTCTTGGTGGGCTGCGCGAGAGATGCCGTGGCAGAAGAACAGTACTCGCGAAGTCGTGCACTGTCCTCGCCAACACAAGCTGTCAGGGTACACGAGCATGCCATTTCTGGTGTCCCAGCTGCGACGCAAGCGTAGAAAGCATTTTCACACTCATCGTAGGTTGTGAGAGGAAGTGCCAACGCGGCCGAGACGAGACTTAAGGCTGTGATGAGCTTGTTCATGATTAAGAAAGGTAGGCGAAGGTGCACGATTTGGTGATAGAGTATAAGGATGGAAAGGATATTTGTTCCTATGTGTTGCTGAAATGCCATCCGTTGATGATGTTTCCAATTCAGACGACCTGTCTCAAAGGTTATATATTCGTATTGTGAAGAGTCTTAGCACTCATCTTGTTGGTATACCAACCTCTTGTTTTCTATCCCATTCTCTCCCATGACCTAGCCCAAGGTTTGATACACAAGGGGCTATCTGTCGGAAGCCTCCACTGTTAAAGTGGTTTACCAATCGTGATACAGCGGGAGGACTGGTTTGACATCACAATCACACTATAGAAAGCCCAGCCACTACCATTATGATCGTAGTACCTTTCTTATAGCTGAGTACTGCCGAGCAACCGATCATTTTCATGACCAGCTGCTCAGCCAACCTCCGATCTGCACAACAGCTCCGCTAACACGAGGGGTTGATTGACGGCCTAAAACGGATGTAGCAAAGACGTTAGCTTTACTGACAAGCGAGTAAAGTCTAATTGGCGTTAGACGAATCACGTCGGCGTGCCGGAACATATAACACGTTATTAAAAGGGACGATATGAACCTTAAATCGGTGACTGCCATCTTCTGGAATGTGACTGATAAAAATAGAAGATATGATGTTATTATCACGTGGGATTCTGTCCACGCTTTTCATCTATCGCTGTCTATTTCCTCGATTGAAAACTCGTGGCCATGAGGCAAGCCAGTACGCTGACTTAGTTTTCTTCTTCAGTTCCCGTCCCCTTCATCATGCTGTAACTGCCTGATCCCTGGCAAGCCATTTCATTGCCAAAGAATTCTTATTAGTTACAACTCCTCTCTCATTCCTTCCATCTTCAACACTTTTGCAACTGTATTATACTCATAGCGTACAGGCTTTTGCTAAGACCTCAGTCGAGCCTTTCCGTCTGTTCTCGCTTGCTGGCCTTGATTACACCGTTAGATTCCAAACATGCTGCTGAAACACATCCTAGTGAAATTGAAAGCATTTTGCTGATCGTCTTCGTAGTGAGCTACTACGTAGCTAGCATTGTTGGGACGCTGGAAACCATAACTGACAGTGCCATTGTATGGGCCGTCAATAATGTCATGGTGCTCGATCTTGTCGAATTTTCCGCGCAAGCATGCTAACAAATCAGCCTGTATACCTGGACCGCTTGTGAATTTTCCGCAGGGAGTCTTGCGGGTCTCAATGCATGCGATGACAATCACGGCAATTCCAAAGCCCAACAGAGCGCCAGTGTAGAACTTGTACCAGGTTGATGAGATGCAAGGCAAGACAGTAGATTTTGCTCCCTTAATCCCCATGTACCAGGCAGTTATCAGAGCAGTCATTCCGATCACGCCCAGGTAGAAGATAATCACCACGAAAGTCGTCGTAGTGTAGAAAGTGTCTCCGCGCGGGACCATGAACGACAAGGCCAACCCCAGGAGTGCAAGGAGGACTAGAGCATACGTGAATCGAAACATTCTGCTGCCCCAGAAGGCTGAGGTATAGAATCTCTGGGGCTCAATTGTCGCAGGATTGGCAGCCAAAAGCTCGAAGGATGTTGTGCTGCAGCCGAGCGGCTGTGGAGAACCTGCAGGGATGTCCTCCATCGAAGCGAACGAGAACTCGTCCGTAAGCCAGAGACAGCTGCACAGCCTCAGCAACCCGAAAAGTGCGATGGGAAAGAAGATAATGTCGACAGCCATCAACAGTGTGAAGCTTGGGGCAGATGGGTCGATTTGACTGCCCAATAGCAGGATGATGGCCTGCATGCCCTGAACGGTGATAATGAGAGTTTTGATTGCATCTCTTGACAACAGGGTGACCCTGTCTCCATCGGGTAGTTGCACACAACGCGGTCGGCTGTACGCGATCATCTCTTCAGATCCATCCCAGCCTTGGTCAGTCCAAAACAAAGCATTGCTGGCAGCGAGATCGAATCTATCCCAATTCTTGGCCCGAATGCGACGGTCAGTGATTGCTCCATATCGCCAGAGAATAGAGGTCGGGTTATAGTGGCATATTCGTTCATGCCAAGGTGGTCGACTCAGCGAAAGATAAGTCGGTGAAGGCGCGCCGATGAGAACATGCGCAATGAGCGGAGCTAAACAAAGAGTGAGAAGAGTGATCCAGTCAGAAACGGCGATCTCTTGGCTTTGGTATAACAGAGGATTAATAAACACGGTCATCCTTGGTCTCTCCAGAGGGTTCTCGATTTGGGCTTCTGGTTAGGATGCAGGACTAAAAAGAAGTTTGAGCTTTACAGATTCCCCTGAAAATAAGCCCTATGGAAATAATTACCCTCCTGTGGATAAGAAGGTAATACTGGAGTGAATAACAGGAAGGACAGCTCCGCCTATACTGACATCTGAAACTTAGTGCTGACAGGAATAAGATAAGACCCTGATAATAATACTAATTGTTACGACCCTCGCGGTTACGTCACATATACCCTACAAATTCCCCTACTAATTGCACCAATTATATACAGACTAAAGCTTTCTTTTTTAGTTTTCTATATTTAACTAATTATAATAAGATTAAAATATTAAGATATTAATCTAGGATTAAAAAACTAATATCTTAGTCTTATATAAATATATTATAAAATATCTTATATTTTATATATATAAAATAATACTTATTAATACTTTTATAAATTTTAACTTACTAACTAGTAACATAACTTTTTTATATTAATTAAGCCTAATATATATTAAATTTATTATTAAGAAATATAATACTTTAATAATACTTAATATATACCTTATATAATTTATTAATAATAAACCTACTATAATTAAATTTAATATAATTAAATATAAATATTATATATTAATAACTCTTATTTAAACTATATTATATAATAATAAGTAATATTAAATATAATATTTATTAATATTAACCTTATTTAGTAATAAAATATAATTACTAACTTTTAAGAATAGTAAGCTATAATACTTACTTATTTTATACCTATTTTACTAGTAATAACTAATAAACTATTAACTAATTAGAAAATAAATAATATAAATAACTTATCTTAAAGCTTTATTAATTTAATGATTAAATAACTTTATAAGGAACATAAATATATTATTAATAATATAAATAAAATATATAAAATATTAAATAAATTTTCTATTATATAATAATAATAAAATTAAAGTATTATATATATTTAATATGAAATATATATTATAGCCTTAATATTAAATATTAAAAAGGATTTTAAAGAAATCTTTAAGCATAATATACCTAAGCGTTTTAATAAAACCTTTAATATATTACTTATATTCCTTATATAAAAATAAGTATTTATTATATATTACTTAAACTAATTCTATTATAGCTTTATAAAAGTTATATATATAATTAAAAAATTAATTAAAATTATAACCTAATAGATTTAATTTATTATAAGTAATTATATTTAAAACTTATTTTATAAGGTAAAACTCTAAACTATTATTATTCTTAAAAAAGTAAGACATTTTAAATTTAAAAATATACTTTATATAGCTTTTAGAATATTTAATAAAAAAAGATAAGCTAAAAGGAAAATTAAAACACTTAAATAAACTAAATTATCCTTATCCTTAAAAATAAAATTCTTATAACTTATAAGTAAATTATTATAAAATTAAAATATATTAATATCCTTTTTCTTTAATATACTTAAAAAATTAATTAAAGTCAAATTATAATAAAAAGACTAATTATAAACTTTAATTAAATATATTAATATAGTTATTAAAATTAATAATTAATTATTAATTATTTACTTAAAAAGCCTAGAATTTATAATATAGTAAATAATAATAAAATAAACCTTATTATAATATTAATTAAAAATAAAAATATAATAATAATATATATATATATATATTTTCCCCTTACTTTTAACCTTATAAGAAGCTATTTAGCTTTTTAGCTTTTTTATTAATAATATAAATAAAGAGACCTTTATAATAAGCTATTATAAGAGAAGTTAATATTAAATAAGGTTTATCTGCCTTTATAATATAATTACTGCCTTAACTAAGATATATAAATACTAGTTATAGGTCTCTTAATAACTAGATTAACCTTCTTCCTTTAACCTACCTAAAGGACTACTTCTTAATTAACCTTTATAATATATTATACCTAATTTATCTATTATAAAGTATATTACTTAACCTAATTATTAATTATACTTATTAATATTAATTATAGCTATTATTATAATACTTTATAATAGCTTATAGCCTAATTAAGGCTATTATATAACTAATTATAATCTTATTAATATAATTAAATTAGCCTTAAATTAAACTAAAAGAAAAAAGTATTATATATTATATATAATAACTATAGTTTTTAAAAAGAACTTGTTATTAAAAAAGAAATCTAATTTAATTAAAATAATTAAGTTTAATTATAACTTAATTAAATTAATTAATTATATAAATCTAAGTTATTTAAAAAATATAATATCTTTAGCTTAAACTAATTAAAAACTATTTAAATTAAAAAAGCTAAAAAAAGCCTTAAAATATAACTAGCCTTTAATAATAAAAGAAGTAGCTTTCCTTATTACTTTTATAAGTAACTTAGCCTAGTATAAAAAGTAGCTTATTAATATAATTATAAAGGTAGAATAAGTACTTTATATTATCTTTATTATATATATAGCATAGGGAGTTTATATATAAAGTTTTAAAATAAATATAAGGTAAAGGCAGGGTTTTATAAAGAAATTATATCAAGTTTACTTTATATAAATTAGTTAATAAAAGTTAAATTAAGTCAAAGTTATAACTTTATTAATTAAATATATATAATAAGGTATATAACTAATTAACCTTATATATAAAAATAAATAGAGTAAAATTAATAAAAAAGTAGTAATTTAAACTAGGGAAGTAATTATATATAACCCTTACTTAATAATAAATAATATTTCTATTTAAATTATCTTAAAATAACTTAATAAGTATTATAGAGATTTAAGTTATTTTAAATTAATAAAGATATAAAATTAATTTAACATTAAGAAAATTAAATATAAGGAAATATAAATAGTTTAAGATATTAAAATTATATCTTAATATAATAAAATTAAAAACTATTTCTAAAATAGTAAATATTAAAAGTATATAAAACTTATTAAAAAATAAGTAATTATAAAGTAAGATCCCTAGTTTAAACTATTACTTTTTTATTAATTTTACTTTATTTATTTTTATATATATAATCAATTAGTCACATGCCCTGCTATATATACTTAGTTAATTAAGCTAGTTATGACTTTAGGTTAATTTAACTTTTACTAACTAACTTATATAAACAGACGTAATATAATTCTTTTAATTTTAACTTTAATAAAATTTCTAAACCCTGCCTTTACCTTATATTTATCTAACTTTTTACTAATTTAAGAGTAGCTCTCTAGTAATATTAGCTACCCTTATAGATATATTAAGGAGCTACTCTTTATATATAGCTAAGTTTAGGCTTATAAAGGCAGTAAAAAAAGCTACCTTGTCTAACTAAAGAAGATAACTATCCTTTAAGGCTATTTCTAAGTCTTTAAGACCTAATAGCTTATTATTAACTTAATTTAAATTAATTAAATTAATATAATATCTCTCTTTTATATAATTAATTAACTAAACTAAGCTATAATTAAAGATAATTATTTTAATAAAATTAAATTTATCTTTTAATAAGAAGTTCTTTATAATACTAATAATTATTATATATATTATATAAAGTTTTTCTTTATTAGTTACCTTTAAGGCAGGCCTAATAGCTAGATTAAAATTATAACTAATTATATAATAGGTATAATTATACAGCTATAGGCTATTTTATATAATAGGTATTAAGGCAGTATACCTATTATACTATTAGTAAGAAGGGTTAAAAGAGGGAAAGTTAGGTTAAATAATATACTTAAGTATAATAAATAAATTAAATATAATATTCCTTTAGATAGGTTAAAGCAAGAAGGTTAATCTAGCTACTAAGATATAACTAGTATTAGTATTACTTAATTAAGGCAGTAATTATATTATTAAAGTAAATAAACGTTATTTAATTCTAATTTCTATAATAATAGCTTGCTATAAGGGTCTTACTATTTAATAAAAAGCTAAAAAGCTTAATAGCCTTATATAAGGCTAAAGGTAAGGGAAAAAAAAGAAATAAAATATTAATATTTATATTTAGCCTTATATTAAAAAGGTTATTAAAAATCTTATAATTTTAAAAAAAAGTTATTTAATTAAAAAGGGATTTATAAAGGTATATATATTATTTAAATTATAAGTAAATATTATAGGTATTATATATATAATATTACTATTTATAATATTAATAAAAGAAAGTAATAAATAATTACTTTTTAATTTAAGTTAAGAAATACTAAAAATAAAAACTATATTTAATTATTAATATAATGAGATATTAAAATATATAAAAATATAAGGGATTTTATATAATAAGACTTAAGGCATATATATAAATATATAAAAAAGCCTTAATATATATCTAAAACTTTAAATATAATATATAGTATAAAAAGTAAATATAATATAAAGTTAATATAAATAATAATAAAGCTATTAATAAAGCAATTAGTAAAGTTTATTAAAGTATAACTTAATAAAGAAAGAACTTTTTAAAAAATAAAAATCTTTAAAAGATATTTTTAAGTAATTTAAAAATAAAATATTAATATTTACTTATAATAATAAAAAGGGAGAAAGAAAGTCCCCTTATTAATTAAGAAAAAAAGGACTTTATCTTAAATTATAAATTAAGAAGAATAGCTTATAAAAAATACTTAATACTTATTAAGATAAATAAATACCTAAATAACTTAAAGTATATTTATAATAAATATAATATAAATTACTTAAGTAAATACGGAAAAGGCTTATATTATTTATAAAAAGGTAATAAATAAGTAAAAAGTTAGTGAAGCTAAAATGCTTAAAAAAAGAAAAAGCTTTATAAATAATATTAAAATAAGGTTAAAAAACCTACTTATAATTAAAAGTATAAGTTAAAGGCAAATAGCTTATTATATTTATAAATAGTAAAATAGATATAAATATTACTTTTCTTAATATAATAAATAAGCTTTAAATAATATAAAAATATATAAAAAGAAAAAGCTTTAAATTATTAATAAATAAAGAACTAATTATAAATATAACAATAAAAATATTATTAAAAAGATTAATTACCTTAAGGTCTTTATAAATAGAAAAAACTAAGGTATTAACTTTAATATTTTCTTAATAAATAGTTTTAACTTAATATTTAAATACTTATTTACATATTATTATAATTACTATATTAATTAGAGAATT